ATTTGTGGCAGCCCGTAATCGCTGGGAGGCTTTCCGTCGAAGGAATGAATTGTATAGGCGCAAAATGCACTGAACTGAATTTTCCAGCTCACAACAGACAACGAAATCTGAGCGGAAACACAGGGCAGTGAAATGGCATAATTTGCCGACAGTGTGTATTGCGATTTTGACGATGAGCAGATGAAATGCACATACGGAATGGCATTAGTTTGGATAGTGTCACAATTATGCATGTAGTAGGCTGTGACGGAACTAATTACGCTGCGACGCGCGTTTGTGGCCGCTTTATTTGATGCAAGCATACAGCAAACGCATACAGGCAGAGTGATCATGCGCAGTGCCATGAGACGAATGTATTCTATGCATTTATACTGATATATAATATCCGTTGCGTTATGACAGCCCGTGTGTGTGATATGCATTTCATTTGACCCTTTGAGACTGTAGTGGCGCTTTTTTAATAGATTCCGAAATGGAATGAGATGAGCTGGAGAATGAGCTCTCGCAATGATGATATGAAATGGCCAGATGATTGAATATCCGCAATGCGCAAGTGGATGCTCAACAACTGTCAATTTCCACATTGCTCATTTCACAGTGTAGCTGCTCTCGTGTTTCTCTGAAATGCACTAGATGATCCTACTTATATGATAAAGTAGGTTTCTAAACGTACTCAAAAGTGAAACATATGCCGCCGATATAAGTAATGTGCATTCCCTTTTCCGAATGTACTACTAACTAGTCATTTGTATTTTAATTCAACAAAAAATTCCCAAGCTCTTATTTGTTTAGTAGCGGATACTTTCGAATGTTTCATCATTATTATTGTAATTTTTGTAGTAGAACACTGGCAGTAACACAAATAATGACTTTCGTATTGGGCAAAACACAAATGCACCGGTTGAACGCTAAACAAATGCACTGTTGTAAATTCCTTTTATGTGGAATGGGTTACATTTGCCGGTTAGCTATTTGCAGCTACGTACAGTTACGCAGTGCGCTTAATGGATGGTCAATCAAAATTTATGCAATTAGAATGATAGTGACAGTACATGATTTTTTTAACGTTTCGATGTTGATAGAATTACCGAGTTAATCGGAAGGGAAACTCATAATGCCGGTAGCGAGCAAAAGACTTCCTTGAGATAAATTACAATTAGCTTGTGGTAGCGGCGATTGTTTGCAGGTCATTAACGGTCGCATTAAAGCGTGTACCAGTGTGAGCAATGAGTTATCAGAGAACAATGAGGCATGTCATATAGCGAATTAGCCACTGATTAATTACCGGCCCGTTAACTACCAACTCCAATGGGTTCTGATCATTCAATTAGCATTCTCCGGCTGCAACAATCACACAAAATGCCCGTTTGCGCTCCCGTTGAGCGAATCTTTGCATATGCAAATATTCGACATTATACCACGGTATCCGCGCGGTGGCGGAAGCGATTTGTCATCAGCATAAGCGCTTCGCCATATCCGTGCTGTCGTCATCTAGGTAAATGTTGAATAAGTGCTTGGGAAAATGTGCACATCTTCGGGGCCGCGCATTTTGCCGGTTAATCGGAAAGCGTAAGCTGCAGTTTGGGAGGAAATCAATAAAAGTCCTCAAAGCAAGGTCGTTAGGTGTACAACGTTATACCTGGTGTTGTGCGTGTACTCCGTGTAGTAGTCCAGCCACTTCACCTATCACACCGTGTTAACGTCATGTCGGCAAACATAACATCTTGCCAAGAAGATTCGATGATAAACGGAGTTAACCGGTGTAAAAATAGAGTTACTCGGCATTTGAACATGTTGACAAATTATCTTTCCTTTCAACCGTTTTACATCAGCCATATACGCGCTTCATAAGTAGGTGCACGTACGAACATTTTGTGCTTTTTCAGCATTTTACTACATTTTAGACCTTTATGGCACTTTTACGCGTTTAAGAAATTCGGCTGAACTAGGCGATAAGTGATCTCTATGGACAATAAAAAGTACTCCTGCCATATTTTTTTTATCTTACCAGTTATAACCGACTTGTGTTGTGTAGGTATAAGCGCAATATTTGTAGCATCACATTGGAATGTTTATTCGACGTTTTATCTTTTATCACATTATGCGAAGGTGTTTATACTGCAAACTGTTTTACCAGGGAATTTTTGCTTGGTATTTGCATAATATTCGATTAGGTTGAGGGAAAATTAAACAGTCAAGTATCTGATTAGGAATGTGAGCAAAGTTTACATTTTTCCAACTTATGCGGTTAATCCGGTGCGTTGGTGTCTCATGTACAACAAGCGAAAGAAGAGGTCTATATATTTAAATATCGGTAATGCAATATTATTAAACATACAGTGTATATACCGCTCACTGCACATTCCAGCATCATCATCAGCGCGCAGTTCTCTCGATTCGCTTTCTCGTCAGCGCGCGACGCGGTTTTGCTTGCGCCGCCGTCGCCGCGAAATCAATAAACTTGCAGCAATGTCGTATGGCATGTTATCATTGACACCGTGCACTGGCAATGTAAGAAAAGAAAATTTCTCCACCGCTTCATGTTGACATACCCCAATACAAGATAAGCACTTGTTTGACTTCAGTGTACTAATATCTATGCTAACAATACACCCAGAAATAACATTGTTTCAGGCGGTAAACGTAACAAATTGCGCATGTTCAAACGCCGCACAGATACACAAAACGATGCCATTGTAGCCAACGTGTACGTGTGTGTAGTGAAAAGTATCAAGCCGACCGCTTGATAATGCGCGATTAAGTAGACCGGCTTGCGTCGCAATGCTTATTTAATACCCTTCATTAGCGTTTTTATAAACTGCTTGTTGTTCTTGCAGAATACAATCAAGTGTGATTCATCATGTCGGCATTCCCTCAATTTGGACTTAATTATCCTGGATTGTCAGTTACTCAAGTAAGCCATTCTTAAAATCGTTTTGTAGCAACATATTAATCTCGAAAACAAAAATAAATATAGTATGACTAGTTTTCCAAAATATTTCTGTCTGCTGAATATAATTGCACAGTGCATAATAGCGAAGTAATGTGTCTCGATTGATGACAGGTCATATTTCTTCCATAGTGAAACGCATCTTTTATCTCGTACTCATCGACTCAATAACAGTCGCGATCGTATTCATAGCGTTGCCGGTCAGAAATGTAAACCGAAGGCTAAATACTGCTGCGATCGTAAGCAATAAGCATCAACATTAAATTCCATAGTGCTTTTATGACTGCTAACTCATTGTTCGGATACATGATAAACTATCTCGACAATGATGTGTCGGTGTCAAACAAATATTTTTAGGGCTGTTTTCGCACATAATATCGCCGGTGTAAGTAGGCAACCATGTCAGCTGCGGTGCAGAGCGCGTAGATCACTTAACGGACGCATCAAGCGCAAAGCTAATCAGAGAAAAATGTTATGCACTAAAGGTCACTGCATTGCCAAGCAGCCGAACAGGTTCCGCGGCGGAAACGAGTGACGCGTAGTGAAAGTATCTTGCAAATGGCAGATCTTCTTAATCTCATAACATACCACGCAATGTTATCGCGATGTACACGCAAGTACTCGGTTAGCAGTAGTGAGTGCCACATCACTGGCCCGATCGATGGCGTGCTGTAACGAGCGGCGCGCGTTGTGGATAAGAGAAAACGAGTGCATATTATGGTATACACACTTGGCAGCCAAAATATTCAATCCGCCGCGCGATCTGTCCAACTATCCATCAACATTTGTATGGCGCACACTGCACACTGCCGTCGCGAGAAAAAAGCCCCTCATTGAACTGTCTTGAGATTTGGCCCCGGCTGACGGCCGGCGCTCTCTTTTGGCCCCGGCAGTGTGTGTGTGAATTACAAAACAGCACTTTGGCATTATTGGACAAATGCATATGGCCCTGTGTGTCTATGGGATGCCATTAACGAGTCTGACACTCTCGTTTTTACACTCTCTACTCTGTCCTCGGCTTTTTTCCATCAGCGCCATGCTGTTTAGAATGCGCCATTCACCGTTAATCTACTGACGAGTGTAACAGTGTTCGCCCTCTGGATTGTTATTTTCTTGTCAAATACGACTTCAGTCCAACCTACATTTAGCGCCGAACAATGCGCTGACAAGACACAAACATGTCAACATGCACATACACAGCACCTACGAGTTTCAACCAACCAGGCTGCCGAAACAACTACTTGCCTAACCGGTAATTAATTTCCATCACACTGTGATTTGCTGCAAAGGTGACTGAACCTTTTCATTACCACTGCTCGGTGACAAGCGTTCCGTTCTTGTCGAACAAATGTATAACACAAACAGAGATTTTCATCGGGTCGCATTTTTATTAAATTTCCTACAGCAGATCGCCGCACGATAAGGTAGTCGGATGCAGACGCCAGCGCTGATCGCTCGGCATGCATCCATATGCCGGCATAAACTGTGGACGGACAGGACAGCGTTGGTCTTGTCCCGAGCGGCCAGCATCATTTCGAGAGCCATGCAAACGTCAAGATAAAAGATAATTTTCATTTATCTTGTCAATATCCACCATCGTGTCCTGTCGGTCCGGCGATGACCTTAGATGTGGCAGCAGTCCATTTCGCTCCATTATGCGTTAGCGCGGCTGCTGCGTCGACGGAGCCGGTTGGTTATCGCGAGGGAATCAGTAAACTTACAAAGATAATTGGCCCATGCAGCACCGTCTGCGGCGCTGCTGCCGATCAGGAATGGAGACGGCAGACGCTGCGGAATCGGCGAGAGAGCAAGTGGTCAATTAAAGCGATAAGCGGACGGGCTGATTAGCTAACTAAGCAGACCTTGATTTATGGCAGCGGACACAATGAGCGGAGACGCAGTGTCCCGTTGAGTTTGGGAAGCGCAGAACAGTTGTAGACATTAGACAGCTCATTGACCAATGCACAACAGATAGCAATCATCACACACTTTTCGCACTGGGAATTCGGGCACGGACGGAAGAATTCCGGTTTCGGCTGGAATTACAATAATGGGACCACCGGTTACCGGGGCGACAGAACTCCACCCAGCGAAATCCAGTCAGCATGAAGCAGTTGGTTGTTTAGACCCGCACCGCAAGAATCCTCTGCAGCCCGACCAAGGGCGAGAAGATCATGCTGGCCATCATGACGAAGATGACCTTAACGCAGGTGTCCACGTGGTTCGCCAACGCCCGCCGGCGGCTGAAGAAAGAGAACAAGATGACCTGGTCGCCGCGGAATCGCGGCTGCGAGGACGACGACAAGTCGGACGGGGAGAACGACGGCAACGAGAGCGGGGACGAGTTCCTGGCCATCGACAAGGATGACGGCTCACTGTCCGAAATCAGCCCTCCACATCTGATGATAACGGATCAGATCAAGCGAATCCACGTCAGGCAATCTCCCATGCTAGAGACACCTTTGAAAGGTCATCTTTTACGCTAATAACAAGAGTTGTGCTGCCATTCGAAATTCCGTTTGCATTACTTTTACATAGGGATATATTGGGATAGATAGAAATCGGCATAGTAAACGGATCAACCATTTTTGTCAGTGTTGATTGACAAGCGCGGCCACGCCACGCAAGAGAGACAAGATGCAAGTCACAACGCCACACTTCAGATGACCACCTTCACGTGAGGAATCCTGTTACTATTCATTCAACACATACTTGGACATTTCACAATCAAACCAAATTGATATCTCTAATTAGAATCAAGAAATTAATTAACAAGAGATTTTCGATACCACGCAAGCCGTGATCTATGAGAAACACGACAAGTTATAGTTAAATTACGTTTCCCATAGACAAAAGCATAGGAGCTCCGTGGAAGCAAACCATCCAACTCCTATGCTTTAATAGTCTACGAGAAACTCAAATGGCTCAATCTTGCCTCAGTTTTAATAAGTGGCGAGGCTTTGGTATCAAAAATCTTGTAAATTTTTTCCTGTTCTTTTGAGCTATCGATTGCGCGGATTAGTTCTGAAATGTGCAAGACGAAGGTGGTTAAGTTTAACATAGAAGTCTACGGAGAAACAGCTCGAGACAGTAGTCTCAACGGCTGTTGTGCACTGTGTCACCGAACTGCCTTCACTTGGTGGCTGGCAGTGTTGCACAACACGTGAATGGTTATCCCTTATTATTGCCGTTTTTTCTGTCTATCCCGTGTATTTACCCCCTCCTCGTACAGATGTTTCGGCTACTTTAATTTTTTTAGGATTCTGTTTTAGTTTTTATTTGAAAAATTTTGATAAAAGTGTTGTTAGTATGTTTTGAAGCGATTCCTTTTTTATTGATTTTTGAACGTTTCAACTGCATAAAAGATGTGATAGATTAGCAGCGGGTCACACAATGGTTAGCATCATCCATCAGAAGGAAAACGTATGTATTATACGACAAATGCATCCCGTGCAAAAAGCCGGTGAATAGCCGCGTTCGGCCGGCATTCATTATAGCCGATGCAATTACGGTTGTTGTGTCAGCGATTGGCAGTGTTTAACACTTGATTTGTTCTGGTTCGACAGTTCCCATTTCCTCTTTCCCGCTGCTTAATGCCTTTCATTAGCAGCAGTGGGACACAGGTCCCGCGTTGCTCTCATTGTCGACTGCCATTTCCGGTCGTTCGGCCAAATTTAGTCAGGGGAAGCGAAATCAGAATAGGCTCAACCGATGAAAGCCGGCCGCGGCGTATACTCAAGCAGCAACTAGCAATGCAGCGATAAAAATTTGATCCGGAATCGATACACAGTGTAATTTCACTTTAATCACGTGTTCAACACGGCGGTGCAGCCAATCGGGCGCTACTGGCAGTCAATATTAATTTTGAGTGTGTTCTTTGTCGGCATTAGCGCATGCGTCGTAAAGCGCGGAGGATGAGTGTGGAGGGCACATTAAAAAGTTAACTATATACGTATACGCCACTGTTACAGCTGTGAGCCGCCGCAGCGATGAGAGCGCTTTTGAGCACACAAGCCAGTTTAAAGAGTGAAACAGGGGCAGTACGGCACTTGAGAATTAATAGTGCGTGGATAATAGCCGAGCCACTTTAATAGCGCTAATGACTATTGATCGATGAGCTGGAAATAAGGACCAGCAGGGATTTTGCAACTGCTGAATACATTCTCACTGTCGCTGTCGCTGGACACTTTATTCCGGCATCATGTGTGTAGCGGTATAGCCCCTGCCGATGCCAATTGGCATCCATCGATCAATTCATTCATTTAAGCCTCAATTCGGCCCAATTGTGCCGGCGCATAAAGCCAACGTTAACCCCTCTTTCTCTCTCGCTGCACAGATTCACAGCCCAACCAAGCCGCTTTACTGCCGGCCTCCGGATGCGCTCCGGCCGGGAGTGTCGACGGCGTAAATGCCGCCACCGGCAACAACACCCTCAACGGCAGCGTCAACACCGCTAAACCCCGGATCTGGTCGCTGGCCGATATGGCCGGCCCCGGCAACGCCAGCCCCAATAAGACCCAATTAGCCCCGCCCCCCGACGCACTGCCGGGCCCGCCTCTGCCGCTACCCTTTCCGCATGGCCCGCCCCACCACCCATCCGGCCACCCGTTCCTAGCGCGCATGGGCCCCATGCTGCCGCCGGGAGCGCATCCGGGTGGTTGGTCGCCGCTGTTTGCTGCCTCCGCGGCCGGCAGTCTCCTGCAGTCCGGTGCACTGAATGCGCAGCACGCGGCCGCCGCCAACTTCTTCACACAGAACCCCAATTCGGCCTTTTCGGCGCCCGGGAGGATGCCGCCGGGATTGATGGGCGCCAACGGGATGGTCCATCCACGGTTGCCCGTTAATGCCGGTCAGCGGGAGAATGTGGTCAGCCGGTCGAAGGAGGATGGAGTGGAGACTAATGGGGCACTGGCACCGCCGACAAAAACGCACCGCACATCGCCGTCAGGTGAATGTTAATTGTTATACTTATTTGTGTTATTAGTTTTCGCCCCGTAAAATGAAATATAAATTGTAATAAGTTGCCGTTAAACTTACATTTGTAAAGCTGCTAAAATTGCGTATATAATGCGATAAAACCAGGCATTTGAAATCAGGCAGTAATACTGTAAACATCCCCATGCTTAAACTAAAATTTAACCTCGTTTAACCTCTCTCGAAAAATTATTTTTATCCTTTGATACAATTTGCCAATATTCATTGTCGCTATAGCCAAGTAGAGTGTTATGCCACAAACTCATGAGAAATTTGATATTTTCCCCGTTGGCCATATGTCAGTTGATCATGAAAAGCGCCTTTGAGGAATTTCGTGAAAAGTGCGTTATGAAAAGTGCGGAAAGGGTGATGATCCTTTTTAAGGAATTAAGTGAATGGCCAGAGCGCGCGATGATTGGCAGATTGTGGCAGTGTGGCTGCAAAGGGAATTCCCTCGACAATGCCGCATCATTCAGCAGTTATCGCTTTGTGTGCACAGATAACCAGCCGGGAATTGATGGGTCTTTTTACGGCTTTGATGGAAATATTATCAATATCCTGCACTGCTTGTAAATGCGTCAAATGATGACTGACTAAGTTTATTATCGTAAATTGTATTCCACTAATAAAATTACAGTAAGAGGCCTCCTTCAATGCAACGCCAACCGGCTTGATATCCTAAAGGTTATTCACTTATACCAGTTTGTAAATAAAGTTTTGGGATTTGAATAATAGTCGTTAAACTGACTAATGTGTAAACAGCCATAAAATAACATAATGCGAACATTGATGGAAACTGCCATTGCTGTTTTTGGGCATGCAGTAAAACAAATTTTAACTTTGTGAATAAAATTAATATTGGCTAATGTTGTAGAAAATGTTCGAGTGGCGCAGAAAAGTCCGGATGGCAGCAGCGTGAAAAAGCCAGAGAAACTGATATCCGTGACTGTCTCACGCAACTTATCCAACTCTGACAGCACAAAATTGACGGAACGACTGGAAAACTCTCCACCAAACTCCAGTGAGCCTAGCGCCAAACGGAGAAAATCTGATTCCTCTGACTCGCGACCTTTATCACCAAGCGTTTGAAATTAAAGATGGTTTTCCATAACTGCAATCGGCATAATTTGTAAGAGAAAAACAGTATTATGCTATGTATTTCTCATTTTCCTGTACGATAATAATAATGTATGGTTGTAATGCGCATGTAAATTGAAATGGAATAATGAATGACGTATGACTGGTATATGCGGCTGTATTTTGTTAACACTATCCTCGGTATTATGCATTATCCCGGTTTGTTATTGGTTTCTCATTAAAGGCTGAACAAAATTGCTCCTACTTTTGCAAAAACCGAAAACATACAACGTGTAGCGCACAACACCTACAGAAAATTATAAAATTAGTACGAAAGGTCAAGGAAGACAGTATTACTATAAATGACTTTCAAGTGCAGTATTTTTGGGCGACATCAGAGAGTAATCTGTTATTCAATCTGAAATCGATAAAATATATTGGAAACCAGTCTTGGATGGCTGTTTTCCCCTGCAGGTAAAAATCATCACTCTGGCCCATCATGACACTTGATCATTCATGCCAGTTGTAATCAAACGCTTGTCGCTGGCAATTTTTGCATGCCACACAGTGCAGTCACGCACGATTTCGATTAAGACCGATGTCCACAAATGTAAAACAACATGCTGATTTGACTCGGTCGCGTTGATTGGCTGATGTTAACCGAACTGTACGTTGTTGATGTTTGCGCTTGAACCGGGTCGATCTCAATGAACCACGAATGGTATCCTCCAGCGAAAATTTATTACAAGCGTACAGTATGCAAACTTAAAGGAAGACAATGATATGAATGCGTTCCTGATTCCCAACTTAAATGGACGTCTTTAATATCGACGTACAAAATCTAAATCATGTATGATGCTGTACTTGGTGTTAACCATAAAAAATCAGGGAAACGGCAAGTTAATCATTCTAAGGGTACAGTAGATGCACGCCGTCGCTGGGCGGGTGCAGTGTCGCCAGTGTTAGCGCGAGTCCGCTGAAATTATTTTCCGTTGCAGCGGACCGCCGACCACAAATCCCCGCGTACGTTGAGTCAACCGCGGACATGTAAACATGACGGGCTTATGAGCATGTATATCGGCTGATACGTAATGATATTTATTTTAACGATCCGCGCGAGTCATTAAGCCAGCCGGGGCCAATTTCACAGGCCTATTTGCACGGGTCTGATCCGGCCATATTGCCGACGCTCTGTTGATACAGCGTCTCATCGCGACGCGAACGTCAATATTGGGGATTTAACACGGGGCCTGCACATCCACTGGATGATGCGTGTGTGTGCGCGGTCGGGCTTTCATCCACTTGAAAATTACTCCTGAGCCGGAAGAAAGTTTAAGTGTGGCCACTTTAATCACAGGCCTATAATTTATGAATAATGACGAGTGTCCAGGCACATCTTTCACATGTGAAACGTTCCGCTATGCCACGTGCATACTGGGCGCGGATCCTTTATAGGGATTATAAATTCTGAGACATTTCCGCCACTGACACAATTCCCGCTGCATTGTTGATTTTGCGTTTATTCGTTTTAATGTATAACATAACATGCCATCCGGATTTAAAAGCCAGATCTAGAAATGGAAAGGGAAAGGGAAGGGAAAAAGGTCACAGCTTATGCTACAATCCCACGGCATAAGCTCATTTATAAATACACGTAAAAGCCAAACCAAAATCAAGTTCGCAAAAAAATTAAAGTACATGTACAAAGGATTCTCCGTTCGTCGCTTGTTCTCTTCGACAGTTGCTGCCTTTGATAATGAAATTATAAAGCAGTGCAAATACAGCACACGCAAAAAAGACCGGAAATAGTTTTACTAATTTTTATTTCACAACCGCCTTGTTTATGTCGAGACTCCATACCGCACTACTAAATTCGTTTGACTGAAAGTGTGGAAAAACACCGGCAATTGGCGGTTGACCAGTGCAGAATAATAAGCACATCATTCAGCAGCGCACATTCCAGCGGGGCGAAAATATGCTGGAGTCGATGATTAATGAGCGCATTCCGAGTGCGAGCCGGAGCGGCGGGTGTTAGGGGAATATTGACACACATGACACAATCCAGTGTCGTGCTCCATATTGCACACTTGCTGTCGCTCATTAAAAGCTAAAAGGCCAGTTTCTGTACATGGTGCACAACCGGCGAACGGAGCGGACGCTGGTCAGTATTCTGCATGGCCAGATATGATGATGATGATATTGATGATTATGTATACAATGTGGATTACGTCCGCATATCCATGTCCCGCGCGATGATTACGCTGATGGCCTTTACGCGATATGCGAGTATATTGCATTTGCCAGCAATACGATCGACTGCCGCGGTCATGTAATGCATCTTTAATGAGCTCAAATGGCTCTACATCTAGACGGCAGCAAATGATACTACACGCGGATTATGTTCGCTGTTTACCAACGACAATTCTCAGACTATCCATAACGCAATTCTTATTTGCCAGAAGACATATTATTATTCTGAATTTAATTTTTTGTAATATTCTAGCTTGTTCGCATTAAAAACTTAACTAAACCTTTAGCGCCTTGCCTGAGTGAAAATCAATAAAAGTTTGACATTCAAATACTGAAAATGTTTGCATACTCGTACTAAAATTAATAATATTTGCAAGAACTGCATTTTTCTAATCGGTATAACTGCGCTGAAAAATCAGGCGCAGAACATTGCATTACTCTGTACGTAAACTACGATGTAAAACAGCTGGCTCATTCTTTGGGCGTAATTAACTGTAGTACTACTCAGTAGTAATTAAAAGGTCTCGATACGATCACAACACTGCATGTTGTGCTTCGATGGAAAAACGATACTAATTTGCAGGAATTTCGATGGGCCTTTGGCCGACCGGAAGTCCGATAAGTTGTATTTCACGTTTATATCGGCGAACACTGACGAAATGCGCCATATTGTACATCCACGGTTAAAACGCTTAATGCTTCTGTAATACACGGCGCTGTTGAGTTGTGCTGTAAAAATTATTATTACTTTTATAGTTTGTTGTCGTTGTATAAGCTGACAGACAGCAGTGCGGAGAAACCATGGCTACAGTGTGGCAGCGTGTGAGTTTAGTTGTGTTGGTGGTGGCAGTCTTCTGCGCACTGTGCCATGGCGGACTGTTGGAGAGATTCAAGAACAAGATCTCCGGCCAGAAGCAGGCGGGTTCCGGGGGCGACGTCAGTGTGCCGGAGGGGGCGTACGGCCTGACGGCGGCGGCTGGCTCCCCGTCGGATACGCAAGGGCACGTCAGACAGACGCAAATTAATTCGCCCGTTATTATCCGTAAGTGCTGCAATAGATTCATTCATTCTCAACCTACTCTACGAAAATTACTTACCAAAATCCAGACAAATGCTCACGCATACATACACATACTACGTAATTACTAATTATACAAGTAGCAGGGTTTTCTGCTTGATTTTTATAAGTATTCGTATTCTACTTTAACTTTGCTTTAATAGCGCATATTTATAAAATAACAAGCATATTTTTCACTATTTAAATTTTGATCAGTTTTAGGCTTTTAGCAGTATGACCGCGAAAGGCATTCATTGTTACGTTGATGGCTACTACCGAATAAAAGTATATACCATATTCTAAAAATTTATAAGGTTAACTTGTATCTACTGTCGACGTTTTGTCCACCATACACTGCCATTAATTTAGTTCATCAATTGAAACTTGAGCATAAAATACAATGCAATGCAACTGTAAAGCAAAGTAGTAGTACAGTATGTAGATGTATTGTATCATTTAGATTTTTAAATATTCAGTTACAGATACTAATTATGGAAGTATATGCAGTCTTACAGATATATTATGCAATTGCAAAAAAACGCGTTGTTTGTGTTGAAAATTTTGCGTTGTACAGTGAGTAGTAAGTATTGTACGTACTATTAAACTTTACACATCAGTGTATGATACTACAAAAATGCTAACCAAACCAGACAGGATGATGTATGCAACCGCACGATAATATTAACAGAGCTTTGTAAGTTTTGACTAATTTAAGATTATTACATAGAATTCGAAAACAAACCAGTCACTTTAAAGGTTCATAAAATATTTGCGCATTAATCCTTAATTTATAGCGCTAGCATGCCTACAAAATATACGAGTATAATGCCAACCAGTCAAATACTTACTTTAAACAAATTAAATACAATACTTTTGATTTCTTACGTACGGTGTGGCGAATTTCGGTAGTATAGCCCAGAATCCCAGATAAAGTTAATACTATACTATAGACCTTCGTTTAAGCTACAGTGCATCATTTATTGCTTCGCTAATTATAAGTTTGCTAATGGATTTAAGCCAAATGGCGTCCGCTGGAAATAATATTGCATTCATGCATGGAAGTACTAGAAACATGATTAACGGTTTTGAATAATTTATGAGTAACTTCATGTTGATGAGGAAGGTGTTGAAAAGATTTGGAAGCGATTTGCATTTCCATTGTTCATTGCGGTGTGTTTGAATGGTGACAGTGCCGGGCGATGGCGGAAGCCCACTGGAAGCTATGCTGGACAAGCCAAGCGTCAAATTCCGGCATTGTCCGAAGAAGACAACCGGATGGCAGCACGTATGGGCCGGCATCGAGATCCTTGTGCCCGCCATCGTCGACTGCTGGGTGGATAATTTACGGTGAAACAACACAAACATTTGTTTGTTGAAGCAGAAAAATTAATTACTGATTTGTCAGCTGAATTATTCTTCAAATTTTTGTTTTACTGTACGATCAGTCTTTAATTCGCTTATGGTACTTACTTTTACCGTAACGCATAATTATTACAGTACAGACTTCACTTTTACCATAACGTTTTATTACTTTACCGTAACGTTTTATTACTTTATCGTAACGTATAATTATTACGGTACAGACTTGTTGATCTCATCAGTACCGCCGCCAAAGTCAAATTCTGCAAAACACTGAAATTATATTTAATAACGAATTCAGGTTGGTTTATGACAATGTCACCCGACGGACCTCGAATTCCCCCGGTGTAAAGACGCGTGTTCCTGGATTTGGCGGCACTCGCTCCATTGAATACCTCACATCGAAGCCCTTGCCATCGTGTAGGTTCAAGTTGTACACAGTATATAATACGGTCTTGCTCAAGCTACATACAAGTATATGTATCCCCGTATTTACGTTGGTTTTATGAGAAACTTAAATTTTAGTGATACAATCCGTTCAGCTGTTTCATTTACGTTAGCCAAGAATCAAAACCTTTTACAAAATCGTATTTACAATTGTTCTTTCACTGAGCAATCACAATACCTTTACGTGATAATTCTGTAGACTGTAGATTTTTCTGATAATGTTTATCTATTCGTACTGGTAACTGAATTTCAGAATAGTACGATAAAGCTTCATCAGTTAATTAAGTACTGGTGCGTTCAAAAACTGCTTCGCTATGATTACAATGAGTCCTGATTTAACCGTAAGTTTACAGTTTCTTTGTGGTACTTCTAGTTTTAAGCCGGTGGAAACCTTTCAAGAAATGTATGCAATCTTTCACACAACCGCAATTTTTCTGCATCTTTGCTAAGTTGAGGGAGTATTTTGAAATTGTATCCAATTTATACAGTATCCCGGTTTTTATTACATTACACGGAAAATTGTAAAGGAGATGCTATGTATAGTATGTTATGCTCTTTTTCAGCGCGATACATGGCTGACTTAGTAGAGCGCCTTGTGTCTCTCGGCTACCAGCGCGGAGTTTCCATTCGAGGTGCTCCCTATGACTTCCGGAAAGCGCAAAGTACGTTGCCACTCCTTGCTACTGCAAGCATACAACTGGTTTTTGCTCTGATTAATTCATCGGGTGGACAATTTTGATTTGCATTGATATATAGACGAACAGCATGAATACTTCGTCGCCCTGAAAGACTTAGTCGAAGAGACCTACGAGCTGAACCATCACAGCTCGGTGACCTTTATCGCGCATTCCCTGGGCTGTCTGTATCTGTTGTACTTCCTGCAGCAGCAGCCGCAGGAATGGAAAGATAAATACGTGGCCAGCTTCATCGGCCTGGGGGGACCGTGGGGCGGGGCCGTGAAGCCGTTGAAGGTGGTGGCTTCCGGTGATGACCTCGGCATCAACATCGTTAGCCACAGCAGGATGCGGGATGTGCTGCGAACTAAACCAAGTGTAGGCTACATTTACTAAAACGTAGGCTACATTTTCGCTCAAAACCATAAACTTTTGCATCGAAGTGGCTGGCAGTTTTCTAATTTACTACTTAATTAGTAGAGCCATGACAACAATATTGAAAGATCTGCATGACTGCGAATATCTTTAGATTGCCGTGCTATTTCCATCCGACCAGCTGTGGAAGCAAGACGAAGTTCTGATGTCCACTGCCGATCGAACGTACACATTAGGAAATCTGCGTCAGTTCTTTTATGACATCCGTTATCCAGAAGGTTGGGAGTACTACCAGGATACGCGACCCATTGCCAACAGTCGGCAGCCACCCAGAGTGCCGGTCAGCTACAAAAATATTCGATGTTATTGATGTTCAGTACAGTACTACTTTTCATGTAACTTATGATTATCAGAAATACAACCAACTTATCCATCCAGCGCGAGGAAATGCGTAAAACGAGCATGCACATGTATTGTACGTCTGTCTATAGATGTACTGTATATCGGGAACCGGCGTGGATACACCGGCGTCGTACCAGTACAGCAATCTCGGTGTGCCCAGCGGTCGTCCCACCGTCGTGATGGAGGACGGCGACGGAACGGTCAATCGGCGCAGTTTAGACGCCTGTGGCTGGTGGGGAACGCAGCAAAACGAAACCGTCACATCCATGGTCTTTCCCCGCGCCGGTCATTTGAAGATGATCAAGGATCCGGTTATACTCGATTACATTGTTTCCATTCTTTTTCCCTAAAATTTACACTTCAAATGTCTCTAGTGTTCCATGCACAGTAAATGTTCGCATACAAATTGAAATACCCTATGATAGTTTTCGTACTTTAATTTCTGTAATGGAGTCTTTGCTAGTCACTGTTGCTGTTTTGTTAAAGCGTGCACAACTACACGATAAAAGATTGCTTTAGAAGTGATCAGAATCCGTTCCGTTGTCATCATGTAACGCATTTCAGGAGTGGACTAGGAAACTGTTCACAGTAATTCCATCAGAGTCATAAAAAGTCGCATCATTTCCGGCTGAGTACTGTAGTGTCCTTGTATCCGTGCACATTGCACACAAAGCGATAACTGCTGAATGGAAAAACTTTTCTGAAAAGGGCTGACCTTTCTTTGCTGTTCCAGAGCGTTCAAAGGTTCTTTGTGGAACCATACTACCACTCACAAGGCTAAATACATCTTGTGTGATTCACGCGTGATCCAACAACGTTAGAATTCCGCTAATTGTAAGCTTTACCTCTTAAAAATTCAAAAACAGTAGAACGTGAAATCAGTGAGAATGATCAAAATTGATCAGTTGCTTCTCCACGAAATTTGTCCCGCCAGAGGTACACGGCTTTTTCCAATTCCTTACAATTAGACCAGATGAAACGCGGAGACGAAGCCGAAGCTGTTTCTTGTAAGGAATAAACGATCGGGTGTGCATCATGTTAGTCACGAAACGGCTAACTAAAATCTGATAATGTAGTGCAGTGGCACGCATTAAGAGCTGGCTGTTGATGATGACACATTTTCCTGACTACTTGCCGCTACCGTAGGTGCGGTATAATGAATTCCAATCTATCGTTTTGAAACAGCCTAACTTTTTTCAGCTTATTTTCCATCACAACACACTCAGACCTGTTTGTGTCACTATGCATCAATAAAAAAATCATAAACAATTTTCCTAATATCTAATTTCACCATAAACGAATGCGACGGCTATTTCGCAAGTGCTTGTTAAAAGAATACTACAAAACGCCATAAAAATAAGAAAAGGAAACAAAATTAACTATAGCTGACTGCGTTTGCACGCACCAGACTAATTTAAAAAAGTTAATTAATATAAAGCAACTGAACTTTGAAATTGGTTGCAAATCAGTTTAAAGAGCATTTTTATGGTGGAAACTGGAAAGCTAATCGGCAACTATCGCTTGCAAATTGCAACACCTACATAACAAACCCGGCAAAGAAATAGTGGTAATGCAGTGCAGTGGCACGCGTTATGAACAAGCTGTTAATGATGACATCCGGAACACTTGACTCCTCTGGCGCATGGAGGGTGCACTTTCGGCAGCGGCAGTGTGGAGTACGCGCCGTCCGGTAACAGTGCGGCAGCTGCCGGCAGATGTGTCAGCACTGCAATGCTGGCGGCGCGGGAAGGCACTGCTGTAACCGAAAATGAACCGACATGCGTCTTAATGAAAGAACGTTGGGACTGTCTGAAACAGCTAAAACTTTTCCAGTTTTGTTTTCCATTACTTTTACAGCATTGTACTCCTACTATTCAGATTCACCATCGACATAACGTAATGTGGAAACGGATTTTATTAGGACTTCGTCCATAAAAAGTTATATTATTATTGTTATATATATGCATCTGCACTGTACCAGGACCCAGGACCGGCAGGACGATACTGTGACAGTAAATAGTCACAGTACTGCCGGATAAACATGGCAAATACAGAAAAAACTACAAAGTCCGGACCACTAAATGCAACACACTGTACATTAAACAAAACCGAAACACTTGTCCAACCGGTGCAGGACTCAGCTCAGCTTTCGCCAGGACATTCGTACGCCCCACCGAAAGCACAGACCAGATTCAGAAAATCACAAAAAATTAAACAAAAACTCCAGGAAAAACCCACTCTCTTTGAACAAAACTTCCAACTTGGAGCAACTAATTTGCAACTTTAATATGACTATAGAGCTGAAGAACGGGATACCGTCACTCTTTGCTGCTAAAATACCGGTACAACAGGAACAGTTCTGCAATTGTGAACGGCTTGCGCTGGCAAATCCACTCGGCCATCTCATCTGAAGGAATCCATTTCGCTGGTGGATCTACGACGGTTACCAATCCATTCAGACAACGTACAATGTTGGGTAAGTTAACGTTTTCGCTAAAACTGATACAACATATTCCTCGTAAAAATCCACTACAAAATGCTCCGTATGCTGTTTTTAGGCATGGTACTTCCTGTGCTGGTTTAAACTGGGAAACCGTTTTAAAACCGCAAAGAAATTAGTCAAGCCAACTCAATAATCAAACTCGAAAAATAAACCGTAAAAATTGCCAGCTGCAATCACAAAGATAAAATTAATTAATTTCACAAATAAAATTTGCGATTACACAGTGCATTGACTATTATTGTACATTTAAAGAATTTGGGGTCCTTCGCACTGTTATTGGGGGAAAACTTTTAACTGTGGCATTAATAATATTTATACAGAATTTAATCATATATTTACAGAGTACATTCATTTATTTAAATTAGCGGAAGAATTTGCTATAGGAACGAAATTAGTGGAAGTTTCAAAGTTAACGTTCAGCATAAAAAAACGGTATTAATTATAGCAAAAGCTGCAATATCAAAGAAAGGCACGCACTCAGATAAACTGGAACCTGACCTGCAGCTGATTGGCCAGACAGGTGCTCGTCGAATGTGGGCGACGGTGTGGCGTTGGCGTACGGGTCGAAGGAGACATCGGCCATGAGGAGGGTGGTGTTGGTGGATACCGTCTGCGAGTCGGCGCGCTGCAGTTGCGAGGACGTGCGACCACCAGTGGGCACGCAGCGCGGCAGGGATGATTTGCGGGAGTAGTCGAGGGGGGCCAGTTGGACGTTGACGGTGGCTAGCTGCAGGCTGCGCGGCACACGCGGCTTCGGATCGGCCAGCGGATCCACCAGGCGCTTCTCGAATTCCGCCAGGCTGTCCGGCTCCGGGAGCAGGCGCTGATTCATGGCAAAGACAGAATGCGCCGGATTTGGGAAAACACAGATCGGGAGAGTGGATCAGAATTTGAGCACCTGGCAAGAAATCGGACAGCCAGCTGGCGTGTTACTGTTCCAGGTTGTCCTGCAGTATCTTACAGAAATCTCAAACAAAACCTCAATCCAGGGATTATACTAAACTCCAAATTTTGTGACCAGTTAATACCAAAAAAGACAGCAACAAGTCTGACAATAATAAAGTTTAACGCTCTGTATCGGAATCTTGAAAAAGAAAGTAAAAGAAAATTCGGAACTTGGTCAATCAAGAAGTGCGACACTGCGTCATTGATGACGTACAGACTGTACTCGTACTGAACAATACTCGTATGTATGTACATCGATTGTATCACACATTACAACAGCCACCGATGACTGGCCGCCTGAATACCCCTGCACTACAAAATGCACACAAGTTTAACGATATTAAAACTTTAACAAATGTACGACAGTGCATTTGTAGGCAAGCTTCGCATACTGTCGACTCGAAACCCAAGTTATTTGATCATTCAAGTTTTCAAGTCAAAACGCAGCCCACGGCAACAGTATTCCTTCAGTATTTGAACTGAAATTGTTTTGGTCCACGAAGTGTGACCGTGAATGCTTTCTTGTTGTTCTTTTAGTTGGCTGCTGCCTATAAATCATCATCAGTTTGCCATCATGTATCTGTTTCACAACGGAGCAGATACATCCGCCTAGGATAATAATATTGTAGCGTGGGATTGAAGGACTGAAAGAATCTTCCGCCGGCTGCACAGCCTGCACTAATACAGCAGCGCACTTGTGCAGTAAACCTACCAAGTTGAACCAACGTATCGCAGACAAACGGTCAGCGTATAAATACCATCCATAACTCACCATGCAAGCATATTCTTAATTACCATCAATATTTATCATCATTATCAATTTATCACAACAGGAAACACTGGACGCGAAACAAAAGAACGCCGAGGGGAAGAGTCAGGAGAGGTCACTGAAGCACAATCAAAAAAACAACACCCGCAAATCAGATCAAATTCGCACGCAACGTACCCTTCAAAATGAATAAAAGTCCAGGTAAAATTGAAATAATATAACCATTCCATAAAACCATTCCTAAGCCGTAACGGTAACAACAAAGCAAACAAGGGAAACCAGCAGAAGAGTTTAGAAATGAAACCAGTCAAAGCCGGCCAGCGTGCCGTTCTGGTCCATCGCGTGGGACACTTCGTCGGCCACGTCGTGGTGCATGTAGTGCCGGTGCAGCTGCTCCAGCCGTTCCACACTCAAATGCAGCGGATTGCCGCGTCTGTCAAAAACAACACAATGTAAGTGTAACCCAACCAAACGGGACAACCGGCGTCGCGATACGGGACGTGTGTAAAGCAATTAACATTTCCGTTGTGTTTCGCCTATCATGTAGATCAACAGATATCACGCGGACGGTGGACCAATGTACGATTCAGCAGAGGTAATGGTTATTGTTGCAACTAACTTTTTCTTCCCCTGATTTGCTTACCGTAGAAATGGATCAGGTTCACCGTACGCATCCACATAGGGCGACGCTCCAAAGCAGCCTTTGTTAGTTCCATGAAGCATCAACACTTGGTTTTCGCGCACTCTGTAACAAGAGCATACAATTGATATCCCAAAAAGAAAATCACTGAAAGAAGCAGGTCCGAACATCACGTATTGCTAATCAAGAACGAAATCAACACACTACATCTTTCAGTGGTAAAGCGCAACTAATGGTAAGAAGTGCGACGCACGCCGTAATTTTAAATCAAGTTTTGTTTTTGCATACCGCTTTAAGCAGGTCAAAAACAACGAACTGATGAAGTAATGAAATGCGCAGTATACAAATGCAGAAAATCCTAGTTTTATCCCAGGACCAAGCGGCATATCCAGTGGCGAGTATGTTACTGATTAAAGCATAGCGCTGAAAAGCACAAGTAAAGCACCTGAGAAAGATGCCCGTTCCAGCTCCACAGATAGCGGCATGGAAGGCACACGCGCCGACGGTCTGGTTGTCCAGTTTGTACTGGCAGCACATGCTCTGCGAGCATAGTAATGCTCCGCAAACCAAACACATGGCTGGCGAGCGGCGGTCGTCCGCTTCCACCCGGCATCCGCTGCAACCACATATTCACTGTAGCACTACAATTCTTACGATTGTTAGGTTTTTCACGAATCGCGCACAGGTATTCATTAGGAACGATGACTTGACAAAAATACCAATTCAATTACAAATTCCAAAAAGGATGATATCAGTAAGTAACAGTATTCATACAACAAATCCAATTAAACCTTATACCTCTAAAAGATCCAGTCGTAAACACTGATGACTGCGCATTCTCTCATTATCTTACGCGAATACAGTTTTTAATTATTATAAAAAATTTATGAACAATTTCGAATTAAAAGTAAACTGAACTCTTTACCAACCTGTTCTGGGAAGCACGGTTAATGACGTCCGTGTAATCGTGCGGTAATGGGGCAAACGACGGGAATGGATGGGGTAAGCTGCTAACAACCAAATACATTAGGCCTGCTTCCTTTTTATCAACGATGAAACATCACATGTTCGAGTTTTCAAAATTAGTTATTAAACGAAACACAAAATCTCGAAGCCATTGTCGACGAGTTCTCGCAGATATCTTACTGTCAGTCAGTTCACCTGATCTTTCCAGAACGGCCAGGACCACCGACATTAAATATCCATCTGCACCAAAAATTAACCATGACTTTCAATTATCAAGTCCATTCTATCAAAAATTTAAACCAATCAATTATTACTCAATTTTTGCCACATCTCACCTGTGAACTAGGTCATTTAAAGCGGGATTTTCATCGAGGAGAACGGTTACCGAGTTTGGCAATCCCAGATAAGCCATCAAATCCGCAGATTCCGATTCGGACGTCTCTGTACAAACCAACAAACAGTACGTACAGACTTCGCCATAACCAATAAGACTCAGAAGAAATTTTATCGTAAATTTTTCCACAATTATCTCGATTATAGTATGTAAACAAAAACCATCGTTGCTTAGTTCACAAAAACTGCAAACGTGTACTCACGTCCTTCAGCTTTCAAAGCTTCGCTAGCCGGTATTCCAGTGATAAAATGATAAAATATTGCACAACATCGTAGAAATGGCCACGTCCGCTCCTGAATAATTCGCTCTAAATTGGGTGGCACTTGAACGGTTACATCGCTGCCGCTTAATCTAAAAAGGAAAATCAGCTGTTCAAGTCAAAACGCAAGTTACGCAACCTATACAGCACGTTTAGAGACACCAGAAAGAATTCTAATTGCAACATAGCGAAGCAAATTATAAACTGATGCAAAATGCAGATTGACCGCTAACACGAGTCAAGACAACAACCTCCCAAACTGCGTTCAGTTGAAGAAGGCATGTACAAAAAAAGGCATGCATATGACTGTACGATTGCAGACTGAAATAATTACTATTTGACAGCACACAAGCACGTGTCTACTTTTTTATTGTATTGCGTGCGATCACACTACAATGCCATCTAATTCAGCGCTATTTCGTTCCCACTCATTAATTACCTGTGCACGAACGCCGCATACAGTTTCCGCAATGTCGGATCTTTGGATGAAGAATGGGAAGCATCGCTATCCGACCTCTCCACAATGTCGTATGATACGCTCTTGAACACTTGGAGAATATGCAGCAAATAAACGATAACCAGCAGATGATGGTCAAAACTGTCGCCAACCGGCAACCGGCACACTGGGGCGTCGACGTACGGAGCCGTGAAGCCCTCTTCGCTCCACGGCAGCCACGGAAAAGCGTGAGTACAATTAATCTACAGACAAAACACAAGTGAAAAAGAATCACCACTTATAGTAGTCCGCTGGTTTCAACCACCAATTTCACGAATTTCTAGAAATTTACAAAACAAAAACAAACCCATGAAACTAATACGAAACTCTTTTGTGCAGAACAGCGTTGTTCAAAGCACTGCCCATCACGTGAATGTCACAGAAGAATTAATTGACTTACCAATAAAGAGAACGCGTCCATGTCCAGCACATTCCGAGAGGAAAGCGGATTGAACAGCGCACTGAACAACTTGACAGCGTGTTCCGTTAGCACTTTGGTTTCGTAAGCGGATGAGCTCCAGCATGAGGCGCGAGTCAGACATTTCAGGCATAAATACTGGAAACGTATTCATTCAAACACGAACCACTCAAAATGTTTTAATAACAATATCACCGTAATAGAAAATATCAGTTACCTGACGTGAAGAGAAAGACCCGAGTAGTGATTTGTTCTCATACCGTAAACACATTTCTGCAAACGAACCGTGAGACAATCTTAACTAGACAGCATCCGTAAAACTCGAGAGCCGACACTTACCTATGGTCTGCACAGAATACGAACAAGCTGCCCAATTCAAACTGATGCACAGTTCTTCACTCTGCGCCGGCGAGGAAGCGTTCATGGACATCTACAAAATAAAATAAATTATGCAAATGCAATACAACAAACAATACTCTGAAACTCACTCAATACTCAAAATGGATCAATAACACAGCAAAAAAGTAATGCCACGTTCTCACCTGGAACACCTGGTTCTGAAACGTGCGAACAGCTTCCACGTGCGCATCAGATACGACATCCGTACTACTAGAAAACAAATACCACATGAGTCAAAAAAAGAGTGAGAAAGTGAACGATCACTCATGCAAGGGAATATTTAAAGCAGAGAAACAACAACAACCAGCCATCTCTGGAAAATTCAGTTACTTTTTGACGTCGATGCCTTGCAAACGTTCCGTCACGGCAACAATATCGCGAATCTTAGCGATGCTAGCCGCTTTGGCGGGATCCTTAAAGTTCACACGAATGGCCAGCGCTTGTTGATACGCATCATCCAGTGTACCAATCAAGGCTTCATCCTCGCTGGCCACGCGGATTCCCGGCTTATGCTGGACCACCAACAACGCCGCAAGAGCTGCCGTGAAAGTATTCAAGGAGGGAACGAGCAGAGGACCACCGACAACGTCCATATTCCTGCAAGTCCATTTCCATCAGCAGTACTCTAATCGTGGTCAGTGCAATGCAATGATGCGGGACACTAACATCATCAGTCAAAAACATTTCAAAAGTTTGTTTGTAAGTGCGCAAACCAAAATATTTACCACTTTTAATGTTCATCGTTCAGGTGTCTATGGAGTATGGACCACGCTGACCGGGGAACAGCTTGTCGTATTTAAAAAAAAGTTCTATACATGTGCATAAAATCGAATCAATACTGTGTGAAAAAAAATATTAATTTCACTTTGCGTTTACGAAACGTGGTTCCGTTACTTCCGTATGTATGATCATCCGCCAATGAAACGCCAAATTATAATAAGCGACAATAACTGCTGCCTTTGGACTACGTTTCACCCCGACAACCCTTAGGACATTCACCAACAAAATTTGTATAAAAAGTAAAACACTTTATACCGGCAAACATACTCTTTCTGTCCGACAGGAGGGAACAATGGTATAGCCGCATTACAAAGACGACTGCACAGTGGACAGCGGAATTCATTCTTTGTAACATCAAAACTTCCCGCATTGGTCCGCAGTCGAATGGATCGCCGGCGTTCTCGAGCAACGACAGATTCGAAATACCTAAATGAAGAAACCAATGCCGATCCGCCTGTCAGCCGCAAACATGACCCAAGTTTGACTGCTTACGTTTTCCAGCATTTGGCATGGAGCAGATGCCCGCAACTGCTGACATGCGGCGCACAGGGCATCGTATCCGGCATGAACAGCGGATTTCCCATTAATTCTGCGAGAAAGCCCAAATTCATCCAGCTGATTTTTACACCGGCAAGAAAACTCAGGCCGCGCAGAAAACAACAACAACAACAACGTCATACTTTGGCAGAGATCTTTCACAGTGACAGCGGGCATATCCATAAATTCGTCCATAAGATGCTTCCTGTCAGCCTGCGAGAGGACCGTGGATCGCTGCACATATGCCACCGCCACGAATGCATCGGCAGTCAAGTTGACGACATGCGACTCCGAACACAGAATGCATGTTAACTTTTCTTCCAAATCCAGATCAGCGCGCTGTACATTACGCTCGGCTCCCAGCACCAGCAACGACTCCACTGGAGCAGCTCTGCAAGCGTTTAAAATGTTGCAATATCATCTTCTCATCTTTCCCATTTCCCAATAAGGAAAACATAAAACCAACCCGGAAACTGGAAATTATGAAGAATGTCCAATGAAAAATACTCGCCAAGTGGGTGTTTCATCTTGTGAGGTTAAAAATTATTCATAATGTTATGCTTTCATCCAAAACATTGATCAAAGAGATAGACGTTTTCCAAAGTTATGCGTATTTACGTTTTCTTTATGAATTATTTCAGATAGACAAGATTTCAAAAACATTTTCTGATACCATAAAGCATTCAATTTAAATTTTTCGCACCGCAAGAATCTTTGCGCTGAATTAACTAACCAGAAGAACAACGTTTCCGTATTCCGTATCGCATTTGCCATTACCCAACCTTGACGCAAAGTTTGCGTCGCAAACCAACAATTTACTCACCACAGCAGGCGTTGCAGGATATATTCTGCCGCAGACTTAATTGTTGCCAATAAAAACTGTACTGCACATGCCCGGCATTTATTGGCTTACGTGGGTGTTACTGCTGCCTTAGCCGAATGATCGTCGGGGAGAGCGATTTCTTGCAGTTCCCCCACATTCTGAATGGCAAAACTGCTCTGGGCCTGTTTCATCTGTTGCATTATACGATCCCGTCGGGCAGCAGCACGTCGACGGCGTTCTTCGATATCGTCACTAGCAGCTGGTTCAGGTGTAGTGCTGACCACGTTCTCCGCCACATCCATTGGTTCCGCTGGTTTATCCTCTTCAACTTTGGTCAATGTCTCATAAAACTGCAAACGCAAAATTTTGATAACCACAATTCTGGAACGTAAAAAAAACTACAGAAGTACCAAAAATTTACTGACTCTTGATATTGTTATCGCGTCAATGGAAATAAACTTTTCATATATTAAAAATCGATCGTTCTCGTATGGGTTTAACAGAGCACAAAACCACAGGTAAAAATTAAACACAACAAGCGGGGAAGAATAGATCAAATTAAGGTGACCATTTTACAGGAAACAAACTTAGCAAAGTACGCCAGTTTCCAGTACCATGAACGCGTCTTGCGCAAACCATACCTGAAGAATCCATTCAATTAACGCGCGATAGGCTTCCGATTCCTTTTGGTTACGAAGCTCGCGTAGGGTTGCAAAAATACCAACTAAAAATCCAGCCATAAACAGCATCAAAACCGCTTATATAAAAACCTGTTCAATTAAATGTCAGTTTACCATCAACGGCTTTGTCCATAAATTTATAATCAGTTTTTTGTTGATCACGAGCACGTTTCTCCTCATGAAGAGCATATCCAATCAAAAAGAGAACCTGTTCATAAAAGGCACCAGCGTAAAAAAATAGGTTTCAATAAAGAAGGCAAATCTTCAATATCAAATAAAAAGTAAACAGGCACAGAATTTTTCGCTAATTATTATTTTGCAAATCTTAGTTCAACAAAGCCTGTCCGCCCAGTACTTTTCCTAGGTTGCAACCCATTAAAAATATTTCTGTCTCTGTAAAGTACGAGTGTAATCCTTCTAGAGACTTGGATGACCAAAAAGCTGTACAGTGAAAATTTTAAAGCTAGCATATTCAATTGCTGTAGCTTATCTCGGATCCGAGTATTATACAAGAGGGAGGGACAACAGCCAATCCACATATCGGTATGCTTCAGCAGGTTTACACTAATTAAAATGATTAAATTTTAAACATTGAAAAAACACCCATAATCATTATTGTCATTCAAAATCTTATGATGTGCACTCAAGGTACCCAAAACAGCTGCTGCGTTTCCTCTTACTACAGCCAAACTTAATCGCTGTCTTAAAAAGGCCGTGGATCTAGGCTCTCCTGTAGGGAGGGACTATACAAAAGCCAATAGTCTACGAAACACCTCTTGACATTTCATTAAATTTGCGCACCCGAACAAGCTGTCCTTCAGAAAAGGAGCGCGGATGATGGCTGAGTGCACGTCGTAGCGTTAAATTCATCAAATGGATAAAAACATCGCAATCCATAACGTGAATAACGTTCCGGAACGCATCAGTGAACTCGGGAGGGCATGGGGGAGGAAACACTGGAAGCACAGGAAAACACAATATTAATATTAGCATCATCGTAGATAGCACACAGTATTCCGTCCAAGCAACTATTCAGCAACAAATCAAACCATAAATCGTACAAAACCGTGCATTTAGAGAAATTCTCACCTGGTTCTTCCCCGTCTTTCTTTTTCCGCTTGCGCTGAGTATCTTCCGCCTACAAAGTCAATACTAACGTTCTATCCCGTTAACGAAAGTAACAAGTCGGGTAATTCGAGTTTCAGTGAGCCAGATCAGACTTCCTCAATCAGCCACGAACCTTCGAGTGTTCGATACGAGAATAATGATAGAAGAACATATTATAATGGGAGGTGAATTCGGGTTTAAGTTCGAAGTATCCTTTGCTGGCCGCCGAAGGTCGCCTGTGAAAACAACAATAATTAATAAAACGAACTGTACTGACTATGCAATAAACGTGTCAGGCTACGTACTTGAAAACCGCCACATCGCGAACAACGTCGTCCAGCGTCGACGCTTTGGCTTCCTATCAAACTCAAATTACATCCATATCACAACAGCGGATGCATAAGCCGTACACACCTGCTCAGGAAGATTCTTAACCAGCTCACTGTATGACATGTTCTGGATGCTCAGCTGATGAATAATTTCATTCTTCAAACAGTCATCCTCCGTGACCTTGCCCAAACCCGGATAATACCGCTCCCCGATAAACACCATTAAACAATAGAAGAATTCTTCGGCCAAGTACAATGTTTGTCGAATAGAATCGTCGCCATCAGTGCGCAATGGCGTAGCGTCGAATGTTTCACTGCAAAAGAAACACCACTAGAAAAAAAAGGTTTCCCAGTGGAAAACAGCCAGCGTACTCAGCCCAGTGAACCAAGCCGAATTTGTTAATGATATTGATGAGGAATTCATCCGCCTTCATTACCGCCGCACATGCCTACAAACAGAAATTGCAAATCCACAATCACGATTTTTTTTCAATAAAGGTCATGGCTGGCACAAGAACCTGAATCAACACTGAAGTAAATAAAGCTGCACAATAATCAAGCAGGTTATAATTAAGGTTTAAACCACACCGCCAGAACCGGCTGGCTCCAGAAAATTTAAAGCTCCCAATGTTACTGACATTAATGCAGATTTAAATCGATTCTTGCCACTGCATAAAAAATGTAACATCAGATTACAAACCGCAAGTGCCGTACCTGCATCATCAAAACGTCCTTGTCCAGCATCTGAAAAAATATTCCCCAATCGCGATGAGCAGGCTACTGTAATGAAACAAGTACTGCCAGTTTCAATAAATAAATACCTCTTCTCGACACCTTGGCTGCTGGTAGAAAAATATCTGCAATATAAAGAAAAACTTTGTCAGAAACCCATGTCCATATATCCAATAAAACCACGGCAAATAACTGACTGACCGACTTTCCGAAAATTACCGTTACATTGCACTACGACACTACTCTTAACCATTGAATATTTACAGGAAAACCTTCGTCATAAAAAAATTCAAAAACTACTCCAAAGGGAATTTACGTTACCTGGTTAGCCAAAGCATATCCGTTGCGCCGCCACATTCCTGCACTAGCTTGTGCGACTAAGACTAACGTCCGTAGCGGAAATTCCATAAGTTCCCTGGCGTAAGAGTTCACGCAGTCGCCCAGCGCTTGCCGTGTGTTGAAGGGCTGCACCGTTAAAGAGCGCGACAATCCGCTTGTGACAAGGCCTGCAATTTTGCGCACGGTAAACATCCTCAAACAACAATTTTTAATAGCCAAGTGACTATTAAAAATTGTCAAGTTCGGGCTACAGAACTGTGACTGAAACCTTCAAAAGCACATTATCAAAAGTCTGAGATAAATTTGTATGCCAATTAGGCAGAGTGAAACAAGTTGTTTTTTTTCTGAAGTACATGATTGAAGTATCAATAAAACGTTTTACCTGCTAGCATCCGAACTACCGGATGATGAATGGATATGGCTTGTGATCCAACATCGTACTCAATGCATTCACAAATAACGCCCGCCACTGACAATCAAAATGCTGTCAGAAAACGAAGAAGCACGACAGTAAGGCAGAAAAGAACCGGCAACTCACCTTCCTTTTTCTCCCACTTTTCCACTGCACTCAAAGCATCGATAGCTGCTACGGTTAATTTCTCGATACACGTGGCCAGAACTTTGTCCTAAAGCAATCGTAAACGCTATTATCAGGAAGTCATTTCGGCAGGTATTTCTGCTAGTAAATTGATGAGCGGCCAAAACGTAATTAACATAAAACCGTAGTGCAACCGTTACAATAAACAAATTATTCTACTTCAGTTGTTCTAGCAGTAAGAAATAACACTCGCACAACTGATCAGTGTTTTTAACAAATAAACATCGCTGCACTTGAACCAAACTTAGTTTGCTAAAACACTGTGTCTGTGATGAATTTCGAAGCACCGATTTTAAAGGTTTGAACGTCATTCAAGTTTCTGTAAACACCTTCAACAAGCGGGCCTTTTGGTGAAAAATAAAAAAATACTCTTACATCCGAAGCACACCAGCTCTGCAACATGTCGATCAACGGGCCCATTCTCAACTGGACATTAAAGGCCGGTTCCCAATCGGTTTCATACTCAATATGGGACTGCGTGCGTCTGGTATGGAAGTCCATTCCCTTGAGAAATAACGCCAACTCATAAGCAAGAAGTCTATGGAATAAACAGGTCTGCTGACCTCCATCATAATCATAATCTGCAGAAACTGTTCAAATGCGCCGATAAATCCCTTTCGCAAACCGGGTGTCCATAAGTCTGGGGTGGGTACGGTATTCAGCAGGTACCTGTCACAAATCGAAAGAAAGTGAATATTTACTCCCCAACAATTGACGCCTGGTTCGCCCTTCGATTTAACAAACAGGAAACAAAAGCCAAGGGAACATGCCCAACCTAACTTCACACAAGCCCAGTACGTACAGGCTTTAACGAGAGTGTAACTGGTACTGGCTGAAGCAATTACGCAAACTGTAGGATAACGGCGACCAGCCGCCGCAATTGACTCAGATTCGCAACATAGCACCATGTAAAAACTAACTTTCGCTAATCTAACAGTACTTACTTACTATGTGTGTTCGTTAAGAATTTTGTTAATTTATTCTTTTTTTAATATTTCAGTGTATTTACTTTACGCTAATACTTTAAAAGTCTACAGCGTTACAGCTCGTAACTAATAATCCTTTTTACAAGTTTGTAACAGCTCTTATCCTCTTAATCTTATTCATATTAAAAACTTACCGTGTATCATACAAAGTGTACAATGCTCTTTTGAACTGCGTGGAGTTTCCGGGCTGTGTTGTGCGATCGAAAGACAGCCGCCCCAGATCTGTCAAAAAACCAGAGCAACCGCATTATGATAATAGCAGCTCCCCCAACATTATCGGCACTCCTTTACCATTTCGCCGACTTTGGCATATCAAAACAAAACTCTTGATAATCACTTCCACTAATTTATCCGCAAAGAGTGTGCGTGCCTATCGATCAACATGGCAACACATTTCAGTCCCTTTCAAGACGGTAACGACAACTTGAACTGATAAACCATACCACGCTGGGAACGGTAAAGAGCTGCACAGAGAGGCTTGTACATGAATCTGAATGCTCATGGTCGTCGCTTATGAAGGCGGTCATCAGTTGAGGATAGAGCTGCAGCAAAGAAAACTTGGTACAAATCGAAAGATCACACTCCTAAAAATTATCAGAAAAGCCCTTACGCGAGCAAATAATCGGGAGAATTCAATTTTGGCATCGTTGAAAGTTAAAAACCTGCAACAGGGGAGACGCACCTTAGGATTAAATGTTCACGGAAAAAAAGCATATACTTACGTTGCCATGAACAGTGCGTGGCAAGCACCACGAGCAGCTAAAAACCAACAAAACAAATTGGTTAAATGGTTAAACACAACACAACCGTAATCAGTAAAAAAAAGTCCCGACAGTAACACACTGCCAGCAAAATGAAAAACAAGCGGAATATGCCGGTATCACCGTCCAATAATATCGTAATGAGTTTTCCCTTTTATCATGGTGTTACTATTCACCGTAACACAACGTCTGAAGTGAACGATCTAAAAATTACCATTATAATTCTAGTCTATCGCCCGAAAAGCATACCTTTCCAAAGGCGAACATCTTTAAGTAGAAGAGCGGAAACAAGAGGCATTTCACCGGTAATCGGTACCGCTTGTAAACAAGCTTCGCATATCAGCGCCTTGAATCCTTCTGTGGTGGAAAGCAAATTTAACGATTAAAATGAAAACGATTCGACTGGTGTCGCAAATAGTGATTTACGCAATCCTTTACGTACTTATTAGCAAAATCCCTGAATGAATTACTGATTAAACATAACATAACATTAAGTACTAGTATGCAAGAAACCATGGTAAATAACCTGACTAAAATAAAACATGTGATGTTTCAGCAATGTACTGGCAGATTTTCAATACTTCAGCTAAAAAATCTACGAAAATGCGCCTCCGGTCATGGCAGTAAAAGTTTAAACTCAAAACCAAATCCACGATTTTAAAATTTGTTGGCGTACCGCATGAGTCGGCCAGTTTTTGTATCCAGTTCATCACTTTTAAAGCAAAGACCTGATGGGCGTACATCAGCGTGGGAATTATATCCACACGTAACGGTTGCGGACGCCTCGAATTTCGCTACAAAATAAACATTATTGTATCTATTTGTTGGAGTCTCAAGCAACTGCAGTTGTTTCGCTTTTCGTCACATACTTCGATAAAATTTTTAACGCGCTCGCAATCGGCGTAAGATCCAAATTTGACAGGGCTCCGGCCCTCGTGATCGACGACGGTTGCGTATTCGAGAGCCTCCTCGTGATTACATTCCAGTGTTCTGCATAATGTGCTTATCACCTGCAAAGGGACGGCCAAAATCATGAGCATGCTGCAAGTTGTCTAAAGAGTTCAAAAAGATGCTTATTCGTTTAATTAACAAAATACAATAAAGCCAAACTGAAAAACTAAAAATTCGTGATATTCGCGCATGAGAGCATTAGACTAATCGATTTTTTTTCAACTGTGCAACATCAGCACATCTAAACAAAGCGGCAGAATCGCCCAAATGGAAAAATAACAAAATAATTTTACACAGCAGAATTTCAGCGGTGTCGTATGGGAAGACTAGAAGTAGCAGCAATTATCCACAAAGTCACGATACTACGATAACATCGAAAAATTAATCTCTCAGTAAACCTGCATCTACAGATAGTTAACGGTAAACAACGCGTCCATGTACGGGTATCGGTCCTTTCACAAAACACCTCCAATACTTTGAAATGGTTCTAAATAATTTTCATTCATACCTGTTCGTACGTATGAGTCTCATCATTGTAGAGCACAGTGGCAAACTCGTATCCTTCCTCTTCCTCACTTTTCGCCCTGTAAAACGCCCACCTAGATATTACGGCGTCGTTACAGAAACACAGTTTCTTGTCTGACCTTTTCGGGGACAACAGATCATCAGAAAGGCCTTCGCCATCCCGTAGACATAACAACTGGTAGGCATAGGACAGAGCACAGGGAATCACAGCGTGACACCGGCGCACAATGTCCCGGGGCAGACGCTTCTTGGCGTCGTCCACGTCGATGCTGGGGGGTCCCGCGCCATCCGGTGGCTCATGCTGGGAGCACGCGCAGTCCTTCTTCCAGGCTTCCGGATCGCCGCAGTCGCAGTAGCCGCCCCCGGATGAGCTGCTGATCTGTGGAAAGCAGTGCGTAATGGGATTTCGATGTACTGCTTAATCGCTCAAGCATAAAAACGAAAAACGTGTCATACTCAACTATGGAAACAAGATTTTCACCTACATTCATTTATAAACAACACGGCTACAAAACCAAATTTATGCACCGGTGCTTGACTCATCTATGATCGAAATTCTCCCGCCACAGTAAAATATAAAACAACGGTTCGAATTACCTGACTTCATCTCAATTTTTTTAGTACCTTGTATCTGTGATTTTTGTGGGTGCTCTGCTTGAAGCATTCTATGCATAATACACATGTTGCATCCACTGCACAGTCTCTGAAATGCATAAATCATTTTTAAACCAGAGAATTAGCATCATTAATGGTAATGGAATGCGGCATCTCAATTTTCAACATAGAAAATAATAAACCCAATCCTCGATGCAATCCGGAAAAAACTCAGGCATTACAGACTTCTTCCAAAAACGAGTACCGATAACTACTAAAATACCCAAAAAAAGTTTATCGCCTACCGGCACGAATACGTCGGTTCACCAGCACGAAAGGATCGATTGCAGAGGAACGTGGGGATATCGTTCTTCTTAAGCGCGTCAAACTTATTATCCACTTCCAAGGTGCCCATGATGAAGGCTTCGAGGGGTTCCAGCAGCAGAGCGCTCAGCTGATCATCGTCGTACTGCAACTTGATGGGCTGCGGTCCGGGTGTTATTAGCGACGGTACGTGTGCTGCCCAGTGCGCGCGGATCTTCTCTTCCAGTTTATCCTCCTCGTAGGCCTTTTGGATAGCCTACAGCAACCATAACAATTACCAAGAGGAAAACATATTCCCTTCCCGGTGTTTGCATGACAAAGCTGTACGTCCAAACTGACAACACAAATTGTTGTCATTTGAAATTAATTTCTTAACCATAATTATTGTGGTCAACAAATTTTAAAAAAATGTGTAGGCCTTCGCACCTTTAGTCTGCCTATGAAAATTTCGAAAACTGCATACTTCTATAGCCAGAGTGTCACACTACAGAGTACAGCAGAAATCAGGCAGATGATCTGCGTCACTGTTCTACAATCACTCTCAATCTTTCACTCTTAATCAATGTTCTGTGTACTTAAACATTTTCTTTTTCACGCAAACTGCATCTTTTTGGTAAGAAGGTGGATTCAGCAGCAATTACATGTCGTAAGACTCGTAACCAAAATTGAATACTAATTTTCATAATGATGCAATCGCAACGAAAGGCAAAAACACTCCCTACATAAACGATAAATCCGCAGAAAACTACAAAAAAGCTACAAAACTAATCTGCACAAGTAATGACTAATGAAAACTGAAAACAGCGAGGAAATGACGTACAAACCGTAACAAACAATATATATTTCTTTTCGAAGGTTCATTATTTTGCACGAATTTTACCTTTACGAAACTGAAAGCTAATCAGAAATTTCTCAAAATATTTAGCTACCAAAATCAGCTGTCACCAATGATTTAAGAAAAATGTTTGAACTTAATTAAATTAATTCCAATTACGAATTTCTGACAAAATTTTTTCACTCCACAGATCTGAAATTCCTCTTTTCCCCTAAACTGAAAGAAGGCAAGGCTCCTCCAACGATGTCTGATTAGAGTAGTCACAATGGCCAGGAAATTCTTACCTGTAATAAACTTGCTCTCGCTTTGGCATCCATGACAGCCGTGGGCGATGAAGGCTGATGAATGGGTTGATGGCAGAATGGTAGTCACAGGGAGCCTCACAGTCACAAGTCCCTCACTGGGAAATTTCCTAGCGAACCCCCAGATCCCTCACAATTGCCCAGGGACGACAGGCTTTCATCCAGAGGTACAGCCGAAACAATGAAACGATGAAGTCAATTCTGAAAATAACTGTCACGAACAAATCAAACCCAGATTAAAAGTGCAGCATAATTATCCATAATGGATTACTGCACAGATAAATCAAAATGAATTATGAATTCATCATTTTAATTCCAATTTACACTGAACAGTAATGTGTACTGAACTCCATTCAAACACAGGAAATTCTACAGAGTATGTATACTACAGTAAGTGACTCTTGGTTATGTCGGCCATCGGGCCGCAGTTACCTTCGTTTCGCTGGCGGAGCACCGGAAGTAGGATTAGGTACAGATAAAATGCGTACTGTATCTCTTTGTAAGTCGTTTAATTTTCATTGCTCTTTTTTCAGACTAGTATTTATTGCTACTACTACCGACAAAGCATAATAGAAACAATTAACATACTACCGCAGTACAGGAAATCACTAAAAACAGATACAAGCGGTCTGAGAACAGCTGATCCAGAGTTACTTCCGGTTGAGCCGTTCACTATAATATGGAGCGAAGGCTGCGCTTCCACCCTGGACTTTTACGCTGAACAGTATACTCCTACCGCTAGCGTGATTATGTATGAAGTAAAAATTCAAACTGTCAATTTTTTTAACACTCAAAACTCAAAAGTGGTCGATTTCGTGAACAGTGCCCTTTATCCTATCGACCCAACTGTACAGCTGCATGCAGTATTGCAGAATTTCTAAGGCTTTTCAGTGAAACAGCTTTTTCGGAATCAAATCATAATTTTTAAAAATAGTCAAAAGTGCTGAAGAGCGGATGTGCGGTGGTTGATCTGAGTAAATCTGCTTAATCATGCAAGGTCGGATGCGCAGTTACTGTAACAATCCCGACAGGTTCACTTTACACTGCAATACCATTAATTTGAATTCATTATGTATCTGTAAAAGGTGGTATTTTTATCAGCAAAGGAGAGACAACATTTAGGGAGAGCCAGAGGGATCGGGAATTAATTTAAATTGCGTTAGCGTAGCATACATGCGAGATCGTATTCTGACCTGCTGACAAAGAACTGACGTCAACCGACAACGATTTTCTCGGTAGGGTCAAACCGTGGCATATTTATGTGGAATATCAGAGAAGAAGCCATCATAACAATTATAATGTACTGTACTCGTGCGCCCTAACGGCAACGTACATAATGATAATAGTAATACCCATCTATAGCTATCGATTTAAACTTGCAGTGATTTCTATTTAAACTTAGACGCTCATTACGTTATAATATATGGCAAAGCTGCATAATTAAGTATATTTTGCTAGATGGCTAATGCACAATATTGATACAGTGGACGTCACTAATGTGGTTACACTGGAATAATAGTGACTGGATCACTGATAGGCGATAGCGCTATGCATACGTATGCATAGCGCTATCGGCTAACGGTGTAACCGCATTACTAGTGGCGTCCATTGTACAAGTACGTAACATTTTGCTTGACTAGAAGTATGTATCTATTGTGCTTCAAATTGAATTGGACACGAAGACAAAAAATTTTTACCATGCAAATTGGTGATCAGGAATCGCCGTACGATTCTCCTGCACATCCTACAAGACAATATCGGTCGAACGGAAGTGATTCAGAAGGTGCAGCAGTCACACGTGCGATCCGCTACGTCGTAATTATCGCTGCCACCACTTGCACCACCCGCGTAGATCACGCCCCACCGTTTATTTGTCCGTCTAATTAATTTATGTTCTGGCTGCAGGTAACGCACCGGAAGCCCGACGGAAGAATAAATATAATATGTGCTATTTATGATCCTGATGTGGAGGCGAGAAATATTATACGTTTACTGGAAGCGACACTTCCATAAATACTCGGGTCATTACGGACTATAAGTTATAACCGCTCACAGTGAGGCCGACTGCAGTACATATATATAACGTGGATTGCGTACAGTACTTGCATACACATCTTACAAGTCCAATTCCATGGTGTTTTTCTATGGACTGCTGATTTGCTGTTACAATTAGCTGCAGCGATTGTTTGGTTGACAACCCCGACCAGATTCTAATAAGACGAGTTAATTTATGGTTTATAGTTTAATTATCGGTTACTTTTCATTTAATTTAACGTCTTCGTTGCACTCCGTTGACCTTATACAATATACATCATAGGCCTTGATAAACCGAGAATATTGGTTGTGCGCGTTGCCACTAAAATGCTGTTGATAAAGAGTGACCTTTTCTTAATCAGCGTTTATTCGGCGATTGTCTGTTTGGTTCGCGTGCATCCACTGCAAATGCGATGCAAATATACGAGCTTCCAAGGCTGCAACTGGCTGAAATTCGACAAATTCCCCATGCAGGCGGCACTGCGCCAGCAAAGCATATGCTGCGCGGGAAGAGGTATGTCCACACTATACAGCGCGGTTAAACAGATATTCTGCTTGAAAGTGTGGTTAGGATATCTCAGAACCACACTTTTGACCTCTTATTTTTAGCATATTAAAGAATGCGCAGTTTCTGTCATTTGCTTCCCATTATATATTCATTCCTTTTTTCTTGAGAGCGGGCCACACGTGCACGCCGGTGACGTATTCAATATTAACTGAAATACCCGGGGTTGGAGAAAAGGTCACAATGTCATTATGTTACATTTCCGCACTTCCTCTCATGGCAGCACTTGCAGGCAGGGGACTGGTACAGATAGTGGCAGTTGTGTTCTAAAATGCCCATGCCAGGCACATTTGTAGTTGAGAAAATTGCAAAATTATTTGTCGTCCGGTTGTTAATTACTTAATCATAAAATCCTATAACGTAAAAATTGACAAATTGAAGATTTGTAACAATCGAGTATACATATCGATAGGTTATACGATAAGATATTATTATGTCATACACGGTCGCATATACAGCCGCAGGGATTTCTGCAACTATAGTAAGTATAGGATAATGGTAAGTAAGAACAAAGGCGGAGCTCGCTGACCGTTCGTCGCTATTTTTATAAATTTACAGTGCGTACAATCATCGTATTACACCGATTGAGTACTGGAAATTCATTTGAAACCGATGAGCCAAGATATGTAGTTTGTTTCGCAGATCAGGTGAACCGCGTTAGCGCAGCGATCAGCGCACCCGGAAGAGACAGCCAGATCATGCCGCCACCGTTGCCCTTCTTCGACGCACTGGTCATGAGCGTCTTGAGGAGCGAATATCCACCGGCAAATCCCGATCCTCTGGCCTACGCGCTGCGACCACGACCCGTCTACTATGCCGCCACCAGTCAAAAGTCCAAGCTGAGCGGTCCGCGAGTGGGCCGCAAAAGATAGGAAGAAAGGTCTTTTTGTCACTGGGGCTGGTCATGTGGGAGCGCCTAGCTGCGAGCAGCACGCAGTGCCACGCACTGATATCGGTGTAATTGAATTGTACAGCGAACTGCATAGCTGCCGGCGCAACGTTATGCAACTTCCGCTTTGTATGTAACCGAGATGCCACTGCTATGGTAACATAAGCGGGGAAAGATTTGTATTCTATTAAAGAAATTTGTATCTGTTCTGCTGTTATAGTTTTAAGTTGTGCGCATATTGTACAATATCATCTTGCCGAATAAGCAGGCACAATAGCCGACAATTAACTAGCTACCGTTCTACAAAAAAAGATTTAGAATTTCATGCTGTTAGTCCGCTACCGTGACCTGACAAAAAATAAAAACAGTTATACAACAATTATATATACTTAATACTAGGCTACTAGCTGTACCATGTATCGCATCAAAGTACATATGTTAATTAGGTTTTGAATCTTATACAAACGTAAACGGTAACATATCCATGCTGTCGAGTTATCTGCTTGCACTCTGTATAGAGTTTTGGGTTATTTTGCCACAATTCAACCCAGAAAAAAATATTAAGAACTATTATTATGTACATATACAGTAGATAATTCGTTAAATATTTATTCCCAAATTAATGAGAAAGAGGGTACGTTCAGCGTTCCAATACAAGAATCATATAATAAACCGCTGAATATACTAAAACGGATAATCAGTATATCAAACATCACAAAAAATCATCTCAAAACGAGTTATTTACCCGATGCGGGTGCAACATTAGACATTTGGTACTTATTACAGTTCGGTTTTGAGTTTACCGTGCATTCTACAAATGTAACAAGTAAGAACTGAAGAAGTGTTAATGTACACAACACATGTGTGTTACATTCAACAGGTAATCAGTGTGACGTGTCTTCTAATTAGAAAAATCTCTTGAATATAACAACCCGGAAAACAAATTGTGCAGATTCAGGTTGCTTCGAGAGAGAGTGTCCACATTTCACGTCATCGTATCACCGTCGGCGCCGCTTTCCAGGTGCTGCAGCAAAATACCACTTATTAATTGTTTATGTACCTACTACCTACGTGTTTTGTTCCTAGTGGAAGTTAAAATCAGAAAACGCTACAATACGTTTTAGTTAAAATCAGAAAACGCTACACTACAATACGTACATGAAAACGAAAACTCTCAGTCGCTCCATAAGGCGATTTACTCTGCATGTGTAGTATAAAATTACACAAAACTGAAATTTTCAAGTAAAGTTGCCCCAGCCGTAGATGCTACAAAAGCCGCTGCTATTGCTGTTCAAATTATAATACTCGTAACCCAGAATTTTAAATTTAGCAAATCTGTAGTTTTATGATCGAGGAGGGTCCATATTATATACAATAAGGATGTGTTTTTTCATATAAAAAGGTCGATTCTAACCATAAGGTGAGTTGGCGGAATCCCAGGCTGTTGATAAGCGGCCAATTATTCCGCCATGACGATAGCGATTGATGCCGAAACCCAGCGCTTTCAGGTCATAACCCTCATCCACGGTCTTCCTGTAAAAATATACGTAGCGTTTAAGCAGTAAGCGCCAGTGTTATCTTTTGTGTGAACTCGTATACGTATGTACAGTACTCGTATGAGTCGTATCTATGCTAGCCCAAAAATATTATGCCATCTTATGTAAATAATCGTACCAGCCGGTGCTCTACATAATACGTAAACGGTTTTTTGGTGCAATATACTTTGTATATTATTATAGTAGCAAGAACTTACTATAGGTAGATACAAGAGTCATCTTCGGCTTCGCCTCAGATGCTCTTGTGATCTACAGTCAGTTCCTTGAAAACTAATTCTTGTTCATTTATTTTTGAAGCCTGATTTGCGTGTTATATGTTTTTACAGTGTATGATCAGGCGCTGTTCGTAGCTTCAGTTAGCTTGCTCTAATCAGGAAATAGCATTATATAGCTGATCGGTTCATTCTATGTGAAACAAAATAGTTAGTAGCACGACTAATAGTCGGAGAGCGGTCAGCGGTGCCAAGTTTCTAATAATTCTGCTTCGCTACTTTTTAATAACTGGTACGTGGAAACCAATTGTGATCGAGGACACGTGGAAACCAATTTTGATCCTTTGTTCAGTAATCAGTAGGCTTGGTCGGCAGATAATTTTTTTTATAATTCCATTCATTCAGTCGGCAGCAAGGAGTGTGTAGTGATAACGAGCAACAGAGATCACGTTGTCCTAGCCACCAAACATTAGTAACAGCAATAGCGGGTCCTGTAATTTCCGTTTACGCCGCAGCCCTGATTAGTGATACCTAAACACTGGTATGACCTGTGGGTTGTCTTTCTGAATTTCGATTGTTTCTGACAGATTTTAAGAATGTAATGGCGTTTGCATTTACACGGGATGTCGTTCTACCCGGCACTCGTTAGTTAACATTTTTTGTTATTGGCAATAGCCACTAACAAAATAAAAACTAGCCCTCGCGGTTACACTGTTTGTGGTAAAGGGTGGTAAGGCCGGTGGTAAATTGAGGATCTCGGACCATGGCCACCGTTCCCTTTATTTAGTAAGATTGATAGACATGCCAGCTTTTGCACAGTTCTGTTCGGCTGACAGCCGGATTACCGGATTAGCGTTGTGCTGGACAATGATAACGGTTCTGCTCTTATCTGGTCTAAGCCACTAACACTAAGATAATATTCCTTCCCTGAAACTAGAGCTTCCGTTCACTCTACCGGCCTGATCGACGGTCAGTATGTTTCCTGTAACTCGGTAGGTCTGGTTAGTGGATAGTGTAACCTTTGTGCGGTTCTGTTCATTCGACAGCTCAAGAACTTTGTTAGCATCGAACAGTGGGTGCTGGGCAAGGGTTCCGTTGGGTTCCGTTCACATATGCCGGTCTGGTCAGTGAGTTTTTCATTGCATAGGAAAATTCACGGTCAGTAAACTTTCGCTTGCAAACTATGCTGAGACACTGCCTGTTTTCTCACTACCACGACGAAGTGCGATTTCGCCTTCTACCTAATATGTAAAGGAAGTTAAGGACTATGCAGGTAATTAGGAATACGTTCGCAAACTTTCGCTTTCGCATCCTCAAACACTTTTTTGGTTTCATACCTTTCATAATGATCATCCTATAGCCAAAGGATTTGTACTTTATACATCGGTGTGGAAATTGTTTATGAGATATTAGGAGAATAAAATTTTAAAATGTTTAAATGCATTCACCTGGCATTCATGCAAAAGCCTCATTGTGAATCGATATCTTATCTTATCCCAAATTTTCATGTAAACGCGTGAGCATACCGCAGTATGAGTACTGAGATCGTTTTCACCGAACCAAACAACTTTTTTGGTATTTAAGCTAATTTTAAATTTTATGTTTATTGTAGATCTAAGTGTTTTGTGATGCACAGAGAACAATGTATAAGAACGCAGAAAAGCTAAAAAGGTCCAGCGCGAAAGCGCTTTCCGGCTCCGAAAACCAAAAGAAAATTTCTTCGCTTTAGTGCATTTTGTTGAAACGCGACAAACTTGAAAAATTTTTCGAAGTTTATTTAAACAAATTACAGCTTTTTTTATTCTACTACATACTCTGCATTTGAATATTAGCTGCTCCACGCAACAGTGTTTTTTGTAAAAGGTCTTTCAAGGTCACCTTGAACTGATGCCTGTACCGGTACCGGCATCCGAGCGATGGTCCAGGGCAGATATTTTTGAAAACAAAATGCATGTGGGACCCTTTTGGAACATGCTGAGTTTGATGGTGAAATCGGTTTTTTAATTTGCTTAGCGGTTTTTTCTAGCCAAGTTCCACGGGGCGGCCGATCATAATATAGATCTATTTCCTTGATAGTAAGTACACTACACTATAGTAAGTACTTGATAGTAGTTACTGTAGGGTAGAGCCAGAAACGGATCTGGGCATTTCATGTTTTTGTTTAGTTCAATTGCTATACATCAGCTTTGACATACAATACAATATCAGTATTCCATTAAAAATTATTTACTATGTTTAAACTTAAGGTGCATTTGGAGATTTCAGCATAGTTGTCAAATCGCCACAAAAACGTTGCGTGTTTGCGTTGCAGTTTTCTGTTACAGTTTGGCTATGAAAGAAATAATTGTACATATCGCCGTTCGTCACTCATATGCCGTCAAATGCAGATTCTATTTGTTTTATTTGTGTACGCGTGCAGTAAGATTAATTATGCACATATTTGCATGATTATTGAACTTACCCCACCTTCGAATGCATATGATCCTTTCCGCCAACTCGCGTCAGTCGCAGCATGAAATGTTTGGGATGGTGCAATACTCTTTCTGAATCCCTAAAACAACACTCAAAATATAGGAATGATTTTGGTTGACCTCAAGCGCTTGGCTGTAACCATAAAGCGTGGTTAAGGAATTTGTAACGTGTGAGCATTCTGCCCATGTATATCGTTGCAGATTTGTGCAGGAATGTTGAGACCTTATGTCTTCTATAAAGTGACATACAGATACAGTTCACTGTCAATTGTAACTGCAAACACGACATTTCGGTTTTTTTGTAGTATTTGCGAGCTTATTTCATCTTACTGATTTTAGTTGATACTGCATTACATCCAGGAAAGTATTAACTACTAACCCAAAGTTTATTTACGAAACCACATTTTCGTATTTAGGGTATTTAATATTTTCTTATGTGGCGTATCAAATATTCGGTTTCGTGAATACTTTAGACATCCTAATGCTAGAATTATCATATTTACATGCCATATTAAAAAATATTAAAGCGAGAAAAACTGACACTAAGGCCAGATTTTCATTTTTGGAATTATATAACAGCATCATATTCCAAAGACTATATTTTGAATTAATATTTCTAAAAGATTCTGGTACGGTATTGGCCCGACACATAGAAGTCCGAGTCACTACCGGCAAAGCGTACTTACGGTTTCTTTTTGGGATAATAGCGGACGCCGGTCGCAATGGGGAGAAGAGTGCAGATGATCAGCGACGCCACGGCTATCCACGCCACAATTCTATTGTCGATCATTATCAGCGCAGCATCAACAGTAGATCATCGAAATCACGACAAATTATCACCTTCGAATCACTCGGGCGGAAGTGATGGCACGACTTTTTATTGACACAACGACACCGTGCACCACAGCATGGCCAATTACAGACACATGTACACAGCCATAACGGCATAGGTGCGACTGACGCATCCGGCAACAAATCTGGTCCAAACAATTAATCATTAACCACAAGTGTGAGTATGGCGCATTATAAGACAATTGCGCCGTTGTTTCCCGCCGATGTGCTGTCACGATATATATACGCAGCATATACGGCTCACATAATCGATGCGTCACATACAGCGCCGTGTACCAGATAAATAAATCAGCACGCTAATAAATGATTCCACTGTCTTATCGCATAAACAGACAGCGGCTTTAAATGGAGCGTGGCCGGATATTTCGGCGACCAAGTGCGCGGCGGTGTACACTGGAGTAGCACGACAACAAGTGTTGTAACGATCCAGGTAAACGGTGCGATAGTAATGCCAGCGCCAAAAATATCATACAATATTGACACCGTGACGCATTTCGAGTGGGAGATTAGCATACTTTGGGCACGCAAACGCGGACGGTGGTGTGGCCGTTGGTGCGGAAAAGTTACGATTATAAAGGAAACCATGCTGTGGTGATTGTTTTTATACAAGTATTCCTCCGTCGCGGCCAGGAATGGTAAATTGGTAATATGCGCTGTAACATTAACGTTTTCCACCGATACTACGTACGTGACATTCTTGTGGAAAAGTCACCAGGGTCGACGAGATGCTGCGTATTTACACAAGCCGGCGTCGGACGTAGATTGCCCATTGATTAATTACGGCTGTGATTTAGTGATACCGGTAGCTACTCCATATTACAAATTTACAGTATATCTACACATATTGCAGCGTTGAACTGGCCATGTTAGCGGCAATTAGAAAGCATTGACCTTTAACAAGAAAACCTGACGAAACAGCAATGTTAAGTTAGGGCTGCGGACTTGCAATCAGTATTCCAACGCGTTTAATATCTGCGTTTGGTATAAGAATAATAAAATCTATGATCTTCGTGCAAAAACTTAAGTCTAATTAATGGAGTCAAAATGCAGCTGGAATATCCCGGAAAGTTTGCCGCGCAACTTTGCTTAATTATGCCCGTAATTAAACTGCGTTTAGAGTTAAGCTATGTAAATCGTGAAAACCTTCACAGTTAATATGTCGTGTTACCACAAATGCAAACGTGAAGTATTCTCCGTTTCTCCTTAATTTACAGTATTATTAGAATCATTTCGCAGCTCGTGCAAGTTGTTCCGGTTCCGTTCGTTGGGCCACGTACATGTTTTCGTTCCATTACCAACTTGTCACATACTATGGGAATTTTTAGCATTAAAAACAACACCCGGAGCATTGGCATTTACCAGTCAATCCGCGAAAAAGAAGACGCCGACTGTTGTTCACTTTAATATGTGCCTTCCGTGCTGTCCAACGGCCGTCGGCATCCTCCCATGATCGGTTACTGAGACTGGACACTTGGACAGCTAACAAAGTTTATGGCAAGCACGGTCTTAAACTCTTAATTATATAAGTAATCTGCACTGGCCGGAACAACGGATGCAGCGATTATCCAACTGATCTGTGAGCAATAAATACAGGCTTAATCACCTCACAAAACACAAACACAACTGAAAAATTAAAAACAGTTCCTTACAACCCACGACAACAATAAAAACAATCAAAAAAATCTTATACATGATTCATGATAATTGCGTGTAGCGGTGTACAGATAAATCAGCAGAGACACAGACTTGTTTGCTTATCTATTCAAAATTCGATTTTGCGGAAGTTGATGTGGGAAACTTAAAAAAAGGAAACGGTCACAAGTTAAATAGTACAATACGTAGTTCAGGATAGTCGATATTTTCGTAGTAAATGCCAAAGGAAAGAAGCACTAATTACTAGTACCCGTAATTGTTTCGTCATATGCGCGAAAATCTTGCTGGCTGCACTGTACAGTTGCATACCGGGCGGCAGTCTCCCAACGTCCTGATTATGGGCTGCTACCTCTTGCAGACACTTCATCCCGCTGTCCGCCTTTTTCAAAAAAATTCTCTTTAATACCAAAATTACCAATTGTGAAGATCAGCTTTGCAGAGTCCTGATTTGTAGTGATAATATTAAGTAATTATGTTTTTATTTCTTCTCTGCAGTTTTTGTTCTTTTTCTTGGCTTTACACCGCTTGAATTATGTAGATGGCTTATGAATTTGATTCTTTATGAACTGCTTAGGTGGCCATCGTTTGTGAAGGCGAGAGATCGCGGAGGGAACCGAAAACCTGAAGGTTCCACTTTTGTCTTTTGTCTTTTCCTTCAGCCCTTATTTTTCTGGATTTTGATCCTGTTTCATCATCTTTTCTTTTCAAAACCATTTTTGCATCAGTAAAATATGGAGCGGCAGTCGAAAAAAGCTGCAGAGGACAAGATTAGACAAGAGACCCAGCGACTCATCCGAGGCAAGTGAAACTCGACATAAATTATTTATGTCGAGTTAATTTATATTTATGATAAATATAAATTAATTGGCGCTAGTAACTAGTTATTTTAACTGTTTTTATTTTATTGTATGCTTTTAAAAATAGCCTGCAATGCCCTGCATAGTATTTGCAATTTGTTCGTGTAATCTGTCAAATGTCGCAAAATCGAGTACTCGTATGTTGAATTCCGGAATTCCTCGTGTTCTGTGTAAATCTATCTGTCTGTTTCTGTGTTTGGAGAGAACTTTGCCAAGCATCGTGTTTACTGTTTAGCAAAATATTTCCAGTTTCCATATTTTTTATTTATTTATTATTTTTTGCAGAAACTGCGGTTGCTCTGCCCCGTCATATTCCGGAGAAGATCGATTTGGATCATTTCATCAACATGACGGCGGCTAAGTGTTTCCTCCCCGATCCGCAGCCAACGGGAGAAGAAGCCCCTCCGACCAAGCAGCCACAGACGTTACGGGAGCTCATCAGGATGAAAAGAGCGCAGCATCGCCGTGGAGACGCGAAGCCCACTCTGCAGACGACCCACTCTGGTCTCATCAAATTCGGCGATATCGATGAGAAGCCCGCCACCGCTGCACCGGAGACCGCCGAAGCGCCTCTGCCGCAGCCTTACAGGCCGTTGTGCGCCCATGTCAAACCCAACCAAAAACCTGGTAAAATTCACAATTAATTTGTCCTAGTTTTAATTCATATTCGCGTTGGGGGCTTCACTTCATTGTCGCTCTAAACTGTTCCATTCAGTTTTAGGACAATAACCTTCTTTATGCGGAACTTGTAGTTTTTCACCGTTATTCGTGCATTTTTTATCGCTAAATTGAGTCGATTGCAAACTGTTTTCGGATCCAAAAGCTGGGTTGTCAAGTGATCCACTGTATAATTATTACGTGCGTTTTTAAATATTTAACTTAAGTAAAATTTTGTTCCTTTAAAATTTTATTTATTTAATTCCCCTAATGTTTTAAATTTGTTCCTAATAAATCAGTTAACAACATCGTTTATGGTTCTGAATGCAGTTCAGCCGGCCAAATTTAACAAAAAGTCCACGGAGACTTTAAAAGCTTAGCAAGAGAACCGGTGAGTTAAATACAGTAAATTTTGACTGACCGTTTTTTTTTGGCAAGCTTAGTATGGTGGCGTTGTTTATTTGTGTTTCCCAAGAAAAGGACTGAATGCGGAAAGGACTGTCGATGTTTGTAGGCGAAAAATACGCAACCGTGCGTGAGCGTCTTCAGGAAGAAATGCGCAGGTTGAAACTGCAGTTCTTGGAGCAACAACAAGCTCAGTATGCTGAGGAGGAAGCCAAAGTTGAAAGCGTTGAAATGCCCGAAGAAGAGGAAGAAGAGGTCGAGGAGGAATACGAGAAAAAGGCCGCGGAAAGCAGTAGCGATGACGATGAGGAGGATGACGAGGATGAAGACAGCGACAAGGAGAATGACGCCAGTCGCTGCGATGACAGTTGGGAGAAGAAGGAGAAAGAAATTGGAGCACTGGCGCCATGTGATTCGGAAAGCGAGCCAGATGAGGCAGAAATAGTGGATGATGACTATGGAAAAGACGAACCTGAGCCGGAAGTATGTTTTAAGTAACATTTTAAGCAGCAGGGTTTATTTTCGCTGATTAACATCAGAATTATGGTTTGACAATAGTACTAAACAAGTAAACGTAGATTTTTTGCAGTTGGAATATTTTTTGATAAACAAATGTGGTCTGTTAGCTAATTTTGCCCAAAAAAGCATTTGCTGTTGTTTAGGATAACGAATTTTTCGATGCGGAAGCAGAAGAGAGTGAAGGCGACGAACGATTGGACAAAGAAGAAAGCGATTCGTTACATGGAAAGCGAACTTCTGATGGGAGAAAAGCAGTAGCTCAAAAAGATAAAACAGATGATATATCCCGATTTGCTGTGGACGAGGATTTCTTCGATGACGATTTTTTTGCCGGAGTCGGTAAACGCGAAATAATGCTTAAAAATATGATTATAATGTTCGGATTATATTTTGTGTGGCGTTAACGAATAATTCTGCGTTGTTAGGCATATGGTTTTTGTTCTAGGCGAAATTCCAGCAAACGTGGAAACTTCCAACAGGTACACATACGTAGTACGCATGCTACAACACTTACATAAGCGTGTGCTATTCGCCGAAACCTAGTTTTTTTAACTTGTGATATTTTCTTTTCTTGTGGACAGTGTTGACCGCTAGCGTGTCTTCGCTTTTATTGCTCTTATTTTGTTTCGAGTACCAGTGCTAACGAAATGGCTGCAATTTCTAGCTTACCGCGTACCAGTAGTGTTGATCCCAAACTGGATATCCCGTTGACCCAACAACCAGACCTGTTGGCACTCTGCAGTTTTGCATCCGACAGCGCACCGGGATCACCGACAATGCTCAGGTAGGCTCAGATGAACCACTCACTTTGACAATTGTAACTGGCTACTGCGCCCACAACTTCCGGTGTAGGTCTGGCAAATCAGGAATGATGTTTCTTTACTGCGACGTTCTTTTCTGTTTCGGGTGCTAAATGGGAGATCCTAATGATTATTTTTTTTCTACACGTTAACCTGCAGATTGTTTCTGTTTTTTAACTGCTGCCGGTGTGTATGGTTTTATTGGTAAAATTTATTGTGTGTTTTCTTATTTTTCTTTCCCTTTCGTTTACTTACTTGATTGCGAAACATCTTCATCGGGGTCCTGTTTGATCTTGATTGTGATTGTCTTATATTTAACAGTACACAGATGATGTTCCCTTCTCAAGAGACGGGAGACGCACTGCTCTCCCAGCCAGAAGGTGACCTTTTGAATAATATGGAATCGTCGCAAGAGCGAGACGAACTCCTGGGATTGTTGAGCTGCCCTCCAGCTGACTTCAAAATCAATAACAGGTAGAGGGTAGAATTGATCAGTGTCGCGGCTAAGCAAGAGGATTGTGCTTGAGCGGGTGCATTAGATCGTCTTAAAGGGAAAAGTAGAAGAAAATTACAATTTCTTTCGAGCTCTATTGCGATGAAGTTCTTTCTGTGGTTTGCTGTAGTACTTATGGTTAGTCCGATTCGGAACCGGGCTGAGGTCAGTGAGAGTCATGAGACTGGTAGTGTAACAGCCCGTTGGCTATTTGTCTACCTTCCGATGACCTCAACACTGCTTGATCTATATAAGCATACTAGTGAAGAATAGTATAAGGTAAACCGTAATGAATTTTTGAATCCGCGTATTAACTATTTTTATACTATATCGAGAGTACTTAGTTATCTTATCACTTTCAGATATATCGTCGTTTAACAGGTGTCATGTCCCCTGTTTGATACAATAATAGCGGTAGAAAGCAGCACGAAGAGCTCAAAGAGGTTGGATATCATTATAGTCATCTTTTTCTTTTTTTATTGAACAGTTGCAGAAATCTGGATGATTTAGAAGAAGACGTTCCCATCAGGCCGACCAAATCCTCCGCACGAAATCGCCTTATTCTGGATGACGATGACGAAGACCCACCCATAGCGCCAACTGATCCTCAAGCTAAAATAATCGCCTCTAAACCAAAAAAACCGCTAACAACGTACTGAACATATCTTTCCAGTGGTAATCGGTATACAGTGCACGTTGTAATCTTCGTAATTTTATAGCAATATAATGGATTCGGATTCCGATTCGGATATGGATGAAGAACGTCCTCCGCTTTCAGTTACAACACAACAACCGTCGCCGCCTGCAGATACCACTCCTGCCAAGGAGGATGATGTTTCTCCCGTGTTGGATAGAAATGATTTGGATTCTGAGTCGTTGAAAGTTGCGGATAAACCGTCGGAAGAGGTTGCAGGGGAGAAGAAACAGCGGTGGCGACCGGAAGTCGAATCGGAAGAAGAGGAGGAAGAGAACAATGCCGACGACGAGATGGAGGAAGATGGCGATGACGACGCAGATGATAAGGACGAGGAAGAGTTTCTGGCCAGACCGGAAGAAGACGACGAAGAAGGGCTGGCGGAATACTACGAACAAATTAAGTAAGGTATCGCAGGCGTAATACGTGTTCTTCTTGGGTTTTTAGAAAATTTTTTGCACCGAATAACTTCGTAGTGTAATGGTAATGGTGTAATGGTTGGTGACAGAAGATGTTCTGATGTCATGGTTGTGATGTTATAGTTGCTGTACACTTTTTCTGTCGGGTTGTTATTCAAGGTGTAAATTGCCTTTGGACGGATTGTTTATTGCAGTGTGCGGGATAAGAAGAGTGTGGCAGCCAAGTTCTTCGAAAACGAGGCCGAGCTATCCGATGATGACCATTATCATGGAAGTGGCGATGAAGATGAAGACGCTCTGGACGAAGTACGCCCGGAGGATTTGGCGTTTGTGGATTTGAAGAACAAGAAACTGAGCAAAAAGGACCTGCGTAGCCTGCAAGAGTGTTACCAGTAGGAGGCAGCTAACTTTCCTTTTAACCCGGCATTTTTATTCCGACTGTTTTGTGAGTCGTGACTTGTGAGGTCGTGTTGATCACAGGGTAGACGAAGAAGAAGATCATGAAAATCTAATGGAAGTGCTAAAAGAACGCTTTCTCCACGAAGAAGATCCATTGCTAGCCGGCACTGCCGATATCGAACGCCCTAAATACTGTAAGAGTTAAGCTGCTGTGAATTGAATTTTTTAACAAATTAAAATTTTGAAATGTGCAAATCGGATGTCGATTATAATTCGATGAAATGACCACACTAAATCTAGCGGGGAGTTTTACAGTAACAAGCAGGGAAAGCTGTCCACTTTAGAGACCGAAAAAGTGTAGACCGACCAGAAGGATTTTTTAAGCGTAGCGAAAAAACAATAGTAATAAACAAATTCCTGAAAAACGATTACCGCTTGGCCAAAGGAGCAGTGATTTTCAACTGGCATGTGTCGAATGTTTTCAGACGGCTTGGATTTTAGCGGCATTATCGAAGCGGTAGCTTCTGAGCCGGCGTTGGATCCGGACGATCCCGACGCCATTCTGCAGAGCAGTCTTTACTATGTGGCCCAGGAGGCCCGCGAAAGGGCTAATATCGAAGAGGAACGGGATAAAATTATGCTACAAGAGAACAGTTTTGTCCAGTTTTACGAAAGTATCGCATGTCGAGAGAGTAAGTTTCCTTATCTGGCTGCACTTTCGTCATCAATGACCATATTTATGAACGTATTGCAGAAATGGGTGACCAGTCGTTGATTGCAAATTCCGAAAACGGTGAAGAAAGCCCGATCAGTTATTCAGTAAGTTCTCAGTCTTCTTCTGTCTGGATTGTATTTGTGATATTTCTGTGTTTCTCAGCTCGGTAATAGTCTGTTCTTTTCTCGCTTAGATTTCAAAGAAGCCAAAACCGCGCGGCTTGTTTGGGAAGCGGCCACGAGAAATGGCGGCTCGCTTCACGGAGATGATTGCCATGGAAGACAAGGTCGTAGCGCCGCCGCCGCTTGTGGCTTCCATTAGTCTACCAGGAAAGGTAATGAATGGGCGCTTTTTTACAGTTATAGAGTCTAGACTTTCAAAAGTAGGAATAATTTATTATATCAAGTTCGCTTCGCCATAATAAAGCAGTTACTGCTTTTGATGTTTGCTTTCGGTTTCTTAGGTTATTTCCTAGAGTAGGTTTTCTTAGGTTGGTAGCCCTAACGATTTCGGTTGTTTTTTTAATGTCTAAAATTTCACCATTTGAATTAGTGTAAATCCGCGCGGCGTATTGATATGTGTAATGGCTGATGCCGAATAAATGGAAAGCACAGAGGATGATGTACAGTACGTTGACACGATGGAGTCAGAATAGGACAAGCAGTTTTTGTCGCAGATTCAGTTTAAGAAAAATGTTGCCAATGAGTCCAGGGATCTTTTGAGTAATGTCCTGGCGATGGTCTCCCATCCTGACTGAGTACATGGCACGCCGAAAATGTTAAAGGAAAGTGTAGAGAAGTACCATTTTTAGCCACTTCTCTACGTCTTTCCTGTTTAAAATAGGCGTTTTAAAATAACCGTTTTAAATAGGCGCTTTAAAATAACCGTTTTAAATAGGCGTGATACGGCACAGCCGAACTGGCTGCAACGTGTGTGACGGTTTGATTAGTACGCCTTACTGCCGCGTGTTGTTCTACTTATATTCGAATATGTAATGCAGAAATTATTCACTAATAAATTATAACTGAGAAATTTGCGATTATATGAAAATATTAAGCCGTGAATTTGAACTCGAAGGGGCGAGTGAATTCGCATGATAGTGGAGAGAGAAATGTTCTTTGTTGTAGTTAACGTTGCCCGGAGTGGAAACGTCGCGCGCCAAAATCCTGGCGCGTTCCGTATCCAACAACGAATCGGCACATAAGCGACTGCGTCTGGCTGGTGCAATCCACGGCAGTGGCAAGAGCGTCTTCTCCATCTTCCATTAAAGCAAAATACCAATTGTCGTCTGCTTTTTACCGGCAAATTCTGCGTGAGCGTTTCTATTCATTTGGGTTAATTGTTAGGACGCAACATGTGTGAGGTGGTGTTTTTGCAAATTGCTGACGGTTGGGATATTTAAACTCTTTCTTTACGGATCAAATATGTTTGTTGCTATTGTTTATTCTAGCAAGGTCAACATAATTTATCAGAATGTAACTAAACTTAAAGATGAAACAATACTGATTGGCTATGATGGTTTACAACAAAGCAAGAGACTTACTGTTGATGTAAAAAGAAGTGCGAGTGTTTGTATCTGTATTTTGTACTGCATACCGTATAGGAGCCATCTGTTTTTTACTTCTGAGTGTTTTCAGGGTTTTTCCGTTTTATTTTTTTTCCTAGTGAAAGAGTGTTGAGGGTGATTATTTAACCGTTGTTGTCAAATAAAACTGGCGTGTAAAAACGCTGAATTAGTACCGCTGTTGTCATAACAATGGAAAGGTAAATTTGTTCCACACGCCGGCACACTGGGATGTCATGAATTAACATGGGCTTTCACACAGTCTGTTGATCAAAAGCAAAATGTTTATATAAATATTAATGCGCGATTGTAGTAGAAGGGATCGCAAGTAGGCGCAATAACGAAACAGCACCAATAATATACGAATATATGTGCAGAGTCCGTGTAAACTGTAAATTTTGTTTTTTTTCCAACGTTCAGTAAGTACATAAATGCACATCTTACTTGATTTTCTCACGCTTACTGTACACAAGGATATAATTTCGGATTTACGACAACACATTTATTTGTAGAGCAATCCCAGAATTTCAACCATCAAACAACAGACAACATGGGTATTTATTACCGAAAAAAGCATTTCTTGCAGAAAAATTATGACACTTTCATAACCGAAAGAAAGTTTCGTGCGCTTGACTTATTTGTTTTGGCCAGCAAAATATAAATATTCTCATCAAAACTAGTTCTTTTTTGACTTCGCAATGGAAAATCATGTATAAATGTTCGACAAAAATTCCTAGCCAACTCTTCCATCCAGCATGCTATTCTTTATGGAGAACGTTTCGCTTCTTCCTGGGATCTTCGCCCTGTCCAGACCATTTATTCGATAGAATGTCTGCAAGTAAAAACGATGATTCACGGTACTGCATATTTTCTGTTTGAGGGTCACCACTCCACTGAAATATATGCTGGAATATATGAAGTCACTGTATATGCGCTACATCTTTATTTAAAAATCGTTGTTGCGTAATTAATTAGGCCAGTAATACAGATATTATAAACTGCAAATCACTGAATAGAAAAAATACAAAAAATATTTTGTAGTTGGTATTTTGTGCAGGCGATAAAAAGACTTGCCGTAAATGGCCGCAGTATTAAAGAAGTCGGCGAATCCGCGTCATCATATGTCACGATGCCAGTAATCAACTTTGTGAATGCATGCAAAACTCTTAGCGGGACATCTTGCTATATTTCGATGCCCGTTTTAATGACCTTTGAATGAAAACCCAAACGTAAAAGACAACTGCTGACGTACCGTCTCCCGGTCTGAACCTTGCATCGTAGCCAGCTGCCACTTCTTCGCGGTCCATTGGCGGTAAAGAATAGGCTCTGCAAGATAAAATAACGCATGGACGTCGCTGCTAAAAGTTCATCGCCAGACACAAGCAATTCATCGCCAGCCACAAGACGTAAATCACTGGCTGCTGCTTCTACGTCATCCTAAGTTAAAAATACAGTAGGAACATTTGAAAAATAAATGGCCGTACAATTATTCATAAAATTAATACGTATCTTAAAATGTACAGACGTTTGTCTAATATTTTTCACAATATCCAAGTACAGTACTAGTACAAGTACTCCACTGGCCAGAATCGCCAGATGATGCACCGGCTGACTATGCCATTATTCCAGACTGATCTGTCGATATCTCTTTTATTCACTATATGGAAAGCAAAATACCCGTGCCGTCTACCTTGTGTTTATTATGATTGACAACGTAAAACAAGTTTATGCAAAAAGATATAATCGTAAGTCGTACATAAAGTTGTGTACACACTTCTATAACACACTTTGGGGCACGCAAAATTTCCTTTAGTGGAATGGTAAATGTATCATTAAATACATGTTTTGTCCGCGAATGATGGGTGATGGGTACCCTGTACATAGGTGTCTGCTGGTCTATACTGTACAAGAATATAAACTCATTATGGGGTCCATTAGTTTTACGATATCGTGGACCGTTTTTCTGTATATGCTAAATCAATTAAGCCGTATATCTATATACTAGTACTGTAACACATCGAATTCGTCACCATGTGCATTATTATTCGGGTAAACAACATCTACCGATCTGTTTCCAGATCCTGTAAGGAAACCCTGGAACACATTCCATATGAACAAAACTGCGGCTTTACGGCGTTGCCAATCGAAAGGCTAACGTACAGAACTGCGGTCAACTGGCACATGAATATTGTACTCGTACCGGTCGGCGGTTCAGTGCCGAGAAATTAAGACTTTAATTACGCGGATGGATGGTGTTGTGATTGGATGTCATCACGCACATTCATCGTAAAGATAAATAACCTTTAGCATTTTCTGTCAATAGAAATTATATAGCGCCGTAATTCTGGGTTTGTCTGATAGAAAAATTTATTTGTGTGCTGCCTAGGAAATGCCACTATAATTTTGTTTTTGAAAACTATGATTATTGATTAAGCTTCTATTTAGTGGCGCAATGTTACATCTACAATAAACAATGAAATTCGCAATTATTCCAATAATTTTTTATCTGGTTTTAAGCTACAGAATACCGCTTTGATCAGCAAATGCGATAATTGGTAGTTTTATCAATATCCACCATAACATTTAATTTGTTAATAGAAAACACTCAAAACGGGTTCAAAAATTCCATTAACAGAATTGCGTTGTCTGTGCGCTATTATGGATAAAAAATCAAATTCTTTAAGGAACAATTGACTATTGGGTACATATATTATAGGTATGAAAATTTACGAGATCAAAGACATTAAATGTTCAAAATTTTTAGAAATCGGTGAGACGCTATTCAATACAAATGTTGTTTGTCAATTTGTACAAAAGGCAAATAATTATTGCTTTTGATTTGCTACAGTGTGAACAGGCAGTGCGAACTATTCAGTATTCAGATACGTACATTTGTCTTGCTCGATATACGGAAAATGTATATGTACAAATTAAAATAATCAGCCATATGGTTTTTAAGCAGTGATGTGTGAACACATTTGTAACGCCTTTCTTTGACTGACAAATTTGATGGACTTTTTCGTTAGGTAACAGTACCGCGGTGACACAGTTAATTAATAATGCTAAAATCAATTTTACACTAGAAGTTATTAATTTTGTGAGGTGCTTTATTTGTGGAGGTCACTAGCGGGTTTATCGTTGTGGTGAATTTGTGTTTACTAGATATAATAATCACCAAATTTTACACGCCTTCTCTTTGTAACAGCAGAATTGTAGTGTGTTAATTAATTCTTAGCAGCCGGGAGGAACATCGCGACTGCAACTGATTATTGGGAAAATTAGTATTACGCACTGCGTCGCTTGTGCAGCGGAAATCTTTAACCTTTGACTTGCAATTGTTAATCAACTCTCCTTGCACAATACACGTGTACACGCGACCGGTTCGTTAAAGATTTAGCGGCCTTTATAATACGTGTGTTCCGGCGGCGTCCAGGTGCCGTACGGCAGAATCCCGGTCTGCTGAAGCGAATAAAAACAAGGAAATGTGTAGCCTGGAAATTTGACCTTTGAATGGTCGCCACATCACCTTCAGTGTCAACCGCCGACGGCGCCACGTAGTTGTCCCAATTAGGGACGACAAATTTTTTGCAGTGTATAGTTCTTGACAGAGACAGCGTGAGAAAGATGCTAACAATTATCGCATACAGAATTGCTTAAGAAGATCGAACACGTGCAGACTTTTGCTGTCGGGTATGTAGAAAATCAATAATTACCGAATCCGGGAAAAGGTTGATTAAGGCACTTTACTGGATTGGTTTTATAATACGATCGTTAAGGAGAACTTTATTGTAGTGTGGGTGAAATTGCCGGTGTGTAATAACCATAAATTAATTCAACAAACTTATAATCCGTGTATATCTTGGAAACCTCGATGTAAACGTTTAGCAATAATTTTGTGATTGCTTCTTCAGTGTGGATATCTGTCTATGCTGTTGCCGTGTATCGCAGTAAATTATAATGGAAAGTGAAAAACATACTTTTGCGATAAATTTGTTGCAAGGCTTAGACTATCCATAACGTGCACAACCATATAATAACATTGCGACCAAGGTGTTTTAAAAACTACTTCTAAAAATGTTATTCTTTCGTTGCTGGTGAAGGCAACATGAATGTCAAAGTTGCCCGCTACTTGCCGAGAACTGACGACTGAATAATTTGCAAGAACATGCCAACGCACTACATTTACTGCAATAAATTTCAAAGATTGCTCTAATTGTAACACCAGTCGAAAACTGACCACTCAAATTTACGGTATGCCGTTCGTAGTTGTGTACCTTTGGAGGAGCGCCCGCAGCCAGTCGGCGTCAACACTGACCATGTTGTCCTGCGCATCCTGTGCCCGCTTGCCGAATCCGCGCGCCGTCTGCAGACCGTAGCTCTTGAAGCCGCGCCGTGCCGCCCGCATCCCCACCCCGATGTCGGCATCCGCCACGGAAAGGTCACTCAGACACACCACACATCCCAGCACCACCACTGCCAGTACACCGGCCACCGGCTTATCACCGAACTGGAACATCATGCTAAAGGTCACCGGATCGACAGGGGAAGAAACCGCTCGTATACACTTGTCCGAAACGGATGCTGCAGATAAATGGGAGCAGGGTGCCGCGGTAAAATGTTATAGAGACGGTTAAGTCAAGTGTACTATTGGGCCTTAATATCGGCCTGTCAGGGATGATTGCGATGGGGATTAGTCAAGCAAAGTGACTGTGGATTGATGTATGCCGGGTCGGTATCCGCAGGCGCTCTTTATAGACGCCGGGATCGGGTCGGAAGCGACGACTTAATCAGGGGAAGCGCGTTTCCGGGATTACAGCATATCTATATGTATCGCACAGATACGCCATGTACAATAATATGTTGTATGCATGTTCTTGTATCTGTACATGGACCCGGTGTAATCGATGGTTGAACGGTTTGTTATTACAACGGGAATCATCCCCTTGTCGATCGAGATGGTGTAGGATAAATATTTTGTCGACTCGTTCGCTGGTGGGGACGTAATTCAATTGGACGCCGGCTAGGGACCGGTACATGTATATATGTCTTTCGTTTTATGTGCTGTACATGGGTGTTTTTCCTTTATTAATCCTTGCACACGGTTTGCGTCATCGGCCCGCTTGAGCGTCAGGCTGGCGGACAATGTGAAGTGACCCAGCGGCGGACGGGAAATGTCATGTCAGGAAATCCCGGTGGAGCGCTTTAATTGTCGGCATGGGCTAAGATTAACAATTGTCGATGCCCGGCTGATGAGCGCGATGATGGATGCCGGTTAAGTGGTCGCCGGCTATCGCTGCCATAGTCCATACTGAGGGGCGTAGTCGACATAATCGGGTTACCGCTTGACGTACGCTTTTTGGGATGACATGCAGGGGCGATCAGGAAATTGTATATTTTACATTGATTAGACGGTAATTTTATTTGCATGTTTTGTGACAACTTTTTTTACGCCGATATTTCTACTCTAGTATTTGTTTTGTAGCGCACCATGTTTACTCACGCTGAAGCGGTTTCATTTTGAAATTTGCTTTCTGCCCCTGCCGGATACAGGGACAGATTATTTTAACTTTTGAGCGCTTTAAATTAATTCCTTCGCTTGCGTTTGACCCGATTTACAGCACATGGCGCGTTTATCTTCACAAATTTGAGAGATTTTAAATTTGGTGATATATTTCAGGGATCATCCACACTTCAGCTGCATATGGATAACGTTTATCCAAAACGATTTTGCAATAGAACTGTTGGCGCATAATCTTCACGAAAACGAAAAAAAATGTTTTACCGGACACAGCTTTGTACAACAAGCGCCACCTGATCACACAGTAACAAAATTTCTTCGAAAAACAAATACTGATTCCGTAACAAATAAAAGGAACAAAAAAATTCAGGAAAATAAAAACACGGTCACAATAATATTGCGAAAAAGGACAGGAATGCAGAACTCGGAAGGCTGCAAACTCAGTCTCCAGCTGTCCCACTGACTGCACGCTGAAAAATATTTTCCACAGCATCGCCTTGTAAAATCTCTTGAAACTTGGCTTCGATGCGCCGCTTCCGTTCTTCCTGGAAATTAAAGAAAACTGATTCGCACTATCCAATAACAACAATATAGATAAACAAAGGCATGTAAAATAAAGTGCTCATATGAATATTTTGAACAACCAATAATGACACTTAAAAGTTAAAAACAAGTGTAAAAAGTGTAAACTGTAAAAAGTTTGAGCTGCTTCAGATTTATACCCAATTATGCCCTTCATGCTGAACCCATGTCGGTGCATGCGTCAGCCAGTCGGACTAGCCGTTGTCATCATTACGACTCTACTCAATGCGTGCCACTGCACTGCATCCTAATTCTTTTCATGAAGGCTATTTCGTTTGCTCGCGACGGCGGCGAGCAACAGAGTAGCCGATTCGCTGTTCGACCTTAAAAAATGTGCGCTAGTACAGTATAACTTGACGACAGGGATAAGATTACCATACGAATCTCTTAAATGCTGGCTTCAGCATGCGAATTGTGGCTTGAAGTGTTGAATTAGTTGCAAAAAGTGCAAATTCCCGTTGAAAAAGTGTAAATTCTCTTATTTACTGCAATCTGAAGAATGAAATTACAAGTTACTATCCGAGAGAGGCAACGGTGTTTCGGATGAAATTTGTTTCAAAACTAAAAGAAACGATGGACGATATCACTACATACCATCTGCGTGCGCTCCCACATAAATGGTCGTTCGCTAAGTCGCCGACGCACATCGGATAACATTTCCAGGTACTCGCGCCCGTGCTGGGATTCATGCACTTCAGACACCCTGCAGCAAACATTACGAATATACTTTATCGTATTACGCATTAGGATTTGTCACTCATAACTTCACGGACCGAAATCGACAACTACTAACCGATTTTTGTGATGCATTTTAGAGGCACCAGACAGTTTCCCTAACTCTTCATCCCGCACCAACAAGCTTTCACGCACACGTTCGACCAGTACTGGATCCTCGTCGAAGAAGGCTGCATTGCGCCGATCTTCTTCAATCCTACACCAGAAAAGTATGAGGATGTGGATATTCATTAACTCCCAGTGTAATCATTGCCATTTACGGAACCGAGCACCAGGTTTATTTACTGTACTGACACCCTGCACTCGGAGAAAGTTTCAGCTGTGCAGCCATGCGTACGTTGTACGACCGCTGTTCACAGCTCACTCACACAGCTTGCAGTTGCATGCGGACTGCTGGCTACTGGCTGAACGCAATCGGCTTTACTTTCCTCTCGCTACAGTGCCGTACTACTCATACTGTACAAAACTTATCCGAGTGCAGGGTGTCAGTACAGTAATTTTTAGATTCTCCCCGCTGCACAAAGTATCAAAGAGCGCTACACGCAAAATTTAATATACAAATTTATAAAAACACATAAAACTAAATTTATTCATAAATGCATAAAAAAAATCATAAATTTATAAATGTACTTTATTTTTTAAACATTTCATTTATTTTTAGCAACCATCATTTTACAATAATTTATTTATTTAGAACTATCATTTTCTTTTATTTGTATTTCCAAAACGCAAACTTATCACTAGTCGTTCACTGCGCTCTTTTCAGCTCACTTAGGACGCATACTATTTCGTTGCCTTACTTTTGCTTGGAAAACGCAGTCATTAATTTGAAGGCTTTGGTGGGTCGGACCATCTCCTCAAAAGGCAGCGCAAAATTATCATAATCCGGCGCCGAGGCTTTGAAAAGACTAGGCGCTGACTGCGATCCCGTTGGGGAGTCTCCCCTCCTCGAGTCTTTCTTGGCGGGTTGTTGATTCATATGGAAGGGCCGCGGAACCGTGGTGAAATTCTTCTCCTGTCGATCCTCCCGTTGCCGGTCCAGTTTGGCATGCAAACGTGCAAAATCCGGAACAGAGTGGTTGATGTGCGGTTGGAAAGTGGGCGCCGTCGGCAGATGCTTGTGGCAGTTAGTGCGGGGTACGGTCACCCTGAAAGCAGAATAATTAACGCATTTATTCGGCTTACAATTAGAGACTAATTAAAAAAGGTGCTTACATTAGAAATATTTACGTACCGATTAAAAAACTGCATTAACTGCAAAAAATGAGTCATACCCGGTGAATCATAGCTCAACTTTTGTGCAGCTGACAGTTATTTCCAAGATGAAAGTATAACAGCGCAAACTGCGACTGCCATCACACTACGATAATATGCGCACTAACAGATGAGAGATCTCAGCTGTACAATACGCAGCATCAACAAAGCGGAAACTACAGTAGACGTACAACAAATTCGCAACTGTAACACGGCGTAGCAATCAAAGACAGCGAGACGACAAAATTGCAAAAAAGCACAACGAAACCATGCTCACCTGAAAGCTTCCGCTACACCCTTCGTTCTGGTCCTTCCCCTTTCCGAAACGCTCTTTCTCACAACTCCTTTCTGCTCTTCCTTCTTTTCGGCTCTCTCCGAAACACTCTTCCCCTTTCCCTCACTAACCACTCGCTTTCGGTCTTTAGTTACCCGGAATTCGAAAGGCTTAACCTGTTCCAACATCTCTTTGGCTCGATTCTGCACTCTCTCCTTCCGCTTTTGCTCCTCACTTTTCATATCTCTCATACGCTGTTCATGGATCCACGATGGCAGAGGATGAGCGCGGAACTGTCGCTTGGTCTCTTCTAAATCCGATATCTCGCGCTCAGCGCGCTCCGCCATATATCGCTCTAATGACCTAAACATGAAAAAAAAGTTGAAATACTGTACGAGAACATTATAGGTTTTTTGTTTCTATTCATATTTCTCATGGCTATAACCAGACACTTTTAAATGTATGATGCGTTTAAACACCATCACACTACGAGCACTGGAAATACTATAGAAATCAACAACCAAAGAAATCAACTGCCCAATATGTAGCACGAATAGTGCGCAACCTACAATGTGTCTGCAATAAAAGTGAAACTGTACTGTTGCTATTCCCTATAACAATCTACGTAATACGTATCACTACAGGTAAATTCTCCGCTCAGCTGATATCGGAAATATTGAGCCGTTTGGTTACGATACTTCAACGTTACCACACAACGCTGGCTTTAGCTTTCAAGTTTTCAACGAGAGATCGTAATATGAATTAGCGCGAACCTTCCGCGGAAGCGGCGATACACCGGTTGGCTGACTCGTGGAGCGGGCTTGAGAAGAGGAACCGTGATCAACCGGCTACGGACAGACTGTCCCACCGAAGGCAAATCCTGCACGGATTTCGACCGGGTAATATATGTATTGTGACTGGACGTATCGTCGTCGACATCCGACGCCTGTGAATCTGGTTTAACCACAGGCTTTTCTTTACCATTATCGCTGTTTTCCGGTTTCTTCTTACTGACCGGAAGTTTCAAAGATCTGCTGCTCAAGCTTCTCCCGGAATGTGACGATGGAGAATCTAACGAGCCGCTCCATGCTCCGCTGCTTTGAGGTTTCGTTGGAACTGGGATAATGGGTATCTGGGATGGCTGCTTGTTGGAGTTGACTGCTTGTTGGAGTGGTCTGTCTATCTGGGGTGGCTGCTTCTGCCATTTTGGGGTGGCAGCTTTCCCGTTGGGATATTCCAGAGAGTAACCGGCAAAAATATTCCTGACGAGATCACGAGGATTACTGCGCGGAGCTGGACAAACGCCATTTTCCAAGCTGGATCCATGGCGACCGGACGAAAGAACGGGCTGAGCGGATATACCTGAAGAAATACAAAACGCAGGTAGAATAAAAAATTTACTTCCCAACAAAAACTGCAATGCACGATTGCTTAAAATTTGTTTTACTGGATTACTGTAGAGTGTTTATTATTCCCAGATTTTATTTGTTTTGATTAGGTAAAAAAATAAAAATGCATTCATGACTACAACTACGATAAACTACGATAAGGACATTTTCCGAAAAACAAAGCAGTAAATATTCAGAAAGTTCCAGAATCCAGTAACTACACTCTGCAATTTGCTACGCCACAAGGGAATATTTCTTTTGCAGTCGCACACTCACACGTACCGTTACTGCCGTTATCGGCCACTTCCGGAGGAGGGTGCTCCTGAATCCACACGGGGCGTTCCAGCCGGACCGGGCGGAGGGCGCTCCGCAGCGCGCTGACATGGATATCCCGCTCAGAGCGATTGGACTCCTCGATCACTTGCAGCTTGTCGTCCTGCGACTGCCGATTGGATGGGAAGCGAAGCGGAGGAACGAGGGCCTTCGAGCGCGCATACTGTTCTAAACCGTCGGCAGGCGGACTGCTTTCGCGCTGGACAATCTCCGCAGCATCGTAGTTAGGCAATTTTAAAATCCTAAAAATAAAGGAAAATATTTCTGGCTTTCCCATTTTCGCCTCATCATTGTTGCACCCATAGAGGAATCCAATCTACAAATACTTCAAGCTACTAAAAGACAGGATAGTACTCCTTTATTAAAATTTTTAATCTTCGGTAATTTTTTGTAACAGAACTAAACATCAGCTTAAAATTCATGCATTGACGTAAGCTCCTTAATCCTACCGCGGACGTATATCTGGGGAATGTTGGGGTGCGCCATCAATCCTGTGATCCCGTTTCTTATCAGGAACGTCTTTTGGGAATTTCGGAACGGGCTCTATGTTAAGGCTGTGGAGTATTCGTTGGTAAGCTTGCTCGGCGCGTCGCAGGCGCGCATCTAGATTGTCGAGTTCGTCTCTTTCGTGCTCTTCCAAATCGCTTTCTTCTCGCATCACCGAAGTCTTAGCCGGCATGGTTCCACTCCAAGATACGCCGAAAAGATAAATAAAATAGGCTTTTTCAGACAATCGACAGAGATTCCGTTCCAGGGGACAAAACAAAGAAAACAGAATTCGCAGACCAAAGCGTTATTCGGTTATCGCTAATCCACTTCGAGCGGTACTCACACAGACGCTGCGAAAAAGCATCAAGCACAGGACTTCATTCCGCCAATGTCCGCTGAAGACTTCGGGAACTGCCCTTACTGCCGTTTGGCTGTCTGCTTGATGCGGGTAACTATCAAATTAGGCACCACCGTGCACCAATTTGCAATCATCTCCAGTTTCCACTGGAAACTTTCCAGTCGATCGCTTGAATTCTTCGCCCATCTCCCCAAAAGAGGTGCACTTATTAATTTTAGGCTTCCTCAACAAGCTATAAGGGCTAATCCGCTAATGTAACATACAGAATACCGATAGCCCTAAAACAAGAGGATGCAAAAAGTCAGCAAGCTCATGGACATTAACTGGAACGCTTGCGGTTGGGAAAACTACAAACAGACAAACAAAAACAATCAACAATGAAAAATTCAAAAATCTTTGTAAAAGCTGCCAGTTATCAGTTATGCAAATCATCAACTCCACAGGTAGACACCACCCGTGTGGCCCCACATGGTAAACTGCGCTGCAAGCCTGTAATAGACTCATAGCCTTATTTAATAATGGTAGAGCAAAAATTCTAGAAACTGTTAATTATTGTAAGTAGTTCACAAAACTCTGTGGAAAAAAGGAAAAAATATCCAGCGTATGTTTTTGACGTTTCTGGCAGACTATAAATGTTAACATTGTTCAGTACAGTAATCGAAATTCTGTAAATACAAACAACTGCATTACCATACTTGCATAAGAATTTTCTGTGTACGTCGTACGTACACAGCGACGCCGAAATTCAATAACTGCAAAAATACTTGTAAACGGAAAGGCTTTTCGTTTTTTGAAGAAGTCAGTAAAAACAATTTGGGAAGAAGCCAATAAAAACAATCTTTCTATTTATCGTACCTTTTCTTTAAATTTATCAGTTTCCAGTTCTCCAAAACGATTCCCCAGGTCTAATGGGATACCGAAATTTACGCTTAATTCGATAATGGCATTCCATTTAATAAGCGAAAAGGGGATGTAGCTCAAATGGTAGAGCGCTCGCTTAGCATGCGAGAGGTACGGGGATCGATACCCCGCATCTCCAAATTTTTTGCACAATTCGACCGCGGTGCATTACTTACAATAATTTTTAAAATTCAGAATATCAAATACAAAATTTCGAAGAAATTTTCGAAATTTTTATTATACTTTTGAAACAGAAAGCACAAAATGTCTGAAATCAATTTTCGACGTTTATTGTTTTCGGCATTTTGGAACATGTTTTTAACTAATTAGTAATTACGATTAGTACAGACGGTACAATTACTAGCTGATACTTTTATAACATTTAACATTCACTTGACTTAATTAGTGAAGTTTCATTTTTTTGATTCAGTTTATTACGCTCTTTACTCTTTACGCTTCAAGTTTAAGAAGTTTGTACTAGGAGGAGGCTTTCGCTGGCTTTGGCAGTATCGGCTTACCAAAGACGCTAGCCAACCCGCAGTCAGTCGTGGTCCATCAAGCACACACAGTCCATTCTTTGTGTTTGTATGGCCCGAAAATTATCAACAGTAAATTGTAAAAGTTGCCATTTCCGATTTTATTTACGACATAGCGATGCGCATTCTAGGGATGCTTTCTGAATGGAGATTTTGTTGACACTGACCTTATCGCGCCAAAAAGACATATATTTTTCCAGCCCTGCCTCGTGATTTCTCATGGCATACATTTGCCACTGTTGGCTGCGAGTGCCTTAATAATCGGATGCGTCAGCGAGTTTGCCACTCAGTTGTTTGCCCATCTCAAGAGTAGCTCGAATTTCCTGCAACTTTTGTCCCCTTTCTCCACCTGTGTGATGCATGAGTGATAATTGTCCAACAGCACGCCAACTGCCTTATTAGCAAGCTGTAAGGAAGCGTTTTTTAATGGGATAATTAAGCACGAACCTTGCTGGTTGTGCAGTTGGACTCATCTCGGTCTCTTATCGGAATTCGTTCAGTGAGCTGTGAGCACTGATTAGACGGCGTTTCGGCGGCGTCTCTCATGGTAATATTAATGAGGAGAATTTAAAGCTCATTATCGAAACTGCGATGCTGCAGTAGCATCTCGTCAGGTATTTGCTTCTTCCTTTCTTTAACACATTTTAAATATTTTTCCGTTTTTATGGCAATTTTTCTAGGCAGTCAAGCTTTCAACAGAACTCTGTGTTATTCCTGATTTGCCTATAGATCCAGTTACGAAATCGTCGAATTGAAATGACATTAGTTTAGAAATTACAGTTTTTACTTGTCTCGCTGCATTTTTTAAGTTCTTAACTTCTCATAAATGCTGCTTATAAATGTTGCATTGGGGGGACTGAATCGGAATTCGCGACGCTGTAAAAATATTACGTAATATACTATTGTTACCTACAAAGTTAGAAATTTTATGGTTTTATCCCTACAAAATTAGAAAATACTTTATCGATAGCTGTCTAATGTACTCGTATAGCAGTTGCGATTATAATCCGGAAGTATGATAAAATAGGAACGGTAGGATGCAGAAAATTATCGTAAATGTTTTTTTTTGTTGATGGTATGTACCAGGTAGTGCGACGAATTTTGCGGTTATTTTGCATTTTATTAATATTTTTTTATTCAGCCAGCAAAACGGTAATTCTTTTTAGTTCGCTCCTTGTTTTTGATGTTCAGTGAAGAACAGTAGAACGGAAAAGGAAAAACTGTCGAAAGTGTCGCTGACCTACATCTGCATTGATTACCGAAATTGAAAAATCAATTTTTCAATACCCGGTCCAGACGTCTTTATTGCATTTATTGGGAAACAAGTTGATTTTTATTGCGGCGTTGACCATACTTAAAGCCGGTGCAGTTTTTCTTTAGATTATCGCATATAATTGAAAAATAACGTCTCGCCCTACCCAATTGTGCCCATGAAAGAAATTTCATTGCCTAACGGAAATATGTGATGATTGGATTGAGTGTGCTTAATTTTTTCGCAATGAGCTCATCACGCTCTTGCGACTAAAAACAGTCGAAAGGAAGTCTTTCTAGAGTGTGCCAATTTCTTGCTACGGGCTAGTTGTACCCTGTCTGCCATATCGACTCGGCTGAGTAAAATGCATTCCTTCGTATTTTCATTCAGTTTCTAAGGCCATCCGTTTTCGCTATTTATTTTTAAGATTTTTTTTATGCAGCTTGCTTTTTTTTGCAGGTTGTTGGACTAAAATAATTTATGTATTTTTTATTTGGTACGCATGGTGATCGATAAATCTCGGTTATTTGTGTTCCCTGTATCTTGCAGGCTTTTTACAGATTCTCTGTGTTAAACTTTCTTGTTTTTCGATTTGTGCGTAAGCGTGGTGGAGATCCCATTTATTGCAGGATGTTTTGCGGATCGTGAAAAACTAGCCATTTGAGAGCGCACATATTTTCCTATCCATCGTCGGCGAAATTGGGAAAATCTGTAATTTTAGCTTGATGGATATATGGTTAAAGCGGATTGACAAGGATACAAATAGTGCGAATATGGCAGCTGATTTATCGGGACGTGATGCTAATGGCCTCACAGCTACAGCTGTTAGCAATGGGGGATCCGGTCGGACGACGGGAGGAGGAGAATCATTATCCACACCATCCGATCTGGCTGCGGTAACAAACGGCCAGTTGGATCCCAATTTGTGCTCTGTGTCGGCTCCGGTGTCCATGTATGTGGATATGGAGGCATATGCTAATTACGACAGCAATTCTTCCTCATTACCGGAACAAGTGCGCCAAAAATTGGCCGAATTGGAGCTGGAATTAGCTGAAGGTGAGAACCGGAACCGTAGTGTATGTGCTACGGAGATTGTATTTGTTGTCGGCTGAGCTGCTTCGCGAGCTTTTTTTGCTTTGGCTTAAAAATTGCTGCTTACAATTTTCATCGAGATTCTAATTTTTTATTTCAGTTTAAATTGCGATGTGTCGGTTCAGGTGGAAATTTGACACACTGGAAATTAGGATTTCTTTAAGGATTTTCTGCGTAAGCGTTTTTGGAAAGTGTTTATTGATTATTACCGGCATTCTTTCGTTAAAAATTCATTCTCTAGTAACAGTGAAATTTTAATGGACACAGCAGGACGCTGCGCAGTAGATTTTTCCTTCCGTTTGTGACTGGTGAAAGCGAAATCGCGCGGAACTGGCTGCTGTGCTGATAAAAAGCCCATTCGAGCCGCGCAACGCTTTTTTTTCGCCTGCACCCTTTGTGAAATTTTGATTGTTTATTTTTTACGCGTTTGCATGTGAGAGACCGTTTGCTTAACGATGTGCTTTTGCAGTGGCACAAAGCGCTTTCCGACCGGCTGCTGCTCATGCCGGCGTGGAAGCGGCTTGTAATTAGCCATGCAGCATGATATATTGTTTGTTAGACACTGTTTCATCTTTGTTGACTCTGCCACGCTGCTGGTGTTAGTTGGCCCCCGCGAGCGGGTTTGTAAAAGTTAAAAAAACAATTTACTCTTTGGATTGTTAAAGGCTGACGAACTTGGAGACTGGTAGCACGAATGATCTCCCGTTGAAAATTAGAATGGAATTAATAGGAAAACTGTTTCCCAGCACATTTATAATGAGATGAGATTCATATCATGTATGTTCTCTTTCCGTTTATTATTGTTTCGTTGCAGTTACCTATAATAAGAGTTATAGCTTCTGTAAAAAAAATTTCGTAATCTGATTTTTCACTTTATAAATTCAAATTTCAGCTGCTGTCCGATAAAGTATGTTGATTCCCATAATGGCAATTCATTAGTGAGCAGCGGTGGTTTTTCTTATGCGCGAAGGGTATCCAAAATTCCTAATGTTGTGTATCTGTGTGCCTGTCTCCGATGTTGAAAAGTAGCACTTTTTTGATAGTATGTTGAAGTTAGTTCTGATGAATCCCGTTCGCTCCCGAGATGGTAGGCGATCATTTTCCATGTCCCCATTTGATCTGTCAGAGGGAATAAGAAAGGAATTCATCAATGCGAAAGGCTTTCCGTTGGCTTTGACATTAAATTGTTATTATGTAATTTGAGATTAGAGCTATATGGAGTGGCGCAGAATGCAGATCGATCCCGTATAACATAGTGACATCGCACGTGTTTTCTTAAGAGTATTATGACAGTACGTGAAGAGTTGTGTGGGCCATTTATGCTTGTTTTGTTTATCGGGGTGAAATGTGTGTATGTGTGTATTTCTGCTCTGTTTGCTTTTCCGCTGGTTACTTCGTCGTTACGATAAGACCTCGGATTCAAGAGAGGGTGCCGGCTGTTAACTCGGCAAAGTGCGGTGGAGAATAGCATGTTTTGTGGCCTGTGAAGTGTTGAAGAAAACGGTTGAGATGGTGATTACAAAATCAGGAAAACTGTAGATTGCTTTTTTATATGTCCGCTTTAGGCAAGCTGAAGAGCACAAAGCAGAAAGCAGTGGTTTTAAAAAAAAATTCGCATTTGTGTTATTTCTGATTTATTTTTTTCGCGATATACAATTTTTTGAAAGATGTTTTGTGCGTCTGGGAATAAATAAACGCTCATAAAGATGCACCTTTACTCGGTTAAAATTCTTTGATATCGATTCATCTTAATTTTTTAATTGCAGTAATAATCGGTCCGTATTTTTGGTTGATTTCATCGTTTTTTAGACGAGAACAAACTTTTTTGCAGACGCTTCCTTGGCATGATACATAGTACAAATGGCTGTAAAATTGTTTTTTTGCCATTTGAATTTCATCATCTGGAAGTTGGAGCTATGATGTTATCCAAAATTTTGCGCTGAAAATTAAATTTTGTTTCTATTTTTGTGGAGCTATTCGGTTTGAAAGGATAAGATTGATGCTCTGGATGGAAAGAAAATACTCATCTGTGTGTCATCGTCCACTCTGTAGTGGACGACGTCTCACTTAGGGCTTCGCTAGGAATTTCTTAGCATACCGCATTTAGAAGTGTAAAAACATGATTTACGGATCGGGCATCTGTTCAAACTGCCCTCTTAAAGGCGTTTTACAGTCGAAGAAAATTGTTTTGACTGGTGTCGGACGGAGGTGGTGGCCATGGCCCTTGTCGTGCTGATAATCACGTATTTTTGCCATTTTTATCTGACCGTTGGCGTGAGCAAAGTCAGACGCACAGATAACGATGCCTTGCGTGTTTGCCGTTTTGTGAGACATTTTCAAAACCGGCCAAGAGACTTATCGGCCTTGAAGCAGATGTGTGACATATTTTTAATTACTCCATTTTGACCTTTCAAATTGTGCCTAATTCTTGGCTTGTTATGCGACGCTATCTTTTGATTATGTACATGAAAAATGGAGATTTTCAGGTTGGTCGCGATTAAACCTCATTGTGCTTATCTGAAATAATATGTCCGCATGGCATGCTGCGTGCTGAGCTTCTGTGTTTCTGCTTTAATTGTTGCACGTGCTATTGTGTTTGTATGTAAATGCATGAGAACTTTCTTTCGATTCTTCCTTATTTTTTTCAGGTGATCTAACGGACAAAGGTTTTGCCAAAAAGAAAGCCAAATTGTTACAGTCTTTTAATATTTCCCCTCTTCCGCCTGTGCCTCCTTCTTCAGGTACGATTTACGGATATCCTCGTATTTTCTGTTCAAAATCTGTGCTCGTGGTTATGAACATTGTTATATAGCAGCGGACGGGATAGGTTACGAAGGCGGTTAGACGCTGATAAAAATTGCGCACATGCTGCTCTTGTGAACCATTAAGATACTGTTACGAAACCTTGGTTCACGTCTTAAAAAATTATAGAATCCTGCAAAAAACGTAGTAGTTGATGGCAATGTTTATCGAACTATGTTTTAATTTGTATACTTGTATATTTTTCAGCATTAGAGAAAGCAGGCATCGCTTGTTAAAAAGTAAGAAAAGCTGCATGAAAATTTTTCTGATTACGGGGTAAGGAGTCGGCCATGAAATAATAAGCAGGAAATGCAGTAGCTGTTGTACTACTTTAGGCATAGTACCTCTACAGATATTGGAATGATGTTATTACTGTATTGTTACGGTTTTTATTTTGTTGTACGGAGTAAAGAAAGCGGTAGGAATAAACGCTAGAAAGCGACGTCTGGTTGCGTTTTTGATGGCAAATTAAATACAGAGAATTGTCTGACAGCCTTCACCGACATTCTGTTTGTTAAATTGGGCGTTGAAATTTTTCTGAATATGTTTATTCACAGTAAGTGGAAGTATTCTTGGGAAAAGTTAATTTCGGCTCGATACGGGTGTGTTGTTGTTGGCGTTGGTGCGTATCTGGTGAAACGATTATGTAATTTTCGCGAAGAACAAAGCAAATAATAAGATTTGAACAATCGAAAAAGAAAATTCTTGATACTCATGGCATGACTAATTCAACAAATGTTCTGTGGCTTTCTTGCATCAATAAGATTAACAACATACCTTCGATTCTATTTTACAGCAACCATATCAAATGTTAGAAGAGCGATCGCCGAACGCTAGTGTTTGAAAGCCAGAAAATTTGAACTGTTCATTGTTTATCCAGTTCGGTTGACACGTAAAACTACCATTTTTTATAATACGGCGTGTTATTAAACAGTTCAGATTTCTGAAACGTTGAATTGGATTTCTATATGTTACTAACTTGCGTACACTTCGCAGCTGCATGCGTCATAGGTTGTAGGTTTCCACTACAATCGCACTATCGCTCTTTAAAAGCATTTCTTATTTTAATTGAAGTTGGTGCAGCACTTGTTTTTGCCGGTCGGAAAAATAAGATTGCACGTGTCAATCAGTGCGGTCGGAAAGCCTGTAAATTGCCGGTATTATGAGTACAAATCTCCTCTAATTCCTACCTACCAAGATGTTCGAGCATTAGATCATCAGGTTCTCAAGATGCGAAATCCGATCTAGCTGATCGCCGATTGCCAGTGATCGGTTTGAATTGGAAAAACCGGACTGGGTTTCAAGTGTTTAACATTAGATAGTGGTCACTTAAGGATTGAATCTGTATCGGCTATAGCTGTTTGATAAACAGCATACCCTCCGGCGCAGATTATGACCAAGTGACGGTTTTAATAAAACACTTTTTCAAATGGAGATTGTTTCTAACGCAGGCCGGTTAGCTGACCTAGGGATGAAAATGTCTCGCCTGCGGGACGGATTTACCACTGTGGCCGTATGTCAGTATTTTTCCGGAGTTTTGATGCGCATATGAATTGGTCGTAAATTTGCACGCTGTCAATTACTGTTTCCATAGTCGTACAATATTTTGCTTTGAGAATTGATTGGTATTTTGTATTTCATTGACTTAATGGTATTCTTACAAAATAATATGTGAATTGTGTGTATTTTTTGGATTTATTAGATGTCTCCAACGCAGCTGATTTCGTCGCTACGGTCTATGAGTACACATTAGCCAGCAGGCTTTAGCTTAACAACGTAGCATAGAAGGCAACCCTGTTCTGTATTGTTAAGGTTTTGTTGTTGATTCATTTTTCAGATCCAAATGTTTTTTGTACAGTTTATTTATCACTTACACACGTGGAAGGTTTCGTAAATTTGTTAGGAATTTGTCCTCTTCGTTAAATTATTTTAGTTAATTTTTTACATATTAAACTCAGCGATAGCGGATTTTCCAAATTCACCCATAAAATGATTATGTACAAATATATCGCTTGTTCGCAACTTACCGCTTCCCTAAACTGGAATAGTAAGCATTTGAAAATTCAGCAAATACAAACAACGACAGCGGTCAGCTATCTGTAGTTTTGTTTTGTTCTGCCCGTCAGTGGCCGTCGCTATCGATTTAGGTATCATATCCAGTTTGCTTGATTGCTTGTATGGAACTGTGAAAGATGGGTATGTTTGTTGCTGGGAGTGGGGCATAATGATCTCTTTTTATGTATCCGCGATATTAGATTGATTTGATGAATATCGATTCGACCTCTTCGTTGCTCGTGGTCAAATAGTCGTGATTCGGTGATTTCCGCCAGGCTCCTACAATGAATAATCAATTGCGATCAGCAGGTGCTTGCTCATTGGAAAGGCGTGATTTGACGACGAGTTCATCGTTTTTCCACAAACTGGGACAGTCGGACAAACGTTATTACTGTTTGTCAACATTGAAAACACCGGCCTTTTGTCACATGCGACTGGCCGTACACGTACAACTTGTCTTAATTATATAGTATCTTATTATCAGATGCCTTTCGTCGGGATTCGGGATATTATTATGCTTTTTTGTATTTGTAAAGCGACAGTTTAGCGACTTATCAAAACATACAAATAGTGAAAAACTCAAAATATATGGTCAGTGTTCTGAAATAAGCATTTTGAAAATAATTGTATTTTACTATTACGGTTCAGTAATTAGGAATCTTCGCTTCCATTGTGAGTTAACTCCAGGACCCAGGTGTACTGGTGTAGTATGGTGAAAACTGGCGAAGTATTTTGGTTTAACATGACTAGTGTGTGCAGATATAAAAACTAATGACTGCAATAAAGTGTTAGAAGTTCTTATGACGCAACGGAACTTCCGTTGTGTCTTTCCTTCCTGACCTTTACTTATATTACTGACCAGTGACCACTCATCATGTTACATTGCTCTCGCCGCCTGACATTTTTGGAATAGTATGCTTTTTTGTTGTGCAATTTGCGTTTTTGTTGATATTGGATGAGCGTAACTGAAGGATTTTCGTAACTTTTTCGAATTAGGAAGACCATATTTTATATAGTTTTGATTTAGGTTATCATGGTCATTTTCTGGCTTGACTTGTAGATCACGGAGTTGTGTAAATTGGTTTCTTTCCGGCTGTTGCCGGTCAGTGGTCTGTGGGGCGGAAATTAATCAAGATTTATTGCGGCCAGTATTGCCGGGTCCGTCCCCACTCCCCAGTCAGATTGCGGTTGATGCTGTGGACTCCTAAGTGCTCCTGACAGTCGTACCGCTTAATGTTGATGCTGGGCAATTTGCATATGAGAATTGAACCAACTGATACATGCGATAGATAGTTCTTTACAAATGACGACCTTAACTGGCGTAATTCGACCTCAGGGAAATTATGCAGTGCTTGCTTTAGTGAAACAGTGACGCATATATATTTTCCCGTGACAGTAATCTCCGATGAAAAAAATTAATATGTACGAAAATATGGAAATCATGTAAGATAAATGTTGAAAAAAATTAATCAAAACGTACTTATAAAGTAGTAAGGCTTTTGTAAGTGTAGTTTACTCCTTGTGCGAGGACCGAAGCGACTGAATAAAACAACTGCGACTTCATTTCTACGTCCACAGTACTAGTGCCACTGTACTACAAAAACAGTAAAGAAATGATGAGTATTGTAAGTTCTCAAGTTGTTTTTCACTTTTACACTCATGTGGCTAGCGCAACGTTTTGTCGATAGGCCAGACTAATAGATTTGGCCAGTCATTTTCAGAATATAATAAAATAGGAGAACATAATCCTGTTTTCATCGATAATCTTGTAATTTATTAAAATGCATTGTTACGAGGTATTTTCAGCCAGTGGACCAGTTCGAGTGTATTGCATGTGAGGATAGCAGTACAATCGACATAGTGGGCGTAATTGGATAGATTGCGTGTGACAAGTAGCGGGAAAGTGGAAAGAAGCTTGAAACTCCGCGTATCCGTTCCGCTTCTTGAATCTGTAACTGTGGCATGTTGTAACGGAAATAGAATTAGTGAGGAAGGGGTTATGCATCAGTGGATTGTGTGTGGGCACTTTCTGCTATCGCGGCGCGAGCCGAATCATTGCCGGGCTGAGGCCGGTACAATGGAGCCCAGGCTGTTTGTAAAAAAATGTTATTTAGAGTACTGTTAACAAGAGAAAACCCCGTTGCATTGTGGTGTATGCGGGGATTTGAGCGGATCACGAGTTCGTTTGAAGGGGGCTTTTCTGATCGGTTGTCATGAAAGGATTTTCGTGCGATTATTGCAGTGATCGTTGCGAGGGAAGCAGACGTTTCTCGTTTGCGTTTACGCTTTTCTTGTGAGCATAGCTATGAATAAATTCTAAGCCAGGATAGAACTGCTTTTTCTGCAGACGGAACATTTGATCAAAGAGTAACTGAAAGTATCTGAAGTATCCAAATTCATTGCGATAATCTGTATATAATTTCTGGAATGGCGAGTTATGTAGCTTCTGTTGTTGTCCAGTTATTTTACTGTATAATAAATTAAGTACGTTAGCATAATCCGTAGCTGTTAAGTTTGAGCAATGTCTTTATGAGATTTTTGCTGTTCCGAGTGGAACGCAGAATTACAAAAGTGTCGTAGAAACATTCTTTCCATGAATCAGTATCATGAAACAAAACCGGAAGATAAACGTGAACGTGGCAAAAATTGGGATCTTAATTTTTGTGCAAGCAAGGAACACGATATTTCGCTTGTTTTGCGTACAATAAGCTTATCAATAAGCTTATAAGATTGAAAGTCAGAAAGGTAGTCCTGTGGCCGGAATTATGAATGCACGCTTTTTATTTACAGTGATGTAATGTATAAATGTATTTACTATTTAGCCAGGAAAAGTGAAGTAGCCTGGCAAAACCTTTGCCCATTTTCCCAAGACTTGTTGGAAAATGATCAGTATGCTAATCCGGTGGCACGAGTAAATAGCGTGTTCTGAATGGCCGTCGTGTCGGGATGTGTGAGGAGGGTCAATGGACGCTCCTGTACTTTGTTAGACATCTTTACAAAATGTAGTTAATATTCACAATGGGAAGGATCTCACCGAAAATATCGCCTTCACGATAGACACAGTTGGCGTTATTGATTTATGCCGGCGAATAGCTATACTGCAACTCGTGTCGGTAATGTATTTATTTTGCCGGGCTGGAGAGGTTTGTCAAGGCTTGTTACTGGTAGATGAATATATTTCGGGACACACTATCCGGATCCGGCTGGACAGAAAGTGTGCTAATCAATTCCAACAGGCAGTTTCTGTTTGGCTACGCCTTGTATACCCGTAAGCTTCGAAAATGAATTTTGTTTTTTTGTGTTTTGAGATGCCCAAAATTTGGTGAAATGTTAACAAAGTAATAAACTGACTGTTTAAGTATAACTGGCACTAACGAGATTCAAATGTTATGTTGTTTTGTTTGACGAAACTAACAAAACATACAGGTGTGTATAATAATTATTTTCACTTTCTCAAACGTGAAAATTATAGCAGTTATAAGAATTTTCCCGTTACGTTTATCAAATTAATTGTTTCATTTTGTGTTTTGCTGGTTAACGTCGGTTGCTCCTCTTGTGCGGGGAAAGCGTATTACACACGAAGATTTGACCAGATTTCACTGTAAATCGACACCGACTCCTTTGGGATAAAGTGTCTGAGTGATGAAAAACTGCATTGCAGTTGATTGAATTTGGAGCTTCTCCGTTGGTTTTTTTTGCATTTCGTGACCGTTCGGCAGCTGATGGAGTTTTTTCCCAGGAGGTCAGGGAAGAAATGACTTGCTGCGAATGGGCACGAATGGGCTGGCTAGTTTGCTACGTTCTTGATGAAAGGAAAACACGCGTGTATTTTTTGGAGCGTTTCTGATGATGCGAACCCGTTAACCTCAAGGTGCGCCAAGCGGCCTTAGTGCGAAAAACTCATTTATTATTTAAAAACGGACATGGTTCGTGGCTTTGTTTGGAGCCACGTACGTACGAGCCAAATTGGATAGAATCGGATGTGTGCAGTTCCGTCAGTAGCTGATCGTGAACTTGCTCGTCCGGACAAATACCCGTATTTCATATTCGTAATGCAGTGCTCATTGTGATGGTGCCTTGCTGGCACATAAAATTTTTTTAAAGAAAATAGCAAAATTTTTACTTCGTTATCAGATCTGGATGTTATTTTTCGCCGGGTAATATTAGCGCTTCGTGATTTCATTCCGTTAATATTATCCGTTTAAATCGGTGCTTGATGTTAATTGTCACTTTAATTTTTCTTACCTGATAGTTTGAGTTGTCGAACGAGGGAGTATTCACACACTTCCACTACCGGACTTTTAATGCTGGTACCGGTAACCGGCATTACGGATTTTTAATTTACAAATTGTGTGAGACTTTTATTAGTGCAAATTATAGGTGAAGGTTGGAAGTTAATAATTATTTAAAGACCGGTGAATGTCCGAACAAAGCTCCGGAACCAGCAAAAGCCTCCCCACGTTTTCTTATGTAGCTGTCGTTTTGCATTCTTTTGGCATGCGAGGGTTACACATGGGTCTTGTTCAGACTGTTCTAATCCCGTCAAGTAGGATGCATTTCAAGTGTGACGATAAGCAGATGTATCGTGATCCGTTTGGTGGTGGTACATGCAGCGTGTAGGAAAATGCGAGTGAGAAAATCGCCGCAATGGTCCAGTTGTACGCGCGCTGTATGCTGTCGGGCAATATGTATTGGCGTATGGCGTAAAGGCGGTTAATGTAAGCAATTAGAATAGTCCGCTTGTAGGTTGCCGGTGCGAACGGATTGTTTAAATTTGTCGTTTTTTCTCTCTTGAGTGCTCTTGTCAACAGTGTGTTTGGCCGGCTTAATCGGATCGGGTTAGATCGTGTTTCATTCCAGACAGATTGCTTTAGTTCTGCGGTTTTCTTGAATATCATCACGATAGGTTATACAGTATAAATTGTTTTCCTCGGTTTTTTGGAATTCTTTGCATACTTCGAAAATTTGTGTTGCACCGGCATGGATTACTTTACGGATTTAGTCGCTATGGAGGTACTGTAATTCCCTTTTATGAATGGCAAAAAAATTGAAAACATAATATTGAAAAACTGAAACCATAAACCACAGCTAATATTAAACTGTATCGTGAGGTTGTATCTTTCCATAGTACAGAAATACCAGTTTTTAAATTTTGCGTTTCTTCAAAACATTACCATTGGATTCGACACTTTTACTATAATACTATTAGAGGGCATTTAAACTTGATGGTCTGTGCATTAGTAATTTTGTACCGTTACGTTGACACTTTCGTCGGTAGGATTTTATTCGGTTCTTATGTTTATCGTTTCTTGTGTTGCGTGATCTGGGAAAACGAGCTACCGAGCCTTGGAGGTTGTGTTTTCCATTATTTTCTTACTGGAGCTGTAGGAAGTTTTAGAAAAACACTTCCGCCGCTTTAACCTTCTCTTTTGGCTTGAAGTGCTTAATGGATGTATTTAAATTGGTTCCTGTCAGACAGCACATGCACCGAGTGCTGTAACAGCTTTATGTGTATTATAAATATGTTTTTGTTGTGCTTGTAATATGTTATTATTAACTCCTTCACGGTGATGTAAGCGGTATAGTGCATTAAAATTGCTCCAAAGTGGAGGATAGTGAACCTGCGTAAGTAGTATGCATATCGCTGGACGGAAAAACAGATCAGTGCCATGCTGCCGGTAGTTGTTTTTTTCCCGTCCAAAAATGTTCTTATGTCCATGTTGCTTATGTGGGCAATATTTGTTGTTCGTTGGCGAGTTTTTCTCGTCAAATCGGCAGATGTGGAAATTACTGGTTGCATATGTGGAACAGCTGCGTGTTGTACTGTTGTGCATATTTTTGACTGGTTGAGATGTGGGCTGTTCTGTGGTGTGAAATTTTTGTTGGTATGTACTGTTTTGTACGGTCAAGGTGGTCGAGCTTGGCCTGCAGTTGACCCGTAATTGCTGGTTTCCGCAGTTTATTTACGGGCTTGTTTATTGTTGCTCCGGACTGTTTTTGAATAATTTTTTATGCGTGTACTTCCTTGTTAACGCTGCAGGTAAAGGTAAAATAAATTCGCATATTTTAGTTTAATAACCCAGTTATTATCTACTGTGTTTTCTCCGCGCTGTGTTTTCGAGTTTTTTGTCTTTCGTGTTCCGAATATATTATAGCTTTTGCAAATCCCTAATGCGTTGATGTTATAGCGTTTTGTTTGTGTTAATTGTTTTGGGCAAAATGTTGTTGTTTGTTTTTATTTATGCGCTGTTGATAATTTCATCATTGTATTTTCTCATCCAGTATATTTCTAATTTGATGATCTCTGTTTTCGGAAATTCGGACTAGTTGTCCCGCCTTTTAATACCCAGACAGTTGAATTTAACTCTACTTTGCAGGGGACCTATTTGATTTTTCTTCTAGCGGCTTTTCTGGTTTAAGAGGTTCTGCATTGCAAATTTCTTTCATAGCATCTTTAATGACATATTTGGTCTTGACCAAATTGGTGAGAGATTTAATAAAAAATTCTTTGACCTATTTTATTGGCTGTTGTCAGCACGATATCAGCGGCGGAATGTTGCCACTGCATCCCGGTGCTGATGGTGCTCCAGTTGCGGCACTGTGGGTAATACGAGCAATATGACATTCTTCAGCCGGCGTGTGACATATCATTAGTTAATTTCCAAGATCAGCTGGATAATTACGACTCCCCCCAGTTGATTTGTCCGTCAGTGTTTGTTGGTTTTTCTCTGTGCACTGGTTGACAGTTGCGTGTAAGCGCTAGCAGATCGCTACATTAACCCAGAAAAACTTACGTCCGCCCGGCTTTTGTGACGTTTTTGATGGAGCATTATTATTAGGCAATCGCTGGGCGCTTAGAGTAAAGCGATTTTTAGTTTGGTCTGTCATCATTTCTGGTCATTTTCCCATAGATGCGCAGAATGGATCGGCCAGTCCCGGAGTGAGAGCCCGACGAAGAGCGGCAAGGCGATTGACGAGGGATGGTGAAAATCGATTTCATTCAGGTATGAAGTCTGTATTCAGGCGTACTTTGGCAGCTTAAGTTGAATTTACGGCTTTTCTGATGACTTTTAATACGACGGTGTTTTTTTGAACCACTGGAAAAAGTTTATTTTTTTAAGATTATGGTTTCATGAAACCGGATTCCGCGAATGAATGATTTTAGGGCGCTTAGACGTCAGTTTAGGAGCTACAAAGATTGGTATTGTCGAAAATTTTGCGTTTTGATTTATTTGAAATTAAAGTTAGTTGCTTATATTGGACGAATTTCGTAGTCCAATGGTTGTGGTCTTTCTTCATCATCGTCTTCATCAGACTGATAATTCATGAAAGTTAAATCAAAATGTACGAATTTTCGAATTTACCAAAAATTTTCCAGTAGTTTTGTAAGGATACTTCGAATATTAATAATAACCCGGCTTCCTAAATTATCATCGTGCTGGTTATAACTAAATCAAATCAATACCGTTGTGACTTCCTGAAACCGCAGTCGAACGACGAACGGTGCTAAAACTTGGTTCGTCGTTTAATCTAATTTTAATGGCAGAAATAATAATTTCTGGCAATTTAATGAAATTGGTGGGCAGCATGCTGCTTCTGTCGCTCTTACCGACTTGCATCACTATTTGTTCATTCGAGCGTTCATTCCATTGTTGCGGCGATAAGTTGTGAATGCGATCAGTAGCCCTCTTGATCGGGTAGCCAGTGGAAAATTGGTCTTTTCTGTTTATGTTGAATTTCTTTGAGTTTGTTGTTTCTGTCCCTTAACTGTGGACGGCGCCAACGAACCGCTCCGTTTCAAGATAAATGTTTTTCCGGTATGATTTCTGAACGCATATTGACAGATTCGACTTGCCAATTTCAGTTGTAATTTAGCTGATTTCAGTCATTTCATTGCTTACGAAGTGTAAAAATTACCAGTTAATTTTATTTTGATATTTTAATAAGCTTCACGTTTTAATAAACTTGAATTTTCATCAAAACGTTAGCGCAGAATAAAATTCAGAAAAAAATTGCCTATGGCGAATTTTAGAAAGCGTTTGTAGAATCGGTTGCGATATTTTTTCGTTTCGGCAGCAGTAAATTTTATATCTCAATTTCTTTAAATTTCGTCCCGTAAACTGCAAAAATAATAGTCCTCACGCCGTGAACAACACTTGTCAGCAGGCGTTTGACGATTTATAGCCTTGTTTACACATCCCAGTTTTATGCATACTCCCTACTGAGCGCATTTTGTAGAAATCCGTCAAGAGCAAGTGCTGAAAGCATTAGCGGAGATGAAAGACAAAGCGGTGGCGTTGAATTTTAAACGGACATCGGTGCTGTTATCCAGCGGCAGTGCCGGCGGGGATGCGCCGCAACAGCCGCCCACGCCGCCCGTGGCCAGCGCCAATGGAAATGGACATCATGCGTCCAGTGATGAAGAGGAGGACAGTCTGCCCAGCGAGCGGGATTCCTCCTCCAATGTGTCATCCATGCGAACGGCCTCGCTGAAGAGCGAAGGAAATGGGCTTGTTAATGGACACGCCAAACCGGCCATGATGTTCGGGATGAATATCTACGAGAACAATAGCAGCGAGCACGTGCCGCAGACCAATTTGATGAATATTAAGGAGCTCATCAGTAATCTCAGAAATGACGGTAAATATTTTGTATCAACTGTCAAGTCGAGTGTGAAAATCTCTTTGCACATAAAGCACAAATCCACATTTTATTAAGTATACAAAAGTACCGTGATACTAAACGATTTTTCCTCGTATTGCACAACGTAGCGGTTACGCAGGAGGCAGGAAATAAAGTGTAAATGCAGTTTTGAAAATCGTTTCCATACAGATTTCCCACGGCTTTGACTAATCATAAGAACGATATATTGAGCCTCGGTGAAAATAGACAATTTTGATGATGATTTTCATTGTGGATCAGTTGTCATTAGAGTTAAGTGGGTCACGAAAAAATGTTAACCGCGATTTTTATGGGATTGAAGTAATTTCTTTTGGTTGTGATGCAATGTTTCCATTGAATTTTTTTACGTTTTTGTGTGCTAATTTCCGTTAGGTTGTCTAGTTAACTTTTTCACGTTCACAGTTTTTGTAAGCGCGTCGTGCACAGTTGCTGTAATGTAATGGTGGTTCGTGACACAAGGTTTCAAAATAAGCAAGCGCATACAAGTCTTTTTTGAAAAATTGGCGATTTTTAGAATTTGCAATTTCTTGAGTATGTTTTGGCGAGTTAGCTCTAAATTTCTGCAGTTTCAACCCCAATCTTTTGGTTTTTACAGCGGTTTTCGATACACCTCCGCCGCCTCCACCGGATGTTGCTGCGACAGCGATGTCGGCCACGGCGAATTCACATATTTACACCCACTCGCACATGGGATCATTGCGGCTGGACCGTGATGAAACCGGTAAGACGCAACCATTCAGTTTGCTTTGTTTAAAGTTTTTAAATTCTGTATCGCATCCTTATACAAATTAAGTACATTCTTTACATATCGGAAATATCGCCAGTGCCAGAGTTCTAAGCATATATAGTTAGTTCCGAAAGAGTGACTTTAGTGTTTTTTATGATTTCGGGTAGTTTCAATTTAGAGCAGTAATTGTGCCATAAATAATTGGTGGGTTTTTAATTGAATTTGCTCGGCATGCGCATAAATGTCAGGCCGGCGAAGTAACCTCTGACACGGAGCAATTTTTATTGATGATTAATGCTTGTTCTGGTTAGGAAAAAGTGCGCTTGGCCTACTTGCTTTGCGCTCCGTTAACGGTAATACATTGGGGTGTAATTATCGTAGCGACTTGGACGGAATTTTTTGACAGAAATTGCTTGTCGCTTGCATTATTTATTTCTTCATAGTCCGCGCTGCAGCGGGAAGCTAGTAAAGCAGTCAACTTGTTCGTGCGGCCGGCATAGTCAAATGCTGGTTGATACCCGTTATGGATCACTGAAAAAACTTGGGCGATACTGTTTTGTCGCTGTATAAATTATCTGTCGGTTGACATCGCTTAAGAAAACAGATTTAGATTTTTGAATGGTTTGTGCGTAAGTTTCTATTTGACGATTTAAGATGATTACGCATTATTTAGGCTACAACAATCTGCGCATGCTGTCTGTATTTTATTAATGAAAAAATTATGCGGCAGCGTTGTTGTTAATCAAAAGTTCTATAACCCACCCATCGTTTATTTTTTTGCTAGTAATTGATGCGTACAATCTGAATATCACACGCATTCCTATATTAGTATTGGTAACAGTCTAACAGAAAGCTTCTTCAAGTATTATAGTTCTCGTAAGTTTAATTACAAGATAATTAGCACTAGTCATATTTGTTGCCTTTCCTGTACACTGGATGGTATTCTCTGCTCAGAGTTTTTTACTAGCGCGTTTCTTGGATTGGATTCTTGGATTTTTCTTATAAGAGAGCAGTTGACTGTGAATTTGGATAAAACTATTTTTACTTTATTTTTTGACTTGTTTTTTAGGCACAGAAAAGCGTAACGGTAAAGTGTCTGCCAAGATCCAACAACTTCTCACCACCCTGAAGAAACCGCGTCGCAAGAATCTGGCGGAATATTTTGAGGACGACGATCTGGAATTAGAAAGTGAGCATATTGACCGAAACTGCCGTGTTTGTCCATACTCTGTCGCTTGACCTATTTATGCGTGTTGCTCTCCAGTTGCGGCCAATCAAGTCAATCCCAATGCACCGAAACCTGAAGGGAACACGGTGACACCGTTCGTGGGTGAACGACTCAGCGTAAGCATTGTGCGCGGGAATGCAGCATTCGTTTTCCAGTGCGGAGTAACTGTTGCGCTGTGTTTAGCCGGCTTCCGGTGTGGCGGTAATGCTGGAGCAGGCACTGCAGCAGCACGCCCACTCCTTTCCCAAGGCGCCGGCACTGACCGTCCTGGATGTCAATGGACGTTTGGCATCGCATTTAACCTATTGTAAGCTGCTTTTGCCCTGTGTCCCATTTTTATTTTTCGTTTGCGTGCATACTTGTTAGATTTTGAAAAATTGGCAAACATTTTTTGCTTATTTTTATTGCCGCAAAATTTCTTTTGTGGCAACCTTTCAAGAAAATAATTTGAAATATAAATTTTACAGCCAAACTCCTGCGTCGTGCTCAGCAAATCAGTTATGCGTTGCTCAATAAGACAAGCCAGCGAGACGGGACATTGAAGATAAAACCAGGAGATCGGGTAAATTTCAGAAGTGCAAATGATGTTGTGTCTCAGCTGAAGAAGTTTTGTGTTCGCTTTGGCAGGTGGTTCTAGTGTATCCCAACGGGGATCCGATTTCTTTCATTAGTGCGTTTTATGGATGCTTGATGGCCGGTGTGGTGCCGGTTATGATCGAAGTTCCGCTGACCAAACGGGCAAGTTGCTGTACCCTGCTTTTATCAATTTGTTTCAAATCGTAGTATATGGGCGTCACCGAATCGATAGATACTTACTTCCCTTATGCCTTACATATTCTGACAGTTATCGTTGTAATCGATTAAGGTATTTGACGCGAAGCTTTCCTTGCTTTGTCTTGTTATAGGCCATGTATAAAATTTTTTTAGCGTTGTGTTGTGCAATATTTGTTAATTGTTTATTTTAATAATTTATTTATAAGAAACGTTGTGTTGGCAGTGTTTAATAATTTTTGACACCCACGATTGAATCGCACTTATTGGATCGTGCTGCAGTATTCGTCAAGAACGTTGAATAAACAGCAGTGAATTTTTTCTCGTGCAGGACGCCGGTTGTCAGCAAGTGGGATTCTTTCTGGGCAGTTGCGGAGTCCAGATGGCCGTAACATCCGAGGCGTGCTTCAAGGGTCTGCCTAAAACGCCGACCGGAGAAGTTGTACCGTTCAAAGGCTGGCCGAAGCTCCAGTGGTTTCTGACGGATAATCTAGCGAAACCGCCGCGAGACTGGGATCCACCCGCGCGGCTGCAGGATGAGCTGCCAGCGTATATTGAATACACCTCGGATCGCGATGGAAGTGTCATGGGGGTCACGGTATCGCGAGGCGCCATGGTTAGTCACTGTCGGGCACTGAAGGCCACGTGTGGATACACCGACGGGGAAGTGATGGTCTGTGTGGTGGATTTCAAACGGGATCTGGGATTGTGGCATTCCGTTCTGGCGGTATGTAACATGTGGAAATTCGTTTTAAGCAGTCGTGTAGCAGTGTTTTTAGTGTTTTGAAGTGATTATTTTGCAATGAATTGGAAATTTGTTTGTACCGGTCTGCGTATCGCTAGCTTCTAACGAAAGACTCTCAGGATATCAAACGTAACGTAGCGAAAGGGCTTGTGGCAGCTGTAATTGCATCCACTAAATCTGAGAATCTTTTCCTTCGTTTGGACATTTTCAGTGATAAGATGTTGCTCAGATTAAATGTTTTTGCAATAAAAATACCGGTAGCTGGAAAATTGCTCGCAATGCTTTTTGGTTGGTTCTATGTCTCTCGTGGTGTTCAGCGACGTTTTGTGCATGAGTAATCTGTATTTTGTAATAATCCGTCATCAGTGACAGGATATGGCAAAATTAAACATAAACAGTATTTGCCAGTTACCTTTCTGAGGTATTTTCACTACTGCTGCATTTGTGTTTATACATACAGTATTGTAAAAATGCAAAATGCAATTTTACTGGATTGATTCGCTTTGCAGAGTGTAGCTAACCGCCTGCATGTGATCTTCATCCCATACGCCCTGATGAAAGTTAACCCCGGTTCGTGGATGTTGATGATCAGCAAGTTCCGTGCCTCGGTGGCCGTGGTGAAATCCCGCGATCTCCACTGGGGCGTCCTGGCGCAGCGGGATCATCGGGATGTCAATCTATCCTCGCTGCGGATGCTCCTCGTCGCGGACGGCGGCAATCCTTGTAAGTCTCCTTCACTCTTCCGCCGACACCGGCAATGACACGCTTCTTCGTTGCATAGGGTCGCTGACATCGTGCGATCAGTTCGTCAGCGTCTTCCAGTGCAAAGGCCTGCGACCGGAAGTCGTATGCCCGTGTGCATCCTCCCCCGAAGCCTTGACGGTGGCGCTGCGGCGGCCGGGGACGGGATCGGTGCCCGGGAGCAGTACGGGGCGCGGTGTGCTGTCCATGAGCGCGCTGAGCTATGGCGTGATCCGAGTGGATCAGGAGAACAGTCTCACCTCGCTGACGCTGCAGGATTGTGGGAGGGTTTTGCCTGAAAGTGAGTTTTCTTTTTCAGGTTCATGTGCCACGGTTTTGAACGGCATTGTGCGTTGCAGGTTCATTGTTGGTGCTGAAGATCGACGGACCGGCGTATTTGTGCAGGACCGATGAGATTGGGGAGATTTGCGTGAATTCCCCGTACTGTGGAAGTGGGTACTGGGGATTGCAAGGGATGACGAACGCCACGTTTAAGGTCTGTGTGGACTGGCGGATTTCGAGGGTGATAGTGAAAATACGAACTGGAATATATTTTTCAGGTTCAGCCGCTTAGACCAGATGACACACCTTATAAAGAAAAACAATATGTACGAACGGGACTGCTTGGATTTTTGGGACCGGTAAGATTGTTGTTTTTCGATTAATCGTGTGAATGAAAAACTCAGTTGCGAAAGAGGGTCATAATTATTTTGTTGTGTATTCTTTAATCGTTTTTTGTTTGTCATAAGCATTTAGTTGAATCCTCACCAGTATTTGATTAAATTACATACATAAAGGTCGTTATTTATTACTTCGTTTGCCGTTAAGGCATATTCCAAACAGTTTGTCGAAGATCTGTGTAGTGCAGTGTATAGGTCGAGTGACAGATGTAATATACAGTAATACGGTGTTTGAAATTAAAAACATTAACGCAAACAACAACCTCAGATTCAGCGTAAAGAAATAATGAAATTGCGGTATTTTTTCATTTGCAGAACGCCATACTATAGCTAAAAATTAATTGTTACAGGGTGGATTGGTGTTTGTGTGCGGGAGTCGGCAGGGTCTGATGCAGGTGTCAGGTCGGAAGCACAACATTGACGACCTGATTGCCACCATTCTGGCCGTTGAGCCCATGAAGTTTATTTACCGAGGGCGGTAAGTTGACAATTACTGACTGACAGTCGCGGCAGCCTTTATTAATGATCGATGCTGATGCCGTGTGTGTCGCTTTGCAACGCGCAGGATCGCCGTGTTTGCCGTCAAGGTGCTGCGTGATGAACGCATCTGTGTGGTGGCCGAGCAACGGCCGGATTGCACGGAAGACGAGAGTTTCCAGTGGATGAGCCGCGTGCTGCAGGCGGTGGACAGCATCCATCAAGTGGGCATTTATTGTCTGGCCCTGGTTCTGCCCAACCATCTCCCAAAGGTATTTAGAAACTGCAGAAAGTACCCGGTTTTTCAATAATTTGAAGCCTTCTTATAACAAAATTAAATTTAAAAACTGGTGAAGGAATACGGGAGGTCCGTCTTTTTTACTTGTTGTTTTTAAAAATGCTTTATTAGAAAATAATAAAATAAACCTTTAAAGCCATAATAAAGTAAGTCATTTTTAGCCTTTTTATGATAAATTCCGTTTTTAGAAATGGTGTACGAAAATCCCTTTTTTTATTTGCGTTTTTTAAAAGTGTTGTTACTTCTGTAATAAATTAATAAATGGTCTTGAGATGTTTTTAACAGCGACAAATGTCTATTTCCTCTAGACATCGTTGGGCGGCATTCATTTATCGGAGACCCGTAAACGCTTCCTGGACGGCGCTTTACACCCATCCAACGTGCTCATGTGTCCCCACACTTGTGTGACCAATCTGCCCAAACCCCGCGAGCCGCCGACGGACATTGGACCGGCGTCGGTCATGGTGGGCAGCATTGTGCAAGGGGTACGCCCGGCGGAAGCCCGAGGTCGAGATCTCAGTGTGTTCGAAGATGACAATGAAAGCACCAAAAAGGTACAATAGTCACACACCGCTTTTCTGGAATTCCTTAATGATTTAGTATTTTTGTAGTATCAGTTCATTTCGGAAGTGCTGCGATGGCGCTCTACCAGCACACCGGATCACGTCGTACACACGTTGCTCAATGCTAAAGGATTGCCCACCGGATCGTTGACCTGCATGCAGCTGCACAAGCGGGCGGAGAGGATCGCCATGCTTCTTCAGGATAAATCCCAGATCCACCCCGGTGATAACGTTGCCCTGCTCTTTCCGCCTGGTATGCGGCATTGTTTTTAAAAGCATCAGGAAACTGTTATAACTGATTCGCCGTTTATCTAGGAATTGATCTAATCTGCGCTTTCTATGGATGTTTATACGCCGGTGTGATCCCGGTAACAATTCGACCGCCGCAGTTGCAGAATCTTTCCACGACACTGCCCACGGTGAAGATGATCGTCGATATCAGCCGTGCCAAAGCCGTGTTGACGCTAGGTACCACCATCAAAATGATCCGCTCCAAGGTTTGTTCCGTGCCATTTTTTCAGTAGCTAAGATTTTCTTCCATGATTCGTTTTTCAGGAGGGATCGGCTGCAGTGGATGCTAAAACTTGGCCGATAATGCTGGACTGTGAAGAACAGCCGCGGAAGAAATCACTAGTCGGTTATCGACCGCCCTCACCGGACTCGGTGGCTTATATCGATTTCAGTGTGTCCACAACCGGCGTGCTCGCTGGAATTAAGGTTAGAACATGTAATACAATTACGAAAACTTGAAATAAATAATGATAATAATTAAAGAATGGTAATAAAAACGCGCGCCCTCGTTTCTTTGGATTTTAGTTTGTATAAGTAGTTTCACTGTGTAACAAAATTTTCGCCAATTTGCACATTTGAACCCCTACACTACGTTCGGTCCCCATTTACTCGGTGTACGATGGACAGTAATGAGTAAATGGCAAACAATGGATATGGATCAGATTTACAAAATGAATCACGACAACTCAGTTGACACGTTCCATTGCAGGTCTCCCATGCCGCTGTGGCTGCCTTGTGCCGCAGCATGAAGTTGGCGTGTGAGTTGTATCCGTCGCGCCACGTAACGGTGTGTTTGGATCCGTATAGTGGACTGGGCCTCGTTTTATGGGTGCTCAGCAGGTAAATAACCTGTCCGTACAAAAAAATGGCAATATTTTCCATCGCGATTGTTTTTTGTTTTACAGTGTTTATTCCGGTCACCATTCCATTCTAATACGTAAGAGAAAATCGTGGACAAGTTTTCAGGGTTTCAGTTAATAACAAGGGGATTTTTCTCTGCAGCTCCTGCCGAAGTGGAGCTCAATCCGGCCCTATGGATAACTACCGGTGCGTTCAATTGCTGCTTTCCATGACACAAATTATTCCAAGCATCTGTTTTTGCTCTGTAGTGAGCCAGTATCGAGTTCGGGATACGTTCTGTTCGTACGGGGTATGTCGGCATTTCGTTTGCTGTCATAGTATGTGCATATGATAACTCATACTGTGTCGTCATTTCCAGGTCATGGATTTAACAACCCGGGGCCTGGCTACATCCATCGCGCTTCTAAAGGTGATCAATAAAAACTTTAAATTCTTTGGGTTTATCGTGTTATCGGTGAGGTTTTCCAGGAGAGGGGAGTGAATCTGAGTTGCGTGCGGACATGTGTGGTTGTGGCGGAGGAACGTCCGCGCATTGCCTTAACAACATCGTTTTCTAAGTTGTTTTCCACCCTGAGTCTTTCGCCAATGGCCGTCAGCACAAGTTTCGGGTGCCGCGTCAACGTGGCTATTTGTCTGCAGGTGAGTAGTCGCTCGTCATTGGTCAGAATACGTGTATCGGCGAAAAACACAATATGCGCCTCGGCTCGTGAAATATTGATAATTTTTTTCGTGTGTAATACTTTCCATAAGAGTACTTAACAGAGTACTTTCCTATATTATCGGGGCCTTACAGTCTTAAAAAGCGTCAATGTAGTCACACCTTCAATGCCCATTTTCTACGAATTCTCCGTAGTTGTTGGTTAGAATGATGGTTTGCGAATTGATTTTAATCCGGTTTTGAATTTGAAACAAACCCGTGAGTCCCGACTACCCGAGACTTGGGGATGGCAGGGTTCTTGAGGCATATAATCTGAAGGCTGCGATTTGTTACAGGGTGCTGCGAGTCCCGATCCCAGCACACTGTATGTCGACATGCGCGCACTGCGCAATGACCGCGTCACACTGGTCGAGCGAGGTAAGAGGCGGCAGACTGAGGGACAAGTGTGGGTTCTTCAACGCAGCGTGCTAATGTTTGTAGGAGCGCCACATAGTCTGTGTGTGATGGAATCCGGCAAACTGCTTCCCGGTGTCAAAGTGGTCATTGCCAATCCCGACACGAAAGGTCAATGTGGCGATTCCCATCTGGGCGAAGTGAGTGAAACTTGTTGTTGCCATCCGCTTTCCTGATGTTAAGTGCATTTGTTGCAATAGATTTGGATCAGTAGTCCGTTCAATGCTTCGGGCTATTTCACCACGTACGGCGAGAGCGCCATCACCAATGACCATTTCAACGCACGATTAATTACTGGGGACACGCGAACGGTCTTTGCACGCACCGGCTACCTCGGCTTCCTCCGTCGGACGGAGGCTATTGGACCAGAAGGAGGTTTGTTGAAATTGGAAATCAGCATTGTGTCTTTTTCGTAATTTCACGTTTGGGGTATCTTGCACGTGAAAAGCAGTACGTAAAGCTGATTTTTATTGTTTGTAGAACTGCATGACGCCGTCTTTGTGGTGGGATCTCTGGATGAGACGCTGTTGTTGCGCGGGATGCGTTTCCATCCCATTGATATGGAGAATTCGGTTCTCAAAGCTGACAAACGAATCTGTGAATGGTAATCATGGCGCGTAAATTAGCGTTACGCGTTTTCTTAAATTTACAACGATAACCGGTAGCAAAGTCGCTAAATCTGTTGTGCTTTTTAGTGCGGTGTTTTCGTGGACCAATCTGTTGGTGGTAACGGTGGAGTTGGATGCGGCGGAGAGCGATGCCTTAGATCTGGTGCCCATCGTCACCAATGTCGTCCTGGAGGATCATCATCTCATTGTCGGGATTGTTGTCGTTGGTAAGCTTGATTTAACCGTATTCTTCCTCAAGAATGGAATGAGATGAACCGTAGAGTAAAGGATGCATCAGAGCCTATGTAGCGCCATACACTAACCAGCGGATTGACATACGGAGTTTGTTACTTTGAATATTTGATCTTTTAAAAAGATTTTTTTTCTGTGTTTTACAACATTGGTTATCGGATGTCTGTCTGTTTAGGAGATTTCAGAGTACGATATATCAGTGATAAACTCACACTTTAAAATTCGGTTTTATCGTTCTTGCATTTTATTTCGAAAAGGGACAATTTGAGATAATTCAGTTCCTACTAACAAGCTTTACCTGATATTAATCGGAAATCATTTTTCAGTGGATCCTGGAACTGTCCCGATCAATTCTCGAGGCGAAAAACAACGGTAATTTCTTATTGTTATTCTTATTGATCGACTTCGCATAATTTTGAAATGTGTTTTTGTTTTGCAGAATGCACTTACGTGATAGTTTTCTGGTAAGACTGAATAATTGTGCTGTTTTTTGATTGTAATGTAACCTTTGTGATGGTGTTTGCAGGCGGACCAGTTGGATCCCATCTACGTTGCGTACAACATGTGAAAGGATTATTATTTGTAAAGGTTCCAACGACTGACCGGGTACTACGAAACAGATTGTGTTATTTTTGAATTGAGCGTGGAACTGCTTGATGCGGTGCGATCCAGTTGGCCGCCTGGTCGTGGAATGTTATTGTCTTATTTGTTTTTAATTGATTATTGTGATAGCGGCCTGTCGACAGGGGCGTATTGCTTGTTTTTGATCCCAAAGTGTTCTTCGTCGATTTGGTGTGACGTTCTGCGTTCTGCATAGGATTTTATAGCGTTTTATTTCTGTTTTATTTTCTGTTAACATATGTAAGTCTGTTAACGATGTTGATTCGGTCTGTAACAAAGCATTTAATGCAGCTGCTATTACTGACAGCCTGGTGGTCTAAGGATTATCGTGACCTTTCAGATCTTAATTATTTAAAGTGTCGATTAAAGAATTGCTTGAACGATGTTGTCGTATTGGTTGTTCGTCCCACTTCAGAGCAGAGTCGCTGCTTGGATTTACGGAAGCGCTACAAAGTAAATGCCGGTTATGCCAGCTACTGCTAGAATTCCAAAGCGCGAAATACATCCTACCACTTCGTAAGAGATTTTCAACCTTTGGTAGTTTTATGTTCATGGTCAATCAGGTTGGATAGTAATTTTTTTAGGTGCAAATCAATTTGGCCACCATCGCGTGCAGCAGATAAGTAAGGCAGCGGTGGAAAAAAACAGTGATGATGCAGTGCAGTGGCACGCGTTACGAAAGAGCTGTTAATGATGACAAGTGCTCACTTGACGGGCTGACGTATGAAGGTGGCACAGTCGGGAGCGGCAGTGTCAAATACGCGCCCGTGGTATGGCAGTTGCGGCGGATGTGTCGGGACTCCAATACTGCAGGCGCGGAAACATACTGCTGCAACCGGAAGTGAGCCGACATGCGTGCAGCATAATGGATGAGATTGACGAGGCAAGACGTCTGAAACAGCACAAATTTTTCTGTTTACGCTTTTCTAATTCCATGTACATTCTATTCAGAATTACTGCTAAAAGACATATGCAACATTGGCATAATGGATGTAAACAAAAAACAAGAACACTGATTTTTATCTAAAAAAGTACCTAAAAATATATTATATAATTTACAAGACGAAAGCTTTCGTAAGCGTCTAAGCGATATCGATAAATCGAGCAAAGTGTCATTATTTCCAATGTTTTAACGTCTGACCGAGTGCTACGAATCGGATGCCGCACACTAGGCCGCACGATAGTGGTCACACTTTACGGACAAAGAAAAACATTAATTTTTTATGTAGATTTGTAATCTTTTGTAATCTACATAAAAAATTAATGTTTTTTACGTCTTTATGCATATTTTTTCATGTTTATATTAATTTTCGTGTTCTGTTAGGTATTAAAATGCTGTGGAAAACACAAATGCCAACAATCACACAGGCGCTTCAAATCAGATGCCGGTTAAGCCAACTACATATACTTCTATAGGTAGTTATCCTGCTCCGGTAAACAGCAGGAAATATTTTTAATGCATCCTTATACTTTTGAAGAGAATTTTGATCTTTATCCTTTTTATCCTGCTGGCTTATCGACTAACAGCACGTTTTTAAGGTAGAAAAGTGAATCGGCAAGGATCGCGTGCAACAGGTTAGCAATGAAACTTCTAAAAAAAACGTGGTAACGCAGTGCAGTGGCACGCATTACGAACGAGCTGTTGATGACGAGAGAAACAAACTTGACTTCCAGACGCATGGCGGGCGCGCTTTCGGGAGCGGTAGTGTGGAGTACGCGCTGCTTGTGGCAACAGTGCGGCAGCTGCCGGCAGACGTGCCAAGGCACTGTTAGCACTGCAATGCTGCTGCGCGCGGAAAGGCACTGCTGCAACTGAAAGTGTTCCGGTGTGTGTCATAATGAAAGAAAGAAGACTTCTGAAACAGCAAACTTTTCCACTTTTCTGTTACGGGATATTCAGATAAACGTGTGGAATATTTCACCTTGTGTGCATAGGACTGCTAATCTGCAATATATTTATAGTAATTGCTTCTGGCGGAAATTAAGGTGCAGAAACACAGCTGCGGTGCGATACCGCCGGGAGAATTTTACATTGTGCGAGTTTCCTATAACCACTCCGTATTTCCTAGGACTTTTCGTATAAAACTGATAAAATATAGGTATTTGCGAAATTAAGTACTTGTTCCAGTCCTGCACCAATTGTTGGGAAATTGGTCAAGATATAGCTGATATACTGCGATGTGTACGGCGTACGAAATGACATTGTCGACAATGTCGAGTATGTATTTTCGGAATGTGGAATATCCAGCAGTGGATCCTTGGTAATTAGACGTTGGCATGACTGGTTTACCGTCATGTGTCCAAAGTAATTCCGGTGTGTACCGGTGTTGATTCTGCATCCAGCGGCGCAGAAGTGCTGATGCGGGCGATTTGTCAAGTGCGTGAATATAAGGGTACATACTATATAAACGCGTCAGCAGTTTGCCGCTTTTGGCACGCCGATGGCCCGTGGAGCACTGGAGCTGTACAACAGTATGTACTTGGAGGGCCTGTAATACGGCTTAACGTCGCTGGACACGTAGTCAAGTACTCCAAAGTAGTACCGGGAGAAATATGCATTGTTCCCAGCATCTGGCTAACATTCGGGAAATTTAAAGACACCCACAGCAATCTACCCAATGCGAAAATAATAAAGTAATTTGCGTTTAACAGTCTAAGAATTTACTTTGATTAATTTGAAAAAGTTTCAGTGTTTAATTAAGTACCAATACAGTGCCAAACACCCCGTGATAGGCGTGAGCTAATGAAATTGAAAATATCAGAGCCATTTCACTACGATATCACGTAATTATTGGTCATCGTTCTGACCGTGCACGCAGAGCCCGTATGCAAAATCCTACATTATGCAGCAGCGGTGCGAATTGGTGTTATGCAAAGCAGCGGCGATTAAAAAACCAAAAGCGACATAATTGTTAAAGAAGGATTTAGCATCTCGTGTGTGTGTGTGTTTTCTCTCCTGCATAACATCATTCTCACTAATCAAACAGAAACCGTGTACCGATATGGCATAACCGGCGTTAGTCTTCAGTTGCACATGTTACGCTAAGCCCCGGTAAATCAAGCCATCGTTTTCCGGCCACTTGTACCGTTACACGGCTTGCTACACATGTAAATTAAATGTCCGGCATCGGCTCATCACCGCAGCGTCACACACACACAGTCACTCACAAATACAACAACCGGGCAGCGACGTAACGCGCAACAGATGTTTTGATGATCTTTCCACTTTCCGGCGTCGCTCGCTCCAACCAGCGACGGCCATCCGCTTGTGCCCACCCCCCACCGCTTGTCCAAATCATCCGGCACCTTTCGCATTAACCCTTCCGTATCTGTACAACACACACCGCGACAATTATAGTTTTGATCAGCGCTAACAGTGTGGATATGTGCCGAACCAGCTGATGCTTAGTTGCTTCTTTTTTCCTGCAGCCCCGACTTTTTCCCCTGCGCGCGTCGACCGCACAGCGCACAGATCAGCCAATTCCTTTCAGCCGGTGGCTAAAGAAAAAATTGCCAAGTTCGACAGAAAACTTGCTGAGGATCGGATCTAGACGTATTCTCTATCAGCGTTTGTTGTACTGTTGTGCCCGGGGCGGCGCACGGTCATGCCGATGCAGAGCACAGCACTAAGTCCCTTAACGGCGATGGATAGTTATGTGTTCGCGGCGGCCGCAGCACATCGCTCCTTCTCCGATCGGCTGCAGTTGACATCCAGCACACAGCAGCCGCCGCAGCTGCAGCCCGTGGGCGTCAGTGAGCACGACCACGGGGCCAGTCCGCACCCGCTGCCGGACAGCAGCGCCGATTATGCCGGCGTGGTCACGCCGCTGGCGGCGATCAGTCTGGCTGACCACTATCAGCAGCAGCAGAATGGCGGGGTGGACGCCGAGGGCGGTGGCCACGAGCACAGCCATCACTGTCATGTGCAGCAGATCGGCGCCGGGAATTTCCTCCTGCATTCCAACGGCTCCATCGAGCTGACCAAGGGACTGATGCCGGAGGAGGCCTGGCAGTTTGCCGGCGCCATCCCGCAGCTGCACGGCTCCATGCACCCGGTGGGCAATTTTCATATTCCCAACTGCGGAATACCCTATTCGCCCGTCTCCACTGGACAGCTGTTGCAGAGTCACCAGGATAATCAGCATCACACTGTAAGTCCCACATTAACGACTTCGTTTTATTATTTCATCCATTAAATATTCAATTATTGTATTTAAGAAAATTAGACATTCCATTACATTTAAGAAAATTAGACATTCCATTAAAATTAGACATTAAAAGCAATTATTCTCCCGGATATATCTAGCATTTTCCGCGTATTAGGTAGGTAATGCCTTGTTCGCCTTTTTGGGTTTATCATGAGAAAAATTTTTGGACGTCTTGCGAAGTTTAGTTGATTTTTTTTGTTACGAAATGTATCGTCTTATGAGTTAAATAAATTACATATATCATTTCAAAAATAAACTTCTGTTAATACAACACCAGGTTATTTCTCCGAGCCGATATGTACTGCCGGCTGCATTCTATAGATTTATTTTTAACGTGAGGAAAATATTGGAAACTGACTTACGAAATTTATTTGCTTATCCCGAAATGTCGGAATTGTGTTGCTTTTCTAATTTGTCAAGTGTGATTGCGGAAGCGTGTTGATTATTTTTGCTAATGTGTGTGCGGACTAGTTTAGTTTAGTGACGATATACCGGCGGAAAAGCCAACAGACAGCCGATAATATTATTCCAAAGTCCGCACGTGGACACGATAACGAATATGCGCGCTTCTACTAATAAGCAGCAGCTCTCTTGGGTCTCGTATCCCACTTTTTACATTGTCTCCGTGTCCACAACTTAACGCAAATAAATATTACTTAAACGAAAACTGTTTTTGTTTATATATAAACATATTATATTATATTATAATATGTGAATTACGTACCGTCGCTTAAATAACGGAACAATTTTTTAAAAAGCAGTGCTGTTAGTTTAATTTTTTTATAACCCCTTTTTTTAACCAAAAATCCGGTAACCAATCTTTTAATTAAGTACGATCTTCAAAAAGTTTCATGAGCGTTTTTAATGATTAGAAGTTCTCTCTTACTGCACTTGTGTACTGCTGATCGGCTGGTTCGTTACGTGACCGATAACGCGAATGTTTACCGAGAGTGACCTTTAAGTGATATTCGACATTTCCTCTTTCATAATTTGCCGTCTTGCATAAGCAGCGCTTTTTGAAGCGCTGAAATTGTGCGGTCCTCTCTCTAGTCTCTCTCTTTCACGGTTCGGCTAGCTTTTAACTGCAGCGGTGCTACGCTATATCCGTCTAGCAACAATTTTTCATTTCTAAACATTTACAAATGTTAAAAATCCATCAAACATTCTCGGCGTTCTTGCCCATGTGTGCTTTGTCTTTCGGGTATGTTCTCACTCTATCCACACTGCAATGTCGTGGTCATATGCGCGACTTATGTCATTGCAGTATTTCCGTCTGAAAGGTTTACAGAAAACACGAGAAAAGTTTAGTTGGGAAATAACAGCGCAATGATAACCAATAACAAATTCCGAAACAAATTTTGTTTAGATGCAGTCACACAGTCAAGGCAAGGCAAAATTAGGATGACATTGTAGAACGAGGGCTCGTTCCTGATTTGTGGTGAACTGGCCATCATCTTTATTTAGCCCTAAGTTAAAATCTGACCGTCAGTTAAACAACAGAAGGAATCTTATGAAACCTAAATTTTTTTATTCATATTCAGGAACCCAACCGTATGCGTAGAGGAGATTTATATAATTTATGCCGTTTTAATATTAGCTTTTTCGTTATTTCAGCATTATTTTGTGTATGGCATGAAACACCTCAATAAGAAACCCTTAAAAAGGAACTGAAAGTCTGTCCAGTCGGTGCAGTGGAGAATTCCGGAAGCGGAAGAGGTGCATCCAATCATCTCATGTATAAAACAGTGATAATATCCACGAGGTGCTAAGTGTGCCGGCGTGATATTTATCGCGCATCCGATGTTGCACGGTGTGTCTGCCGTTTCACCGCTTCCGTGAGCGGCGATAGTGGGTGCCTATGTGGTCAGAGTGCAAAGGGCACGTGCGCTGCTCGCGAGTGATGCTGCGCGGGAACCAGTGGCACCACTAACCTAGACTGGACAGAGCCGATGCGGAACCCGGCAGTGCTACTGCTGGAGTACGTTGATCATGGCCAGCCGATCTGACCGCGGCAGCTACATCACTACATGCGTGCGCGTGTGTACGCTAGTCCGTGGAATCTCGTCTGATCAAGCTCGTTCGCATCTGACCCCTGGCAAATCCATTTTCGCACCAGATGTGTTTATGCGCATAGGCAGATGTTTGGTCTAACAACCGCAGAGTCCTAACCTTGTCCGCTTTAATCGGTGACGCTGCTTGCTCATTAATTATCACGCTTCGGTCTATGTACTGTATTTAAAAATAACGTTAGTCAGTTTAACACGTTTATTATAATATTTTCTTAGTGAAAAAGTTTTACATGTGCATGTCGCAATCCAACAACTACGATATATGCGACTCGTATATATGCATAGGGCGTTGCAGACTAGAAAAATTCTGGCAGTCGCGGTAAATTTGAAGCATATTTCATTTGGTCAGGCTTCTGTTTTCCAGATCAATTTCGTTTATTAATTTTTGGAATCTTTTATTTGATCTAAACGGGCAAAAAGTTTCTTATGAAACATTTAAATGAAAACACGGGCCTTTGTAAATCCAGCCATTCCTGCACGTACAGTTGTCATTAAACACCCTTACTTTTGGTTAGCTTCCTACTAAACTTTTTTGGCTCTCTTCACTATAGTAATTCGGCGTCCATTACAGCATTTTGATGCAGCAATGCCGCTAAGAAAGGTGCAAACAGTTTTGTTCTGAAAGCGATTAGCAGGTGTTGCCAGTTCTTAAAAGCCGCTTGGCAGTTGACCTTTTGCCTATAACTAGTACCGGTACAATGTAAGTACAACATTCTTTAGCAGGTTCCAGAGTTTTGTGTGCGCACACAGTGAAGCGATCGCTCATGGCTTTTGTCAACAAACGAAAACTGCCCCGTCAGTGGAAACAAATGTTTTCAAACAACAAGCAGCTCTTGCGCAAACCAACCATTTTAATTGCACCAAATCTCTCCACATGCAGCGCTACGGTATTCAAATATCTCTTTTTGTTATAAGCAGATGCATATCATTACGTAGTGCAGTGGATCCTGTCGTTAGTGAATGATCCAGCATATTTAAAGGAGTCGTGCAATAAACTCAGTGTAATTAAATTCTGAATATACGCTTCAGAAATTCGTATTTTATTACAAATTTTTTATACCTTATCTTTGAAAAATGAGTAAATTTATTGCGAATTTCTTCGGCAGTAGCCTAATTTTCAACAACCCATGCAGAATGATATCGATTACAAAAGCCCCATTGCAACAGTGGGCCGAAGAGTGCCAACAATGTTGGTGTTATTAATAAAAGGTGGCAGCGATGAACAATACTTGATGCGGCGTTAACGGCCCTTAATATCTCTCTCTCCGCGCCAACCGCCTCCCCCATCGTTTAGCGTTTTATTGAAGAAGGTCCCTCTTATTACCGCACTTAGCCGCGGAGATGCTCTTCACCGTGCACTCTGTAGCGGCGATCGTGTAGTTCTTCGTGATGGATTGGCTACAGTGGATGATGGCGGTAGTATGGAAATGTAAATTGAAACAGCAGCTTAACTACAATGCTTTTGATGTAATTGGTAATGCATAAGCTGGCCCGGCCAGTAATGATAATACCGAAGTCTACACCGTGTCAACACGGATGCGGTAATGATCCGGCGAGAGATGAGTGAGAGCGTGAGTGAGAGGAGATGATGTAAGCGCGTCACCGCTAACCGCATATATATATTTCGCAATGGGCCCGCTGTCACCTGTTTGTACTGGTCAGTAAGAGTTAGATGAGAATGTTTGGAAATTGGCCACTTGAGTGTTATGGAGATATAACAGCCAGTTTACACATTGGCGTCTCTTGAGAGCGGCCAACACCATGCAACACGGCGTGGTTACGCGGGATGCAGATACTGTTATACTGGTGTGAATACGTGGTGCCGGCACACGAGCACGGCGGTGTGGACAGCTCTATAGCAACTGCGAGCCGGCCGCTGTCACCGTGCCGGGTCTTTCTAGAGCAATTAGAGAATGCGGGCTGACGGACGGGCTGGCATTGTTGTGTGGGAAAATTGAGAAACCCCTTGTGTCAGGCGCGTTGTGTGCTGTGCGAATTCCTCATGTACAGATACAGCGTCGCTTTGAAAGCTCGTAGTGAAAACATGTATTGCGGCGGCACCAAATTCATGAAGCCGCGATTTGATGGGGTTGCTGTCTCGCGGTTTCGAAAAAATTTCGCATCTGCCGTAAATGATAAATTTTTTGTTCCGATGATTACGAGTACTTCTTTTTCACGGGCAGTTTTTCTTCAACGGTTTTACCATAACAAAATCGGAGACTACATAAACCAATTTTGTATACGCAATTCAAAATCTCAACTTTCTTGATTTGCTGCTGTGGAACTTCCGTGTGAATTGATGTACAGTTGTACACCAATGACCACTCCACCAACTGTGGTACACCAATTGTTTAGGAATTATCGTAGTAAACAGGCTTCGGCAGTTTAACAAGATGTTCACCGTACAGACCGAATGACAGGGAAAATTCACAGCGTAGTTCCGTAACCATTTCCCTACGCAATTTTTTGTGTTGTTACCGATAGATTTAATAATACTAATAGTCAGAAGTACTCTTTTTGGTTAACCTGATCTGCTAATTCCCGGCTTCAGGTGCGGTGCATACATTCGCATCTCCCACTAACCATTTAAAAACAAATTACAGTACGGATAAAATAATATCTAGCAACATAAGCAGCACTACAGCGCCAACTCTAGCTTCTGATTTCTAATTGCCATTAAAAAATTAGTTTGACTTTCAGTCCGTTATTCAAGAGCGCAAGATGCTGCCGTCGGACATGATCGAGGAACAGGAGCTGGTGACCCTTTCTGTCCGCGAGCTCAACAAGCGCCTCCACGGTTGCCAACGCGACGAGATCATCCGGTTGAAACAAAAGCGACGTACACTGAAAAATCGCGGCTACGCGCAGAACTGCCGCTCCAAGCGGATGCAGCAGCGACACGATCTGGAGACGCAGAACCGCATCCTACAGAACGAGATGAACCACCTGCGCCGGCAACTGGATGAAGTGTGCAAACAACGGGACGCCTATCAGCGCCAGTGCGAGAATCTGCAGAACGGCGGCCTCTCGCCGCCCAAACACGCCTACGTCAACACGATCACGCCCACCAACGCCGCCCTCCAGCTGCCCAACGGGGCCATCATGCGGACGACACGGAGTCATAATAATAATAATAACGGTGTGGAAGCCACGAGGGAGCGGGAGAATACCGCCAATAATTCGCCCATTCAATATCCCAGCGCTGAATAATTATTTTGGAGATTTTTTTATGATTTTACGAAGTAAGAGGAATTTTATAAAATTTAGAATGCGTGACCTTTCCCGTTAAATATCTAGGAATTCATTTTTAAAGCAGAGAGACCGTTAAGGATTGCATTACCCGGTGGAAAAATTTATAAGATTGTTTTTAAAAAGTGTTTTATCGACGCAGAAAAAATATATGGAAAGTATTTTGCGGTTTGAGATTTTAGTTGTTTGTTTGGAATTACGTTTTTGCATTTTTGCGCCCGTTCCTTTTCCTTGCGATGCGTATTGCCCTTTTGGAATATACAGTTCATCTTTTTTGGCTCATTTATTTTCTGTCGGCTGGAGGAGTGCTAATCTCACCAAGAAATTCTCTGTAAATTTCCCCTTCGCGTGGCTCAGATTGATGTTCCTGCATATTATATACACGGTTGTCCTGTGTGTTTTTCTTCTTTTTTATCCTATCCGTGTTCTTTAAAGGGAAATCTTGTTTGTTTTGTTTGAATTATCTACGTTTTACGGGTATCTTTGGGTCTTGTTAGCGGTGAAAGCACACATTCCGAAATGTTTTATCACCTCTCGAAGATTGATGTTTCAAGATTTGTTCAGAATTGTCGCAAAATACATATGGAGAAAGCTGCGCACACCACGTTTTACCACCAAAGTCTCCGCACACCACCTTTCACCACCACCAGGCTGCGCACACCACTATTCGCACCACGTTTTGTCTCGGGCCACCATTTTTACGCCACCACTATAAGTATCTGAAACGTCGGTAGTCTCGGGACACCACATTTTACTCGTAGTTTCGAAGATATGCAGTAGTCGGTCGAATATACGACTAATATGGGCTATGTAATTAACGAGTAAATTCTGTGTGCGTACAAAGAACAGTACTTTATTTAACATACGGTGTACAATACACCTGCATGTGGGAATGAGTTTCGCCTCTTATGCAGCCTTGGAGGCTGCTCTTGCCGGATACGAGAAAGAGACTTTTACGGTCTTCCAAACTCATCGCTCCGAAAGGTTACCAGCAGCCGACAATTATGCGAAAAATTTGCAATACAAATACATCAAATGGCACTGCGCACACAACATCAGTTATGTCCCAAGAGGCAAAGGGTCACGACCAGTCACCCACAGCAAGGACTTGGAATGCCCTGTGATGCTCCACGTCTCCATTCAGAAAAAGAACAGACAGTTGGTAGTCCAGCGATTAGACTCTTTGGCGGAACATAATCATGAACGCTCAAAAGACCTGTGGCAATTATACCCAAAAAACCGTATACTATCAAAGTCCGACCAAGAGCATGTGACTAAATTGAGAAAAGAAGGTCTCCCACGGCAAAAACTCAAACACCGTCCTGGCAGGGCGGCCGAGCGAGTAAAACCGAAAAAATCGCTAACTATAACGGAAGCGGAGGCTAACGAGTGGTACCAAAAAAGAGGAGCCAGACCGCGAGACGAAAGAGCTGTCTTTTTTCCGCCCGTAATAACAATTGCTTAATTTTCATCCAAAATAGTGGTGTGCAGAGACTCTGGTGGTGTGCCATATGCTCCTAATGGTGTTAGGAGATTAAGGTGGTTTTTTAAAAAAAATTAAAAATAATAAAAAGTGGTGTGCGGAGCCTGGCGGTGGTGTTTCGTGGTGTGCGGAGACTTTGGTGGTGAAACGTGGTGTGCGGAGCCTTCCCCAATACATATTACAGTGTTCGCTGTCCCAGTCCAGGTGCTCGCGCGTAAAGGTCACCATCAGCAGCATGACTACGAATCATGAAAACTGGGAGATTAAACTGGTTCAGAGTAGGAGATTAACACATCCGTGGCGCGTATTTAATTTAGGTACGATTTTGCCGCAGCGTACAACATTCTGGAACAAATTTATAAATATATACTATTCCTGGCACTACTACTCAGTTTGTCAATTTCGCCTGATAGCGACACTGATTGACAAGTAAGCGTAGTATAACGGCACAAACAGTGACACTGCCATTAAGTAGTTTCCGGCTTTCCGCTAAGTCCGAAATCCGAATAGTACTCATATTAAACAAGAAAGTTTTCATTGTTTTTGCGTAACAGTAAAATTTACACTCTTACACAAATTAATCCGAGCAATTTTAATTAAGTACTCATGCAACAGTTTCTTCGATTCACTTTGCTCCCCTCCGAAATTTTCGCCCTTAATGGTAAAAAATGATATGGAGGTTTGGATTACGTTCGTGGATTACTGGTCTTTTTGGATAGACGACAAAAGTGGAATATTTTGACAAACACACTGATTAATTTGTGAGTCTTCGGCCTGATGCCATTCTCAATTGGCGTAGTGGGTAAACAGTGATGATTTGCCAAGTTAAATCGAGTGACAGGATGCTGAAAATATTCATGAAAAACAGGAGAGAACCGGTTTCTCTTTTAAGTGCACTCCTTGTACACCAGTGCTGAATCAGCTGATTTCCTTCTTGCCGCTAAAGATTCGTCATGTGAGAGGACTTTAAATAAACAGCCGGAAGTAACAGGATATTACCAGATTAATGACTCGATGCGTAGCACATACGTGGCATGCACCGTTTAAACAATTATCAGCGTCATGACGAAGAATTTCTGCAAAAAAAGGTTAAGTGAAACATACATGTAAAATATAAAAAAGGCATTTCCGAATTTCAAACTGATTCCCAAGTCTAGATTTCGCAAGACGACGTCTCAAGTTTGATGGTTCGAATTTAGCTGGAGAACTTAAAATTAAATTTTTTAACTGGTACAAAAGAGCTCAGACCCTTATTATTTCCTGAATTAACCTTGCCCAATAAATTTTACGTTGAGCGCTGAATAAAGCGTAGTACAGGTGCGCAATTTTGATGACTACTACTTCAGTTCAACTATCGTAGTGTTTCACCCATGAAATTACATCGCATCGCGAAATTACGTTTATTGTGACAAAGTAAAATTTAACAGCAATTCGTTTTACGAGAAATCATTGTCAACAGACGTTTCACATCCCAAAATTACATGTGGTTCGTTTTCATCATGCAACCTACTTTCATCAAAATACAAACCAAAATCTAGATAATACTGTCCAATCCATGCAAGTACAGCTGAACTACAAATTACCATACACCACACTGTCCACACACTGATCCGCAGCACCAAGCGGCGTCCAAGCCTATAATGCTGCACAGGTTAGTCGTCGCCATTTTCCACCCGTGCTACCACCTCCCCCGAATTTCGAGCGGAAAGAATTTCTGTAAAGCAGGGATATGTTTCAGACCAGGAGGCATCTATCCATTTCACATTACTTTACAATCTGCACTGAATATTCTAAGTGCTTATTAGCGATATTTGTCAATAACAACATTGTTGTTTCCAATTATGTTGTGATAACACAAATATTCCTACGTCATTACCACAAATCAGCAACAAGCTTTGCAGAATTATTAACAAGGACCTAGCCGCCATTAAGTATAAAACGGGGTTCTTTACAGTCTATTAACGTCAATTTTAGCAAGCATTTTTTGGCAATAGCGCAACGGCCGTGCAATACACGACTGACTCACCATTCGTACTGTCGATAACACCCTGCAAAGCCAGGGCCGCTTCTTCGTTTGTGATGCCGAACCGGCGCAGGAGCTTCTCGTGGACTTCCTTAAACCATCCCATATTCCGGTCCACTTCGACAAAACTACCGTACAAATAACGCGTCTTGCGCGGCATTCCTGACGCAATTAGAGTTTCCAGGCTAGGCGGATATGGGAACAGGCCCAGTCGACTGAACTCCGCCGGTAGATTGCGGTCATAATAGCACTGCACCGCTACTTCCCACAGATGCCGGGCGAATCCATGCAGCCGCAACTAAAAATATCGACGGGAATCAAAATTTACAAGTTTAGGCACCATATGGAACCGTATCGATCAGATCACCAAAACACAAACACTCCACGACAGCATTTTCTAGAAAAAAATTTAAGTACGAAAGCAAAACAAACAAAAGGATACAAAAACGAGTGTACAAAAACTCGTAATTACTAAATTTTTTTCTCTATGCATGACATACACTAAATATAGATATGCCGGTACTTAAAGTTTTTGAATACCCAGAATAACGATGCTACCCAACTGAAAATCCAACCCGCGACGATCGTGAGCAATACTTGTACTTTTGATAAATACTCACCAGCTGCAGTGTGAATTTGGCATCTTTAAACGATATGCGCTGGTCCCACCGGATTGGGCTGAAATCATACACTTCCCACGGCTTCAAATCCATTTGCACTCCCGGTGCAATTGGTACCACGACAATGTCGTTCTGCAAAGGTTTCAACTTTCAGTACAATGTCAAACCATTAGACAACTCTGAAGAAGTACAACCGTACTTCGGGGCTACGCATCCCGTAATTGTTAAAGGGAAGTATACCTTATTGCTATATAAAGGGGCGCATTATTTAACATCAAAAGCTGAGCTTACCTCCAGAGCAACATTCAACAGAGAATCCGTCATTAAATGCCAGAATCCACGATTCAAATACAGTACATTCTACAAAAGAGGCACAGCTAATAAAGGTAGCAAACAGCGTTAGCAAATAGTTTCGAACAAAGGCCATAATATTATACTTCACACGTGATCCAAAAAAACCACCGAAGATGTAAAATTTAATAATTTTGAAGTAGAGTTTAAGCAGAAATGTGGTCAAGCAGAAATGGAAGTACAAAATCTAAAACACATGGATAATACGGGGTATCGCAGTGCAAGGGCGAAAAGCCTCCTCCCGGGAACAAAACTTTGTCCGCCTTAGATAGAGTTAACTCCATTCTTTAACTCGTACTTCATGTAAAATGAATCTTTTTTTAAGGCGCACCTTACACGAGGTATCTGCTGGTAAGCTGTTCAAATATGGAATCAGTTCGTTGAGAATGTAGGCGTTGAACACAGCTTGAGTAATGGGAAAGTCTACATTCTCTTCGCTCGCGTCCGAATTCCCCTTTTTGAATTTAGAACTGCTAGCAGGAGTCAGTTTTTTCTTGATGGGTTTGCGTTTTGGTTCGTCATCGGGTGGCAAGTCCCAGTCTTCCTCGTTGATCAACTCCTTATCGCTGATCAAGAGAGGCTTCAGGACGCCCCCAGAGGCCGCACCGAAGCTCAATACCGAAACGCCGTATGCTGGTCCACCTAAACCGTTACCAATGAGTGATTTCGTAGAACGGTGGCTTGAAACAAAATTGACAAGTTAATGGTAGCGTATCCCACAAGCAAAGCAATTAGCAATGATACTCGTAGCATAAGCTTATGATTCACAAAATTTTTTACCAAGCACACAAAAACATTTTCAACGCCACCAACTCAAGATCGTGCCCGTGGAAAAATTTCAGCTTTCATTCGCAGCTGCTGAACAAGAAAACGGTTGTACTGTAAACGCATTCCTCGCTCACCTTCCTCGAAGCTCATTTTCATTTGATTTCCTCCAATGAGGAGCATGGAAAAGTCAGCATAGATCACACGCTGGGCGTCCAGCAAGTAGCACCGTTCATGCAGCGCAGAGAGCAGCCTGAGAAAACTGGAAAAGTGCCCAGTGCTCCACGTCGGGGATAAACGCCGGTCGCGCGCTTCGTTGCGGATCCGGCCAATTTGCGGATGACGCTGCAGAAACTGCTGCATCCAGTGATCGCCAAACAAACAGTTAATTCCTGGAAAAAAACTGAATATCCAACAATTGCTGATCAGCGCACAACAATTCTTATCGAGACCATAATAAATAAAAAATAGATGAATAAATAAACAAAATTAAATCTAATAAAAAGTCTAAAATTATAAAATTACTGTAACAGCGAAATAAATAAAGCCACTAATAAAATGCGCAAAAGCACACCGGGAACTATCGGCCAAGTGCGAATAATAATAAAATAAGCAATTGCGTTCTTTGTTAAATCTAGATGTGGCCAAACCTTTGCAGTTGGCAGCAGCCTGAAGCGCAGGTCGCAATCCAGCCCGCGTTTGCGGAATATCAAACAAGGCACAGGTTTGCAGAAAGTCCATAACAACAAGTTCATCTTGCACTGAGAGTGGAGGGATAGTCCACTGTCGTTTATGGTCGCTTTCAATAACGTCTGAGCTAATGGAAATTACTCCCGGAATCAAGGAATCCAAGAGGGGCTCATCAGGATCTGCCAAGGGTTCCTCGAGGTCGTCAGCCTCGAAATCGTCCGCATGGCTCGCAATCTCGTCCACAACATTGTTCCCTGAAACATTAAAATGATAATCTTAAATTACACAAGACAGCGGCCACCAGTACGATACTACTATTAAGTACGTACTACGTACGCCACTTAACACTCATCTCGTCAACATCGAATACTTTACAATTTACATGGCCATAAAATACTATCCGCTACCACACCATTTTCAGAAGACGAAACAGCTGCAAACACCGAAATAACAAAGTATGGGAAATTATGCTCCTTGACATTTTCGCGATAAAATTCCGGAGTTACGTACCTTGATCGTCAACATGAGCAGTTTTTCTCCTTTTCACGCACGGTTCATCTTTCGCACTACTGGACTGAATGGTGTCTTTGTTGATAAGCGAATGATATTCCATAGCCTGCTTTTTGAGGAGAATTTGCTTCTTACAGATCCTGTGGTCTTCACTGTTGTTTATCCGTAACCGCAAAAGTTGAAATTACAGTAACTTTTAGCTTTTCTACCTTTCTTATAACTGTATTAAAAGTGCATTTTCATCGTGAATCATGTGAATGAGTTGTTTTTAAAAGCTAAATAAAAATCTAATTTTTCTGGCATCCTTTCAAGTTTCAGCCATTCAGTGCTGATTCACATAATGCTTTCACAGAATGCCGTACGGGGCGGTTGCTGGCTTCCTAATTTTGCCGCGTAACCAACCGCCCTACGGGCTGCGGTGTAGTTTTCGTATTGACGATTCGAAATTTGTTGTCATAATTGATAAACCGGCGCACGTGCTGCCTGCTTCGTGACAGAACAGGCAAGCAATCAGGCATGCCATCGGACTTTCAGTACACTTTAACAGTAACTAGTATAGAAGGTCGTAACCGCCCTTAGTGCAAGCGATCGAGCATGTAAGTTTTTTTGTTGTAAAAGACTTGGCACGGTGAGACAGCAACCTAACCAAGTAGTTGAGAGTCTACCTAGCTTTCTGTATCTTTTGCATATGCTGAGTTATCAACAGATCTGCTCAGATATCAGTTTGTTTTTGCCACCGCTGCGATGCCGACGCGATACCATCATTTTTATGACGTTTTACGGAATCGAGCCGATACGGTATATTAATTTTAAAACGGTTCTTTCAGCAACTACGGCGCGGGCACTGCTAATGCTTTACCGCACATTGCCCACCATTCCGCTTTTCTCCGCCGCACTAAATCCTTTACATTGGGATACTGATCTCATTTCTTCAGTTTCTCATTCCCAGTACCGATATTTTATTCCCAAAACCGATAAAACTTATACAGTTTACCGGCGGAGCCAATTCAGTGGCTACGCTCAGCTTGTCCGTTTATATTGGTTGCGAATTGTTCAAGCCCGTTTAAGAACCCCAATCCCGGCCATTGTCAGTTCAGATCAATCGTTTTCACGACTGAAATCTGAAAGCAACCGCTTGCGAAGACAAAAACGATGAATTACTTACTGAAGATATTTTTTAAATGCATCCGCAATTTAGAGCCCTTTTTTTGCTGCGGATGCAATTGCACAACGATTTACAAAATGAAACGCTAATGCCGATGGAACCGCACTGGTTCTGAAACACACCGACGGAGATTTCAAATTTCAGTGTCCAATAATTTTCCACTAATTTGCTGCGAAAACGATTTATCGTTTCATTACTTCATTCAGTGCTTGGTGGCAATAATCCAGGAAAGAAAGTTTTATCAAATTTTCTGTTTCCGTGAAAAGTGACTATTAAATACGACGCTTGTAAAGCAACACACCGAAATTCACCTGTCATGAATACCGTTTCTGTAATAATAAAAACCCTTGGCATGGATCTCTATAATTTTTCCCCGTAAAGAAACAGAAATGTTTATCAATTAGGTTTATCTTATTATTTTTCAAACTAAATTGATATGAAACTATAAATGAGCTCATGTTAGAAGTCGTAATGGTCTAGCTCAAGAAACTTTGAAAGCGAAAAAAGTCGTTCCGTTCTAATTGCTGCTTTGCTCGCTTCACTGCGCTTACTCTCGCCGCAGCTCAGAGTCGCTTCGGCTCCGCTTTCGATTTCTTTAGAAACAGTTACTCGCTACTGTACAGTATCATCACGAAAAGTGAACGTTTAAATTGAACCGTTAACAAAACCATTTCCGAAGCAAAAGATATAATAATGAATAAATAATTCTTTGGTTTTACTTTGCTGCTTCGCTGCGCTGCGCTTGCTCACGCCGCACTTTATGTCGCCTTCGGCTCCGCCTTCGATTTCCGAAGAAACGGTTATTCGCTTCTGTAGCATCGCGATAATGGAACGTTTTTGAACTACACCGTTAAAAATTTCTTCTGGAAAAAGAAAAATCGAACCATTTGGTTTTACTTGCTGCTCCGCTCGCTGCGCTGCGCTTGCTCACGCCGCAGCTCGGCGTCGCCTTCGGCTTCGCCTTCGGTTTCCGTAGAAACGGTTATTCGCTTCTGTATCATCGCGATAATGGAAAGTTTGAACTACACCGTTAAAAATTTCTTTTGGAAAAGAAAAATCGAACTCTTTGGTTTTACTTGCTGCTCCGCTCGCTACACTGCGCTTGCTTGGGCTGCAGCTCGGCGTTGCTTTCGCAACGCTTTCAGTTTCAACAGCAAGGGTGACGGCAATCCGTTAACAATAGTTACGGTAACACTTACCGCGACAGAAACTAAGACGGTTACGGTAATATGTTATAGTTATGGCAGCGTAATATTTATTATTGGCAACGCTTAATTAGAGTGGTGAAAGCTGGTAACGCGTTACCATGAGTCATTGCAAAATGAATGCAGCTCAGTTGATCCTGTAAAGTAAGTGCAAATGTAGGTGAAATTGCTAACGATGGTACCGCTTCCTGACTTCGATTAGCATGGTTTGCTACGTCATCCTTTCAAGGTAATGCTACGTTATGACCTTATGGTGACGTTTGGCTTGAATGACCGAACGCAACTGGTCTACAAAGTTATATACTTGTTGAAGACCTTCGAGTATTTCCACATTTACTCAAACAAAGCCTTATAATTTGTGAATCATGTTACAAAATTTCGCTGTTTGTATGGCGGGTTCGTGAAAAATGCCCCGGTGGTTCCCCGCATGTCGGTTCCCCAAAAACGCATTAACCAGGCGGGCAAAATTTCCGGACCGGGATCCAAAAAAACGGACCCTCCATACTGTTCATATGGCGGGTTCGTGAAAAATGCCCCGGTGGTTCCCCGCATGTCGGTTCCCCAAAAACGCACCAACCAGGCGGGCAAAATTCCCGGACCGGGATCTAAAAAACGGACCCTCCATACTATTTGAATTGCGGGTTCGTGAAAAATGCCCCGGTGGTTCCCCGCATGTCGGTTCCCCAAAAACGCATTAACCAGGCGGGCAAAATTTCCGGACCGGATCCAAAACGGACCCTCCATACTGTTCATATGGCGGGTTCGTGAAAAATGCCTGGTGGTTCCCGCATGTCGGTTCCCAAAAACGCACCAACCAGGCGGGCAAAATTCCCGGACCGGGATCTAAAAAACGGACCCTCCATACTATTTGAATTGCGGGTTCGTGAAAAATGCCCCGGTGGTTCCCCGCATGTCGGTTCCCCAAAAACGCACCAACCAGGCGGGCAAAATTCCCGGACCGGGATCTAAAAAACGGACCCTCCATACTGTTTGTATGGCGGGTTCGTGAAAAATGCCCCGGTGGTTCCCCGCATGTCGGTTCGTCAAAAACGATCCACCCAGGGCGGGCAAAATTCCCGGACCGGGTTCTAAAAAACGGACCTCCATACTGTTTGTATGGCGGGTTCGTGAAAATGTCTCGGTGGTTCCCCGCATGTCGGTTCCCAAAACGCACCAACCAGGCGGGCAAAATTCCCGGACCGGGATCTAAAAAACGGACCCTCCATACTGTTTGTATGGCGGGTTCGTGAAAATGCCTCGGTGGTTCCCCGCATGTCGGTTCGTCAAAAACGATCCACCCAGGGCGGGCAAAATTCCCGACCGGGTTCTAAAACGGACCCTCCATACTGTTTGTATGGCGGGTTCGTGAAAATGCCCTGGTGGTTCCCCGCATGTCGGTTCCCCAAAACGCACCAACCAGGCGGGCAAAATTCCCGGACCGGGATCTAAACGGACCCTCCATACTGTTTGTATGGCGGGTTCGTGAAAATGCCCTGGTGGTTCCCCGCATGTCGGTTCCCCAAAAACGCACCAACCAGGCGGGCAAAATTCCCGGACCGGGATCTAAAAAACGGACCCTCCATACTGTTTGTATCGCGGGTTCGTGAAAAATGCCCCGGTGGTTCCCCGCATGTCGGTTTCTCAAAAACGAACCACCCAGGGCGGGCGAAATTCCCGGACCGGGTTCTAAAAAACGGACCCTCCATACTGTTTGTATGGCGGGTTCGTGAAAAATGCCCCGGTGGTTCCCCGCATGTCGGTTCCCCAAAAACGCACCAACCAGGCGGGCAAAATTCCCGGACCGGGATCTAAAAAACGGACCCTCCATACTGTTTGTATGGCGGGTTCGTGAAAATGCCCCGGTGGTTCCCCGCATGTCGGTTTCAAAACGAACCACCCAGGGCGGGCAAAATTCCCGGACCGGGTTCTAAAAAACGGACCCTCCATACTGTTTGTATGGCGCGTTCGTGAAAAATGCCCCGGTGGTTCCCCGCTTGTCGGTTCCCCAAAAACGCACCAACCAGGCGGGCAAAATTCCCGGACCGGGATCTAAAAAACGGACCCTCCATACTGTTTGTATGGCGGGTTCGTGAAAAATGCCCCTGTGGTTCCCCGCATGTCGGTTTCTAAAAAACGAACACCCAGGGCGGGCAAAATTCCCGGACCGGGTTCTAAAAAACGGACCCTCCATGCTGTTTGTATGGCGAGTTCGTGAAAAATGCCCCGGTGGTTCCCTGCATGTCGGTTCCTCAAAAACGATCCACCCAGGGCGGGCAAAATTCCCGGACCGGATTTTAAAAAACGGACCCTCCATACTGTTTGTATGGCGGGTTCGTGAAAAATGCCCCGGTGGTTCCCCGCATGTCGGTTTCTCAAAAACGAACCACCCAGGGCGGGCAAAATTCCCGGACCGGGTTCTAAAAAACGGACCCTCCATACTGTTTGTATGGCGGGTTCGTGAAAAATGCCCCGGTGGTTCCCCGCATGTCGGTTCCTCAAAAACGATCCACCCAGGGCGGGCAAAATTCCCGGACCGGGTTCTAAAAAACGGACCCGAATACATTAACTGCAGCAGGTCCGTCAAAAATAACCCGGTTAGTTTTTCAATTTTTTTTGACTACCTTCTCAATTGTTTCAGCGGGGGGCTGCGCCCCCCGCACCCCCTGCTTATTGGGGCTCCGCCCCAAACCCCGGCCAGGGGCTTCGCCCCTGGACCCCGGGGACCCAGCTCTCCGCATGTCGCACCGCAGATTAAAAACGCTCGCTCGCTTCGCTCGCTCGCTTGATAATTGTACCCTGTATTAATTTCAGTTGAACAACGACTTTTAAGTGTTAACTCAACAAATTTTAATTCATCGTCAGCAAGATACCTAACAGTTTCACATAAACTTCCGTCAAATTGGGTTGTAAGCAGTGTAGCGAATCTGGATACTAGGACAGGTTGTGATGAAGTGATTCTACACTGCACGTGATTCTTTGGCTTGACGATCGACGAGGAAAAAGAAATGGCAACGTCGGAGAAAGGAGGAGGCGATGCAGGGGGCCAAAAGCTGGTGGGGGTGAAGCGTCATCCGACCAGGGGCTTCGGGACTCTGGGAACACCCATTGCGCTGTCGGCCAACCACTACATGGTGAAAATCCCCACTTCTGGCTACTTTTACCATTACGATGTGGATATGGTTTTTGAACGCGGCACTCCTGCTCCTGCCGCAGGAGACCAGAAGGGAAAGGGCAAGAAGCAGGGCACAAGAGATCCCAACGCCGTCCCCAGAGCGCTGAAGCAGAAGATTATGGCCCTGTTTCTGGGTGCACCTAATACGCAGAAGATCCTCAACGGATGCAGACCCGCGTACGATGGAGAGAAGAACCTCTACACCATCCGCGAGTTGAAGATTGCACCGGATCAGGACTTCTCCGAAGTGTTGACGGTTCCCAAGGATGAAGAAGGAGGCGAACGACGGGTTAAGGTGCGTCGTAGATTGCAGGTCGTGTGAAGAAGGAAATAAAAAATGACCCGGAAACGGTTCTTTCTACTTTTTTTATTGGCACTCGTCAGTCTAAGATAAATCAACATCGGACGGCATTAAAATTATTAAAGTAATGTTACGGTATTTTAACATTTGTTTGGTTTGCCTGACACACGGCCACTGAAAAATTCGCACAAGCAAAATAGGTACAGCGAGCCCTTAAAATATGGATGATATGGATGGAGTATATCAAAATGATGATTTTATGTATTCGGTTTTCGACTCAGTGTGGCAAAATAAAACAAGCATTCGGCGATTTATATAACAAACAGGATGGAAAAAGCTTAAGCTGTTTCAAAAGAAAAAAGTAGTAGGATGAGTACTACGGCGTTTTAGTAATAATAACAGTATTATTGATAAAAATGTTTAACGAAATATTGCGTAAGCAGCTGCGCCATATGTACTGGAAAATTGGTTAAAACTGGGTGCACTAAGCAAAATGAAAAGACTTGAGGTTTTGAAAGTTCGGGGTAATTTTATTAATCAAATTTGTGCACATTGCTGAACGTTACATTCTGATCTGTAGGTTACACTGAAGCCCTGTAAACCCCTGGCGATAGCGTGGGCGGAATTGAGCGAATGCATGGCCGGACGGCGCGATGCAGTACCCATCGTTGTAAGTGCAGCGCTGTTTCGTGTTTACCTCCTGCTGCAATTGAATCACAGCGTATATTGTGGGTTACAGGTGTTCCAATGCATCAACACCGTGTTTCGGCAGGCAGCGTTGTCGACCGCCACCAACATCGCTATCCGGCGATCATACTTCTCCCGCAATTTGGCCCCTCCCGTTGAGCTCGGACAGGGCCGATTTATGTGGACCGGATACTACTCGGTAGGCGCAGAATCGCTTATCCTGTGATTTAGACTTATTAAAAGGTTACTAAAAAGTGCGAATGTAGTTGTTATCCATTCCAGTTTATTTGGTGTGGTTTTTACGTTTGGCATTTGTCCTGATGACATCATTTTTTTGTGAGGAGAAGGGTCTTATCACATATTTTAATAAATGCTTACGAACCATAATAATCGTTGTAATCGGATTCGAGTAAGAATATCATCTAAATTTACATCATTATTTAGAACCGGCGATTAGATACAGAGTAATAACAGGGAACGGTGATTAGATGATAACTCGTAAACAGTAATTAAACGAGCCGTGTGTTTATTTAGAGTGCTCGACCGACACAGTGGAAGGTTTTGCTGAACCTGGACAAATCCCATACAGTGTTCTACGGCCGTCAAAAATTGCTTGAATTCGTGTCTCAGTTTCTGAACAGTTCGCCCGCCAGCCTGAACGTCAGCCAGCGTAAAACACTGGAAAAAGAACTCAAAGGCTTGAAAGTGGAGACCAACCACGGCGGCGGCATTCGCCGAGTTCGCATAACTGGTATCACTGACCAGACCCCCGATAACCTGTTTTTCGAGCAAAATGGACAGAAGAAAAGTGTGACGAATTATTTCAAAACAGAATATAACTTGGATCTGCGTCAGCGCGGTTTGCCTTGTTTAAAGGTTAGTTTTCCGTTTCTGTATCCTAAAAACAGTGCTTCTTGTTGTCGGTCGCTACAACTTACAGCAGAAATTAGCGGATATTCAGAATTTTAATCCACACAATTGCAGGTTGGTACAAAAGGGAGTCTGTTGCCTCTGGAAGTCTGCACCCTGATCGAACAGAAATGCGACAAGCGGTTGACATCCGAGCAGACTGCAGACATGGTGAGAAAATGCACGCAAACAGGTATGACCGCATCCTGATAAACGCATCGCTAATTGTCACTTTAAAACTGGAGGACGTTCCGAATAACTTCAGTGTAATTGTTTTCTTTAGCAAATGAGCGCAAAAGGTTTGTGGAAAACACTCGGAGAAATGGCGTCAGTTACGATAGTGATCCGACACTGAAGGAATTTGGCATTTCGGTCGATAAAGAGATGGTTAAAGTGGAAGGCAGGCAGTTGGATGCGCCAACTTTGGCAGTCGGGGATAAAAAGACCGTAATGGTCAAAAAGAGCGACGGTATAAAATTCCGATCTAATAACTGGCGGAAAAGTTATACCGCTAGCAGCAATGGAGTTTAAAACTTGGTCTGATATAATGATTATTATCCGATTTCAAAATACAGATTAGAAAGCCGGTTATAATCTAGGCAAAAAGACTTGATGAACAAAAAAAAATGATAATTTTTTGCTTTTTTGCAGGAACATACGATTCGCGAAGTATCAAGTTTGCAGTGCCTGGGACGCTAAAAAACTGGGCTATTATTAGCTTGGTGGACGAAAATCGTATTGGTGTTAGGCCGTTCGTTGAATCACTGGTCATGATGGGCAAACAGAAGGTAAAGAGATCAGGCGCTAGTTGCTGCTTTTATTCACTAGCAAGGTTTACAATAACATATCTGGGCGCTTCCAGGGGATGACGATTGATTACCCGAATCAGGATACCTTGCCGAAAAAGTTTGACTGGCGAAATCCGGATTTCGTGCAGATTATGAAAGAGATTGTCAAGAATTTCGGGACTAACAAAGTGGATTTGATTATGGTGCTAATCAGTCAGGATTTTCATTATGCCGAAGTTAAGAAAGCGGGTGACGTGATTGTGGGAGTCCCGACGCAGTGCGTGAAAGGATATACGATACAGAAAAATGTTGGACCGAAACTGGGGCAGTTGGTCGGGAATTTGCTGCTGAAAATTAACACGAAAGTCGGCGGTATCAATGTTCAGGTGGCCAACTTTATTAGCGTCAAAGATCAACCTGTCCCGAAATTCTTTGAACATCTGAAACGATTTGTTGCGCAGGTGAGTGCTTGATTGTGTGTTTTGTTTTAAGTCACTTTTACTATGCAAGAAACGCTAACGCTAAATGTGTTTTATTATTAAATCCGAAGCCTAGTTTTATTCAGTTTGCGCATTACAAGTCTGAATCTTCGAATTTTGATAACTCTTTCAACTCGGTTTTTCGCATGGACTGATCTTCAGTCTTTCCGGTTATTTCTTTCCGGCACTTTGTATTTTTGGCTTCAAGTTACCTTGGATAAGTTTTGCATTTTGTTATTTGCGAGCTCGGTGGAAGTCATTTATATGCAACATTTGTGATGACATTTTAGCCAACCATCGTGTTCGGCGCCGATGTCACCCATCCGTCTCCAGGAGAATCTAAAGATAAGCCGTCGGTCGCCGCTGTTGTTGCGAGTCATAATAAGACGTTTACGGCGTACAGTGCCCGCGTAGGCGCTCAGGGTCATCGCGTAGAAGTTATGGAAGATTGTCTGCGAGATATGATTGCTGAATTATTGATCGAATTTCGCGTTCGCAATAATAACCATAAACCGCAGAAGATAATCTTCTATCGTGACGGGGTGTCTGAGGGACAATTTGAACAGGCACGTACTAGGTGGATGTCGGGATCTTTGTGCTGCATAATTTGTAACTCGGTTGTATTTGTAAACAGGTTATGCTACAGGAAGTCCACGCACTGCAGGCAGCTTGCCGGAAACTGGAGCCAGGCTACCAGCCGCATATTACTTACATTATTGTTGGGAAACGCCATCATACACGAATGTTCTGTCAGAACAAGAGGGATGAAGTCGGGCGTGGCGAAAATATACCCGCTGGTAATACTTTCCGGTAAAACAGAATTTGTCGCGAGATTAGTTGACTGATAATTATTGGTTATTAGGCACTGTGGTGGATAAAGGAATTTGTCACTTTTCGGAGCTGGATTATTTCCTCTGCAGCCATGGAGGTTTGCAGGTCGGTTGCGAGCTTACAAAAACGTCGTTTTCGTTAATACGATTTGCTTAACCGCAGTGATTTTCTTAACGCTTTTCTGTCACTTTTGCAAAGGTGCGGATGTTTTCCTGCTGTACAGTCGTATAAAATTTTTGTATTGTTGGATTTAGTATCGTAATCTCATCAGCCTTATTTTTTGTAGGGAACATCGCGACCGGGACATTACAACATGCTGTATGACGATTCGGATTTCAGTGCAGACGAAATCGAATTATTCTCCTATTACTTGACATACTGTTATGCCCGCTGCAGCCGCAGTGTGTCTATTCCGGCCCCTGCGTATTACGCTCATCACGTGGCTTTCCGCGCGCGTCACCATCTCTCCGATGATGGAATTGAAGCGTACGATCGTAGATATGATAATTTCCGTGACGTATTCTTGCAAATGTTTGCACTTTACAGGATCAGCACCGTCTCTTTGGGTTCGGGATCGGATCCATCCATTGACATTCAACAGTTAAACAAAAAAATCAAAGTGCACGACAACATTATGAATCCAAAGGAAAAGAGCAACATGTATTTCGTTTAGTGATGGATTTGCCAATCCTGTTGGACAGGGCCTTCATTTACGATTTTTTTATTGAAATGTATTTTTTATTCGTTAATACATCGAGATAGTAGTTGTAATGTTAAAAAGAATATTAGAAATTAGTTTAGTCTTCAGTTTCTCGCTTTTTGGTGGCGGGTTTGATGTTATTACACTTCAGTTTGTACCTTAAATTTAGTCTTTCTTCAACGCTGATATTTCTGCTCCATTTTTCTTTCTAAACCGGTTCCTAATGTGTGCCTTGCACGTCTTACTGGGATGCTCTATCTGACAAGTGAGTGTGCTAATCTTTTGCTTTCGATTTCTGTGCGATTTTCTGCATTTGAATTTTGCGATCGATGTTTTGTAGCACGAATTTTTTCTTTTTCTGGATGCTAGTAAATATCTAATAGAGTTAAGAAAGCCTATCAATTCTTTGGTAAATCACCCGACCAAAAAACAATCTGGCCGGTGGTCTTGGTTAGTAGTTACCGTCACAATTACTGATCGTTTTGCAACTGGATATTAAACCCGCTACCATCGTCAGCAGTCAGAAAAACTGCTTTGGATTTTACACTTCTCCCTGATTTAAAAAACGACTCTAGGGGTCTAGACAGAGCAGTTACATGTAGAAATACTGATGCAGGATCTTTCTTCACACTATTACTTTTTGTCTCCGCGTGATAAGCTGCAGAAATTGTGTTCATATATATATGCACACATGAACATCACAAAGCAATTTTGCTACTGTCAGAATTCTGCGAAGAAGACACCGGAACTTTGATTTACAACAAGCCCACTCAACTAATGACAGGAAACACAGTTCAGGTTTGAAATACTCCTTTATATGAGGTACGGCCGGACACTGGCCAGCGGTCGCTCTCAATCAGTGGCGCACATCGAAGGTCGTGAAGCTTTTCTTGCTAACGGGACCTTCCCCGCGGAATTCGCACTTGTCGATCTTGCTGTGCGGACTCCCCGTGCGCGACAGCCACTCCTTCATCTTCTCCACCGCTTCTTTGCTGCCCTGCAGCTGACCGATCACGGTGTCGCGCGGTGTGTTCTGCACCCATCCCGTCAGACCCAACTCCTGTGCGTGGCGTTGGGTGTATTTCCGAAAGAAAACACCCTGCACTAATCCGAAGACCTGCAATACTGATGCATTCAAAACGGTGTGCACAAACAACAGACCGAAATAATTATTATTTGAATATTTCTATCTTTGCGAATGTACATTACTACATAGTCAGTTTAGAATAATTATCTCCCTTCGTGGTCCCTTCTCGTGCCAGCTGGGACAAATTTTTCCTCTGAACGTATTTTTGTGAGCGATGCTCGTCTCTGTACTTATTGCAAATAAACTGCAGCATACAATAATTATGCTTCCAAAACCATCTGTACTAACCTCGAATTCGACGTTGTATACCACAGGTGTTTCAGTATTGTCTGGCATTCTGAAATACAATAAAAATTAAAAACCGAAGGGAAGTATTAAAGGCTGAAATGAATGCAGCATTGGTTCGGGCCTAAAATCAAGTACAACTGTACAATGCAAATGCAGTAATTATTCACCTATAATTTTACACCAGCCACGCCACAGTAAAAGAACGAAAATACGAGTAAATTATTAACTATTCGCCTTTCAGAGTGTCGCAACGGCCAGCCAAAAAAACAGATTACTGTAATATGTAACTAACATTTCAAGCAATATTACTTTTGAAAATTCTAAATCCAAAATGTTAACCAACGAGGAAAAAGAATATAAAACATTTTCCAGTATAAAGTGACTGGGTGGAACTTCTGTTACGCACTGGGCACGTTGAGCGATCGGAGATGGAGTCGTCGAAAAACCGCGTTGCTGGATGAATGTCAGCCAATTAACATTCGATTTCGTAGAAAGTATCTCTACGGGAAACGACAGGAACTCCGAGGATTTCGCGACGTAGTTTTCTCTGGTTGCCGTCAGAGCCAGCTGACGAGCAAAGACCGCTTTCGACGTCAATTGGAATCCAAATAACTGCGAAAAAATTCAAAAATGTATTCACTACGATCAGCAGCGCCAGGCAAAATCGTCGACATCGGCACTGCCAGAACGTCAACACTGTAGTACGAAAAAATTAATGAAACACTAAAATTGAATCATAGAAAATTAAGAAAATAAGCAAACAACCTGAAACCCAAACAGGCATATAATAAACCCGGGTAGGCTGGCAACAGCAAAATAATAGAAGTAGCCAACGAAACAAAAAGATGCGACAACAAGTTGTATTTTTTCATGAAGATTTTGTATTTCTGACATCACGAAAATTTCCCAAGAAAAATCTTTCGGATTAAATACCGTTAAAGTACGTACCATTATCGTCACAGAGTGCAAACAGTTCAATAGGAAGGATGGTTCTCTAATGAAAAATTTTTCAAAGGGGAAAATATTGAAATCAATTTTCATTTCCGGTTTCATTTTACATATGTTTGCTGTATCGGTGCTTCTCAACAGTAGCAAAATAGCATTTAACACTGGAGAAACGCGAAAATGAAGCAACTTTTTCATTCTGCCGGGCCAGCCGGGGTTTTCTCCTGTTATCTGTTACGTACCAGCAAAGCAATATTTTTTGACAATATACTTAAACAGGTTAAAAGGGTTCTGAAATTGCAGATCAGCAAATTTCCGCTCCGGCTCAAGTACTTTCATATAAATACACGCGAGCATATCGTTCAACAGCACAATACTAGTAACTAGTTGTTTTTTCTACTTTAACTGTAAATTCAGTCAGTAATCAGTAAGTAATAAGTATAGTTCTGTTTTACGAGTTTATCGTTTATAGACGGTTTATAATTTATTATTATGCATTGGACGATCATTAATGTTTATTCCCTGACTGTGTCCACTGCGTAGTTTTGCAAAATGTACACTTTTTAACTCACTGGATGCAGTGACTTGGAAAGAGTCTCCGGATTTCCCACTGGAATCCAGCGTTTCAAGACCATTCAGTAATCATCGAAGTCAACCACAAACGACGCATTCCTGGTTATTAATTTATCACAAAGTCCAAATAAATGATCCAAACCGACCATAAGGCATCAAGAACAACCAGAGTATTCCAGCACCCGTACGTGTCTTTCCCCGATATATCTGCATCGAGCGAATACGATGGCCAAAATGTCCCGAGTGGAATACTTTCCAGTTCTAACTTCGGACAACAAACACTCGCTCTAACAAACGTCTATCGATCATATCGTACGAAGAGTCGAAGAAAAACAGAAAAAGATTACTGGAAAAGCTAGTTTAGGTATATCTGAAAATTAAAAACTTGTACTGTAAGTAATTTCAGTTGTAAAAAAATTAGAAAAACAGAAAACTGTGGTGAGTAGGAAAGGAAACCAATGCAACTGCCGCCGTGAGGAGTTAACTGGTTTGTGAGTAGTAATCGTAAATACTTCATTATTATTTTGTGAAATGTCCAGTCACCACGACGATATGTTCCACTTTGTCTTTATAAATCGTGATAAATTAAGAACGTAAATATCGCCATAAAACAGACATACTTATCCGCGCGTTGTGCGGCACCGTCGGCGAACTGGAAGCGGGAGCACGGGATGATGCTCCCATTTTAGAACGCCAGCGGCTCACTAGGGTAGCAGTTGTTCACAACCTCATAAAATTCTGCATGGACGAATGACGATTGCTAATTTGCCTGCGTTGAAAAACTGCCGGTTGTAAGGTGAAACCAGGACTGATTGTGAGCCCACTAATAGTACCGGGAGTGTCTTTTATGGACAACAACGATCTGTGATGTAATAACGATGAATTGGGAGAAGCGGAAATGGTAGAGCCTTATGCCACCAGGGACCACCGGGCGGCCGTGGTCAGTGCCGCAAATGCGATGAAGGCCAACAATATGAAGCAGTATAAACTTTTAAATAATAAAATTATTAATTTACTATAATATTTCTACTCACATATGCACTGCAGCCGTGCAGATTATAATTTATACAGTACCATAACCATAATAAATTATAAGTACTTATATAGATTAGACATAGAATACATACTACAATACAGCGCCAATATTGGCAACTCTTAGTACGAGTACATAATGCACACACATTTGCCGCTTAGGCATGGGTTTCGCAGCTTTCGACAATTTAATAATCTGAACATACAATTACGGTACATGTTTTTTCTGCAATAATATTTGGCCCAATTTATTAATAGGTAAAGCAACGCACAGTGTACTAGTACACATACAATCATACATCCCTCGTACACATCCGTAGTCGTACAAGCAATCATCTCGTCTCACGGCGCCTCCAAGCGGCGGCTTCGAGTGTGACCGGCCGCGGCGTTGGTTCGCACAGGTTGTTTTCACTGTGTGCGATATATCCGAATAGCGCAGTGAAATTCAAATAGGCCGACCACCAAATCTCATCCACGGGAATCTGGCGCAAAAGCTGCCCCTGTATGTTTTCGTACCGGCAGAAAATAGTTACCGTTTGTAATAATATTGTGGGAATCGAATATAACTATGCGCGGTTGACTGAGTCCTTGTTGTGTCCGGGATATGGCCAGTACCCGGTGTTGCACGCATGGCAATATTTTGACCATCTGCTACTTTGTGAGTGGCTTTCTCTCTCCGCCCGCTTTGTCTGACTCTGCGCCATAAATCGCGCTAGCCATCGGATCAAAGCAAAGGCGCAGCCAAGCCTAGTTCGAAGTTCGCATCAGCGCAGCCAGTGGCTTGGATTACTTTCTCCAGCACGACTGCGAGCGACTGACTGGCAGAGGAAAACTGTTGAATGCACGTATGCTGTGTGTACATATCGTCCTTGTGTAGAAGCGGGCCATTTTCTGATCAGCATTGTGAATTTGTGACTGACCGATATTTAAATTTATCAATTTTATTCCATCTCGCCATGTTGGAACTGAACTGACCGATTTTATTCCAACCATTAAGCGTCGTTTTTATCCGTTATGGTCGTTCCAAATTGATGTTTTTACACACCGCCACGATGACCTAATCGTAAACGCGGAATTGTGATCAGTTTTAAAAGCTTGTAGCTTCCTCGTGTGGCTGTCCTCCAGCTGCAACAACCACCTGTCGAAGATGCGAAAAACACGGACAATGTGGGCCATCCAGTGGATCGCCGTGTTGTTTGTGGGATTTTACGGTGCATCTGGGCAGATGCTCAATCAAGCAACAGGTAAGAGAAAGTGCGCTTTCTTCGAGCAGTGTTTTGGCCGAATTTGGCATCGTACGACCGGATATCCGGACGATGCGTTGTGCGATACAGAGGAACACGGCCTGGAGAATGACATCACACATTTACAGCCAAAAATATCTGCTGCTAATAATTATTATCAGTAGAAAGCGCGTTCGTCTTTCTTGCTGCTAATTATCACTGGTTACATTGGATAAAGTAGAACTGTTATTGACAAAATAAGGTAAATCCTTTAAAATCTTAAGATATGTATTAACATACAACTTTAAATATTAAATCGTAAGATATGTATAGTAATATTAACTTGCAGCTACAATATCAAATATGTACTGTAGTCATCGTGAGTTCAGAAACCGGAAACGCAAAAATACAGAAAGCGTCAGGCAGATGGAATAATAAATTCAGTAATTGGTGCTCCAATTTTGCGTATTTATGGTGAAAATAATCAGTTATTTTATTTATTCTAAGTAAATTGTTGGTTGTGTGTTACTGCGTGATGGGGTTGAGCCAGCCGGCATCGGGAAATTTATGATAGATTTTATTCTGATCATAATATTTCAGAAAAAAATCGAAAAATATTTTGCGCTTGAAAGGCTTAATTGCCTGCAGTATCCTGACATCGCAGATTTCTCCATTATTTAAGTACTTTTCTTTCAAGTCATTGTTAATGAATCGGGGCACTGAATTCACGGTTAGCAGCCATGTGCTAATTGCCTTCTTTAACTTTCCCTTTCCAAAGTTCTGTTCGCTAGACAAGGGCGAAAACAAGTGCGTTACTTCTCCCGAGCATGCAGTCTCATGCCGGTTGCTGCTCTTGACCGGCGCCATGAATTTATTCTTGCACATTCCGAAACGGAGCGCTTCTAGCCGTTGTCTCGAAGAGAGTGACTGTTAGTGATCCGTTGGAATCTTAATGTTTGCCCTTCTATTCCCGAACAAATACAGCTGCCTGATAATTTTCTCCGGTTTTTTATTTACAGACTTTTGCCATTCTTACGCAAATTTTTGGCAGTTTTAGTTGTCGTCGTGGACGGCTGCATTCGTTAAACAAAAATGAGCCAAGGAGCGTAAAGAAAATTAAAGCAGCTTGCATAACAAAAAAAGTAGAAGCGGAAGACAGGAAAGTAGTCTAAATTTAGAAAAATTACCGATGAATGATGCATTCGGGCTGGAAATGCGATCGTTTTGATACGCCGCTATCTGTAACGATAGTTTTTAATGCTTGATGCCGGTAATAAAATAGTTTACATTTCGCTGCGTGCATTGAATTTGTCAAGTGTATGAGGAATAATTTATGAGTGACCTCTTGTTTGAGCATGGGTGATTGTCGTTTTTTTACGATCGATCTGACTGAAACGATTTGTTGATCTTATTGAGAAAATGATTTTGATTTTGACGTAATACACGTTTACACGATATAAAAATAGCTTTATTAGCATTTGTGCCGTTTGCGATTTTAAAAGCAGCGATTTCTACCTAAACTACTCTAGTAGGGTTTATATGAAATTTAATTTTTCAAAATTATGATTTGAAACTCATTGTTTGTTTTATTCTCTCCATGATCTTATGGAAGCAGCGAAATTCAGGCTGGTTGAACACCAAGATTCAGAAAGACCGTTGCATGGTCAATAGCGAACAAAATATATGCGCATTCCCTTACAATCAGAGCCCAATGGTCAGTGGTGCGCTGTAGACATCGACAAATTTCTACCTGACCGTTATCGGGAATCCCTTCTTGGGGTCAAATTTCCATAAGCTCTCTTTCATGTTCAGCTACTTCATATACACCTTCCCTTCCGAACAGTCATCACACCCCGAAATTTCTTCCACGCTCCACTGCACTGGGAAAAGATGCCAACCAGCATGTGGTTGCCCTTTCAGTCTGTCTAAAGGATCTAATTATCATTTGACCATGACAATGCGCTCTTTCAAGACATTCCCGTGCTGCTCCCTTTCTTCGCTATGAATCATTTGCATATTTCACCATATTTATCCATTACCGGGTCTTTCGAGTCATTCATAAATGTTTCTTTGACAACTTGTTGAATATCGTCGAATCATAGTACAACCATCGGAAATATAAAGCACTGTAAAATGTAAACTGCATATCGCTTTTCCACTTTCGGATTTAAAGTTTCTTTCTTTTTTGATAACGATTTTAAATACCAGTCGAAACGCTGAGCGAAATTAATTTTTATTCCCTATAGTATATTTTTTAAATTTGTTCGAGTGCCTTTTACCTTTTGGTGTGGTTCTTGTAGTTTTGTCATTTGCTATGTTTCCAGTATTTCTAGGTGTTTTGAATGTTGACCGAAGGGTCGCGCTTTCTGCAACAGTCTGTCTGTGTTGTTTAACCGGATAAATGTTGAATGTATTTGTTATTCCAATTAATACGATGAAAGGTTTCGCTACTTACAACTACACTCTGCTGTGCAGCGATTGCGTTATGCCGATTGTTATGTGCGTGGGAACGACAGAAAGTGGTATTCAAGAGTTAACGGATCTGCTTGTTAAAAAAACTTAAAAGAAACATTTCTGTTGTGAGTGTAGTTTGTGAATTTTCGATAGCTCCTTCAAAAGTTTTATCGAAGCGCTGCATGACATGTTCTCGCAGAAAATATACCTTCGTTTTACGGATTCGATATTTTAATATACAGAATAAAGATTCAAAATGCTTTTTTTCAGCAACTGAGCAACAACTAAACTTATACTACTCGTGATCTGTACAAGCAAACAGCGTGCTCAAACTGTGAAAAAGGGAATCCGTATCTTACTATTTTTAACTGGTCCTTTGCATTATAATACTACATCGGCGAATTTGAAGTCAAGAAAATGGCGTAACTGTTTGGTTGTAACTTGTAACGATGAATATTTGTATGAAACAGTTTATATCCAGAAGCAGTGGATGATGATTTTATTGCAGTCATGGCTGGGTGCATGGTCGTGGTAAAACTTTTTTCGTTATTGAGCGTCACCGGCGATGAGACTAGTGTTTTTCTGTTTCTGTTCTGCGGAACATGGACCAGCTCATTGCTTCATTAGTTAGAAGTTAATTGAACTTATCGCCTTCCTTCCGGCTGGCAAGTCACGCATCACGGATACGAATGTGCAGTATTCTTTTAGTACCAGCTTTCTACAATTTTTCCCGTATTTCCTTGCCCGTTAAATTTCGCTTTTTTCGCTTTGGAATTGGGCAGTTTTAATAATTAGGTGAATTTCCATGCTTTCGTACTGCCAACTTGGCCATTTTTATTTCATAAGATACAGATACATCACAGATCAAAAATAGTTAGTCACGATTCACAACAACAAAATCTCATTGGTCTAATTTTTTCCATTAAAGTTTGGCGATATTCCCTCATAGTAAAGGTAATACCGCCGAAACGAGCAAAAACTATTATTTGGATAGTTTTTTTTAAATATCAGAATCGAATATAGAAAGAGACGTCTTAATTTATTTTGCCATAATTTCTGCAGCACCCTTATCTAAAATAATTACCTTTTTTTAGTTGAAGTTGTAATTTGTAGTAGTCGTTCCTGGTATGTACAGTGCTCTGTAATACAGTATTTTGCTTCTGCCATCACTACAAATTTGTAGTTGTTCAGTTGCCGCTGCAATTGATACGAATTATAAACCGTGAGAAATCTACCATAAAATGAATGAAGTATTCAAGTTCTGAAATCAGCCAAAGAGTATATCTGAGAGGGAAAGACTTTTAGAAAAATAACACAAGCAATTTGAGCTCGATAATCGCTTCCTTTATTCAATTATTTGGAGTGTTATTTGCGAGCACTATCCTATTTCAAGCACTCTTCTCCAGTTGCCGGCATCGGTTTGAGTGTTTTAAGAAAAAATATGTTTGGATATTAAACCAGGAAAAATAATTTGTAAAATCAAGTTATGTTTGATTGATTGCTCTTACAGAAAATGCATCTTGACAAGCATTCTTAAAGATGTATGTTAACAACTCAACATGAGTCGTCTAGTCCAGCTAGTTGCTTAAGCTTGCCGTCAAAAACCGTCCAGCTGTCTTTCTTTTGGCAAAAGCCTGGTCGACGGAACCATGTCGGTCGTAGATTCTTTTCTACACTTGACTGATTTGACACTTGTTGCGACATGTATTTCTTGACATTAATCACCAAGATGAATACGCGGTGCGGCGCATCCCTTGGGCAATTTTTTGCCGAGCTGGCCAATTATCAGCTAATTTTCCTGGGCTTTTACACATTCGACGTGGACAAAGGCAAAAAACAGTGAAACATACATTGACCTTTTTGATAGTTAATCGCTGACCTTTGACTTTTGGCCGAAATCGCTGTTTTTTCCTCGCTGACTGTATGATCATGATTCGGCAATTCATCGCGTACGCGTAAAATTTTTAACACAAAAATCGGAGGATGGAAGAGATGCTGAAATTGCAAAAAATTTCTTGTTTTTGAAAATCTGCTATATCTTTCTCTTGTTGTGAAGTTAGAAAAAAATTGTTCTTGAGCGGTCCTGATTCTGGACAGCTGTAAATTAAGCACCGTTATCAGTGTATTAATATCAGGAAATTGTGAAAGTTTGTCTGTTTTGTTAATTAATTACTATGTGCAGCGTTACCGAGTAAGTAAGGAATTTCTTGACATTATTAATTAATGAACTTGCGTGACGTACTTATCGTTAAAAATAGAAATAGTGTTTTATTTGCACTGCATTATTTGCACAAATTTACTGCGATAATTCTTCGCCATTGGAAGAATGTTAAAATATGGTTTCTCGTAATGCTTGACCTTTCTCCGCTAAATGCTGATCAGTGAACTTTGGCGTCTCTTATCGCACAACGACAGGCTTGGGCGATTATTAATAAAATCTAAAGATTTCGTGTTGATTGGAACGTGCCGCTTGTAATAGTGGCCAAGTCCAGAAGTACTCTAAATAAGCCTTTTAGTGCGCACTTATTTATTGAACTGCTTACGTGATGTTTGTCATTCCGGCTGGATATCCAATAAAAAAATCAAGCATGCGCCCACGAATGTGGTCAGCGCTCGGCAGTAGACGGAGAGTGTGCCGGGGCTTACTGATCGATTTCTGAATTGGTGGTGGTAAAAAATGTAAATGCGGATGTAAATTTTGTGGGTCGCTCAGAACGTGACAGGACAAAGCTTCAAGTACAGATAGGCCTGTTCATGATTTCATGGTGGTAGAGGAATTTATTCCGTGATTTATTACAGTTGAGTAATTGCTATATTATATGTGAATCAGTGAATGTGACTGCTGAATAACGCGACCAAAATTTTTATCCAGGAAATGCAATAAAAATTATAAAGAAATGCGGAATTTGGCGCCTAAAACTGCACAAATGCTTTTAATAAAAGCACAAACATCACCGAGGATTAAAACATACCTAGTTATACCGGGCTGAAACCTTTGTGTTCCGTGCTAGTCTTCTTAATTATAATTTGTGAACTAGCATTGATTAACATTTCTTGAAATGAGACGTTTTTGTTTCTTAATTTATCATGATTCAGACATTTTGACAAAAGGAAATATTTTCCTATCAACTGGATATTCATACCAGTGATGCTGCTCATTATCTCAGTAGTGTAAATCCGAACATAAGACGCCGAGATGATCGCAAGCAAATCCAAAGAGCATTTCCTGTCGTTTTAACCCTCAGCCGGCCATTTGAGACGCGGCCAGAGCCAATTTAGTTGTTTATTTGTTCATGCTCGCAATTGGCCTTGTGTCTCTCGATACGCTCTGCGTTATGTTGATGTCTCTCTCCGCCGTGACAGCGGGATCATGAGAAGATGACCCTAGCTGACCAGCAGCTGTTACGTCGACGCGAGGGCGCTTCCTTAAGATGACCGCTGTCCGCCTGATTATGAGCTGTGCCATGCGGGTTCTCATGATATGTCTGCAATGTTTCTTTCTTCTTACAGGTGCCTTGTTATCGTGCGATGCCAATCCGTGCAAGAATGGCGGGGCATGTGTGACGGATGTGAGAAATGGGAGTAAATACTGCCAGTAAGTTGCGAATTATGCTGTAATACATATCCTGAGAGCGTAAGTGAAATATGGCTGTAATAAAAGATGCCGTATTTAACTGTGCTACCTACAGCTGTCTGTTCCGATTCGTAGTTGAAATTTCGTAAATGGTTATTTTCTCAAACCATCAGGGCTATTGTAGTTTCGGTTTTATTTTAAATACGTACTTCATGTTACTGAAGCCGAACTCGTACTGTAATGTTTGCAGTTTCGGCCAGCAAATAGGAGCGATCGGAATTGTGACAGAAGCTGCGATTTATTTAAAAATCCGCTTACTGGTTCTAATTTACTGTCTACAGCCGCTTATAAGTAACATTAATAGTTTGTTAGAAAAAACTGTTAGTTAAAGTTATGGCTGCAGACTTAGTCTTTGAGTCTAATTTGATGAAATCTCATGCATGACCTTTAGCTACTCAAAGCTCGTAATGCTCATATGTGCACGTTTTATTATTTTAAAGTTTTCATGTCCTGTCCGCATAGCATAATCACTTCCACCAGTTTTCAATCAACAACAGCCAAAGCATCATCATTTAATAAGGCATCTCTAAACAAGTGATCGGACGACTCCATGCCGCGCCAACAGGTGTTTGGTTAAAGCGAACTTAAAGCTGTGATAATCGCTCCTCGCTCTCTTGCATTGACGATGACATGTAACGCGACAAAGAGCAGTGTTGTCCCTTAAAATTCATAAGCCCGTTGCGATTTTAAAATTCCCTATAAAAACACCCATAACGTCCCTCCGCCAATCCGCCCCCTTGTAATAGCCGGCACAGTCTGTAATTTAATTGGAAAATCTCTTGAGAAAATGTGGAAATTTAATGGTGAACATACAGACGAACGGCCGGCTGCCAATCGTTTAGGTGGCATGATTCCCACGTAGTGCACGCTGTTTGCCTGTTGAGTCGACAGAGAAAGAGAGAACGGAGGGGTTTCCTTTTTCCTTTCCAGCTGAGAAAGCAGAAGAAGAGAAAGAGAGTGAAAATGGCTTTTCATATTTGGTGGCAGGCATTATAATACAGTGGTTGATCGCCAAAAGGAATAAATACCATAATAATATACCGAATTTTCTTCCTCCAGTATGCTGGCTCAAGTGCGCATAAGACTCCAATTGCACTGACCCCGGACCAAGGTGAAACGTGTTTCTCGACATGCCATGCGCCTTATTGAAAAATGGGGTTATGCTGGAAATTTAGTTGAATGTGCTCTATTCAGACGTGCGGTTGTTTGTCTGGGTGTTGTCAACTGGAAAGCGATTATGAGCGTAATTAATTATTATGGGTCGTAGGCGAGTGATGCGGACGTAATAATTGTTCAATTAAATTGTGATTATTTTTCCGATGAATAGTTTTCTAGCGCCGTGAACGAATTCATTACTGGAAACTTGAAAGTGTTGGAACGATTCGAAAAATAATCTATTTTTACACTACTTACAAAGCATACAATCATATAACGTCTATAAAACTGCAATTTAAATAAAAATTGATTAAATAAAGGCGCTGGCATGCAGTATAAATGGTCGATTGCTTTGAGCAATTATAAAGCTGTTTTTGGTTTTATGCATTCTGCTTTAGACTTTTGTTCGTTGAGCAAGACCGGTACAGTGGTACACGTATCGATTTGTAGGGCTATGGTAAAAAGTTAGAAACTGAAAATTGAATAGTTTGCTCCATTGAATAATTATGTTATGCGGAAACGGAAATTGGCAGTTGATTAACTTGATTTATGTTCTTTGTGCAGATGCCCGGAGAGCCACGTAGGTCAATATTGTCAGCACGTGAATCCTTGTTACACCGGAAGGGCCACCACGCGGCGCTGCTTCAACGGGGGAAACTGCACGGTGGAATTTCCCGGGACTTCTTATCTATCGACGGCAGTCAACCCGCGCTTCCGCTGCCAGTGCCCGATCGGTTTCTCGGCATCCCTCTGCGAGATTCCCATTCAGAACGTGTGCGATGCGGCGCCCTGTGAGAATGGCGGAACATGTAATCTGCTGTCATTGTCCAGTTATACATGCGAATGCCGGCATGGATATCGGGGACCGAATTGCAATAAGGCAAAAACTCTATTTGTGTTAAAAAAGTTACTAGCGGGGATAATAATTGCGGTTGAGATTTAAGTGTCTGGAAACTTCTAAATTTTCAAATAATGTTTTGCATATTATGTAATTGGTAAAAATGCTTTGGGTACTGAGGTCTGAACTGATTCTCATGATACGTTGTTTCGCTTATAGGAGGATTACTGCGCCTCGTACCCCTGCTCTAACGGCGGCACCTGTAAATCCCTGGATGATGGCTTCCAGTGCCAGTGTCGGAAGGGTTATAAAGGTGTAAAATGTGAAGAGGATATTAACGAGTGCGCCGGCATCAGTCCCTGCCAACAGGGAGCAGCGTGTGTTAACACCTACGGGAGTTACCGATGCAACTGTCCGAGAGGATACACCGGCCAGGACTGCGACCAGGTATTTGTGGCGTGCCGGCCCAGTCCCTGTAAGAACGGAGGCCGGTGCTATGTGGATCAGTTGGATCGGTACAACATGCGCTGTGAATGTCCAACGGGCTTTACTGGAAAGTACTGCGAGGTGAATATCGACGATTGTGTGTCAAATCAGTGCCGGAATGGAGGCAAATGTATCGGTAAGTTGGTATTTTGTGCTTTTGAATTTGTATAGATAAGTACTGACCTATCTTGTTTCATTAACTACTGAAGCAATTTCACATTTATTAACGGTAAAACAATATTTCTTTGTTTTCAGTAGAATAGTCTTTGTTTTCAATAGAATTTCCGCTTCGGTTTAAAAAGTTGCATGAAATTTAATCTTCTTTTCAACTTTCTTTAGGCAAAATAATAATGAACTGTAGAGTGCCTGGTATTGTTTATAAAACAGATAATTCTAGCAAATGAAGCATGTTGCACATGGCGCTGCAATTCGTGTTCCATAATATGAGATTGGTAAACTGTATGGTCGGCCGAGAAGGGCGATTTTCCATGGTTTATTAGGCATGACCGGCGCCAGAAAATGAGTGGTTTTAAGGGGCTATTGGCTTATAAAGTAGTTATGTTATTGCGCAACTTACCTGTTGCTGGTTGCTGTCGACTGCCGAGACAGTTTCAACATAATTGTGTCTGCTCTTCGTCTTGGATGTTTGTCTTTTTTAACTTATAAAATTGGTACAGCAGAGAACGTGCATGAGATCAGTAATTTTCTTTGTATGGTCTGGAGTCTCCCTTGCGTGAGTTGCAATCCATCGCTCTTTATGTGCTGCTAAGGAGCATGGTAAACTATCTCGGTATCTAAAAAAACTCATAGACTTGCAATGAAGGTTACCTATACCGCTATACGAAATTGTATGAAAATCTGTAGATTTGAATGTGATCGGCCCTGTTCGATCCATCAGTCGGTAACATGGCAAGATGAATGGAAGTAATTTCAGCTAATTCCGTCGTTACCCCGACACCTGTTGTTTCTTCGCATAGCTACACATTCCCTCTCTAATCTCTGTCGTCCACTTGACCAGAAAAGGAACACACTTACAATTAATTCTTCTCTTTTCGCAGACGGAGTGAACAGCTACACCTGCCAGTGTCCCCCACAGTTCACCGGCTTCTACTGCGAGTCAGACGTGGACGAGTGCCAGCAGATCCCGACGCCGTGCAAGAACGGCGCGACGTGTGTGAATCGGCACGGTGGCTACTCGTGCATCTGCGTCAACGGCTTCCAGGGCGACAACTGCGAGTCCAACATCAACGACTGCTCGCCTACCGTGTGCCTGAACGGCGGCACATGTCATGACCGTATCAGCTCGTACTACTGCGAGTGCCCGGTGGGGAAGACGGGCTTGCTTTGTCATCTGGATGATGCGTGCGTACCTAATCCGTGTCACGGGGCGGCCGAGTGCACCACCAATATCGTCGATGGAACTTACGAGTGCTCGTGCCCCCGGGGGTTCAATGGGACGAACTGTAATCAAGATATTGATGAATGCTCCATGGGTAAGGTGGCTGAATACATAAGAATGTTTAGGTTGAAATCTGTTTCCGCAGAGATTGTAGTGAAATGGCAGCTAGCGCAGCAGCAAGATTGTTGATGTACAGTACTTTTGATAAAATTTTGCCGGCTTTTTTAAACATGGATTTATTTTTCATGCACCGTAATGTGAACGATCACTTTTTTAGCGGACAACATTTGCGAGCACAAAGGTAAATGCCGCAACACACTGGGCTCTTTCGTTTGTGACTGTGCCAAAGGTTACACTGGTTCCCGCTGCGAGGAAAACATCAACGAATGTGCTGGGAATCCCTGTCAAAATGATGGAACATGTTTGGATAAAATCGGCGAATACAAATGTGCTTGTATGCCCGGTAAGAACACAAAATAACTATATGCTTTGGTAACCGATGTGTGGTTATTGGTTGTTTATTTTTGTGTATTTTGGCAGGCTTCAAGGGTGTCAACTGTGAAATCGAAATCAACGAGTGTAAAAGCAGCCCGTGTTTAAACGGAGGAATCTGCCGGGATTCCGTTAACGGTTACAAGGTATGTTTCAGAATTAATTGCGGTTAATTGCGTAAATGCGGATTGTTTTTACCGTAAAACCGTGGATTTGATTGAATAAATATGATTTTGAAATTTGATTGAATTTGATGCTTCAGTTTTCACTGAGTTAGATAAGATTCATGTTGGTTTGGTGGCAGAAATCAATTTTAGTTGCATTTTTTACAGTGCACATGTCCGATCGGATTTGCCGGTCAAAACTGCCAGATTAAAAAGACCAACTGCAACGAATCGCCATGCCGCAACGGTGGCACGTGCCTGCCCTCCGGTCTCGTTCGCTGCCGCTGTCCAGCGGGTAAGCAGCATCTACTCGGCGCCGATTTTTTCTCATTTTTCAGTAAATCAAAATATGTTTTTCTTCGGTTCCCAGGTTTCGCTGGCGATTATTGCGAAGAGAACGTGAACGACTGCGCATCGCAGCCCTGCGTGCACGGAACCTGCATCGACGGCGTGAACAACTTCACGTGCAGTTGCAAAGCCGGTTACACGGGTCCGCGTTGTCAGGACCGCGTGAGCGACTGCGCCAATGCGCCCTGCTTGAACAGTGGACAGTGTGAGGATCGCGTGGGAACATTCGTCTGCCGCTGTCCACTCGGATTCACCGGTGAGTGTAGGGGAATTACGGTATATTATGCTGCGTGATGGTGGTTAGAAATTCAATTGCGCCGGTAATTTGTGGTAATTATGGGTTGTTTGGGTGGTCAAGCGCTTCACTGGTTCATTCTCATGGTGTTGTAGGCGAGCGGTGTGAACAGCGCTCGTGGGCGACTGATCCAGCCGCATCGGCGTGTCGCCCGAATCCCTGTAAGAATAACGGGGAATGTCTGATCGATCCCAATACGTACCGGCCTGGTGAGTTTCGCTGTCAGTGTCCGGAAGGATTTTCGGGACGCGTATGCGAAAACATCCAACCAAAAGTGCCGGAGTTTAAATGTCCCAGAGCAGATTGTGCCGCCAAACGGCAGAATGGAAAATGTGATGTAAGTTTATGGTTTCCACTTTCCGGTAAATAGCTAAGTGTTTCATGTATCTGCGCTTCGTTTTCTGTAAACTATAGTGTAACGCATTCTTTTTTCTGCATTGTTGAAACTTGCAATCTTGCGAAGTGTTCATCTTTTTATGACCATAAATTAGACATTACATAATTTGGATTTGTTTGAGACTGTTATGTTATGTTAGTTTAGTCTTGTGAAAATATTTTTGTAAAACTTGTAGACGGTGAAGCCGGTAATTAACATAATCGTAGACGTATGTATCATCACGCATCGTTTTGTAGGAGGAATGCAATAACATTGACTGCGAATACGATGGCCAAGAGTGTTCATTACGTCTTAACCCGTGGCTGAACTGTACACTGAAAACTCGGGCGCCTTGTTGGAACTATTTCCGGAATGGACGCTGTGACCAGGAATGTAACATTCCTGAGTGTATGTTCGACGGCTTTGATTGCGGTGCACCACTGGGTGTCTGCGAGTAAGTTCCGTTACCTTACAATTTTAGTCTTGCAGCTTAGCTGTGAAATTCTAGTAAATGTGTGATTATTTGTTGCTTTAGATAATATTTAGATTTTTGTCTAGCATTAATATTTGATGTGATTTCAGCCCGGTGTACGATGCGTATTGCTCAAAGAATTACGGCAACGGCCAGTGCGATGAAGGCTGCAATACAGAGGCGTGCGATTACGATGGACTGGACTGTGACAAAGATCCACCGAAGCCGGTGGAGGGCATTTTAATCGTTATCGTCAAAACATCCATTGATTCCTTCCGGAATAATTCGCCGGCCTTCTTGAGAAAATTGGGACGGGCGTTGCGGAGCATCGCCAGTATAAAGAAGGATGAACAAGGAAATGATCAGATTATGCCGTGGAGTCTCAACGGAGGCATTGCCATCAACCCCGAGCAAACTACTGCTGGAGGAGTGGGGTAGGTATTCGACGGTAGTGTACTTACTCATAGTTGCCTGTAAATCATGTACCTAAATCATAAAAGCTAACAATTTTCATAGTAAAATTTCATGGTTATTTAGACACAAATTGTTGTTTAATAAAACTCTGTTTTCTGTAAGACGTTCTCGAAATGATCAGTACTGTAACCGAAATTTAACACCAAGCGTAAGAAATGAAAGCAGTCTGTGTTCCCGTTTAAGCTGACGAAAAATCGTAGTGAGGTGTGTGGCGATGATCTTCAGCAATTACCATTTATCACGATGCTGCAAAAACGAAGCCGAAAACTATACTAGTTCGAAGTCTGTTAATGGCTTTTTAAAACTGTGCCAGAACACTGTAATAACACTTAATTTAAGTAATTTAGTATTCTTACATTTCAGTTGCGACTGATGGAATCTTTTGTTTGCGTCTGATTAATAGTGATGCTTTTAGCACGGCGGTGTACATCCAACTGGATAACCGCAAATGCACCAACGACTGCATGCCCAACGCGGACGCCGCTGCGGCCTTTCTAGCCGCCGCTGAGCAGCGCGGCGAACTGAACCTGGGCCTGCCTGTCTACTCGGTCCAGTCGCAAGCCGACCGCATGGTCACCGAGCCCCCGGGAGTCAACCAGAACCTGTACTGGCTGCTGCTGATCTTCGTCATCGCCATCGTCTTTGGCGGCTACTGCGTGGTCACCCACCACAACCAGCGCAAGCGTGTGCGTGCAGCCACGTGGTTTCCGGAAGGACTTTTTGACAACAAAACCGGCTCCACCGCCGTGCTGAATGAACACCTTACCTTGCCCAAGTCGCAGGCGGATCTGAAAAAGTCCCCGCAACAGGGCTTTCACTTTTCCGACGCCTCCACCGTCAATTCGTACTGTGAAGAAGCGGAGCCGGTGCACAATAAGCGGCGGAAAGGGAACGATGATCTACAGCAGCGGTCCTGGACGCACAGCGGGTTTGATGGCGGTGAGTTGAAGGGACGCAGCGATGTTTACGCGCTGACACCGCCGATGCAGTACGGTGAAGACGGCGGATGTGGAGTGGATGCCAATGCCAAGGGACCCGGTGGTTTGACGCCCTTAATGTTGGCGACCATGCGGGGCAATGGGCCCGACAACGATGAGGAACATCTTGGTAAGATTTCCTTGTGACTGTGCTTTCAGTGTTAGCGTAGTATTTTGTAGTGGAGCGGTTTACGTACTCACTGTTTCGAAAGTTAGAAACATTAAGTATGATCTCGCATTTGTAATTTTTGCATATATTATATTACATTATTTCGTATTATTGACTTCATCTTTATTAAATTTAACTTGTGCATTAAGGGAATATATAGTTTTATTCGGCAGTCACCCGTTCAAAAGTCAGTTTACGATATTGCACTAATTGAAATTATTTAAAAGTCAGTTGTGAGACAGTTGAAAGCTGAATAGTAATAGGCAATTAGCGGTTAGTCTATTTTGTACTATGTTTTTGGTCCATATCGAAATTTCAATGATAAAGACTTTTTTCAGCTGATGACATGGCTGCATCCAACATCATACGGGATTTGCTCTATCAAGGCGCCGATATCGACGCCCAGAGCGAAAAAGATGGCGAGACCGCGTTACATCTGGCGGCTCGATTTTCTCGGCCGGATGTGGCCAGGCTGTTGCTGGATAACAATGCCGATGTGAATGCCAGAGATAACGCCGGTCGGACACCGCTGCTCACGGCAGTAGCTGCAGATTCCATGCCCGTCTTCGCTGTTCTCAGGCAGCACCGAAAAATCGACTGGACAGCGCGGGCCTACGACGGCACCACGGCGTTGATCATTGCAGTCCGCCTCGAAAGCAACGGTCAGTTATTTTTTCCATAGGATCGGTTTCTCCTTTTTCCGTTTATTTTTTTAAATTTTCCCATTCTTACCCGGGTTAGCGTTAAAATGGCTTTATTGAAAGAAAAATAATTACAATGCTGCGTTTTTTTCTGCAGATATGCTGGACGAGTTGTTGAAGATCGAGCACATTGACATTAACGCCGCGGACGATAACAAACGCACGGCGCTGCACTGGGCCGCCTCCGTTAACAATCACCAAGGCTGCAAACAGCTGCTGTACAAGAACGCCAAAGTCGACGTCCAGGACGAGAACGGCCAGACGCCGCTGTATCTGGCCGCCAAAGAGGGCAGTCACGAGACGGCCCAACTGCTACTGGATCACAAAGCCAGTCCGGAGCTGACGGACGACATGGAGAAGACGCCGCGGGATATCGCCCAGGAGCGACACCACTTCAAGGTCGTCGAACTGCTCGACTCGCACAAGGAGATCGCGCTCAGTCCGCCCCAGGTCAGGGTTGCTTATCGCAAGAAGCGATGAGTGTGCAAACCAGGGCTTTTTGATACATTTTGTCTTTCTCAGTGGTAATTTTTGTGATGATTATGTGTTTAGAGAGTTTTAATGTCGAGAAAAAAATATTATGAGAGATACATTTTCTCTCAAAAATTTGTGGCGTGGACTTTGACCGATGTGGCAAAGGTCACCAGTTTTTCTGCGAAAGGAGTAATTTGACAGTAATCGCTGGTCATAGTTTGCGAATCGAAGACTTGGATTCAGGTGAAATTTTTTGGGTTTTTAGATCATAAAATAGGAAAGTGAGATGTTGAAATTTGGTTCCATTTAACCCTAAATTAAAATTAAATTTAGAAATTTGGTCGTTTTTGAAGACAACTGGGAAATGAAGCATTGCGAAGCTAGATAAAAAATGCTGCAAGCGAAATATTTGGTAGTTAAAGTAGTTTTGAAATCTGCGTATAAGATTGTATCTTGTTAACTTTTACAGAATTTCCAAAAGAATATCTTCGGACACTACCATTCGCTCAATCTGGCCACCGTGGTGAAATATACGCATCCGAAGGGCGTGGGCCGGAAGGGTTTCGGCACGACCCTCATGCAGCATCCCGACACGGGGAAGCGGATGAAGCGTGCCCCCCTGGACCTCTCCCTGGTCCAGCCCCCGCCGCACTACCACGATGCGGCGTTGTACGGCGCCACCGGCGGACACTTTGCGCCGGAGATGAACTGGAAAGGCGCCGCGAATCTCGGGCACTCCATTCCGGATCTGAAGCACGAATTCTACGGACAGCCCGGTCCGATGAATGTCAAATACCCGCCGCATCTCATGCATGCCCATAACAGCGTGCCCATGACAGGCTACAATAAATACTCAACGCCGGTTAATGCCAATGAAGGCTACCTGAATTCCAGTCCGGAATCACCCGGTATGGTTTCAGCTGGTTGTTTCGGCAATTGTTAAATGGTTTAGAACTAATTTTATCGTAAACGCAGGTTTCTAAAAATATTTCTAACCAGTGATGAACAAAAGAATCTCGAGTTACTCACTATTTGAACAATAACTATTTTTGGGAGTAACTTCGAAACGTTGTGTACAGGCTCCGTGGTTCCCAGGAGCGTTCGATTGTACTCGTAGCCGGTGTGTTACATGCAGTGCGTGGCGTGCGCCGGTTATGGCAAAGAAATCTTGATATTTTTGGCTTTGATCTCCATTTTTTGCATTGAGAGGGCGAGAAACGAAATTGCTGATTATTCTATCAGAACTGTAGAACTGTCGAGCACATTTTTAAGTCTAGGATGATTTTTCTATCTTTCTGTTTTCATTTAGGCCACTGGTCCAGCTCACCGGCGTCCTCTGACTGGTCGGACGGCATGCAGAGTCCGCAGTCGCGCCTGGCTCAACAGTCGATGGTGGCTTCGACGGCCTCCAACCCCGCCTACTTTATAACGGCCAACGGGATGCCGGCCGATTCTCAGCCGCTGAATTATCTCTGAATTAATTGTTATTGCGTCGTCGCGTCGTTGTTGTTGCCTTCTGAAGTGTTTGCATGGCGGATCAAATTTTTAATTTTTAGCAGTGATTTCGGTTGAATCCCTCCAGTGTTGAAGTGGCCGTTGCATCGGATATTTTGACTCTGCATTGTGTATTATACTGGCAATAATCTGTATATAGAAGAATAGAATTTATACTGAATTTTCAGCCTTCAGTTTTTTTAGCTTTGCGGGAATTTTTAATCTCTTTTTGTGGGGAGCGAAGTGATGCGCGGTGTTAATTTTTTAAAGCGGTTGGATCTGGTAAAGGAACGTTGTATTAAGGTTGATGCGGTTTTTCTTTGCTGTATTTTTGGAGTCTACCTAGTGAATTCAATAAATTCTGATAACAATTGTTACGCAGACTTGCAGTTTGCCGCTGTTCGTTTGCCATCTAGCTTTTTGCACATTCAACAAAATTTCGTCAACGGAATGATATCATTTTTCGGTGGATACTGTTCAACAAAAATCTTACACGGCAGCATGAAGAATATCAAAATGAATATTTAATTTAAGTCGAATTAGAGCAGGCAACTCGTTTGCGTAAACGGGAAAAGCATCGCAATCAGTGTAGAAATGGGTAAACGCACCTTAGTATACAGTCGACATATTAAAGATAAAAAATTATGGCTTCCATTAATGATTAATTTTGCTCCTTCAAGCCGTGCAGTTAGTTCACCAGCGGAATTAAAGGCCTTTGTCACAGTATGCAATTAAAAAATGGATATGTTTCTGGATTCACTTTCCCCACGATTAATGCTAACAACGAAACAAAACCATCGTGCATACTCGTAATTTCTTTCCTCTGTCTCATAGCCAAAATTACGCTTACAGTAGTAGCCATTTGAGCCGCTTAGGCAGTAACAGCAAAATTTATAAACTTATGACAACGTATGTAGTTTCAGTAGACGCTTTACTGTGCCTTGAAAAATGAAGCTGCACTGAAGTATCGCAAGCCAATCTTCCCGCAGAAAACTGATGTGAACCACACCCGCAACAGAAAACATGACGAATTTCTCCGACATTGCGCAGTTTCAACTGCTCAGCTGAAACCAACGTGGATTTTTTAAAATCCATAGAAACATCTAGCGAATTAACTGAATGAATGTCGAGATAAGAAAACTACTCATTCAAAGATTTCTTATCATACATCTGATTACCGACACTTCCAACACGAACAAGACCACGCGCGTATATAAAGCCGGCATCGGTTCAGTTGCGTATGTTCTATGTGGTTTCACAACAAAGAGTTCTGCAGCCCGTGAAACATAAACTAGAGTCTGCATTAACTACGGTAATTAATTTTTACTGTCAACTGCACCCTTGTTTCCTATATATAGAGTGAAAATGGAAACGCTAAAGATTTGCCTCGTTCTGGTAAGAAAATGGTGTCCATGAAAATACGAAGCTGTCGCGGTGACCTTTGCATGTATATTCCGCGGCTTACGATTGACTTGTAATTACAGGCTTTAATCACTGGATGCAGTATTACCGGATCAGCTGTCGATGCACTTCCTTGTTACAACGATGCATATGACGAAGCGACGGATATGCCGGCTTCTACTGATTGTAAAAACCTCAAAAATAAATCCCATTAAATTAAAAACATAACTTACTAATACAGTACGTTATACTCATAACTATCCATAATTCATGGTTTGTTTGTGATTTGAAAAATGCAGTTTCTATAGTGCCTCGAGTCACGGAAAAAGTGGACATTCATATTGCCAAAAAATTTGCCTACCAGGGAATTCCTACGGTGCTCTCATGCGACATAAACGAAAAGCCAGAGGCAATCAAATGGTCCAAGATCAACGGTGAATTACCGAGCGATGCTCGACAATTGGAAGGAAATTTGATCATCACTCCGAAACTGTCCGACTCCGGATTTTATACTTGTCAAACGGATGTTAGCGGAGAAAAAACCCAAAAGGTCATCGAGCTCGTGGTCAGGATGCGACAGCCACGCCCTCTTCATAATTTCCTGGGGACGCGTCGATTTTAGGACAAACAATATACAAAACAGTGATCTGACATTTTGGCAGCACTTCGGCTGTTGGCATATTGTTGATCTTTCCTCGTGGTCGATATATGATAGTATACCTTGGGATGTAAACAAATTTAGCTGGGTAATAACTGTTTAATGCTTAACTGTTCTAGAACTGCTTTTTACCGCACTTTTTAGAATTCATTGTTTCTTTTATTGTTTAACTTGTTGTTTATGCATTGATTTGATGTGTCACTACAGATAGCTTGTACATGTTATTTAATTTAATTATTTTTTAAGAAAAAACGTCAGTTAAATTTCAAAAATTAAATGCAATGCACGGGAGATTTTTGTCCGGCTGCAAGGATTGCATTATAAAGATACGATATTTCATTTTCGTTATGTTATTCACATACGTAACAGTAATAAATTACGCAGTGATGGCACACATTATGCGCTTCTTATGCAAAATAAATAAATTACCGCGTGCATTAAATATTGCAAAAAAACGACAAAAAGTTATCAACGAAAAAGACTAATAAGCCACCAGCTTGACTTGGTTCTGTGGTGTCGTACAGTAAAACGAGTCCTTCAGTATATGCACGCCGCTGCACGATTCGGGAATGCTGACAAACTTGCCGTAATCCATCTTTTTGCAATAATACTGCTGATCACAGATGACCATGGTGTCGATATCGTAAATATCGAACGTTGCCACCCCGTTGAGGATGACTTCCCACTCGCCGGTGGCGTAGTTGTACTGGTACACTTTGTAGTCGTCGCTCAGGTACATCCGGCTGCCGTCGTTACCGAAACCGGCATCGATGGCGTTGTCTACATCGCGCTCGCGAATCCACTGATGACCGGCATACAACCACAAACTGCCGTCGTCCGACACCGCCAAGCCGTTGTCGCAACTGCGCGGTGCGACCTTCACCATGTTCACCGGGTTCGGCTGACCGGGGATCTGTAATCAAAGGTCACACTGTAATCATACATCCGCTAAATAACTGTAACAGTAAAAACTCTGCAATAATACATAAAAGATTAGATAAACTATTTAGTAGAAAACTGGGAAAAATCAAAGCAACCTTTTCGCTACAATAACGGTTCACGTAGTAAACCAATACAAAATTAGCTGCCAGTGCTAAATTCTCTTAATACAACAGGGAAAAATATTTGGACATTATTATAGTTTTTATCTTCTACAAATAATTTGCTAATTTTGTATAAAACAATAATTATTGCAAATAAACCGTTAACTGACCAGTTCCGGGGTTTCTTTATACTCCATCCGCCAAATATTCCCGTACTTCTGCATATCGATAAACCATATACAGTTATCATAGCCGTGGAAGGCGTATTTAACGTTGGTGGCCACTCGAGTGGGATTGTACTGGAAGAGACCATCGGGATCCATGCGGATAAGGTCATACTGCCCGTTGACGTAGTACTCCGTCCCGTGAGGAGCTGCCACGTTGACGGCGGATGTCTCACCGGTGGCGAAGAGGACATTACCGGTCTGCAGCAAAATGGATGTGGAGGAGGAAGCGGATGTGGGTGCATAGTTGCTGCTGTAGTTAGACGAGCGACCGTATTTGGAATTCGTTGCATAGTTGTTGCTGGATCCATAGGACGCGGGTTTGTAATCTTGTTTGCCGGTATTACTGTACGGTGGATACGACAATCCATATACGCCGCAGACCGCTGCAATTCACAAGATATTTACAAAGGCTACAAGCTTTCGCAGCGTCCGTACTACTTTGTAGTACTGTAAAAATCGTAAAATTAATAAAAGCTGGTTGGTTTGTAGTACTGAAACCGAAACTGTGTTATAGAAGTACACAATTATATGATTATAGTTAGCGAAGGTATAATAATTATTATAATCAGAAGTATGACAGGTAACTGATGTACCAATAGTTTCTTTTCGCACAGATCTACGTATGCAGCATTTGACAGCTTCAGAATCAAAAACTTAAAATGAAATATTTATACATTACCTGCACAGTTTGCACTCATAGTGTTACAAATTCAACAGCAATAAAATTGGATGTAATAAGTTTTTGTAACTTACCTAACATCGTCACCATAGGCGCAAGACTTGTCATCGTGACGGAAGTGCTTCCGATAGCAAAAAATTACAGAGTATACTTTATACAGATTACAGCTTAAGCAGTGCACAAACTTACTTTGATGTGCAAGCAAATTCAAAGAAATAAAAATTTTTTGCAGGCCTTTTATACGATGGAAACATAATCAAATGCAGCTTTTCAGTTTGAAACTGTGTTGGTTAATTTGTTAATATATAAACACGATTGCTGCACTAACCTAATACAGCTGAATTTTACGTTATGGAGAGCACAATGGCTTCATAAAAAGCTACGTGCAAGAATGAAAGATTGTAAGGCCACGTATAGCGTAACAACTCAAATCTGTGGGTAATATATGCAAATGTAATTATGTGTACTGTGTACTGTCATTAACTAAACCAACCTGATATTCCGTAACTGCATTTTATCATACATTTACAGAATAGATAGTTACGGGGAGCACAGTAATAAACTTAAATCCATATTGCATCTTAAATAAATTTGTCTAATATGTAAACATTAACAAATTTAGTTACCAATGCTGTTTGCTATTTTGTGCAGTTATATGTTGGTTGGTTAAATAAATTATATAAAAAGGCGTAATCAAATATACAAGCAAACCTCTGCCGCATTAACTTGCAATTGGTTGATAATTAGCAGCTACTGGACAGCGAGAAATCAGACCGCAACCGGAAGTACGACATATGCCGGCTGTTGAGTGGGCTGCTGCTATCAACACCGTTACGCGTTGTCCACACCGACTGTGCGTTGTCTAAGAGGTGCCCATTGTTTTTATTTTCCCCTTTGAATGCAAATCTGTTGTTGTTGGTACGATTGCCCACAATGTCCACTACCGGGTCAACGGATAAACAGATTGCACATGTCTGGACCACACGATGCCGGCGCATGCCGAATCCATTCTATATCATCAGCCGACACCGATTCGGCTGACTTACTTTCCTTCTTCTACATTTTCCGCAGCTTCGGAAGGTAATATTATTTTTTAGCATTGTTTTCAAAGCCCAAAGTGGCAAACAACTTCTTATTTCTTATCTGCACTACTTCAACAATTAAGAAAAATGCAATTATCGTTTATCTCGAGAAACTGTCCGATTTTGCATCGCTTCTATGGACTATTTTTATTATAGCGCATGCCATCGTTGCATGGTTATCTAAATAATTTTAATATTTACATGCATTTTATGAAATTATACAGTCCTATAAATTTTTTGCGCCATTGATATATCTACAATGTATTCCAATCGGTTGCAATCGTGGACCTTCGTCGTCGTGTCCTGCTTAATATGGAATTGCATTTCCTGTCAATCGCGTAGCAGAAACAAGCGTAAGTGATAACCAAGAAACTGTTTGAATCTGGTCATATCATTTTACAAGATTTAAGTCAGTTTTATTATTTCATCGACGTACATTAAAACTTTTGTACCATACGTATTGCTGCATACCGTACAACGTAATTGTTTCGTGCTGGACCTTGGCTTTGCGGCCGTACATAAGTTTACACATATAAACCACGGTGTACTGTATGTACAAGTATACGTAGGTAAACAATTACTACGTTCACGAGTTTATGATCTATAATAAATCGTGCTTATGTTCTGTGGACAGGCATGGTATGGATCGGTGTGCAATATCAGCCGCAACTACGCCCCTCTTTCCCGCAGCATCCCCACGCGGGCGCCCCATTACCGGATGACACTCTGAGCGCAGTGGCCGGCGCCACCGTGGCACCCCATCTCAGTCCGGACGGGCATTTGTCGCCGCACATCTGCTCCGCGGATTTCGTGCCGGACGTCTTCGCGCAGACTGGCGATGGGAACACCTACGTTTTTGCCGGTAAGGCAACTGCTTTTATACTTGAGTCAGTTTAAATAGTTTGCGCAACTTGATCTGTAGGAATATCAAAAATGCTTTCTCAATATAATTTTCAAATAATTTATATACACGAGAAAACTTAAACAATTTTTTTTGTAAATCGTATTCGAATACACTATTCACTTGAAATTTGAATGTAGACCAACATGCGCCGGTGTAAGTAATAAACACTGTACTGCGTGGTGCTATGGACTAATGTTGTAAACATCCTTTTAGACATTAACATATTGTACTGTATATGGTCTGCCAGAAAGCAAAAAGAGTGCGAGCGCGGTAACAGTACTTCATAAATAAAACATTTTAATACCGAAGAAATTGCTATTTTTTGCTAGTATTTATTTTTGTATGCTGAATGAAACAGTTTTTTTTCGATTGGAAGTGGTAGCGTGTACTGCAACCAATACGAAACGCGGTGTAAACGTAGTGGACGGGTATATGAGCCAGATCTTTTAAGTATGGGATGCATGGGTCAGCCCAATGACTAACTATGAGATCTCAGTCTCGCTGGTCAGCTAATAATAAATTAAAACGATCTAGTTTTTAATATTTTCCAATTGCTATATCTATATATCCGTTTCTTGTATTTTATTATTCAGTACATACGTTCCAATGCAACATGGCTTTTAGCACGTTTTACGAGTGCACCTGCAGAAATAATTACTTAATCTGAAAATACAAGAAACATTTCTGGACAGGCCGTACAATCCCTCGAATAACGCATGGTACATCATTAATTGTTATCATTTGTTTATTATGAGTTAATATTTTTATTTCCCTTAAGTGCATGTTAAGCCGTCGCAGAAAATAAAATTGTGGTACACGCGCGTTACTGTAGGCGGTATATTTATATTGCAGACGATGTATACTGGCACATTATGGACTTTGAGGGGAACGTGGTGGACAACCGGCAACTGGCCGGTCAGCCCATCGGCCGCGACTGGTCCGGTCTGCCCAACAAGCCCGACGCGGCCATCACGCTGGCCGACGGGCAGACACTCTTCTTTAAGGACGACCGCTTCTACGTCTTCTGGAATAAATCTCCGCGCGAGCCCTACAGCGGGCTCATTGAGCAGGCCTTCCCACAGATCCCGCGCTCCAACCTCGACGCCGCCTTCATGACCAACACCTCGCTCATCTTCGTCAAAGGCGACAGCTTCTACGTCTTCGGCATCGAGCAGTTCCCCTTTGTTCAACGGGGAAATCTGGTAATTTCGGAGACGTTATATCTCAGCTTTACATTAAGGGGTCAGATTTATAATTAAGAGAAATTAAGGAGCTTATAATAAGGACAAGTATATAAATAAAATTGCACTTCCGCCTCTATAATAAAGATTTAGAAGGCCTGCAGTAGTCGCATTACATAGTGATGCCGTACGTTTTAACTCGGTATATAAGAGAAGATCTTTATTACATGTAATTGTTTTAATTATGTATAATTTGATTTGATTTGACTTAATTTCGAGTAGCCAAGCCCGTATTAAAACGGGCACTCTCACATATCCTTATCCGTTGAAGAACATCAAATATGCTAAGGCTAGTACGGCATTATTAATACGGCACCCTGTTACTGCGCGTCTAATTGTGCGTCTGTTGAGTTATGTACCGAATATAAGTGTCTACAAATTGATGGTCATATTGCAACAGGCGGATATGGGATTACCGGCACTTCCGGTTGAGACTGCAGTCAACTTGTCTGATGGTCTGGCCTACATTGTTATCGATAAAACTGCTTACCAAGTGGACACAATATCGCTACAGGTAACTAACCAAAATAACCATGAGCTTTGACTGTAAAAGTGAATTGTACTGGAATCGGTCCGAAGTATACTTATGTAGATGACGAGCAATATATAATGTGAGCAGCATGCTATTAATTATAGGCTTCCAGAATATAAATTTTAAGAAGTTGACTAAAGTTGATACCTAAATTACATAAACATGCTAGCTACGGTACATAAGGGAAGTGGCCGTCTGGAGTGACCTTTCTATTGGCGACTGCTGCACTGAGCCGGTAGCATGGGTTAACCGAAGGCTGCTTTAAGCTTGCTCAACTAAAAAAACGGCCACTAGATTCTCATTACTTGGCCGTGCATTAACATTGTTATGTACTAGGTGGTTTCCTCGTTTCCAACGCAGAGCTTGTATGGATGCTTGGAACCGCTGATGAGTGCAAAAACCAGAATGCTAAGGATACCCTATGGTCGGAAATTCGACCCGGAGAAGGACTACTTCCGCGGCTGGACGGCGGCAGCTCTCAATCACCACGTCAACATCCTCTGAACTACCTGAACATCCATCTACGACGATGGTGACAATTGTGCACGTGCTACAAAAACCTCCCAGTACTTAACGGAAGATCATCTGTACTGTATTCCATATTCGTGAACCAGAAATCCGGAAGAAATACTTGCCACAACACAAATCTTCTTGTCCAGTTAAAAAGGAACGGTTCGGTCGCCTATTAATTTTATTAACAATCATCAAGCATGATGATTGGTAACCAATTTTTTCAAACCATCCAACATAAATGATCAGGCTCTCATTTTCAGATCGAGATGACGCACCCAGTATAATTACAGAACAGAATCTATCTGTGCACACATAAATAAAATAAACAGAAATGTGTCTACTGGGTTATTCAAAGTACAGATACATTAATAGGTAATACTGGTAAATGCTCTACGACACTCAATCATTCCGTTACAGCAGAATCCCTGTTTGCCGATAAACCCTTTAAAACACATCATGCCAGACAGCACGCGTTGTACAATCTGTACTCGTATTGTGGTTAACCTTTAAAAACAACATCATGAGGATATCTTCAATCTTCAGTTAGTTTTCTTATCATTCGATCTCACAGCTTCCGCATCACGTCGTGCAGACATATTTTGTAAACAACAATTTCCCATCACCTCTTCCGACAAAAGACAACTACCCGACAAGAGGTTGCGGATGTGGGCCGACCACACCGAAGCCTCCATTCGGAAAGTGCAATCGTGTAATAACTTGAGAAAGGAACGTGCATTGACGTTGGCAAGGAGAACCAGGTCCGCCTGCTACGTGTCACCATCTCCTGCAAGTTATAACAAAGTTTGATTACACAGCATCACCAGAACAACGAAAAAGGCACACGGGGTCACACTACAGATGATAAAAAGTTTCTGATAGTAGTAATAATTCACCATTTACAAGCAAAAAAAGTCTGCTACTATGGGTTGCGATGGTTTCGGGAAAAAAAACACTCAAACTGTGGGCAGAACACAGCATTCTAAGTACACAATGGTCATGAAAGAAAGCGAACAGATTCATACTTTAATTGCATAAACAGCAGCTGACTAAAGCATTCGAATTGGTTAAGAACTTTTTGAGCGGCGATGCTAAACATTCCGATCCGCGATATTAGACATATAATGCAGCGAATCTTGTAATATTACCACGATGGTGCGCATTAAGGGAATGCTCGCCATTGGCCGTCGGCGCATCCCCGCTACCGTCTTCCGGCTCATCATCCTCGAACTCTTCATCATGCACCACCGCGTTGAGGAGACCCCCGGCGCCCTGCTCCACGGCGGCTGCTTCATCATCATCATCCGCCTCGCCTTCATCGTCCGACTGCTCGTCTTCCGCGTCCGGATGGAGGGCTTGACATGTGGACATGGCGTTGAAGATAGCCTCCACTGTAATTTTCACATCACATCACAGCATTATTTCATCTGAGATGCAATTACGACAGCAGACATAAATATTTTTAAAAAAACTGAAGAATTTCAAAGAAAGCGGATAAAACTTGCATCGTGGTTAAAAATATAAACTAATAGCACTGATATCAACACACTAGCAGGCCCCACCAATTAAGCCATCCTCAAAAAATTATCAGCTTCGAGTGTATCAGGCTTATGATGCACCCGCAAGTCGAAATCAGTGTTGAGTGAGCAGACTGAATCCAAAAAGTGGAAGGAGGAAAACTGCAAAATGTGCGAAAGTTGTCAGTTTTCCTCCTTCCACTTTTTGGATTCAAAGTCGGCTCCAAGCCGCCTTTAAAACTGACTTGAGCTTAACTTTATTTGCTAAGTTAATTCAACAAGAAACTTGGGCTCACAGGCAAATAATTTAAAATTTTTGAACAAACTATTTCAAAAGTCAGGCTAGCTGCAAACCGTAAGCATCTCAAGTTTTCGACATCCCTACTCACATGTCGATTTATCTTCGGGAACAAAGCACAGCTCCTTCACATCACTCGAAGTCTCGATGTGCACATCCGCATCCTCGTCCATCGCCTCGTCATCGTTCCCATCTGTCAAAACCAAAACAAGCTCTGGCATTCCGTGATTGTCGCAGCATAGTGTTTTTGAAATGCAATGATATGAATTTAGGAAATAAAACTTGTACCTATGTCTGCAGAAGCGTAAAGATTTTCATACATACGAATGACTTTGCCTACTTTAAACGCTTGCACAAGTTCAAGTACAGTGTACACAGTCAAAAGCACTTTCACTGTCTTGCAGCCACAATGCTGTCACGTTCAAGAAATTAGAAATCGATCAGTCACGAGCCGTCAAAAGCGGTATAGCTGTACATTTTCGATACGATATGCGTAGTTTACGGTCCTCGCAGCCATAATAAAAATTCTAATTTACAAACTGGAAAAACATCGTCACTGCATTTAAAGCCAGATCAAAAAGCCGTTACGATGCGATAAGATAAAATAAATCATTGATCCGTTACGCTCACAACGATCAACGACTGAGTTCAGCGTAAAACTGATAAAAGTTAGGTACTTCTACTGCAATGACGACATTTCAATTTGCTCCGTTGCTCACCCATATCGCTGTGCGTCGCAGGGTCCGCACCCTCCACACCGTCCAACAGCATGTAGATGCATTCCTCGGGGAACGAGCCGGGATCCTTACTGATGGCGTGCAGGGAGATCTCGTAGTAGGACAGCGTGAAGCCCGTGAGCGACGAGGAACCCTCCAGCGCGCTTCCCGCGGAGCTCCCCACCGCGGATGGATCCGCAATCCAGCAGACGCATCTGCAACACGCACATTATGCCATAAGTGCGCTTTCCGCCTTGGCTACACACAGAAAAACCCACTGTTCGGTGATAAATAATCGGCCGGTCCCGAAATTCCGCTGTCGATTCTTGGCCGCCACATTGTTCTGTGTCAGAACGATGCCATCGGTTGGCTCCGACACTTCGTGCAGTTCCACCATGTTCGTTGAGAAAAATGTGTTCAGTTACTGAGTTACACACGTTTTGTTCAACCGCGGTTCACACTAATGCAGCAAAAATTTAGCAGATCAAAGAAAACTGAATGCATCAAAATATTTTATCGGTAATAAACGGAAACCGAAGAAGAAAAACTGAACTGATCACTGATAGTGATGACAGTCAGGTATGACGAGCCGTTCGGGCAAAAAGGTTTTATGTATGTTATGTTACTAATGGTATGCTTGTTATGATTGCCATGTTACTCATGTTACGCTTGTTATGTATGTTATGTACGTTAATAATGCTATGTTATCCATGATACTGTTTTGTGCTTCCCTTTAAATTCTTCATATTATATTATTACATTTGCTTCGAATTCACAACGAGAAATCTTTCAAGTTTGCACATATAAGTTTGGTGCGGGCTACGGCCGGACAAACGGTATCATAATACTGCCGGTACATGTTATACCTACATGCAGATCATATTGAAACGGCAAGTCCTCCGCGAAGTCATCGATAGATTTTTCGGCAAGGTTTGCTAAAAGTTTAACTAAAAATAAAAATTTATCTTGATTTATTTTCTCCAAAAAGAATGGCAACATGCGCTGCGGGTACTGTACTACGTAGGGGCAAATTTATCTACAAAGGTCAACTGGCGCGCAACAAACGACTCCAGCGCAGGGCATTACTGTAAGAATTGCTAAAAATTTAAGAAATATTAATTTTAAGAAAATTTAAATTTCTTCTGTTTTCAAAAGCAAATTTTTTTGAAGCTTCGTCCTGTACTGAAACGTGCTCATCAAATTTCGGTGAAGTTTAAATGTAAACTCTAACCAGGGAACATTTTCCGGGTATATATTCAGAAAATTTTGATGTGGAAAGATATTATACCATAGTATGCTTAAAAAATAATTCCATTTGGTGTGGTCCACTGAGCGTGGCAATACATAATTACTGTATATGATTACATAGTACTGCATACTGCTTTGCGAGTATCACTACTTATACAGTGTTACTGCAGTACGGGCTTTTCTGCTGTAACTTTATTCTGATGTTGTAACTTGTGGATGATGCTTTAGGCTTTAGCCGTACACTCTTCCAGTTTTCGTCCACCGACGTAATTACGTAAGGGAAGCAGACGTTCTTATGCCATTCCTGCCAGATTACAAATTTTTAAAAATTGTCAGGGTCTCCTAGACAGTATACGAATTATTAGGTATACGAGCACTGTTGAATTTCTTACTATTTAACAACAGCTGCAGGACATAAACCATTACTTTTGATCCAATAAAATCAGAATAACTTTAATAATTGTTTTAATTTCTATCACCAACTCTTGCGGCAAAACTGTCGGATGACTTCGCGCGAGAATTGCTATTATAATGTGAACTGTAACTTGTACTAGCACTTTGCTCTAGTGAATTTAATTCTAATCATGACACTATTAAATATCATGATTAGAAATAATTTGAAATCAAACATAAAATAGTATCATGTGTACAATAACATTCATAACAAACGCAGCATAAGTAAGGTAACATACATAACAAGCGTAACACAAGTAACATGCCAATCATAACAAACATAACATAAGTAACATAACATATATAAACCCTTTTAGCACGAACGGCTCGTCATAGTCAGGAGGACAGTCCACTTTTTATTTTTACAGTGCAGTGTATTTTTGGGAAGCGGAGTAACGAGCATCGAATTAAGGGGGTGTACGGTGCAGCTCACTGATTAGTGAGCTAAAGCTTATATTTTGGTGGTGATGCTTTTTTAGCATGCCTGGACGCCTTTACTATGCCTTTACTTTTTATTATGCCTTTACTTACTTTTTATTATGCCTTTTTATTATGCCTTTTTACTATGCCTTTACTAATTACTTAATTAGCTTAGATATGCAATCCAAATTCCAATTTCTAATTTCTTATTTGTATGTAGATTTAAGGTTTACGAATAACTTTTGCTGTAAAGCCTGTGCCAGATCGGCACTGCCAATTAACATGCGAAAGTTTCTTGTGCGTGCCGGCAATGCTGCATTACATGCGCGATTTATTCGATTATTTCTGCATTCTACCGATGATTAATCGGCCCCGCCCGACTGGCACCGGCCCGACGGGGCGGGCGGGCTCACTGATGTATAGCGTGGTAATTGGTCGTTAAGTACAAGATATCCCCGCCCAACAATTCTCAAGAGATCTTCCACGAGTAATGTAACTGCACGGAGAAAGGCCTAGCATTGGCTGCCAAATCAGACGTTCCCCCCAGCGCAGTTACTAATGAACTGACTTCTTTATTTTTTTGTCATTTTGTGGATGCGTTTTCCATTATTTGCGATCTATAGTTGGCCCTTGCGAGCTCCTTCCAAGTATTTTGTGTTTCCAGTTCCTTTCTAAATCTTCATCATAACTTTATCGCAGTTCGTGATTCAGCTTTTACGTCTTTGATTTAGAGCTTTATTATTCTATATTTTGGAGTCTTTGTGGCCGTTAAATTCCTGGTCGTGACTCGTTTATACCCAGTTTCCAGTGTGCAGGAAAGAGTAAGAGCGACTGCGAATTTCCTTCCCCATTGATGCACAGACATCGTGTCAGCCAATGCGACTGCGGCACTACTCTAATCTCTTGCTCATTTGCATTGACACAGTAGTGGTTGCTGGATTGATCACAAATCGAATCTGCAGATGCCACACTAGTAAATCTTGGCATCAGCGTGCAGGCTAAATATTTTGGGGATTGCGTCTTCTGGTCTTCCATGCATTGAAACATTAACATTCAGTTTGTTTGTGTTTTGGAGGGTTGTTTGGGATCTTCGATTTTTAAAATGGATGTTTAATTAGCAGCTATGCAAGAGCACGAGATCGCTGATTTGCAGATCGAAACTCTTGCGAAGGGCGATAAAACTCTGGAGAGTTACTTGTGTCGCGTCTGCGGACTGAAATTAAACCAGCGGTTTTCTATGCGAAGGCATGTTAAAATCGAACATCCCGATAAGATGCGCAGTCTTCCTGCCCTTTATCCTGTTACGGAATATTACCAGCTGGGTCGTCTGGCGGTCGACGACTCGTCCAGGGGCCCCGGTAAGAGTCAAGGCGAACAGACGCATTTCTTTGTTATGCATCTGCTTAGCTTGCTGCTTATAATCTTATTGTTACTGACTACCTGCAACGATGCGATCTTAGATGATTAGATTATTCATGATTGGCAATTTGGCACAGTACTTCTAAACTTGTCACAACGCGGAAGTGGGGATCTTCTTTAATCGTGCCTTCTGATTTGGCGCTTACAGTTGGCTATCAGTTATCGTTACGCCGTATATTTTGACAGGTTTTTTTTTGAAATTTGAATTTTACTCGGGCAGGAACGATTCGTTGCTAGGAACTGGCGAACTGCAAACAAAAAGGAAAACAATATACAACAGTAACAATTATACGTACTGAAATTGTTAAAAACTTAAAATCATACGTTTGAGCAGTCACAACCTACGCAGCACAAGTTGGACGATGATTTTATTTTAATTTACTGTACTTACTAATTTCGCAGTGCGATGCTGATTTTCGGTTAGTGAATCTGTGAATCATAATGGCTTACTTAGCCTTTAGGTTCAGCGACACGCTAAGTATATTTTTCAAGTACCGTAGTGTCGGAGACTCACCACCATTTGCTGTTCTCAAGCGGGAACGTCACCGTGTACTTAATTGTGAATTTGTGAGTAGAAAAATGTACAGTATTTGAATCGTTTGTACTGTGTCCCGTACTCGTAAAGTCCGTACGTAGAGTTGCTTCGCAAAGACTGCGATATTAAAGCCGAGCTAATTAGTTGCCTGTTACACAATGCGGGTTTTTTACGAGTAATTGCTCTGATGAACTGGATATGTCCAGATTCAGAAAACGATTAGAATCACAGTGTTTTGTCTAACTTTATATGCTACGAGCACGTCGAGCAGGCTCAGCAGAGGCTTATCAAGATTTATTGTGAACTTCAGCTTCATGCATGGTTTCCTAATTTCATTCTAAATATTTTATCATACCTTTTATGTGTTGCTTATTAGCTTAGCTTTGTTTATTTAGTTTAGTTTGACTGTTTAGTGTTGTAGCCTTATCATTTAGCCTAGATCGATAAATTGCGTCCTCTAACCTTCAGTGGTAAATTTATGTACCTGAATAAATATGTACCTTTAACCAGGTTTTTCGCTAATAGCGCTATCGTTTCATTCGTCTGACACTACTGTAAAATGTTACAGTGCAAACTCACCCAGAACAAACATGCAAATAACAGTGCTGCCTTTCTGACCGCTTTACTTTTTACCTCTCCCATAACGCTTAATTGTCTGGCGGGGTGCTGACTGCCTGCTACAGGTTCTCATGTGCATATTTAAATGCGCTGTCCGGTTACCATAAGACTGCACAATGGTCTCGAATTTCCATGATAATCGTGAGATAATATAATTGTTTTCTGGACTCTGGTTCGTTCCTGGAGTGAGCGATAAGATTTCACAATGAAGGGATGAATTATCGGTATCGTGAGTAGTAGTACTCATACCGTCCGGCGTCCTACGTATAGAAGTACTCAGAATTAATTCCAGATTAGACCTGGCTTTATACGCTATCTTATAGTCATTCACATTCGGGGAAGATTAATTGTAAACGGTAAGTCGTGGCTAATTTCAGATTCCGCCTACAGCACTGAGCACATACTTCAGGCTATTTGAGATTAAAAAGGCAAAAGATTCCCGCTAGATCAGTGGAAGCGCACTTTCAATATCATAGCCGATGGTGATGCGGGGGCACGTGATTAATCTATTGGTTAAAAGTCGAAGGTACCGGTAGACGGGTAGATAGGGTAAATCTTGGTTTTATGAGGAATGCACATAGTGCACTAGCAGTAGGTGCAGTATTTGAATGTTTTTCATTCAACCGGCTCCTCTGGTATTATTGTCCGTTGCCTGGTTACGTGTGGTACTAAACTTCTTCTCACAAGTTCATGGATCCGGCGGCTCTATGCCGCTGCTGAATCGGTATCCTTTGATTTGGGGCACATTTAGGTTATTTAAAAGTTAAACTACTTAGCTTTACTTGAAATTAAATCGAAATATTCTAAGTAGTAATTTCTGATGTATAATAGCAGGTAGGTCTTGTTGAAAAGGACTTCTAAAGGCTATGACCCAATGTCAGCCAACTGCGCAGAAAAAATAATTCATGTACTGTATCTGGGAATTTGCAAGGCGATTCTGCCGACACCTTGTTAATTTATTGTCTGTATATCGTCACAAGTGGCAGCTAGTAACTACACAAGAATTCAGTGTGCGCGAAAGAATTTGTAGAGCACTGTGCTTAAACCTTTTTCATTTGAACGTTTGTTCCTCTCGTTGTTGCAAAAGCCTTGGTTCCCCACGGATCACCTACCGTTGTCTGATTTGTAAATTAGATTGTGATAACATACGGATGACGCTGCCGGTGGTCTTCTAGCAATTTCAATGCAAAACTTGCACAGTTAATTGTTATGCTCAGAATTTAGCAGCTATCCGTGGAATGTGCTCTAGTCTGTGAGAAGAGAAATAATGTTTGCGGTTTTTCTTTATGTCGGCCGAACTCACATTATCTCGCACGATTAATTATTACAATGATGGCTATGATCTTCTGAATGGTCTCGGATTTCGGTTCTCGCTGAGTTCTTGTCGGCCAGCCTGCCAGACCGGCACGCGGACGGACGTGGCAGCCAGTTGCTACCTGTCAGTCAAAGTCTGTTAAGACTTAAGACAGCTGATTGCGTAGAGGTAGACGGTAGTAAACAAAACAATTGACGCTCAGGTGCAAGTCGTAAAGTATTATTCAGACCACGTGACCAGGCTGACCACATGTGCAATGAAACAGAAAAGTGCGATGAAGAACTGAAGATTTATTTCTTTTCCTGTTATATCTTTAGATGAGCGGCTTTGCATGTATGATGTATCATGATTGCAGCGTATTGCGTTAATGATAGATAGTAATTAGCAAGCTGTGCGCACTTGACTCCTGTCAGCATTGGAGAAGCTTTTTTTGCGAGTCACGGGAGTGCAGATGTCACGGTAGTTTTTTTAAGTTTTCCTAGGCTTACACGTAGATTTCTTACGAAGGAATATATACGATCAGTATGGGATTCGGGTCATTCAAATTTCAAGGGATCGTTTGAAGTCTTGAACTAAAAGGTTGTAATATTATAAACTGCGATTTGCGACTCTTTGTATTGTACGACCTGTATAAACACCTGGTAGGTGCGGCGTGCACTAGTGGGATTAACAGCATTGCACGCTTTTTCCTGCTTGCTGGGTTAAATTTGAATATTCGTACGTGCGTACCTGCGTACGCTCCCTTTGACAAACACGTGGGCATGATATTCTGGCTGGGCCGTATGACTGTATGCGCGATAAAATCGTTTGAGCCGGCACTCCAGCCGTCTGCGGACTAGAGTAGCGCTGAACCTTGACAAATCGGCATGCCAAATCTGCGCTCGCAGACAGTATTCTAATTCCACATTGTACTGATGCCAATTTTTTTCCTTACTTGTTAGCTTCACCAGCCAAAGCTGGGAGTGCCAGTGGGTCGAATCGGTCCAGCCCGCCGCAGTCCGTCTCATCGGCACTGTTCTTCCCCGATGATGGAGCGAGCAAGCCCGTAGAACGTAAAATGCAGTACTCCGAGTGGGCGCAATCCAAACTGGATCTCTACATTAACGCCGTGGCAGTCAACCAGCGACTGCTGACCGGCGGCTATCAGAAGACGGTCAAGTTCCACTGCAATCTGTGCACGGCGGCTAATAAAGGGGTGCAGGGTCCCGGTTGGCTGCTGCGGGAGGAGGCGCAGGATCACATCATCACCAGCCACCCGGAGAAGATCCAGAAGGAGGCCAGTGGAGTTTGTCAACCGCCGGAGAAGAAGGCCAAGATGGACAAAAATATCCTGGCGCGGAGATTCGGCAGCAGAGCAAGTACGTAGTGATTATTTATTTTAGTAATTAATACTGCGGCACTTAGTTTTTTAATAAAATAGTTTCTTTCACTTTCCTGATTCTTGGTTATTTGTTTTGCGGCGTTTTCCGAACGTATTTTTTCCCTGCAATTCGTAATAACAGCAACTTTTAATTGGTTGTTGCATTTGTCTGCAATAATTTACCGCGAAGCCGGAAGTGTTTTATCATGGTGAAATATTGCAGTGATGGGTCTGATGATTCTGACCTAACTATGCTTTTATCGGTTGATTATGCAAATTTCGCTTTCGTATGGATCTTCTGGCTTTGAGTTTTAGATCTAGCCTTTTGTAAATGTTTTTGATCAGCTTTTAAAGTCACGTAAAATTTTTTATTTTTTCACTTTAGTTAAAATCAGTACGAAATACGTACGTATCTCTAAACTCTACAGGCTTCGTTATGATAAATTTGAACAGAATGTGTTAACGCGTAATGGATACATGAATGAAAGCGATTTTCCTTATGATCTCTTCCGTTCCCTGAGCCTTTCATATGACTGACATCCGATGCTGAAATATTGTACACCAGACAAGGCACGTGTTTAATTTCACCTTTAGCATCGACCGGTGCGGCAACTGCTTCCTTTCATAAATCTTACCATTCTAACTCTGACTGCAGTATACGTACGCTAAAAGAAGATTCCGCTTGGCTAGGTGGTTACCTGATAATGCAAGCCGCGAATTATACATTTAATTTAATAGACAGATTTAAAATATTTGTTGCATCATATTATTCTTATGTTAATTATTCTTCTGATCGTTTATGCAGCCACAATGATGGCGCCAGTTCATATGCCTATGCCATCGCCGACGCGTCGAGCGCGCTCGCCGGGTTTAGAAACAAAAAAATCTAGCACAGTTGGCGTGCCGGCTAATCAAATCGGCCAAAAGAATCCGCGAAATTTTGCGGCGAAATCTGCCAACAGAACGCCGGCTAAGGCAACGGAGAAGCCTGCGGTTAAAGAATCCGTGTCGACACCGTCGGTTTCCGGTGTGCGGAACTTTGTGTCCAGCCCTCCGCTTTCTTCTGGACCAATTAACGGTATGGAACATGAATAGCTTGTACATATTATTTATTTTATATGTGCCCAGATATATCTGTGTAGCTTACGGTCTTCGAAAAATTTGTTGTTTTAAACATATTGCTACAGACATGGATAGCCGTATTTACGTTTTTGACGTTACAGAAGAATTCGGAGTATACGAATGGTCGGGGCTTAACACTGTTAACAGTCAGCACTTTACAGTACTAGTTGAGCGGGCGTGTATTTCACTAATATTTGCTAAAAACTGCGCTTTGGCTTACTAATTCACGTAAAATGCATTTTCTGAATAATAGAACCTACTTTAATTTTGATGCATTTGCTTTATTTTCACAAAGAATCCGCTTTCGAAGTCGATATTTCTACTAATTATGATCACATTATAATCACAGCTCAATTTCAGAATATCCAAAAAACATGGATCGCATAAATGTAATAAGCGCAACTAGTTCTTAATAGAGCTAAATGACAACGAAACATCTGTTGAATTTTCTCGCTTCCACCACAGAGGTCGCGTTTTATCTTTCAATCTTAATTAATAACTGCTGCTGGTTGAAATATATTAATAAGATAACGCAAATATAACGAATATCTTTTGGTTGAAATGGGTCAAGGAAAATCCGATGTCATCGAACAGAACATATTATGAAATCTCCTTATCTGCGACGGCAAAATTCTGCATGGGTTTTAACCTCATTTTTGTGTACTGGTATTACAAATTCCAAGGTGCTGAAGAAAATATAGCTATGTTTACGGGTTGTTATCAGTTTCTGATCGTTTTGCAGCTGTGGGGAAGAAGCGACCGATACTATCGGACTTGGATATCACTCCACCCGGCACCCCGAAGAAAGTGGCCACCGAGGCCAACTATACCAGTCCCTCACCCGCAAACCTCCCTTCCCCGTCATCCTCCACGTCCAGCGGGGACCCGCCGCTCCAGTCCAAGCCCGCACTGCTCCCCACACCGCCACCGTTGGCCTACGCGCCTTTGCATTCCCTACCATCACCCCGACCGCCACTGCTGCCGACACCGAAACTATCTCCCTACGCAAGGAGTTCACCACCATCACCCAGATTTACCATTCTGCCCACGCCGCCGGCAGTGCCGGCGCCAAATCCGCAGATTGCGGTATCTTCTCCTTCACACGCACTTAGAGTGGAAACATGTGGGCTACCCAAGTCCGGACCGAATTCAGTGCCAGCTCCTTCCACGTCAAGTGGGAATACGGTACAGCCATCCAAACCCAACCCTCTGCCAGGATCTACACTGCCGGTAGAAAAATCCTTACAGCGTTCTTTATCGTCAACATCGGTGGCCAGCGTGGAATCTGCTCAACCAGTCAAGTCTTCACCAGCACCTTTACCGTCCAGCGTGAACGCTCCACAGCCTATCAAATCCGGGCCGGTCCCTTCTACATCCAGCATGGATGCTCCGCCACCACCGAAATCGCCGGTTAAAGAGAAACCGCCGGTCCCAGCGAGTGCTGGCAGTCCCATTGAAGTGGTTCCGCTCAAGAGAACCTCGGTTTCCCCGCAGAAGAGCCTGCAGCGGAGTGGAAGCCCTAGTACGCTGGTTGTTGTGGCCGATGCTGCGGAGAATGGGAAAAGAGATGCAGCGGAAATAGCCAGCTCGATGAAAGGGCCCATGGTGGAGAGTGCGAAGACGGTGCCAAGTGAACCGGTGGAATCCAGTGGTAAGTTGCTTTTTGCAGTTTTTACCTACTGTATTTATTTTGATGCAGTTTAATTAAACTAGAATTAGAATGGGTGATTTGGGCTATTTTATAATTTTTTAAGTTGCAACGACTTCGTAGTTCAGTGTAGTTTGTATTTCGTATCGATTAATTCAGTTATTGTATCTTAGCGGATGTTGTTAATTTAAAGTCAACTGGAGCAAGGGTGTTCTTTACCTATTTTTTTAAACAAATTCACCAAATCCTGCTCGTTGTTCTTTTATTTATTATGTCGCTTGTTATGTCATTGAGGGTGGTTACGTTCCTTTACTCTGTTCGAGGATACAGTTTATGGAATGTGCTGTATTTTTTATTGCATTTAACGTTCGTAAATGGTGGGTGAACCACAGTAGCATACTGAATATTATTGACGTTTTATGTCCGTGTCATTTTTTATTAACATCATTACCGCGTCACAATACATTGTTATTACAAAATACATGCGTGCAGGTGAACCATCGCAGCGGGGTAAAACCACGAGCCCGGCACGTCCGTTGGCTGCGGTGGCTCCCAATGTGAAAGCCAGCACTTCCGGTGTCAGCGGGAAGGGCTCGAATGATGGTGTAATAGGGAGAAAACAGGCGGGTAGCAGTGTGGATGGCATGCTCCTTGAATCAGGTAAGCAAACAGCAATTGAATACTTCAAACATGGCATGATTACAGTTTATTGATACACACTTGTTCGTAATTAATTGTCATGTCTGGCTGCTGGTGTGTTCCGTCTGCTGTTATCCACTCTCTGTGTTTAGGCATCTGTGTTGAAAATGGCTTGCATGTGAATGCGTCTAAATGTCTCGGTGAGTGTGCATGCCAAGTCTCTTCTGTTTTTATGGTTTCTTAGGTGTGTGGTAGGATTAGAAGATGTAGAGACTAGAGAGATATACATGTATTTACACTGTGCTGCAATATTGTTAAACAGATGATTCATCGAAAGCGGCTACAGCGGACGACAGCGTTTTCAAGCAGCCCTGTGATCCCGATGCGCTGCAGCCGGTTGGACGAAAAGGTTTGTTTGTCTGCCGGGAATGCTGGTTCGGGCCGCGTGCCCAGGCGGAAATCGTGCAGCACGTTCTCACCACACATATGACACGAACTTCCGAATCCCGTAAGTGGTTCGGTTTCCGTTCCGACGTTTGGGTACAATATTTACCCGAACGCTAGATCGGTGCTTAAAATTAACCAAGAAAGATGGGAAAGGCGTTCATATAATTTAATAATAACGCAAATAAAATTTTGCAGTAAAACCAAATTATTCAAATATGTCATGGAAGAAACATACGGCTTTCATAAAATTCAGTTTGCAAGCAAAGAAAGATTTGGCAGTAAGAGCAGAATTCTTAATAAAATAAATCATGGAAGAAACAAACTGCTTACATAAAATTACCTCTCAAGCAAATAACGATTTGGCAGTAAAAGCAAAATTCATGAAATAGATGCATGGAAGATCGGAAAGGGAAAGAAGCATTCTTAAAATTGAAAAATACAATATAAAAATGTTGCCTTCAAGCGGAATTAATAAGGGAGATTCTCCATAGGTCCACAAGAACCAGAGAAAGCCCATTCCGAGGATTCCAGCGACTGGGTGATGGAATTGCCGTCCGATACCGCCGCTTCGCCGTCGAAGCGCCGCGGACGGCCCCGCAAAGCTCAGACGATGGCGCGTGTAGACAGCAAATCCAGTTCCGTTGATGCAGCCGATTGGGTGATGGAGCTGCCATCCGATAGCCAGCGTCTACCGCCGCCACCAAAGCCACGTGGACGGCCACGGAAGGATGCTCCATCCAAATACGCGGCATCGACGGCCAGCCAGGCGCAGGACAAAAGCCGAGGCGTCTCGCTGGCGTCCAGCTGCAGTAGCGAGCCGAAGAAGAAGGGTTATAAGGGAGCGCGGGAAGTGAAGGCGCTGCAATGGGAATACCGGTCCGAGGATGATGATGAGGAAGACTGGGCCACCGAGATTAATTATGCGTTCACGCGGGAGGATAAAAAATTTATGCTCGATGCGGCGGGTCGGTCGGGAGGTATGCAAACTGGCGTCTTCATTAGAAAATGAAATACTGTACAAATGCAAATGAGTGTGCACTGCACACTGTGCAGATAAAATGAATTTTATGAAAACTGAAAATCGTTTTGAATGAAGTGATGTAAAATAATTTCGGTAATGAACAGTGGCATCCTTTATGTATTAATTTAATCACATGTGATTTGTAGTTCTTGCCGCTGAAAATTCCGAAGTTTTGCTTCGTTTATTTATTGTCGAAATCCTCGTTGTTTTGTCTATTGTTTGAAGTTTTTTTACTTGATAGTTTTGCGATTGTTGAAAATATTTGAAGCGCTTGCTGACGTAGTGTGTTTTGTTGTTGCAGTTTCCATTCGTGCCCTGTGTGCCAAGTTCACGGAAGCAACGATGCGGCACTGCACGGAGACTGGCGAGTGGACCGATCGGTACTTTATCAAGCGGGAAGGGGGCAGTTGTTAAGTGGAAGCGAATTCCGGAAGATTTTCTCAAAATTGATGCGTACCAAAGAGTGTTTTATGTCTGTTTGTAGAGACGTGACGGAGTATTTATTTCGTTGAAATAGCTTTTGACCGATTTTTCGTTTGATGCCCGCGGAGAATTACGTTTGTGTATCAGTTTGTTGTGCGGTTGTGTTTTACGTTTGTTTTTGTGTTTTCTTCGAACCGGAATGGGCGATATGGGCAGTAGTATTTGCAGTGTTCGTTTGCATTGGATTTCTGTTTTTCTATGACTAATTGAAATGCATCTCGTAATTCCATTATTATTAACTGATGGGTTTGTTTTACTTTTGTTTCTGTTGATGCATCGATGACGGATCTGGTTGACCGCAGTATTAATCTCATCATTCGACTAATAAAATGGTTGGAAAATCCTGTTGTGCATACAGCGAGAACTGGTCAACCGTTTGTTATGTAGCGGCTAGCCTTGATTGATCGAGTACCGCTACGGGAATGATGCGCAACTTGTCAACCATCATGATCAAGGAATATTAATAAATTCGTAAATGCCTGCACTCGATGGCTCTGTAAACATTGCGGGCGCTATAAAGTAACGGTTAAAGATTTCTAATTTATACAGTACTCGTACTGATGCTAATACATTGTTCAAGAGTTACAGGGAAATATGGGTTTTTGTTGGAACTGGACGGCATATATAAATCTTTATTACAAAGTATAATGAGCAACTGGAGCTAACCGGCGAAACCGCGCATTAAACAATTGTATTATAATTAGGAACTGCAGCATAACCGGCCACCAATGAGCAATGCACCAAGTAATAATACTCCCAATACACACCATAAAAATCTCAAACATCTAGATGCATGGCAAGCTTTTAAGCGTAAGTGTCTGGTCGGATATTAAAGACTCTCTCACAAGAACTGCGAATACGACGGTGGCGGTATCCCATTGATGACCTTTCCGTCTCCTTCCGGTTGCGCGTAGATGGCGCCCTCAATATCCACCATGTTCATATTCCGTCGCGCCAGCATCTCCTCCACCGCCACCCGGATGTGGCCCTGACCGACACTGCGGGCGTTGACCACTCCGATGCTGGCCGCCGCACAGGTCATGAGGAAGAAGCACAGAATAACCGCCACCATGGTGACGGCGTGCAGGATCGCCGGCACCGAGCTCAACCACGTGATGCGGCAAGCCTCGTAGCCGCTGAAGCCGAAATGCTCGCCGACGCCGTTAATGATGGCTAAGGTCACCAGCAGCGCCCAGCCCAGTGTGATGCCCAGGCCGAAGTTGAGGACGGTGACGGCGATGAAGAGGGTCACGGAGCGGCCGATGCGCACGGCGTGCATGCCCAGGATGCCGGTGATGAGGATGTAGAAGCCCAGCAGGAAGTTGGTGGACGTCGGGGATGTGGTTATGAAGGAGAGGATTTTGTAGTCCGCTATGGTCGGCAGTACTGCAGCCAAAAAATTCCTGCTTAATTTGTGGTCTATAATGTCTATTTGTATTATTTGTATTATTGACAATTTGTGTTATATTAGTTAAATATAAGATTTTTGGCGTTGTACTGACGGTTGACCATCCTGTTTAAATTTCAGTAAAAGCACCTTACAGTAACTAGATTATAGTGCAGGCAGTTGCTGTACAGTGTACACCCCGCACTCCCACACTGTTAGTTTTTCGGGTTCATCAGATATTTGCTCACCATCAGGAGTGCATTGTCAGTAATTGCTGTCGATAATTACTCGTAGGCAAATTACGTATTAGTGCCAGGCAGTAATTATAATTACATTATTACGTCAAACGTGACAATTTCGTGCAGTAGCTCACCAGTCAGTGTTAGACTATTGTATGCTCATACAGTCATACTCTACTTTTTTTGAAGGCACAGCTTTAACTGTACGGACTTTTATCTGCACATGCCTTAATAAATTTTTTATGGTTAATTAAACGTTTACAACTACCGAAACCAGTAAGATTTGTGATGTCTACGTACCATAAAAGATGACCAGTGTTGTGTAGGCCAAATATAAGATGGCCATGAGGGACTGGACTGCGGCAATAACCACCAACTTTTTCAGCGAAGTGAATTCGAATTTATTGTTCCGATCGTGCTCCATTGCAGTTTGTGTGGTAATCCCAGTATAACCGGCTGAAAATTATTTATCAACTTTTGCGATTAAAAAAATGGTTTTCTGACAAGAGTAGGAGAAAACACAAGATCAGGTTTTGATAAACTGACATATTATGTTGATATGACTGGTCGGTCTGATCAGACGCGAATTCGAAGCCGCGGTACTTGCAATAAACACAAGAAAACGTTCAGCGTCAAGCGTGTAGGATTGACCTTTGACTGCAGCGGAGTCATTTGATTGTCGCGATTAGCCAAAAAGGTGGGTTGTCGTCTTCCGCTTACAGCGTGAATTATGCTGGATTTCCAGCAAAAGGCTCAGCCTGCAGTGCGTTGTTGATCAGAGGTCTGGATTATTTGCCCATTTGTTTGTGTCAGATTGCATTCTTGGCATTTGCACGACATGACGTGTCGTCATTAAAATTGTTGTGCAAGAAACAGTACGATGCTATATACTATACACATATACATGATAATTTACAATTGTGTGATTCCGGCCTGGCAGTATGCTAAATTGACCGTTAATGGTATTACCATCACGGCCATCGATAAAACACATTTGTATTTTTGTATTTGTATTCATTTAAGTAAGTATTGTATTATTTGTATGAATTTTTGTTTTTCAGTTTCTCGAGTTTCTGTTGGATTAATCAAATCAGCTCACACCTTTAGGTGATGAGTGCAGATTGAACATTCCCTATCGAAGTTCCTAACGCAGTTTCGTAGTACTGTGTCTGTGGCCAGTACGTGGAGAGATGTTATATTATTGTATTATGGTAATAAATAACAAACTGGAATTCATTTTTTCACTTGCGATGATCCGCATTAAATATACAACATGTTAAATTTGTGCTATTGCTTTTATGTTGTATGCAACAATATCACATGTCTTGGCAGTGCTTTTGGGTGGTCTTATTTTTCGTGTTTTATCTGACTAACGTTAAGTGCAAAACGCCATAAAGCGGTCAGCTGCTCAAACTCTTCACTTGTCAGATGGAATAACTGCCGAAGAAAACCGGCATGAGCACTGCACGTCACTAAAATGGTCGATTAGCAATTATTGTGGAGATTTCGATGATTAATCATAAAGCCATCGTTATCAGTGATCGTATAGATTTGCGAAAAAAACTGTGCTGTTGTCATTTGCCGCTATGGGCCATCAAAATTTTATTCTGTAAAATCAACAACTTAGGATATCATCCATTTAGCATATCAGCAATTTCAATCAACAACTTCACCAGACACCGAATTAATGGCAACTTTCACTGCCCGTTTCCACTTTAAGCATCAAATAAATGTGCATGGGATCTGATTTCTTGAAATCTTAGCCTAAAACTGTCGCGCACTTTGCGAAACTGAAATCAATTCCGTAATGAGCAATGTGGAATCGAAGATCGACACAAACAATACAAATTTTTCATTCACCGATTTTTCACCGGTTAAGTTTTACTCAAACGCACCAATTCGATTGACAGCATTACTACTGAGTAGAAGCAATGATAAACAAAAACTGGTAAAAGGCACTAAAAGTATTAACATAATTTTCCTGCTGTCGGCCACACCGACTCTTTAAAAACTACGGAGCAACACCGAAAAATTCAGTACTGCAACTTTACCGATGGTATCACTCATTTTCGATCTTGTGTCGAAATTCGCTAGGACTCATTCCATGCACCCGCTCCCGACACTCCTCTTCCTCGGGATCATGACATGCCTTATGCACCGGCTCATCGCGGCATCCCACCACCCGCAGCACATCGTGCATGGTCTCCTGTGCAATTAGCCGGGCCTTCTCGCGTCCATTCTCAATTAAGCCCTGCAGGTATCCCGCGTCTGCTTCCAACCGCTGCAGTTCCTGCTGGATGGGAAAGAGCATCGTGATGATGGCGTCGGCTAGACGGGCTTTAAAGGCCACTTTATCGGAATGCTGCAGTTCCTGCATCGCCCGGCTGACACTGCTGTCGGTGACGGTGGCGTACAGGGAGATCAGATTGGCCAGCGCCGGACGTGATTCCGGGTCGTGCGTGAGGGCCGACGTGGAGTCGGTGACGGCTTTTCTTAGCTTCTCGTGGATCTGTTCCGGAGTGTCGGTCACATCCACCCGGCTCTTCACGTCGGTGTCCGATTTGCTCATTTTTTTCGTGGGATCCCGCAGGCTTTTTACGCGCGGTTGTTCACCTGGACAACAGAGCGAGAAATATTACATCACCGAAATACATAATTATGCGCAATGTAGATATAAGCCCTCCAGATGTGAAACAGTTGTTGTGGACTTCTTAAGCTTAAGAAATTAAAAACTGATAGCCAGCGGCAGCGGCGACTGTTAGCACCAGATTCGGTGCGATTATTCACCGCGCACACTGGCGAATTCACTGCAAAAACGACCCTCAATAATTAATACGACTATCAATTATTAATAGCAGACAAGCAGCACACCGAAAAAGCACGTTCGCATGAATTTCTGCGGCAACGTTTGTCGATAGAAATTCAACGTGGAAATGCGACGTCAGGGCTGGGCACGGAAGGGCTGGATAAACTGAACGAAAATTTTGTGTTGTAGTTCCGCGTGTTTTTACTTAATATTTCTGCATTACGATTAATTTAACCAATAAAATTTCTCGTTGTAAAAAATATGATTAGTTAAATCAGGGTTTCAACATGATCGGAAAAGGAAAAACATCGCAAATCATGCAGTCCAAATAAATCTAAATATAGTTTTTCCCTTCAGATAGAGATCACTCAGTCTGGTTACGTTTGGACATCATAAATTAATTGATAACCATTACTACAGTAGTACTCTACGTTATCACCTGTCAGTTAAAACTCACCCATGGCCAGAGCTTGCCCATCTTCATCGGATAAAGTAGACGAATACTATTGGTTTTTATTCCCATCTGCCATTTTTTCGACAGAAGGGCACAGATAGGGAAAAAGAATTTATAAATAGGAAAAGTATGCGGAAACATAAATTTCAGAATGTGGGATGAAATGAAAAGAACACGCAAATCTACTACATGTAGTACTGTAATTCCATTGCCGTGATTCGAAAAAACCATCGGCACCTTAGCCTTAGCCGCAACACCAGGGCTACGCGCGAAATTGTATCAGTTTCTAATTGGCACCACGTCACTTACTGTGCAGTCGCTGCGGCTGAGGGAAGTACTTTCCGTGCTTATTGTTGAAAACCCGAGCAATATGTTGAGCCAGCTGCAGGTGGTGGACCTGATCTTCGCCGACCGGAACCAACTGTGATCTGCAACAGGAACAGCGTGTCATCAGTATGCTGGTAAAAAAATTCACAGAATATTCATCCCTATCCCCGCAAAATCCTTCAGATCGTCATTCACGAACGCAAAGGTTTCGCCTAACTCGTACAGACAGGAAATGTCTAGACCGCTGAAAAAGTTTTACTCAAGGTTAGGCAATAGAAATGGATAAACATAATTTGGACTGCAATGAACTTCAAACTAGCGTCTAAACAATTAGAACCAGCACCCCGTGACAGTCGCTGCATAAAATATATGGCACGATAAGCCTTCAAATTCCAAATGCAGCGTATTTTTCGCTTTACCGGTAGAGCAAGATATCGGCAGCCTGCAGGATTGGATACATCAGGAGTCCACAACCGGCATCGATCTGAGGGAGCGGCTGACCTTCCACGTGTTTCTTCGGCTGCAGAGGGGCAGATTTTTCCTGGACACGAAACACGCAACGTCTAACTACAAGCTTTTATTCCCTTGCAATACAGTTAGTTCCCACTCAATTAGCACTGAACAAAAATTCTTGCCATGCCAAAGCGCCAAAGTTAAGTCGCTGTAACCCCGTTGGCTAATTCGTAAGGCCTATTTATTTTTTTTAAAGAGACAAACACATGTATGGTACAAGCCGTTTAGAGCTAGTCAAGGCTGCCGTAGAAAGAACTCAAACCTTAAAATGTGGCAAATTGTCGATGCGGGCCAGAGTTGTGATGCAGGAAAATATCCACTGCAACTGACAATGCTCCGGCACCTGTCAATGATGATTAAGTCAATAAACACTGCAACCTTATCGAAAATTCGGGAAAGATCGTGGATACGAAAACACCCTTTACACCGGTCGCAAGAATAATCAGCGTGAAAAACAAAAGGTAAACATAATATTTGTCGAAAGCTTCGCATACGAAATTCCAACGTTTCACAGTGATAACCAAAACCCTATAACTTCCTGACATCGGACGATAAACGTAGTAAACGGCTACTTTCAGACATGACGAAAATAATATCATGAGAAAATATACACTTAGATAGCACGCAACCGTGTTGAGACCTTTTTATGACCAAAACTTTTTTTCCTTTCCAATCAGACTGAAAGCCTGCACGCAGTTTTCGGGCACGAAAATTAATCAAGTAACAGTGTTTGTCATTACCATTCCATACCAACCGTGGACTGCAGAAACAGGATAGTCTTGGCCGGATCAATGCCGCACGCCACCAGCTGTGCAAACATTGCCATGATATTTTTCCTGCAAAACAAAAAGCCCGTTATCGTCGCTCAAAAATTACAAGTGCTACAATTTGCTACAACAATTTTCGCATCTACACCATTCTATAGATACCAGTTTCTTCAGCAATTTCAGGCTGAATGCCACTCCAGCAATAAACGATAATTCGTATAGTTATTATTTTATCATTAACTGATTAACAAAAATTATAAAAAAACGTGAACGCGGGATGCGGACTAGGAAATCAAAGTGTAATAATTATTTCCGTTGCAAATTAAAAATTCAAACGCATTAAAAAAAGAATTGAGTCCCAGAAATTAGTCCCTTCACCTGAGTATTTGAGGATCCCAGCGCATCGTAATGGCATGCAGATCCACAACACTAATAATCAGCGATTTATCGCTGTGCTCTTGCAGGTCCTTCCACAGTTTTACAGCGCCCAGATAATTGCCCAGATGCAGCGCGCCGGTTGGTTGGATGCCCGAAAATACCACTGTTCGCTTGGGTTCCTTGGCAGCATTTTCCGGGATGTCGTCAGCTTTCGTGCTAGAGTACAAACATTGCGCGTGGGAAGGTTTGGTAGGTCTCAACAGTGTTGAGCAGATCGCGTCAAGCACACGCCGACTGCGGATCATTGCAGCCCCAAGATGCCAGCGAAAGAAAAATCAATGTAACACAATAAAATGGTTACTACATTCAGGAATTTTATTAGTTAGAAATTTAACTTTATTAGAATTAAACTTCGGAGCTGGGAGAAACTGAAAAGCACAACAAACCGTGAAATTTGGACTCCAGCAGTGCAGCTACAAATGTTTCTGAACTGTACTGTGGCGTAACGAGGGTTCTTTTTGCAAAACTCTGGAGTCTGGCATCCTCGCCTCCTCACGCCACGATAATTCCCTTTATGAATGTTGATGGAACGTGTCAGGCTGTCAGCAGTGAAAACAAGAAATTTGAGGATTTTCCTTGCGATGGTGAAATTTCGATTACAGTTTACATTTGTCCACCTGCGGATGGTTTACCTATGACATAGTGAGCTGCCTGTTTGGTTCCGTGGCTTTCGTATCGTATTTCCGGAGTGGTTGTCATAGACCGACCGCACCAATCCATCGCAGTGCTGAACCCGACTTTCTCCAGTGGGTTGTTGATTCTTCCCTCGCAACTCGGTTGTCCAGTCCATCCCGACCATGTCCGAAACCCCAACCCTTCCCGCTGATCTGCCGGTGGAGAAGCAGCCAAAGGGCGACGAATTAGTCCGCCGCGTGGTGTGCTACAACGAGAAGCCGTTATGGCTGCACGGCTACATTTTGGCCTTCATTCCGCTGTACGCCATATGGCTCTACTGCCTCATCGCCATTCCCTTCCCGCTCGCACCGCCACCCACCAATGCCACCCTGGCTAACGTGTCGGACGTGGTGGGGAACGTGACGCTCAGTGAACATAATGCGACGGCACTGGCGAGCGCCGCGGAGACGGATGGGACGTGGATCCACTGGTCCTTCGAGTTGGCCATGATTCTGCTGGCGGGCATCGGGCTGCTGCAGATCCTCACCGTGCTGGCCTGTGTCTGGTCGGTGAACATCCGAGCGGCGCTGACCTGCGTCAAGGTGAGCGGAAACTATTGCACATAGGGTACTGCGAGCAAAATTGCTGGTGAAACATGAAGTTATTTTATTGCGCAGTTATCCTTTTTGTGAAACAACTGTCCTTTAATAAATAAATTTTTGTGGGTTTTAAGACTTCGGGATTTTTCAGAAGATGATCGCGTTTTGTTAAGTAATATTTTGTAGTTGAATTAACTTCGGTCGTAACTCGTACGCTCGATTGTTAAACTTTATAATATTGGTGTGTGACGGTAATAAATAAAAAATACATAGTACGTAAAAAAGGTAAAATTGTAGTAAATAAATATGAAAAAATATGGCTGGGAAATGAATTTAAAAATTTTACAGGTAGTTAATATATGTGACATTTCGAATAAGAAGAAAGGGTCACAAGGTCATAAGTAAAGGGGTTATAAAGGGTTGCAAGTTTTATTAAGAAGGGTCACAAGACCCTTGGGTCATGTCAAATGAGTAAGTAAGTTAGGATGCAGCATAACTGCACAAGCGCACGCATTTTGCCAGCGCGAGTAGTCTAAAGAGGTCGAAATTTGTATAATCTTACCAGGAAAGCGAGCAAAAACGTTTTTGCTTTTGTTTAAAAAAAATTTTGTTCTCTGTGTTGATGGCTTCTTTAAAACGTTTCATGCATTTGTCGTCACACTGCTTGTGCTTTCTTTGATGAAATGCACCTGATATTCGTGAGCGGCTGCACGGTGTGCCGATATCACGTATTACTGTGTGACTGTGTCAACAGGAAAACGATCCCCAACGGGCCACCGTCGCTCAGGTGATTCCACAACCCAATAATGGATCAGCCGAATTGGTGCGACTGTATCGTCAGCGTAAAGAGGTGAGAATAAACAATTTGTTAATGGATTAGCATCCGCCTGACTGTTGAAATGACGCATTGCAGCCGACCGATATGACTTCGGAACTGACGATTTGCTTCATTTTCCAAAAAGTCAAATTTATTTTGACTCCATCCGAGCTGCAGTCCGCGTCGCTGGACTCCCCTACCAAAGGATTTCGCCGACCGACATTTCCGATCCATGATAAATTTGCTGTGTATCGCGATGCCAAGGGCCATACCGATGAGGCAGCTGTTTTGTCGGAAAGATTGTTCGGCAAGAATCGGTTGGTAATACGTTCTGTAGAGCAGCACAAGACAAGTCGTAGTATCGGGTCTAAGAGTACATAAATTGTTTCTCCGTATGCCCACTTGCTATGCTGTGGTGCTAAACATTTTGATTACGGCATACCGAAGTAGTCGGGGAATACAGATTTTTTTCGGTTAATTAAACTGTCGGCAGGCGCTCTGGTTTATAGCTGGAATTTTTTGCAAAATGTTTTGGTGGTAATATTGATGATTTGCTGACCAAATTTGACAGGTTGGAAATGTACGCACCGAATTTTCGGGAGCTGTTCCAAGAACGCGCAACGGCTCCGTTCTTTGTCTTTCAAGTATTTTGTGTGGGATTATGGTGCCTGGATGAGTACTGGTATTACAGCGTGTTTACGCTCTTCATGTTGGTGGCTTTCGAAGCGACACTGGTCCAGCAGCAGTTGAGGAATCTGGCGGAAATTCGCAAAATGGGTCACAAACCGTATCCGCTGCAAGTATGTACGGGTAGCTGCGTGGCAATTCGTGTCATGAATGGAGTCGAATAATGAATAGATACTACGATAGGGTGAAATTGTTAGTACATATTGTGCTTAGTTAATTTGTTGTTTTTTGGCGTAAATGATAATGGAGTCTTATTATTTTGGCGCTTTAGGTATACCGCAACCGTCGCTGGCGACAGAGCAGCTCAGATGAACTCTTACCCGGCGACATCGTCTCCATTGTGCGACGGCCGGAAGAAGGACGGCCTGTCCCGGCTGACATGTTGCTTATTCGCGGCACGTGCATCGTCGATGAATCCCTGTTAACCGGTGAAAGCGTACCGCAGATGAAGGAGAGTATTGAAAGTTTCGACAGTGCGGAACATTTGGACATCGGTGTCCACGGTCGACTGCATGTGCTGTTTGGTGGTACCAAGGTAGTGCAGCATGCAGGGCCCGCGAAAGGCGAGAAGGACACTTCTGGGTTGCGAGCACCCGATAACGGATGCATTTGCTATGTTCTACGGACGGGCTTCAACACGTCCCAAGGCAAGCAAATTATTTCGCATTGTGACAGTTTTTTTAATTAAATGTGTAAGAATTTTCTCGTTGAAACTTAAACAATGGAAACTTTTTCCGGGTATTTTTAATTATGATTTTAAGTTAACTATTTTATTATGACAGGATCTTTGTTGCGGACGATTATGTTTGGTGTGAAGCGCGTGACGGCCAACAACAAAGAGACATTCGGCTTTATTCTGTTCTTGCTAACCTTTGCACTGAGTGCTGCTGGTTATTTGTGGATCGAAGGATCCAAAGATGAACGACGAAGCAAGTACAAATTATTCCTCGAATGCACGCTCATTTTGGTAAGTGTTGCAAGACCCATCGTGCTTCTGAAGTCGATGAGGAAGGAAATGCAGTTTGTGCTTTTTACAGACATCTGTGATTCCGCCTGAACTGCCCATTGAATTATCTCTGGCCGTGAATTCATCGCTGCTGGCGCTCGTCAAACTCGGGACATATTGCACCGAACCGTTCCGGATTCCATTTGCCGGGAAGATCGATGTGTGCTGTTTTGACAAGACCGGAACGTTGACGAGTGATACACTAGTGGTGCAGGGGGTGTCGGGGATTCCGCGAGAAATTTCCGGTAAAGGGGATGGTAGGTGTAGGCCGTATAGCTGAGCCCAGATTTTCTTCAAAATAAATTGAACAGTTGCACCATATCCTTTTTACAAATTTTCTGAATAGATAAAAATATATGCAGCTTCAAGAACTTCTCCCTCCATAATCAATTTCATTGTTTTCTTTGACATTTTTGCTGTCTGCTTTGTTAGCTTTGTTAGCCCTTAAACTACAAATTCCACAAAATCCACTACAAATTCCACATCGAACATTTAAATTTGAATCATTTAAAGTAGTATTACGCGAATGCACATTTTGTTATGTTGATGGCTTTTTGCCCAGTAAAGATAACAATTCCACATTTGAAATAATACTGCAGTACTTTCTGGCTGTTTAGGCAATTTTAAGTTTGCTTGAAATGACTTTGTCGCTGTGATATGGTGGGGTTTTATAAAATTTGTATTTATGCAGGTGGTAGTGCACACAGTGAGGATGACATCGTCTCGGCGGACTCGGTGCCCTGGGAAACACTGCAGGTGCTCGCAGCCTGCCACAGTTTGGTGTTGCTGGATGATACGCCCATAGGGGATCCACTGGAGAAAGTGACACTGGATGCCGTTAAATGGAATATTACCAAAGCTGACGCTGTTGTACCCACCAAAGGCAAACAACCGGCGCTCAAAATCTATCAACGGTTTCATTTCTCCAGGTATATTTGTGCTTGCCTGCTTGGTAATGGGTACATTTGAATACGTATATATACATGCAGTTGCCATTATTTTAAGAATCAGAATGTTTTGTCGCTTAGTGCGCTGAAACGGATGTCTGTTATTGGTGGATTTGCCAAAGCTACTGGCGTGGATACGGAGTTTTTTGGAGCGGTTAAAGGTGCTCCTGAAGTTCTGCGGAGCATGTTTGCCAGCGTTCCAGATGGCTATGATGAAATGTATTTGAAACATACGCGTCAGGGTGCCCGTGTTTTGGCTCTGGGGTAATATTTTTACACACAATGTTATATCGAAAAATGTTTTTGAGTTTACACGGTACGCATTTTTATGCAGACGGAAAAGCCTTGGTCAAATGGCCTTGTCTAATATTCGCAATTTCCACCGGGAAGACATCGAGGCGGATCTGAGTTTTGTCGGCTTCTTGATTATCGACACACCGCTCCGTCCGGAATCCAAACCTGTTGTTCAGGAGCTGCTGTTCGCATCCCATCACGTAAGCAGCTTTTATCTGTTCGGCTTCAGTAAATATAATTTTTGAAAATTTTGTATCATGTAAAAACTGTTGATGTATTTTGGAATTGTGGAGTTAAGCAGCACGTCTCAGGGAATTTCCGCACACGCCATGTTTCGGAAATTGCAGACAAACACGTATCCCACAAAGCAGGATTTATTTTTGTTCACAGTCTTACTTTCTTTCGCAGATTACGATGATCACCGGTGATAACGCCCTCACTGCCTGTCATGTGGGAGCCGAACTGGGCTTATGCGGTAATAACGCTCTCGTCTTCGACGGTCCCTCATCCGACCTGCACTGGGAAAGCGTCAACGGACAGGAGCGCCACCCACTGGACGCTGTCGTGGCCAAGAAGGCGCCCTCCATGGATTTGTGCCTGACCGGGCCCGGACTGGAGTGGATGGTGCGATCTCATTACAAGAATCTCACCCGTGTCCTGCCCATGGTCAAGGTGTTTGCCCGCTTCACGCCCAATCAGAAGGAGTGGGTGGTCAATGAGCTGAAGCAGATGGGCTTCTTTACGCTGATGTGCGGCGATGGGACCAACGATGTAGGCGCGCTGAAACACTCGCATGTGGGCGTGGCACTGCTGCAGAAAGCGGTGGTCAGTGCAGAGAAGCTGAAGGCTAATTACGCCGAAGGAAGCGGGGAGACGTTGGTGCCCCTGATGCCGCCGGGAGGAGCACTACAGACTACAGCGGGAAAGAGTGGGGCAGCTGCTGGAGCGAGTAAAGCTGAAGGAGAAACAAGAGGACCGCGAAACCGGCGTCTGCAGGTACGCGAGCTTTTAAAAACCCGAGTGGTGAAATTCTCTGTGTAGTTTTTTGACGAACAAACAGAATCCACTAAAATTTCACTAAATTCACTAAATTTTCTGCAGTATTACCATTTTCTGCAGTAAAACCGTTAAGGGTGCATATGCTGTTTTCATAGTGGTTATTAGAATGGATTTTATAGGAACCGCCAGCTAGGACTCCACCAACGGCAAATCGTGCTAATCTGCAACAACAGCGGCTCCAACAGTTAATCGAAGAATTGCAGGACGATCAGGAAGTGACGGTGGTAAAACTGGGTGATGCCAGCGTGGCCGCACCTTTCAGCTCCAAGATCGGCAGCGTCCGCAGCGTTTGTGACATCGTTAAGCAAGGCCGATGCACACTGGTCACTACTCTGCAGATGTTCAAAATTCTGGCACTGAATGCGTTAATTCTGGTAAGACTTGCTGTATGCTGGTTTATTTGTCAACTTTTGTTAAGGGTGCATTGTAGTCTACCCTTCAAGTTAATTCAGTTATAGACTCATACTAGTAATATTTTCTTTGAAAACCAATCAATAAACATGTTTCTGATGAATGCGTTTGTGATTGCAGGCTTATAGCCAAAGTGTCCTTTATTTGAAAGGCGTAAAATTCAGCGATACCCAAGCGACAATCCAGGGATTATTTTTGGCTGGATGCTTCTTGTTCATTTCTCGTTCTAAACCGCTGACTGTGTTAAGTGCACAACGGCCGTTACCGAATATCTTCAATGCCTACACACTGCTGACCGTTTGCGGACAGTTTGCTGTACATTTTGGATGTCTAGTATTCTTGGTCACGCAGACTTTAGCGCAGCATTACAGGTGTGCTCTTGATTTAATTAGCTGCTGGAACAGTTCTCTTAACTGCAGACAAGCTGTTCTCATTTTTTAACACTTCAGACTTTTTACCGAAATTTGTTTTCAACTCGCTTAATTGAATTTCTTTTGTTTGCTGTACAATAGTCTGCCGGATAAGCTGGACTTGGAGGCGGAATTCGCTCCCAACCTGCTGAACACCGTGGTGTATCTGATGTCGATGACGCTGCAAGTGTCCACATTCCTCGTCAACTACCGCGGCCGGCCCTTCATGGAGAGTCTGCTGGAGAACCGTCCCCTCATGTACAGCATCAGCATCTCCCTCAGCAGTCTTTTCGCCATGGCCTCCAACGTGTTCCCGGCGGAGCTGCAGGAGCAGCTGCAGATTGTCCGGATTCCCGATGAGTTTGTTTACAAGGTGGTGGGCGCGTTGGCGCTGGATATTGTCGCAGCCTGGTGTATTGACAGGGTGCTTTTGATGCTGTTTGGTGAAGGGACACTGAAAAGGAGAAAATGAGAATTTTTTCGTGGACTGGCAGATTTTTTACTGTTAATTTGTACGAAGCATAATTTGAGTTATGTGTTTTTGCGTTGATATGTCACAGGCCTTCGAGAAAACGTGTTATAATACAAGGAAATTGTGAGTAAATCCATGAACATATACCATGATAAAGTGTAGCTCCGGTATAGTTGTCGCGATAATGACAGATTTGCACTAGCAGAAACTCCCGTTTTTATTCAGTCTTTTCCAGCAGAGTTCATCATTTTTTGCACCGCGCTTTTATCATGGTTAGTATAGGCGCCCGGTCAAAGGACTGACCAATGACCATAACGGTTTCCAGGGCAGTTATACAATAGTACTTACGGTACATACTCATGGGCTGATGGGCCTGAACTGACTTGCGAGCGCTGCATTGCAAATTGCCATCACGAATATCGTACCCGTTCTGGGGCCGTTCAGCAGCGGGCGGGACTTTCTATGTGGAACCGACAAATAAGTGCAATACTCTACTCTACCGGAATAAGTATAAAGCTGTTGCATGGAAATTTAGATCTCTTTAATGAGGTAAATCGGCCGCGATTGGGTGAAACGGCCGTACTCGTCACTGCGTGCCTGTTTATCCATGACACTTCATGTTCTAGCAGGTTGCGATCGGCCGGTTAGCCATTTATCGTTGTTATATACGACCGTGTATCTCGCTAACTACTTTATTGTTAAATTTTCATCGTAGACCGAAGAGTTTAGATTTCTTATGTAAGGTGGCTTTTACTTCCCGTGCCCACATAATCTCGCCTGATTCTCGCGCGAATAGCATATGCGTCCCCGATAGAAGTTGTTCGTCTGCCAAGTGACATACTATGACGTCTTCGGAAGAAATCATTGAGCAGTTGCAGGCGCTGGCCACTGATCGACCGCCTGTCTGCTTCGGTACTTGCCCGATTGCGGAGAAAGATTTTGCGCTTTACTACGGAAAGGGCAACGATGCACGGTACGCACCAGAAATTACAGAAAAATAAACGAACGCAATTTTTGTAATTACGTACTGCTTCATCTGCGCTGTAAGATTTACGGTACCAGCTGGTTCTGCAAAAATTTGAGACCGAAAGATTGAGGCGATTAAATCGTACGAATGCGCCAAAACGTGAAAGTACAGCCGTCAGTTTGTTCATTTGCAGCCAAATCTCACTGCACACTGCATCAGACGCTGAACTGGAGCATCTGGCCACATCCACCGACAAAGCGACGTTCGGGATGAACAATCTGGATGTGCTGGACGAATCCTACCGGAAGGCTGGCAAAATGGAGTTGGACGCGTTCTCAGTCAAGCTGGACGTGGAACGGGCTGGCATTCTCGACCGAGTCAAGAACGATTTACTGGACCGGAAAGGCTTCCGAAAGGGCGTCCACTGCGAGATGTATAAGCTCAACGTTTACGGTATGTCTCCAAGATCTGCTTTTTCAGCTAAGTATATTTCGCATTAGTTGATTAAAATTATTGGGTCAGATGAATGAAACCACACCGTGCACTGCAGTGTGGCACACTGTATAGTGGGTTATTACGAGTACTGGACATTTGTACGTACAACACATAACTTGAGGTTAAATTATTTTGTTAATGCAAATGGTGGTGTAATTTAACCGGCAATAACTTCACGTTCGTGTTCCTCATTTATGAATCTGCCATCTGTAGATATCTGTGGGCTCTTACGAGTGTGCTTAATAATTAATTAATGTATTTAATTATTGGATTATTAATTATTATTATTATAAGAATTGTGAGGGTTTAATTTAGGTCAGGGTTGCTTCTTCAAAGCGCACAAGGACACTCCGCGCAGCGACACCATGTTCGGATCGCTGGTCATCGTCTTCCCGACACCGCACGTGGGCGGGGCCTTGTTGCTGCGTCACGGCGGCAAAGAGTGGACGTTCGACGCGGCCGCCCAACTGGCGGCCACCCCAGCGCCCTCCGTGGGCTATATCGCTTCTACAGCGACGTGGAGCACGAGGTGACCACTGTCCAGTCCGGTCACCGCGTGACCCTGACCTACAACCTGTACTTCGCTGCCGAAGCGGCCGTTCCACCATCCAACGCCGTCAACCAGGTGTATCTGGAGAAAGAGCACGCCTTCAAACGGGGCCTGCAGGCGTTGCTGGCCAGTCCGCAGTTTCTGCCGGAAGGCGGTCGAATTGGTTTCGGACTGCAGCACGAGTATCCCGTCAACCGCAAGACAGAACCGCGCAGTCTGCTGAGTTGTCTCAAAGGCACGGACGCGATGATTCACCGCGTCAGCGTGGAACTGGGCCTGCCCATCGCGCCAAAGGTCATCACCGCCAATTTTCTGGCCGAAAACCACGACATCTTGCTGACCGATAGTTTTGTGGACATTTACGGCGGCTACCAAGATTATGATCATGCGTCCGAGCAGTTTGCCGCTGAGGTGGTGGACGCCGTCAGACTGCCGGAGGATGAAGAGAAAAGCCACGCAATTGAAATACGGAAAGAATATTGTGAAGAACCGGAGGAATGCTCGGACAGTGACGACAGTGATGCCTGCGGGCGCCGCCGCACTCTCTACGAGTCAATGGGCTGCGGTATTTGCTGGATTACGGAACTGACGGAGTACACGCGGTTGAGAACGGATTACATTGCGTTCGGCAACGATGGCAGGGTGAGTCATATCTACGGGAGAATCTGCTTCGTCGCCAAGATCGGACCGGTCGGGAATCGTGTTAGCGACAATGGCGAGATCCACCGGGAAATGGCGGACGGGTAGACAAGATCATGAAAAAGCCGGAAATTTGCTTTGTTAGTGTAAAAACGTTGTGTGCGGAACGGTAATGCCTTTATCTTCAAGAGTATGATGTCAGCACTTCAGGATTTTCTTTTTACTCCGCGTGCGACTGTTTGGATAAGATTTGGACTTTGTGGAGTAGATTTTCCATGCTGGAAGTTTCATTTCGTTTGCAGCTCGTTTATCGTTTGCGGTGGTGTAAAACGTTAACGTGATCTCAAGTGTAAAACGTTATCGCATATCATGACTTCTTTATGCCGAAATATGTGTTGCAAATCACTAGACAAGAAAAGAAATTACCCTTTTAAACTGTTAATAATGCGAAAAAACAGCAAATTGTGGCAAATACTAACTAATTAATGCACAAGAGAACAAAGGTTTCTAAAGCACCCATTTCCGAAAGGCATGCGAGATAATTTAGTCCAAAGATGTACGGAACAAATTCAGTCAATGCGAAAACAGCGATAACACGAAGAAACTGTAGTATTACGACGGAGGGGGAGGTGGTGGAGGCGGCATCATCCACGTCTGCTGCTGCGCATAACTGGGCATCTGGGGTGGTGGAGGCGGCGGCGGCGGCAGCGAGGAGGCCATCGTGGGCATGCCCATCCCCGGGGGCGGCGGCGGGGGTGGTGGCGCCATATTCCAGCCGCCCACGGCCGGCGAGGGGCCCATCCCGTAGGGATTGTACATGCCGTAAGAAGGTGCGTGATGCTGGACCGGGGGAGCGGCCGGCGGCGTCCAGCTGTGCATGACCGGCGCCGGAGGGGCCGGTGGAGGCCCATAGGATGCCGGCGGAGCGAAAGAAGCGGCAGCCGGGGCGCTAGGTGGCGGCGGCGGCGGAGGAACAGCCGAGAAGGATGTGTTCGAGGGGGTGGGTGCGTGGGCCGGTGCGGGAGCTGGTTTGGATTTGGGTGGAGCAGGGCCTTGTCCCAGTTCCGCCATCAGCGATAAATACTGCGAAAAAAGTTATTGCTATAATAAGTATCAGAACAACCATCCAATGATCGCATACAACATTATAGGAGCTCGACGGATTTGTAGTAATGGCATCACACTACAACACCACTACAAATACACCGTATTGCTGCTATACTTCACGATAATTCTTATAACTTTTCGTAAGATTCGCATGATCGTTCGCGCATATTATTACTGGTGCACAAAATGCTTTTACAACAAAGTTTAATCATAAATTAATAGCTAAACGCTCATGGGAGCGAAGCCAAGAACTGAAGAGAAGTAATCCGAACAAACTTCGCTTACCTCGTCATCCATATTGGCCGTGCTGGTGTCTCCTGGGGTGATTTCCGCTTTACAATCTTTCGCGATATGTCCGGCGCCGCCGCATCGCGTGCAAATAACACTATGCGTGATGTTCGGCTTATCCGGGCAGTTCCAGGTGCGATGTGCCGTGGAACCGCAGTTGCTGCAGCGCGGCGCCATGTCATCCCGCAGCGTCCCGTTCAGCAGCGCCAATTCTCGCAACTGCTGCTTCCGTAAATCATTCTGATGCTCGGGCACTTCGATGCCTTCCAGTAAAATGGTTTTAATCTGCAGTGGACAATAACTGTTACAGCGTGTTGGTTCGGTTGATCAACGTGCAAATTGTACCTTTTCCACAGCGCCGCGAACATATTCCGGCGTCTGACCGGTAATGTACGCGTGCAACGGCTCATCTTCGCCCGGCAGCGGATCACGGTTGGGCCGTCCGATTTTCCCTTCTTTCACAGAGCCCTTTCCTCGAATGATGATTTTCGTACCAGTCTAAAAAAAATAATAAAGTCACGTATTAAAGTGCACCGGTACCACAAGGTATACGAGTACCGTGCAATAAAAAGACACAATAAAGGATGCTAGCTAACCTCCTTTTCTAATGATTTCAGTGTATTTCCGCGCGGCCCAATCAGTAATCCCACAAAGTTAATTTCCGGATGCTCCTCTTGTGGAATCAAAACCTTATCCGTGAATTTAGCCGCTGGGGCCCTACGAGTGATAAGCACATCAACTAATGCCTACCAGCAAAATGCCAAGCATTGACATCGAGCATACTTATAATCCGGCGGCGGTTTATAATCCTGATTTAGATCGAACATCTCCACAATCAGTTTATGCCGATCATCCTCCAGTCTTCTCCGTGTCCGCATATCTCGCGTGTTCATCCGCTTGCCCTCGTGATTGTAAATAGGCTCCGGGGATGGCGACCTATTCCAATCAAGACAGTCAATTTTTTGAAAATATTTTTCACACCGACACGGCGCCGATCTGAATGAAAGATAAATATGGACGTCTGCATCCGGATCCAGTCAGTTCCCATGAATCCGGACAAAGCTAATTTAAGCTCCTCTGTAAGAAATCGGTAACGGTGCCCCAAGGTGATATTTTACCACGGCATACAAACCTTTCTTCTGGAATGGATGATATTCCCAAATCTCCGCTACGCAGCTTACGGGAGATATCCTCAATCTGCAGCTGGACTGTAAATATACAAAACAGCACGGGAGTTATAATTTATCAAAGCAGCAACACCTTTCAGCGCAATTATTGGTTATATTTGCCGGTCAATCGGAACTGAAACTGCTGCATGCGTATATTTTTTACAACCAGTCTGTATTATAAAAACTTTTTAATTGTTGAACGAAACCGTGCCTGCAGTTTATTACTTCGATGGCTACCCTATTTCGTAAGAAAATATTAAAACTGCTAATGATTCAACAACATGGTATAATTACTAGAATATTATATCATCTAATATCAATCGTTCAAGAGTTAATAAAAATTTTAAAAGGGGCTTTTCACTTCTGCATATCGTTATACGAATATCCTTTAAAAAATAAGAACATGCTTTAAAACGGCAATTACCTAGCCTAAATAGCAATTATGCTTCCTGGACAGAGATATCAGTAAGAGATATCAGTTTGTTGGGATGGACGAATACGCTGAAGTCTAAACCACAGCCCTGATTGTCAACCTTTTCGCTTTTGATTTAAAATTACACGGTTATTGCAGACGTACTGTATATCGACAGCTAAAGAAAGCACTGTTGGTATACTCGTACTCCTTGTCACAGCCACCTGGACTGCAACACAAAGCTGTCAAATATGAATTTAGTTAGTAATTATTAACTGTCCATTTACACTAATTTACACAATCCTTTGGCTGGCGCCTTGCGGCCTGCCAACTGCAATGAAAAAGGATTAAATAGCTAGTGAAAAAAGTATGTTTTCTGCTTCCTTAACGGCCGCAATCCAAGACCGGCACGCTACAAAATAAAAAGTTATGGTTTCCTGTCGGGAAAAGAAAACCAAAAATTAATCACGAAGCAATTTTCGCGCTAATGCGATCAAGAGTCCGTGATCGAGCAGACTCACATGGGTCGCGTTTCGGGACTCATGGGAACTGACTGGCCAGAGAGCGTGGGAGCTTAAGACAAAAGATTAACAAACGAAACCTGTCGATTCGCACCATCTACCATGGTCAGCAGAGTCAAAACTCTCCACAAATAAACGACTTACGGAGGTAGGCGCGTTCTTGCTCCTTCGTCATGTTGGTGGGGATGATGGTGGGCATTCCCGGGATGAAGGCGCGCTGCTCGGTGGCCTCCGCCCAGCGGGAGCGCTTCCGGGGCTTCTGGGCCTCCTGCGAGCCCTCGCGACTGCCCGAGTTGGATTTTATGGCCGTCGACTGGGCCAGCGCCGAGACGGCGCTCTTCACGTGCGAGTAAGTCTCGTCCTCTCGATCGTAGCCTAGAAAACAGCAGCAAATATACTAGTAGCTATATTCTGAAGAATAAATAAACGTTCTTTTCAACACTGGCATGCACTTGCGAGAGTCTTCTTGCAAAACTAAGATACACGACAAAAAGTAGACTCAATCCAGGGCAGTAGCGAGGGGGGCCCTCCGGGGTTGAAAGCGTTTTTTGCCATATAACTGACCGGGACGAGTTTACGAGCGCAATTGTTCTTGGGGGGTGCGCAGTCATTTTTGGGCCGTTGCGCACCCCCCGACGCTCGAACCTCGCTACGGCCCTGACTCAATCTAACCCGAAAACGACTTACACAATTTTTGGAGTAATTTTTATTGTTCAGTGATTATACAATCGGTAAAATTCAGTGTACGGTCACTATTTTATCAGATACATTTCTCATTATCACTGCCACTACCATCTGAGTTATGCGGTATACCTAACTGTTAATATGATAATTATTAAATAATCATACAGAGTGTACTGTTATTACAGTATTTGTATGATCATAAGACAACTAGTTAAGAGGTAAATGCTCCACTTTAATATAGAAGTACCGTTAATACACTACATACTAACATTTTAAATATCGTATAAAACATCGTTGATTTCATGTCGATAACGGTCAATGTGAATAATCGGAATTTAACAATCTAGATTTTACACTGTAGACTTTAGAATTCAGATTATTCGGAGAAATGAACTGAATTACAGCTTACCAGAATCCCGTGAATCGCGGTCATAATCATCGGGGTAATCCCGCGAGCTAACAGAATCGCGACTCTTCTCGCCGCGCCAGAACCGTCGCTCGCGTTCCCTGCGTTCTCTTTCGCGCTCCCTATCCCTGTCCCGCTCACGATCCCGTTCGCGCTCCTTCTCGCGCTCTTTGTCCCGCTCCCGATCGCGTTCCCTGTCCCTGTCGCGATCCCGCGACGACCGATCCCGCTCCTTATGGTCATCCTCATACGTGGAGCTCCTCTTCTTTTCCTGCTCATCGGGGACCACGGGGGCCGGAGGCGGGGGCGGTGGCGGGGCGCTGCTGAAACGGCTGGTGGGGCGGACGGGTCCGTGCACGACGCCTGCGCCTGCTACAGGCGACGACGTCGACAGATAGTCCGGCTTCAGCAGACTCCCGCCCGTCGCCACCGGGGCCGAGGCGTTGGCGAGGCGCCCCAAAGGGGCGGTGTTGGCTCCGCTGGCCATGAAGTACAGAGATGACGGATCACAACAGAATGAAAGATCACAGTTAAAATCAACAATCACTGTCTGGTCACGATTCGTGTGCAGCGTTCAGTTGCACGATTTACACTCCCGCAGCGTTATCACTCAGACGGATGCAACTATGACACTGAACTTGAAAGTTCTGAATACCGATGCAGGCTTAATTCCCGTAAATAAGCTGCTGCTAATAATTTATTCCTGGGAGGAAGAACAATTTAAAAGTAGAGAGTCATAGACTTCACTTTCAGCAAAAACTACTTGATTTAAATTTTTAATCAATTTTAGTTTTGGAATGTTGCTAGTCAGCGTGAGCCAGGATTGCGTCTCTTGAACGTGATTTGCCGCTTGCTCCACCAGTCACCACGCCCCCTTTAACGTGTGCTGTTAAAAGCGCTACAGAACGCAGAATATCTGTTGAGTAAGTACGGAAAACATGGCAGGCAAGCAGAAAAATAGCCGAGTAAGCCTTATTTAACGTAGCTATGTGGCCTGTGGCGCCATTCTGCTGACGTACAGGGTAATAGTCTTAGGCCATCCACCTTGGGCCGGCGATCATGCAGCTTACTTTATGCATCCAGCGTTGTGGACGTGCTCCTTCGTCCTTTCCGCAAACTTCCGGTCAGAGTAAACTGCATAAATCATGAGAAACTGGGACTTCAGGTCTTCAGCATCAAATGATCTGCGTTTCATGATTTTCATCTTTGTGGAACAAAAGAAATTTATTTATGCTTCAAACGTAACACGCGAAAAAGTGCAGTGCTTTTATAACACAGTATTTTTTCGGATTTAGTCTAGGTGCTTGGGCAACCCGCAGATACTACTTTAGTTTGTAGTACTCTGTACAAAAGCCGAACGTCGGAAAAGTCAACGGAAAGTTTTCTTTATCATCGATAAAAAGCACCAGAACTGCAGCAACCGCATCGGATAATTTCTCACGGGGATATAACTACTAGTTACAGATTCCGGACGAAAAAGAATCAACACCAGTTTGTAAAAGTAGCGTATACTCTTCGTGTTAAAAGATTTAAACTAGCCGCGAAAAAAAACAGAGAGAGATAGACAAAACCAGAAACCATCCAAAACTGCCAGAAAGAGGAACCTACAACCCCCCGGAACACGAGAGAGACAAGTGTTACATTTCGTAAAAAGCTATAAATAAACACATTCCACTGGGGACCTAAAAACACACCAACGAACGAACGAACGAAAAGAGAAAACATCCGACTAAAATCTCCCCCCGCGCATTTACCGGAGAGCATAATCTACAATAAATACACCAAGAAAAAAACATCATCCAAACACAATTGTAGAGGTACATCTTATCTCTCCATGTCCAGCGCCACAAAACACTCCCCCGCATCCACTCCGCCCCTCCACGCACCACCGCCAGCAAAAAAAAAGAGGAGAAGCGCTCCCGTTTTGTGTAAAATAATAGAACTATAATCTCGCAGCACCACGCAACACATCTTTCTCTTCATCCGGGATTGCGCGCGCGCGTCGAGTTTGATGAAAGCGTCGCGTGTTTCTACTTTTTGGACGACGAGAGGGGTCCGTTGCCCGACGACGGCGGCGGCCCGGTGACATTGACCGCCACCGCCGCGGGCATGGACGGGTTAGTGCTCTGGCCGGCGCTGGCGGCTGCCGAACTGCCGCTGCTGGCCGACGAGGAACGACTCAGACTGGGATTGGTCAGCGGATTGCCCACGCCCACCGGCGTACTGGCCGCCACGGCGTGATTGACGGCCACGGCGTCGCCGGCCCCAGCGGGCAGCCGACGGGCCGGCGGGATCCGCTCATTGATCTTGTCCAGGGCTTTCGCTTGGTCGAACGTCTTGATGTCGTTGCCGGCCGAATAGTCCGTCAGCACTGCACAGTAACTTAGTCAGTATGTAAACGGTGCCAGTATAAGCTGATTCTTGTTAATCTACCGCAACTTGCCGACCATTTAATAATCTTTTCAGTTTGTAAAGTTTGCGCACATAAAGACAATGTCAAAAGCATTATTTACTGTACTTTCACTAAAGATAACTTTAAACATAAAAAGCATTTCGAAGTCGATGGGATGGCTTACCTGTTTTAAGAGTATCCTTTCCACCGGACAACACTCCCAGTGGCAACGATCCGGTTGGTGTTAGACCTTTCAACTGCAGGACGCTTTCGCTCTCCTCTCTGCAAATCAGACCACACATCATCAACGAAATTCGCATTCGCTATGCAGTATCTGCCAATAATAGGACCGCCATCAATCTTTTTAACATCACACAGGTACGAATACAGATATTATACAGGTATTTCTGAAGCACAGCAGGATAAACTAGCAAGTAGCGACATTGTACCAGTTTTGTATACAATAAGAAGAATTACTGTAATAAACGGAAGTCTATTTCTGCTTAAATCTAATGCCCATGCTAATTATTTGACTACGCGCCAGCACAGCTGACGCCGACTTTTCCATATTTCTACGAACATAAAGCAAAATCGTCATAAACCAACGAACGTAATATGCTACCTTAAAACGGTGAAAACCCTGGCCATCTTGCCAATGGCTCGTATCTTGTTTTTGATGACTTCTTTCCGGACACTCGGACCTTCGGCGGTCTCCTGTTCATCCGCCAGTTCATCGTCCGAGCAAATATTCAACAATGCAACAAGCATTTCCGTCACTGCAAAAAACAAATTTCCGTCACTCACGATTCGCTTTTATTTATTTCAGCAATCCACTAAAGCAATCTCCTATTTCTATTTAAAACCGCGAGTAAAACATATTTTGTCTTCTGGTAATTACGCACAAACAAAACCTGAAATGAAATTTTACCTTTTTCGCCAACAAAAGGCAGCGACCACGTAAAGACATCCATGAAATTTGGTAGCCAGTATGGATGCGGTGAGCAGTTGAACTGACGAATATTCATTACATTATTTTCGTATTTCAATATCGCCGCTGAAAATAAAAGACAATCTTTTTATTGGCATCCATCAGATAACAGGGACAACTCGGGACGCACCTTTATTATTGTAAACATCCAAATAATTCGGAGCCGAAAAAATGGTAATCAGTGAAGGGAATCCAGTGTTTTGGCTTTTCTTGTACATACGATAACCGGCATCCTGGGCTTCATGGGCGCGGATAATGGACAACAGCTTGTTGTGATGCAGAAAATCACAACATGCCGCGTAACTGCCAAAGAATACGTTCGTATACAATGAGTCCAAGTAAATCTGATCCAGAAACTTTAAAAAATGTTAATGTAATGTTTAAAAAGTAACAAAAAGTAACTTTCAAAAATGTAATGTTTAAAAAGGAAAAAGCAGTGCGCTGCAGCAAAATTTATTACCGAAGAAAATTTTTCAAAGAAACAAATTTTACAGACCAATTAAAATTAACAATAAAGCAATGGAATGAACATCGCACTCTCGTGGATATCTGCACTGGCCACGTGACTACAGCTCAGTTCAGCAGCACAAAGCCGAGAATGAAGGAACAAAAAACCTAATCTGCATTTTACGCATCCCAATCAAATAAGAAGTACGCTACCTATAAAAATATGAACAACCACGGGTTGTGTTATGACTAAAGTGTTCCTGATTGCGTTCCGAGCCGAAATCCTCAACAGGATCCGACCATAAAAGATCACACATGGGCCCAAAAGCCGGAGGCTCCTTGAAACGATCCAGCTATAAAAACACACCGTAAAATCTTCTTACGATAACCATCACATTGACACATTTTTCGACATACGACTTTCTTTCAACGGCTATCAAAATAGTAATGATCGTGCTGTCAAAATGCAAACGGAAATTAATATTCGACGAGATAAACATTAACTGCAGGGTATTCCCATAATTACAACTGAGATTTCCACAGATGGAAAACTATTAAATTAAATTTTGTTTTTCGAAAAAACAGCAGCTCTGTTAAATTCTAGTGCGCTAAATAGCTATGCATTTCGTGAATCGTGCTGACCCTTCTGATATCGTCCAAGGAGTGCACTTCGGGAGACAGTCCACCATGGACGCAGAGGAACTGCTGGTTCATCAGCGCAGCTAATGGTAGACAATCGAAGGCTTCCATACAGGCGTCGTACACCTTCTCGGAGTACTTCATTTTGCACTCCTGCTTGAATGTAAAATATTCCGTCAGGTGGCGACACTCGTGGTTGCCGCGTAGCAGAAACAACGTCTCCGGGTACGTTAACTTCAACGACCACAAATATAAAACGCACTGCAAAGAAAATGTTCTTCAATTACAAGATACGCGGTAATTTCTCAGGCAATAATCCAATTAAGGGCTTCAAACAAAAAAAAAACGGTTAAAGCAGAATGTATACAACCATGTCACATCTCAAAACTACTCAAAAGGAAGCCCAGATAGGCAACCATTTTCTGTTCTTAAAATGGACTTCACATCATACTGTATATTGAATTAATATCTCTCACAAAAAATACGGATCGTAGCAGTTTTTATATATGCTCGTACTTATATCTATATGCATATCTGCAGACTGTATGCATACCCTACACTACGCATCTACTTATTTGTACATGCTTCTGCCGCATGCTTTCAAAAGAGTTAAGTATCATAAACGTAAAGCTACGAGAAACTGATTTTTTTTGTTTCCGGTTTATACATGTGTGTATCAATACGAGCGCTTCCGAAAATCCTAATCAAATAATAATAATAACGACTGTCAGCTAACTTTCTACCAGATATCAACCAAAAAAAACCCTAATTATGCCGCCACCTTTAAATTATCTGCTCCTTATTAAGGCAACATGAAATTGAGCAAACACATGCCCTACCGGCGCATCTGCAAAGAAAAACATCACACTGCAGATTTCCGCTAAACCCTTACGTAACCCAGCCCGAGTTTACACACCATCGTACAGCCAAACGGCCTGAAATGCTTCCCAGTACGAGACGCTTCCGGCCGCACCATCCACCTTATAATCGATAAATCCAGCGAGGCATTTTTATCCCCAGCCCAACAAATATTCCCTCAAGCACCTTAATCTCCCCACTCATCATGTAGGTCCCCATTTATTTATCCCACCACTCGCCGCTGCAGTGGCGACAGTGCACAGCTTCTGGACGGGAACATACCCATTAATTGTATTCCAGCCTGATTATGCAGCATCACATACACACCATCCCAGCACCGGATCATTGCGTATACACACATAGCACAAAAGACAATCAATTTCCTTCCGTTGTTCGCGGCGGCACGGCGACGACGGCGTACGCAACGACCGGCAGTGTCCGACCCGCTTCCGCTGAAATTTCCCCATTTCCCCATGCACACTGTACCACTGTTAAACCGTTTATAATCAACAGGAAGTATGTGGCACAAATTTCAGCGCCCCAGTACGGCAATCAATACTCTTTTCAAACCGATTTTTCCTGTCACAATTAATTATCCCCGCCTGCTTCAGTCGCCTACAATGCTTTCTCGTCGCTTTTTGAAACGTCTCCGAATTTGACTGCTATTACAGTAAAAGAATATCATTACCCTAATAAACATGAATTTACTACATCATTCAACGGCATTTCATATTTGCCAGTTAGTTACGTAGTTTCTGATACCACATTACCACGTCACTGCTAATGGTAAGCTACTGTAAGTCCCGATGGTTTCGGATCATAGTTAGTTAAATAGTATACTACTACCGTGCACGCGTCATCATAATTAGTTCTTCAATTTATACACTGATATCAGCATTGTTCAGGACATTCTGCTCTCACGAACTGTAAGTCGGTTTATTTTTGGTAATAATGATAGGAAGCTGCAATGGTGAGACACACAAAACCGAAAGATATTTCGGATTTTTCTATCCGAAAATCAATGAAAACCGCTATAGACGGGATACACCTGGTACAATAACAAATCTGCCCCACCAACGACAGAGAAACCGGTACCAGCCACTTCCGATGATCCGAGAGAGTCCGTGTCTTTCGTCAGCAGCTGCGTCAACGGTTTTACAATAATAAACAAATGCGTGATTCTCATACTTCCGGTAATGATTGAAGCAAATTTCACAAAGATCACGTTCATCCTCAGCGCATGTACCGGCACTCGTAACGCGTGGTCTACAACTAAAGCGAACCACTAACGCGTATACTATCGTACTTGGGAGAAAAAACGAAGCAAATCGTCGTTTTCCAAATGAAAATGAACATCTAACTATTGCTACATTTCGTCATAATTTTCACGTGACCTTTTGCATGTGTATTGATGAACTTCCAAGCGCCCTTTTGCTTTAACATTCCACGAGGTTCGTAATTTTGTATCATGCCTTAAGTCATTCAGTTACTTTTTTAGAAGTCGAAAAAGAATTGTTAAAAAGCAGACCAGCCCATCAGGATGTATCATTTATGATCCCTTATAAAACGCACGCCCTGGTTGGCGCGCGTCATGGATAAGACAATCGATGATTACTGGGAACATGATAGATCGAATTTCTCGTAATAGCAGTAGCGCAACTTCGTTCCATTTGCGAATGCCAAAACCCCAAATGAAGACCCTCAGAGACGCTCCCGTCTCGGAGTCGCTTTCAGTCGTCTGAGACCGATCGGCATGCCGATGCCGAAAATTACTGACAATGAGCATAACATAGTGCTTCAGAAATCCAAGATTCCATCCTCTACCTGCTTTATGCAGCAAAGCGAGCCACATATTTCTATTCCACATCCACACAAAGCAAAGAAACGAAAGCAATGAACACCAAATGTTTTCAAAACAATGAAACACAAAAAGGGCACTTCAAAATATGTATCGATTTGGTTTTCCAAAATCTCTCTCAGCGAGTGTTGTAAGAAAATCATTTTAGCCGAATTCCCGACCAATACAAAAGTAATCTTGGAAGAGATAATAAAACGAACATACAGCCGAAATATCTATTTAAATACGAATACGGTCAAAATGTCAAAAACGCTTAATTTCACAAGCTGAAGAAATTATAGGAGCCACCGCAAAAATATTTTTCAAAATAATTTTCGAGAAGTGGGCTGTGCATTATTTTGGAGACTAAATCACTGATTAGAATATTTTATTCAATAATGTGACCAATTTTCCTTCCCTCCATAGTCATGCCAACCGGCGTTCTGCGAACTGATCACGAAAGATCAAGGTCTCATTTGGCTAAATGCACACGCGGACAAGTATGTTCGCACTTGGCAAAGTGGTGTCATGGACCCAGGGACTGGATCATGTCACAACAGCTTGAGCTCTCTCGCTTCTCCGCCGCTAAATTAACTCACAAGGCCCACTGTATACACAGGAGCAGTTGCAGGCATACTATCATCATCATCCGACTCATGTCCGACGCGTTTTCCAGCAGATCCAGCTTCGCGTGATTGACTATCATTATCGTTGTACTTCTTTACCCTGCCAATGTGCATACGGTATACAAAAATAAAACCCCCGCCTATGCTCTCACCAACAGCAGCCGCGCCAATTTCAGACATCACTTCCTCGCTAGCACCAGGGAGACTGCGTATTCTGAGTTTTTTCGTAATTCCAAATTTAATAACAAACTAGCAGAATTCACCCGCACACTGAGCACTCGGTTAATTACTTATTCATTTATATAACTTTACAGCATCAAAAAATACGATAAACAGTATTAAAAAATAGTACATATAAAACAAACAGATTTCAAAATCATAAAGATAAACGGTACTTAGAATTTACCCGAACAAAATTTTCACGAGTAACTGTGAGCAGAAATTCGAAAATTGACCAAAAGAGAACCGGAAACGCTGGCACAAAAAGATACTTCAAAAAGCTTAAGAGTGAATAATTTGTACAACTGCTGAACACTGTACAATATCGCAGAGTTTTTAAAAATAAGCTTTGTATCATTATTTCTATAAAACTACAGGAAATGATGATACGTCCATTTTTGTTCTTTGATTCACTGCCACTCGTGTACCGCTACTAAGGGCGCCGCTGCACAAACCAACGCCGAAGCCTGATTTCGTCGTTTTTACCCCACAGACAACCTGATCACACAAAAGTCCGCTCTTCCATCCCGAAAAAGTCCCCTTTGATCGATCGGATATCGCATCAACGCGAGACCTGGCTAGCATAAAGTTCCCCCAGCGCACCTGCTGTATTGATCTGACATGTAATCAAACTATCCTTTGCCATCAAAGAGAACAAGCCGTGGGATGCGCGCGATGTAACAACGCCAAAATGCTGCATGTCAAAGATATGCTCCAGTCCAATCCAGGCAACGGTAAACATGACCAGTCGCTTGTTCCGGTGGTAAAACGCCCATGTAACGAAAACCCATGGAGCGATCTCAAACAAATTCCAATCACACGCATGCACTGACAACAATCAAAATTTATTAGGAGTACTGCACCAGTCACTGCATTCGCAATGGCCAAACCTAAACGGGACTCGTAACTTTTCTAGCACAACATGTCCTTTAACGATGTTGATTTCTTCGATACCCATACATTGTATAGTCTGCATTTTACCTTCTCAACAACCATAAATTGTCGTTTTTTAACGATAAATCAAATTCTGGTTTCTGTTACTGTGCCCCACAAATTTCGCTTTAGTTCCAAATGAATTATTTCGTTTAAGCGGACCAATTAAAAATCTGCAAAAAGAGTGAATGCTCTTTACTACTCTAGTATGTATGTGCATCGGTGAAATACTGAACAGTGAACAAGGTGATTTACAAGTCATCTAATAATCCAATTTTAAAAACATACAAGAACAATCAAACCATAAAAAACAACGAAAAACGATGAATTTCACAGTAACGCATGTCTGTCCCGTTATGCTGCATAAATCGGTATTTTTATCCCTGTCCTTTAGGCATAACAATATTCAAGTGCAAATTGCCATTACGAAAGAGAATCATTCACCACACTGCCAACAAATTACACATAAATTCGCGTACTTCCAAAAACAACCACGGAAGGGGATATAAATAGCCATTCGCACTCTATTAGCGCCTTCATAAATCCGACCCCATTAGTGTCCGCCCGTTTACATACATCGAGGAGTCTTCCTGTACGCACGCGGAAAGACCCCTTCACGTTTTCCCGAATCATAAGCCGCCCTTTAACAGGGCATAATAACCCCGTCAAATCAACAATGACGCCGTTTTCATAATCTCGGCATTACCGTTTAAACGAATTTGCACTACTGTGAGAATGTAACTATTTTTAAAATGCAATGTCTCAAAGTCCAGCACATCTTTCCCGGAAGTTCTTTCTTTAGCTATATATACTCGCACATTACACACACGAAAATTCCCAAAGGCATTATTACATTAATCCATAATTTCCGTGGTGAAAATGATAGAGCAAAAATAACCACACGAATTCATTCACGTAAATAAGTCAACTTAAATCGTACTGCATTTTTAAAGACTGACAACACAAATACTGTGATTATTTTAACTGTGATTCTGGACAATATACGTTTAGTCAATTTATTGTTACTATAAAACACGTACTGTCCAAAAGCCAGCATGTTATAACGTTCGTGTCGTTGCAAATACGGTGAAATACAAAGTTTTAAAGGCGCACGTGCCTTTCGGAATAGTTGGGAGATCATTTACAAAAAAATATCTTGCTCCGAAGTCCTTCCGGTACAGAGACCCCCTACGCTCCGATTCCCACCCACGTTTTGTAATGCTTGTACTTCATAATTCCAGCGAAAAACCGTCACATGTATCCACACATGCACTTTCATTTCGCAATACATTTCGCTTGTCGCGCACACATATACACACACCACCACCACCACCCCTTCCCACCACATGTGCTGCCAATACACCAGAGACCATTCCCGCTGCCCAACGAGTCCCTCAAGTACCAGCATTATTAAGTCAGCCAACCACGACAAGCGGCATTCTAAGCATTTCAATGGGCGAGTTTGTTCCAATCGCAGAACAGAAACAAGCCACCAACAATTCGCCAGCAGGATTTTTCCCCTTTGTCAAAAATTTCACTCGTAATATCCATGGACTGTCCCTGGAGGGGCATGCCGCGCAACCATATCCTTACTAAAACCCGGCAGACTTATTTGAGACTTTGCAATGCCAAAGACCAGACCATTAGGTGTCTCGTTCTCACTTCCCAGGTCTCACTACTTTTCATAATTAACGACTCTCATCACCAGTCTCCTCACCTCACTTATTTTCTACTGAAAGCAAAAATTACCATACTCCGAAAAATTAACAACATGAGAAAAAAATTAAATCAAACGTTTTCACGAAACATTAATATTGACAGCAACCAGACGATTATTAAACAATCAGTTCAACCGGGAAAAACCGAAATTTTTCACAAAAGCACGGGAAGGGTTCCCTTCCCTAGTTATCCTCAAGCCATTCAAGCGTTTTCCATTTGAAGCCAACACTTTGTGAAAAGGAGACCGCAGTCACAAAGAGATCACTAATCGTCCATTTTGCACCCATAACCGCCACAAATATCCCGCATTCTGTAAACGTCCATTTACATCACACGGGGGCAAGAGCACATAATATCATATTTAACAGTCACATGTTCAATCGTCGGATGTATCACCTCATATCGGCTGATCCGGCCGTTCATGTCACAGAGGATATCTGACTAAACAATCATAATCATAAACGGAAGCATCCATCCTTCAGTCAACCGGCTAGAATGACGATTACCACCGCAACCACACAATTCGTCACTGGTTTCTCGCACGAAAGAAAAACCAGGTTACGAATAACACATTCCGAAAAATTTTAGGTACAAGTAACGCCAGATACATGGTTTTAGCACGAATTCACAGTAAATCCGGGCATACATGTCATTTCATTCGCTGTGAATTGTTGTACGAAGGACTACCAAATTATAATATATTTTACTTTTAAAAACGTTAACAATATATTGAATAAGGAATTACCTCAATACTGAAGTAACCACGGTCGACGTAATCACCAAGGAAAAGGTATTTGGTACTGGCTGGATCACCTCCAACTTCAAATAGCTTCATCAAATCGTAATATTGTCCGTGTATGTCCCCGCACACTGCAAGCAAAACAAACCATGGTTATTCAGTAATTCTTCCGCTGTAGACAAAAACAAATCGTCAATAGCTTTCATCATTCTCGCAGTATCTTCCACACCGATTTCCAATACAATCAAATATCGAGAAATTCATCCACATGGATCCCAGTACATTACGTAATATCTGTTAGCATTTCCATTCCGGAAGCACCCAAGCGCTCCAGCGAACAGTTCAGTGCACAATTTACAAGATCTTACGCATAACTCGATTTCAACCATGAAAGCGTCACAATGCCCCCTTGTACAAATATGGAATTCTGATTTGCAGCCATCTAATTGAGAGAAAATCGTCAAAACTCACTCTCAGCTACTATTATCTCTTTAACTTCAATCTCCATTAATTTTCAAAACCTAATTATTAAAATGGACGTGGTGAAGCTTATAGGCGATTAATGTGGGCGTAATAATTTCTCACTTTATGCAGTACATTGCGCTTAAAGTGCATACAGCCTACTGCACTTTACAAGTTCACGCGCGATATGCTGCAATTTAGCATGTCTTTCATTTTCTGCAAATCAGCAGCCTGGGTTGTATACCGGTGATTGCAAAATATCAGAAATCTTCTTTCAGTCGGCAGACCGTACATTACGACTCTGGTTTTTAAAATATCGCTACAGACTACAGTTAACCTTCTTATTTCCCTACCTCTAATATATCTAATAGTTTCTTTAGAAGAGTACATAATTATTGTTAATCATCTCGTCAACACCGCTCAACGCCGATCTCTGAAATCCACTTTTAAACGCTCCCCATTTAATCAGCCCAACTAAATCATCCATCCCGCACCTATTGGGGACTCTCGTCCTCTTCCACTATTATGTCAGTGTTGCATACACACTGCACAACCATTGACAAGAGCCATCGCCTAGACAAATCTATCGCCACATGTTCCTCATTTTCCTCCTCCGCTCTAATAATGGGCATAAAACACACACAGAGGGAGCACTTCCACTTGAATTCCCGACGCCACTGTATTATAACAGCCTCAGACGCGTAGCGTCCAACCAGCTCAACAGGATCAATATCCCCAGTCAATTCCAGGCGACTCCATAGTTCATCGAATACGTAGCACCAGCAGTTAGTTACCAGCGGTATTTTTATACATGTGCAGGCAAGTTTAGTTAGGTTCGCTAGCGTCATATTCAATCCACAAATCAAGGAAACGACTACCGCTATCACCGTAGCGAATGCCTAAGTTATTAAAGCGGATGCTCCGACAATTTCTTCTCAATTCTTGTGTTACAGCTGCTCGATTTTGTGTTACAACCTTATGTGTGCAAATGCCGGTCGTGTAACTGAAAACGCACATTCTTTTTTCTTTTTCATTTGACATATTTAATCACAAAGTAACATTTCTCTTCAAACTAAAAACACAGCTTTAGACTTTATTCTTAGTATTTACGTATGAATAATGAAACACTGTATAGTGTACACCGAAAAGAAATACAGGAAAAAAAGATTTTCATTGGTACATGCAGTCATATGAGCAATTAGTAAAAAATGAGTAAAATGAACCGTAGTGAGAGCCCAATTTTGTTACGCAAAAAATCGATTTTTTAAGATTTAAGAATTCAAAAAGAGTACTTACTATGCTGATAAAATATAAACTAATACCGGCTTCACGCTTTTAGATGAGGTTAGTGCAAGAAACCGTAATATGGCGCAACAAAAATAGTCAGTTAACAACCTAAAAAAATTTATAAAAATGCTTCTAATAAAAAACGGATACCGTTATGGCCTTGAAGAGGCCACTGCATCGGAAATATTTCAAAACGAACTACCTCGGGACTTGTAGAATTCTAAGTTATTCCATTGAGAACTACTTCCGAATCTTATAACAATTACATAACTGCAAATGCGACCATCTGCCCTCCATTTTCCTAATACAGTCAGCTCGCGCTATCAAATCGCACTCGTTATTCGAGTGCATTACTACACACACCCAAAGTCCCTCTAGTTTTATCCCCATAAATAATTAATCATCCCTAAATTGCCCAGCTCCACTGCAGCTACTGTTTCGTCATTATCAAACACAAACACAGGCACGGATTTTCCACTGGGAAGTTGTGGTCGAGAAAAAAGCCGCTCTTTCTAACACCAATCGATTATCGAAAAGGATGGATGCGCGGTGAGTATACGTATAATCCACATACAGACCGCGTCCAATTCATGAACTTTACAACTTATGCCTGATCGGCATAATTCTGGGCAACAGGGAAAGAGCCCCCACCCGCGATGGGAAACGGGCAGAATATCGATCCATGCTGTGCTACCATTAATTAATTCCACGAATTCCTTACGCATACAGAATAGTATCAGCCACTTCTTCCCTTCTGATTTGTGGATTTATCAAAGTGGGGATTAAAATAATATATACACGTACAGCCGCCACTGACCCAAAGGAATTTAAATAAATTTTAACGGAAGTCGATAACAAGAAATTCTGTAATCGAAAATTCTTCATACAGCGGAAAATATCCATCGTCTTATGGTTTTCTTGTGTAAAAGCATGGCAATTATTTTGTCACGGGTTCCGGAATGCCGGAGACAACGGTTATTCGCATTCTGCCAGTCTCATATTAGAGCAAAAACATAAAATAAGCCATCAGTTCCGAGACACTTTCAAGCAACAGCATTCCTTTCCGAATTACTTAAATAGCTGAAAGAATCCAATATAAAGCGGAAACAGTGAAATCAAACTAGTAACTACGCCTTTATTCGTGCATGACAGCAATATGGCATTACCGTATTTAAAAATAAAGTATTCGTTAATCACTTTAGAAAATTTATAGGGGTCATTTACTAATGAACTTATCAAGCAGAAAACTGAAAATGGACAAACTATAAAATTAACAGATTATAGAAGTCGGTTAATTACTCACTGGCAGTTACTGCAATGTGCTTGAACAAAAAACAATTTTGGAAAATCTGAAAACTTCCTTTCAGTTAAATGCCACTTTATGGAATGATGCCATTTATTCAGGATTCTGTACTTTTTCTAAATTCTTGAAAATCAACCTACAGAACACGATAATCCCGTTTCAAAAATTGCCGAGATGTTAATTAGGGCGAGCAGGAAGATGCCTTAGCCTTATGATAACTTGATCATTTCACACTGGTACAGATTGAAAAATGTCATTCAAACACCAGACAAGGTAAACTGTCGATGATTATTCCTGTTTCCCACCATGAGAAGTGTTTCGGTGACACCCGCTGCGAGCACCTTCGAGTCTTCGGCATCATGCGATACTGTCAGTCAGCACATTGCATAACACCCAACCAATTTGACGCTCATTAATCAAGTAAAATTCGGCATATACTGCAGAACCAAATCAACATTAATTTCATACACCGCTGGCTGTACAAAAATCATTTTATTATTTTAGCACCACCTGCCAAATTTGAAATTTCGAATGCTTGATCGCTTATCGCTATATTGCATTTCCATTCGTACCTTACTTTGTTACTTTTAGGCTTGTAAATTAAAACATATACCGATGGTTTATAACTGCCCTATAACCGAAAAGCAGTTTTTTAGATCCTTCGCTCACAAGCTTCTAATTTTATTTTTCAATTTCCATTCCTCTGATGTGCAAACTTCACGTTCAACAGTTAGAGTACTTTTACGTTCATTTTCTCAGGGACTGCGAAGTGCTAACTACAGTTCGGTAAAATATAGTGTACAAATTTTACAATTTGCGTACTTGAAACGACTAATCACGCTACCGCTATAATACGGTGCCAAAAAGATTTCTGAACTTGTTTCTGTCAAGTAAGCAAAACGTTATCTGCAAGATGACTAATATTCAACATCTTGAATGCGGTCCACAAATCTGGCAGACATAAGTCTGCACAAAAATGGAATGGTATGTCAGTCGTATAAATTAAAACACACACCAAGCATGGACGACACATAAATAATCGAAACTTTTAACATCCAACCAACCCAAGAGACAAGAATTCTATTAATCAAATGTTATTCTAACCTTTTAACATTACATTTGCAGAGCACTCGTACTCTTCGCCAGCGTTAACATTCTAAACAGCTTCCACAAAACAACTATTGAAAAATTCGCAAAGAAGTTAGAACATCGGAATTCTACATCATTTAGACTGGTTTAGGTCAATTATCAGTCAGACAGAAAGTGAACTTTTAACAAGAAAAACCATAAACTATAAAGCACGTAAAAATTACAATTAGCACTACCTGTAAATCGTTTACTGCATTTCCTTAATAATTATGCTGAGTTGTTCTACAACAAACAGCGATCGAGACTGTCGCATCACAGTATGTGTGTTCACTGCCGACTTTCGACAAAAAAGGCTTGCTACTTTTAGATCTATTAGAGCTAACCTCCTCGTTCACAATGTGTGTAATCGTCCAGTTCTTTCTGGTTGAACTACGAGCAAGGGACAATCGTAAAAGGTTCGATTCAGGTAAAAACATCCGCTGAAGACGATCTCGTCCTACTCACACCGTAAATTAATGAGTTTTTTCTTTTTCCTTGTCATCAAATTGGCACATACCTCATGCGCAGTGGTAGCTACGCATGTCGCATGCCTTCCCTTCCGCAATTACCGACACAACAGAAAAACTTTCCTGGAGCTGGTAGCACGACTTGAACGATTTTAATGATCATTCTCTACCTGCACATTTGAAGTGTCCATTAGAGCAGCACATCCTCTCATGGATTGTGCAAACAGCAATGCTTCTCATCATTCAGAGAGCAGGAAAAAAATATACGGCGAAAAAGCTCCGAATTTTCATCCTTCTAAAATATCTTCTAGTAATGGAAATCATCTCGCCATAAATTTCAATTATTCTAATAAACACCCGACAACATAATATTTCACATGAAGAAAACTAAGAGCGTCCTTCGACGCTCGTTAGGATAAAAATCGATTTTGTCAAAGGAATACCTCATGTCTACTTTTTTACGATGGGTATCATTTTTCCCCATCAGTTCAGCGTCAATAAACGTCTGTATTGTTCATAACAAAACGCCACAACCATGCGCAGGAAACCAATAGTCATCACTGTTATTTGCATAATACGATGAAAAAGATCGAGTTTCTCCCGAGCACCTCAAATTTACCAGTTGTACGTTATCCGGTGCTTTCCTGATTTTAATTTAACGCCAAGAAAACTATGCTAAACACCTAAAATCTTAAATTATATGAAACGCACTGATCATAATTAACACGATGCTTATTAGAATAAATAAAAAGTGAATGTAAAATTCGAAATATCTGTCTGGTTTGCATATATGAATTTAATGAAAGGAAACAAAATACAGTCGTTATCATTTATAATGCGAAGCATTTGCAGGAAAAATCAAAAACCGTATTGAAAAATTTGGCGAAGATGACCGATTACGAATTCTGTTTTCACTTCACCAGATCATTAATCCGTGATTAATATTAAAAATGATAATTAATACCGATAAAACTGGACCTATTAAAAACTCCCCCATTGACGGGAAAAATCAAAAGGCCGGTGAAAACGATGATGTTCAAATTGGCAAAGCTGTTAAGACCGCCATCTCCAGCAGTCAACGCATGCTAAGACTATAAACACATGGTCATATAAAAATATCCTGTCTCGCGCACAGGCTGTGAATGTCAACTGACATTATCTAAGCCAACCAAAAAAGAAATTCCGCAATGCCTCCAAGGAGCGGCGATGCGACCAGCGACGGCCGCCGCCGCACCAACACACACGAAGAACGAACCTGTGACAGGGGCTTCAATGTCGATCATGGTGGGTTCAGAGCGTAACAGTGCTGCGCCCTCATTGATAATCCTTAAGGCTACACTTTCCTCCAGTCGTCCTTCGATTATAAAATGCTGTTTGAGCACCTCGGCTCGTGGGCGATTAGTCCGACTATCATACACTTCATTCATGCCCAATCGATGGGCTGGAGGTTCGGCCACGCCTGAACATTAATACCCAAAATGTCACACACCACACCAATGCTTCAGAATCAATGCGGAAGAAAGCCCAGAAAAAAATAATATCATAACATGCTAATATGGTCAAAAGAAAACCAGGCGAACATTACGTGTTCACCCTGCTGGCATACCATTACAGCATACACCGTACAGAGAAGCGACGTGCGTAGCTGCAATTAAGGCGCACAACACCTGGAATTTTCCTGGGATTGGGACTTACTTTTAATGACACGGTCCGTGGTAGATAACCGCGTAGCCGAGGCGCTGGATGCGTCTTTCGCCGCCATTCTTTTCGTCACCGGTAAATGTAATAAAGAAGATACAACTAGAGGAAGATCACGGGATAAAAAGACGAAGACGACTGTGATGGAGGCGCTGCAAGAACAAACGGTGGCAATCAAAGAGCAAAAAGGTTGAAAATCATCCAGTCCATGTCCATCCCATTTTCTCTGCTTTCCACCCGATAAACTCAATGAAGCAATAAATTAGAGAATAAAACTGAGGCAACACTACTACACACTGTAACCAGACTAGCCGATCCGTGCGATGTGCAAATCAACAATTCACAAGGAATGGGGAAGCCAAAGGCAGAGCACACACTGCTCGTACTGATCGAGAATCGTAATCGTTCCCGTTCGCTGCTGCAGCAGCCAACAACACTGCCTACATCCACCGCGAGCCGAGCCGTACCCCCAATAACGTGTTCACCGCGGGCCGAGCCTGGTCTGGTCTGATACGTATGTTATGTGACTTGTTATGTCAAACGCAACAGGAGCAGCAGGATCGCATATGTATCCTCCAATACACTGGCAAAAAGGGATCAATTATTAAATTCCTCTGGCTCCCACACAGCAGCCGAGACTAAGAGAGAGACGGAGAGGGAGAAAACGTCCAACGCGCTTCTATTCACTGGTGACTTGTGTACCATACAGACTGGGATCCAATGGATTTTTGTTTAGCATTCAAATCAAGGTGATCGGAAACGGAATGCGATGCTTCCACTCAATATGTATGTGCATGTAGATCCATTATCCAGCAAAGCATGAGCAGCCTTTCCCCGCAAAGAAAAAACACTACCCGCACTGCGGATTGCCGAACACTGAACAGCTAACGTTTGCAAATGAGTGCAGTTTTTAACAAACCAGCTGCTGCGGCGCCGCTGCCATTCAAAATTAACATAAGTGCTGAGGCACAAGGCGGTAAGCCGGACAGCTGCTCGGCCGGCTGATTGGGAGGGCTGGCACTGTCTACTGAGCCTACTCATATCTGGCACAGGCATTTGTATCTGTACAACTGTACATAATTACAGCAATACTCTATATGATTTTTAAGTAATTCTTATTAATATTATCCGTGATTTTTTTTCTTGGCTGGATTTTGCCTGTTTTTGTGTTATTTACATTTTGCATACATTTCCTAAGGACGTTCCAGTGAGATACTGTAAGTACGTTGCACGGTGCGGGTGAGAGGCAGTACGTTAGACAGGGATTTCCGGTCGGTCGCAAATTACTCGCAATAACTGTAAATTAAAGACACTAAAGGGCAATGCGTAACGGAGTAAGAAATTTTTCAAATTTCCACAATATAGTAGTCGAAGAATTCTTAGTTGTGCTGGTAACAAAGTTAGTAAACATGTTCTCAGTAGATCTGGACAATGGACGGTGCGAAATGGCTCCCGGCGCAAATTGCGTCACAGTGACCGCTGTAACCGCAGTAAACCCGGGTCAACGGCACATTTCGTCTTTACAGATACTGTAGTTGGCTTTATACTGCCAAAGTGAGCCAACGGTATTTAAAGCGATATTCAATAATAAGCAAAGAATTGGACAAATACTGTATATACATGTACTCTATCTATACGAAAGTATGTAAAATAAGCGGCACTTGTAAAGAAGTAACGATGAATAAAAAACTGCGCTAACAAACGGTACTTGCTGCTTCCAATTATTAACCGTGTCTCTCTTATAGGCGTCCCGTCTCTCCCTGGACGATGAGAGCAAAATTTTGCAGAGTATCGGGCGCAGTGAAGAACTGCAAACTGAGTACACTAGTATTTTTAGTAAGTAGTGCGACCACGAACTAAATAAATAATTTATTTAAATAAAATAACTTACTAATGCAAAGCATTTGACTAAACACTAGTAAAAAGGCGTGAAATTTCAATTTCAATATAAAACAAAATCCATAAAAACTGCAGCTTATAGAAGGCAAGCCATAATTAAAAATACACAAAACTGTCAAACAATATCATCGAGATCATCGTATCAGCATTTCCCCGGTATGAAACCCCGTTGATGCAAAGTCCCCATAAACAGAAAATCCACGATTGACGACTAGGATGTCTAGGAACTACCCCGTACACCAAAGTACACGCAAATTCCAATAATAATCAACAATACGGCCACAATGCCGACCACCAGCACTCGATTCTGTACCACCCGCCGAATCATCACCGTCAAAATTCGAGAACTTCGGCCCAGATCTTCTTCCATGTCGTTCATTCGGGAGCGGGCTTTATTCAGCGTCTCCCTTTGTGTGTTGAGGTTGTTGAGGACGCTGGCGCCGATCTGTTCGGTCTCCAAGGCCACGCGGTAGCCCTGATCCAGAGTACGGGTGGCACGGTCCAGATGGTCGCTGCTGTCCTGCACTCGCTCCAGGAGGAGGGCGCGCTGGTCGCTAACGTCCACTACGGCGTCCTGAAAATGCGCGTCGGCCAACTTCGGATTCTTCAGTTCTTTCTACAAATAGGGAAAATCATTCACAACAGCGAAAGCAAAAAACCAACTTCCCGGTAAATTACACTTAGATCATTGAGGGAGGTAACACCGTAACTCAGGTAAGTTAGTATTAAGTACGCATTTTGCAATCTTTTATTCCACTTTTCGCAGTTGTTATGTCGCGAACAAACCACCTACGTATTTCCTTGTTACTTTATACAGTACTTTACTCAGTATACTGTATCAAAATGGTTATCACAAGAAATTTTTTTACGTTAATAAATTTAATTTGATTCGCATTTTTCAAACGGCATTCGAATGATTGTATGTGCAATGCAATATATTCGAGAAAAAATAATTTTTCAAAAGTCCAACAGCAAGTACTCTGTAAGTTAAAAAAAAACAGTCAAAAGAAAATAGAACTTGAAAATAAATTCAAAATATCATCCAGTATTCGTGTTACACATGCGTGGAACGGTTAAAAAAATTCTCGACAACAGCAGGCCCAGGATACAGAAACACAAAGATCAACAAATTATTACTTGAAAATTACAGTACTGCTGGTGCGAATATCACTTCAATTTCTCTTCAAAAACAGATAAAAGTACAGACTACAGAGTATTTACACAAAAAAGACAATAAATAAGAGGTAATACTTAATAATATACAGTACTAGTATTTTATTAAGCGTTTCATTACTGTCTGTTGACGGACATAAAAGAAGTTACTTTTACGCACAGAAGTAAATTTCAAAACATGGCATGTCGCATGGCCGGACTAAAAAATTTTCAGGGAAAAACTGCCAAAACAGAATGCCAAAATAGCAGCAACCTGCAAATTACATCCAGCACGAATCGCTTACCAAGTCCTGCTGTAAAGTATTGACTTGCTGCTTGTAACTCTGAAGTCGATTCAGATGTTTCGCCCTCTCCTCTCCCGTCAAAGCACGGATCTCCAGTTCCATCTGCTCGAACTACACGGCGAAAATACCATGAAGACAAAAAAGACAACAAAAAGGTTTTATAACATCAATACATAAACAGCACACCGAAGAAAAGAACTGACTACCGTTCAGAGTGGCGATGTGAAAATTCGCGCGAGAACTTACCAATTCGCGACATTCTTCAAACGATCGTTCCACTTCCCTTATCGTTAACCGTCTTTCCCCTGCAAAAACCAAAAAGTAGTAACCTAGAATTTCGCATTTTATGGAATAATATTATAATAATATCGCAACTTTGTTAGTAGTAACGAAGCTCCAGTATTTACCTCCAGACTGGTAACGCGTGTCGCTGAGTTTATGCATAATTTCTGCTGTGATCGCAGCATACTGTTGCTCGAAATCCTTCAAAAGCGGGATGCCAGCCATTGGAAATGTCGCGAATTCATGAAAACTCCCCAATATCAAAATTTAATAAATCCCAGTCGAACAAAGCAGATCAAGATTAAGATCAAACGCTTTTCGTTTCTGCATAAATCACTACGAGTAGTATTATTTTACTACAGTACGCACACGATGACACGAACCTTAAATCAACTTGTACACAACTATAAACACAAGCGAGATTGTCAGACACAATAAAACTCACCGCACTACAAAAACAAAACATACAGCAATCAGTTAACTACGCATAATAGTATAATAACAATAAAAGGATAATCATAAAACTTATAAAAGCAAAAGCCAAAAAGTTCGAAACTACAAAAATATTTTCCGAGTTTCAAGACAGCGTGTCGCTGCCTGCTGGTCGTAGCTCACCAAAAAATTATATGTAAAAGGCTCCTGCTTGTAGCGGACGTCATCACGCGTCCTAAGGCTGAGCGCACGTATCCGCGTATGCGTGCATGCAATGCACACGTATGAAGACTTAGCGTAGAGGCTGAAGCCCTTAGCCGGCTAACTCAACGCGGCTGGAAGTCTCAGCCGGCTAGAGCGGCTGACCAAATTTTCCAGCCGGCTTAGCCGGCCGCCAGCCGGCTAAGCCGCTTATATTTTCGCTTTAAAAAAAATTCGCAAAATTTTTGAAATAACGTTGCAAAGTGCAGTTAAATCACAAAAAATTAGAAGTTGTTCCGTCTATGTTGTGAAAAAACGGTTTTCGAAAACTTTTGAAGCAAAAAAACAGCGGTTATTCGGGAATTCCGAGTCTGAATGAGTTGAGATTCCCTAATTTTTTATAGTTAATGGCGTCATTGCTACTGAAATGGCATCATGACGGCCGAGTTTAACAATATCACGAGCGAAAGCGACAGAAATTAGGCGCAAGCCGAAGAGAATGTGATGCAAAGTAGAGATGGCAACGGCTGGCTTAATGGCTTATCGGCTGGCTGCGGCTGGCTAAAACAGCGAGCCGGCTCGCACGTGTCGGCTCACCTCCCTGAGCCGGCTCTAACGGCTCGGCTTTGAACGCGAGCCGGCTCGGAGCCGGCTTAGCCGATAGTTTTTTAGCGCGGAGAAACGCAAGTATTTTTTCAAAAAAAGCGATGTGTTTTGCTCTTTTTAAGCATAAAAACTGGTTTGGAGTCCCTGTTAATGGAGAATGCGATCTCTAAAACAAAAATTGAGTGCTTTCTAATAAGAATACAGAATTTTTAAGCTCAAAATCGGCTTTCGACGGGCTAAAAAAGCAAAAGTTTAACTTTTTAACCAATTTTTCCATACTATGCGCAAGCCGTTAGCCGATATCGGCTCACGGCTGGCTCGCGGCTGGCTAAGGCTCGGAGCCGGCTCAGTCGGCTCGGCCAGCATCGGCTACGGCTGCAATTTTGTGTCGAGCCGGCTCAGCCGAAGCCGGCTTAGCCGCGGCTCAAACGGCTTCGGCTGAGCCGTTGCCATCTCTAATGCAAAGTGACTCGGTGGCGCCATCTTTACCGCCAAAAATTGCACAACGATGCCGCCGTTCAAGCCGCTTCAGCCGAGTCGGCCGCCGGCTAAGCCGCGGCTGGCTGAAGTCTCAGCCGGCTTAAGCAGCCGGCCTGACGTCGGCTACGGCTTGCAAAAACCGTCAGCCGGCTGGCCAATAGCCGGCTAAGCCGCGGCTTAGCCGGCCTCGACTAAGCCGTTGCCATCTCTAACTTAGCGACTTTTTAAAACTGAAGTAATTCCAGTTCATTCTGCTTTCACAACATAACTGGAATCTAGAATATTCTGGCACCAGAAGTGAACTCGCACAGCTATATGCAATAAAAGCAATTACAACTGCTATTAGCTCATGATATAATTACCAAAAGTGAACATGTTTTCTTTGTCCTGAAACATTACTAGAACAAACAGGATATCACTGAACATTAATTAATTCAATTCTTCATAATCAGACAAATACATTCGGGTACCACAGTTTTGCGAGCTCATCGTGGGTTTTTGCAAGCTGCCTCAAGATAATAAAAACTCAGGATAATATCACGTTCTTGGAATAATTTTAAGAAAACTTTCAAAAGGCAAGATCCATTGGTCGCTTATTCTACAAATTCCAAAAAATTCTAGACATGGCTGTTCTTTAACGGCAAGGCAATCTACAAGCCAAAGTGTATAAGTACATTTAAGTCACAGCGTACAGCATAGTTTATCCCATAGTAAACTACATAGTTGATCCCACAGTTTATCCCGCAGTAAACCACACAGTTAACCGCACAGTTCTTCCAACAGTAAACCCCACAGTGTATTCCGGAGTTCTTCGGGTATCGTTTTCGCGTGCAATTCGAACTGCAGTAAACAATACAATATATTCCTCGTAACATCTCAAATTTTCTTTATTTTATTTTGCAATATTTTGTAGCCTCAGAGGGATACTCGCTTATGCAATTTTACAAACAAAACAACTACTAAAGTTTAAATGCAGTTGCCGACTCGCGTTTGCACTTTTGATCTGTGATATGCAATGTTAAATAAATACATAAGTGACCTCACAACAGCTGAATTATTGCATTTAGTATTCAAAATAATTTTTTATAAACACAAACTTCAATGAAATTTATATCTGCAAACAGTTCTGAATTATTATTGGGATCAAAACAGTAACAAAACATCATAAATCAAGTACTTTTATGACTAGGCGCATAGCTGTAGATTCGATTTTTTTGACGGAACTACCGGAACAAACATGCCGGAGTTTCGCTAAAACAAAGAAATTTACTGTAATGACACAGGTTTAAGGAACACGAAAATACCCTAGGTCTGCATGCAGGCACCCGGGGGCTGCAGCTACTTTCAAAATGGTTCACTGCATGATGCTCAAAATTCAAATTTATTCAAATTAATTCAGAAATACTGTACATCAACTGTGGCGCTTAATTTACTATTCCTAGACAGAACTGAAAAATTCTTTCTGTTGAGTTTATTGGATATCCAGCAACATAATGCCACAATTTATTCTTCACAGAATTCCAAGTCACCAGACTCATCTAAATTTAGCTCGCAGCTCATGTCGAGAAAACTGTTATCGTTAGGCGACGTTTCTTCTGGTGGGGGAATATTTTCGTCGTTCACAATGCTCTCCGCCTTCTCGATAATTTTCGCGGCAGCGAAGGAATTTATAATTGTTTCTGGCTTAACTTTCTCTCAGGCAGCGGAAACAAAGTCAAGGATATCCTGCCGCGAAGGATTTCTCAGGTACCCTGATTTCGTTGTCTCGTGGTGCTGTTTACGCCAGCGGTGGTACTCGTCCTGATAGTACTGCTTGAACGGCTTGTTCACACCGACGTCTAGAGGCTGATAATACCCGGTCATGGCAACAGGGATGAAGACCTGGCGGATGTTTCTCTCTTCAAGCAGGTCGGCTGAAGACTGCATTTTATGAACGGAAAACTGATCTCTCACCAATATCTTAGGATATCCAGAAATTTCAAACGTTTCTCTGATCCATTTATGATCTAGCTGCTCATTCCACCAAGAAGACTTTGAGCTCATCACTCGCACATTTACGAGTGTGACCAACTGCTTCATTATCCTTTCTGACAGAACTCCGGTTTTTGGGTTGCCTTTGAAAACGATAACTGCGGGCAGTTTCTCTCCATTTCCAGAGATCGTCAGACTGATTGTGAAGCCCTCTTTCTCTGCAGATGCCGTGACTTAAACTTGTTTCGCTCCAGTTTCGTTGATCGTTCTTATTTTAGAAGGAACGTATTTGACGTTTGTTTGGTCGAAGTTCAGAATATCTTTTGGCGGACTTTCCTGGATATCCACAATTTCAACGAGTTCATTAAAAAATCTTTCTTGATCTTCCTGCAAATCGACGGTAAAATTTCACAATTTTTTTTCTTTCAAAAAGTGTAGAATAATAAAAACCATAGACGACGTACAATATCTTTTTCTGAAAATTCTTCTTTTCGTGACGTGTGCGTAACGGCGCGTGAGGACAGGTTTTCTCGAGACATAAACTTGGCAATCCAGCTCCTTGACGCCTTAAAATCGCCCAAGGCAAGTTCTTTCGCGATATCCAGCGCTTGAATTTGTAGGTCGTTTCGAGTAACAGGATAGCCTTTCTGGCGTTCATCATCGACCCACTGACGTAAGCGTGACTCCAACTCGGGATATTGTGCATGCTTTTCAGGACCACGTTTACGGCGTTTTACATCAGAAGCCCTAGTTTTTAGTTTGATTTTTAAGCTTGAACAATTTAAAAATTTTTGTTAAATTTAATGCACCGAATTAGAACTTACTCTTTGGATATCCATCTGCTCAAACAAGCGTTAGGAATGTTTTTCTTCCTAAAAAACTCTCCAAGGGATAACTTGCTGGTCCGATAACTTTTAACGTGATATTTAATTTCCCAGTCGACATACATTCTGCGATGCGCTTTCTCCATCACCAACGCCAAGCGGATGCAACGCTTCACCAGAAAATTTTGCAAAGAAAGTTTTATTAAAACTATTCAGTGAAACCACCAGTATTTTGCAATAACGATTTTTTAATAAACATCAGTCAGCTGTTCGTGAACCAGTTTGAATGTAGCTGCCTGCCCGGGGTGCGCGTAATCAGACCGGGTTGTTTTTGTGTTACTTAAACCTGTGTCATTACAGTATTTTACATGCCTGCCAGTGTTCCTAATAATAGCGTTTACGAATTGCTTACAGTTGTTGTGCAAATACCTGGCAGAAGTGATTGTGAATAAATCATCATTGTTTTAAAACTGCTTTAATATAAATCTTTTTTGAAGAAAGGAGTGTTTTAAAAAATTCTGCAAAAAATATTGCTACAAAAATATTGCAAAATAAAATGAAAAATTTAAGATGTTACGTGGAACTTCTTGTATTGTTTACTACGGATTGACTTGCACGAGAAAACGTGCAAAGAACCTAGGAATACACTGTGGGGTTTACTGCGGGATAAACTTTGGGCACCACTATATAGTTCACTATGAGATGAACTATGCGGTACGCTTTGTTTAAAATGTCTACATTTTGGCCTGTAGGTTGACTTGCAGTTAAAGAACAGCCATGTATAGAACTTATTGGATTTTTTAGAACTAAACGCGACCCATGGGTCTTGCGTCTTGAAATTTTTTTTTCAAATTATTCCAAGAACATCATATTATCTTGAGATTTTGTGGCCTTGAGGCAGTTTGCAAAAACCCACGATGAGCTTAACAGAGATTGTGGTACCCGAATGTATTTGTCTGAATAAAAAGAATTGAATTGCTTTTCAGTGGCATTCTGTTTGTTTTAATAATATTGCAAGACTAGGAAAAACGTTTACTTTTGTTAATTATATCAAGAGCTAATAGCAGTTGTAATTGCTTTTTCATTTTCTTGTGGCACATAACTATGCGAGTTCACTTGGACTGGAATTGCTTCAGTTTTAAAAAGTCGCTAAGTCTTCATACGTGTGCATAACATGCACGCATACGCGGATACGTGCGCCCAGCCTTAGGACGCGTGATAACGTCCGCTACAAGCAGGAGCCTTTTACATAAAATTTTTTGGTGTCGCTGCTCGGTTGAAAAGGAGACAGACGAAGGGTGTGTCATCCATGCACTGGAACTGGCTGAAATGGAGTTTCCTTGATAAAGTGCCGCAGTCTTCAGTATTAAGCCGCTGCCGAGTCGGCTGTTGCAATGGAGTAGTGTGAATTCCATTGGTGCAGCCGGCTTACTGCAGATGCCTGGAACTTGTGGTGACTAATCCATGATTCACCAGCTTGCGTTGACGTAATTTGTAAAAATGCTAACCAGTGGTAAGCAGCAACAGAACCTCAGATGCTCCACTAGTAGGATTTTACATACTGTACTTATTCCACGGCTAGGTCGGGATATGGCGGCTGCCAGCGAGATCCTCATTATTTTTCTGATAAGATACCGGTGCAATATCATCAAAATATGATTGCTTAATCTTAAAGTGTATTTTATCGTCGATATTTTCGTTCAGCGTCATTCAACACACGGTCATGTTCAATTTTTTTGACTGCGCAGTCTGAATCTGAATTTTGGAATTATTTTTCTTATCTTTTAATTTATCCCTGCTCTTGTGTGAATCGAAATGGCTGCTGCAGTGAGATCCCACGAAATTTCCCCCGAAATTTTGAGCGAAGCTAAGAAAAGAGTGAAGGAACTGGCGGATGATGGCGCTAAAATCCAGATAAACGTCAGCGATCCGCCGATGCGATATTATGTCTCCGCGAAAACGCTCTTCGAGGCAGCGAAATTTGAAGCGGAAAAGAAGGAATACGAGAAAGCATACACGCTTATTGTTCGTTACCTCGAGTAAGTAGCTAACAGTAAATGAAAGGATATTTCTTCTGTTATGAATTTTTCTGTTGCACAACAAAATTCCATAGATTATTTGTCAATCGCCTTCCACGACATCCGCGGTACAAAGATATCAAAGAATCCGTTATCACAGACAATAAAAAGGTAAGCTGTACTGTGTAATAATGCATTTACATTTTTCACTTTACAAGATTAATTACAGTTAAATTACGGCAACTTTGCGCATATATTTATATAAATACAAAGCTACCCTATACGTACTACGTACTATATTGTATCTGTATTGTACATACTGTACTGTATTAATCGTAACAAACACCACGACAGTCACACAAATTCTTAGTTATTGCAGTTAAGTGTGGAGGTTCTGTAGGCTGTAGGTACAGTTGTACAAAAGTTAAAATGCAAGGTTTTTGTTAACAATAAAGCATTTTACAGGTTCCTGTTAGTTAAAACTAAATCTAAACATATCGGAAATGGCTGATCGTAAGTTACTCATTAAATTCTAGCAAAAAGATTTTTGTTCGTAAGCGCAAATCAATTTTCTGACAATACATATGCAATAACCATTGCATATAAATATTATCGCAGACTCAACAGTTGCTGCTTCCTGAAATTCCGATGTGAAATAAATGATTATACGCTTTCCTATCAACGAAAAATTTGAAATGTTAGGGAAAGTATTTAGTAAGTAGTTGATTAATTTTAGTGCAAATGAAAGTTAACTACGTAGTATAGCAGTATACTCTTTAATTTGTAATGTTTATTGGTTAATGACTACCATGTTCACAGAAAAATTTCACAATAACCTCAGAAACCATCACGTTATTAAAGCATCAATCGACAAAGGCGGCCTAATCACAGAGAAAATTTGGTGTAAATTTGCCCCTATCGGCGCTGTCCCCGGCCTAGATCGATGCTGCATTTAATTTGTATAACTTTGTCACAAAGTCTTTATGCAACATAGAACGACACATTATACAAATGGCTAGTTACACACGAACATCGGAACAGATTAAAATCGTACAGATTTAATTACTGTAACATAAATATAGATATTAATTTATCGTGAAGAAAGTGCTACTGTAGTCTGTACTATTTAAGATTTTAAGTAAAATTAGGGCGGTCCTTTTGCGACACAGCCGGCTGGGTATGCGGTTTCGTTTAATTAACCGAGATTGATCACATTCACATTTTTTGGGTGTTGAAATTTTTAATTGACAGTTTTCTGATTACGGCACTGGTTTGATTTACTCGTACTTATTTGTTAATATCCCAAAGGCGAAAGGTGCTGAGTTTTATCAGCTTATGAGCCCTGTTCCTTGTTACTTTGCAGTTTGCACTGTATCTTGCTTCGGTGTTTCCCGTGCAATAAGATCGTTACAGAGTTTGTTGTTTATCCTTTGCTGTTTCGTTTTGGCTGCGAGTTGATACCAGTGGAGGTTTTACAGTTCGAAATTTGCAATGTTGCGCTCTTAGTCTGCACCATCTGGAAAATTGCATTGTTGTTATTGTTGAACGTTTGATTGCATTTGGCTGTTGGTGTGCTTAATCAGACATGGAGTCCGGCGATGCGGCTGGGTGAGGACTTGAAAGCCAAGTGCATAAGGAAGGCCGCTGAGGAGATCGAAGAGGAGATGGGCCGCAAAGCTTTCTTAATCCAAAAGTACCACCCCCTGCCCGACGCTGCCCACGCGGGGGCACGGAACGTCGACGGTATTATTCAGAAGATTTCCGATTTCAACCGGACTCTCCCGTCGGCGCCGCTGGATGATGGACCCGCTGCCGATGTATCGTGGCCGCAAAGGGATTACACGCCGCCGAATGATGAGGAAGACGATGGTGGCGTCACTATCGACTGGTTCAGGTCTGTCAACTGACTTGAAAATGATGAACTGGTTAGTAGATCATTTTGCAGTTGCGATCTTTCATTTGCAGCCCTTCGAAAAATAAAATGTCCGAGGAGGAGATCTTGTCGCATTATCCGGAAATTAATCGTATGTTGAAACCACGCCCAAAGCGAATTGCCGCGGCTGGCTCGCAGCCGGTTCCCCCGCCGCGGCCCTCCAAGTTATCCGTTGATCGGCAGTTTCCCCTTCCGAGTCCGGCAGGCATACTGCGGCCCGTGCAAATCGCTGGTGATCTCGTGGAGAAATTTATTGCGGCTGCGAGGGACAACACGGAAAAGAAGAATATCGAAACATGTGGGAATTTATGGGGCCAACGAGTATGTTTATTGCCGACGAATCGCTTTCTTGACTGATAATTATTGTTATTTGCAGTAAAGAACCTAAAGTACCGTTTATGCTTGTTTTCTTTTGATGCGCATTTTTCCTGTACTACATTCAATGCATTACATTCGGCTTGAGCAGTGGTTATTTCCGATAATCGGCACATGCAATTATCATTTTTGTTTAAGAAAAGGCAGTTCTACCTACGTAGTGCGCATTTATGTTGCTCTTTCAGGATGACGAGAAAGGAGATTATGTTGTTACTCACCTCCTCATTCCGAAGCAGAAAGGAACGGACTCTTATTGCGAGGAGTAAGCCGCTAGAGCATCGAATTACGTACATATATGTGCTGTCGTTAGTGTGTTTATTGATGATTTTTCTCGGATGTTTTAGCATGGACGATATGTCTGAAGCGGCTCAGTTCGCCATATCCAGGAATCTCATTCAGTTGGGTTGGATTCACGTAGGTTTCGTTTGTTTGCTTGAATATTAATCCAATGATATAAAAAAATCTGCGGAAACGTTTAAAAATGATCAACAGTAACGGAAATCTTACAGTTTGCTTTACAATTATTTAAGAGATAGGTTAAAGCGTAAAGCAGGTTTTACTAGCTTTTGATTAGTTAAATGTCTTTATTAGCGTGCTTGCCGGTTTCATCTTTTTTGTATGCGATTGCTTTGAGTTTTCTGCAAGTGTTGGTCCGCGCTCCGGAAATTCAATACAAATAACAGTAAGCAATCTAAGATTTTCGCTTGTTTATGCCGTCTTTTTTCAGACCCACCCAACGCAGACGGCATTTCTTTCCAGCGTCGATCTACACATGCAGTGGGGCTATCAGGCCATGTTACCGGAAGCGGTGGCCATTGTCGTTGCTCCTGCGTATGACGATGTCGGTTTCTTCCGTTTGACAGATGGAGGCATGCAGTACATCGCTAATTGTGGGCATGGCACCAACTTTCACAGCCACAATACCACTGAACAGCTGTTCCATGTAAGTAGAGTTGTGTGTGCGGCTTTGCGGTAACTACAGAGTAGTGTTGTGGTAATGTTTGTTTTACGAAACGCAACTTTTTGAAATCATAAAATTCTTAATTTATACTTGGTACTTGAATTATAAATATGGCAACATTAGTAGTGCAACATAGTGAAACCCAGTAACTAGTTACATCTTAACACATTTAGCGAACTGTAAATTAGCACAATTTGCCGAAAACTTCTCCTGCATCGACTGTATCCATCTGTTGCACGCATAACTGAATAACGGATTCTTTTTGCAGCGTGTTGATAACATCATGATTAATTCATCGGTTGCGGTGGATATGAAAGACTTTCGCTTTTCTTCCTCTGTATGAAATGACCACGTGGACGTGGAGTGAGATGCATATGTTATGAGTAAACGCATATGTTTGATAAATTATTTACGGTGCGTGCATTTTGGATGGATTGTTTTCATTTTGAATTATGACGATGTTCAATAAAGGGTGATATATAGTTTACACTGTGCATGTCTTTTGTTGGTTTATGTTCTATTGCGTACTGGGACGTCTTCCGTTTCTGGGTGTTGTTTTGTGCGAAAGATTATTTGACAGCTTTTGTATGTTTTATTGTACAGCTTCCAGTATTAGCATTGCCTGTTCAAATGAATTATTTATCTGCAATTGTGAGAAGAAGAAAATAAGGATTTTGTGTGAAATTATGCTTTGATTTGCGAATGTATGCTACACTAGTATTAGTAGGTATTCACTAACTGCAACGTTTGATATTAAGCGAAAGTTATTTTCTTATAAGTATTTGGCACATATTTTGCAAAGTGGGAAGTAAAAAAACTAAATATTGTGGTAAATCTAAACATGCGAAACCATTAGGACAGATCTTGCACAACATTGCAAAATTACCATTTCTTTTTACCTATCGATATGTGCATTTCCTTTTCCCACGCTTCGGTGCATTATTTAAGTACAGCCATTTATGCGGTACGCATTAATTTCTACATGAATTTTGTAATAATTATTTAAAACGTTTAAGTATTCATGCTGTTACCTACTGCTGTAAACGTTTTCACTACGTTCACCGTATCCATATATGGTTGAGGTTTTGTTCACGCTATCCTCTTTACGCTGCAGCGGCTTGCGATTACTGTATACAATTAGCAACCGTACCATCAGGCGTGCCGAGGGTATATGGGCGTAGCGTGCCTAGCCATTGTCATTTGGAATGAGACAGCAGCGCGATACTGTATTTTCTTATTAAAGTATCTGCACGGTCAGAATAAGCACGATTATCTTGAGTTGTGTAGGAAATTCACTATACTGACTATAAGCAATAAAAATTATATGTTTTGTGTTGGAATTGTGATTTAATCACAGCAAGGAATTAACAATAGTAGCATCATGTCGATGGTATGGATGCCTTGGTTAACATCTGCCAGCGAACTACGTGATACGTTGTACGAGGTTCCCGACAGTATTCTGATCGACTTATGGAATCGTTTACGCCCTGAATTAAGTCTTTGGGTTGGCAACAACAAGCAAAACATTAACGAAAAGGGATACCGACTTGCTTCTACTGGATACATCCAGCAGCTGCGCGCAAAAAAGGTAGATAATGCTATGCAGTTTTTTTGCTTGTGTACTGTACTATAAAATTATCACAGTATTTGCAACTTAAATCCCGCACAGCCACTGTCTAGTGAATGTACCATATAACGAGTTAACTAAACAATTACTACTTCAATATTACTTCCCGCAAAGTAAACTGCTGCAGTAGTCAGTATTAATTTGGAACATAAATGCAAGATATCCGTACGTGAAGTTTTAAATGCAGTTTCAAGGTATATTTTATAGCTTCGTATGCGCTATTTCAGGTCAATGGAGTACTAGAAGTGACAGCCAAAGGACACTCCGAAATGAAGCCGCTTTCGTATTTTCTCGGTCTCAAAGTTGAAGTGGAAGCCAGAGAAGCTACGAAAATCACTGCATCTGAATGTTCCTGTCGCGCTGGGGGTGGGAACGGGACCAACGCATTATGCAAGCATATATTCGCACTAGTATACGCGCTGCGCATTGTCGTTGACGGGGGGCCCATTCCCATGTGGCGATCTGCATTGCCCGTTACCAGTATGGAGCAACAGTGGGGCGTTCCGTCTCTTCGCTCTCGCTGTAGTGAGCTTTTACCTGGACGTGCCGACTTGTATGCAGCATTCATGAGGCCCGAACTGAGGCACAAGTGGAAGCCCCGCTTAGAAAGCCGAATCCATCCAGCTCACCGGCAGATTAGCTCCGAAGAAATGCGCGAAATAAGGAATGCCTTGTCAAACACTAAAATATTCCCGAAGCATCTTTTGCGTCTTTTGGAGGAAGAATCCGTTAACCTTCGGCTTCCCAGGTCCACCAGCCCCGACCTTACGAACCCCTTTGTTGATCATTCAGTTTGGGATGTCACAGTTCCAGCGCTGCCATTGAGAGAAAACGTTTTAAGCAGGAAGTTTTCAGAATCGTTTTTACCACACCTTAGTACAGAAACGGGCAAGTTCTACTTCGAAACTGTGCATATTGATTACAACAAGTGCGTTGTGGTTGAAAATTCAACACGTCTGCAGTCGAAATGTACGGAGTGGAATTACCATCGGTCTTTGCGAGTAACTTCATCCAATACAAAAGTCATTTGCACTGCCATGCAACGAAACACAGAAGATAAAGAAGACCGCCTAAAAAAGCTGGCGTTGGCGCAAATATCTCCGAAATCTGTATCCCATATCCCAGCCATTCGACGTGGCAATGAACTGGAAGATGAGGCGGTGGAGATGTTCTGCAAACTTGCGTCGAGCAACATGACAACTGTTTGTAATTTTAGAGTTGGTTTTTGTATACATCCGGCGGAACCATGGATCGGTGCTTCGCCGGATCGGCTTATTCGAGAGACGGATGAGAGTACGGGGGAGGTGACGTGGGCATTGCTGGAAGTGAAAACATTCGATCCGAAGAAGGAGCCTTTTCAGTTACGGTATATTGTGGATGACGGTAACGGATGTTTCATGTTGAAACGATCTCATGCACATTATTATCAAGTTCAAATTGCGATGGCTTGTACGGGACTTCGAAATTGTTATTTTTTTGCATACGCAAACGCCGGGAAGGACTACTTCCTGGAAAAAGTACCTTTTTCCGAAGACGCTGTGGAGTTTATTTTTGCAAACTGCACTGAATTTTATTTTAACAAGTATTTACCGGCCTTTGTCAGTTCGAAAAATATGTAACGCGGTTTTATATTTTCGACTTAGTGTACTCTGATACAGCATTTGACACCAGCGGGTATTATTTGCATAAAGTTATATAAAGCTATGCCGAAGTACTACCCTAACTTGTAAGAACTACGAACAAAACAAGTACGAGTATCACCCGTGTCCGAATGTATGCTGTAATAAGGTATAATTATATGTATTTTATTGCAGCTACAAAGTACTAAAAAAACAAAACAAGTACGAGTATCACCCGTGTCCGAATGTATGCTATAATAAGGTATAATTAATAAGGTATAATTATAATCTAGGAACGCAGCAGTTCATCCCACCAATTTTCTTCGCCTAATGGAACATAAAAACCTATACAGTTCGCAATTTGCAAGATTAGATTTTGTGCAAGAAGTTAAGCAGTTAATTTTCAAAGCTTTTATTATGGTTAAGCGCATGACAGTATTAGCAATACTAGTACATAAGCCGCTGCTGCTACCTTGGGTGATGCATCCTGGTCGTCGATGGTTTCCCAGTCCGACATGGCTTAGAAGTTGGCCGTTGTCAAACGGTGCGAAGCGTTTTCGCTTACATAAGCCACTTAAAAATATTATTTTACGCTTTAAACGATGAAATTGTCCACTTTCAGCAAATCATTCGCAGATTTCTAAATATGTGAAAGTATGATCGTATTCCGTATTGTGAAATACCACCATTAACAATGTAATATAAACTATTTTTCCACGATGTTACTGGCGAATAAATAACGAGCAGTAATCATGGTTCTGTACAAAAGTACACCGATAACCATGAAAGTACAGCGAATCCAGCATCAGCCGCAGCCTAGAATGCGCATACAGGGCAAAAGCTAATACCTGGGACGTTATTGACTTTTGCCAAAAGCGGTTGGCAGCATTAAAACGATGCGTCGTAAAATATTGAGATTAGTTTGGTTTTGTAGTAAATTTTATGCTGAATAAGCGTTCTTTGACCGTATTCACAAAAAACACACCGTTAAGGAATTACGCTTCGAAATGTGAACTGCGGCGATGGTTTCCCCATAGGCGCATATGCTTTGCTTTGGTAGCTGTCTCATTCCAAATGACACAATAGAGCCGCAGTCACACCTCATTAGCGATGGTACCGTTGTCAATTGCACGTACGTTAACTGTAACTGCATAATTCTATCCGATTCTATGCATACTTACTTGCGCGAGAAATATGGGCCAAACTCTATGAGCAGGTGAGCAAATCGCGTCCACAACGATCCTGCGTATCGATCTGTTTAATCTTGACGATTAGTCACTTGTACCTTTGTGAAATTCCCGTATCTCCATCTTCCTGGGTGTACAAATCTCGTACAACGTTTTTAAGTTAGTAAACTACGCGCCGCAATGTATGTAATTTTGTAGACGTTTTTTATATAGGTAAAGTGTAAACAAATAAAATTAAATGCTTGATTTGTGAATAGCGAATCTTTCAGTCTTTTAACAGCTAACTATTCTGCAGTGAATTCTTATTCTATAACTGTATTCAGCATTGTTGGGATATTTCGACACCTTTCTTGTTATTTGGTAACTGCATGAAACCAACAATAGTTTTTTGGACCCCATGGGAAGACGGGAATTCCTTTGGCTCATGACCTTTTGAGAAATACAGTTTCATGGTGCTGACTTAATTGAGCGAAGCGACGATGAAGTCTTTACTGCACGATGAAGTGGAAAGTCGTGCGCTGCCTCCAAAAGTCAAAAATCGCACACGCAATGAAGGAATGTTATACCAGAAGCGCGGAAGTGAAGGAACGATGAGGCATATTTTGTCGGATCCGGCCATTGTTCCTCCCAGGCCCAAACCCACTAAAAAACGTAAGTTGTCTTACAATTGTTACCTTGATCGCACTCCAGCATTAGTGTCCCACGCTTTGTAAGCGACGTTTTACAGGTAACAGCAACTTGTAAGTTATAGGTAATAAATTATTTTGTATCCAGAGTAACAGTCAAACCCTTCATAATTTTGCGCATGCGGTTTGCGAAAAAAGCATTAGCTACGTTGCAGAATTACTACCGTAATAAAATACGGTACGAGTACCGTACCGTACCTTAAAAATTAGTACTGTAATAATAACAAAACGAAAGCAAGACATCGTATTGTACCTTGAATACTGTACGTATAATACTGTTTACAGTTTACTTTACTTTACGATTACAGTAGTAGTTGTTGACAGTTTACTTACTTTACGATTAGTTACGTATAACGTACTTAATTACAACTGCGCAGACGAATGTAATTTTCAACGGTACTCTAGCTACTTCTGCTGTACTTTACCTTACTCAACGTAATGTGTAATTTCTGCGCATGAACTACGCGGATTATCTCAAAAGTTTGAATTTATTTGCTTATTTTGTCTGTGAATAGGGGAACTAGTTGTCTGTGAATAGGGGAAGAGAAAAACTTCACTCAAGAAAACATCCGCCGAATCCGTCAGATTGCCGTGCAGCGTGAATTGGTCCAGCAGAATTACAATAAAAGCCTCGCGGCAACGTGGTCAATATCCAGACCAGCAGCCAATTCCATTCCTGCTTCTGGTCAGGTACGCCTTACTTATCAAATTAAAAATAACAGAAAAGTACAGCCACCTGAATGATGCATAGGTTTACTACAAGTAGAAGTATTGCATGTACCGGCCGGTAGGTCATACGGCTCATACCCATCTGCGTAACGGCCAATAATAACGTATTTGCATCCTTATATCGTAGTGTAATGGCTGGTAGAAACCAAGACCCTTTAATATCAACATACAAGCCTGCTAACAACTGATCGGTGTTTCATAACGGAGGACTAACTGACTGTACAAATAAGCGGTCGTAGTTTTTTTGAAACATGTGCGGTGTGATAAAATTAATTACATTAATTTCTGAACGTTTATTTAATAATTTAGTGGTGCTGCATTTATTTTTGAATTTCCGTGCTAATAATCCATAATCCGATTTCCGTGCCGTTCGCAGCCAACTATTTCATCTCCAGTACAACATTGTTATATCTTCAAATGTACAATACATATTACACTGTAGAGACCAACCGGTGCCAATCGCCCATTGTCCGGCTTGCCCCGCCCACAGAACACTGCACCGCCCCGACCGGCGCGTCCCTTGGCCCCATTAAACTCTACTGTGATACGTTCCCGATCTCAAACCAGTCTCCCGACATCCGATCCGAGTCTGCGCCAGCGGAATGCATCCTACAATCGCCTGAACAGAACCGGCGGGGTCACTGTCTCCCCCCTGCGACCAACATCCAGTGTCCAGGCGCTCAACCGGACATCCAAAAACTTCGTGCAGGTGAACACACAGAATCTCCTGCCCCGGTCACGCTCGGCCGCCGACCTCCGCGGCCGACCGACGGGACCGCGTTCGGTGCCGGTTAAACCGGAAATGCCCCGAAATAAGCCGGGAGCATTACCACAATAGTAAGTCAAACAGAATTTACCGAAACATGTTTTGCGCTGGCATTATGCAGGCTTTTTACAGTGCACTGCATTTATATGGTTTATAATTTTTATAATTATATAGTTCATATGGTTACAGTGTAACGGTTATACTGTACACTGTCAGTGTATACTGTTTATGCAGTAACGGCGTTCGATTTTTTTAAGGCATAACTGTTCTTTTGCCAGCGTTGCCGTTGATAGTGCCTTCAACTACTACAATACCTATTAAGCTAGTACATAAATTGTAGTAGTGTGGCTTCAAACTGGCTTATATCCTCCAGTAACGTACCGTTTTGCGAGCCAGCGCAAGAACAATTATATCTATATCGATCGAGGCTTTCGTGAATAAGATGTAGACTTCTGCTTTTATGTAGGATATTTTTTTGAGTTTTGCAGTGGCACTCTTGAATCTTGATTGCTATTTTACATGACATGATTAATAGTAGTTAATTTGTATTTGGCTTAATTTGTATTACGATCCGCGATTTTTGAATTCCTAAGGCGTCAGTGACCCATGCACTATGTACTGTCATCGGCAGATAGTCCAGAGCACTGTTAAACGCACAAATTTATCAAAATACATAACATAACCTTTGCTTTGGGACTCAGAAATTGGATATGGTGACTGTTTGCTCTTTTTAGCTTATTGGACAGACGCCAAGAATGGAAAAAAAGCGAAGAAGAAGCTAAGATAGCCGCCCAACAACCGAAACTTCCGCCCGGCTGTTATATCATGCCAGAAGACGAGAGGCTGGCCCTCATACAGCAACTCCAACAAAGTATGTCGACTAATTACATATTATTATTATTAGTATTAAAAGGGTGTTAAAAATAATTTGACATTTTTTACATGTATTCAGTTATAGGGTAGAGAAATTATTCAGTAATATATCGTTCCACTTTGGATGGAAATTATCTCGAGCTGGTGCGCACATACTGTGTACTAAATTTCATTTAAGACGACTGACCTTTTTATATATGCACAAATGGCAGTATTGTACGTGTGCGCATATACAGTTTATGTGATTTTGTATGACGAGAAAACAAACGTCTTTCCAAGTTCGAACTGGGCCAATTTTTTGTGACGGATGTAACGAAATATGACAGCAGCATCGTGCAAAAATATCTACATTTTAACGGCTTCGAAAACCACAAAGAAGGGATTATCCAATAGGTCCTGGTAGTGATTCCTTCTCTCCACGGAATCCGTCTCGAGTACGAGCGGATGAAATTTAGTGAGAGAAAATCCGGCTTTTTCAAAGCAATCCATAACAGTCTGGTGGCGATAAAAGTGATTGACCAGCTCCACGCGTGCGTCCTTGTCATGGGGATGAAAGATGACCTTATAGCAGTCCCCATCCTGTAAATCCAGCGACTCACTCTCGAACACCGCATCGGTTAAATGCGCTGTGCGGTCATTAATCCGCAACCGGTTTTCGTGTCCAAATACTTGTAGCGTTCTGCCACCTTTTTTAATCAGCCGGTAAATATTTTCCGCAAATTTCATTAGTCGTTCCGTGCTGGGAATATACGGGATCATCCAGCCACCGAACATTACGTCGAAATAATCATCCGAGAAATTTAGACGATTTAATTGTTCGCAGTTCTCCACGAGATACGTTATGTTGCAATGCTCGGTTTCTTCGATTTCGCGGGCAATACGAATCATGTGCAGCGATAAATCCACACCGACAACATTTCCAGCTCCTTGGCGGTGCATTTTGCGCGAGTACATGCCGGTTCCGCATCCCAAATCCATACAGTTCAGTCCGGTGAGGTCACCGAGTGCGGTCATGACGCTGGGCATTTCCAGTATTTGCTGCCATTCATCATTGCGCAGGTTAGCGTATTTGTCCGCTTGGTGTGCGTACTGGTCAACATGCGCTCCGTTCTCACGGGGATGGTTGTCGGTGGAGATTCCCGTCTTCGTCAGTGGCGCACCATTCTCTGGTGCTGCAGAATTAATACTAATTCCCATATTTCAATATTTTACTCGTATTTTTTTTAAAAAATAAAAAAAATTAGTTAGAAGTTAGCGTTCCTACTGCTGTGCATAATAATAAGTAATGTAATTATCCAACTCCTACAGGTTAAATCGTGTTGGTTGTTTGCGTATCTTTACAATGGTCGACCGACAAAATTGACCCGAAGCTATCTAATCAAGAAATACCCAAACAACAATCAACGGACACTAATCAACAAATTCTGTTCTAGACTAACTTCTAGTAATAAACAGACACATCGGTTAAAAAATCTCGTCAACATTTCACAGTAGAGGCGGAAAATTCCTATGCAGTATGACCATGTACTGACAAGTTTACCGCTTACGAATTTTGCGAGTGCAACGCAAAAATGTTTTGAACTGTAGATAAGCCTGCGGTACGACTTGGCCGCATTGACGTCACTTATGAAAATTAATTATTATGATATAATATTATCGCAGCTCATACCAGTATACGTAGTTATCTAGTTTTCACCGTTGGCAGCTGATGAAATGCCACGGATATGTCTTATTAATCAGTTTAAATACTGTACTAGTACTTGTGCAATCTAACGTAAGAATTATTTTAACTTTTAAGTTAGGTTATTTCAAGTTAGGTTATTTTAACTTTTAAGTTAGGTTAAATTGTGGCTATAGATATCACTATTTGCAGGCAGAGAGAAGAAAGAGCGAGAAATCTTCCTCCTTCCGGTACGCAGCGACACACTGCGTGCTCAGCGGAAACGGCAGGAACTGGAAGCGGCGGTAGCGGAAATTGAAGAAGGCCTGGAGATCTTATCGAAACCCACCGTGGTGGTCCAGGATCCCAACGCCCCCACGCGGTCCCCCTCCGTGACCTTTGCCCCGCCACCGCGACCGGTCAGTGCCAAGGTCGCCAACGGCCGACCGGTCCCGAAAGGCAAACCGGTGTGGAATCGCGGTGCCGTTGACCATAATAAAGGTCTGGTCAATCCGAAACTGCTGACAAAGAAAGCCAGTTCCGGCAGTTTGGAGAATGTGAAGAAGCCGCCTTCTCCGCTGCGGGTTCCCATTATCAACAGCCATACGAAAATCTTCAAGAAAACTATGTAAAAATGAATTATTGTCATTTTGTAATTAGTTTTATTGTGTCTTTCCATACGCATAACACAGTGTCATGTTTCGCCCAAACATTTGTTAAGTTGTGGTGTTAATGCCAATGAAATAACGTTGATGCGTGCTTCTACTCTCTGACTTGTTCCAACGGTATTTCTCATGCACGTAGCAGCGGAAAAAAAGTCAGTTTGCTCTAAAGACAGAAAGTCAGCTCAGAAATTTAGTGAAGATCCATAAAAATTTTAGTTATTAACATTTTCCAGGGTTAAGTTTTGTGCGAAATTTCTCACAATAAAAAAAGCGGACAAGCAATGTTTCTTAGTCTAAAACAGCACATTTGGTGCATAATGTAAAGCATGATAAAATCCCGCAGGCGGCGATGTTTGCTCTTATTTTAACCATTTCTTTTCATCAGATTAATAAGAAAATACCGATTGCCGGATTCAGCGGAATTTTAATAGTTTTCAATAAGACAAAAACACGTTTTTCGAGTTTTGGATGCTCCCGATCTGAGAAACAACAACCGCAAAATTTTATATATAAAACAACACCAGCAAAACGCCGGTTTCATATGTATTTGTACACGACATCCTTCCGCGAATTAACACTCTGAATTTCCAGTTTAACAGGACACTTCAAGAGGAACGACAAAAATTCTTCGGTATAGCCGATGAGAAAGTACATTTTCCGTACCGCAATACTCTGCTGGACAATGCCGGCGACGTAGATGGCGTTGTAGCGGCGCTTGATGATGATCTCGGAGACGAAGAGATTGTGCCAGGTCCCGTACAGGAAACGCCGTATGAACTCGTCCCACACCGTCATCTGCGCCACTTGGTTCCGATCGTTAACATTCTGTAAATTACCTAAGAAAAAACTAGAAATAAACTGCAATATTCGCCGTGTTTTTCCCAGCGAATTATATAATTTACCGATTTTGCTTTTACTGTACACGCTCTTTATAGCATCGCGTTTTGCACAATCGTCGGAAAAATAACTCGTACAGTTCGAGCACCAGTAAAATGAACACAAAATATATTACCTATTTGGGATCAGAAGAAATTACAGGCTTATAATTGATACATAAATCTTTCAGCCATTACATTATTCATATGAACTAGAGAAATGCAGTACAATATCACCTCCGTACATCAATGAAATTCTTCCGTGTTAAACAGTTAGAATTCAATTATTCAAGTACAAAAAATTATGCACAAAACATAACATACGGCGTAAAATTAACACCTTGAGAAAACACTTCGCACACGGTGATTACGAGCTAATAAGGTTTTCATTTGATTTCACTTAAAACGTTTATGCAAAAACAAGATATCTAGGAATTTATCAAAATGAATGCTGAAACGAGAAAGATGATAAGCCATACAGCGAGAGAAACGTCGTAGATCGGACTACAGTAATAAATTGTATAGCACTCAAAAATTGTACTCTAAATTTTAACTACAATACTTTTGAGTAGGAAGCTCAAAGTAATAATGTATGTTACATTGTTACTAGTTTACTACTCACTGGTATTCCACGAATTCCACGATTTATGCACGCCGATCGTTTTAGGATCGTTGGCCATTTCGAACGTCAGCGGTTTAGTTTTGTACTGTGTGCGTTTGTATCGGCCAGCTTGTTCGATGCAGAGCAGGCTGGATGTATGGAGTCCTCGGAAACCCTGCAGAGTGCAGCAGACAGTGGTTGGAAAGTCTTCGGGAAACAATGTCGTCACTGCACCAACCTTGCAAGGTCTTCCAGCTGGTAAACACAAATGAGACTGAAGAGTGCGGGATGGTAATCTACAATTCATCCTAGCAGCGATGTGGCGATTCACTTAATTTTTAATAGCTCGTCTGCTTTCTAAACTTCTGCAACTTCCAATCTTCCATGATAAAATTTTATCCTAATGTTTTAAAATTTTCTACAGTCGCAGAAAACCAAGCACAGAAGACACTCTGGGCGGTTGGACGCAGATACATGTAGCCGGAGCCCGGAGGAGCACCGGTAGCGCGACGAAGAGGCCGCCAGTGAGGCGCAGCGTAAATTACGAGTACGAAGTACGAACTACGACGACAGCGGTGGCCAGTCGGTGCAGTATGACGATTTTATTAATTTTCATAACCTACAAACAGGTACCAGACTAGTCCAGTACTCGTATTCATCATAGCGAAAGTTCATTTTACGCTGCCGCTGCTTCGATTAATAATATAAGTAGTCGGCGTTTTTTGTTTCCGACATCTTTATTCTCGGCGGCGATGAGTCCTGGCAGATAGATATTTAACAGTAAGCAGTGGAAATTCATAATTAGCAAAGGTGACAATAATGGATGTGTCGTTGTTTTATGCTATGTACCAGCTAGCGCGTCCCAGCCGGCTGCCGAGCACTGCTGAGAGATTGAAATTCTGCAGTAATCATACAACGTGGTATGTCTACGTCCGTGCTTTTTTTGTAAAGAACCTTTTCATTTATGTCGAAAACAGTATTTTTACATTTACTGGTGCAACATGTACAGCATGCATCAATCATGATAAACAGTGTTAACTACTTGTATATGCGTGATAAGTCAATCCTCGCTAAATTTTTGGATAAAATTAACAAAGACGGTTACTGGATGGCATCTTCGAGCTGCGCAACTTCCCGCTCGAGTCTGCCACTGCGCACCGTGCAGTTGTGCAGAAACACCTCCACATTCTTCACCAACGCGTCCACTCGGGCTTCCAGTGTGGCGACGGCCTGCTGGTAATCCCGCGTCCTCCTCTCCGTTTCCCTGGCTAAATCCTCACTGTACAGATCCAGGTTCTTCAGGATGACCGTGGCCTTGCCCAGCATGGAGACGGCCGCTTCGGGGTAGTCGTCCAACGAGGCCCACAGATCCTCGCGCGACAGACTGAACAGATCGGCGTAGCCCAACGCCCGCACGTTCGTCGTGCGACGGTTCTCGTTCTTGTTGCCGGGGATGTTGAGGATGCTCAGTTCGCCGAAGACCGCGCCCGGGTTGAGGGTGGCCAGCACGGTGTGCCCGTCGTCCGAGACGATCTGCAGGCGTCCACGCCGGATGATGTACATTTCGCGCCCGATGTCGCCTTTGCGGCATACAAAACTTCCCGGACAAAACGGCTGTAAACGCGAAATCTCAGTAATACACACTGGCACTCAGTTGGCCAAAAATATTTGTACACGCGTGCTTAACGGATTTTCCTCGATTTCTTAAATATGTGTGTACAAAAAAAATTTTATAACAGAAAAAAGGGACAAATTATACGAGTAGCATAAGCGCGGACTTCGAATTTCAATTTCAGCCCGATTTGTTCCAGAAACTGATCCGGCACATCGTGGAATAAGTGAATTTTTTTGAGGATATCGAAGTGTATGCATTTGGCAATCTCCAGGCGAATCTTCTCCGGTAAACGCGTTAGTACTGATTCTTCGTCGAGTTGCTGATTGGTCGTCCAAATGTAGTCAAACCAGCGCATTACCAGTTCTTCCATGTCTCTGCCAACCTGCTCAATTACACCATAGATGGCCAGCAGTTTCCGGCGTTGCATAAGTTGCATCGCTGGTAATTATTAAAAGCAGATAAAGCTGTTAAAGAGAAAACTGACCTTTCGCATCCGTATATAGGAGCGCACGCTGTTAAGACAAAAAACAATTTCGTGACATTCTGTCATCATAACTTTGTTTGCCGGTGCAGTTATACGTGGTCACGTACCCATCGCGTTTTTCTTTGAAATGATCGTGTTTCTTGTCGAGATCGGAAAGCAGAGCGCTGATGCGGCCCAGAATATTGGTGAAGAGAATGATGCCCAGGAACATTTCCGTGCAGTGGAAGATGATCTCTTCGTTGTTGGTGGGATTGTTCATCTGCGGGATGATGGAGGTCAGCATCATCGCTGACCAGTAGGTGCACACGGTCCACTTCTGCAGCATGGTGTCGTTGACGAAGTCCGTGTTGTTCGTGACGGTTGTTCGCCATTCCGCCGTCGCTGGGTACACCCACCGGTCCGAACCGATGCCCACAATGGAGCTGAAGGAGTAATACACGCAGCCGTTCAGGTGCACAATGATGAATAATTCGCCAAACTGCCAATGAAAATCAGTGTTGTACATCATTCAACCAAACTGCAAACTAGGAGGCCAGGAAACGAAACTCTCAAAAAGCGCCACCGAAAACTACTATTAAATACTAATGGCATACTATGGCATACTAATGTAGACAACATGTAAGGTTATCGTTAGTTAGAGTTAGACGCAGCAAGTGAATTCGAAATACTTATAATGGTGTAAAGGTCACTGTAACGAATGCCAAAACGAATGCAGTTACTTATGTACTTGCGCTGCAACTATGTTATTACTGTATCGAGTCATTAATTTCACCACAAAATTTATACGATTATGGATACTGTGATGCTTGCATACATAGAATATTTATTGGGATTGTATTGGGATTACCAAGCAGAATGTTCGGAATAATGCAGGATTCTGCGTACGACTCTCCGCTCGGTACAAGAACTCCGACAATCGAGGCAGTTTCAACAGTCGATTCAACCGCAGCAATATCCAAGGTATCTGTCGGCCAGTGTAAATGTACAGCATATCCAGCGGAAAAATGCTGGCCAGATCCCATTTTAGCTGCCGGCTGAATCGATAATGCCTTATTAATTTTCGTGGCTCCCGGACGATGATGCCGTTGTCATAAAACCCTGAAGAAACCAAATATTTGTTGATCAATTAAGGAGCTCCAGCGATTTCGTACAGTGCCGGAGGATTACGCGTACCTGTCAGCAAATTGACGACCATATCCAGCCAGTATGCAGTGTCACTGAGATAGTCCAGGCATATCCACAAATAGTAAGAACGTGCATCGGCTTCCAGCTGCTCAAATACCGCACGGGGAACAATCATTATTAAGTTGTACAGGATAGCCACGGACAGTAGTGACAGCCACACAAAGTACGTGTGTGATCGGACATTGAATACCCAGTTCGGATTGAATCTGCACAACATTTGGTTAGGTAAAAAAATAATGCGTAAAAGTAAAAGTGCCGGCAATTGGATAGCACCAGATTACAAATATTAAGTAGTAACACCACCTAGTCGGTCGGGTATTGTGGCGGTCCCGTATAAAAATTAGCATAAGTAAATTTTGTGTTAAATGGTTAAATAGATTTATACTGTGGGAGTACACTGGGCCGAGTACTGCCGGGGCGACACGAGTTACGGTCGACATACCTGATATTTCCATAGAGTACATATGGATCCTTCGGCGGCGGTGGCTTATTGAAAGCTGTTACATCGTCCGTGACCTTTGCAATAGATGGTGCATGCGACACTTTTGGTGGGATGGTCTGGGTTTTTTCCGGTATAGGCTTGGTTGTGGCATGCGGTGACTTTGGGATATCGCTTCCTTCTGGATTTGTCAGCGGCTGCACTTGTGGTTGGTGTTTTTTTACTGCTTTTTTCCATTTCTGGCAGCGGAGAAGTTTTTGGCGAATATTTTTATTTTCATAACGATAATGGTAGTATTATGTACACCGGAAAGTTTTACTTCGAATTATATATAACATGTATAATGTAAAACAGCCTACTGCAATTATTTATGTTAAAAACTTTAAAAACTAAACTTTATGTAATCCTTACACAGGATACCACAGTTTCTCCGAACTGCTACTGTATAAAAGTCACATCAACACATCAAACAATCGAAATCATACTTAATTATGATCTCAAATGAACTGCCAAAATTACGTGTTAAATAATATAAATATATTATCGCAAGCGATTTACGGACACGTGTGTGTTTTTGGGGTAACTGTACATGGTAATCAGCTGATTTCTTTATTGATGTTCATGTCGCGACATTACAGTCGTAATCCATATCTCTACGGCCAGTACTGCACAATTAAGAATTAAAAAATCACCGGCTAATTTAGATGAGATGTTCAGTATAATCAGACCGTCTATCTCTGTTGTCGGTTGAGACTGTAGATTACATCTTTATTATGAAAGATTACAGTGTATTATGTGTTGAAGTGATGTAGTTGAACCAATGGAATAATTCGAAAAGAAACGGTAAACGGAAAAAAAAAATCACCGTAATTGTCGTATCTATACAGATACCCGTATAATTGCAAATTGTGCACCGAGTTGGTTATTTTCTAGCCGGCATGTTACCACATGCAACGAAATATTGTTGACCATACAGTATAGTATTTACCTGAGCCGAAATTTGCGCTTTTGTATCTTTTTGCATTTTAAGATTCTCCCGCAGATGAACAGGCATGGAATCGTTTTGGATACTGTCGTTGTTCTCCATTGGCTGCACTTTTTGTGAGAATCACCGAAATAGCTTCAATGATAATAAAGTATGGTACAATATTTACTCCACATTGGTATGATATAATGATGCCGGTTAACAATCGCTTGTAGTACATGCAAGCGCCAATCTAGCCATTTAGTAATTAAGCAATGATTATGCATGGGGAGGTAGGCTTTATTAAGTATTAAAGTACGTTGTTCTGCTACAACAGGAAACTGTAAACAGCTGCGTACTTTGTATGTTGTTAACATGCACGGATTATTAAATGGATTACGGAATTTTCATACCGGGTGTAAATCGCAACACAATAATGTGGGATACTGATTACGTACTTTAGAATTACTCGTACAAATACGTATTTGTCGGCTACAGCTCTGTACGTTCCGGTGGAGAGTGAGACTAAATCAAACTGATGTATTATTTGCATAATAACGTCGATGTAGTTGTCAATACACATTTCTGAAGGTAGAAATGTTTAATGCTTGCAATTTGCATATTTGACTAAACATACAGCTAAGTTTTTTTGTGCAGATATACTGTAGAGTGCGTGTCAGATCGTGATGCGAACAGAATTTGCCCACCTTAGCTTAAAAGTAAAACGTAACAGAAAAGAAACCAAGTTTTCCATTGAATGTTGTTAATTATTGATTACTTATCTATAACCGCTCCTAACTGATAACCTTACGTTGCTTTCCAACAGCTGATGCAATAACTTTTGTACCGCGTTTACAGGTGCAGAATATCCGAATATTTTACATGTTTTGTTAATACTGCTAATCATTTAAGGATCTGCTATATATACATGGTAAAAGATGTTTACGGCTGTTATAAAACATATTATCAAAAGCCTTCAAAGGTTAGCAGATAGTTATTTTTGTAAAGTGGAAATAGTTAAGTATTTTTAGATATTTGCTTTCGCAAATTTGATGACGGTTCCGGCATCGTTCCGCATGTATAATGTATTGTAACATTGAAAGAGCGCCTTATCGATACATTATGGCAATTTTACAGCGGTATGCATAAAAAACTCTTTGCTTATGCTCAGTATGATTAGTGCCGAATTGCCAACACAATCATAATATTACAATCCAGTCCGGTGTGTATGTGTAATCGCTTGATTGCATTATTCATGCACGATATAAACGCCACAATCTGGTGATAAATGTCACTCCTAGAATAAAGAAAATGTGGAGGGCGATTAGAGCAACCTCTGAGTTCTCACGAGTGAAAAAAAACTGAGCACAATTTTAGTGCTACCATACATACATCCGTTCTTGTTTGCAAGAAAATGAACATTTATCTGCTTGTACAATTTACCCGTACTGATGTAGTGTGTGTACAGTGAAATACTGCTTCGTACTTTATGTGCTTATTTCGCAGCAAGTTAGATCCTTGTATTTTGCACGAGGGTTTATTGTGAGCGATCGGTAATTATTGTACTAAATTATACAGGCGAAGGACGGAAATGTTGTTAGAACCCGTACAAAACTGAGTTCTTTGATGCAGAGTACAACAGATCGTGCTCTCTACATAACGGCGGAATTAGGATTCGCAAATCTTCCAAAAGGTAAGTTGTATTTAAATAGATGTTGTTGTCATGTGTAGCCTTATACGAGGGCAGAGTAAACTAACTTTATCGTTTATTTAAAAAACTAACATATTTTTTTATTTCAATAATAAAAGTTTTATTTAATGGGGAGCCGAGTAAAAAATAAAAAGTGCTTCTGCGGATTTAGTGGGTGCTTAAAACTGATTAAATAAACGCGATGATAAATGTAGACTGTGGTAACACAACACGTGAGCACACAGGACTCTGTATCTCCTGACTGCAGCACATAGATATCTATATTTATATTTAGTACCTAACCTACGTTGCATGTAATCCCGCCTTCGTTACTAATCAGGTCTACTGTAAACGGTACTCGTAGAGTAGAGGACCGTAAAACGGTAGCGTCAGCGTGAAACGTCAAAAGGCGGAATTTTTATAAAAAAAACAAACGCATGGCTTGAATTATTGATAATTCTCGCGCTAGATCAAAGGGGTCAAGAAGAATTTTTGTGATAATTGTGATCCTTTGCAGTCGATGTCAGATGCGAGAAGATTTGGATTTGCTTCAACAATGACTGCTTTTTTCTAGAAGCATTACTTTTTATAATTACAGGATATATAAATGCAGTACTTTCAATTAGTAAATGAGTACAATTAATAAGAGTTTAAATGAATTATAACTTAGAATTACTGAAATGGGTGTGAATTTGTTACTGATCATGATGTCTTACCGATGTTACTACTGATACCATGAAAAAATGTTTTGGTATTTCTAGAAGAAATAGAATTGATTGTGAGTGACAATAACAATGTTACACTATAGTATTCTATCGACGTTCTAGCTGGTTCAACCAGTACTAGCATACACACCGTGCGAGAACATGCACGCATACTCGCGTACAACGTCGTCAGTCATTGTTACGATAAATAAATTTACACAAATTTTTGAGGAAGAATTCTGACACATGCCAGTGGTCACTGGTATTCGGCATTTGCAGCATACCTTAGGACAGTTATTCCAAAAATGTGACTATATGCCATACTTACGGTAGTAATATTATTATGATTGCAAATATTTAAATTATACCATGCTACGCATTCATGTAGCACTTTCTGTATTGAGAGTGGGAACTGGGATACATCGGCTTGATCGGCACATGTACACCACACTTTACAGCCATAAGATCGCAGTCTAACTGGTCATGGCGATAAGTTTTTTACTTACTGCAAAATCTGCGTACCTGAAAATCGTATAGAGATACACATTATTGTTCTTTTTGTTTAAATGATGCATAATACATATACTTATGTTAACATAATTATTATAGGTCACAGGTGAAAACTGGTTTCCGGTTTGAGCTTTGTTTAGGCAGCAGATATACTGGAAGAAAGTCAGAATTATTTACAGGACTTGGTACTCGTAGTGACACGAAGCTTTGGTACAAAAAGTGCGCGTAGTAGATGTGGATCGCAGTTGTCGCACCTTGCGCAATTCTGCAACTGCATAATAATAAAGCACCAGGAATTTTTATGAACCGCAAGCAGCACAGTTCCAGGTGTGCTGATATCGGGTTTGCTTTGAATTTAGAGTATTTTAATTATTACGTTATACGCTGGAAATGGTGGCGTAAGAATTACACAGTCATACGAGGCTGTACTGTATATTTAAAAAATTCTGTGTGTAGATTGTATTCCTGTAGCCCTGTATGTGGGAGCAGTAAATCTTCCCCTGTACAATTTGTTTGACATCCTGAGACCGATGGGCGCAGCCAAACCGCTGAGTAAGTGAGTCCGCCCAATACCGCAGTTAACAAAAACAAACCGAAAGAAATCTTAAGTGCCTTCACCGGCGGCACGTCTGACCGCGATCGAATTTCATTTTGCACATCTTTTTGCACGGTATGGTTTTCGATGCAGGTGCGCGCACTTGCTGCACTGATTCTTATTCAACAACAATTTACTGCCTTATACTCGTATTTAATTTCACCAAAGGCTCTTGCGGTTAGTTCCTCTAAAACAAATAATAATAAGACGTAATTGTCAGTGTTTCTTTTGTATTACTGCCTAAAGGTCAACAAGACGTTTTATAGATCTGCAGAATACTGCCGCTATGTTGCTTATAATAACAGACCTTTGTAGTTTAGATGTGTATATAATTAACAAAAATGGAGAGGGTGTATTTAATCTGTATCGTAGGTGTATATGTTGTGCTAACTAGAGAAAAAAATTGTTGAAAAAGTGTCTGCCAGTCTAGCTAGAGTAGTGTTCCTTTGTGAAACTGAACCAGAACTCTTGAGCACATTGATGATACAAATCTACTAGTAAGCGACAAGTTTATTTACGTTTAACGCCGGCACTATAACTGCCGCTGCATGGGTGTTCCAGTTTGGCAGTGTTACCAGTGAACAAGCTGAAGACATGACCCGTGTGTTGTCCGTGAATTTGTTTGTTTCCGTTGGATGGATTAGATGTCGCTGATCAGAATCGTAATGGACTACATTTTAGTCCTCAGATGCGTCACCGGCGAGTACACATCAACAACACGCTGGAGTAGCGAAAATGTGAATTACCGCGTACAACTGTGCGCCACGGCGTATCTCATTTGGTCAGCGCTCTTGACTTGATGAAACCGTGTCTCGCCTGTGTACTGTACAGCGACATCCGCCGGCCAACAAATCAACTCTATCCATCACGGGATTAGAGTGTTTTATTTGCACATTTGTATACAGTATATATTTTTTGGTGACTTGTTTTCGGTCCGGTTGGTAATGCTGCTGCGAGTATTCAAAGTAAACAAACTATTTTTTGTGCTGTTGATGCTTACTTTAGCGCTGGTAATCTGCAGGGTGGATTGCCCTTTGTACGAGCACTTTCGGTGTATCTGTACAACGCAATTAAACAGTCGAATTCCTAATCACGCAAATCAAATTTCATATTTCTTGGTTACTCAATACACTCTGTGCATTAGCAATTTTTTCATCATCAGATCTTCGCAGAGTCCAAATACGAACCGAAGTGTGTTAGTGCTTTACATGTTAGATGGGCGCGCTGCAACGTTTAATGACCAGCATTAATGTGCAGTCATGCTAATTTTAAAAGCTGAATATTTTAAAATTAAGGATGCCAGCTTTGCGTAAGATAGTTCGTTTACTTGTAATAATAAAGCATAATATTTAACATGCATCTCGTACAGTAAGTACTGCATAATGCGATCACAGGGAGTCTGTACGAGTACGCGCATATATTGTGATACGCCTATATATGCATTCGCACGACTGACAATTTTAATATAATCGTAGTGTACGGGGTTAATTAAGTTAAATCCAGGTTCATGTTTCCTACCAAACCAAAATATTTCATACCTGTCGTTACAGTGACGATGCCAACTACAGCTTTCTTTTTGTAAATTTTCTGTATTTCAAAGCTTGAGACGAAGACACCGTTCAAAGGCGTTTCAATGGATATCTTAATTGAAATCTTGACACTAGTTGTGCTATATATAGCACAACTAGTATATATAGCACAACTAGATGTCTTATATAAGACATCTTTTCGTGATTTATAGAAAATGTACTGTAAAATCTCTTGATAATTTTAAGTTTAATGCGATCAATAAATTGCGATGATACTTCAGTCACCTAGCAGTTCTGAGCTGTCTGCATTCGCTGTTAAAAGAGGTTTTTATTATACTGTGTCCGGTCTTGCTAAAAATATCGATGTCGATCGTCGCTTTAGTCTGCTAACAAATCGATATGCAGTCTCATCCATTCAAACCAATGTTTCTGACTTCCGGCGCCGCACACATTTTCATTTCCTCCGCCAATATAAATCAAATTTGCAGTGTCCAGTAGAAAGGTCACTGTGTGCGCGCTGCAGACGGTCGTTCGGTGTGCAGTGCGCAAATGAAAATTGATATGTGGATGATTTAACCCGGGCTACGAAATGACTGTTTACAGACAACGCGATGACTGTTTAGTTTAACCCGCTAACATATGGTTGAAAGCTCTTCCATCGCATTTGCAAATGGAGCACCTTTTAGCGTTTGGATATTTTGGATGATACTCGATCGAACCAATAGCTGCTTCTTTTTTTGGGGGAATGCCTTTAAATGCGTGCACAGAAACTGTATATTTTATATGCCGCGCTGCCGTGGAGTATGTGTACGGCGGCGTTATGGGCAGTCGGTCAAGAGCAACTTGATATTGCTATTTTTCAAGTGCTAATATGCACTGCCGCAACGCATTAAATCCGACATCCACACAGCACACACACGCAGTCTGACAGAGTATCGCCGCATTATACCACTTTTTAATAAATCAAAATAAATCGTTGACAGACTGTGTAAATAGTATTGGCGGCTGCCGGTTGCGCCGCAGCGGATGAGTGGGCGCTGCATTTATTTGTCTTTTTAAATCTGTTTGGTTATTCCAAAACAGCTTAACATGCTCGAATAAGCATAGCCCGCGCCACCGCCGTTTTGCTCGCTTAATGTTTATTGTAACTGTTTTTTATACTCGCGCGGCAAATCCATTTACTGGGTTATCGTGCAAATGCCAGCTGGAAACTAACACCAACAGCATATTGTTTTAATTTGTACAAAAGCATTTCAAATTATTAACGTGCAGTTTAATCCTGTGCAATATGCTCAGTTAAGCTGAGTTTCTACTCGGCACAGTCAAACCAGATTTTAAAAAATCGAGCCGGTCAACATTTTTTCAAAAGTGTACGCTTGCATAAACTGTTACAATGAATGCCTGTTAGTGAAAAAAAGAATTATAGTAAAGTATCGTACAACTGCTGCGTTTTAGTTTATACACATACGTCAAGAATCTAGGTAGTTATAAAGATTAACAAGATTCAGTCTCAACCGTTCTTTTCGGTAATTCTTGCCATGTTTTTTTCTTATCAAGTCTTGAGTGCTATAACAGCATAACTATAGCCCTCCAAACAAAAACCCGCATAATGAGCTTACGTCTGCGGACGGGCAATTATGCCGCTCCCGGGATCGGTCGTTATTCAGTGAGGGTGATATATTTGCTGTAACCATATATTTGATTACTTGAACGCCCAAATGATTGATTTATAAAGGAATTCTGTTTGGGAATTTGCATACTGAACGATTGTAAACAGAGCGACAGAGGCTACAACAGCCAACTGATGCTCGGCAAACAACGCACATTCGTCCCGGCGGGCCAAATACAGCAGGCAGCCCCACCCCATCAACAGCCAACGTAGCCAATCAATTAACGGCCTGCTGGCGTCGGGTATCCATTTGGCCCAGCCAATGCGCAACGATACTGTCGCGCTGTTGGCTGTGCTTGGTTTACACGCGGCTACATTTGCATCCATTTTCTCCGCTGCACTTGATCAACACCCGCAATCTTTTCAGACTTTCACAATCGGAATAGACTTTCTTGTGGCCGAGCTGCGTCTTAAGTAACGGCTTTTGTGTAGCGAGATACACTGAAGTTTTTGAAATAATAGTGTTTTTGATACCGGCAACCGATATTATTTGCCGTTAACGGGGTGAAAATATAATTGACAATGTTGCAGTCGCGTCTGTCCTTTGGGGCACCGGTTCCCACATCCATGGCGACCAATTCCAATATGCTGAATTTCCCCGCCGGCCGTGTTCCACCCGGTTTGTCGGCGCATCGCAGTCAGCCGTTCCCCGCACCCAGCCTGTCGCCCCCGGGGAACACCGGGACAGGTGGATATTTCGTGCCGCACCCCACCACCGAGAAGGGCGCCCGCAAGCCGAAATGTGCACGCTGTCGCAATCACGGCATGGTGTCCTGGCTGAAAGGGCACAAACGCCACTGCCGCTTCAAGGACTGCGTTTGCGCCAAGTGCAATCTGATTGCCGAACGACAGCGTGTGATGGCAGCACAGGTGCGCTGCAGCTATGTTATAAATATTGTACTCGCACTTTTCCATTAATCAGTAATAATAAATATATTATTTTCAGCCAACCTCTTTTATTGCTTTTCTCTTTTATTGCTCTAAAGAAACGATTGCATAATTGCTACGATGAACCATAAAGTTAATACCAATTAATTGTTGGCCAAAATATTTTTCCTTTATGGTACTCGCATTACATATATCAAGCAACAAGACAATTACAGAGCGCTGATTTGATAGTACTGCAATGTTGAATTTGCGAAAATTGTATGTTCGTTGTTGCTCTCCAGAATCAACTAACTAAATTCGAAATAACTAAATTATTTCTAGCGGAAAAAAAGAACATACAATTATACTCGTATACATATTACAGTACATACAATATTAATTTTGCAGGTGGCGCTGAAACGGCAGCAAGCCGCGGAAGACGCCATCGCCATCGGAATCCAGGCTATTGCTACCGGCCGCAACTTGGGATATCTGCCACCGGGTCCTATTTTTGGCGAGAGGGGATCGTCCGATAATCAATCTGAATCCCGCTCGAACCGTACGGAAAACAGCCGACAAACCAATGCACAAGAAACACCGGAAAGAAGTACTGGTAGTAAGACAGGTACGCACAAAATCAAATACTTCAGGAGCTGCTTTTTACGACAGAAAATTTAGCAAGCTATCGGTCACAACGCGTAAAAAATCAGACATCATACTCATAGTGCAATTTGTATAATACAAAATAAGGGTAACAGTGCCGAACCTTTTTCTTGTCTGATTAACAATAACGAAACGCCGAAACGTCGAAACGTAATAAACGTCGAAATTCGATATTTTTAATACTGAATTAATACTGTAGTTACTGGAACTTACTGCACGATAAATATTAAAGGTACTGTACTGCACTTAATACTGCACGAAGAATACGTGCGTATTTGACTTTTGAGTTTCACCAAAACAAGGTCCATACGCGGTTTTTGTTTTTCGTATACAAAGGTCACAAAAGGCAGATGCTCTTAAATTTATGTTTAACGTATAGTTATTTTACATATGCCTTTTGTACAATGTTGACACTAGAAAAATCGCTGTTATTGTGAGGTGCAATTAGATAGGATCAAACGCTCGCATCTCACGAACTCAATTGTCCAATCTGGACACTTATGTTTCAAGTGCATTTAATCTACTAAATAACTTGAAATCTGGCCGATTAGTCTCAAGGAAAGCCAGTACCGTGGCCGCACGTTGCAGTGCAGCAGGCATAGAGATCGGGAGTTAATTAGTTTGATATAAAGTAACTCATTGAGCACTCAATCTGTGCGCTTTTAGCAGATGACAAAGGTTAAGTGGTGAGGTAGCTGACAGTGCAATATCGGTATTCGGTCCCGAGGCACACTGTCCATTTGGCGATATCCGATCATGGCAGCGGTGTGTTGACATTGGCCGCACTACTCGTACACTCGTCCTCTGTGTCGTGCTGCGCGCAATTAAACGACTGTTGCTAATTAAGATGCTGCTTCTGCATACACTTGGCCTGTATCAAGTGGCAGTCCCAGCGCCTCATCGGCCGGGCCGTTATTAAGAAAATCGCCTTCGCTAATGCCATGGGCAAACAGCGGAATGTGGTTATTTAAGAAGGTGTTGAATTGGGACCGATAAATGGAGACTGATCTGATTATAATTACTGCTTCCTGATTATATGAATCTGGCTACACTTAAACAAAGACCAAATCGAACCTTCGATCGCGAATATATATTTTCATAATTATGTGATCAGTAGTTTTCGTGATGGTAAACACGCGGAAGTCGTCAAGGTTTTGCTGCGCTCTTCCGGAAAACGTTAGTCTGAATACTAATGGCCATAAAAAATTACCTATTTCCAGAACTCTGAAAGCGCCTGGAAAATTTTCGTTATAACCGCTACCTTTAAACTGTCGCCATCAAAATTGACAAAACTCTGTTTTCCTTGTAGGGTCACAGTCGAAAGATTACGATTTCACCGACAGCCGATCTCCATCGCCATCCTTCTCGTCCGACCGCGACGACAGTTCCATCGAGGCGGTATCCCCATCCGCAGCTAAAATCCCCGACGAAATTCCGCGCGAAAAATTGACCCCATCCTTACCCGCATCGCCACGCGAAGCGGCGCCGCGCAAACGCAAATCCTTGTCCCCCGAACCGGTCAAATTCCTCAAAGAACGCAAACCGCTTGAAACCAGTAAACCGGGGAGAAAAGAGGCGGACATGAACGACAACGCCACCAAACTGCAGATGCTGCACCGCATCTTCCCGCAGCAGTCCACCGCCGCGCTGCAGCTGACGCTCAACGGCTGCCACGGCGATCTGTGCAAAGCCATCGAGCAGCTTTTCTCCAGCAACGATCTCCCGCGCTGCGCCGACTACGAGAAGAAACCTGCCATGAACGCCTCGCCGCCCGTGAAATCCGCCTTCAGTCCGCTGTTGCCCGGCAATTTGATGGGCTATCCGCACTTCCCTGTTCACAGCCCGTCCATGTTCACATCGGCCGCAGCGCATTTCCACCCGTTTCTGCTGCCAAACTGTGCGCCAGCGGGCGTCGTACAGGGGAACACTGCAGCGGCGCCGTATTACCCGCAGCGCACACTGGAGCGCAGTATGCTGTGGCAGCCGTACAATTACGTGCCGAAACGGATGAAACCGGGAAATACGGAGGCGCGCTGTAATAAGCGGGATATACACGATAGCGGCAGCGAACGCGGCATCAGCCGGAGTTCGGATGGGGATTTTACGGAAATGTCCAGCTAAATTAAACCATATATATTATGCGCTTTTGGAATCTTCATTGTAATGCATACTTTTATAGTGCAATACGTAATTTTACTGCTTCGACTGCTACTGTTCACTGCCTTGCAAAGCATTGAATCGCCGTTATACGCTGCGGGTAATCTGATGACAAAATCCGATACATTTTCAAGTATGAATGCTTGCTGTGCCCATATTAAATTCCCCAGTATTTTCCCACTTTGGATACTCGTCGATTTGAATTCTCATAAACACGCACGCGGGAACTGCGCGATACGGCACGGCTACAGTTTAAAAGGCTCTTTTTCCCTACGTGACCGATACATCGGTATCGCTTTTCATTCTTCACTCTAATCGTTTCCAGTTTCCAAACGTCACCATTCTTCTCGCGCGTATTTAAGTGAAAACCTGATAAACTATTTATCGCAATTGACATGTCGTCAAATAGGTACTTCAAACTCCACTGAAGTTGTCATACCCGTGAAGTGTGTTTTTTCGATGTAAGTTATTGTTAAATGGTGGGTATTATTTGTAAGTTGATGAAACGAATTTGGCGGTTGCTGTTCGGCGATACTTAACAGCGAATCAAACCTTTTAATTTTCATAAGCATGTGTTCATACTGAAACAACCGAATAATGGTTATAATAATTATAACTGCAAGTTTTGTAATTACTGAATTTACTGTGCATAGGACATAATTAATATATCCTGTGACCTTTCTGCAAGGCGCACTTTAAACACCCTTACTTCTACGCAGTGTAAAATCAGTGCTAACTCAAATGCGTTGCAGATGAATTTACAAAGGTCATGCTATTATATTACAACTTGTGTAAATACAAAATGTCAATAATAATTAATTTTTGCATACACGCTACGTCACGCCACGCCCCTGAAGTTCCGTTCTTAATGGATACGAAGAACAAAATTGGAAATGATGAAATTAGAGACGAAGGATGTCCTTTTGCACTTAATGGTCAGAGCGCAGACTAGCCAGGATTAAATTAAAACACACCATTGACTGTACGAGACATATGCGTAAGGGTATATATGTCGCAATGATGTTGAATTGTATATGTTTGCCATCGTATAACAAATTAATCAGTTTATATACAAAAGCGTAAAGATGATCTTTTCCTGCGCGATCCACTGCTATTTATACAATTTGTGCCAGATTGCCTGCAACTCTCGTGTTGGACTGTGTCAACACTGGGACAGTGTCACTGGATGATGTGATACCACGTTGCCAACACATCACTTCATGAATATAAACGATATGTGCTCGGAAACGCAACAGCTTATTTCCTTGCTTGATTTGAATAGCAATTACATCTTAGTGTAGATTGGTTTCTCGTGTATGCAGAATTAATTAAGAAGGTGACCTTTTTCAGCTTAAAACCTGTACAGTACCATGTTCACTTCTCGATTACGGCGATTAGTGGTAGCTCGTAAAAATTTTACAGTATTCCGTACGGATTAAATATTACAAAAACGAACACTATATATAATATACAAAAACTAGTAGTATACAAAAAACAGAAAGCTTCATAAAACAATTTTCTGCAGTAATCAATTTATGATAGACAGAGCTAGCATAACTTTTTCTAATACATTACATCCAAAACTTTCCAAGCTTATGCTAATCTACTACGTAGAATCATGCCAGATACTATACTCGTAGAATTATTCCTCCAGTTGTGGCCCGAGCCCCAAAAGTTCATCTCAGATCATGCAAGCATATTCAGGATTATACATGAGAAAAGAAACAATCTGTGATGCAGTTTTATACAGTTGTTTAAGAAATACAGCGCGGTTATGGTGCCGCTTAGTGCAGTGGTATTCTCAAGAAACTGTTCTAGATTATTCATCAGTATGGTATTTTCAATAGCAGACCTCAAGGATATCCAGCTTTATCATTCCCAGCCTGGTATTGCTTTAACAATTTTTTTGGCTCGAAGTCCAAAGAGATAAGCAGTAACCAATAACAACACATACCGATGGACTTATGCGAGCGATGTTTGAATGCTGCGCTTGATAGTCACGCATCACCGGTAAATGCATTTATCGTAAGACGATTTGCATGAGCGGCATCAGAGATTCGGAGAGCAGCGAAGGGATAAGGAATGAGAAATAACAGGAAATGATACTTCAAGAATTTTGACTAAAAGAACCTCATATTTTTCTTACAAAATAATTGTTTAAGTTGTCGCTTTACATTTTCTACAAAGAAAATACGTAGTATGTACGTTGCTAATTGCGCGTATAAGACTAATAAGAGGGAAACAATTAGCGCGATGGATCAGAATGTTTTGCACTGCTCTTCTAAAGAATATACTGGGATGTTTTTTGCAAAGAAGGTTTCGCCTTTGTTAAAAATTAATTAATTAAGCTGAATAATTGATTAATTAAGCATATCAGTTGCTAATTAAGTGTCAGTTCATTTTGTGCCGCTGAATTAAACTGGAAACGTTTACCGTTGTTAGCCTACATGGTACAGTACATTAATGAATTAATTAACGCAGTGTAAACTGTAATTGTAATTAACGTAAGTAGATAAATTACCTAATAGTCCGATAACAGATTACTTATTAACTGCTCATTTAGACACATATATATATATATGTATGTATTAAAGTGTATGTGCATAGTAGACTGTTATTTTCATGACTTGCATGCCTGATGCCGTGATGCGTATTTGCAAAACGGAGCTGTTCACGCGGGTATTTGTAAAACGTGCCGTATCTTTCCTTCGACCAGTTAAAAAGCAGATCGGTTCGGAATTTTATGAATCATAATCCTGGTCAAACAAAACCAGACCGGAGATCAGAAAGCCAGAGGTGATTGAGGACGCGTAATATTTGTAACTGCGCTTTGTGAGATATTGCAAATCTGGTTCACTGTTGTAATGTAATAAGCTTGTTTCAATGTAATTATAACATCAAGTTTATTATGATATTTTAATTTAATCCGTTTGATATCGATACGTACATCGATGTGTTAACTTTAAGCATTACCCAATACATACATACAGTTAGCCATTTAAGAATAATTATAGTAGCGATTAGCGAGCAGCGAGACAAAGACACTTGAATGGAGATTCATATTTTTGTTATGTTAGCGGACGTTATTATCATCTCTCGAGCGGCGCGGCAGATTAGTCAATCTTGAATAACAAGTTGACATTTGGAGAGGACTCATCGGCTTGTTACAAACATGGCCGTAGTAACGCTGCGGCGCGCGTATATTACAACGGGACACTTTCCGTCTCTTCCCGGGCGATGGAAATGCGAACGATTATAAATCAGTTGCTGATCCATTTTTCCATAAAGCATCCACGTCGCGGCGCCAGGTTAGCCACGCGCCGGCATATGTCGAGGCGAACTTATACAACCATCGTGTTAACTTTGACAATTTAATATCACATTCAAACACTAGCGGACGGATTCCGCAATGCGCGCACGGAGACGCTGATGGAGATCGTCTTCGTAAAAGGCATTAATTTACATAAATACAGTTTGCAGGAGACGGGCTACTTACGCTGCTTGTGCTGTGTGGGTGTTCCATTATTTACACAAACACGAACAAGTAGTATAATAACAATACACACTCAGTTCAAACAGTGCAAAGACAATGTCTGGATGAACTGAAGGTACAGCTACCGGTAATTACTGCTGCTTGTTTCTTCGGTAGCAATTATGAATTCTAAGGATTTTCAAAGCTGGTTCGTAATTATTGTTATTTTATTATTTCCAGAACGGAAAAGAAAAATGCATAATATCACCCTGACAAAATATAGCAACACTGATTATAGTATAAGTACAAATACGCGTACAGAAGAGCAATGCAGAAGCCTTGTTCGTAAATTTTGATCGCAAACTCAACATTTAAAAAAAAATTTAAAACACGCTACCAGGCTATGAGACGGCAACTCACAAACACCAAACCGTCACCAAAATTTAGAAGACTTACTTTAAGCATTAACTGAAAATATTCTACAAAATCCCAACAATATGACCAAATTGGAAGCTTAAAAACAGAGGGCTAAAATCTAAAACAGTTGAGTTACCCAAAACGGTTCCGCGCTTTGCCCCATCCAACACAAGCAATCCACCGACTCGCCACTAATCCAATCCACGAGCTTAAAAATTCACCATAGCGCGAATACTGCAATAGCAGAAAATACTTTCACCTGGAGAACAATATTGCCCAGCGGAAATGAAATGAAAATTTGCAAATGAAAATATACATTCGCATATGGCCCTTTTTGGGTGACCGAAGTAGAAGATACAGTAAATACAGTATCAAACTGACCTTTTGCCATCATGCATCAAATGGAAAGCGTTATTGATTTCGGCAATGGGCATGGTATGGGTGATGAATTCATCGATCTTCACCTTCTTCTTCAGATAGTCATCCACCAACTTGGGTACCGAGTCGCGGGACTTGAACCCGCCGAACGCCGTCCCCTTCCAGGTCCGTCCCGTCACCAGCTGGAAGGGTCGCGTGCTGATTTCTTGTCCGGAGCCCGCCACGCCAATAATTACCGAGACACCCCAGCCTTTATGGGCCGCCTCCAATGCGGAACGCTACAGAAAATGGGAATTGTTTTGTAATGCCGTTTCACCTAATATGAGGCTACTGATAAGGGTAGGAACAATTCTACAAAGTCATTCCCTATATCACACGTTTGTAGTACCAAGGCACAGTTACGGGCTAATTGGTGTCCTGCTTTGTGGACTGAGAAATTACTAATCTGCATAAGAATCAAGATTTGATTTCACAATGTTTTCACACTGAATTTCGGAATCTTAACCAATTTTTTAACCAAAACTGACCGATGCCGATGCCAAAAATTCCATCACAAGATCTGCGTATATTTGAAAAAATTACACTGTACAACCTAGGCACATATATTTTACTAAATTCTTACTTACTGCTATAAGCTTCCCGAAAGCCCTTATGCGTTAACTTGAAATTAGAGACATTACCTTTTTGCTAAGTTGCTATTTCTTCAGTCTAAACATTATGCTGGCAATAACTCTAGTCTGCACTGCAGCTTTTTCTCTAATTTTGCTACCAAGAATATAAGTTATTTCATAGCAATTCAAGTCGAAGAGTAATCACGAAAAGCGTATTTCTAGCTGATATAAAGGACATCGCATGGCGTTGTCATTTATTCGCATACCATCAGCTGCACATTCCCAACGCACTCGAAGGTGTAATCCGGTCCACCGTCGGTCATGTCGATCAGGACTTGCTGAATCGGCTTATCGCTATGTTCCTTATCCTTCTGCAACAAAGTTTGATACAAAAATCAGCATTACTAATACTGTTCCTCACAGAACCAGTTTTGGCCTAAGTCGATATATTTATGTAAAATATCTATTAACGTAGTTTTAGATCATGAATTCAAAGTCGTGTCTTAAATTCGAAATCGAGATGATCTGTTATGTATACTTCGCAAAAAATGCACTTATGTACTGTACCTAACCATGCTAAGTTGCATTTAATCACTGTGCATTAATGCATTATCACTGTTGCTTGTTTTGTGCTACACATAATTATCTGCTCGGCCTTACCGGGTTGACATAGTCGGTCATTCCGAACTTTCGCCCTGATAAAAAACAAACTTCCATGCAGAATTACGTATTCCAAAAGCGCGCATTAAACTGACAAGAAGACATTTTTTACCGACAGCTTCCTTTTCCGGGTTGATATCGATGCCGATGATGCGCTTGGCACCGCGCTGCTGTGCTCCCATCATCACCGCCAATCCCACCGCGCCCAGTCCGAACACCGCCACGGTTGTGCCAGGCTGAACATCAGCAGTATTCAGGGCGGCTCCATACCCTGAAAAGGAAACTGCAGCGTGAAACAACAGGCGAAATTGTACAGCTATGATGACCCACCGGCCAAAGGAACCAGTTAAGCACGTAAACACACAAAAAAAACATAGAAAAATCCACATCCACATGTTATCAGCAAAGGTCAGCAATACATTTGCTGATTTCAGTTACTTGTACCGATTCTCAATGTTTTCTAACTTAATTGTGTCATATAAACCGTAATGAAGGCCAGCAATGTTAAAAGCATAAACAAATTTTATTAAAAACCTAAAGCCGCTTGGAATTGCCTTTACAGACACAAAATTCAAAAATCGAAAAATACTCCATAACCAGAGGATCATTAGCTAGTCATGTATTGTCACAGTACTACAGTACGTAATAATAATACTCCGCCTAACCTGTGGTGATTCCGCATCCCAGCAGACCGACCTTATCCAGTGGCGCCGAATTGTTAACCTACAGCCATTTATAATACAATCGATTTACAGCAATTCCGTTTTTATAACTCAAGAAAGTGCTTCGTCTGCTGAATTCAAATGCGCCATTTATTATGTTCTTCCAAGTTCCAAGTTTACAGTCATTCTCTCAGCATCTGTCTTTCTTGTGGATCTCAAATCATCCGGGAAACATCAGATTACGCATACCCACCTTGCATAAAGAGATGTCTGCCACAACGGTATATTCCGAAAACGTGCTGCATCCCATAAAATGGAAGACCTCTTTATCTTTACATTTGAAACGAGATGTTCCGTCAGGCATCAGACCTTTGCCCTGTGTAATCCTGCAAAATCCAAACACCATACTAGTACCACAATGCCCAGAATACGACAGAAAATCAGTACCGGTACCGGTTTACCCGACAAATGCAGTTTATTAGCAAGGAAAAGTGCGGAAAAGTAATCATTCGATTATGTTGGATTTCTTTACCTGATTTTCTGGCACAAGTTAGTGCGAGGATGCTTGCAGTACTCGCAGTCATAGCACTGTGGAATGTACAAGGCAACAACATGGTCTCCTACAGAATTGCACATCGAAGTATGCTTAAACATGAGATGTCCACTTTCGGAGCAAAACAGAATCCATAATACTCGCACTATGCAGCGATTCACTCACTACTGCCCCGCGTCTAATCGTAATTTCGCAACCAAACAATACACAACCGATGAATTTGGAAATGTCTAATAAAGAAATCAGCGCAACTAATCGGCACCGTACCAGCTTTAAAATCCTTGACACCTTCGCCAACGCTTTCCACGATGCCGGCACCCTAGAACAGAAATAACAACGACTATCAATCAACCGTATTGCTGTAACTGGTAAGTAGACAGACTAAAAATACAGGTTTTTAGTGACAAAAAATGCTCAAATCTAATCACACCAGACAGCTTTAGCACTGTACTTATGGTTTAAAATAAAAAAACATACAAAGGCTTAAAAAAATACATACAAAGGCTTTATAAGAATTATAATAAAACAACATTAAAACGGGAATAATCAAAACAAAACGAAATACTAGTTCCGATCACTCAAGCAGTACCTCATGGCCTAAAATTACAGGGAAGACACCCTCGGGATCTGCACCACTCAGAGTATACCTGGATGGAAAGAATACATTTTTAACAACAGGATTACAAAATAGTGAAAATACGTCACTTTTGGGTCTCTGTTCGCAATCAACAATAAAAGCAATAACTACAGACAGAACCTTTAATAAGTATCATGGGACGAGTACAAACTACGCACCAGAACAAAACAGCGTTTACAAAAAGAATACTTCCTCTATGCTATCCTGATCGGGGATTGTACCCATTACACAAACCGCGTTTCCCCGTTGTATTTGCATAGATATTCGCTGTTTAAAAAACTCTTTCGCCCGCTTTAACTTATACGTTAAACAATAACGACAACACTACACTGTACATACGCATAGTAAAATAAATTCTAAACGACAGGGAAATTTGTGTTCTTACGCATCTGTATGGCAGACACCGGAACTGGTGACTTTAATGCGGACTTCATGCGCCTTTGGTGGTTGCACTTCGACCTCTTCGATGGTCAGATCCGATTTGGCTTTCCATGCCACGGCAGCTCGACACCGAATCACCTGAAAAAATTAAATGAATTAAAATCAGTTTTATTTCTCCTGGCTCATCTTTAACGGGATTATCTCCAAAAATACTTTCTCTCACCCAACAGCACATACGTGAAAATTTCTTAATGATCAGCTTTATTTTACCACTCAGTTATTCAAAACACATAAACAAAAACAAATGGCAGAATTAGCATGGCGCTTTACGGTGCGAGCGCTCCACAAGTACTAGCACTAAATGCAATGGAAGAGACAAACCTGGCCAGTTTTGCTAGTGTCCACTTCGGTCATTTTTTTCTTGCAAACTTTTCACGAAATAAATGCAGTATGTCCACAGGAAGGAGAATACGACCCAAGCGGATGCAGACCAAGAACCACGAAGACCAAACGGCGATGAACGATGCGCGAGAGATCACCAGCTCCAATTTTCTGCCAAATACCGGCTAATCAACTCGCCGTATTCGTACCTAAAAATATAGAACTTGTCTAAATTTCTGCAGGCAAAAAGCCGCCAAAAAGTTTGATGGATGACGGACGAGATACTCGTAATTGCATTCATCACGTTACCTGCGGGGGATTTGTGAACTGTGAGACGAATGAATCACTTCAAAACAGCGAACAGCTGTTTGGCGTAGGGAGTCGAGGGCAGGACTAAGCACTAAGCACCTGCCACCTGGATCGTGTGGGTAGCGAGCGTATGCTATTCCTAACCAAGTTAAATCAGCAACTTTTGCCGACTTGCCGTAACTCATATTTTGGTTTTGCTCGGATTTTGTTTTATTTCTAATTCTTCCCAGTTTTGTAAATTATTGACGTATGTTCTTATTGTTAGTATTTCCATATATCGAATTTCCTAGTACATACTACATACCGTTCAGTGAATTTAAGTATACTTCTGCGTTGTATCTGCTCAGTGCTCCGCGATGTCAAGTGGCGGCCACTGTTGTTGCGTTGCCTTATGTTCCAACCGTAAGATTCCAGGCCGATCCCAGCACCTCCAACTCCACCGGTTCCCGTTTGGTGATCCACAGCGCTTGGCGAAATGGATTGAATTTATTCAGCGTCCTGACTTGCCCATCACGGAAAGCAGCCGCATATGCAGTGAGCACTTCTGGAAGGACGATTACATTGCTGCTACGACGCGGGGATCCGCTCCGAAGCGGCCCAAACTGAAGGACAGCGCAATTCCAGCCCGCTACCCGTCGTCTACCCTGGCTACCCGTCGGCAGAAAAGAGAGCGTCGCTCGAAAAACGATTGGTAAGCTTCCGTTCTTAGCTGATATAGGGATGGGCTAATAGGCGCTTCTCGTAGCCGTTTAATGCTTATCTTGGAAACCGAGGCTGAAAAATTATAATAATAACACCATTAATGAGTTATACTCGTACTGTAAATTCACTAAATTGCTTTATTATTTTGCCCGTACAAACGTGGAATTAAATTTAAAATTTATTTCTAAATTGTCAGCTGTTTTAAATCTGCATTAAGACTTTGAAGGTTTTATCTGTTTATAAAATTTCCAGGGAGATAACGTACTCGTATACGAATTATGAATTACTGCGGTCAGCATCATCCAACCTCACTCATTGGTTTCCAGTTTCCACTTTTAAAAAGTAAGAAAATAGAAAAAATAAGGTTTGATTTGCGTTAGCATAAAAATACTCCTAGTATCCTTCGTAATTACTAGATTTTTGGCAATTCCGTTTCCAAGTGTTGATACAATATTCCGCATTGATTCTCGATTTTTTTGTAAAACTTTTTTCTCTACAGCTCCTCTGCTGCAAATGATCTGTATCGTGTCAAGCACCCATGTGAGGAAGAATTGCCAATATCACCCGAACCATCGCGTAAACTGAGGAGGACAGCAGCGCGTAACGAAAGGAATGTAGCTGCTCTGCGGTCTTCCACTTTACACCAGAGTGAGTGAAAAAATTGTAAAAAAGTCTACAGCAAATTCGTAACCGTTGAAATATTAATAATACGCATTTCCATGTTTTTCCTCCTCAGCGAGTGATGTATTGGATGGCTACCGAAAGTCCACATTCCTCGAGGAATGCCGTTTTTCACGTTTGTGTAAGTTTTCACTGTACGAGTTTGTGCATTCATTTTTTCTGGTTGCGGAAGCCCTTCCCTCCGCGACAGTGTAACGCTGGTGAATATTTTATATTTTTAAATTATTTTTCGATTGCTTTGATGGCTGTTTTGCTTTGGGATGGAAACTGGGAGTCTGAAGTTTGGGCAATAATATCCTGTCAGTTTGGTGTCGATGTTCCAGATTGTCGACAATGTGAAGTATACGCGGACGAGCCGTGTAGAATGCACTCCCAGATAATTCCAGATTCGCCAGTGGTTCCTTTCGCCATAGCTTCCCTCCCGAATGTTTTGGAATTTATATTTTCGAGTGCTTCTGGTAAGTGCACGGAATGCCGTGCCTGTTTATTTCAAATTAGCGATAGATAAGCAGTTGTAAGCTTGACGCTGCATTAGTCGATATTTATGTACGAACTTGCTTGCTTAAGTCTCGCAAAATACGACATTCGTAAATTTGTAAATCGCATTGAATACGCATTAGTTGCTACTGATAGTAGTTACTGCTTGCTGCTTTTCTTAGGTAGAACGGGTTGGTCTAATGACTCGATCCACACCTCTTTTTGGAAAAACGGAAATTTTAGACATTTTACGCAATTTTTTAGATTTGCTCCTTATCATGTTAAAAAAGTGCCAACCTTCAACATGCTCTTGCATATGTGTGACATTTTTTTCATCCGGTTCACCTCGTTTGCAGAGTCACCGAAAGGTGTTCGAGCAAGGGTTCCCATTCCGAGTCAGACCATCTTTGGACCACTCCGCGGTGCTATTTGCTCTCGCACAGAAAACAAGACGCTCATACCCGATGTCTGTGATCGTGAAAACGAATTGATCTATGCCGTTCCTGACCCGTCCGCTGAATGTTGTTTCAAGCGTGTTCACATGGGATCTCCACATACGTGCAACTGGCTGAAATTCACGCGATTCGCCTCGACCATTAAGGAGCAAAATTTAGCTGTGTATCTAAGCGGAAATGACATCAGTTTTGTTACCACAAAAGAAATCGCTCCCGGTGAGGAACTGAAAGTGTGGTACTCGCAGAAATACGCAGAATTAATTGGATTTGGTGGTACGTTGGAGCGAGTGCCATCCCGTAAGTCTTTTCTTTCGCATTGCCTTAAGTTAGATAGCGGGTTTCTTAAGTAGTCCCTTAACGCTGACAAATAAATTGCAATACAACCTGGTTGTATTGCAATTTGTTTTGACTCCTTTTATTAGGCAACAGCCATAAAAACTATAAAAGTGCAACCTTGATGGCAGCACTACTTCTTAATTAATGAAATTTTGAATTGTATCTTGACTCGGTTATATCTTTTTGTAGCGGTAGATGAACACGCTGACACAGATCCGCCCGCTCTCCCTGATGATAATCACTGGGAATCAAGTTTACCTCCCAGTTTTCCCTCCAATTCTCCTCCCAGTTTTCCTCCCAGTTTACCTTCCAATTTACTTCCCAATTTACCACCCCTTTTACCTCCTAGTTTACCACAAGACAATGCTCCGAAAACGGTATTCATATCGTTTCCAGCAGATGTCAAGACGTTCAGATTCATTGTACCAATTGTAAAGAAGTACCTGCCTCCAACGCCTCTCAATTCGGCTATTGTTAACGGAATTTCGCAATTCGTAGTGCCACAATTTATCGAACAACCAGGTAAATTTATGTTGCGAATGAAATCACGTGGGCACCTATCTTGAATATTATGGCGGCTTTGATAGATGCCGAAGATGCATCTGAAAATGCCGATAAGCAACAGGATCACGAGCAGCCGTCGGTGAAATCCGATGATGGATTGGCCGATCCAGTATCTTCACCTTCTTCATCTTTGGCACCGGTTGAGGGACAGTGCGACGCACCTGCCGATCCGGGCAAGAAGTCCGTCACGGCGACCGCCGTAGCCGAGTATATCATTCCTGTTAGAGTTCCTCAAATCCGACATCCGAAGCCGCCCAGTGAAAATCTCCATCCCTGCACGGAGTGTAATGTCGCTTTCACGTCTGCCGATTTGCTGGAGCTCCACAATCTCGGTCACGATCAAACGAAGATAAAGTCACTGGATAGTCAGGATCACCCGGATGGCATCCCGTGTCCAGAATGTCACGCACCCTTTACCAGCTATTTTGCTCTGATTGCCCATGTTGTCGAACACCGGAAACTGTATCAACCCCGCCTTCAGTGTGATGAGTGTGGAAAGTGGTTTCCCAAACCGCACATGGCAGGTCATATGCAGGATGCGCATTCTGATGGGATAGAGAAACGCCATATCTGTGATAAGTGTGGGATAAAGTTTCCTACGCTGAGAACCCTCGCGTTGCACAAGCAGGTACTTATTTTGAAGCCGGCGTAGCGTACGTAAATTTGGTAGAATGCTTTGCCCTACATTTTGTGACGTTAATTTGTGTGACTGCTTTTTTTTACTAAACTTTTGGTATGGGATCGCGCTGTCATCGTTTAATTTACTTTTTAACGTGAGCATTCTTGCTGTTTCCGTACATGGTTAGGGAATGGACTGTGAGGTGCATGAGCTAATTCTTAGTAATTATTTGCTAAAAATTATAGAGTATAATTTAAATGCATATGTATTAATTATGCATACCTAATAATTGTAATTTACTAATATAAAGTATCTGTAATTTACTTATATGATGTCAAATTACTGATACGATGTGTTAGCCTGTTAGAAAGACCGGCCTGATAAACTGGGAAATTTACTAATAAACGCTTTTTCTAGGCAAATCATTTGCGGATAACTTGCATTTTCTGCGCACAACTCTTTCACACCTGGCGGCCGTTGGGTGACCACGTGAAATCGCATGTGCAACCGGACGGCTATCATTGTCCCAACTGCAATGTGGTGCATGCCGAGTATAAAGACCTCGCCCGTCACCACCGCGAGAATCACGACATTGCCCAGTTGCGCTGCTGTCCCGTGTGCAGCAAAATGTTCAGCAGTACCAACAGGTTAAAATCACACATGCGTAACCACGCCGAAGGGATGACGCATCAGTGCGGATTATGTGGGAAGAACTTCCGGACCCAGCATGGGTTGCAGGATCACAGGCGATGGAAGCACGGTACACGGACGAAGGCCCGGGCCAAAGAATTGAAGGAGCGGGGCACCGCCACCAAGTACGTCGAACCGCGGAAGCGGATGCGCTTCGAGGATTTCCCGCATAGATGCGAAGAGTGTCGGCTGGGATTTATGCGGGAAGGGAAGTTGATCCGTCACCGGGAGCAGCGGCATTCCGGGGATGTGGATTAGAGACGCTCTTCTTTTGTTTTAGTTTTTTTCAACGCAGTTTTACATATCGTGTATAGCAGTTTCGATGTGGTTATTGGCAAAACGGCAGAATGCATTGTGATGTCATGCATTTTCTAATCTCTAATATCTCGTCGTTAGGTTCGGAATATGTTTGACATCGTGTCCGAAAAGACCGAAACTTTGCGTTCGTTAAATATGAGATTTGTGGAATTTACAAAGGGTCGGTAGTAAAATATTTTGGGAAAAATTGTATTTCTTTTTTAATGCAAGTTCGGTTTCTTTTTTTACTTCTGTTAATCGTTCGACAGCCAAAACCGATTTGGCTTTCCATGCCACGATTGGATCAATCGAACAATTACGCTAATAAATTCAACAGGCAACAGTCATCAAAGTAACAAAACGATCAGAGTAATCATCAGACTGAACACTGAAGATATTAAGATAAGAAGCGAACAGTCTCAATAACTTGTACGAGTTCTTTCCGGGACCCTTCAAGAAAGCCGGCGGTTTTCAGGAGGACCAACGTAGGCAATGAGGCAGATGGTCCCGTACATGTGGTCTAGGTAGGGTTGGTTTCCATATATGACATACTCAGTCTTAACGGTGTTGTGTTTCGAATTCGTCACTTCGGTAATCCAGTGAATATCGGTTGTCGGGACCGGAACGTGGCCGTCTTTTTCTTCATCATAAACCGTAGCATCGATTCGACCATCCTTCAGATGAGGGAGAAATATGGCTCCTCTTTCCGTCAGCATTTCAACCATATCGCTGTCGGGGACTTCTTGTTCCTCTGACCAGTCCACGACCGCGTCAGTTAAGACTTCCATTTCCGGATCAGGATAGCCGCGATCCCTTTTGCGGTCGACATCCCAAGTTCTGCTGAGGATCTTCGGTTCGATCGGGACGCCCAGCTGATTACACACCCGTTCGATCAATCCGTCGTTTCCCTTCAGACGACCAGCGAAACTGGCCGCAACCGTCTTCGCGCTTATCGGATATTCATGCTGCAGGCCGAAACCAATGATGCCACCGTACGGAAGGAACAAGGGATCAGCCAACAGCTGCTCCAGTCCCTTTTTAAACTCTTTTTCCTGGTGAACAGCGGCTTCTGACTCCGGCAGAGTTGTCTGATCATTATCAGAATTGTCGCCGAAGTACAGGTTGTAGGTCAGTGTGACGCGGTGTCCGGACTGGACCGGGGCCACTTCGTGCTCCACGTCGCTGTAGAAAGCCACGTAGCCGACTGACGGGCGGGCAGTGGCGGCCAGCTCCTTTCCGGCATCAAACGCCCACTCTTTCCCGCCGTGGCGCAGAATCAATTCGCCGCCCGTGTGCGCAACCGGGAACACGATCACCAGCGATCCAAACATCTTCCCGCTCCTCGGCGTATCCTTATGCGGTTTAAAGAAGCCACCTTCGCCTAGAAATAGACAAATGCGTTATTAGGACAAAATGACTATCACGCGCGCACGCTTCAACCAGTTTCATAAGTAATCGCCTAATTAATCAGCGATCTGGCCAGCCACAAAAACAGTGTAAATGTGATTTTCTGGTATATTTATTAGATGATTTAGAGTCGTTCCAATTTTAGTTTGATCTTAATTTTAGTTTCTCGATGTTATTGATTTTGCACTGACCGTACACGTTCAGTTTGTAGAGCTCGCACTCCACTGCCCTGGCGCTGCTTCGTCCATCCAGCAGATCGTTCTTTACCCGCGCCAGAATTCCCGAGCGCTCCACATCAAACTTGGCAGCGAAATCGTCGACGTCCATTTTACCCGCCCTGCGATATGTTTCGTCGTAAACATCCTGTTTATTCAGGCCAAACGTCGCTGCTTGACAGGCACGCGTCAGCAGCTCTGCTTCCGCTGCCGATGCGTTGTGCAAATATATGTGCCTGATCAGAAGAATAAAAATGCGATTGTGGTTGCTTACGCTGAGTTCCGCAACACTTCTTTCGTTTTGTAGAGTACTGATGTTGTTAATGTCAATGACGAAGAAGACTAGTAAAATTAATTTTACAGTATTAATATACTAATATACTTGAATAAAACAATCTCCCCAGTTCAGTTGAGATTTAAATTTAATCGGGCACAATGGCCAAGAGAAGTATTTCTTATTTTAAGCAGATCGTGACGAAGCTACGTCTAGAAAACTGTACCAGAGTACTTCTACTGCTCCCAGAGTTCGATGAAAGGTTAAAAATTAACACCTCGGTTTCAGCCTGCCAGAAACCGCGGACTTCATAAAGATGTTTACACCCAAAGCCGATAGCGCTGTGCGTATGGATGGATATGCGTAAACATCATTTTGAAGTCCAGTCACCAGTGTACTCACCGTGCCGTGGATCCGCTGTCAGCTTTCCCGTAAAATAACCCGAAATCTTTGGAAGGGATGACACAAGTGCCGTAAGTAACCGGAGCTCGGTCCGAAAGGATCGTTTTCAGTGACCCGATAATTCCTTCTGAAGTTCCACAAATCGAATTTGACAGAGACCTGTGAATCTGCGGCAGCCATGCAGGCGCAGCGATTACAAATTTATGGAACTGTTTTGCGAGCGTCATTCACAGTTCAAAATCATAAAGAGTTCAGCAAAAACCCTACCAACACGTTACACGCAAGTTCTGTGATACTGGCCACACGGACCACAATGAAAAACGCCCGACCTCCAAAAATGAAAATCCAGGGAGAATTTGTACGTCTACGAAACGTAAAAGGTTGCTTATATTGTAGTTCCGAGTTCTCCGTGCTTGATCACGAAAACCATACAGTGATTACATCATTTCATCGAAACTGACCTGTGGCTGTGTAACAATGAGCTTGCGCAGGTAAACTACTTAAAATGATTCAAATTTAAACAGTAAAAAACAGACTGACACTGCTGGCCTCCTTGGGGCAAACAACCACTCACACGCCGATGTTAGAGGCCAGTTTTCAGGAGTGTAAACATTTTGTCTGACTCATGAGCAAATGAACCACGCGCAAAACAAGCTGTTCTTGCGGCCTTTTTAGCAGAATAAATAGACACAAATCTGACTGAGATCCGTTTGATTCAATAACACTTTTGAGATCTTTGCCGTAATCTTCAAGTGACAAATGTTTGGTCTGATCCAGAGGGGATGCCATGTAGACAGAAATCTTTCTTCTCCTTCTCTGTCAGGTTTCGTGACGCGTTTCAGCTGCAGTGACATCACGGGGTCTTCCCTGTTTGTAGTCTGCACAGCACGTACCGCGAACCAATTTCTTCTTTTTGGCCACTAAGTCGCCCAGGAGTTCCGCGTGTCCGACGAATTTGAAGGGGGCTATCGAAACACGGGGACGACTTTAATCTCCAAGTTAACAAGTGGGTTTGTTGATTGTCGAGTGGAGGGAAACTTTCGTCGAAACTCTCACAAACATGCTCCTTGGCGGGTGTCATCGTGGCCGATCGAAACCCATTGGGTTGAAGCGCTAATCGACCAATTCCGACGGTGTCCGAGGAGGATGCTGCTTGATTATCTTTCATGGCACTTACGTCGTCACTAGGCCCGCACGACCGCAGCAAGTTCATCATATTTCTTCTGGCTTTCAGCTAGCTGGGCTTCCACTGAACATAGCTGCGATTTGAGTCGTTGGTTTTCCTGAGTAATTTCAGTCACCAGCAGGGAACCCGTTCTTGGATAAGCTGGGTTATCATCGGTGGACATGGTCTTCGATGAGATTTTTTGCTGGCGTTAGACACGGATTAGGGTTTTCCTGAACGTCATTCAGATCGAAGTATATGGCTGGTATAAGCTGCAGCAGAGGAATTAGCTTGGCAAAGGACCATTGGTTCGCTGAGGTGCCATCAGGGAATACCTCGAAGAACGACTCAATCTGAAAGGCTGGTGGCTGTATTTCCTCAGTTTTGCCAGTGGCTGCATCAGCCATAGTAGTCACGAGACTCGCAACGTATCTCACGGTTCAGAATCAAATAATAAGCAAAATCAAACCAAATCAAAAACTATCAAATCAATCTTCAAAAAATCATAACTTTGTTAATTTTCCGGCTCATTATTACATCATTTCATCGAAACTGACCTGTGGCTGTGAGCCTCACGTCATCGCCCCCTTGATGGTTGGCAACGACTAGCTGTTTGGCGCCAAAATACAGCTTAACATTTTTAATTGCTCGAGAGTGACAAGCTAGATGCATTTTATTTGAAAACCGAGGTACACATGCTTAACACCAGCCTTACCTACTTTAACAATCTAATTCTTTATTGTTGTAGCTATTAGCCAGTGATATAAACATCACAGACTTCCGGCAGCATCCCTTGGGGATTTACTCAACGACACTAGTCTTAGGACAGCAGTAACGCCACGCCTGGGTACACCAGTATGCGGTGCCTTATCCGGCTTATCGTACACCGCAGCGACTTCCAGTCTGGAAGTTCCAGTCGAGCCGCACCGTACTAGCACTAGCAAGACCAAGGAATACCGCATCACCACCCCCAACTGCTAATTCTCGCCGCTGGACTTCAAGACCTATGGAACAATCGGACCGGAGGCCAACCGGCTAGTTAACGTAGTAGGAAAGAGGATCCAACACGAACCTGGCGAAGCTAGCACGAGCAACTGAGTATTTGCGTCAACTGATCAGCTTGGAAATTTTAATCGAGGAAACGCAGCATCTACCTATAATGGGAACAGCACCCCGGCGGTTTATTTAGACGAAATGTTTTCTGTTGTCCGACCGCCTCTGTTCGGAAACGCTGTTGTACAACTCGCTGTCATTCCCGTTTCCGATGATTTAGAGAGATTTGAAAAAATTTATGGAAATTGAATAAAAATAAATTATATTATACAGTACAGTACTAGTACTTGTATATTTATAAATATTCAACCAGTAATAATATATTAGATCACAATTAATAGACCGTTATTAGACCAATGTGGAATCAATCATCTTTAGCCCGGGCATGTTGCAATCCCACGAAATTACAGCTTTTTGCAGCACGGTGCAGTAATTTGAAAGTAATATGGATATTAAGTACCACCGCGATATTGTATTGCAAAGCAAAGATAATACTGTTACAAAAGCATAAAATTAATATAAATTATGACAGTAAATAATGCTAAACATATTACATTGTATATCACAGATACAGTAACTGCATGCAGATTTGTTGCTTATTCACGCTGAATACGCAGACCCATGTGGCGTGACGTGTCGAAGCACATTAAATGGCTCAGGCCCACGTTTCTTTAAATTCCCGCTTACAGCGGTCAAAGAATTGTTGGATGGGCTTGTACAATAGTTAGAACTCATGCTAGTCACGACGGAAACAAATTTTACACCGCCTTTTCTTTTGGTAAACCGACAAATCAAGGGCTTTAGGTTTTCATTTGATACACTAATTCTTCAGTTTTCACTATAAAACAAGAATTAGTGCAACCAAAGAATAAGTCTTTTCCATTGTTCTAAATCGTGTTGACATGGTCCAGTACTTGACTGCGACTGTCCGCGAACGTGACTCCAGATTAGACTTCGAGCGTGGGCTGCTTAGTTCTTGGTCAAACCATCAAGTTCTTAGACAGAATCTCGAAAATATGAGCAGGCAAAACATAACAAGAGCGAGTGTCGAGGAAAAATCCTGTATGCAACAAAAAATTTGAAGGTAAGCCGCTGTGCAGTAAAAAACCAGAGCCAGGCGAGCAGAGTATTTAATTATCCGACTGAACACCGAAGAAAACAACTTGTCAGAGTAGAAGTACTTAATAACTCGAACGAGTGTACGAGTCCGTTCAAGACTGTCAACGATTTCCAGGAGGACCGACAAACGCAATGAGGCAGATGGTTCCCGTACAGATGGTCAAGGCCAGCTTGAGTTTCCATATGCCACGTACTCGGTCTTCACAGTGTTGTGCTGCGTGACTTCCGTAATCCAGTGAATGTCGGTGGTCGGGACCGGAACGTGATCGTCTATTTCTTTGTCGTAGATCGTAGCGCAAGGTCTGCGATCATCCGCGCAAATGAGGGAGAAAAAGAGCGCCATCTCCGATAAACATCTTAACCATCTCGTCTTCTTGGACTTCTTGCTGGCCCGAAAAATCCATTACCCGGTCAGTTAAGACTTCCATTTCCGGATCGGGGTAGCGGTCGCGATCTTTTCTGTTGATGTCCCAGGTTCTGGTGAAGATCTTCGGCTCAATAGGTATGCCTAACTGCTTACATACGCGTTCGATTACGGCATCGCTTCCCTTCAGACGCCCAGCGAAACTCGCGGCAACCGTGCTGGCGCTCAGTGGATATTCGTGCTGCAGGCCGAAACCAATGCAGCCGCCGTGCGGAAGGAATAAGGGATCTGCCAACAGCTGCTCCATTCCCTTCTTAAACTCTTTTTCCTGTTGACGGATGGATTTCGACTTCGGCAGACCTGTCTGAGCAGTATTATATCTATCGCCGAAGTACAGGTTGTAGGTCAGCGTGACGCGGTGTCCCGACAAGACAGGGCCCATAACGTGTTCGACGTCATTGCGGAAAGCAACGTAGCCGACTGACGGACGTGCAGTGGCGGCCAGCTCCTTCCGGTTTCGAACGACCACTCTTTCCCGCCGTGGCGCAGAATAAACTTGCCGCCCGTGTGCGGAATAGGGAACACGATCACCAGCGATCCAAACATCTTTGCGCTGCCCGGCGTGCCATTGTATGTTCTCCAGCTGTCACCTTTGCCTAAAAATAATACGCATATAATAAATTTGAAACGATTTAATATTCATATAATATTTAAATAATGAGTATTGTTGAAATAATAATCATTTTTAACAATTAACAAATAATAATAATCAGAAAAATAATGAAATTACATTTAAAATGATACTGTTAGCGATTGTGGCAAAATGTCGATCGCACGCGCACGCTGCACCCAGCTCCATAAGCAAAATAACTGCAATTCAACAATCTGGCTAGTAAAACGCGCAAAATGTAGTTTTTGCAAGCGAAATTATTGGTTGCTTTATTTGCTTATGATACTGATTGATCAAAAACTTATTAATATTCAATAATTGCTCGATTTCTTAGAGGTTGGAGGTTCAATCGACCTTCAGTTTGAATTTTGACATTTTTTCCTGTTTCTTGTTGTTAATAACTTTTCGCTCCGGCACTCACGAAAGACATTCAATTTGTAGAGCTCACACTCCACCGACTTGGCGATGTTGTGGCGACCGAGCAGGTCGTTCTTCACCCGTGCTAAAATACCGCAGCGCTCCACATCAAATTTGGCAGCGAAATGGTCGACGTCCAGTGTCAGTTTCTCAGCCATGTGAAATGCTGCTTCATAACCGTCCCGTTTGTTCAGGCCAAAATGCGCCGCATGACAAGCACGCGCCAGCAGCTCCACTTGTTCGGCTTGTGTGTTCAGCAGAGAAATGTGCCTGTGTGAAAAATACGAGCAATACAAATATCCAATTTAAAAAACCCCAGTGTCAGCGGAACGTTAATCTGCACAGAAGCCTCTAGCAAAATTTCTGAGTATAACAGTATCAGGGAGGCTCATATCGAATAAGAAAAACTGGGTAATTCGTAGGTGGGTACTTTTAGCTCATAAAATCAAACCAAAAAAACTATAAAATTTACTGAATGAACCAAAAAAGTTTTCCAATAGCCTACTTCCGCTAATGGAGTCTGGCTACTGCAGAGAGATTATAATAATAACTAGAGAAACTGAGAACTAAATCCTCAGTTTTGCTCACCGTGCCGTGCATCCACTGGCCGTCCCGTAAAATAAGCCAAAATCTTTTGGCGGGATGACGCAAGTGCCGTACGTGACCGGGGCTCGATCCGTAAGAACTGTTTTCAAGGACTTGATAATTTCTTCCGAAGGCCCACAAACCGTGCTGGACATACTCCTCTGCATCACCTCAGGCATCCATGCAGGTGCAGCGATAAGAAATTTACGGAGCTGTTGTGCGAGCATCATTAACAAGCACAAAATACTTAACTATTAACTAAGTACTGTCACCATCGAAAGTCTGGAAACGTTTCAGTACACACGTTCTGTGATACTGTCCAGTGTCTACACGGTGAAAAATGCACAAAGATCTAAAATTCTGGAAGATTGTGCGGGTCTCCCCTAGAAAATGCTATACAGTTGTCAAATTTCGCGAACCTGCCGAATTTACGATCATGGTTTTACTTATTTAATACCGAGTTACAAACGTCGAAACTGACCTGTGGCTGTGAGACTCATGTCATCGCATCCACTGGATGGTTGGTAACGACTAAAGGTACTTCTACTCTAACCATAAGTCTGACTGTGTGCTGTTTGGATTTGGCGCCAAAATACATACAATTCAACATGCTTAGCATTAATGAAAAGTATCGTATACGATAAAATAAACCAAAAAATTTAAATATAGAAGTATATATAAATATATATATAAGGATATTTGGATTTAAATAAGATATAAGGATTTAAATATATATATAAGGATATTTGAAAGGATTTCACGCATGCAGCCCGTGGAATTACATACAGTAGAGATGGCCTCAGATGGGCAACGGATAGGAATATCCGATTTTATCCTATCCGAATCGGATTTCGGATTCGGAGATATATATCCGAAACGTTCGGATAAGGATTGCATTGCAGATAAGGTTGCCTTTCGTTCATGTCTTTTGCTTTTAGGTACATATTTTGTTGATACATCATTTAACTAATGATTTAACAACCCAAGAACCTGACAGCTTACATTTATTTAATTTAAATAAAGGTTGTTCTATGTGCTTCCAAAAAGCGTTGATTTGATCATATTCCCTAATCGCATTCTAAATTTTTTTACCGATCCGGCGGATTATTTATTCAATTTGAGACATTACATTCTGCATATAGCGGCACAGGGCATCCGTACCTGGTACAAATATTGTGATGAATCTGCTGTATATGTACATACGAATTTCATCTTTCTAGCAAAACACGATTAATTATAAGTGTAGTGGAATATACTGTAAGATTAATGGTAGCGAAACGTAATGAATCGATATAAATTATGGCAATCTGTGAAAATGCGATTATAAATCGCAATTACATGTTTAAGAAAAATGTGAATTTCCGGCGGCAACAGATTTTTGTTCTGAATTTCACCGAATAGGTCGCCTGGAGGCTTTTGCCTGTGGTGACTAATAAGCTTGATTCTCGTGCAAATTGGCAGTTAATGGTGTTGTGCACAACAAAATAAATTAATAATTGATAACTATACTGGCATACACCAAATCGCGTAAACCTGTTATTTACGAGGAAGCGTCACAGGGAAGCAGAAATGAAGCACGTGTCACGCGTATCGGTCATAAAGTGTCAAACACACCGCTCAGTTTTGTGTAGTTTGTATCTATAATGCAGTCCAGTCCACAATTTTAAACGAGCAAACCACCGGAAATTATTATTTGGCATCGCGTTTTTGAAAGCGTTGTTTTGAGGCTGTGTTCACATTATTTCCCAGGCTTAATTTTATCAGAAAAGGTCGGCAGCGGACACTTAGAAATTTGTTTCCAATGTTTCGCCGTGCATTCCGGCTTTGACGTATTATACAGTCGTCCGAGGCAGAGTGCGGAAAATCTGCAGATCAAATTGGATTTTTGAATTTATAAACAGCGACGTGACGCCGACGTCCACAACGATCATGATATTGAGATCGATTATCGTATTAGTTGTTTTTTCGCTCCTGTCAAACATAATTATTTTCGCACAAGGTACGATACAACCGCATAGAACTTTCAGATCTGTACATTGACTAGAATCGAAGGGTTGCTGGTTAGGAAAATTTTTTCAAATAAATGAATCTTAATCGTGTGGAATACTTGTAGTCACATTCTCCAAAGTCTCAAGTCTACATCGAAAGATACGAGTATCTGTCGATATTATAATTTGTGCGAGTCAACGGAGATCTGTAAGATTAAGAGGATACCAAGATTACTAGAATTACATATATAGTACAACAGACAGAGTAGAAAGCCATGCAATATCTGTACAGTTAAGATGTTTGCATCTTTTTTAATTCCAGAGAACACTAATAGTCCGTCAAACTACGGATACAATATGGTCTGGATCGGACCGCCTACTGTTAATCGGACCTATTTGGATTTGTTCACTCAAATACTGACGGAGACTTGGAAAAAATAATGCGAGTCCTGATGCGGCGAGACTTGTTATTACGTATAAAGGTCAAGCAAAACCTTTTGCAGATTAGATCTAAAAGAGTGGCATTTGCAATTTTTACATCATCCTAGTTTTGTTTCCAGGATGTCGGTTAACTTTTTCACCGGTAGTTAATCACCACCATTATGCTCTTACATAATTATGTGATGCATGCACAAATTTTATTGCTGTTATACGGCAAGATGTTCACATGTCTTCGTACGGGTTTTACCGTACTTGCTTTGAAGGATGTACTTCAGTTCTAAGCAAATAATTTAATTCGCGCGCATCCCAGGCAAGAAATAAATAAAAGGTTATAAAACAGCAGCACGCGCCGTTTAATATTTTATTCAATTATTGTGCATGACGTTTTTAATTAACTCGCGCTATAATTCGTATTATAATTGTAACCGTAAGTCAACTAAACTTGAACTTGAGCCATAAAATTACGCTCAGTTGTGTTTTTTCCATAAACGAAACTTACTGAAGTTGCAGCGACGTCAATGACCATTTACTTATGTCTTATACTATCGTATATTATATTCTGGATAGACATAATACATAGCACACTTTTATTACGCATAATGACCTGCATATACTGCATTATTATGATTTGCTTCCCTCGAACAAGGTCAAAATATTAGATCAGGTCAAAATATTAAATTTAGTCGTCTTAATTAATTACTGTAAATGGGCGCGTGAGTATTGATCCGTAATAACAACAGTGACTGCGTAAAAATAAGCTCGAGATATATGATAATGGCGTACATAAGCAAGTTTTATCATTGTCCTTAATTTTTTATAATTTGTTTAACTTCTTCTTACTTTCATAGAAACCTGCAACTGTTTTGTACCGCCAGCTAATCATAATTCATTTAAGAAATTTGTTTTAATATACGGGCACAGAGCAGTCGTGCCTCCAGGTCTGGAGCACGTAAACCTGCAAAAACTTCCAACAGTGTTCATTTTTGCCGGGAGTTTTATTCAAACCGGGTATTATCGCACCCAGGACATTTTAAACTCATCAGTTAAACTGTTAAAATAACTGAAAGCACACCAAACACCAGATCCGACCGCGATAACCAGCTTTGCCAATTAGTAGTTTCACCGGCTGATTTACAAGTTTACACCGATTAGTCCACGAAACTTAAATTAAATTAACCTTTTACACGCATATGTTCAATCCGTGCATGAAAATCCGCTTTCTCTAAATTAATTACGAAAGAATTACAAGTGTAGCTGTTTGGTTTCTATCTATCTGTCGGCAAAATAAAGGAACAAAAGAAATGTCAGCACGGAAAGATAAGAAGAAGAAGACACTGTAGCCGTATTGCAGAAATCCGTAAAGCACGTGACGACTTCTTTCTTGTATTTTGGTCCACTGAAGTAACCGTACACCGGAGCAGTCTGATTGGCAGCGCTGTGGAATCCGCACTTCCGGAAGACCCGTTTCTCGGGATAGCCCTTTGTGTACTCGGTTGACGTGGCTGTAAAAATAACCTAGCTTAAAAATTAAATGCGAACTCATCTTATTTACGAGTATTTTATTAATCTGGTAACGGACAGCCATGGTTCACGGTCTCTTTAAGCTCCCCAAATACCGACGATCAATTCTAACAATTGATTTACATTTAGGTACGTTTAATTTAAACATCCACATTTTGACCAACAGGAAACTGCTAACCGTAAGGTACTTAGCCTAAATTCGTCTTTCTGAATTCAATCTGCCTACCTGCAAGTCTGGAGGGCGTACGTCGGTATAAAACGTACTGTTCGTACAACTTATATATACGTAAACAATTCCCGTTTTCAAACTATTATAAATGTATAATTAATCTTTTTTCGGGCCTATTTCGATTTTCATAGATTCAGACTCATCTGCATAGAAATTCGTAATAGCTGTAAAGAATACAAAATAGAAATAAAAATATGAAAATTACAGATAACAAACAGACACGTAAGTACTTCGCATCGGCATATTAAAGATAGATATAACAGCTATGAGCGTCGTGTTACGATGCTATGTGCATATACGAGTATTACTGTATATTGATTCTTGCTAAATGCGCAGTGACAGTGTAGGCTGCTCAAATGCGCACCATTCCAACGAGATTATTTTATTAAGTATTCACAGTATATTATCGATTTCAGTCGGATAAATATCACTTCTCACGGATCGATACGCTCTCAAACAAAATAATTTGCAACGATTACTGAGTAAAACCCATAAGGGCAATATTGAGTATTGGATACTATTGACCAAGTGGCGGCGACGCTCTGGTAAAAGTCTCGAGTCTCGACTGCCGATGCCGGCTACGTAATAAAGTAGCCGGAACGCGGACTTACTTTCTTGATAAACGATGTGGCACGACGTGAACGTAGTTGGACACTCAACCGGCGGATACTTCTGATGCTTGCCGGTCGCACCCTCGCTGATCTCCTTCGTCGTCCCATAAAGACCTGCAAGAATTAAGTGCACACATAGATAAAAATCCATTTTCATCCTTCAAAACCAGGTCAACTGGCTTTTAATCACGGACTGCTCGAAAGTACACGACATCGATCTGGGATGATATCGCTATAAATCCCTTCACACTAGTTCACAGTGAACCGTTTGTTGGGTCTCCATATCGGAACCTACTGTCATCATAAGGACTGAAGGGCGGGCATTTGACAATAAGTTATTCTAAATTTGAGAAAAGTAATTGTAGGCTCGTAGCAAATAATCGACAAAATGTACGCATCTACTGAATCTGTAGTAGTGGTACGACGAAACAAAGACACCAATTTTAATCAAGAATTCCCTCACAATTTTGATTTTTCCGCCACAAGACGGTCTGTTCAAATATGGCAATATTTATATTTTAAAATTTAGAAGGGCCTACCTTATCCGTATTCCATAAATGGCGTATACATGTTTACGTTGTAAGCAAATAACGTACTGCATTATAAGCAATGCGATACTAGTATTATAATATTTACATACGCGGTTGACAAATCTGATGTTTCATTTTTTAGAAAACCTTGAAGCCAGCATGGGCCCAGCACTACTAAACCAGTGTACATGTATATGTATCCCATTTTACGGATATTCGCCACTGCGTCATGTTTAATTAATGCACATGACGTGAGCCATGGGGGTAAAGTATTCCAACAACAAATCAAGCTTAATTCCTAAAATTTCCATGCTAATCCTACTTCAGTACTCTGTAGTTGTAATAAGTATCACGTATAAACGATGGCTGCATTAATCCGCATTAACTGCATTAAGCCAATCGCTTGATGACTGCATTAAGCAGTGCCCTACGATGACCTTTCCAAGTCAGGTTAGCTGACAAACGGAAACTGATGAGGAAGGCCTTTTAATTGCGTTAACGTACCATACTCTCCGCACCACGCCGCACAGTCCTGCTTGGTCACGTTGGGATGGCCGGGATCCGTCGTACACAGGGGATCCCATATTGAATTGCAGATGACGCAACTGATTGCATCGCATCCTGTGGAAGATGGACAAAATGCAAAGTTGCCCGGCATAAGTGTCATAGTAAAAAGCGTCTCTATTGTATTAAGTGAAGAGTGCGCCGTGGAATGCCGCACTTGACTTGCTGCATATTTCCTAAAACATATTATTGATTCGCCGGCGCATTGTTGATTTTTTGTGTTTCTTCCCGGCCTGCCGCTTTCATAACCGGCGATTATCGATTGATAAGGGAATACCAACAGCTTCCACCCAACGGTTCCTGTGTGCTAGATGCGCCGTGATCGCCTTGGCCGTGAGGAAAGAATCACAGAATCCCGATGGGAAATACAATGAATTTCCCCAAGATTTAGAAAAACTCTAGGCGATTAGGCTTCCTCTTCGAATTTTATGACAGTAATTTGTGGATGGGCAACATGCTTCAGTGAACTTTAGGAGAAACAAGAAAAAACTGGTTTTTTAAACCTATCATATAAATCATATAACGCTGTACATTTTTCAGTTTCGTCATTTGTAATCTACGAATCAAAACTTCTTGAACAGTGTTCAGGAGAAGTCTCCAAAAAGTGCTGCATGTCCCAAAAAACGGCCGACCGAAAATAGAGATATCTGCTTAATTATTAGAATTACCTAGGGTATATTGCAAAGTTTAGGGATACAACAGTTCTACAGGGTAAATTAACTGGTGATATCATCGGGATTCATAGTGTTTTACGGCGCGTCAGAAGAATTAGCATAATGCACGATGACAATCATTACTCACCGGAAAACAGTGTCATAAGCAGAATGAGCGCACAGCACAGCAGTGGTGCGACAATTACAGCGGCCATGGGATGCTGATCACAAGAGCACAAGCACTACTTGACAATACCGTATATATGCCGTTGTGCACGAATACAGGAAAAAACACCCGCGATCAACGGCAGAGGCACAACTGCCCCTGAAGGAATGCCTTATCCCGAGCGATATCAAATTAGTTGACACAGCCGTGCTGTAATCTCCCACTCTGGCCGCGGAATGCCAGTTGAACGGGGCAGATCTGCAATAACAATTTGCAGCCAATTTACCAACGGGACAAACATGTATTGCAGGCAACACACGGCAAGTAGCCACTCTACAGTCTCCGCGAACACACGCGGTGATGTAACGGCAGCGTACGCGCGCAGGATGATCGATACGGTTTGATTGCAGCTTCTGGAAGAAGCGCGCATTATCAAAACGGGGCTTGGTTGATACGCCAATCGATAAACACTGCGCGGTACGTACGTGGCCACACACCGTGGGCCGTTATGCAGCCAATCAGAAATGCTGACTCAACTCCGCGGTTGGTTCTCAACTGTCCAGCGGGATATTTACTGTATGGCTGTATGCAGTGCTCCGTACATGTAATATTAATTTTATAAGACATTGTGCGGTTTGCTGTACGTACGCCCTGTGGTGGAACCATGGATGATCGTACGGCCAAAGGCGCCAAGCAGTCTCCTCTCTGGAGAACCGTCCATTGTGTGTGTGCGTGCGGGATTTCAGCACGCACTTGGGCCATTAACGATTATATCCACAGGAAGCTTGGCACATTTGTCTATTTCTAGACGATGTTTTATGAGCTGGATTCATGTAGGCAACGTCATGTAGGAGCTGGGTTTGGACTACTCAGGATTTGTCGGTCGATTGCGATCAATAGCTCTGAGTTCCCATCAATACGCTGTGCAATGGACAGAAGCAGTTTGACGCGCCGATGGAAAGGATGCTTACCTTACGCGGAAACCATTCTAGGATGAAATCCGCTAAAGGTGAACGAAAGCGTTGATTTCATTGACATTTCTCATCACATTTCGCATACATTGATGACCCGTATGTTGTGGAAAACGTACCAGCACACTGCACATGCAATCCAAGATACCTAATAGGGACTGGATACTGTGCTGTTGACACCGGTACCGGTACTAATGCGACTTACCATTAGCATCACCGTTCTAACGCAAGTTTGGCGTATGTACTTGTACAAACTTAAACTTTCATCTTTAGAAAGTCAGCGTCTGTAGTATTACTGCAGCATCCTTACGTCAGTTTCGCAGATTCTCATCCATATAATCAGAAGTATACAAATCAGTTTACAAATTTTGCCGCATTTACCAGTTAATGGGTTAGGTCAATCGGCTCATTGTACAAAAGGTCAAATATCAGTTTATGGCTTAATTTATAACATTTCCGAGAAAAGCCAAAGGTATCGACTATGACAGACGACTATGGTCGCCACAAACTAATGTATCCCTGCCCTGCAGAAGATCGATTAGGTAATTCAATAGATTTACAACCCATGGCCGTAGAGAAAGGTTACTGGCAACATAACACCGCGGAACAAATCTTTTCCCTCCACAACAGATCTTCCTGCTGTTGACAACACGCAATTGTTGTCGATCAGAATTACAAATCGCGGCAAGGGAGTTTCGGTTGGATTCATGCGCAGTTTCGAATTTACTGCAGAATTTGAACGTGGACCTTCGCTTTGTTACTCGCCGCATTTAATGCCGCACCATGGTTTTGTTAATCTAGTACGCACGTACAGAACGTCTCACCACCGAACAGTTTTTCCTCGAATAAAATTATACACCGCCGAAATACAGTCATATACTGTTAGAAACGAGAATGTTTCGAAGTGATGTTCTGTATGAAAAAAAATTCGCCGCATTTTGCGATTGCTTTATTAAGCTATCTTTAGTTCTTACAGTGTTATGCACACATGTGAATACCCACAGTTTGCAATTTTGCATGACTGTGATGCATGGCTTGACCTTTATCGAGCCACGGCTATCGGTTCTGCAAAACCATACGTAAATCTCAAACCAAAGCCATAACAAGCTATGATACTGTGCAGGAATGCGTTACTTTAATATTTGCCTAAAATGGGACTGTACATTTACTGTTTCACCAGCGTATTTTAAAACAACGTTTCACTGCAGCGTATACGTATTTTCCAGTGTTTAAATTACACTGCCGAATTTAAAGTGTTTCGACGCGGCGCTTCTTAATTTAATGCCGAGCTGCCGATTGTAACTTACGGCTAGTGAAACAGATACCGTTAATGCACAACAATATTCGGAAGCAGTTTTACGGGTTGTGAACATACCAAGAGGACTTACTGCATAATGTATCACTGTATCCAGTGGTTTCTTATACTGTGTAGTAACTGTGTACCACATTGGCACGAAAGATACTGCTTAACACATAATTTATACGGTTTCGACAACAAGAAGTTAATAACCTATATTTTAACAAGAAAGATTCTGTAGATAACGCAAAGGTGCTCAAACATACGGGCCGCTTCTTTTTATTAGCAGTACTGTTCCAGCAGGCACAAAAACAAAGGAGTACGACAGACCGGCACCGCGCCAGTCACGCTACCTCGCGGTTTTAAAGGTGAAACACACAGACGAATGATCTGATCAATTTAGTTCGTTGCAAACGATACAAATACGTATTTCCAAGTTATCTAATATCGCGAGCCGATTGCAATGAGCATACGGCACGTGTTTGAATCAAATCTATCAGATTGTAATTATTAATTTTAGAAATATGCTATAAACTTTGCTTTGATGGTGAAAATTTCTAATAAAAGGCAGCCGTGGACACCCGGATAATGACGGATAAGCCAATTTATACGCTCTCAAATATGACTTTAATAGGTCTTGTTATCGTGACAGCTGTAACGTTCTTCTCATGGTATTACCGCAAATATCGCAATGTTCCCCCTGGACCACTGGGCAAGTGTGAAATTACGCAATAGCCAGACTTTCGTACATTAGCTTCTTACTAATGCCTTCATGGTTTATATACTACTGTAATTATGCATGCACGGAACTGCCAAGAGAATTACGAAGCAATTTTGGTTGTGCAACCAGTGTGTAACGGAGCCGGTAACCTCGAAAAAACCAAAGAAATATAAAATATTTTCTTTGTTTTTATTCCGCAATGTTTTCTTTTTTATTCCACAGTTCCTCATCAACGCATAACATCCGCTATGTTAAGGCGGCAATCATAACATTTGTACTCGTATTTCCGGGCGCGCACTAGCGCGAGTGTCGCTAGGGTAAAGCTTTTCGGTCTCTTCAACTTACTTGATAGGATTCTAAATTTCATAGCTGCAATTAAAAGTAGCGCAGTGGCAATTCTAATAGAAGTTCACTTATTCAAAATTATAAAAATACTTCATGCAGTTGAAAAATTCGAAATTGCCTGTAATTTTCATGCGAAAGACAGGGTTCTGCGTACAGGGCTTGGTTCTGCGTATAGGGCTTCCGTTTGTGGGATATGGGCCGTTCCTAACTTCCGATCCACCGGCAAAGCTGTTAAAACTGAAAAAGCGCTACGGCAAAGTGATGAGCATGAGCTTCGGACCACAACTGACCATCGTGCTCAATGATTACGAAGCGGTCAAGGAAGCCTTCATTAAACAAGGAGATCTTTTCACTGGCCGTCCGTCAACGTTTATGCTTGACCTTTTGGTCGAGAAATTCCGTGATGGGCGACCACACGGTAAAATTAATTAATACCAAACTAAAATTAATATTATACAGATATTAGGAGATGTGGAGACAGCAAATTGTGTGAAAATTATCAGAACACCAAATGTATTCGAAATCCCTACAGGATCTGTAAAGCGTTAATAAATAAATTTGTCATAAGCTTCTACTTATTAGTTAATTTTCAGGGATCGGAGCGCTGGAGGGGAACGAATGGAAGCAGACTCGGCGATTCATTCTCCAAACTCTACGAAATTTAGGTCAGACTTTATTTTTTCTGTAGACCCCTCAATAATACCGCATTCGAATTCGATTCTCAATTCGAGAGCTCATATATACAGTTTTTAATTTCTCTACTTTAAATTTAAGCGGTTAAAGAGCGTTCCTAAATGAGCTTACCAGATATAAAACAAAAAGGTCACTAAATTTCGTTAAATTAACCACACAACATTTTCAGTAACTTATATAAGTTTAACGGCACAGGAATGGGAAAGAACGCCATAGAGAATCGGATTCTGGAAGAGGCCGAACACTTGTCCGTCATATTCCGGGAAAATGTTGGCAAGCCCTTTAACGCCACCGATGCTCTCCACGCCGCCGCGGGGAATGTGGTCAGTACATTGTGCTTCGGTCAGCGTTTCGATTATGACGACGAACAATTCAACGCCATTCTGCACCAACTACGAACCTTTGCTCTCCTTCTGGCACAAGCGGGACCTCTACAATCTTATCCCATGTCACGGTTTATTCCCGGACCACTGGCACGCACCTACGCCATGTGGATAGCCATGAAAAAGAAACTTGCAGATTTCATTACTACCCAAATGGAAAACATATGCTGTGTACGCAAAGATGGTAAAGAGAGTGTCGTACCCAGTTTCGTGGATTCGTTCTGGGATGAACAGGAGCGGCTGAAAGCAACGGGAAATCAGCATGCTGAGCGGGGTAAAATTTTTCAGGGTAAGATGTTTGACACTTGCACATTATTGCTTACTGTACTTAATTATTGAGGCTTTATGCTGTAGACCTGGATCTGCAAATGAATGTGCAAGATTTATTTGGGGCCGGAACAGAAACAACCGCAACCACGCTAAACTGGGCATTCTTGTTTTTGCTGCATAATCCCGACATTCAGGCTAGAGTTCATAAAGAAATCGACGATCAAGTGGGACGAGAACAAGCCATTACATTCGAGGATAGAAGTACGGACAAGTTCTTATCAAGTTTTGACTTCCGCAAATCAGCAATTTTTTCTAGGCAGATTGCCGTACGTGGAGGCGGTATGCCGCGAAACGCAGCGAATGGGCAACGTCGTACCGTTCGGTTTAATGCGCTGCAACATGGAAGAAACGGAACTGCTCGGTTACCGCATTCCGGATCGCTGCTATGTTATGGTCAACTACAAAGCGGTCAACATGGACCCGACGTTGTGGGCGGAGCCGGAAAAGTTTCGACCGGAGCGATTTATCAGTTCAGAGGGACAACTTGAGGAACCACCCTATTTTATGCCCTTTGCCATTGGTAAGGCTAAATGACCATAAGACTCATCATGTTCACCAATGGTGAACCTTGGCCACTTGCAAGTGGCCAAGGTGTTCTTAACCAGCTCAGATTCGCATTAATTTGCAGGTAAACGGAGTTGCGTGGGAGAATCTCTGGCGCGAATGGAGATTTTCTTGTTTTTCGCTAATATCCGGCAGCGTTTTGAATTAAAACCCGCTAAGGGTCAAACACTACCACCTGTGAACAAATATGAAACGGGAATTTCATCTCGACCAGTTTCCTTCGAGATGGACATTCGTCAGCGAAATTAGGACTTTGAGTATAGCACTCCATACTGTGGCTCGATTTTAGCCAGGTATTTACAAAAATCTTTGATAATTTGCTTGAGATTGTTTTTGTTGTTATCTTTGTCTTTGTTGTACGAGAACTGTAACGAGGGTTTTTTCGTGTACCGCTACTACAGTACAGTAAAACCTCTGCTTCTCCACCTATCGCTAATTTGCTACTGGTCGAGTTTATTGGGCAAAGGCCATCAGTGTTACAAAAAGTGCATTCGCGTAATACTACTTAAAATGATTCAAATTTAAACGTTAAAAAAACAGCCAAAATCGTTATTGCTATCAAAAACCCTAGGACGCATATTCAAGGTGCCCAAAACAGCAGCAGCATTTCCTTTCACTACAGCTAGACTTAATCTCTGCTTCAAAAACGCAGTAGAACGAGGTTCCCCTGTCACGTCGCGAATCTTTCTGCCAGCGAAACGAATGAGCTCCATAAAATCAGAACCAAAAGTGCCAAAAGTTTCGACTGCCAGGGCGTAAAACAGGTAACCCATCCTTTCCACGTAAGCGTATTTACGGCGTTTAACGTCTTCGGCCATATGCGCAACACTACCGGATGCACTTGCCCGGACATGCGATGCGGCTACCGTGTCCCAGCATGTAGCGTCCCATACCAGCGCCTTACCATCCCGTACCGGGACGAGAGTCATGCCGTCTGGCCGCGTGTTGTTTATGCCTGACAGTCCGAGTGGCTCGCTTTGACATGGATACCCGCATGTTCCAAAGCCCGCTTTATTTCGGCATTTAGTTCCGTATGTCTGGACCATCTGCCTCTGCTGCTGGTACAAGAAAGACCGTGGTGACCATTCGTCTCCACATGGCTTCCGCAGTTTACGCAATCGTGTTCTTCTACTACTGGAAGTCCGAAACGAAGTGCCACACCGATTCGAACTTCTTCATCCCGCAAAAACGTACGCAAATTTGGTGCAGGCAACGCATTCAGCCATGCGCCCGAGTCACGGTGTTGCGCAGCTAACAATACCGCTCGATTCGTTTGGTCGGTAATGGCCAGCCTCATTGAGACCACTTCTTTATCGATCCATGGCCGATCCCATGCAAACTGGAATTTCCTTTGCTCTGTAACAGGGGGTTCACAGCCTGTCTCTTCCATCCAGCGCTGCACAATCGGATCGAGCGATTCTTCCGTTGCAGGGCGATAGATTGTTGAAACCAAAGAGATCACCGAGTACGCCGATGCCAAAAGGCAGGAAACACTAGCGACTTGGCACCCGTAGTCCCATTCCTCCGTCCCTGATAGGAAGCGTCATCTGGCTCCACTGTGCATCGTTCACGCGGATGTTCAGAATGGATTGCAAACCGCCACGAACGATCTTATCTATAGTTTCGGTCAATTCCACATGTTGATAACATCTGCCTGTGCGGAACCCGTAGAGTAACTTCGGTATCAGCAAGCAGTTTTCAGGAGATATAGACTGTAATGTGCTGGAATGATTTTAAGACGGGATATGAAGAATTCCAGTTGCTCACATTTATTGCGCAGGAAAACGTCACATGCTTTTGCTGTCAATGGCGCACCAAGGAGTACAAATTCTTCTTCTTTCGTTACCACCATTTCGGGAAAGGCATCGAGCACCATCTGAACAGCATGCAACCGATCAGCAGTGAATTGACCCACGGCGTAAACTTCGCATTTATTCAGATTGAGTTCTAGTCCCATTCTAAAACCACGTGCAATGATTAAACGAATGGCTGCGATGACTTTTTCTGCGTATCCTGCTAAGGTGACATCATCCAAGAAACCCACTGCTATATCGCAGCTTAAATTTTCGAATAAAGGCAGCGTTCCAAGACAATAACCGAAAGGGCCGGCCGGATCACCTTGCTGTACGCCGGTATCTGATGACAACTGGATCTTGCCGCACGAGAGATAAGAGGCACAGCGATAGGATTGCCAAAAATAACGGAAGTATGCAGGGAATTTATCACGCACTGCTGTCAATAACACATCCCGGCGCAGAGTGTTAAAGGCGTTTCTAAAATCCAGTTTCACAATAACTCGTGCGTCTGCATGGGTACCTTCAACATAACTTCTGACAGCATGGGCGGCCGCTTCAGCACCTCCTCTTACGCCGAACCCAAGTTGCACAGGGGAGAACATTCCGGCTGCTTCTTCAGCGCACCTATTGCTGGCGATCTTGGATACCAGCCGGCGTAACGTCTCCCCTACAGCGATCGGTCTCACGCCTCCGTCTTTTTTTCCCAGCGGGATTAAATTGGCACCAAAAAAAAATGGCCGGATATCTTCAGGAATGTCTGTCTTGAGTACCAGATTTGTCAGATCGGTGAGGGCGACACAGAGATCACTTTGTTGATCATCCTTACGATTCAGAAGATCCTTTAAATGCTGCGGGCGGAGGCCGAAAACTCCTGCTGCTGATCCAGTAGGGAAGCTGAAAACAGCGTTTATCACCTCGGCGGGAGAGACTGTTGGTGGCAAGACGTAATTATCAGGCTCTGGTGGGAAATGGCAGTCATCAGTGTTAGTAGAAAAAATCTATTGAGTTTAACTAACGATCTATTGAGTTTAACTAACGATGCTACTGGTTGTGTTAGTAGAAAAAATCTATTGAGTTTAACTAACGATTAAGCGACGCTAAAACACCCTCAAAGGGTAGCACAATAGTTAGAGTATTTAAACAATCAGAGCCATTTTAATGCCGCTACACACGGCACAAAGCATGCGATTTGGAATGAACAACATGGACTTTATATAATTTCAGCTGTTCACAAACTAAAACAACCAAAAATAAGAAACCAAAAGCTGATATCACGTGTGCCGTACTTTTTATTAGTTCTACGAAATTTTCCGGTCATATTTTCCAGTTGTATAAATTTTCCGCCGCGCTATTAATTGTAAGACACACAGTTAAGAAGCAGCGATATTCAAAATAGCGCAGCGATACGATATTTTGCAGCAGCGACACAAAATTTCTCAGCGTCCGCAGCAGAATGCTCGGCAGTTGGACGGAGAGAAATTGTTACGGATTCGAAAATCGCAGACGCCGCGTCGGCAGTTGTTTCCGCATTGTTGACAAGACTTAGAGGCGACGCTGTCGTCGTTGGCGCAGGATCGCTGAGCACCGACAGAGGTCACCTGCAGTAGCAACACAGCCAATAAGGAAACGATGAGAAAATATCTTACCGGGGCCATCATATCTGGCGTCGATTTGGGGATTCCAATAAAAATTTAAAGGCTGTTCTCAATTACAGTACTTCCCGTACGCGTTATAAACAGATAGACACTGCATATACAATTTATAAACTGTACTGATGGCACTCGAAGCCGACATCCAGGTGTTAAATAAGCGATGCTTTGCCCTTGATTTTTAGAGGAGAAATCGAACACAAAGCTGGTGCTTGTGCAGACGCGATTAGAAAACACAACAGCAGTGTAGCGCGATGACGGATCGGTATATTGTGTAACCTCTCGGTTTTGAGACGATGGGAACATCGATTAGAAATTTTTTTAAAAGGCTGACCAAGGAAATGTTTCGATATCAGAGACGGCAGCATTGATTCTCGGGCGGCAGACTTTTTGCGCCAAAGAGATAGATAGCACTGACGTTCGACTCGGAAGTGCTGCGTCAAATCTTGGAACTGTTAACAACACGAGAGGCGCAGATTTGACGCGTATATGTTCGAAGTGGGTAAATAAGTTTACAAAAACGTTTTTGATGTTTCAAGATAAACACGATTCTACTTGCTTCTGTAGTATTTTCTGCTGGAAAAACCGTAACCATTACGCATCAAATTTTATAAAAATTGACCGAGTACAGTGACCATGTGCTTTTTTGCTTCCAATTGACCATTCTACTCTGTCCAACACATCGGCTTCGTTTGAAAACGGACTCCTACCCGGTAGTCATCGCTTTACGTGGGAAACATATTCAGACGTTTTGTTTTCTTGTCGAAGCTGTCAGTGCAAAATATTTTCTTCTTAGTTAGGCTCACTACATATTAGTGCATAAAGTTAGTCCAGCTGAAAACATAGCATAGCGCAGCTACGTACATGGTGTACAAAAAAATGTGCAAGCTTGTCCATAATTTTATATAAAAGTGGCGTATGTTTTTTGCGCCCACATTTGAACTCGTGAGTTTTCTGAAGCTGTTTAGTTGTCAGGCAAAAACTGTAAAACTCAAATCGCAGTAAACGTTAAACCGTGTAAAATGATAAAGTATCTAACAGGAGCTTAACGGCAATACTGGAAGTACGACATCGTGACAGCAAGATAAACTATGAGTAAAAAAGTTCCCTGGAGCATTGACACACGGACGTTTATTTAGATCATTCTCACAACGCTACAAAAAATAGACAGCGTAAGCATTTTCTCATAGACCAAAATGCGGCTACTTACAAGCAACCAAATGACCAAAAGCTTATGTTCTTATTGATTATACCATATCTTGTTTCGTGCAGTTTCAAAAAATTTGTCAATTAAGAACGCCACTAAAGACACGTTAAAGAAACACCAACATTCTACCAGCAAAAAAGACAATTCTCAGCGTCCACAGCAGAATTTCTTGCAGTTGGACGGAGTGAAGTTGTTACTGATGCGAAAGTCGCAGATCCCGGCTTGGCAATCGCTGCCGCATTCCTGACAGGATTTGGAGGCGATGCTCTCGTCCGTGGCGCAGGTCCGTCCGGAGGATCGCTTAGCACTGGTAAAGGTCACTTGCAGCATCACTACAGTCAGCAGGAAAACGGTCAGGAGGCACCTCATTGTAGCCATTGTTGCTATTTGCTAATATGCAGAGGATTTGAATAAAAATCTAGTAGACAATTCTGGGAGAGTATTTGACTACATAAATCACAAACTGTTCAGCCACTGACACTCGAACTATAGACGGATGTTTAAATAAACAAAAACCTGCCACTTGAGTTTTCGACCCGGACTCGTGCACAAGGATTGTGCTTCTAAGCAGGGCGCAATCCGAGGGAAACCGAGAAACGGCTGAAAAAGGCGCCGATGGGGGAATCGAACCCCGGCTACGTCGTTAGATCCGCGTAGGCAGTACCACTGCACCACGGCGCAATACGTTGAAATCCTTTGAAAGACTTTATTAAACGCTGTACGTGAGCCGCTTCTCCGCTCACATGCTCTTGCAACCCGATGAACACACAATATTCCAGTCACCAATCATCGATATCATACACGATTCTGTTAGCTCTTGTAGTATTATCTGCTTTGTACGGCCACTGAGTTACTGACCACTGGGCTTTAAATTAAGCTTGTCTGAATGCTACATCCGCTTATCGCGCTGTTTCCCTTTTGAGCGACTCTGCAATTTCTTTCGGCTCCAAGAAACATTTTCTAATTTTCGCTTTATACCGGATACACTTTCCGCCCCGATCTTTTGTCTTTTCGACAAGCAGTAGGCCCAGTCTGAACAGATTTGTGTTATTTCCTGTGTTTTTGCGACTGATCGAAAAGCTTACACAGCAGTTTTCTGTTCATGAAAAAGTTGTTTCGCAGTTTCTGCTCAAGACTATGAAAGCTGCATTAAAGAAAATAAATAAGATAAGGTCACCCATTTGCACATTTCGATATACTTGTATCTCGTACCGTGGAGCATTGAGTCTTGTACCAGATTGCCTAGAATTCAGAGAAAAGTTGTTAAACGTAAATTACTTAAAACGTGCACGTGTTCCGTAGCAGTAATTAGCCATATCGTAAATTCTACGTTATTATTTTCTGTGACTATGCAACCAGATAACAAATTTCGCCGGCATGCCAAGTTTTACACAGCCTAGAGAAGCGACATGTTGCTTTTATTTGTTAATCTCAGCACCTTAATGAAGGATTTATTATATCTATCCGCTATCTGCATAGTTATTTACCTAAGTCAACGTCGAGTAATGTCTGATATCAACAATGTTCGAACATACACACATCGTGCCCTACCGGTACATAGTCCACGAGCAGTGCAGTGGGTGCATCCTGTTCAAGCAAGCATGCCACATCGTTTGGCGACAAACTAATGCAGAAGTGCAGTGAGCTAGTACATATCTGTAATTAAGATAAAAACGCAGCAAATGCTTCTCGAAGCACGGTTCTTGCAGTAATAATTTAATTCCGAATTCCCGCAGTCATCACTGAATTCACGTCACACGTGCATGACCCGTTAACGGGAAATTACCAGGCTTTTGAATGTGAACGGGCATCTTAAAATTAATTATGTGCTTATCGTCGAATTTGTACAGTACTCTGTGCTGCACTTGATGAAAATAAGCGCTGCCTAGATTTCTTGGTATTATTTTCCAGAATTTTGCTTGCAGCCTTGAGTAGCAAGCGGCGTTTTGTGCATAAATTCTGTGATTCGAATTCATTGTTAACTATTAGACGAGATCTGGCAATGGTGGACAAGGTCACAGGAGCGATGGAAAGCAACACGTTAACCGACTCTTCGTTGCATTCACTTGGCGGTGTGCCGTTCATAAGTTTAAGTGTAACTGCAGTCATTTTGTTTTTCTCGTGGTACTATCGCAAATATCGCAATGTTCCTCCTGGACCATTGGGTAAGTGCATTATTGTGAAACCTACGGATTACATAATGATTTTATTAAACCTTTTGCAACTGTAAAAGGGACTCGGCAGATAGTGCACCACATATTCGTGATGGTGCGCAAAATGTTTTGTAAACAGTAAAACTGCAGTATTTCGAATCCAATTAAGTACAGTATACAGTGTAGCTCGATCTGGATCCGTAACTATGTACAGAGTACAGTGAAATATATATAGCGTAATGTGCATTGCACTACAGAGGGCAGATGTTTACTTTATCTTAAGAAAATTTTTTCTATTCTGCCAACCTTGCAGGGCTCCCATTTGTGGGATATGGGCCACTATTGGGTTCCGATCCACCGGCAAAAATGTTGAAACTGAAAGAGCGCTACGGCAAGGTGATGAGCATGAGCTTCGGACCACAACTGACCATCGTGCTCAACAATTACGAAGCGGTCAAGGAAGCCTTCATCAAACAAGGCGACAAATTCATTGGCCGCCCGTCGACCTTCATGTTCGACCTTTTAACCGAGAAATTCCGCGATGGACGTGTGCATGGTAAAAAACCATAGGAAAGTAAAAATAACAGTACAACTTCAATTTGTTAAACAAAAATATATGTCGCATTTGCGTATTCGGACAGCCATTCGATAACACTTAAAGCCGATCTATAACTTGCATGATGTTGTAAGTGCCGGTTAATGGATTAAACCGGGATGTTAGCTAAGTAAACCGGAAAACGTTTTAGGCATTGGAGCCCTGGAAGGCGAAGAATGGAAGCAAACCCGTCGATTCACCCTCCAAACTCTGCGAGATTTAGGTGTGTAATACAAATGGCAAGTTGGGCTTAATTTAAGGTCAGCCGAAAGTAAAGACTTACGCGTGCTAATACAGAACTGTTTGCAGTGTCAGTCTGATCATATCCGAGTATTTATAGAATGTAACTGTGGGTGCTTTTCTGGCAGGAATGGGCAAGCACGCCATACAGAATCGTATTTTGGAGGAAGCCGAACACTTAGCCGGCGTTTTCCAGGAAAACGTCGGCAAGCCCTTTAGCGCTACGGAAACCCTGCACGGCGCCACCTGCAATGTGGTCAGCACGCTGTGCTTCGGTCAGCGCTTCGAATACAACGATCCCGAGTTCCGTGCCGTTATACACCAACTGGGCATCTTCGCTGTTTTACTGGCGCAAGCCGGACCGCTGCAGGCTTATCCCATGTTGCGCTTCCTTCCGGGACCGTTAGCGCGGACATACGCCATGTGGATAGACATGCAGAAGAAGATCACGGATTTCACCAAGAACCAAATGGAGAAAATCCGCCGGATTCGCAGCACCGACAAGGATAGTATCGTGCCGAGCTATGTTGATTCGTTCTGGGAAGAAAAGGAGCGCCTGGAGGAGTCCGGCAGTCAACTGGAGCGTAGTAAAATCTTCCAAGGTAAATTAAACTGTCGGGATAACCTTGAAACATTAATATTAGATTACGCGGTTCATTAACATAACCTGGTGCGTATAGACACCGTTGCAGTAATTTTTACACGATTGTGTATAGGTGTACATATTGTAAATACAAGTATGCGGGAAATTTGCATTTCGCTTAAAAACTGTTAACGCACCTACAGATCTGGATTTACAAATTAACGTGCAAGGTCTATTTGGAGCGGGGACAGAAACGACCGCGACAACGCTTAACTGGACATTTTTGTTTATGCTTCATCATCCGGACGTTCAAGCAAAAGTACACCAAGAAATCGATGAACAAGTGGGACGAGAGCATTCTATCACGGTCGATGATCGAAGTATGCTTGAATTATACCAAAACAAAAAATTTAATACAAGACATGCGCATGCTATAACAAAAGTTTCATTACTCACAGCTGGTACGTTATATTAATCAGGTGAAGTTCTTTTTGATTACCTGTTCATATAATGTTCATGTTACAAGTAATTTAATGCCGGTGCTGCAGCATACTGAATATTTAAGCAAAATCAATGCAGTTTTTGTGTGGTTGACTTCAGCAAAATTACCGTACCTGGAAGCAGTCTGCCGAGAAAGCCAGCGAATGGGCAATGTTGTACCGTTCGGCGTAATACGCTGCAACACGGAAGAAACAGAACTGTTCGGCTACCGCATTCCGGACCGCAGTTACGTCATGGCCAACTACAAGGGAATTAACATGGATCCAACATTGTGGCCGGAGCCGGAAGTGTTCCGACCCGAGCGATTTCTTAACTCCAAAGGGCAACTCGAGGAACCGCCATATTTTATGCCTTTCGCCACTGGTAAGCCGAGGATATGCCAAAGAATACGCGGCTTTTTTATGCAATAAGTTATTGCAGGTAAACGGAGTTGTGTTGGGGAAGCCTTGGCACGAATGGAAATATTCCTGTTCTTCGCCAATATCCTGCAGCGCTTTGAACTGAAGCCAGCAAAGGGACAACAACTGCCCCCTGTGGATAAGTACGTAACCGGCATCTCCTGTCAACCACTTCCCTTCGAAATGATCATTCGTCGCCGCGATTAGCTATGAGCAATAAAGGATGTTAACAAAATGAACATTTTTGGATATCTGTTACGTAACATTACCAATTTTTAAAGGAGAATGTCGCTAATTCCAGGGAATTTTTATGCTTACAAATCTGCCTTATGCGCACAGCTCGCTTGATTCTTTTGAAATTTTATAATTCTGGCCGTTATTGTCGTTTATTAAAAATGTCTTTCGGTTGTGATTGTTGCTGTTTCTTAAGTATTTTCCTGGAACCGTAAAAATCATAAATAGTTGTTTGCAGTGCGGCAAGTTTAAGGTATATTACCGTATTCAATAAACTTTGATTTTGATAAAGCTGTTCTGGTTTGACCTTTGCTCGGCACCTGGACAAAATTAACAAAACTGAGTCAAATGCACATATGTATGTTATATGTCCGTATACATAAACAAAGGCATTATCCTGGACTGTAGCACCGAGCTAATAAATCTCATTACACGAAATGAATGTGTAGTCAGAATACGGTCAATTACTGCGAGCGATAATCGTAATCAAATTAAGTGGGTTGCTGATACGACTAATGTGGTGAAATCACTAACAAATTAAATGCAGAAGATTGTGAGTACCGGCGATCACTGATAGCAACGCTGCCACGATACGGCATAGTTCTAGAATGCATGCGAACAACAACGAAGACTGACAATGCAGTATGCGGAATTCTGTTGATTAATCATTCCGGAGATGCGGCAATAACTTTATTCGGCGTACAGAAACACACTGCAACTCCAGGAAACCGCACTGCAAAGTTTCTTGCCGGCAAAACACCCCATCTGCTTCTAGCAGTTTATTTACGCCGTCACCATGGAACTACTGCGAGAACAATTTGATCGCTTGACAGAAATGCTGCGACACCGTCTGAAATCCTGCGATTGTTCCTGTGACAAAGTGAAAACGTCCTGCATACTGACAGCGGCGGCAATCGTGCCGGCATGGACACTTCTAGCGCTGCGTTTCGGATTGTTCTGCAGTTTGTTCTCTAACAGTAAGTTTAAAAAAATAATATATCGCCTATGATTAAAATCTGAAATTGATACTATGAAAAAAATTGGAACTGGAAAATTGAAACTGAAATTGCCAAAATTCCGTAATTCTGTAACTGCATACTGTAACTGTTTATGTTCGCAGCATAAACTGGTCCTTTATTTCGTCTTCCAAAATTTATCTGTAATAATCCCTTGTATTACATAAGCTTTTGAAGGACCGTATTTGCATTACTTGTACAGAAGTTTTAATTGTCTTTTCATCTGTACTTCTGTAGTGATTCATGCACATTTATTTATCTGTAGTTTCCTTGGGCATACTTTTCTTCATCGGCGTCGACTTCCTGTTGAACTATGAAAAAGACTTCCCGTTTCTGGTGGCTTGCAAGAAATATGCACTCTACCGCTTATTTTATTTTGGCGGCTATTTCATCCGCGCCAAGCTGAACCAGGCCACTCGGGACATCGGCAAACTGCAGTCAAGCGAGCTGCGTTCCATCCTCAAATACAACAATGACACCGCGTACTTCAAGGATGCCGGTCTGGAGAAAGTACGAACCCGGGAAGATTACGTCCGCGTGCACCCTCTGGTCAAATACGACCACTTCCGCTCATACTTTGACCGGATGCTCAACAACGGCGAGGAAAAGGTCATGACGTCCGATCCGCCGCGTTATTACGGCGAAACGTCCGGAACGACCGGGAAACCCAGTCGTATTCCCGTCGTTCAGTATCAGCGGAAGGAGTTCTTTAAACTAACCGCATTCTTCCTCAACGCCATCGGCGATGATGTACCTGGCTCAAGGAAAGTTAGAAAGGTATAAACAAACTAAAACTCACAAGTCAGATGCGCTTTATCTAGTCTGCTTTATACTAGAATTTTGCTAAACCAAAATTTTATCAGTGTTTTTTTCAAGCTATTGTATGTGCATAAAATACTTGACAGTTAGAGCTACAAAAGTCAATCATAATTTTGGTGTCAAATAAGGTAATAATCGTTTTTCATACAGTCAGTTACTGCATTTGTACACCACATAATATGGTACATATGCGCATAATGTGTGCATATCTATATGTGCCGTATTATGTGGTGTACAAATGCAATAACTGACTGCATGAAAAACGATTATTACCGTAGCTCTATGATCGCCAGCTCCATCAGCACGGAAACTTTAAATCGTTGTACTTCTTTCATCGATAAATGCGCTTACACGGAGTGGTGGGTAAATAGCTTTAATACCACACTTGCTTTTTTTAAATGCAGACGATGAAGCTGTACTACAACGTGCCGCGCCTACTGGAACGATCAGCCAACGGCACCCGCATCGGGCCGCTGAGCGCCGCCTTCCAGGGACTGGAATCACCGGAAACTTTCACGACGCCGCCGGCTGGCTACGACATCCCGCACGAGGAATCCACGCGCTACATCCATCTGCTCTTCGGACTGCGCTACCGGCGCCTGAAGCGCATCGAGACCATCTTCGTGTCGCTGGCGTACTTTGCCTTCATGGAACTGGAAGCGGAATGGAAGAGTTTAGTGCGAGATATCCGCTACGGTACACTGAAAGAGGATCTGCAGATCACACCGGAAACCAGGAGGGCGCTGCTGCTGGCATTGATGCCGGACCCGGAGCGGGCGGACGAGCTGGAAGTGGAGTTCAATAAAGGTCAGCGCTAGATATCCGTTCTTACATCACAACATACGACGCCATACAGATTTCAGTAATTAATGTTGTACTTATTAGCAATTTTGGTGATTCTGTCGCGTACAGTAATGGGCGTTTATGCTGTATATACTCACGCGCAAGAATTTGAGTTTATTAGAAAAACTATATAGTCCATTAAGTAAGCAAATGAGCAAATTAAAAAAAACATTTTTACGTGCTTTTGTAGATATTGTTTTGTGAAGTTAGCTACTAGCCCCACCAGGGTACTCCGCGTTGTTAGTCATCGTACTACGCTTAATCATGCAATTAAAGTAGCGAAAACTCGCACCATATTGCCGATATTCTGTTTTACTTTCATAATCTTCCATGACCCTGAGAAAAACTACTAGAAACTTCCAAGACAATTCTCATTTTAATTTTTTTCAGGAATGAAAAATATTGCGAAACGGATTTGGCCCGAACTGGCCGTCATCGACTGCGTTGCCGCTGGACCATTTGTGCATTATGCCGAAGCACTGCGTCAACATTACACTGGCGGTATGCTGAAAATAATTTTAATTTTACAGTACATTTCACACTTTTATAAATCTGTATGCTGCTACAAATTTGTTAATTTAAATAATTAAGTATAAATAAAATTTGACGCCCCAAATAGGGAAAAATACGATCAAATGCGCGCGGCATGCCCAAAACTGATTACCACTGGCTTTCCAGATATTCTCATATATAGCCCATTTTATGGCGCAAGTGAGGGCCTTTTTGGAATTAATTTGTGGCCATTCCGCGAGCCAATCAACTACCTCCTGTGGCCGTGTGGAATATTTTACGAATTCATCCCCTTGGAACATGTCACCGATGCCAATCCCCCAACGGTTTTCATGGACCAAGTAAAGCCATTGCGTCGGCTTTAGCTTATATGTATATGAAAACGTACGTGTTTTATTCATTTTTCTTTTATTTGCTTGCCAGGTGAAAAAAGGGGAAATGTACGAAATGGTGCTGACCACTCCCACTGGTTTATATCGGTATCGTTTGGGAGATATCGTTAAAATTGCGGATTTCTACAACCAGTGCCCGGTGATCGAGTTCCAGTACCGGTACGCATCAGCATGTCTAAAACACTCATGCTAACCCAACAAAACATTTCGAATGCTGCAGTCCTTACATTCTTTTGATATATCTATATGCAGGTCGGGTCAGCTTCTTAACATCAAAGCCGAAAAAGTATCGGAAGTGGTCATGTTGGACGCCATCAAAGAGGTCATCGGCGCACAGCAGGGCAGCGGCATTAATCGCGTTGTGGACTTTACGGCGTGCGAGAGTTTGGCCAGGGATAATGCCAATATTCCTGATGGTTGGTGCATTATTACAACATTCACAAATTTTTTCAAGGCCTTTTATAGAGACTGTGCACTGAAAGTACGTGTATATCTTCATACTCTTGCAGCGGTGCAAAAATCATCCACTCCATGCTACGTCGTATTTTTGGAAGTGAACGTAAACGGCGGTACCGATCTTCCGGCACTGGAGCACGATTTCACAGTGAAGGTACGTAAAATATTATAGCACAGTCAGGCGTCAAAGATCCGCATAATTATATTTACATTTATATCAAGGCTTTACCATTTTATATTATTCTTAGCGGCTGCTCTGCGTAGTAAACTTTCTAACACTAACTTTTTTTAACATTAATATGCTCTTGCGCGTGCCTTTCAAGTTAAGGATTATTTTTTGTTTATAATTGAATTTATTAACCTTTATAAAGCTGGACGAAACTTTGATGAAAAATCACAGCGACTACTCGTTATACCGCAAGAAGAACGCTATTGACCACTTGGAGCTGCACTTTGTCAAACCCGGCGCATTCCAACGGCTGCGTAATTATATGCTGGATACAACCACCACATCGCCATCGCAGCTGAAGATCCCACGCGTGTTGCGCAAGACAGAATTAGTGCGGTTTATGTGGAATGAGAGAATTCAGGCCGGCCAGAGTGACCTTTCGAGCGGTGAAACAGTCGTACGTGATCAGGAGGAACTCGACGGTACAACAGTTGTCCGCGAGGAAGGCGACAGCACAACCGTCGTACGCGACGACGTGCATGAAACTTCAGATGCATAAAACTCTGCGAAAAGTCATCGTGAAGGCGGTTTTTGATTCCACCACTCCATTTACTTCATCAATTCATCAAGAACCAGTTCTGATGCTCATAAAAATGGTTTCTTGAGATATCGGTCACACAGTGAAGTTCTAATTTAACTCTAAAATGTGGCAACACGATGTTGTATTATGAATTTGGGCTTTTCGGTTTATTATTGTCTTTCTTAAATACAAATAAAAATCGCAGCGCATACAAATCGACAACGCAGTTTCCCGGCAAGTGCATACTGCAAGTACGGTAAGTAACAACCAGAGCTGGTCCGATAAGTCATCGGAGACCTGCGCTGTGTCCGATAACTCCGATAATTCCGATGAAAACATCGGAAAAAGCGGTATCGGAAAAGTTCTGCAGCGTATCGTAGCGGATCGGAAAAATTGTTTATCGGGCGGATCTGCAAAATCTTTAGCGTAGCGGAAATTTCACCCGATAGAAGCAAAAAAACGCAGTTCTAAAGGTTTTCGACGAACTTTTTCAGAAAAAAATGAGTCAGAAGGTGACTTTCTATGTTGGTGCCTCACTAAAAGACGTCACGAAACTAATGAAGCGCACTTTCCGCCAAAATATAGCAGCTTATTTTTTAAAATCGTAAACTGAATTTTGTGAAATGCACTGGTGAATGCCGGCCTGCGCGAATTTTCACTTGAAAGTTTTGGTTTTTTATCGGATCATCGGATTTATCGTATCGGAAAATTTGAGCAAAATCGTAGCGGTATCGGAATCGTATCGGACATTTTAATTATCGGAGCGGTATCGTAGCGGAGGCGAAAAATTCATATCGGACCAGCTCTGGTAACAACCATCCAGGCTTATAAAAACGGGTTTGTGCCAGTTGAGAAAAACTACAAAAGCGGACGTAGTTATCACAGTTACATTACAATCAAACGTATTGCATCTTTGTGCGACTAAACGACTACGCTCACAACCAAAAGTACCAGTGTAGACCAGACTGTCCACGAAACGAAGCTGGCGCTGGATTTTGGTTTCTTAATGTTGGACAGACCGGCAACAGTCGTATTCCCCGGTGACGTTGATAAACCGGTCTTAACACCGGCGTCGATACCCGACGCATCCGTTATATTGGCCTGCTCGAGCCCTTCTTCGTCTCGGCGGCGGCCAGCGACCCGGTTGCCCGTACCGCCTACAGGTGACGGCGTCGGGCCCCTGGCGCCGTTGCACTGGTAGAGAATGTTGATCTTCTGGATATCGGTGGGACTCATCTGCTGGCGTTGGCCAATAGCCACGCTCCGCCGTTTGGGGACGATCGTCGGGAAGTTGGGATTTTTCGCGAAAGCGGTGCGATCGTAGTGCATTAGTGAGCCGTAATCATAAGCCAAGTTTAGGGAATCGCTGTCGACATTCTTCTGGAAATTGTGCTCCATTCCTGGAAAACCCCCACAAATAAATTCTGTACATCGTTAAGGACCACTACAGAAATGTAGACATAGAATTTGCTCCGTACTGCGATCGATGTTACTGAAGACAATGGTAACAAAGTTGTCCCGATCGCGACGGTTTTGTTCGTGATCGAATCCCAGTAAGTGAATCGTTTCATGTTGCACAATTCCGTGTTGGATGCAACCATTGGCCAGTTGAACGAGCTGTTGACCACCCACTCGGGCGATGTAGGAAGAACACCTAAAACATGCAGTATGTACTGTACCCACAACATATACGGTATTTATTTGTATCTTATCATTCCCTTACCCTTGGTTTCCATTGATAAAGGTCACGTAGTCCCGTTCATTCGTGCGCCGGACAAATTTGATGCAAGTCTTGCTCATTATATCGTTGAGCGCTTTGACAATCGTAGATTGCTGTTGCGAACCTAAAGACCAGCGGAAGTATATTAAAAATTTTTTTAAAGCTACCAAATTAATTTCCCAAAAGGAACAGATCATAATAAAATGGAGGAAATTGACCTACTTATGTAGTATGTGCGTCCAACCAGTCACGTTTTATAACAAATAGGTACATAATATCCTGCTAGTTTTTCAGACCATTGACCATGTCAGCCGCGCGCGTATTTGACATCAACCGTAAGGCACAAAGACTTACTGTAGCCTTGAGCAATGGTGAACGGAACGACACCGTTTCGCCACAGCACATTCCGATTGCGCACTGCGGTGTACATCAATGTTCCTCCGGAACCACTCTGAAAAAGTTTTCAAAATGGAAAATTTTGAGCAGCCTGTGCTATAATCCCCAGTGACCTTTAGGGCCTTTATATGGAGGGAGAAACAAAAGTGCTGTAGTTCTTGTTCTGCCGCTTTATTAAGAATTTATTTCTTCTCACCGGATGTTCGGCGTCGATAGGCATGACCATGATATCACCTTCGTAAAGGTCGGTCCTCTGCAGTAATGATGCGTCGACACCAGAATTATTCGTCTGTGCCACACTTTCTCGGATCAAATCTTCCCAGTCTGAAAACAAAATCCGGATAAGCCTCCAACTCGTCAACACAGCATCCATATAATATATAAAATATTATTGCCTTTATCTGGGATTACACTAGTTCTGTCTGTTGGTAAAATAGTAAATAATTATCGATTTATCAATTAAGAACACGTTTGGGGAATTATCGCCGCGAACGCTGTCTATGGCGTATTCTGTATACGTACGTATTGCAACCTCAAATTGTATCTTTACCTGCCGGAAGATCGCTGTCTTCGTGATCATGATCGTGATTGTCATCCTTGGTGGGAACTGGACTAGGTGCACCATGGATCACCATCGTCTTGCAGCAAATGAATACAAGAAAAATTTGCACGATAATCCCGTGCATGTACATTTTAAGATAACAGGCAAAACTGTTTTTGAAACAGTTTAGAGAAACGGCGAATAATTAACGCTTAAACCGGAAAGTTTACAAGGGGAACGCGGAAATATATGGATTAATATGTGGTCAGTTAAAACCAGATTTTCATCAAGTTACAAAAATTCAATAGGAGAAACAATAACAAAAAGCAGATAATATCGTTTCCAAATCTGAAAACTGAGTTCTGTTTTTTGTAAGTATGTAACTATGTATGTGCTTAACTAAACTCCGGATATGATTCTCAGCAGCTTGAACTGTTAGAAAAATGGCAGATGTAACTAGCTTTTATACTTGTATTGGTAATTGTATCTGTTAGGCGCTTCCGTTTCTTACGGGAATATTTGAAACAATTTGTTGGTGGCTCATTGTATAGTTAGACCGGAAATGTCGTTTCGCGCCTCAGGGAATCCGCATAAAGCGTCACGTTTAAACGATGATTTAGCCATCTCGCAGTATACAAATTCATTAACATGTATCAAATGTACGTCATTCTTATGTGCTCGTATGTATTATGAGCTGTTACACGTTTTTGGAGAGCCGTAGGGTGGAAAGTCCGGTTTCCAGCTTTATGAAGCTAGCTGGTGGGCCTCGGAAGACTACGAGAATTAACGATAAGCAATCGTACAACAATGTTTATGAATCGTCGGTAAAATCTAAACTATTTAAAAATACTGATTTAAAGACTGTTTAAAATTGTATAACATAATAACTGATTTTTAAGTATGCCAAAATACTCTGTACACGTCGTATCAGACTGGCAAGTGGCAACATAATTACGTTATTGAATATCGCGTCAATATTTTTGGTTGTGTCAGGTCTGAAATCGTTCTTCCAACCTCTCCTCAGTAAATTCACGAGAAAAATAAAGATTTAGGGCAGAATAATAGCGATTCCAGAATTTTAACATTTTCAGCTCGTTCCCGAAACAAGAAAGAACTGCTTTTAAGGATATTAAGTACTTAACTGGCGGTACACAAAGGTCACAAATTTTGTATCATAGTAAAGATGTACTAATTCCCCAGCCTTAGCCAACAGCAGAAATAGGCGGCCTAATTATGCAGAACACCTCATCTAAATTAGCCGATGCTGGTGCTGTTCCCAACTTCCCTGACAGAGGCCGCATTCCCGCGTTGGATTTCGATGCTAAACCACTGGCGCAGATACTCGATCGCCCGTATCTCGCCCCTTTCCTGATGTATCCATCTGCCCGAGTTCGGTGACCATGCAAGATGCTCATGAAGAGGTCGAGCTTCCTCGGAGACACACCTAATATGCGTTGCACTCGTACCATTAAAAAGTTTCTCAGACCACAAAAAAAGGTTCGTGAGCTTATGTACTATTGCAAAGTAGTCCGCGAGGAAGCTTGATTAAAAATCTTACTTACGGAAATCGGCAAAAGAAGCAACAACGGAACTACAAAGACACCGGTACGGCGGTACGCATATACGAGTATATCATCGGCATATGTACGAGTACAAGTACCGCTTCCCGCCAAGGAAAGCGCGGAAGGCTGTGGACAACCTCATGTCTACACTGCATTTCGTAGTCCACAGGGTCACTTGTACTTATTTTGTGGGTATTTCGTATGCAATGCACAAAACCTAAAATCGCGATTGCACCAGCTGGAAACCTCATGAATTTCAGTTAGGTTTCCAGACTTACTGTTTTTCGATAAACTCGTGCTGAGTAAATTTTGCACTGTTATTGGTTAATAATAATAAAAGTATGTTCGTGAAATATTCCCGTACGTGTGCGTCTGCTGCGTGGCAGCTTGGAAGATGCGTGTCGAGTGGCTCGTCGGAACGAATTATCCAGTCAATGAAAACCATCATTATGGATCGAGCACCCGTCACATACGGCACATGCGCCACTCCAACCAAAGACTTCGGCCTGTTCTATGTTAAAGCTGGTGATGCTAAGTAAGTATTCGATGGAAGGATGATACCGTTATAGTTGTGGATAACGCCATTCCTGACTGAATTGATTGGAATTTTTGATTTACGGATGGTTTGAACAGGCATCTCGACCTGCACAACGCATCAGCAGCGGACGTAGAGCAGCTGGCGCGTGCTTGCGATGCAGCGACGTTTGGGCTGAACAAAGAGGACGTTTATGACGAAACGTATCGCAAAGCTGGTAAAATGGATGTTGGCGATTTCGCTGCCAAGTTTGATGTGGAGCGCTCGGGAATTCTGGCGCGGGTTAAAAACGATCTGCTGGATGGACGAAGCAGCGCCAAGGCAGTGGAGTGCGAGCTCTACAAACTGAACGTGTACGGTCAGTGCCAAATAATAACACGCTCATTTAATAAGAGCGAGAAACAGAAATAAATGCAGATCAAACTAAAAGTGGAACGATCCTTAATAAATATGTATTTTAATTAATACAATTTTAAGATATTTAGTAAATTTTCAGTTACAATATTGAAAGATTTGGAGAAATATTTGTAAAACTGATAATCACTTGTACTATTTTTGTTAAACAGATTACTGATTGCTTCGATTTGCTTGTGAAACTGGCCGTAGCGTGCGTGTACGATAGTCATTCTGTCGTAATTACTAAATAGTTTTTCGTATTTTTCAGGCGCAGGCGGCTTCTTCAAACCGCACAAGGATACGCCGAGGAGCGGGAAGATGTTTGGATCGCTGGTGATCGTGTTCCCGGTTGCGCACACGGGCGGCGAATTGATTCTGCGCCACGACGGGAAAGAGTGGGCATTCGATGCCGGAAAGGAGCTGGCCGCCACTGCCCGCCCGTCGGTCGGCTACGTGGCTTTCTACAGCGACGTGGAGCACGAAGTGGCCCCGGTCCAGTCCGGACACCGCGTCACACTCACCTACAACCTGTACTTCGGCGATAACGCAGAGAAAACTCTGCCGCAATCAGAAGCCGTTCGTCAACAGGAGAAAGAGTTTAAAAAGGGACTGGAGCAGCTGTTGGCCGATCCCTTGTTCCTTCCGCACGGCGGCTTTATTGGTTTCGGCCTGCAGCACGAATATCCGCTGAGCGCCGACACGGCTGCCGCCAGCTTCGCGGGTCGTCTGAAGGGAAACGACGCCGTAATGGAGCGCGTGTGCGAGCAGTTAGGAGTGCCGATCGAGCTGAAAATCTTCACCAGAACCTGGAACATCGAGGGAGAGCCGTCCGGTGGCTATCCCGATTCGGAAATGGAAGTCTTAACGGACAAAGTGATCGATTTTTCGGAGAAGCAAGAGGTTCCAAGCCACGAGATGACTAACATGCTCCGGGAAGAAGGCGCTGTGTTTCTCCCTCACGTTCATCGGAGATATGCCAGAGCTGGTGCTGCGACTGATGATCCAGAAGCAAAAAACCGTATTCACTGGATCACCGAGGTGACGAAACACAACACCATAAAGACTGAGTATGTTGCATATGGAAATCAGTCTGAGCTGGACCACTTATACGGTTCGATCTGCCTGATTGCCAAAATTGGCCCCGTTGGAAAGCGCACTTAATTGAAGTTAATTCTAAATTGATAAATATTAGTTGACTAATAATAGCTGACTGGCAGAGCCAGTCTCTGATACACGTACTTTAATTACTAGTATATCCATCTGGACGTTAACAAAAGGCACTCCTTGGCAGTGGCCCTTGCACGGCATAATTTCGGTTAAATCACCTCGTTGATGATTTGAGACCGTGGTTTTCGGAATCGCTCATGAAACCACCACTGTTCAGTGATCACCGGTTCAGTATGAGTTATCAATCAGCTATTAAAATTTCGTGATTACTGATTACCTATTAGGTTTTTCATGTCTTGCGAATAGCTCATACTTTTTAAATTTCCTAAACATAAGAATAATCAAAAGACACCCGCATTTATTCCGAAATTCAGACTGCACAATCACTCAGGAAAAAGCTTTGCACGAAGAAATCATGGTCCACTACTCAAAACCCGTACAGTACTTCAAAGCAAACCATTCAAACAGAACGAGACAATCAACTAGCCAGAGCCACTTCTCAAAGGAGAGTAAACTATTGCACTTTTGGAGCATTTCTTACCCTGCCCAGTTAAGAGACAGAGAAAGAAATCCCGAAAGACAAACCGGTAAAAGCCGCTCTAACCAGATGTCATCTCTTGGTGTAAACGAAAACAACGACAACAACAGAATCGCTCGTCATAATTCCCATAATACTTACACACAACAACGAAAAAAACCCACACACGCACACTTGGTTCAACCCAAATCCGATGCATAATGCACATGGGAACCTTGCAACAGACAGGAATATGTACATACAACAGCGTAACCAGTAAATCTGATGATTCGCACACGATTAAATAATAAAGATAGTGGAGATACAGAGAGGCCAACAAAAAAGAAAGAACAGAGGCCTGGAAACGAGTGGCTCGCCTTCGTCCGAAAACAGTGAATACTCCAGCCAACGCAGCGCGCTTCTACTGAGCCTGAGCTTTTTGGGCAGCGGCGATAGCGGCCGGCGGTGGTGCGGAAGCAGCAGCAGGAGCGGCGCCTCCCGTGGCCACGCCCTTCTTGCCAATTAGACTCTTGTGAATATGCGGGATGACACCTGCAAAAGAGTTTTATTTTTTCAGAAGAGCTTTATTTTTTAAAAAATATCTTGATTACTTTGTACAGCAATTCTAACCGAATTAGCATTGTCAAATTTTCGTTTTACGAGTAAAAGTTTTTAACAATTTAGATTCAAGACTTCAAGTGTACAGCTGCTATTAAATTTTAGTTATAAAACATTCCTAAGAAAACAAACGTTAACTATAATAAAATGACTGATTTAAAATCTCCGCTCTTGAAAAATCAAAAATAGTTAAATAACCACAAAACAAAAACCATTACCGAGACGCTACTTTTACGTATTGCTGCCATAGGCAACAAATTCCTAACTATTTCTGTCAAAATAAAGCCTTTACCTCCTCCAGCAATTGTCGCTTTGATCAACGAGTCCAGCTCCTCATCGCCACGGATAGCCAACTGAAGGTGACGCGGTGTGATACGCTTAACTTTGAGATCCTTGCTGGCATTTCCCGCCAATTCCAACACCTAAGTCGGCAAATAGGTCAGCAGACCGCTGGTAACAGTCGTAAGTAGGGCAGTGATAATCAACTCGTATCCAGGCATCGTGCATCCAGACACAACAGAAGTTTAAAAATCGTTAATTCAAGTTGCCGAAAACAAATTTACCTCAGCCGTTAAGTACTCAAGAATGGCAGCGCTGTACACCGCAGCCGTTGCTCCCACACGACCATGGCTAGTAGTCCGTGATTTCAGGTGACGATGGATACGGCCGACAGGAAACTACAAAAATCCATGCTTCATTATGCTTCAAGTTGATGGCGCTGTTTCAAAATACAAATTCATATGGCGCACTGCAACATTTTACCACATCACTGCGAATCGGAAAGCTACATTATTAAACTACCGCATCCGCATTAATAAATTTGCATCAACCAGCGCCGACCGGCCAGTCCACGCCGCTTTCGCGATTTAGTTACCGCCCACTCTGACCACCTCTTTCTATGAAACCATTCACATGCTGATAGCCTGATACCGAGAATACAGTACAGACCAGACTGGCTCAGACAGCGCATAGGCCAACGGATCTGATTTTGCCGCCAAAACTTATGATATTACGGTTTGCACTCCGCTCCATTTCTTCTCATTATTTACTTAATCTGCAATCCACGAGATTACTAATTTAAGTTATTTGCGGCATAATTTGTCCACAATGTATCGCACCTGCTTATTCACCGAAGACGTGAAACTTTTGATGAGTACAGTCGGGAAGTTTAAAATAAAAATATCACCTACTGTTAAGACTCTATAGAAACAACGGCTAAACCTTAGAATTCGAAAACTCTAGAAATCTTCAGTGCAACGGTTGTCACGATTGTGGAAACCTTCTGTTTACTAACAACTAACCCAGTAAACAGCAACCAAGTTTTAAGTGCTTCGAAATTCAAAAACTCGACATCAAAAATCGGCAAATATGGAACAGGAGTGGTTAATTTAGGCTGCAGAAGACTGAGCTCAGTTTATAATTATTAGGAAAAACCACGAATTTTTACAAAGTTAGCAAGCATACAGAAAATACTGGTTCTCTCACCACTTGCGGTCCTACCTCAAATGCTACAAAATGAGCACATACTGGAATATTAAAGAGCTTAGCTAACAAGGAAATGAAATAAAACAAAATTTAAAAACTGTAATTAAAATGGTAATCATGTCACTGTGATACTTTCTTATGTTCCAAATTTCTAATGAAAACAAAAAGTAAACCAGCAAGCTAGCATTACTTCTCAAGGCTATTTCACCCTGTAGGAAGCTTGATAATGTTCAAAACGACAACAGGAGCCCAACGGCTTGCGCCAAAAAACAACAGAGTTCCAAACTTTATCGTTTCAGTTTTAAGACTGTCGAAGTGTTTCAATATTGGATTTGTTTTGAAGATTCAGGCCACCAACAGACGCTCTCTTACCTGTAAACCCGCTCGAGCCGACCGTGAAATGGCTTTATTTTTCGCCTTTCCCGTATCCTTTCCAGCTTTTCCTCCAGCCTAATACATCGTTGGTAAACATTAGCACCGAAAAACCTGTTTCAAACCAAACAGCTTTCGAAAGAAAATCATCTCACCATTTTGTCCCGATCAAATATGAATACTACACAGCAAAACTACAATACTGTTTGGTGGAAAATGGGGAAAGTTAAAACTGAAGGCTCAGAGCTCAGACACGACAGAAACTTTCAAATCTGAAAAATGGTCGTATTCCACAGATCGGCTAACTAAAAAGATGCGATGGCGAAAACGCGGTCGATGAAATTCTGAGAGCGTGAGTCAACGCTCGAATTTATGGCAAGCCGATGCGTTGTACTTTGTGTCAGCAAGCCTGTCTTTCACGTTTTCACTTGCGTTTCGGATTATTGTAAATGAAAAATCGGTTCACATTTACGAAATACAGAATAATATACGAAAATTCTTATCAAAAATAGTTACTTTTGTTAGCGTAGGCTTTACAAGAACTCGAAAATCAGTTCGAACAAAGACACCATACGACGAAATGTACGCGCACCGGCTTGCCATAGCTAGCACCTGGCGGCCTGCTTACACGGCGGAAGTAAAGTTAGCAATTCTTTTATTTCTTTTCGCGGGAAATGTTTCATCCGTGGGAAATAAGAGTTTATTACAGCCAAAAAAGGATTCCCAACTCATTAACCCAAGGTCTCCCAAATCTCCGAGGATCCGTCTGGGCAAGCGGCCTGCTAACGCACTCAGCAATAATGCAAAGTGAAACATCAGCAGTTTTTCCTCATACAAATGAGGAATATGGAATATGGCCGGTGACAAATTCGTCGCCCCGACTTAAATGTCACGCATCCCGCAGCCAACAAGGGATTAGCAGTTGGGAATCGCGGGCCACAAACATCCTCCGCTGGCTTGTCATTTCCTGTAAACCTTAATCCCGCCATGTGTTACCGCCGCGACTTTACGAGCACGCATTTCTATGACATTCACCGCAAGAGTTCAGCAGCATCACGATCAGTTGGGAAAATTCTGCTTCCGTTTCATGAACGTCGTCATAATAGTTCGGAATACTGCGCGACGAAAAAAAAATGGCCGCACATGACCCATCAAGCAGCCCATCGTCCGACGACGAGGACAGCATATCTGACGCACTGACGAGCGTCTTCCGCACGGGAATGTACTTAACGGAATCATTACGTGCCGGTTTACAACAGGGACAACTGCGGTACGTAAAAGACAAGCACATACCGGTACGATTACAAATGATTTGGGAATTAGTTGCACAATGCGCAGTCCAGATACGATTAGAAATCAACGCGGAAAGCCAAGCGTAATGGCGTAATTATGTTCTAATCATACCTGGTGCCCTGTTTGGACAATAATCCCCGCGGGCGCCTTCTTTTCTTGTTGATTATGGGCGTCGAAGGATTTAGTGTCAGGTTGCGGGTTGCAGCGGGCTTTCAAATGGGTATCACGAGGTTTGATGTTGTGTACGAATAACACAACAATAATGCGCTCCGCGCCGGTGTCATGTTGGGATAAACTGCGGTATCGCGGTTCGGTGTATTTATTCCACCTAAATGCCTGTCGAGGATCGCAGTTGCGTAATTGATTAAGCGTGACAGTACATACAACATACCGTATTTGCACCTACGTGCCGCGGCCGTACTTACATGTACATGCGCTATGACCTTTTGTTGGGGGGATTTGTGAAATCTGTATGGCGGTGACGTTTGGGACGCTTTGACGTGACTGTTGTTGCTCTTCGAACTCTACTCGTACCGTGTTGTGCACGTTCAAAATGCGTCCAGCTTTGCGCTTTTGCAGGATTAATAGCGCTGTAGTCGCGTACATTGTGTTTACGATTAACTGTACGTCTGTATCTTAAAATTCCTGAATTTCGATCTACGTATTGCAGACTCAATAGTATTTTTGGGTCTATTACTGTTTCGCCGTTTCATAAAGCGCGTTCTGAAAATTTTGAGCGAATTATTTAGCAATTGTTCTCGTTAGTAATTTATTTATATTATAACAGCTGTATTTTTTGACGCGCCGCTAGCAATGTTTCTCATGCGGTTGTTGAATAGTTATTCCAACGATATGATCAATGTTGCCAGTCAGAATCCAGATTTATTCTATTTATCAGATGAGAGGTACGTCGGCGGAATATGTTATTCCATTCACAACTTTAGGCCGTAATCGGTTTTTTAGACAGATTAGAATTTACCAACTGCAACGTATTACGTTTGCGGCAATATCTATATTTATATAACCAACCGAAAGCTAACTTTACATATATATGGATATATCGTATGTGCATAATTGAAAACCAGTACTTACCCGTATGGGGTGCTGAATATAAAAAATAAAGATCTTTTTAAAAAACAAAGATTATGTTTTTAGTGTCTTATTAGATTATATTCTTGTTGATAGCTCATGATCCATTTTAACTTGAAATTTTCTCGGTTACTGAAGCAGTGAAGCGTATTGCTGTATAATAGCAAAATTTTAATTTGTGATATTAATCGGCATACTTAAAGCTTAATGCTCCAACATATTAATCAATCAATACATTTTACATTATATTCATTATGTTTAATATAATTTCCTTCAATTTGTACAGCGCTCGGGGATTTACCAATTCGCTGGATGTTTCTCCGGTGGCAGCGAAGTTTGATGAGATTCGCTCGTACAGTTTCGGAAGTGCCACTCAGTACATTCGTGATCGTGAGCGGGATGGAGTTGGACGGAACATCAATCTGAATGTAATTCCGCCCTTCGTGCTGCCCACTCGGGACAACTGTCCTATTTCTCCTGGCACTCGCAAACGTATGATGCGGAAATTATTGCTATTAATTAGCGATACACATTACAAAATTATACGAGAAGTAAATTATGAAACATCCTCGCCAGGTGTTTTTGGATATATAGCGCAAAATGTTTTCACGTAGCCGAACTATGCATCACGGCACCGCAGAGTTTTTTATATCTTCAAAAACGTAAAGTTTTGTAAAATTAATGCGAAATTTAGTTTCATGGAACGTAAAATTCCATAATTATAACAGACAGTCTTCGTTTTATCGCGTTTTGCTCAAGTTTTCCGCCTGACTCTTAATGTCTCTTATTAAAACGATTTAGAAAGGTCACAGTTTATCAGAAATGTGGCTTTTTCTGGCCGTTTGAGCTCACGACTAGAATAAATCAAAGCGCGTTACTCAATCTAGAATTACTAAATTTGATTTGAAGTAAATTTGATTTTTGAAAATTTGTGAATTGACTAATGAAGCGCGTTCCACTGCAACGTTTCTTAAGCAGCTCTGCATAACATGGGTAAGTACATACATTGGTGACCTATTTATTAACCCACGGCAGGATAGAGATTTTGGCTGTATTTTAATGTTTAAATTGTAATTCTGAAATAACTGTTGCAATCTTTTCGTTGAAAAATTTTGGTGTTGCACTTTACTGATTTTTTGATATTGTTACTTACTGATGATGTGCGTTTCATTGAGCATACTCAGCATAGTATATACTGTACATAGATGGCAGATGCATTGTGAGAAATTTTTTGGTGGTTAAATCCTGCTGCAGTGGAATTTGAAATAATGCATGGCATACTTTACAACAAAAATTGATTCAGTAAATTAAACGACAAGCATTTTTTTCTGCTGTATATAACTCAGTCCTTTTGGAACACGTGACAGGGATGAGCCTGCAGAACTTTGGCACCATCAACCCCGCCTTGTATTCACAATCGGACAGCGACGAAAATATGTCATTTCCGGAAGGGCATCAGGGCCGGCTGTGGTTCCAGCTTGCTTATGAACGTGATTCGGAGAAGCTCATTTGCACCGTGGTTAAAGCCAGAAATCTTCCCTGTCGAGCGGATAAGTCGCAGTGTGATCCCTTTGTCAGGTTAGTCGGACAGAAATAATTCGCTATCGGCTTGGCGGTGTCACAGTATCACATTCGCACCGGAAGTCGGATCAACCTTGACTCCTTGATTCTAGCTATTTTCGTATTAACAAAGACACTAGGGAATTGGTTGATCTCGATTCTTGGTGCTTTAATTTTAATTCTGCACATGCATTTGCGGAAACTGACAGAATTACCGGTAATGGGGGGAAATTAACGCAAAAACAAAACCAGTTTTCGCGTAAAACATGCTCATATTGCAGCTGTTGAATTCATTGCGCTCCAATAATTTTTAATAATTACCGAAAACAAAATTCCCCAAGGACCAAGGAATATTGGCGCGCACCGCCTGCATGCTTCGTTAAAAATTAATATATCAGCATTAACTGTAATATTAATCTGCCGCATCGCCGCTAATAATTATGAATTTGCTATGTATTTCGCACTGTAGACTGTCATTGCTTCCGGATGAGCGCCGAACGCTGCAAACCAAAGTCAAACGCAAGACCTGTGATCCACGCTTCGAGGAATCATTCGTATTTCCGATTTCCGCTAAAACCATCAACGAACGCATACTGCGTTTCAGTGTCTATGACATTGATCGCCGGAAAAAACATGTGCTTATTGGACACGCATTCCACTCCCTGTGTGACTTTAATGTCGCCCTGGAACATTTTCCGGTTACCTGGAAGGATCTCCATAAAGAAGCCACTGAGGTACAGTGAATTCGCTGAATTGCACAGTCGGTACATTTAAACGAGGAAAATATCTATAAAATGCAACGAACAGGATCAGTATAACTGTGTGAAACATACAAAACGGGTCGGTTTTCGCCTTTTATATGAAGGTAGCATTCTTCACGGTATTAATATTGTTGCGTAGTTCGCCGATAGCGAAACGAAATCAAACAGCTTTACCTTCCAACAATCCAGGAAGACTATATTAGTAACTATGCGTTAATCGGCGAAATATGCAGCTCACTGTTAGCCGGTGACCGTCATACGTCAACCCGGCTACAATTTTGAAAAAGTAAAGTTTTGCAAAAATCTTTGTTTGCGCGTTTATCGTTCTACGTTTGTGTTATGCAGGATCTGCACAAATCTCTAGCATACCTAATAAGTTTGAGGTCTGTTTGCGTTTTACAGGTTGAAAACAGTAATTCAGTTCGGGGAGAACTGCTGGTGTCTCTTTGCTACAACGACGATATTCAACGTTTAACGGTAATGATACGATCGAATTTTGCACAAATGGCGCAATACAACAGCAGTAAAAGTATGCAATACATTGGCGCATTTACGTCATTGTGTAAATCAAAACCGCGCAACTCGCGTAAGAGAAACCATAATTTTTGGTAGCTGTTATCTTGGTGATTTGACAGGTCAATATTATCGAAGGGAAAAGCTTGCATAGTAAGGAGAAAGCTAGCGGCACAGGTACGTGCCGTATTTCCGTCGTACATTGCGGGCTCTTATGATGTGTTCTGCATGCTATCTTAACAGAATTGTTAGTCTGACCTTTTCCCATATGATTAATACCACAGAAGCCTTCGTGAAAGTGTCCCTGATGCACCAAAGTCGCCTGCTCAAACGCTACAAAACCCAGCTGGTACAGTGCAAACCGGAAGACGACGGTGTTATCAGCTTTTGCGAATCATTCCAGTTCAAGCTGCTTTCCCGAATGTGCGAAGCAGTCAGTCTGGTCATCCTAGCGGAAACACGCAATAAGCTGACAAAAGGTGCGACATCGCCCAGCAATCGTTTGTAGCAATTAATAACGCAATGCAGCGCCACGGGACGAATATAACCTTCGTATATTATACGATATGTGGTCAAAATTACTTGTACAGACATATGTAGCAGAAAAATTGTATGCGGTGGCTCCGTGTTTTCCACACCAGCTTACGCCTTACAGTACTGTAGGTACTTACGTACATATCTGCAAATGTACCTTTACTGGTAGAGTAGGTCAGTGCGCACACTGCATTGTTTTCTTTAAAGCTAATCATGGAACCGACAGTTAGCATATTTAACATGATGTGGTTAGAATCTATCTGGAGTTGTCAGCTTTTTGTAAGTATTCTGAGGTCGGTTACATTATCTGTTGAAGAAAGGTCTCGCAATTTTTATAAGTACGTATTTTACTGATATGATGTTTCTGTTGTAGAGAAACGTGCCGTTGGCCGGGTAATTCTAGGCGGACTGATGTTTGCTCGTGGAAAAGAACTGGAACATTGGCAAGAATGCATGCAGAAAGAAAAAGAACATGTGCAAGAATGGCATACTCTTGTTCAAATGTAACCACAATCCAATGTAGCTTGCAATTCTGGTAATTAATTTTATTTACTTCACAAAGTATACAAAACTGTACTTACCATGTACCTGCACAAAATTGGAATAAAAAACAATCTCAGCTCAAAATCACGGGAAAACTGTGAAAGACGTCAGTGGCTCAGCCAGAATCTTAACTGCGTAATATACAATCTGACACAAAATTCAAAACTCTAAAGGTTTTTGCAAACTCAGCATACAAAATAGGTTATAACTTGTGATGTCTATTTAAGATCCGGTGTCGACGCTCCCAGATATGTCCGTAAATCGCCTACAGTCGATTTAATGAGCTTGCACGGGATTCTCTCCGTTCCCAGACGCTTGTAAGCTTCGAAACGATGGCATCCTCCAAATGAATAAAAATAATTGCCTCCTTCGCGGCCCGTGATCCATAGCACATCGATGGCCGGCACAGTGCTCGCCAAATCTGAACCCGAAGACTGCAGGGAAGATATCGTCGCCATCAAGCTTTGCACTTTTAATTCCTATAAGCACACAGCACGATATAGAATTAAAAAAAATAAAATCGTAAATTCAAACTGCAAGGCACTGCAAATATCTAAATTACCGCTTTGCGTAACCGTAAGTAATAAACATTCACAAATAATTATAAAGGTAATAAGTTTGATAATTACTAGTATTATTTTTCAGCACGAACAGGAATATAACTCAGCGATACTGCAACATTATTTCTGCACTAACTAGCTACTTAACACCTCCAACTGTAGCGAGGAAGAAAAGCACTTACATCCAAAACGGGAGGGATAGGACGATGGATGATTTTCATTGGGACCATTTCAACATCGAGTATGTGGTCCGTGTGCACGCTTCGTCCAGCACCGCCGCTATGAGTGTGCAGTTCCTTCTCCATCCTTTGGTGTGGCGCACGAACAGTGTGGAACGAAGAACCTAACGTGAGCAGGATCACATAAGGCAAAGGCTTAGGAACCCTTTTCGGAAACAAAAATAACGGAGCTGGCAAAATTATTCTGCGTATCATCGCCGAGACGCACACCACACTGAATACGGCGAACTTTTAACAGCTTTCCCAGCAGCTAGTAAGGCCAGAGCTACCTATACAGAACAGAAGCTTTTAACAAATTAAAAAAAAGAGAAACAAAACGGTAGATTTTATCGTCGCAAAATTTCCGTCTGGAACAGAAAGTCATGATTAGATTATCGTCAACAAAGATACGTCTTAAACCGTTAAAGCGGTTAAAGTTGTCTGAAAATGAAAACATTGATTTTTAAAATAGGAAATACAAACTGTCATCCGCTGGGCGCTTGCTCTCATGCCTGCGCAATGCGCATTTCACAATAGAAGCGCAACTTTGCACTTGCACACAGAAGCAGGCTGACTCAAGCCGCCTGGCAGTGGTGCCCGAGTCAGGCGTGCAAAATTCGTGATTCTCGCTGGGACTACAGACTGGCAGTGTGTCATTTTGACGTCATTAACAAACAGGGATTTCACGGTGCGGCAACAGGGGGTTTACGCATTCGTTCTGTTTCTGTTTGTGTGCTGTTATATGGGAGGTGGTGCAATACCGTGGCCATAGCACTGGCGCTTAATTTAAGAAAACTGTTAATATTTTTATAACACATTTGCCGCCTCCTTTGCAGAGGATGGTTTTCTGTAAATTTTGATGCCTCTGCGCAGTTAACAAACAGCACCGTCTGCGTACGCGCGCTGTTCAAGAAGTGCCGGGACTAGCACTTGTTCTTATGGGCCTACGATGACTTCCCGGCGTAGCTTAGGCGTACTGCTCCCAACCGCCACAGGGCGCCATCCGGGCGAGAATCGTCAATTCACGTTTTCACCTGCGACGCTCCAGCCCCCTTCACCAGTTTTTTTGTCATTCATTTCGATTTCGTTCTGAGCAGCGAGAGCAAGTGGGTTCGTCATACATATTGCGTGAAACTCTACATTCTTCGTTCTTAATTTACAGTACAATAATAATAGTCGATCATTGCCATAAAAGAACACTACCTGCGAAAATGGATCAGAAAGTTACTCTGGAAAGCAAAGATGAGCACACGATTGAAGTCGAGCTGAACGCCATCAAGCACTCCAAGCTCATCAAGGAGATGCTGACGAACCTGGGTCAGTGGCCGAACGCCGACGGCAGCCCCAGCAAACCGATCAAAGAGGGCGACGAATCCATTCCCCTGGCCGAGGTGAAATTCAGTGTGCTGGAGAAGATCGTCGAATGGCTGAACCAGTACAAGGACCAGCCGGAGTTGGCGGAGGACGAGGAGTCGGTCATTCTGCGCCGGCTGGACGATGTGGCGGACTGGGACAAGGAGTGGCTGGGCAAGATGCGCCGCGGACAGATCTACGAACTGGTGCAGGGCGCCAACTACATGAACGTGCGCGGCCTGGTGGAGTCCTGCTGCAAGACCATCGCGTCCTGGCTGAAGAACAAGACCGCCGAGCAGATCCGTGAGGAATTCGGGATTAAGAACGACTTCACGCCGGAGGAAGAGGAGCGCATTCGTCGCGAGACGGAGTGGTGCGAGCCGGATCGGGATTTGATCTGAGCGAGGGGATTTCGTCTTTCGACAGACACCAGCTAGGTTCCACCCCATTCCTCGTAGATTGTTCAACGCACTGTGGTTCTTTAGTTCTTATATTTTTCTTTCTGCTGTAGCAGCATTATTTGTACTTGTGCTATTTTAGAGGCTCGGCTGTGGCTTTTTATATTGATGGACGTTTATTTTAGTTTGGCACGTTTCAATCATTTCCGTGATTCTCGAATTGTTATTTTTTGGCGGAAGGCACTTGAGTTGTAGACACAAGCTGTATCAGCTGTAAGGCAGCACAGTTTCAGTTAAAACATATTTTAACTTTGTAGATCTCGGAATGAAAGTCTGATTTACAGTGCTTTGGAACTGGAGTGGCTGCTACAAAGGCACAAACCGTAAAGTCACTACGAGTACAAATATACTGTAATCATAGTGATTTACATGCTATGTTTACGTCAGCAACCTGCATTTAAATTCAAAAATTCGATAGTATGTGCTCGTAGACCGTAAGACCATTCGAAGTTATCATTGACTTTATGGTTCTTATCTCAAAATTACGTTATCCAGTTATTCTAAATCAAAATTACATCATCCAAGTATTCAAAATTACGGCCGGCACACAATCTGCAGGTTTGCACTTTGTAGCTGCCTGTCGCTGATCGGCACACGACGGCCTACGTACGTACCGGCTGCTCGCCGGCTCTTCGCAACGCTACGCTACCAACTCTGACTTTCGGTCTTTGTTGTCGCTTTTTCAAGATTTGTTCAAGCATTCGTAATCGCCGTAATGCCATTGTCCGGCGTGTTTGCAGTAATTTATGTTTTCATTTCAGTAACAAATAATCGGATTAAACTGGCCATTGTGGAGCCGGGTTACAGCTGGTGTCATTAACAGTGGAAACATAGGTGGAACGCAGTGACAGGTCGGTCTGACGATGTGCGCCATTCAGGCCAACAATGGACCGGAAGGATGTCTGAATTTAATTGGACTTACGCTGATCTTGACGCCTTACGCTGCATAATACGCTTACAGGTGGGCAACGGTCATTACATCAACTTGTTGGAGCGTTTCTTATACTGCTCAGATTTTCAAGTTTGGTTATTGCTCCACAAAGTCATTGAAACCATTTTCCATCGTAGTTACGTTTTAATCAAGTTTATTGTATCATTATATCGGTTCATCCAGGATTAGCAGTATTAGACGCAGAAATTCGTTCCTAAAACTGCCGCATTTTTCTGGAAAATCTGTGATTCTGTGTCATCAAGTTAAATTCTTTTTTTTTGAATTTGCACATGTATATTCTTTCTTTCTAATAAAAATTGGGCAGATATGGTGTGAGCTGGAAATCATGTTTCCCGTAGTAGTGGCACTGCTTCTAAGCGGCACAGTTATAAACTGCCTGGAATCCATAAACCGGACAGATCCCACCGTTGAAGCTTTAAACACAACGGACACCCATGGAATCCTTTCGGATAACGCCTCCCTCGAAACGAACATCGCTCTTAACGATGCCGATCCCTATTTGTCCCAGAACCTCCTCCGTCCCGTGCCGTCCACGCTGGCGACGGAGGAGATGCCGGGCAGCGGTCAGCCGGCCAATCTGATGATCGGCCGGCCGTACGCGTGGAATGCGTCCGCGGCCTTTGAGCCGGTGGACACCGAGAGCAGTTATCCCCGGCAGAACCGTCTGGCATCCAACCGGAGCGTGATCCCCAAATTCCGCAAGACGGTGAAGTACGGGTACCCACCCGATGGGCCGTATTTCCCGGTGATGGCGCCGTACTTTGCCTACGTTCGGGAAGATGAACCGGTCGGCAGTCATGTCATTTCCGTTCGGGTAATTACGCTTTATGCATCTGCACATTAAGCAATGTCCGCTTTTAACCAAGTTTAGTTTTATTTTTTGCGCGTCTTTTGTTGTATATGACACTTTGGTTAGTTAGTAAAGGATACTCATTTAAACTTATTTAATCAACGCTACTTACTTCGTTAATTTATGTAAAATTTACCAGTATATTGATAATGGTGCTGTTAATAACAGTGCAGAAACATTTTGTTCACAATTACTTATGTACACGTTGGGATGAGATCGTAGTTTTGCAATACAGTGATCGAATTTATATAGTACATTATTTTGAATTCCTTACGTTAATTTTAATGTGTTACTGTAGTGTATGATGTTGCTAAGTGCAAAAGGTCATGAGTTGTGGTGTGCGATAATACTGATGATTTAGTACGATTACCAGCCGGGTAGGAGAATCTGAGACTTTGTGCTATTACTCTATTATATCATATTAAAGCGTATTACATATACGACATTGGCGTGAAGGCGGTATTACTCAAGCGAGTGTATGCCCGGATCGGTCGATACATCCACGTCGACTTCTGATACTTCCCCAGTGTCTTCCCCAATGACTGCCGCGAAGGAGAAAGCCCAGAACTTAATCCGTTTCAATCCGGATCAGATTGAATGGACATCCTGGAAGTCCCTCCTCAAAAACTACCTGTCCCTCACAGAAACTACAGCTGCGAAGCAGAAGGAAGTGCTGATCAACAGCCTGGAATTGCGCGCCTTCCAGGATGTTGTCAGCGCTTGCCGACCGAAAGATCCAACCGAATTTTCGTATGATGAGCTGCTGAAGAAACTCGACGACATATACATCAAGGTGACCTATCAGACGACTGAATGGGCTACATTCTTCCGCACCCGTCAGCAAGCTAGCCAGTCGCTCGTACAGTTTTCTAATGAACTACGGAACAGAACATATACGTGCAAGTTCCCGGGAGGCATCCTGGAGGATCTACTGAGCGCTGTGTTTGTTGCGGGAGTGCACAGTGATACGACGAGAAGACACCTGATGTCCCAGGAACTCAAATCGTTTGATGAAACGCTGCAGCTCGCCAGAAGGTTTGAAACGGGACAGGAGCAAGCAAAGATGAACAATAACTTGGAGGAAGACATTCCCACGGTAAAGGTCATCCGGAAAGCAGGAAGAGGCAATGCTGCCAGACAGCCGAGCCCACGGAAGACGAAGGCCTGTTACCGATGTGGTGGGACGAACCACGATCAAGCGGACTGCAAATTTCGCAATCAGCCTTGCCGGAAATGTGGTAAGGATGGACATATTGCAAAAGTTTGCAGATCCGGAGCGGCAAAGGAAGGGGAACCCAGCGACGCAGTGGCAGAGTGGAAGCCGTCTACGACGTGCTGAACACGACCACTGGAGAAGGGGATCCCATCATGGTGCATTTAACGGTCTGCCGACGGTCAGTTGCGTTTGAACTGGATACGGGATCGGCGAAGACCATTGCCACCAGGAAGATGTGGATCGAACTGAAACGACCGGACCTGTTCCCGTGCGACTCGAAGCTCCGTAGCTTCTCAGGACACGAAATCCCAGTCCTTGGAGCTTGCTATGTGGGAGTGAAGCGCGACGGCAGCAGTGAAGAACGGTTGATGGAACTCATTGTGGTGGAGGAAGGCACGAACGTCCTGGGAAGGAACTGGATCACCGCGCTCAACCTCCAACACCACAAGATGTCTGAACTGGCGATTGGTCAGGTGCAAGAAGAAAGGTCACTGGAAGCCATACTGAAAGAGAACAAGAATCTCTTTCGGGAAGAACTTGGATGCTGCCGGACGTTCCAGGCGCATCTGCACCTAAAACCGGATGCAGTGCCGAAGTACTGCAAGCCACGCCCCGTGCCTTTTGCGTTACGACAGCCCGTGGAGAGGGACATCGAGCGCCTGGAGAGATTGGGCGTTCTGGAACGGATCGAGCGATCGGCATGGGCGGCGCCAATAGTAGTGGTGCGGAAGCAAGGCGGAGCAGTGCGGATATGCGCGGATCTGAGCACCGGGCTCAACGATGCCCTGGATGTGCAGCGGTATCCCCTGCCCTTGCCCGATGAGTTGTTCGCCATACTAAATGGCGGAGAGGAATTTACAACGATTGACATGTCCGATGCATATCACCAGGTGCCACTGGATGAACCGAGCCGTGAGTTGGTAGCGATAAATACGCATCGCGGACTGTATCGCTACACCCGACTGCCGTTCGGAGTGGCTGCAGCACCCAGCATCTTCCAACAGATGATGGAAGAATTGCTGAATGGCATCCCGTACGTCGCTGTGTACATGGACGACATAATAATCACAGGCAGAACACGGCGGGAGCACCTTGCGAATCTGGCCGAAGTAGCCGAACGAATGAACCGACAAGGATTCACCCTGAAACAGCAGAAGTGCAACTTCCTTCAGCTGTCGGTAGAATACTTGGGATTCGTGGTTGACAGAAACGGCCGACATGTTTCCGAAACGAAGATTCGCGCGATCATGGAGATGCCAGCACCGGTGGACGTCGCCCAGGTACGATCCTTTTTGGGAATGATCAACCATTACGGCAAGTTCATTCACCAGCTGGCGACCAAGACGTACTGCCTCAACGCCCTGCTGAAAGTGGACGTCAAGTGGGAGTGGTCAGGAGAATGTGATGGTGCCTTCCGCAGCCTGAAGGCGGAGCTGGCACAGGCCACAATGCTGGTGCATTACGATCCTGCAAAGCCGCTAATCCTCGCAGCGGATGCGTCGCAATACGGGATCGGAGCTGTCATTAGCCACCGCGGACCGAGCGGAGAAGACCAGCCCATTGCCCATGCATCAAAGACGTTGACGCAGACTGAACAGCGGTACGCGCAGATAGAGAAAGAGGCGTTGGCCTTGGTCTTCGGCGTGAAGAAGTTCGACCAGTACCTGGCGGGTCGGGAGTTCACACTCCTTACTGACCACAAGCCGTTGGTCACAGTGTTCGGCCGGAAGACTGGAATCCCTGCGGTATCTGCCAACCGCCTCCAGCGGTGGGCCATTGCACTCATGGCGTATTCCTTTACCATTGAGTACCGGTCTACCGATGACTTTGGACAGGCTGACGGACTGAGCCGGCTGCCCCTGCACTCGAAGGACATCTTCGATGCCAACGACTGGGGAATGCACGAAGCCATCCATGCTGTCCAAATGGAAGTGTTGAGTGAAACACCGGTGGACGCGAAGAAAATCGCTAGTGAAACTGGCAAAGATCGCGTGCTGGCTCGGTGTCGTCACTTGGTCCTTAAGGGATGGCCAGAGAAGGCACCACCGGAATTTCAGCCATACCACCAGAGACGATTGCAACTGTCGGTGGTGCTGGATGTGTCCTGTGGGGAGCGAGAACCGTCATTCCGGAGTCCCTCCAAGCGGCCCTGCTGAAACATCATACACTACATCTGCATGCTACACATGCTGGCGTGGTGCGGATGAAGGCGGAAGCCAGAAGTCACTTCTGGTGGCCTGGACTGGGCAGCGACATCGAACGGCTGGCCAAGAAATGCCCTGCTTGCACGATGGCAGCAAAAGAGACGGCGAAAGTGCCCTTGCAGCAGTGGCCAGTTGCCGAGAATCCGTGGCAGCGTGTGCACATGGACTTCGCAGGCCCGTTCCACAACGAGATGTTTCTTGTGATTGTGGACAGCTTCTCGAAGTGGCCGGAAGTCGTCAAGATGCGGCGTACGCAGTCCGGCGACGTGATTGCCGTGCTGGAACATTTATGTGGCCGTTATGGATACCCGAAACAGCTGGTCACGGATAACGGGCCGCAGTTCACCAGTGCCGAGTTTGCAGACTACTGCAAAGCTAACGGGATTGCGCACCTGCGCACGGCGCCTGGACACCCGCAATCGAACGGGCAGGCGGAGCGGTATGTTGGCGCATTCAAGGACGCCATGACCAAGATGTTGGCCGACAACAATGGTAACATCGAGGATGCATTGCGGAAATACCTATTCAGGTATCGTACGACACCGCAAGCCACCACAGGAAGTTCGCCTGATGAGCTATTCCTGAAGCGCCGAATGCGCACAGCGCTGGATTTGGTACATCCAGATGCGAACGAGACACGGCAAGCCAACATGGACCGTCATAAACGTAACTTCGATCAGCATGCCAAAGCGAAAAACTTCCATGGCGAACAGCTAGTGTTAGTACGTGATTTCCGCCACGGTCCTAAAACCCATTGGACACCTGGCCAGCTGCGGTCTAAGAAAGGAAACCGTCAATGGACAGTTACGGTCGACGGCCAAGAGTGGTTCCGCCACGAAGACCAGATCAGGCCGCGTGAATGGCGTACTGCAGCTGAGCCCAACGACGTTACATCGCCAACAGTGCCAAAGGCGATGATATCGGAAATCCCACAGCGTGATCAGCAACCTGCAATAGCGGAGCCTGTCATCCAGCCACAGCCGGAACCAGCTCCGAGGACAGAACTTCCTCCGGTAGCAGTGCCTGCTACAGCGAATCCTGCTCCTCCATTGCGTGTGTCAGCGAGAGCGAATAAGGGAGTAGAGCCAACACGATACGGATATGCAAAATAATTTTTTTTTTATCGGGGGAAGGAGATGTAGTGTATGATGTTGCTAAGTGCAAAAGGTCATGAGTTGTGGTGTGCGATAATACTGATGATTTAGTACGATTACCAGCCGGGTAGGAGAATCTGAGACTTTGTGCTATTACTCTATTATATCATATTAAAGCGTATTACATATACGACAGTTACCATGTTAATAACTGCAGTTGTACGTAACAGATCTAGAGGAGCAGGTAAATGCGAAGAGTAAGTTAATTTCATATGCAAACGGATTTAATTTGTTATTTCTGTTCCAGGCAATGGATAATAACTTTGGTCCGCTCACTTACCAGATCACCGAGGGGAACGCAATGGGCCACTTTAAAATCGATCCAGTCAGGTGTGTACTACAATTTATGTACTATTGTACTACAATTTATGTACGTATTCTAATACTTTAATACGTATAGCGTAGTCACGAAATTGTCAAGACATTCTTGCTACAACAGCAGTGTGCAGATTTTTCCCTACTTGTGTGAAACAAAAAATACGAGGTAAATCGATCCGCCGTATGGCTTAATTTGGAAAGAGCCATATGGGCAAGTTAAATCACGGTGATCGTAGAGCACTGGCTCGGTCATCTCCTGTTCGGAGAACAGTCTTTGCATTTATAGAGTCCAGATGCTTTACAGCTTGAGCTTACTAGTTACTACCCGTAGGGATTGTGCATGCCTGTAGCAGCAATTTTTATTTTTAACAATTGTAGCTGTTGATTAATTCGTATTGTTTTTCATTAGTGGTTTCATTACCATTGGAGCACCTTTAGATCGGGAGATGATAGACGGGTACAACCTGACGGTGCGGGCCTTTGACGATACTGGTCAGGTAAAAGGCTTACTTGCATTTCGAGTGAAAACGTTTTACGATAAATGCGCGCAGCACTGCGTTGGCATTGATTTTAAAAACGAAATTTTTAGGAATGCTCATCAGCGGTGATCATCCGCGTTACGGACACCAACGACAATGCGCCGATTATTCGCGATCTCGGCTTATCTTTCGAAGCTCCTTGCGGCGAGGCGAATGCTTATATCGGAACGGTTCACGCCACCGATTATGATCTTGGGCGAAACGGCGAAGTCTATTATTTTTTGGAGCCGGATCAGTTCAGCGCTGGGTATAATTGAATCAGTTATCGTTAGCGAGGTCGAATAAGGATTTTATTTTCTCGACAGTACCGGTTGACGGTTAGCTTGAAATTACAGCTTCTCTCTTATTTTCTTACAATTCAACGACTTAATTCTGAGACGCCAAATTCACCAACTTTTGGGCGTATAATGCTTTTTGGTGTCGCAGTATTTATATGATTACTATTTTTAATACGGTGTCTGCTGCAACGAACGGCACGACCGTTCATGTTTTCTTGATACATGGAATTATCGTAGAATAAGGGCAATGTAGCACGAAATAAATACCTAAGTTATTTGCAGCCACCAAATTTGGCGGTTTGCTTATTACTGGAAACTTCTAACAACAGACGTCAGTATCAAATTATGAATAAATTTTTGTTGATTGCCGGTTCATCTGTAGGAAATTCTACATTGATTCCATGTCCGGTGAGCTGAGCACGGCTACAGAATTGCAGCCCGGCGTGTACACCATTGTGGTTATGGCCAAGGATGCCGGTTACAATCCCTTGCGTAGCAGCGCCATGCTGACGGTTGACGTCACATGCCCCAACGATGCCCACATTCCGGCATACTCCTACGCTCCAGCCCACGTTCAGCCGCCTTTTCCGCCGTGTCACACCAATCCACCATTGACGGTAACGCTGTATGCCAATGCCGAACCGGGATCGTTCGTTGCAGATATTTCCGGTGAAAATCGTGGAGATTTGCCGTTGACGTACCATTTTCTGCAGCCGGAACGGCTTCCGTTTTTGACCATGGATACAATGAGGTAGTGCATTGGCAGCAAGAGTTTATCTCGATAGCGCTAAACCTGAAACCAAGTTTCAGGCAAGATATGTTTGTTAGTTTATGTTTTCCTGTGCAAGCTTTTTCTGTTATATCGAAATACGTTAAATACAAACTATACAGTGTGCACCGATGTATTCTTTGAAAAGGGCGTCCCAAGAACATCCAGGAATCTTTTGAAAAATTTTAGGCGCCCAGGACATTAATTAAGATAATGCGGTTTATTTACATGGTTCTGCTATTAAACAAATTAGTTTAGGTGGTATGAATGTTATGTTAATTAATTTTAACGCTAAAATTTATGCTGCATCTTTCCAGGGGCGTAATACGCACAAGTGAGCCCTTATCAGAAATTTTGGGAGATGTGGAAATCAACTGGATGGCCACAGATCCCTTCAGCACGGTAAAATTTGCATTTTTTCTGTGCGAATGACAAAGGTGTATTTACTTCGATTTCACGTTGCAGTGAAAAAATCACGAAAAATATATGATGTGTTAAAATCATTCTGGTTTGGCTTTTAAGGCGTGCTCAGGACAGTTGCTGCTGCGCGTGATGCCGGCATCCGAAAACCATTACGCCCAGAGTGTCCCTGCCCAGGCACCGCCTCAATCTCCTCCCGTCCTGCTGACCTTTAACCAGCAAGCTTACGTGTTCATCGCGCAGTGTGGCGCGGGGAATGTGTCTGTGGGTCGCGTAGCCGTTCAGGTAAGTATCCAAGAATCTTGCGAAGTAGTAATGTACATTATATGACACGTTAATCCGTTTTCAGTACTCCGGTGATACTGGATTCCCGGTATTTGGTTTGCGAAATAACCCGTACGTACAGTTTCTTCGAACAAATTTAGTATGCGTTTATACTTTTTAGTATGCGTTTTTGCATGTATGTATTTTTTGTACAATTTGTATCATTTTGTATTAGTAAAATAGCATGTACGTATAATTTGTTATTTTTACCGGTTTTCCGTGATATTCTCTTTCCTTAATCATGATCCAGCTTTTTTGTGCTTTCGGTACTTTGTTTACTTATTTTGCTTTGCTTAGTTAGAGAATAATCCCTTATTGAGATTTCATTTTTCATTTCGTCATATGGAAATTTGATGCCTGTGTGATGTAGAGCGGGATTTCGCATTGACCCCCGTACCGGCGAACTGTACATTCTCGCTCCCCTCCCTCCGCTTCCCGATTCCTACAGCCTGACGGCGGAAGCCGGCGTCTTCAACGGCGCAGTGTCGGTCAGTGTGCCGGTGACCATTCGTGTACTGTGCTCCTTAGCGGCGCCACCGGCCGCCCCTTACCCGTACCTGCCGCCGCAGTGTCCAACGTATCCGGTGCAGGGTGTCACCCTCAGCCAGTACGTCCCGCCCGGGACGCGCATCGCCATCGCACAAGCCGCTGCACCGGACGATCACGGGCTGGTGTATGGGATAGTCGGATCTCGTGATGGAAGCGATGCGAAGGATATTAAGGAGATCTTCGTTATTAATACACAATCGTACGTATCTCGTAGCAGCTGCCGAGTACAGACATTATTATCATTTCCCGTGAAATTTTGCTTGACGACAATGTACATATTTTGTAACTTCTCGATTTCTTCTGGCACTAATTTAAATGTCAGTGTCACTTTTTATTGCCCTAATCCAAACCAAAGTACCGAAATTTTTATTGCAGTTTTTTTTTAATTTTTCAGTGTCGGACAAGAGTTGTAATTCGCGAACTTTTACTCGGCCGTGGAAAAAGCTGTTACATATTGACCTAGAAGAGAATACAATGGCGACAAATATTAGATAACTAAATTACGATGCTCAAAAGATCTAAAAAGATTTTTAACAGCCTATTTTTTGTTGTCTGCAAGCGACGGTTGAAGCCATGGTACTACGCTCGGTTGACACACACTGTACGGCGAGTATACGCACTCAGTCTCGACTATTTAAAATACGGATAACTGTGCGGTCTATGCCGTAACGTATGGTGAATGGGACGTTTCACTCTGCTGCGACAAAACAAGTAGAATTATTTTTTAACAATTTGTTTGAGAGCACATCAGTGATTGTAATGTTACAGAGGAGACATCGTACTGGGCCAGTCGTTAGCCAATACCCGTATCCCAACGGAAGTGCAAGTGCGCGCCACGGATGTGATCACCGGCTTGGTCTGCTTCATCACCATTCAGTTCCCCGTGCAGACAGCACCGCCAGCCTGTATGCAGGGCGGCGTTAATTTCACCATCAGTGACAACCAGATTGCCGGTGTGCCCTTTGGATCGGTCAGCAGCTACGTGCGGGGGGCAAATCTCCGCTTTCAGATCGTTCGTTCTACAGCGGGAAATGTTGTCAGCGTAGACGAGCACTCGTACGTGAATAACGTGATTATAAAACAGTATATACCGTGTGTAATTGCAGAGTTTTAGGGATTGACGGTGATAACTGTCGTTCTAGTGGGATACTGGCACTCCAGCCAGTTTGTTAGCTCTTCGTGACCAGATGACCGGAATGGTGCCGAAGAGTCTGGCTGTGACGGTGCGGGCTGTTGATGAATTGTCCAAAGCGTACTGCGATGTGTATGTCAACATTTTTGTGACCCTGTCGCCACCGGTTTTCGCCAACAACACCTACCGGTTCCCGGTGAACTGCATCACGCAGGGTGGTCTGATAGGAGTGGTTCAAGCGGTGTCGTTAACACGGGATTTGACATACGATTTAGCGGGACCCGATGCAATGTACGTATGAACATATGTACGGATATATTTACTAACACGCATCATAAAGTATACTACGTGATTTAATATTAATTTCATGTTAATTTCATGCTGTGAACGATTCTACTGGGAGTGTTTTTAGTTTCTGTTGTTTGTTTTTGCTTGTCTGAATCGCTGTGGTTTAATTAAGCATCGTCACCAGCTGCTTTTGTAGGATGTTCACCATTGGAAAGGAATCCGGCGAACTCCGCTCGCGCACCGTAATGACCGCGCCCTTTCAGCAGTCGTTCCTGTTGAACGTCGGCGTGACGGATGCCGCCAGCGGAATGCGTTCCCAAGTACCGGCGTATATTACGGTGTACTGTACGCCGCTGGTCTGCCCGCCCATGGTTACGGTGGAAGTGCCGGACGATGCACCTGTCGGCAGCATCCTGGGACGTGTTGTACCGGTGAGTGTAACATATGTGTAACCTTCGTAAATTATGTGGATAACTGGATATTACAGGTTTCGTTACAGTTCATAGTAAAACTCTAGCAAACTGGCAGAGAACTGTACAGTCTGTACTGCGTGTATATAATGCACCCCAGCATTAAATGATTTTACTTTATTGGAGTAAAGTACCGAAACTACTGAATCAAGAAAATTTTAAGCAGAGCTATATTTGGATCTTGTGGTTGAACAGATGGGAACGCCCGGAGATCCTCGTAGATTGATGTATCGAGCAGAATCACCATTGATGCTTCCGGTGCTGCTAAACAGTACAAGGTAATTAGCCGCAGATACCTTGAATTCCTCAGTGAACTTGCATAATAACAGATATTTTAGATTTTTTCCTGGTTCCTAATTTATTGACGCCTTCTGAATATGCACATCAAATTCTAAAAATCCTATAAATACATTGAGATAAAAATCGGGTTGCTGTGCTGTTTTGTAGTGGCTTGCTGAGTTTAGCTGAACCACTCCCGCCTGCGGCGTCCAATACGAATTTTGTGGTTTCTATAACGGATCAAACCGGCCAGGTAATCCATGATCAATACTAGATAATTGATTGTTATCGCCAGATTTTTATAATTTTTTTTACAGCGATGCAACGTGACGGTTAACCTTGTCGTCCTGCGCCGACCACATGCACCGGAATTCGTAGGACTGCCGTACAATTTCGTCCAATCATGCTACCCGAACACCCCTATTGTGGGACGCGTTACGGTAAAAACACGTTATATTTGCATCTTCTGTTATCAGTTTTGTGAGAGTATTAATGTTGAGGTTTGCGAATTGCTCCAATTTATTGCAGGCAGTTTCATCCGGTGCTACTCCAGGTTTTCCGGGAGCCAACGGCTTAATTTATTCCATTTCCGGGGAAGACGCCAGGTATGATAATTACATAATGCACACACCGTATGCCCATTCTGCCATGTGTTTCTTCGAAACAGATTCTTTGGGATTGATCCGGTATCGGGAGAGATTCGCTACATGGGCAACGCCCAGGCGGACAACGGCCGTTACTATTTACTGCAAGTGACCGCGCGCAGTCGTTCCGGTTTGTCGACCAGTACCGCTGTACGGATCGAGATCCCGATGTGCCCCCTGCGATGCCCATCGATCATCACACAGGTCGTACAGGAAGACACCGCGCAAGGGACTGCTGTCCTCCGATTACTTGTGAGTTTTCTTAATGCATCACTAGGTTACTGTGTTTTAGTTGTGCGCGAAATGCAAGAACATTGTACAGTGTCGTTGGTTTATTTCTATGCAGGATCAAATTTTCCCTACCGAGCGACAATATTTTTTCCGGATCATTTCATCGTCCCCTCCGGATGCATTTCAGACGCTATCAATGGATCCTATAACGTAAGCATATTTCGTTTCCCGTTTATGTATAATTCTGATTTCGTCGTCGTAGTGGAGCCTTGAGTGTAAACGGATCTCTTTTTGGTCGAGCCGGTCAGTCCTTCCAGTTCCAGACCGCCGTGACCGTGCGCAATCCCACCGTTAGCGGTAACGCGCCCAGCTGTTCCATCGATGTGCATATCAATGTGGCACCACGACGCCGCTCGGTGCCGGGATGTCCAGCACCGACAACCGTCACTGTGCGCCAAAACGCCCAAGTCGGAACCGTCATCGCCGGAGTAAGTTATGTACAGCAATATTCTGTTCGAAATTTTGTCGCCGCAGGAAGGAAATTAGTTGTCGTTATTTTATGCATTATTAACGTTAGTGTGGTGCATTGCGTTATATGTATTATTCACAATTGACCTTTATAGATTAATGTCGGGGATCGGGGTGATTATTTGTACTCCTTGACCGAAACGGCCGGTGCCACCGATTTCTTCCAAATAGATCGCGCTACGTATGTCAAATGCTGCTGGTTTGGTTTTTCATGTAGAGTATCGCAAAATTTTGTGTCATGTTACGCATTTATTTATCCCTTACGATAGTCATGCTTTACGGTTGATATTTGCATACATCCATTTTTCTAGCGGCTCCATAACGGTTGCTAAACCGCTGCAACAACTTCCTTCGCGAACGTATTCGTTGACGGTGAGAGCGTCGGTTCGAACGGATGTATCCCGGGTAAAAATCGTCGACTGAGTGCGTTGACTGTGAATACTGTGACGGATGATGCTGTCTCTCATCAAGGTAGTTCTGCGATACGATCGTCATGGTGGCCCTGCAGAGCAGCAACCAGACCATCCGTTGTCCAGGATCCGCTACACCGGTCACTGTTAACGTGGATACCACGATGCCTCCTGGTTATCCATTGACGGCAGTCACGGCTGCATCGCCCACCGGGACCCCCATACGATTTGCGCTGCTGGATAACGGGATCAACCTGGTGGATGTCAACCGAACAAGGTTTGGCTATGTATACACAAATTTCGATTATTAGTTTGGTAACACCAATAGTAATAATTTTTTTCGTATAACCGAATTATCGATGGTGTTTTGATCTTGCTGCACCACTATGATCGCTTTGTATCTTGTAAATACCTTTAATAGTTGCCTTTCTCAAAGTTAACAGTTTTTTCGTTTGAATTTGTGAAGCTGTTGTGCATATATATATATTGCATGATTTGTGTGTACATGTTGCCAAAGGTAGCTGCTTGGTTTTTGCTCTTATACCTACTTGATTCCTTGATGAGTGGTTATTTATTCGGACTTGTAAGAGATTTTTGTAACGTTGCAGTGGAGTTGTCGTGTTGACCAATGGAGTTTTCTCTATTCCACCACAAACGTACCGGTTTACCATACGTGCGAGCGATTACACGGGAGCGGTACGGAAGCAGTTTCCGGAAGTTACAACCAATTATAAACAATGTTTTTTGTGTAGTTTTGCGATACAATCCTGCTGGTAAATGTTCCCAACATGAACCGTCCACCCAGTTTCTCCAGTTCCCGGTACGAGCTGTCAGCAGACTGCGGTCCACCGAATAGTCTGGTCGGCGTCGTTAACGCCCGTGATCCGGAAGGCGACCAAATTAGATTTTCCATTACACCGGCCGAGTAAGTGAGAATAAAGCGCTGCATAGAAAAAAAGGATAAGAAATGTAAAGGCAAACCGATAAAAATGTAGCTTATGGTTAGGGTATATCTACTTAACTTGAAAATAAAGTGGATGGAAAAACAAGTATACCGTAATCGGTGTTTGTTGTAGCTGGGCAAACAGTATCTGTAGACTGTATAATTATACTGCCTAAAAGTTATTAAGTACGTGTAACAATTCCCGATTAATACCAAATTTATGGATATATTAGCAGCTTTGAAAAATTGCCAGTCAACAATTTGACAGCAAACAGAACAAAATCCTTGATGAACTTGAAGCTCAAGTGGCAGGTTCTACACAGTCAATCTTGGAACATGCTATGAGGAAGTGATGTAAATAAATCTGTGTAGGTTTTTCACCATTGACCAGCTGGGTGGCATCCGCACCCGGGGCAGCATCGCCGGTGAATCCACCTATCCCATGCTGACGGTGAGTGCCGCCGACGTGACCGGCCACATCACCACGGTGCCGGTATCCGTAGTCTTCCGGGGCCCGCAGTGCCTGGTGTCGCCGCGCTGTCCCCAGACGGTCTACCGCTTCACTCTGCCGGCCTTCTCCAGTGTGGGCTACGTCGTGGGCACGGTGAGCGCCGATGGTGGAGTGCAGCCCAATGGACAGCGGCTGCCGGTGCGCTTCAGTCTTTTCGGCCCGGATAGTGCTGTCTTCGCTGTGGATGCACTCACGTAAGCTACAAACACGTATCTACAAATGGAAAATGTGTCAGCCACAAAATAGCAGTAGCTTTCAGCGTACTCGTTTTTATTTCACAAAATGCGGTAACATCACAGTTTCGAAACAATAAATCAAAATAACAAAATTTCATAACAATAGCTTTCAGCTATTTTTTGGTTGCAGATTGTGCCCTGATCTTTGTAATAGCGTAAAACAATTTTGAAGATGAAGTGAAGTTGAAATTTTTTTTAAAAAAAAATGTGGCTGTTAATCTTATCAATTTTGTAGGATAATCGTTTTTTTGTTGTTGTGAATATAACTTACGTGAAGTCATCAACACCAAATAATCCTTGTGGACCACAACACTACAGTATCAAGTTCAAACTAATGGATGCCGCAAACGATTTGGATGATTCTAAACTTTTAATCGTTGACCGAATAATCGAGGTTTATTCGAGTGATTAATTAATTTTTGCTTCCATTTTTCTTGTGTGAAGTGATTTTTTCGTTCTACCCACTGAGCTAAAACTCCTGGAATAACTGATCTTGTTCAAAGGAAGCGTTAGCGTCGGTTGTTTTTGCCAAGGCCAAGACGTCGGTTATTTTTACAGAGGCCAAGTGCGCCTGGCTAACTCCCTGGTCAGTAACTCGCAGACGGCCTTCCAGATCGGAATCCGCGCCAGCCTTGTGGAGTCTGTCAATGCCAACCTCTTCTGCGACATCACCGTGCAGATCCAGATACCGTCCGATTCCAGTTTCCCACGCTTTTCCCAGGATGCATACAGCATCGAGATCCCCTGCGGGAATACGGCGCTCAGCTGTCTGGGAGTGCTCAGCGTCGTACCGGGATCGGGATCTACCAAGGCCAATCTGGCCTTCAGCGCACCGGAAGATTCGTAAGTAATTCGGTGATTTTTCTTATTTTGTTCAGGATTTTATCCGTCATAAAAATGCGAGGTTTTAGCCGGTTTTTGATATTTGTTGAATATCTACCATATCTACAACTGTGACTGATTAGTCACAATGAACATGTACCATGTTTGTACAGTATACTTACTTGTTAAAGATTTTATTTGTCACCCAAGCTATGAAGTTTTTGCCGGTTGTTGAATATATATGTACCGTACTATCACGTGACTGAATGTGTGATTAACCTAAGTACCATTTCCCTAAAGGATTATCGCTGTCGATAAAGTGACCGGGGAGGTGTGCCTGCGCGGTGTATTGCGCCAGCCGCAGATCTCCCAGTCCACCGTGGTAACCGTCACCGATGCGTTCCGGGGCGGCGCCAGTGCCACCGCCACCGTGACGGTGACCTTTCTGCCTTGCCGACGCCCACCGGTGTGCCCGCAACAGACTCTCACCTCCGCCGTTAACGAGGGCGATCCTGTTGGAACACGGGTGCAGCAAGTGCAGGTCAGAACCAGCGGTTACGCTGATTATTAAGATAGCTCATAAAGATGCCACAAAATCTAGTGGAACGAATTAACGCCAAACATGGAACTGTCTGATAATATACGACAAACACGATGTCTGTTTGTGCAGAAATGACAAAAAAAAATTAGTGTTTGAAATTAGTTAGTTTGAATTTAAATTGAAAATTCAAACTAATTAATTTCAAATTAAATTCAAACTAACTAATTAGTTTGAAATTTCAAACACTTTCCGTTATTTTTGTGCAGTTTGCGCAATCTCATGGTTCTGTGATTCGGTATGTTTTGAGCAAGAATGATTTACGGGGTGCGGCGTAGGGAAGTGGCTTATTGCATTATTTCCATCACTATTTGTTCCTTTGTAGAACAGTCCTCTTGTAGAATTTTCTGGATAACCATAAGCTGCGATAACCGTTTAGAAACAGTATTTTTGCTATAAAAGTTGTCACAACAAAATGACACTTTGTTTAAGATGCTTAACTGCAGGCGTGGGATCTGGACTCGGGTGATACCGTCTCGTACTCCATCCTTAGCGGCAACATTAACAGCAGTTTCGAAATTAATTCTGAAAGGTTAGTACAACATTCTCTTGTTCAGCCAGGGTGACCATTTCAACTGTTGAGAATTTCTACAGCGGCGTTATCACTATCCGGCGGATTCTGGATCGGGAAGTAGGTAAAAATGCTCTGCACCACGATATTAGACAAGGAAATAACCGGTCGAATTATGCTCGTAGCAAGCAGTTATCGCTTGACGGTTTCTGTGCGGGATAAATCTTCCATGGTAAGCTAAGCTAAATTCTGTAAATTATGTTATGGCGGTGATAGTGGTAAAGTACAGGCGAATGTGTTTTGCAGTCCTGCGAGGTGGTTGTGGAAGTTGTGGTTATAGGTGAGTGAATGATCGTAACAGCGTCCTAGGCAAATATACTCGCAACTTGTTTTTCATCATCCGGTTATCTTAATTAAGTAATTACGATACATCCTCGAATGATTGTTGTACTGCTTCATTGTCTGTTATATGTGCATGTATGGCAGATTATCCGCTGATTTTAATCCAGTTTTGTGTTTATTGTTTCTGTAAAAGCCGAGGGTCCTTCATTTGATTGCGCTACTTTAATTTTGCTGCTCGTCTGTGGCATTACAACGTTATACAAGTCTTAAAGATTACTTGTTGTTGTTCGATAGATACAAACGACAACGTAAGTCAAACTGGACGTCACCCTGAAAAAGTTGCTGCGAAACACAGCGTCATTTGCCGATTAGGCACCGGTTTTTATCAACGAGCCCTACAACTGGACGATCCCTTGCGGTCAGACCTTTCCCTATGTCGGAACTGTTTCGGCAGTGGATGCCGACATTGGGATCAATTCCCGTGTCACATATTCAGTGGCTCCCACCATGTGCGTAATTAAACAGTGGCCGCGCTTTTTTACTGTAAATTTATTACGAAGCTTAATTGCCATGCTTCATAATAAATTCGAAATAAATACGAAGCACCCATACACTGACCAGAAAGCTGCAACAGGTGCCTAACTAAAATTGAATTTTCTAATTGCAGACCGCTGCAAGTGGATGGTCTCACCGGCGAAATCCACGCCGGACGAGGACTGAACACGAGCATCAGCGGCGTGCACACCTTCGTGGTGTTTGCCGCGGATGCCGGCTCGCCGCAACAGTCCGCGTCCACACTCATCCGCATCACGGTCAACTGCCCAGTGGTCAGTCCGCTTATCTGCTCTACCTCCCGCACCCTGCGAATCCCGGAAAATATTCCCTTGGAAAGCACCATAACGCGCATACTGGTAATGTGCTCGCTGTTAACTTGCCGGTCGTTAATAATGTTTTTGACTACATAGCAGTTCGTTCGCTACATAGCAGTTCGTTTGGTTCGTTTGGCTTACTATGTGTACTATGTTAAAGTTTTGTCGTAGGCAAACAGCGACGAGCTGGCGGATCGCGGTTTACGGTACAGTTTGAGCGGATCGAACAAATTCCGAATTCTTTCAGAGTATGTAATGGTTGTAAGATGGTCAATGATTGACAGAAATCAAAACAAAACAAAATTTGGAAATAACTTTCGCATAATTCGGTGAGCTGTTTCTTAGAGTTGTTTATTTGTCGCTACAACTGCATTAGTATCTTATGAATCGTAATTCATTTAACTTCGTAACGAATGCACTATAACATAAGGTTTCTGGCCCGCTTTAATTAAAATAATTTCAGTGTCGGTTGGTTTTTTTAGTGGACGCGTAATCACTGCGGGAATGTTTGACCGGGAAAATGGGGAAGTTAATTTTTTCCTAAGTATAATCGCTGTTGATCAAGTGGGACGAGTGAGTCATCCTGTCTTCTTCGCGGGTCACCTGTATACCAATCAGTTTTCTTCACAATTACAACATTGCAGGAATGTCGAACAAACCTGACCATCGAACTAACCGACGATAACGACCAGGTTAGTTGTTTACACGTGTCCGACCAAATAAGTGTGCAAAAGGACAAAACTTCGAAAGACGAAATTCTAACGCGCTAAAATATTTGTGTGATTATGGTTCTCAGGTTTCCGTTCTAAAATGAAAACTCAGTATACTTTGTAAAAATTCCGATATTGTTTAGCCTCCGCGATTCACCCAACCGTCTTACACCTTCACCAGCACCTGCGGCTTCATCGGTCCCTCGGCCAGGTGACCGCCACCGACACGGACGACGGCCTCAACGCCGCCGTCTCCTACACCATGGGCAGCACCTCCTCCCTCGTAACCATCGACTACACTTCCGGTCAGCTGCGGGCCGTCACGCCCCTGCCGGCGCAACCCAGCTTCATCAACTTCACCGTACTGGCCAGCGATGCCGGTGTGCCGCCACTGTCAGCCACCGCCGCGGTGACGGTGTGGGTGCAGTGTGCCACCCAGGTGACGCCCACGGCTCTGTCGATGCCGGCGACGCTGGTGTGTCCGGGGAATGTGGTGGCGGAGGTGCAGGAGAACCAGAGCGGACTGGTCATCAGTAATATTGTCGTCGGCAATGACAGCGGGCTGGTGTATGCGCTGCTGCCCAGCACGGATGCGCTCATGTTCCGCTTGGACGGTGGCAAGTTAGTACAATTAATACTGGGAATACTAGAGAAATGCGCTTTGGCATTCTTTGGCAGATCGGAGCGAAGCTCGTGAACCTGTTTTTATTTACGGATGTTTCAAGTTCGTTTATTTATTGCGATTTGTTTCTGCTTTTATCCGACACAGAGCAGTGAAAGCCCCGAAAACGTGCGTGCTATAACGTATAGCACCAATGTTGAAACGTGTGGTTGCTTAGTGTAGCGGCATTAGTAGTTTTGAACAATTTTCCTTCTCTATTGAAACTTGTTCCGATATTGGAAACTGTAGCAGTTCATGCCATAGTGTCAAAAAACACAACAAAGTGACAATATTTTTTTACCAGCAGCTTTTTATGCTTTTTTCTGCTTTGCTGTGAAAAGGAATTTGAATTTTCAGATGTTAGTTATTCTGGGAGAGATTTGTGTAACGCTGTGATATTTTCAGTTCCGGTCGGCTTATCGTCAATGCGCCATTAGATCGAGAGGTACAGTCGGTGTATTTCCTCACGGTTCGAGCATCCAATCGATTGTCGCAGGTCTGCCGTTCTTCTTCCCACTTGTTGAATTAATTTGATTAAATTTCCTTCTTCCAACAGAACTGTGATGTGCCGGTGCGGGTGAATGTTGTCGACGCAAACGACAACACACCCATTTTCGCCCAGAGCATCTACCAGTTTTCCGTCGACTGCCAGCCAGGCCAGCAACGGTTTTTTGTCGGGCGAATCAATGTGAGTAATGTGCCAAAAGATACCAACTGTGTTGAATGTGCTGGTAATTTTTGATCTGCGTTTTTGTGCAGGCTACGGATGCCGATATAGGAATCAATGCCATGATCAGCTACACCCTGCAAAACGATATGTAAGCGGAGGATCTGCCAACTAATTTAAAATTTTCACCTCGCGAATGTGCATGTAGATTAACCTAATCTTGTGCTATTAATAATATTGAATATTAAAACGGCATTCGTCCATCTGCCGGAACCATAACAATGTTGCGATGATAATATTGATTTAAAGTACACAAAGCGTAGTGTAGTGGCTTTGATTGTCCTGTCATATGCCATTATCAGCTTAAGCAGCCAGATTAAACGACAGTTGCGATATATACCCAATAGCATTTAATTTTGCAGAAGTTTGTTTTTAATTCGAGCATTCTACAATTTTCGACTAAGTGCTCTTGTGCAGCGTGCTCATGCTGCAGTGTGCTCACGTTCTCAAGAGTAATATTTTCCTTGTTCCTTTGTAACATAGTACCATGAACATGGTTATTAAAAGCAATGGAGGTCTCGTTATTCGCCACTTCTCCGTATATTTTCCCAGCGGATAATTTTTAGAACGGCTCAAAATGAAGAATCTGTGTATGAATTTGCACTTTTGTGATTAAGAAGAGCTGTTTCGACTTTATGCAGGTATTTCTCGATCGATGCAACCAGCGGCTTGATCAGCATGCCGGCCCATTTACCGGCGGGCAGTTCGCCAGCGCGCACCGTCGTGGTGACCGCCTCCAATCTGGGCAGTCCCGTCCGCAGTTCCACCGCCATGGTGCAGATCATGCTGAACAGCAACTGCATCCTGCCGCTTATCGTCACGTCAACCATGGCGATTCCTCTTCGCATGCCACCACCGCCGCGATGCATTGGGGTAGGCGGGCCGACGGGCTACAATGTCCTGCAGATCCCGGAGGATATTGCCGTGGGAACGCGGCTGGGAGTGTTTGAAGCGGTGCATGAGGATCCGCGTCGACCGTTGGCATACCGGCTAGCCAGCGGCGATCCGCTCAACCAGTTCTCCGTTCATTCTGAGACGTATGTCCTGATTACCAAAAGCACAAGGAAATGTGTTAGCATTTTTGCACGCAGTTTGCAATTTTTTTGAAGTGCAGAAGCTTAGTTTTATGAAATCTTGTATATTCCATTCCGAATGTTAAATAGCTTAGTGCTTTAATCTCATTCACTTTATTCGAACTACCGCTCTTCAATCAGTCAACTAAACAGTACAGGGTAGTCGATAAGTGTAGCTAACCATGTAGGTATATGATTTTATTCGGCATCAACCAGTGCGCACATCAACGCACCTGCGTAAATTTACACTGATTAAAATGATTGAATTAATGTCAATTAAATGTTTACAGCTAACTTGAGAAATTTTAACTTGACAAATTTTACTAACTTGACAACTAATTTGATAAATTTTCAGCGGTTTACTGCGGACCGAAATTAATCTGGATCGGGAATGCCGGGATAATTACAACCTAACTATTATGGTATCCGACCAAAGCGGCCAGGTAAGTAGGCGACGCAATGCAAAACGTTTGGCGGTCCAGTGTAAATTACTCAGTGAAACTGTTCTTCTGCCTGATTTAGTTTTGTTCACTGGCGGTTTACATTCAAGTCCTGGATGTGAACGATAACGCCCCGGAAGTGATAAATATGCTACCGGTCGTCGCCAACGTAGGCTGTAACGAAGCGAATGTGGATATTGTCCGTTTAATTGTAAGTAGTGCATCTATGCATTAAATGTTTTGCGATAGTAATTCCCAATCCAATGGGCGTATTTACCGCTATGGACAGGCGAGCAAAGTAGTGCCTACGGAAAATTATCCGCACTGATCCACTGGCGCGATTTTTTTCTTCGGTTAAACGTCCATAGCGTAGGGTACTGGCGATAATCATCTGGGTGATCGTCCCACACTCACTTGTGATAATGCAAATAAGTTACGAAATTAAATTGATACATAGAATGTCTGAGTTAGGACATTAAGGGTTCAGTGGGTTTAAACCTGTACTTAGGCCATGACCGGTTCAGTTGGTTTAAACCAAGTAAACCAAGCGAATGCAACAATCTGTCTAACACGGGACAGTGGTCCGAACTCCGAACCCGATTCGGTTGAACCTGCAGAGGCACGGAATTACGCCAAACCAACGGACTAACAGAATCCAAGCGCCAGACACCTCTTCGCGTTTTCAATTCTCTTTCTTTAAACCAACCACCATCGAACCACCGGTTAACCAACATATTTCATGTTCAGCACATCTCTCCCTAATGAACCACGTTGAACCACCGGTGAACCAACATTTTCTTGTAGCGCACATCTCTCCCTGCACTCACCCCACTTTGCTTGAACCCAGTAAACCAAGTGAACCACGGTGAACCACCATTGAACCACCAGTGAACCACCGGTGAACCAACATTTCCTTGTACCGTACATTTCTCCCTGCACTCACCCACTTTGCTTGAACCCAGTAAACCAAGTGAACCACCAGTGGTGAACCAACATTTCCTTGTACCGCACATCTCTCCCTGCACTCACCCCACTTTGCCTGAACCCAGTAAACCAAGTGAACCACGGTGAACCACCATTGAACCACCAGTGAACCACCGGTGAACCAACATTTCCTTGTACCGCACATTTCTCCCTGCACTCACCCCACTTTGCTTGAACCCAGTAAACCAGGAGAACCACGGTGAACCACCATTGAACCACCGGTGAACCAACATTTCCTTGTACCGTACATTTCTCCCTGCACTCACCCACTTTGCTTGAACCCAGTAAACCAAGTGAACCACCATTGAACCACCAGTGAACCACCGGTGAACCAACATTTCCTTGTACCGTACATCTCTCCATTCACTCACCCCACTTTGTTTGAACCCAGTAAACCAAGAGAACCACGGTGAACCACCATTGAACCACCGGTGAACGAACATTTCCTTGTACCGCACATCTCTCCCTGCACTCACCCCACTTTGCCTGAACCCAGTAAACCAAGTGAACCACGGTGAACCACCATTGAACCACCAGTGAACCACCGGTGAACCAACATTTCCTTGTACCGCACATTTCTCCCTGCACTCACCCCACTTTGCTTGAACCCAGTAAACCAGGAGAACCACGGTGAACCACCATTGAACCACCGGTGAACCAACATTTCCTTGTAGCGCACATCTCTCCCTGCACTCGCCTCACTTTGCTTGAACCCAGTAAACCAAGTGAACCACGGTTAACCACCACTGAACCACCAGTTAATCGATTCACGATTGGGCAGCAACTCGGAGAGCAACACTAATCTGGAGGCGGCATCTTTCAACAGATTGCCCAGACTGGCGGCGGGAGAGGCGAAAAACCAAAGTTGGCGGTGACACTCCGGCACATAAGGAAATATAAGAAGAACATAAGAGCACCCCCGCAGAAATGACCGGATATGACGTGGTCTTTCTCTTGTTTTGCATCAAAAATGCAAAAACTGGGTGGGCAAAATTTACGGCGGTCGTTTTGGCCTTAAGTCGTCCGAAGCGACTGGGGTCCACCAAAACCACCATTTTGGGCGTATTAAATTCCACAACGACCGGCGGACGTATCAGACAACCGAACGTTTTAGACGGTTGCTGATGAGTTATTCTTATATTAATTTTATTATCGTGCTTTGCGCAACCGTCGGTACCCAGAGCAGTACCTAGAGTAAACTGCTTTGCAAGCGGAAATAACTTCAAATAATATAATTATCCTGTTTTTAAGAAATAGTCCGTTTAAAGAAGAGCAAGTGGCATCCGTATGAAAAACTCTGTTTTGGCAGATATCCTTAAATATTCAATGTACGTAGTTAACCGATTACAGCCCTGCTGCGCTAAGTTTGGACACTCTACAGCCTATACAAAAATTACCACCAGTCACCGGTCAACAATTAAAACCGCGTTGAATTTTCGTATGATCAGCCTGTGTGTCCAGCAACGTTTCCACTTGGGTTTTTACACTGAATGCCTGTCCCGAATTGCAGTGAGATCGAAACTAGAACATACCAACTTTGAAATGTGATTCAATCCATCCGATTCGGGCTGTATCGCCCATTTCGTAACTCTTTTAAAAATTGCACAGCTTTTGCAGCTTACTGCAGTTACAGACTCTGTGTTTTATCGTGTTTGCCTACCAAGTCCGTTAGTCTTACAAAGTTATTCAGTCTCACCGGCCCCCGAGGTTATGTCTCCAGAGTGTCATTTACCTGGTTCATTCTTTTTGGAAATCTTTTTTAACGTTTTCTGAAGCTTTTCGTGTGATTTTTGCTTATCACCCGCGAAATTTTGCGTCCCCGATTAGCAGAAGCATAAAAATCACGGTAGGGTAATGTTAGTTTCGCCGTGGTTTAAAGGAGTGACCAGTAACAAAAATCTATAAGCCCGAAATACAGTCCCCCTCAAGGCCTCAAGAGTGTTCCTTCCGGAAGGCGTAAGAAAATTTATAATTCGTTGGGCAACACAGCAACATTGCAACTTCTGCTTGTCACGAAACGAGCACTGCATTAGGTATATTGCTGAACAGTCACTTAAAGCCTATGCCGGTAAACAGACAAAAGTTTTCCAAAAGCATTTACCGCTGTTTGAAACCATCCACCGGTTCAGAGCAGCGCCGCCCTGAATTTTGCTGAAGCGTTTTTGCATCTTATTTTTTCCACTCAAGACTTCTACACAGATGGTCTTATCACAGTAAAACTTCAAAGCTGCAAGAATGTAAGTTCGCAACCGGAAGGTATTATGAAATTTGAGTAATAATTTTCTCTGCAGGCTCCTTTACGTATCCCATACGAAACCGCTAGGAAACCTAAAAAAACTTAAAACAATTAACGGGATACATAAAGGATACGTGGGAGATCCCACAAAGATACTGTGAGATACTATGACTAAAAAGAATTACCAAATTACAGCATTCGCACTAGGTGCAGAATATATACAGAATAGTGAGCGTGAATGCGTATCACCTTCGAAAACCAAACTATCCTTCACGTTTCATGTATTCTGCAAAATACGTTTTTAAGGGTCAACACCAACTGCAGTATCCCAACGTTAGTGTTGACCCTTAAACTTATGTTAACGTATTCTTGCTGTATCCCTCCACTAACCGGATAATTTCTTATGACTTCTAATAAAATATTTGGGACGCTTAAAGGATACCGGAGAGATATGGTGCGCTACTGCAATGGTCGAAAAAATTGGATAATTTGTTACTACACATAAAAACTTTCATGAAATTTGTAATGCCAAAGTTGGCGTTGCACGGCAGTAAGGCTTGTTGTCCAAAATAATCGAAAGGTAATAGAATATGGTTACAATTCGTGATTGTGTAACTGCGGCCCAAAAACTTCTTCGTCAATTGTGCAAAGGTGCAGATCGACTGCCAGTTGCTACAAACAGCCGAAGCAAACGTTAAAATGACGAGCTGCAGTGATCTAGTCCTATGAACTCTTTAACCAAAACAAATCATTCGTGTAGCAGACCTGAGCAGTTAATTTTAAATATTTAACTTAACGGCAGTTATTTTCGAGTTATTGACTCGGTTTTCCTGCATAAATAACGTAACGTTTAGAGTAACTCGCACGCTCCCTGTAACTCGTAACTCGAACTTTGGGGTTAATTTTATATAAATGCCCAGGTCTGATTCGTAGTATGCAATGTGCAAGGAGAAAACAAGAAACCAGACTGCGGCTTTACAAGCTAAAAGCTAATAAAGCCGATAACCTGCGGTACGGAAGGTTGCAGCCCTCATTTGTGATGAAACGCATTGTGAGAGTTACCACCAGCGTCAATAACCTTTTATGAACACATGTTTAAAACATATCGGTAATTACGGACACAAATTTACATATGCAAACTGAGATAAGCAATTTTCTTCACGGCACAGCCTAAGAAAGTCATACGGAGGCACCCAGTAGGCACTAGCCCACCTTGCAAGGCCAGCCTCTGGGAGCCCTTTCGCGTACGACCACCAAAGTCATGTCTAGGTCTGAGTCCATATACTATTATAAGGAAATTTAACATCCCAAGTAGAAATGTTAAATAAACTTCAGAACAAAATAGTATTAAAGCAAACGATTATTCAAGGGCACGCGACGCGCTTAGTGCGTGTGTATGCTGTTATGCGAGTAATAAGCACTTATTTCGATTTGCCATTTCAAAAAACCTACTCCGGAGTAGCATTTTTAATTTGCTTGTTCTGGGCGGGATTTGCCAGTTCTGCATAACTGCGTCACGCAGTTTGGACTAACTGCCGTAAAGGGGAGGTCGCTGTGACGTAAAGAAAAGTGTTAATTGTGTGTTGCATATAGTGTTTGCATATTTATCTTTGTGTTCCATTAATATAAACCGAAAAATACAAATTTGTATCTATACGTACACCGAAGCTGATTTGCCTGCAGGAGGAATTTAAGGGCACTCTTTAAACTTACTGCCGTCTCCGTACTGGTGTGTTACGTTGTGGCCGAAGATGGTTTTATGTACAGCGCATTGTCTAAAAATCGCATGCCAAGCATAGGTACACGTACAGCTTAAGACTAAAAAGACCCATATTAAATTCCACCCACAGCATTCCAAACGCATGCGGCACAGTGCGCTGTACGACTCAGCTCAAATATCTGGTTGTCGTACAAAGTGCACTTACCACAGGCATGCGGATACATGGATATGGGGTTATGCGTCTTTTTAGTCCTACGCTGCACACTTTCAAATGCGTACTTGATCAATTTCATTTACGAGATCAATTTCAATTTAATTTTTCGTTAAATTCATCTTCAATACTTTCTTTTTACGTTTTCAACAGTTCTTAAAAAGTCCTTCTTGTGCAAACTCGGGCAACTTGATTTTTTATCACAGTTTCAAGTCGTCCTGGCAAACTGTCATAAAAGCTTTTCAAATTTAAACAACATAATGTACTGTTTGAAGCTATTGCCGCTTGAAAACTAGTATAGCTTTGGGCAGCGGCGTAGGGAGCTTTCGTGTTTAAAGGGGGCCAAGGCGAGCCGAACCTACATATTAAGGGTGCCCCCAAGGGTGTACTCCAGGGGTGCACATCTGGGGGCCACCCAAGGGGCGCACCACTGGGGGGCCCCCCAAGTGTACAGCCCTGGGGGTGCACCTATGCTACATGCGAGGAAACGTCCAGGGTATCAGCACGCCTGTGCGTGACCTTTGTGCGCAAACTGGTGACCTTTGTGTGTAAGGCAAGATGCAGGGTCAAAAATTATATCAAATATTAATTTTCGCGCGAAGCGCGAAGCCAACTAGCGATTTTGCTGCCAAAATTGCTAGAAATTCTATTAAAAATAGTAGAAATAGTTTTCTTTTTTTTGCAGCGAAATGAAAGTTAGAGGGTATGAAGTAATATTGTATCATGTTTGGTCTTCAGAAAGGTAAATTTCGCGCGAAGCGCGAAGGTGACGCACGTTTTTACTGGGAAAATTGCTAGAAACTCTATAAAAAATAGCGGAATATTATGAATTTAATGTAAAACACTTTTTGGTTTCGCGCAGGAGATTAAATTAATGTATGAAAGTACAATAAAGAGCTATCTTCGCGCGGAGCGCGAAGCTAGCAATCGATTTAACTGCAAAATCGCTAGAAATCAACGAAAAAAAAAATTAAGCGATTTTATGCAAAGTTGGTTACCATTTTTTAAGCAACACTCCCCTTTGTTTTCTGAAGAACCCACTTTTAAAACAATCCAGGAGGGGGCACGTGTATTCCGTACGGTCCGTACCTATCCCCTTTAAATTCGCCACTGATTTGGGCGACCGACATTGTTTACTACTTCTACTACTTCAATTGTTTACTACTTCTACGTTTTAACAGAAGATGCCACAGTGTTTTAATTTATTTGCAGTGAATCAAAATTTTATCAGAGAATGTTGGGTTTAAATTAAATGTCACCGGGGCTTCTTAATGAATTTCTTTGGGGGGGGGGCAGTAACACACTGCCTGGCCTTTTTGGGGGCGGGGGCCACGGCCCCTTGGCCCGTCACCTCCCTACGCCCCTGGCTTTGGGTGCCGACGGTTGCGGAAAGCACGATAAAGCGATGTTTTACTGGGTTCAAGCAAAGTGGGGTGAGTGCAGGGAGAGATGTGCGCTACAAGGAAACGTTGGTTCACCGGTGGTTCACTGGTGGTTCAATGGTGGTTCACCGTGGTTCACTTGGTTTACTGGGTTCAAGCAAAGTGAAGTGAGTGCAGAGAGAGATGTGCGCTACAAGGAAACGTTGGTTCACCGGTGGTTCACTAGTGGTTCAATGGTGGTTCACCGTGGTTCACTTGGTTTACTGGGTTCAAGCAAAGTGGGGTGAGTGCAGGGAGAGATGTGCGGTACAAAGAAATGTTGGTTTACCGGTGGTTCACTGGTGGTTCAATGGTGGTTCACCGTGGTTCACTTGGTTTACTGGGTTCAAGCAAAGTGGGGTGAGTGCAGGGAGAGATGCGCGCTACAAGGAAATGTTGGTTCACCGGTGGTTTACTGGTGGTTCAATGGTGGTTCACCGTGGTTCACTTGGTTTACTGGGTTCAAGCAAAGTGGGGTGAGTGCAGGGAGAGATGCGCGCTACAAGGAAATGTTGGTTCACCGGTGGTTCAATGGTGGTTCACCGTGGTTAACTTGGGTTACTGGGTTCAAGCAAAGTGGGGTGAGCGCAGGGAGAGATGTACGGTACAAGGAAATGTTGGTTCACTGGTGGTTCACTGGTGGTTCAATGGTGGTTCACCGTGGTTCACTTGGTTTATTGGGTTCAAGCAAAGTGGGGTGAGTGCAGGGAGAGATGTGCGCTACAAGGAAATGTTGGTTCACCGGTGGTTTACTGGTGGTTCAATGGTGGTTCACCGTGGTTCACTTGGTTTAGTGGGTTCAAGCAAAGTGGGGTGAGTGCAGGGAGAGATGCGCGCTACAAGGAAATGTTGGTTCACCGGTGGTTCACCGGTGGTTCAATGGTGGTTCACCGTGGTTCACTTGGTTTACTGGGTTCAGGCAAAGTGGGGTGAGTGCAGGGAGAGATGTGCGGTACAAGGAAATGTTGGTTCACCGGTGGTTCAATGGTGGTTCACCGTGGTTCACTTGGTTTACTGGGTTCAGGCAAAGTGGGGTGAGTGCAGGGAGAGATGCGCGCTACAAGGAAATGTTGGTTCACCGGTGGTTCACCGGTGGTTCAATGGTGGTTCACTTGGTTTACTGGGTTCAGGCAAAGTGGGGTGAGTGCAGGGAGAGATGTACGGTACAAGGAAATGTTGGTTCACCGGTGGTTCACTGGTGGTTCAATGGTGGTTCACCGTGGTTCTCTTGGTTTACTGGGTTTAAGCAAAGTGGGGTGAGTGCAGGGAGAGACGTGCTGTCATGAAGTATATTTGTACACTGGTGGTTCACTGGTGGTTCTATTGGTTTAAACCAAGTTCTCGCTAATGTCCTAACTCAGACATTCTCTCAATTGATAGGAACTTTCTTGACGTACTAATTTTGCGTGCTACATTTCTCGATATTATTTGTCTCGACATTGTGTAGTAAGAATTATTTTTTGCAAGGCTTTTGATCGGGATGCGGGACAGAATGCCGCCTTATCATTCCGCTTGGATTCGCAGCCGTACGTCTGGCAGTACATACTTTCTTCGTTTTCTCAAAAACAATATGAAACACCTGAATTGTTTAGCGAATTTTCCATCTCGGCAGCAGGAGTGCTGACCCTCGTTCGGCCCTTACCGGCGGCACCGGCTGTCCGCTTTGTGCCGGTCTTGATTGCCGACGGCGGCGCACCGCGATTGACCACCACCATAACGGTCACCATCAACGTGCTGTGTCCCAACGATGCCAGCGGAGTGACAGCACCGTCCTTTGAACAACAATATTATTGCGCGGGACTGCGGGAAAACAGCCCGGCTGGAACGGAAATCACCAGAGTGACGGTACGTCAAACATGCGATCCGTAAAGTGTCCCTGCGCCTTCGCACTTGCAGTAATAGTAGTTTCGTGAGATTTATCTTTGTATCATTATTGCAGGCGGCTGGGTACTAGGTGTGTAAATAATTAAACTGATGCGATTTAGCGCGTTCGGTACAACGTTCGATTTAGAAAACCAAGCCATTTGCAAAACAATACGCCGAATGCCGCGAATGGCAGAGGTTCAGTAAAGTACGGCTGAATTTTATAGGCATATGTAAATTCATACCGTCATCTACAAATAGTGGACAGACTCCATTGATTAGAATACCTTGTACTGTTTGCAAGATGCTTACCGTGGTATAAACCTGCTGACTGCACAACAAGGTCGTTGTTAATCGTAAGAAAGGCAAAAATTTGTGGAAGGCCTGTCGAAAAGATCCCTGAGTATAGTAGTTTTTGTAACAAATGTACATTACGGCTCCATTTTAAATGAAACACGATGACAGAAGGATTAAGGAATCGTTTGAGCCACTATTCTACGCTTTGTTACGATGAACTGATTTAGACAATGCGCAGTACCGCTCTGAGAATTTTGAATGTCTGCTATAGAGAAGCAGTTTATAGAGTAATATAGTTGATTACCGTACATGTACAGTACTTTTTACGTTGCACATGTACAAAGGTCTCTCTTTGGATATCGCTGCAGGCACGTTTTCCCGCTAGTAATCCTAACAAAGGTTACACCCTCAAATCCGGTAACTCCAACTGGTTTTCCGTGGACGCTTTGACTGGTAGTATACGCTCGATAGCCCCGATGGATGCAGAAGGAACGGTCTCGCTGTCCGACACCACTCTGGTTGTGGGAACGCTGAATGACAATCGCACCGCACCGGATGCTTATACGACAGTGTTTATCAATATCCTGGTACTGTGTATACCAGTCTAACGGCTACGAGGTACTTTCGTATAGGCATGTTTGTCTTCTTTTCCAGGATGAGAACGATGAATCGCCAGTGTTTGACGGGTCCGCGTCGGCGTCGGTAACGATTCCGGCGTCGACAGTGCCCAGTACCGCTGTTATGCGCATTCATGCTCAAGACCACGATAGAACGGTAAAAATACATCATACAAAACAGTTCGAAATTTACCAGTGAACACAGTCTGAAAACGCAGTCTGTTGGCGTTTTCCCTAACCTGCCGAGGTATCGTTTTGATGCCGTAACGAATATACTTGAATTTACAGTCATATAAAACATCAAGATAAGCAGTAAACTAGTGCTGTAAAAATAAGAAAATCTTACCGAATACTCCTGTATGTTTTACTGGAACTAATAATAATTTTTAGTATCCGAATAATATGGTGGTGGAATATCGTGCACCCGATGGTGGCGTCAATCCATTCTTCCGAATGGAGCCATCCGGTGAACTGATCATCTCCAGTCCGATAGACTCTCTAAGAGGACGAACTTTACCGGTAGGTGAATTATTTCAGCGCACTTCCGGAGGGCATGAGGTTTCCCGTTCCGTGGTATGTTCGTTGGTAACACGAGCGGAATTTGTGTTGCAGTTGGTGGTCCTGGCGGTGGATGGGGGAACGCCCCGGCGAAGCAGCAGCACAACGGTGCAGCTGAGCATTGTTTAAAACCATGTCCAAAGAAATACATGTATGCTGTTTACCGTTGTATTTGACTGACAGAGATCTTTAATTTCCATTGATTTGTACTATTAACGTGATATGTTACCTTCAGAAGCGCATTACGATTATTTATTGTCAACTTCTCCAGTAGTATACAATGTAATATTCGTTTTTATGATAATGCTGTTTGTTAAAAAAAATCTTGGTTTATGGAGAAAAGATTATAACGCTTTCTCTACCGTAACTCGTATTAATCACCGACTTAATAGTTAATACTCGTGCAGGACAATGGAGGGCAGAGCGAGCCACTACACTGCGATTGCTGCACAACGATATTTATACATAATGATGTGTGGCTTTCTTCTACCAATGCTAACGGTATGGCACTGGCCATCTGGGTACTGGACATCGCCATTTCACACATGTAAAATCATACTCGTATATCACTAACATGCATACTCGTACATAAAGTAGAAGTATAGTATCTCCGCTTAAACCCGCATCACTTCAAATTCTTGAAATCTCGCAAATTTAACATAAAATTCAACCGACTTTGAATCGATACGAACGAACCGAAACTTGCAGAGTGTCAGCGAAATTAAAACACTTTGGCAAGGCGCTGCACAGTTTTTTGGTATAACTGATTACTGGGAACGCTCAGTGTGCTCTGAAAGGCGTTAAGGAAATCGCTGACCACTGGTGCCGCGTTGGCGTATATTTCCTGGAGAACGTCCTTCACCACCTGGAGGACCAACTCCTGCATCTGCTGCAGTACTGGAGTCAAGGCTTGGCTCATTTGCTGGAGCATGTCGGCAATGGGGGACAGTCTATGCTGCGCATCTCCAGAAGACCTTGCGCCCAGTTGGAATTGCTCGAAAACGAAGTGGGCTAAATCCTCTCCTGTACACCAACATTATGACATCGATGACCTTTTCAAACTTTTGAGTACTGTACCGATCAAAGCAAACTTAAATATAAAAACATGCTTTAACAATAAATTCGGCTGCCGGATAAGCAGGACTTTAACTAAATTTTTTTATAACCTAAAAGAGCGCTGACAGCGCTTTGTAGTAACATAATATGGCATTGATGACCTTTTCGACTATACCATCGCACGTTTGCTACTGATGAAGTTAAACTTAAGAATTCACTGTTTAAGGCAAAGAATGTTATACATTCTTTGCCTTAAACAGTGAATTCGGCTGCCGAATAACTAGAATTAAAGAAAGCTTTCGCGTACCTAGAAGAGCGCTGACAGCGCCTTGAGCCATAGGCGAGAATCCCAGACTGTGGATAATTCCAGCGACCATCTGGATGACCGTGTTACTGAGTGTGCCGGTGATCTGGTGCTCGAGATTGAACTGGTTGATCAGGTCGACAATGGCTTGTGTCAGCGGGCTGTTCTTGGCTTTCAGACTTTCCGTTACGGAGTACACTTCCACGAATGAGCGCAGAGCCATGACGCTGCGACTGGTCGCGTCCTGATTGGCTGCACCGTGCAGCTCATTGGTCAGCATCTGCAGCTGATTTTGCAGAGTGGTGGCGGTGTTTTGGTTGTCGGTAAGGATCGCTTGGATGTGTTGTATGATGTTCTGGGCTGTTTGGATGATGTGTTCCAAAATGGAATTGGCGAGTTGTTTGTCTACCGGTGGAACGTTCAGGTTGTGCACCGTAATCCGAGCGCTGTTCCACAGCGAATCCGCTTCTATAATTTTGAGGTCGCAGTTTGACATTTTGCTTGCAAAATAGCCAAGATGTATACGGATTACCTAATAAAAGTGCCAGAAACGACTCCTATGGTGCAGTCTTCATGCACTTGTACAGTTGGATTCAGTTATTTCCTACATTACACTTGTAATCTTACTATTACTTCAATATTTTTGCATACAAGTACCGCAGTTGCAAAGTATGTAACTACGAAATTTATGTACATATATAATATATCTATATGACGTATATTCTGTTGCACAGCTGTGCTCCACTCAGCTGCGACCATAAATTTTGCAACTACTGCTAACATAAGAAGAAAAACGGACGATAGTAATTCTCCCGCGAAGATTTGCTGTTTTGTGGGGTTGCCTGGAATTAGCTGAAGTATCTTGCAGCATTTGAACTTAAACTTTTCGAAGCACTACAATAATTGTTCGAAGCCTGTATCGCGCGTGTACATGCGTCGGTTTCCATTAAATTATACGATTGTATTTTTATGACATGTACGTCATCAGGAAATGATTCCAGCTTTCATGTGCACTTAATTTTTAATGTCGTAAATTTTAATAATAGCGTAGTTGAGTAAAAACTTGACCTGTGCTTAAGTTTGACAAAGCGATTTTACACAAATTGCATTGAACTTTCTCACGTTCTCGTAAGGTGCTGACAGACGATTGGCCATTGTCCAATCCATATACGCTAGTAGCGCAAAAAGCCAGCAGGCATAAAACGCTGAAGTTCATCGTGAATCAGCAACGTTATGACACTCAAAAAGTGAAAGATCCACAAACTAACGCCGTAGTAATAAAAGCTTTTCAAGCTTCTTCAGATCTCACGCCACGGGATGTACGTTTGTACAGTCTGTACAATACTGTACCGATGGTTTCGACCAAAATCAGATGGTACTTCCAAAGAAGCTATGATACTTTGCAATACGTACAATATTTGACGCTTACAGTGCTAGGGAAGTAACGATGGTGTTGAACTTCTCAGCGGTACAGATGCAGATCTATCGAAGCAGATGAATAGCTACTATTATGGCTATTTTATATCTTATCGACGTTTATTGTGGTGTACCTAACGCCTAAGCACCTACTCAATGCCTTAACAAAAGAATATTGATAGCGTGTTATCTCATTCTCCTAACCGAGATGCATGATATATAGAACACATCTGGTGGAGAAGGTGCAATAGCGCAAGTACCCATATTATTATAAAATGCACTGCAATACTTCCGGTTGCAATAGGTATGAAGAACAATATGATACAGTATGCTTGCAGTATTTCTCTTCCGCCAAATTGTCAGGCCTGTAAATTTCGACAACATATTCTTATATGCAAAGCGGTATATTATTGCGTTATGGATAACGGGGATATTCTTGTAAGCAGTGCGCTATCAACTTCCCATGTCATAAAGCTAAACAATTTTGATGTTATACAACCATGCTCATCGGTTCTGCTTCGTTACGTCTAAAGTTACTAGGGAAGTGCACCGCTGTTGATTAGCACTGAAAAACCGAAGCAAAGCGAAAACATAGATTCAATAAATTTACTGAGTTTTCAAAGAAATTGTAAAAATATATGTTTTATATTAACAGGTTTTCCATTATCATATAGTATTTTTTGTAACTAAAAGTAATTTTCAACATTCTTTTCCCAATTTATTTAAAATTATTAACGCGTGACCGACGCGACCGACAGAAGTCCCGTTTTCTTGAACATAGAGGACCTTCGCTTCGCTTCGGTCGGTAATTATATGTTACAATAAAAGTTTTATATTGTCAATCAAGCACAGGAGCAATGGTTTATCTTTGATGAGAGCTACGTTGTGATTTTACAAGAACTAACAAATTGTGCGTTTTTTGTAAGTTGATGCAAAAAACTGTTTTCGTAATCTGAAACCGGTGGCTACTTTGTAAAAAATGTGCAAAGCTAGTTTAAAGGCGACTACTCTGTTGATGCCGTATATCTGTATGTATAACACAACTGTACTAGACGCTCCTTGCAAACTAAAACAGACAAAGTTAACACGATATATATGCAGCGGAAGTGAGCATTGCGTAAAGTGAGAGTGACCCGGCTGCACACACGCATTCTCCATCCAGATGATTAAAGTCGATCCGAAATTCTTGACACATCCATCCCCCACATCCCCATCCACATCCGCTGAAAATGCTTAACAATCCAATTACGCTCGAGCATGAATGCCGTGAGTGCCGGTTGCGGCGTCCGGCTTGCCGATGCAACATACACAGGCGTAAGAAGTGCAGAGTAAACACAGTACAGCAACACTTGGCGCGCCAATCTGTCACGGATAAAAATCTCTGGAGAGGCCGACAACATATACTGTAGAGATATATGCCACTCCCATCGATCGACGGCCAAAATAATTACCAGCACACAAACCAACATTTTCGCTTTTTCTAACCATAAGTTACGTTGCAGAGCAGATTGGACTATGTATGCGCCGAGTGTCGCCGGCTTAATTTAGTGCTGCAGCCACCGGCGACGAGAGGATGCCATTCAGCGGACAAATTGGCTATTTCATTTTTGATCGCGCTATTCTCCAGTTGAAGCTGAGAGCGGGGGATTGGTGCATGGGAGCCAAGTGGATCTGTGGCTGATCCGCTGCAGACTCTATGCATTTGTAGTCGGTTGAATACAGCAGTGCGAGCTATCCGCATCCCATTCCGCTGACAACCAATATGGAAGCACAATGCGCCCGGATAACGTTATTAAGCCATCAACGCCAGTCGTAAATACTGCGACGTTTCCTGCATTATTCGGCGTCTACGCATCGTTGTGGATCGGTCTTTTATGTATGTAACCGGTACGAATGTCAGCATCAGGCCCGTTATCCCATTAAGGCATAATAATGTGATGATATGCAGTTAATTAGTATTTTGTGTGAAACGGTATGTCCCGCATATTCAATTTATTTGTGCCCAGAATCAAGAATATTTCAACTATGTACTCGTGCGTTAATTTTTTACCCTTTTTTTCTGGCGCATGCAACCGTTCCAGCTGAGTAACGATGCATGATGCAGATGTACCGATATCGCGGTGCCGGTATAACTTGGGCTTGGCTGTTGCAGGTTGGATGATCCCGGCAAGTTATGGGATCCAGTGTTTCGTTTGCGATGTGGTTCATCTCAATTCGGAATGTAATGGAACGGAAAATATCATGCAATGCCCGATTACGTACGACACCTGCATGACCATGATTCGCTATTCCAGTACGTGTAAAGGTCATTGTACCGATTGTAATCGATCCACAACACCAGTTATTTTGCTAAACAATTTTTGCTTGCTGCGTAGATTTATTTCATTAAAGTTCTTCCAAGCTGTATACTGTATTTGTTAAATTAGTTTACCTCCTAACTTGAAGTCTAATCCGATAATCTTAAACATGCCGCTGCAGAAGTATTGAGAACTTTAATATTAACATAAATGCAAACTGTTCTTTGTTTAAAAAATTTTTATTTTTACAACTGTGACTTGTAAACGTATTGGGTATTACTAGCATAAGGTACACGACTACACGCCACCTTCAGGATCTACTCGTACATGCTTGCGGCGTAGTGTACTGGCTTTTCGTAGAACGCTTCCGTAAAATGCAGCTGATCGAGTAAATTCTAAGCTATTTGTCAAAATGGTGTTCAACGCTAGATTGTACCACATGGATATATTTTTATTTATTACGGTAAATATTTTTTACCAGCTACCTTTCTGCCGGTATCTTTTTAGATTTTATCGTATTACCTTTTTTACCGCTTTTTATTCTAATACATTTCGTTTAAAATAGGCACCTTGCCTTGCACAGATTAATACGTCATCAATAACCTTACCGTTAGCATATAATTAACTACTTTAATATCTAGTACATGCTGACTGCATGTTTTGCTTTAAATTTTGCAAGTTGTAGTTAAACTCACAAAACAAAGATCTAGAAATTAAGCTATACTGTACATGAGTCTGAATTTTGTTAGGTGACGTAGGGAAGATGCAGATCAGTAAGTTGTGCAGCAAACGGGAAGCGTGTTGGACGCAGCGGCGTGTGCTGAGCGAGTACGCGGCCTGCGATGCCAATGAGACTGACGAGTGGGCCTGTGTCAGCTGCTGTGATAGCCACGATCTCTGCAACACCAACCGCGCCGGAAGTGAGCTCGGACGCCTCCCCGTGCCGGCTAGCGCTGCGACGGCGGCGCTCTTAGTCTTCCTCTGGCTGTAATAATCGCAGTCTGCTTCCTGCCCGGTGCCACTGGACGAGTGCGCCCGCGGCGGCGTCTTGCAATTAACTGACACGATGTGTAGCTCTGAGTTCGCTGATTACGGCGTTAGCTGCAGCTGCATTGTGCACTGATACGGAAGAAATCGTATACAAATTTTTGTCAATGCACTAATACGAGTTAGCAGTGCCGGGACCACATACGTGGCACTTTTCCTGTCTGCTGGCGATATCGATGTTTCGAAAGCAGCTGCTGTTGTTGTACGAGTATCTTTTTATAATTACTTTTATCCCACAAACGGGCCAAAACAACATCCAGTTAAGGATTCACTGCTTAATAATTTCCCGCACTCTGTTATCACAAATTTACAATACATAATATCGTGTACACGTTCCCAAGACAAAAAACCGTTTAACCGCTACGAACTCTTAAGCTGCTGCCCTTTGAGCGTTAAGTAGTGGAATGGGTTACCGCTTGTTTCCGATTTCTCTGCTACAACCATCCTTGATTTCGTAGTAATTCCGTTACTCGGCTTGCAACTGCGTACATAATATATATAATACTCGAAATTTTTTAATTGAGGCAAACAAAGCTTGATAATTTAACGGTTACCAAAGATACTCGTATGTCAAAATAACTTACTTGTTAGTACGCTTTAGCATCGCACGCTTTCTGGTGTTCGTACCCCCTGAAAGTATTATTTGTCTCTAAGGGTGCACAATAAAGGATGCAAATGCCGCCTTTATCAACTGCGGTTGCTATTACTTAATCACGAGAATACATAGTTTAAACACATATTATATAGGCGCTAAATTGACTAATCATTACTGTGCCTCCTTGCAAAGGAAAATCAGTTGCATCTGGCTGTCGAACTATTAATTACAAATACGTTTTCCAAGAAGCTGGAAGGTGGCACAGTAAACGTGTACAGGCGAAAAATCGTCACACTTCTTGTGGCTGGTACTGTACTTATCGTTAGGTGTAGAACAAAAGCCCCAAAAAAGAGATTCGTGCAAGAGTGCCTAGGCGCAATCTGCCCATTATTTCTGCACATGGAAACACGATCATCTCATCGAATCAAGTGTGTATCAAGTGTATAATAAGTGTATAATATCATGAATGTGGAACAATAGATTAACTTGTGCCAATCAACACATCGCACTAAAGCAGTTATGCTAAACACTAACTACTGTTTACTTGTCTCACTGCATGCGCGTAGTACACGATGCGGGACAAGAAATAAGTAAGTCACCGGCTAAATTGTGAGTCATACCGTGCAGAAACATAAATAGCTAATAGTTATGCAGAAAGTGATAGCAGTAGCCAGTAAGCATTAAAACAAGTAAAAACCAAATCGCAAACGCCAGAGCGGGGACACTATGACTTATGAGCAACCGATAGCAGCTAGAATAACGGGCTGCTTTCTGGCCTTCGCACTGAGGTGGTTGCCGATGATATACAGTTCTCCTTCGGCCCGTTCCTTGAGCAGATGGGGATTGGCCTTCAGCCAGTTTCGCAACCAGACATAGGTACAGTTGCAGCGCAAGGGGTTAAGGTAGAATGAGTCTGGATCGCGACATGCCAGGCTTTCCGTAGTAATAATCACTTCGTCTGAAGGGTATCCAAGACGGTCTTCCATGCCGCTCTCCAGCTGAAACGAGCGCAGAAGGGGCAGGCTGGTGAACGTGTCGCGCTCGACGGATGCGATTAACGACAAATAAAACTCCAGCCGCCGCAAATAAGCAAAGTTCAGGAAGTCCCGCTTTTGGATTACGAGATCACGAGCGTTCGCGAACTTCAAGTACAGCAGATACATTAACGGCAGAGCACCGATCTTGGACGTGGCATGTTTTTCGCGCCGACTTTCACTATCGTCAAAGATCAATTCGGTAACCTGGTTTCTTATCGGATCCACGATATTCGCAAACGTCTGGTTGGTGATCTTGCCAGTTAGGTGAAGCACGACTGCTCGGTTAGGACTATTTGCAGCTATATTGCTGGCTGTATCCAGAAACTCCTAATAAAGGATACATCATAATATATAATGCACGGTTAATACAGGGTAACTGGTTTCAGCAGTCATGGATATCGCCGATTATTAAGTATACATCTTGTCTGCGGACCATAGACAAGATGTAAATATACAGTAACGAACATTCATACAAGTACTGATACCGTAGACTACGGTATAAGTATGAATGTTCGTTAATTTTATTAGTGTTTACAGTTTACAGCCAAAGTACTGACTGCGTCGCTACTTTTACTTATTGTTACTTACTTGGACACTGGCGTTATTTTGACACTCCAAAAAGACCACCGTCTGTTCAACTTTTCTAACAATCTGCTGCAAAATGCTTCCATATAAGCAGGTGCCGTCATCAAAGCATCTGTTCCTTGGGCGATTGGTGCATTCTAGCTTGGTCATCTGTCTGCCGTCAAACTGTGGGTATGCATGCATATCCGGCGCGGTTCCTGTCATGAACCGTTCATTTCGTACTTTCAGAGTTTCCTCACTCATTTTGCAACACTGTTTTGCAGTTTGCAACTTTGCACTGCTCCAGTGATATCATGTTCAATGTTGTGTGTTCTTTACTTTGCATACCTGTCACAACCGCCAAAATTCCAACCAGAACGAGAAAGTATCGCTTTTTGAAATGCTCCATTGTGGAAAAATATGTCTTGTCAAAAAGTGAACCACGAAGCTGAAACAATTACAGTCAAAATGCAATAAGAAGTACCAGAAGTTTCAGTGGATGGTTTACTTTTGATTTTACAGATTGCAATCACCAGCCAAATCGAGCTTCCAGGCATGCACTACGCAAAATTTGGAAACCGATAAAATCTGTTTTTTGAATATTTATGAGTGTGCTTTGTGATTGGCGTCAGGGTTAATTATAATGTTTCTGCCATAATTTGTTTGGTTCTTTGCCTTTAATGTGAAAAAAAAAGATAAAAGCTAAAGAAACAAAGCCGCTTGGTTGGCATTCCTTTGCTTCATCAGTTGACGGTAGCTTTTTTAGTTTTTTGTCGCTAGAGAGAGTATCTGTATATGACTTTGCTCGTAATCATCTGTACAGCACGTGTATTGCAACAACACCCTTTATTACAATCATCATCATCTTGTAATTTTTAGACTAGATATGACTCATATGAGTATCGTACAGTACAACAATTACAGAGTAAGTACACATGTAAAATAACCACCACCATATAAAAAAAAACTCGCTCGCCAGTTAACCTAAAAAATAAACATAATTACTGTATGTCTTTTAAGAGATTGGGTCGTGGAGGATTTAAAAACAGCTGCTCTGGTCCTGTCAACGACCTGCAAAAATAAAAAAATCAGTTATATACGCGGGTATAATGATAAACACCGCCCATCATCGCAGTCTGCTTCCTGCCGTTGCCACTGGACGAGTGCTCCCGCGGCTGCGTCTTGCAATTAACGGACACGATGTGTAGCTTTGATTTCGGCGATTATGGCGTTACAGGCTTACAGCTACAGATGCATTGCGCACCGGGCCGGAAGGAAACGACCGGGGCAGAGCGGTCTTATTGGCTGCGCTTAACAGAGACTCTGGAGCTTGGTTGAATACGTTGCCCGCTCCATATCGGGGAACGTTCCTCAGAGACGACAATGTTAGAATCGGTGTTGCATTGCGGTTTGGATTGCAGTGGTGGTGGCGCACAACTGCGTCGCATGTGTTAAGCAAGTAAAGGTAAAGTCTAACGGTCACCACGGTTTATCCTGCAATAAGTCAACCAAAGAACGATAAGCGCGGCACAAAGAAATGAGCAGCATTGCCAAGAAGTGTTGTGAAAGCGCCGGTTTTCCTTCTCAACTGAAACCGAACGGCTTATCGAGTAAGGAGTCTAAGGACGGGAAATGGCCCGACGGGATGACGCTGATTCCTGTCCGCCAAGGGAAACCGCTGGTGTGCGATGTAACCAGTTAGTGCACGGTCGCAGACTCGCATGTCACCGGCAGCTCGAGGAACTTGGACACGTTGCTCAGCTTGCAGAAAATTCCAAACGCCGGACATATTCGTTCTTGGGAAATAGAAACTTTTTTATCCTTCACTAATTGAGACGTTGGGAGTATCTGACCCCGCTCTGAGTGAACTGTTGCATTTCATGGGCCGTAAAGTTCGAGACTTAACTGGAGAAGTGCGTCCTACTGCTTCCCTTAACTTAAGTAGCGTTTCAGCCTGGCCGTTGTTAAAGGAAATGCCACGGCTGTTTTGGATAGAGATTTTGGTTGTTTTTTATTGTTTAAATGTTACAGGTAGTGTAGTTCAAATTCAGGTAGTGTACCGGCGCTTGCAATCATTGTTATCTTGGCGGTTATTGTCCATTAAAGATCCACCCGCGCAGTGTGTTAAATGAGGCAGCAAAAGCTACTTCAATGTAGTCAATGAAAGGTTACCAAAGATATGCCAAAGGTACTAGACACATTGCACTTTTCTTGCACTTTTTCCAGTGCACACACCGCATGTTCATGAAAATTGTCGCCTAACGGCTTGATAAAAGGTGTAATGCTTTATGTACTTAAGTTCATTTTTACTTCCGTCAACCGTGATGACCGTATTAATTTTAATTTCTCTACTAATACTTACTACTTCTCCTGCTATCAATCACGAGCAGTTTTGGAACACATATAACTACATACAAGTAGAATTCAGGGACTGCACTCTGTCAGCAAGGAAAACAGTGTTTATAGCTCCCAAGCATCGATATCTGCGGACTACGGCAATCTGATCGGCTTAAATGTATGTGTATACAAATTATTTTAATGTTGTATAGTATGTTTATGATATACATATCACGAGTACGCAACCAGTAGTTTGCGTATTTACGCAATCAAGGAACATACGTCGATTGTCTCAGTTACGTACTTCCCGCTTGTTACTTGCCGTATAGTTACATAATTGCGTGCGTATCGCATATGATGCTGGTCACAAGAAAAAGGTCAGTAGTTGGCTAAACGAGGCAACATACCTGTTGTTGCTACATAAAAAACATAAATACCCGGTAATAACACCCGGTAGCTGATAGGCTATTTACTAATCGGTTAAGCAGAAACTGATGGCTGTAAGGACCAACAGCAGTTTACGCTGATTTCTCAAGTACAACCAAATCACAAACGCCGGGGAGAAACACTATGAGCAGCCAATAGCAGCGAGAATAAAGGGCTGCTTTTTGGCCTCCGCGCTCGGATGGTTGCCAACGACATACAGTTCTCCTTCGGCCCTTTCCTTGCGAAGATGGGGATTGGCCTTCAGCCAGTTTCGCAACCAGACATATTCACAATTGCAGTGCAGGGGGTTAATGTCTGACGATGCTGGATCGTCACACAGCTCGCTTTCCTTAGTAATAATTACTTCGTATCCCAAAAGGCCTTCGTAACCGGTCTCCAGCTGAAAGGAGCGCAATTGGGCCAGATCGGTAAAGGTGTCGCGCTCGATGGACGCAATGGACGACCGATAAAACTCCAGGCGGCGCAAATACGTAAAGGTCACAAAGTCCTGCTTTCGGATGACGAGATCGCGACCGTACTCAAATTTCAAGTGCAGCAAATACGCTAACGGCAGAGCACCGATTTTGGACGTGGCGACTTTTTTGTGACGGTTGTAAAAGTCGCTAAAGGTTAATTCGATCACTTGATTTTTGATCGGATCCAGCATATGCGCAAATGTCTGGTTAGTGATTTTGCCGTTTAGGTGAACCGCAACTGCTCGGTTAGGACTATTTGTTGCTATACTGCTGGCTGCATCCAAGAACTCCTGTAAAAAACACATAAAACGATAACAAGTAAACGATAAACACAGGAAAATATTAAGTAAGTTTCAGTAGCTTCGGATAAAGCCGTTTATATACAGCAAATCTTGCTTACGGTAAAGGTATGAATGTCCGATATTTTAATACTGGTTACAGGCACATTTACTGGGTCTCTACTTGTACTTACTTGGACACTGGCACCATCCTGACATTCTAAATCCGTCACCGTCTCTTTGACGTTTTTAGTGATCTTCTGCGAAATACTTCCATATAAGCAGCTGATGTCGTTAAACCAGCAACTGTTCCTTGGGCGACTGTTGCATTCTCGTTCAGTCATCAATGTTCCGTCAAACTGGGGGTATCCAGGCATATCCGTCGCACTCTCTGCGAAAACCGTAGCATCATTATTTTCATATTCCATTTTTTGCACATTTTACGGCACACCTTTGCAGTTTGCACTGCTCCAGTATATTGTATGTATGCATGTTCTTTATTTTGCCTACCTACCTGTCACAACCACCAAAATTCCAAACAGAAAGCACCGCATTTTGAATTGCTTCATTATGGAAAAATGTGTTTTGTCAAAAAGCGGACCATTAGGTCGAAATAATTATAGAAAAAATTCGATATCCGACGTATTATAAAAGTTCCAGTGGATAATCAGTTTTTGATCATAATTACTTACCAAATCGAGCATCCAGGCATGCATAGCGCCGAGAATGCAACCCGATACGATCTGTTTGATGAGCACTTGCGCGCTTTTTGAGTGGATTCCGGATTAAATTATAATGTTATTGCCAGAATTTGTTTGGATTTTTGCATTGGATTAGATCGTTGTAATCGATTGACCTTTGCGCCGAATGTACAAAAAAGAAGAAAACTAAGAGATTTTTAATGAAGCAGAGATAAAGTTACATATTAATTTTATCTGTGCAGCATGTGTCTGCAAAACCGCGGTATATTATTTATCGTCTTGTCTGGTGAGTTACTGTATATAATATTCTGATCTTTTGCACGAATTTCGTACATTACAACAATACATCTCTGTATGTAATATATATCCTACAATTTAGAACAGCTAACTTTTTTGTGCAAATCAAAAACATAAATACTCTTTCTTTGTAGAATTAGTGACTATATATGTATGTACAATACTTTGATTTGCTGATCGTGAGTTATAAACTCTTGGAATAAATCGCGTCGAATGGCAGAAATAACGTTTTAATAATCGGTTGCAGGCTCAACAGTGAACTCAGACTACAGAAAAGTTAGAGTAACACTGAACGAAACCAAATTCGTCATCAAATGTTAATTTAAAGTCAATCAAGCTTCACGCTCGCAATAAAGTGCTGTAGAATACGGAGTAATCGCCACCACCATTTAAAAGAATTTGTTAATTCTAAAAAAATCAAAAAATTATCATAATTACATTGTGTATCGTGTTAAGCGTTCGAGATTGAGTCATGGAGGATTTAGAAGCGGCTGCTCTGGTCCTGCCAACGACCTGCAAAAATAAAATAAACAGGTTAAAAACAATCACCTCCTTTTAATAAAACAACAAATTAACCATGAAACGATTAGCATACAGATATATATACACTTATTTACAGCAGCACAAAATTCTGTGACATCGTTTCAGTATTAAATTATTCCGGCATTATCTTTCCCTTCGCATTTACTTGTAACGTAACGAACCTTGGCTTTGGTAGTTTCGCTGTTGAGTGCCGTCAGTTTCGTAGCGGCGCGAGTATTCGTTGCGGTTGTCGTATCCGTACTGCTGTTGACCCTGTTGTCCTCCACGAGCGCACTCATTGCGACCATGCCATTGGCTGCGGTTGCACTCTTTGTTGCCCCAGCTGCAGCCGCCGCGGTTGCACTGGTCCTGATTGCACTGATCCCACTGGCGCGACTGCTGCCAGTTCTGGTTGTACTGCTGCGGACTTCCTCCATAACTCACTACCACAAAACAACGCAATCAGATTTTTATCGCCTATGTACACTTTCTGTACGAGTACGTTCCAATAAATCGCAAATTTTAAGCAAGAAAACATTTAATTTGAAACTTGAATAAATTTGCAGTGTAATATGTATTAATGGACGTACAGAAGTTATGCAATGCGGAAGAAATCAAACAGGTGTAATTAAGTGACATATATGTATTTTGGCTCAATAAAATCAAAATAATTCCAAATGTAACCACCTTTGTATCATTATAGCAGTTTTATGCTTACGTTCATTGCGATTTCCGTACAAGTTGCTGGAGCGCTCGTTCTGGGTTGGGTCATCGTGGAAGGTTTTGGTCTGCTGCCAGTAGTATTTGCGTTCAGTACGTAGATCATCTCCATCGCGGTCACGGTCGACACGGTCGCGATTGTAACCTTGACCCTGGTTCTGGTTGCGCTGTAAACAATAAACATACATATACCATATTTGAAAAATGAAATTTTCAACTCGCTGCTGATTATCTGAGAAAAACCAGGGGATACGCAATATATTATATCTTTTAACGGCTTATACGTATACGATTGGCATATATAATTGTTATGCATTGACACTGTAGATTATTATTATGCATTGCTTACACTGTAGATTTGTCTCATGTAGCTGTCGTCGGCATCGCCCTTCCAGTCGCGATTGCTGCTGCTGTACTGCTGATAGCGTGTGTTGGAGTCCTTATTCCAGTTGTCGCGGTTGTTGTCGAAATCGCGGCTGCTGTGTACTTGCTGAGTACGATACGACTGCTGATTATCGCGATCCTGAAATATAGATAAGAATAAGACTGTATGACTATCACACCCCAACGCTTTTCGTTAACTTTATGCTACAAAATTATTTAGATTAGCCTATCAACTTTTCAGAATATAGTTAAAATGGGAACTGTTCCCAATAACATAGAGCAACGAAAACGAGCTTTACGTACATCGTTACGGTTGCTGCTGTATTGCTCCTTGCGATACTGGTTTCCGTCGCGGTCCGATTCGCGTTGATATTGATAGTTGTACGACATTTTCAGAGATTAAGTTTCACACGAAGTAAATCGTTTAAATTTGCAAATTGTTAGAGTTTCAATGTGAAATGGATGATGAAGCAGCGCGTTTATATAGCTCGTAGGGACACTACAATCGCTGAATGCCGGTAAATGCCCACACTGAATTTTCCAGTGTTTTGGTTACACGTGTTTTGATGTTCGCGATAATTCTTAGACATTATTCGTACATAGTCTGAATGTGGTTGTGCTTCCAGTGGCTCGCGTACTTGCTTGGTGTGTAAACCGGGAAATCCCCATCACCTTGACTTTGTACAGTGCACCTTTGCATTATGAAACAGCTGCGATGGTGATCATCGGCGATTCATCGATATCGCTCCAGGGGACAACTGCCTAGTGTAACTGCAATCGAACGCAGTGATTTCTGTTTTGTTGTGCATTAGTCCGCAAAATTTTCGAGAAATCTGTAAAAAAGGGGTTAACGACAAAACACAAAGTACGCTTGTGGATCAATGTACTTAGGCATATTTTAACAGGCAATAGTCATAAAAAAAAACAAAAAAAGCAAGCGCGGGCACACTGCTTCAATTAGGGTGAATATACAATCATATGAAACGGAAACATATGTGAACTGTTCATTGTACAGTAATCAGTAATTTCTAATATTTTGTTCTAAACAATACAAATTTTAAGCAAAAATCCGGAGAAATCCGGCGCAGCAATTTAGGGTGCGAAGCCGAGAAATTGATGCAAGGAACAAAATAACATTTACTGTAATTTCAGTTATTCGTGCTCTTGTATTCTACAAAGTATATTCAGGAAATTTACCGCAGCATTCAACCCGATTTAAGCATATGTGCACTGTGTTGATATATCCCCCACGGAACGCGTATTGCACTGGTCACCGGTATACCAAATTACTAATCATTTTTACTGGCACTCTTAGAGTATACAGGTGACATTACTTTAAAATTTTATAGTTGGTGCTACTGAAATCTGCTGAGGCAGTATTTATTGTTAGTGGCAGATAATCCTGATTGCAGTTACTCAGTATTATCACAAGCATTATGAGCTTGCATTTGTGTTTTCAGTTGGAGAGTTTAGTGCTTAAAGTATGCAAAAAGATCGTTCAAATAGGCCGTAACGTAACGGGTTACAATTATACAATACAGTAGTCGTACAAATCATTCCTACTCGTACTATTTGTTAAACCGATGTAAAAGGTCAAGCGTACATACGGTGTGATCTAAAATACAGCTCCAAAATACTATACAGTAAAACTTTACCGGTTGTATTTTGACAATCATTGAATTCTCCTATTCAATGTCAGGAATTATGATCATTAGGAATTAGGATCAAAGCAATACGATTTAACCTACGTACGTCAACCGGACAACTTGTATTGATTACGTACTGTAACTACTGTTTTAGTCCGTAATAAGTTTTGACCGTTGCGTCAAACGGTACAAAATTATGACATTGATCTTGGAAGCGGGAATGCTTAAATAACGAGGAACAATCATCGATTTTTAGATATGCTTAGATGAAATCGAATAAATCTGCTGAATCGCGAATCCCATTTTAGCCACTGCCTCCAGGCTCCAGCCCACCTACCCCAATAATTGATGATTTCTCCTTTTTGTTTATATGCGCGAGTGCGCTTCGGTTAGCGGAGTAACAAGGTGAAAATTAATACACCATCCCGATACCGGGCGGTTTCTTGTCATGACCGCACAACGTGAACGGTGGCACGCTAATGAGCACATTAGATATTGATATTATAGATCACAATATACGTACTGTAGATTCAGTTGAAGAAATAACACATGATCACCTTGCGCACGCATGACAGATTTAACCATTGTCAATATACATATATTCCTCTTCAAATGGGACAGACGTGCAACGTTTTTATATAATTACATTCTAATAAAATTTCTTAGTCCACGTTCAACTTCTACAGAAAATTAAAACGTATCTTTCGCTCGTGGCCTTTTAATTAACCGGATCCCACCGAAAACGATTAAAAAGCAACAGCTGTTAACGTTGGGAAGTTCTGGGTGTGACCTTTAAGGTGTATCTCCCACAGCTATCACTCCCACCGATTGACCGTTTGGTTCATATCGATACCGTAAACGAACAACTAACTGTACTTGTACAATTTTATTAACTTTAGCTTTGTGAGTTTATGTGGACAACGCCTGCGTAAAGCGGAAATCGTCTCTTTTATGCCAATCTCGGCCGTGTGCAGCAAAATCCCGATTATCACCAGGTCGCCAATATTACCGCTGATTAAACAAATACACAAAGCGGAGGACGCATAAGTTCAAGGATCCGGAGCATGTCTCGCCAGCTGACAGCATCACTCATGAAAGTTTTTATTCCGACGAACGAAACCAACAGCAACGCAACGTTACCTCTTCGCCCGGTTTGGTTACTTTACGAAAGAGAGCAGTTTATCTGGTATGGCGCAATGGTGGCGAGCTGTGCTGTCGGCACAGTTACCGGCATCCTGTTGACTGCGATGATCTTCCGCTCTCAAGCATCGCTCAGCGGATCCAGTTGTTTGATGGTCAGTTTGCTGGTTAAAGTCGTTCTTCAATGCGGGATCGCCATACCTCTCATCATTCAGTCCTACCCAGGTACATAAATCAGGCACTGCGCTATACCATTGTACCAAAACTTGGTACTACGACGTGCGGTGTCGGGCACCCATCATGGGTCCTATCTAATTATGATAGTGTAAACAGCAGTAGCAGAGTACAACGAATATCATTAACATACCGGTAGTTTTTTAATTGGGATAAGATAGCACTATCCTTAAACTTTCACAGGTGTTCCATTCTCCCTAGCCGCCATACCATCCTATTGCACCAAGTCCATGTTCGTGTACACGGCTCTACAGCCGTCAATCGACTATGCTGATTTGATGATCGGTATAAACCGTTTCGTTGCCATCTGTTTCCCTTACCACTACGCCCAGTGGACACGTCGTCCAGTTATCTACAGTATGATCGGCTTCTCCTGGTCAACCGCCCTGGTATTCGCGGCGGCGCCGCAAGTTTCCCAAGCGAACGGGTCGGGCGCCAGTACATTGCCACCTTGGCCACTGAGACCTTCAACTCCGCTGCGGAGAAATTCGAAATCATCAAGCAGCTGGCCGTTGCCTTCCTCCAGGCAATAGGAGTAGCCCCCGTCGGCCAGAACGGGGCAGGGTGTGGCTGAGTTGCAGCTCAAAGGATTGCTAGGGTTGGCGCAGGTTCCGTTGTGGAGGATATCGGTTTGCATTCGGCACCGACAGGTCATGCTGCTGCTTTCGGCTTCGGTGAACATGCACTTTTGGTAGTACTAATGAGAGATGTGACCCCGCGGAATGTGGCGGTCGTGGTGCCAGAGTGTGCGGCATACCAATATTACTTGGTACGCAGAATGTTGGCTGTTTGATTATCGGGTGGCCGCCACCCGGTCCGAAGCACTGCTGACACAGCTTCCCATTTGATGAAAGCACTGCAGCTGAATAGTGTGGTCCATGCAAAAGCATAAATTCGGGGTGTCGGACACCCCGTTACATGACAAGAGGTGTCTGACCGAACGTCACTGTCGAATGCTGATGCTGATAGAAAGCAGGGTGTCCGGCGCTGTCCGCCACCCCAGCTTGACTTGAAGAACTTTTTGACAGCCGTGATTGACTGATGGTACATACGAAAGACATACTCTAGAATGCAGACAATGTGGTCTGTGATGTGGAACACTGGGGTGGCGGACACCCCGATGGCGCCGGATCGTAATGTGCATTGTGCTGTGAAGCTGTTGTTCGCACTGCTCGAAACAGGTGTTAACATGCATGCAAAAACATTGGTGTTAACTGTGAACTACCAGGCTCATCATGAGGTGGTGCATGGTGATCTCGGCTATTTATTCAACTTTTCTTTCAAAATACAAACATAACCTTTATTATCGCTATCGTTCCTAATTAGCAGTTATCGTGCCTAATTAGCAGACCAGCACATTTCGTAAGCCACATGATGTAATAATTCGCAAGTGTATTAAATGTTTCTGAATTAACAGTAGCTCATTTTCGTAAACTTTTTTCTGTCCTCTAACGACAGTACAGCCGTGACCATTTGTGGCGACGCTGCCGAAAAAAGACGGAAAGGTCATTAGTTTTACAAATTTTCTCATGTAACTAATTCTTGTTTAATAATCATACTAGCAACGACCGCGGCGCTACGCGCCGCGGATCCAGCGAAGTTGGATTAATTTGTAGTTTGTATTTAATAAAAGGGTAGCATTTCAAAGCTTAGCGGGCGTCCTTAAATGGATCACGTTAATCTTTTAAACTAAAACACTAACTCTACTGTGCAGTGTGTTTAGTTTTTACGCAAAATATTTAGCGCAGACAGTTTCATATACCTGACCGCTAGCATAGCCATGCACTCTCGCGTTATGACACTGCGCCGTTTACTCTCGAGCGATCACGTTACGCCGTTATCTCTCGCGTAGTAATGTTACGCCGCTAAGCTATCATGCGGTAACGTTACGTTGGTTACCCTCTGCAATAAAGATACGTAGCTTTCCGTAGTAGTTACGTAGATTCTCGTGTGAGTAACGTTACGCTCTAAATCTTGCGTGGCAAAGATTTTTGCAACTTGCTCTCGCGCAGTAACGTTACTTTGCTTTGTCTCGCGCCCTTACGTTACGCTGCTTCGTCTCCCGTGCTTACGTTATGTCTCGTACGGTCGCGTTCTTACGTTACTCTGCTTAATTTCTCGTGGTTACGTTACGCTGCTAACACTCACGTGGTAGCGTTACTTGGTTTACTTCCGCGTGGTAACGTTATTACCTTATTCTAGCGTGGTAGCGTTACGCCACTTACTCTCGAATGGTAGGGTCACACAGATTACTCCGAGTAACAGATTTACGTATCTTTATCTACTTAACGCTACTTCACTGGCAACCCTAACGTTGCCTACCCTCGAGTGGTAACTGTACGCTCCTAAATCTCGCGTTGTAACATTACTTAGTTTACATTCGCGTGGTAACGTTACGTTGCTTACTCTAGCGTGGTACGTTACCCCACTTACTCTTACGTGGTAAAATTACGCTAATTCCTCTCTGCAATAGAGTTACGTAGCTTTCTCTCGCGTGCTTACGTTTCGTTGCTTGCTCTCGAGTGGTAGCGTCACTGCGCGTGCTTTCGCGGGGTAACGTTTTGTTGCAAACTCTCGCGTGGCAATGTTATTGCGCTTCCTCTACCGTGGTTACGTCACGTCGCTAAGCGGTTTACTAAGGATTAGATTAGGTTTATTTTATTCAATAATGTTTTTGTTGGGTTCAGTCGCTTTGCTAAGGATTAGGTTAGGTTTTTTTGATTCAATAACTTTTAAGGTGGGGTTAGTCGGTTCACTAATGTTTTTGGTTGGGTTCATTTAGTTCAGTGACGTCCAGGTTGGGTTCAGCTGGTTCAATAACTTTTCGATTGGGTTCAGTCGGTTCGCTAACTTCTCGATTGGGTTCAGTCGGTTCTCTGAAGATTAGGTAGGGTTCGGCTGGTCCAGCAAGGTTTCGGCTGGGTTAAGTCCGTTCTCTAGGTGTTCGGTTTAGTTCAGCTGGTTCAGTCAGGTTTTGGTTGGGTTCAGCTGGTTCACTAAGATTTTGGTTGGGTTCAGCTGGTTCATTTTGTTTGGTAAGTGTGTTCAGCAGGTTCACTATAGTTTGTGAGTTTGTTCAGTAGGTTCACTTCATTTGGGAAGTGTTTTGGCTCTGACCAATCAGAGCGATTTGGAGGCGGGAGCGTTACGGACAGACAGCTCTGTCTTAATAGTTAAGACAAGCACAGCGCGCGGCGCTTACGCGCCGCGCTGCAGTGCAAAGGCGGTTCTTGTCGGCTGGGCTCTTTATGCTAAATGAATCGAAGTGAAACGGTTTTATATGCTAAATAAGTCTTATTGAAAAGGGAATACATTTACTGTATAAAGAAACGGGTTAAACCAAAATTCTTCTGTTACAAAACGCTTAAAAGCGTGGACAAATAATGCGTAATCGTCGGTTACCAAAGGTTTGAAAAAGCGGGTACCGCACGCGTAGCCTTCGGTGACCAAAGGCTCAAAAAGGCGGGTACCGCACGCGTGGCTTTCGGTGACCAAAGGCTCAAAAAGGCGGGTACCGCACGCGTGGCCTTCGGTGACTAAAGGTTCAAAAAGGCGGGTACCGCACGCGTGGCCTTCGGTGACCAAAGGCTCAAAAGGCGGGTACCGCACTCGTGGCCTTCGGTGACCAAAGGCTCAAAAGGCGGGTACCGCACGCGTGGCCTTCGGTGACCAAAGGCTCAAAAGGCGGGTACCGCACGCGTGGCCTTCGGTGACCAAAGGCTCAAAAAGGCGGGTACCGCACGCGTGGCCTTCGGTGACCAAAGGCTCAAAAAGGCGGGTACCGCACGCGTGGCCTTAGGTTACCAATCGTTTAAAGGGTGGGTACCGCACGCGTGACCTTCGGTGACCAAAGGCCTAAAAGGTCTTCAGTGACCAATGGCTTAAAAATTAAGAGGCTTTCGTTGACCAAAGGCTTAATAAGGCGGGTACCGCACGCGTGATCTTCGGTTACCAATCGTTTATAGGGTGGGTACCGCACGCGGTGCCTTCGGTTACCAAAGGCTTAAAAAGGTGGGTAACGCAAGGTTTGTTAAGGCACTCGAAACTTGTGTTTTGAAAGGTGGAATCCGGTTTTTCAGGCGAAGGTTTTTATAGGTGAAGGTACTAAGTTTCGGAAACTTAGTAAGTGCGTAAAAGCACAAGTTTAAAGAGTTGCAAAAGCTTAAAAGCCGCCAGGCTGGTTCTGGCCAATTAGAAACGTAAGGCTATTTCTGGCCAATCAGAACGTTTTGGAGGCAGGAGCGTTCCGGAATCACGGTTCTGCTTTAATATATAGGATGAGTGCAGCCTCTACGCTCTAACACACACACACAAACTTCCGGCCGAAATCAGCACGGCATTACGTTGATATATTGGCAGAAAACAACTTTGATACAAAGGAAATTTTGGTGTGACAGGTACAAAGTAGACCCAGTTCTAAATAAGAATTTGCTGGCGCAATGAGTCGGCAGTTTTAGGCTCGCACGAACCCCACAAAAGGCCACCCAATACATCCAGGCCTGGTCGCCGGGTTTGCCGAGGTGACCGGACCCTGGATCATTGGTTGCGCAACTCGGAAGACATTTTGACGTGTTATTTCGGACGCACTTGGAGCCCGCGCTGGGCCTACGTTGGCGCAAAAAAACAGCTGATTTGGGGAAAAAAAAGGTCATTTGTATGTTTTATTAGAATACCAAAATACCGTTCACCGGCCGATATCGACACCGTCCGTACAGTGTACGGAGCGTAAAAAAAACATAAAAACAACAAACAAAATTAAATGTGGTCCTCCTAGAATCCGATAAAAACTGTCTTTGAGCTGCGGAACGAATGCGTAAAACATAAAAAATCTAGATCTGAAAGTTCTCTACTGCACACATCACAGACTAAAATTCCAAAATACTATAACTCCACGGATCTAAAATTACACGATTTCGACGAAGCCCAATCGATCGCAAAATGCAATAACAAAATTGAACCAAATAACAAAAAATAACGTACGGAAACTATTGAATCCTTAGTATCGAAACCGCTATCCACCGAGGATGACATCTTTACGGCTGTTCAATGCGATGACGGCGGTCTAAAGCGAGAATCTCTCGGCTTTTCCAGTTATTCATTCCAGCCGTTACGTTGTCGCCTTCTGTAGATATCCCCACGGAATCTGCCCAGGCTGCAAACAATTAATCGTAATGTAATAAATTACTAATTAAGCGCCCGCAGTTCGATTGCGTAAATCGTCTGGCAGTTTTTTCATTACCTTTAATGACGTCCATGAATGTACGTCCAGAAATGCCTTGGAAGCCAGATTTTCCCTTCACTTGCTGATCAGTTAGCTTTTTCAGTTCTTCAATCCTCTGGCACGAATCGTCCTCGAGAAACAGATACCGACGGAGATCCGCCAGATACGTGCCGTCTGTTTTCTGTTTTTTCTTGATGTTGGATTCCAGGTATTTCTTCTTTCCGATCTCGATGAAAATCTTTGTCCCCGGAAATCCATCGATCAGCAGAACTTTATCAGCGGTTGCGATTTCGAATGGGAAACGGTACTCTGAACCATTCCAGGTTACGTGTATCGTAACAAGAAGCGTCGTTACATCTGTATAAATAAAACAGAAGCTTGTGTTACCTCTTTTTTCGGTTGAAGATGGATTCGATTTCGTATCGCTTTGGTCATGAGGCATCAGCTCTTTATCCACCGTCGATGTTTTTGACCCGCTAGCTTCTAAAATAAATCGGCCTTTTTCACGAAGGTTAACAGAAAATGCGTATTTTACAAAACGCGATAAAAATTTTGGTTATATTCTTCTATGTGAAGCATACTCCAGGTACGTTGCCACTTACTGCTGGCTGTCTCGTCCATTTGCCGATACACTTTTGCCGGCAACAGTGGTTTCTGCCGGAAATTCATCTAAACTGGAATAAAAAACGCGAAATCGAAGCAGTGAATAATTTGTTAGGTAAACAGAATTAATCTCGTTGTGAAATAGCCTACCGTCGGAAAGAGAGATAGGGGACGCAGGTGGTACCGGTGGCGCTACAAAGATTCAAGAGAAAACATCATGACGACACATCTGTTTACATTGTAATAATACCAGTTAATTAGTATTTGTGCCGTCATATCAAAAATATTTACCGATTTCGACGCTTTCTTTTGATGGTTCATCGCGATTGACTCGGCGGGGCAAGGCATGCTCCAAACTTACTTTGTCCGCTGCGAACTTCTTCGTAGTTTTAACGACTTCGATTTCGTTAGCCTTGCGTTTTGCCGGTAGCTAAGAACGCAGACATGTCCAAAAATTGTGATCGCGACGATTGTTTTCTGTTCATCATTATTTGTGCCAAATACCTTGAGAGTTTCCTGCTTTCGAAACAAAGCGCATTACTTTTTGGCCTCACTTTCCGTCCCACACACAGCTAAAATATCGCATGGGTAAAATGCCGATTTCGAATCATCCGGATCTTTGGACGTCAAGGTTAGTCCGCAAGAGAAAGGATGTTGATAGATTTCCGGAATTGCTAACAAACGAGTAATAGGTTGAAAGTTCTCCGGGGTCGCTGTCCACGCAGCCACCTTGTTGTCAACCGCAAACTTCACCACAAACCAGTCTGTAAACACAGTTTCCGATTTCAAGAATGAAAATATATACAGTACCAGCACTGTAAAAAAAAGTACCAGAAACCGATTTCGAGATCCTAACCAAGTGAATTTACATTACTTAATAATGACAACGGACAACCTTCATCCGGCATCTGGGTGTCCAGCGTCAGTGGAGCCTCAACCAGCAAATCTCCAGTACAGCGCCGTTTTAAATGCTCCTGCGTGATCGCTGCAGCTGGACGGTGCCAGGCACTCAACACCCGATGCTTGCGATCACTATTAGCCAACCTGTAGTTAATCGATTTCGATTTTATTAGTAAAGTCTTTTTTAAATATAATGTTAAGCAGGCAACACTAAATTACTGTTCTCTTGGAGTCCAGGTTTTCATCCATTTGCGGGTCGAATTCGGGCAGCAACAGCAGTGCTCCGGGACCAGCATGTAATCCTTTTCAGGATCGTCGGTGCCTACCACAACCACTCTGCAGTCGCCACAAGTAGAGATGGCAATGGCTCAGCCGAAGCCGTTTGAGCCGCGGCTAAGCCGGCTTCGGCTGAGCCGGCTCGACCCAAAATTGAAGCCGTAGCCGATGCTAGCCGAGCCGATTGAGCCGGCTCGGAGTCTCAGCCAGCCGCGAGCCAGCCGTAAGCCGATGTCGGCTAACGGCTTGCGCATTGTGCGCGAAAATGTGTTGGAAAGTTTAATTTTAGCTCTTTTGGCCCGTTCAAAGCCGATTTAGAGACTTGAAAAATCGATGATCTTATAAAAAAGTGCTGAATTTTTGTTTCGGAGACCTTTTTTTCCCAATAAAAACTGATCAAAAACAGTTTTTGCTTAAAAGAGAACAGAAAAAAGTTCTTTACAGTGAAAAAGTGCTTGTTTTTTCCCGCGCTAAAAAACTATCGGCTAAGCCGGCTCGGAGCCGGCTTAGCCGGCTCGCGTTCAGAGCCGAGCCGTTAGAGCCGGCTCAGGTAGGTGAGCCGATACTTTCGAGCCGGCTCACTATTTTAGCCAGCCGCAGCCAGCCGATAAGCCATTAAGCCAGCCGTTGCCATCTCTAGCCACAAGTATCCAGGAAACGTTTCTGAAAATCACGTGGAGATAATGTCGAACTCGCATTTAAAACACCGACAGATTTATTTCATACTTTCGGTCCGCGGGCTTGCTGTTCCATGTGGTACTCATAGTCATCCAACCCTTGAAGTTCATGGCTGCACTCCGGCGTCACCACCGAGACGAAATCGGGAATCGTTTTTCCCACACTGCTAGTGAAAGCACACCAGTACCGTCGGTAGCTTTTTCGGTTTCTGCAAAAAAATAAATTAAACTGGCAGTAACATACTGCTATAACATATGGATAGTATATGTGTACCCGTCCCGTTCTGCTTCCTTAAGTTTTAAATCTTGCTTTTCTTCAGTGCGGAGGTACTTTCCAGAACGGATTCGACTTTTGCAATAACCGGAGCAAGCGGTGTAGTAGTGTCGATATCGTTCAATGGACACACCGACTGCTGCAGGGTGAACTGTTTATACAGCATAATCGCAGCTCCAACAAGACCAAATTCAGCTGCCAGCTGTACAGCAGACATTAGGCGGCCTTCTTTCAACGCCACGCCTATCCACACAGAAGCTCGCCGCAAAAAATCCCCCCTATCCAAATCATCCTTGGACTCGGTGCGCACGCGAAAAACTTCGCTTACTGCCAGGTGAATCAAAGTCTTCAGCGCAACGCCATGCGCGAACAGGAACCTTCAAAACAATCCGTATAATTTATACACACACCACTCGATTTCGATGCAACGTTTACCTCACAAATTGCAGAAGATCTTGTTTTCCCATTGCTAGACAGTAAAAAAACCCGCAATCGTAGAACTCCTCGGCTGTGATGCACCGATAAGTCTTAGCTGCGTCGGTAGCTGGTCGACCTCGAGCCTCCCTGCAAGTACATAAATTGCGCTTAAAGTGTACCTCAGTGTAAACACAGCACAACCATACAAACCAAACGACTTCCTGTAACATCGCGAAGCAGGGACCGAATTCGGCGGGAAAATGGCGAGGGCACGGAGCTTCCTCGCTTGCAGTAACCAAGCGAGGCACAGTAACACTGGCTAACTTGGCCGGTATCAGCAGGACGCAATACGAATTGCCGCGTGCGAGTGCTGCTCTCTACACACGCCAGGGAGACAGAGGTGGAGGAGGCTGATAGGGTTTCTCTTTCTTCTCTTCCTTCTTGCGACGACTGTACTCCTGTGAATTCGAGGGTGATCCAGGGAACCAGAAGAACGTGTGAGTTCCGAAGTCGCGGAATCCAGCTGCGGGGGAGGGCGTATTGGCTTCGTACCGACGGATTTTGTCTAGATGAATCTGACGCATTTTCTGCAGTAAACAAATTTCGATTTTGAACAACACATGACAAGAACGAACTCGAATGATAACTGCGGAAGCAAACATCAAAACATTACTGTATTCGAACGCAAACACACCACGAACATTATTGCATACTCCTTATACTTCTTCTTAAGCCTGTCATAATTCGTTTCATTCGGACATCCAAGAAGTTTCCCCAGCTCCAGTGCCGTAAATCGATGATTATACGGTGTGTAAAATGTTGGAATCATGGTAGAACACTGCAAATATAAAATCCTTCGATTTCGACTGGTGTTTTTAAACAGTACACCAAGCGATGCAACAGGTGTACAACTACAACACGATAACGTGGGTTTTGTAAGCAAGCAACGTACATTTACAGATAAATTTGAAGTATGCAAAAAAACGCTGGGATGTTCAGCTTGCGTCGGCAGACCACAGAACTGGCAAGTTCCTTTATGGAATCTGGACAATCAGACCAAGTCGAATAATGGGCTATAAAACGAAGATTTGATCGTCTGGATGCGCACGGTAGCTTTTCCTTCGTTTCGACAGCTGTACCATACTGACGCACAATTCCAACGAGTGTTGCACTGTTACGGTTAATCACTCATATTGATCAATCAGTCCAGAAAATTAAAAAAACCATACGGCAGTGAAAAAGCACTGCCGCATATAAAAAATAGGCGCGGTGTTTAGTGTCGAAGAAAGAAAGAAGTAAGAGTCAGCAAATTCCTGTAAAAGATTATCATGATTACCCGTTTACACTTTACCGTGCATTTTGTTCTACTACACGCAGCTCGCAATAAATGCATAACGTTGAAGCCTACCTAGCGTTAAAGGTCTGCGAAGATGATCGTGTAAAAAGTTGCGGTCAGCGCAGATATTGTCGGAATCGGGTACATATACTGGTTTTTTAATATGATACTTATGATACTGTATGGTCCGATGACCGACAGATGCTGCTTAAAATTAATGCGCGGATTGCTAACACGCTGCCAATAATCGCACAGGTTACGCAGTAACCTTAGGCCAATTACTGCACTTGTTTACGTTCCCCCACACTAAGCGAAAGATTGCCTCTGTGTAATTGCAATGAGGATAGAGGAAGAAAAGAAAATATCTGAACATAAAAGCCCTATAAAAAACCAACAAATTGTGCTAATTTCCAAGTTATGATACGTTAGCTCCACTGCTTTAATCAGCTGCGTATTCATTGCCGTTATCGACTCCGTCACCATTAACTCCGTCGTCTGCAGGTTCATATTTATCCAATTCTGTCAGTTCGTCAAATTCGACAGCAACCACATCCTTCAAATCGCGAACGGTCACAGTGTTCAGCTGAGCAACATCCAGTCCTTGCAAGTTATCCATTGTCCACTCTACGCCGCGGTATGGCGTTGTCGGTCGTGGATCCTGACCTTGCCAGTTTTTCAGATGCTGCATGGGACAATTGTATATTCAGCTCATAGCATACATTCGGTATAACAAGTAGCTAGTTAAAGACAGTCGTTTAAAACGCTTTGGAATATTTATTATGCATAAAGATTACTTTCATGATTTATAACTTTGAATCTGTTTTGTAATAGCACACTATTTCCGCCTTGCGCAGGGTTGCATAATTAATTAAGCAGTTTATGAAAAATGTTATTAATTATAATATATAATAGGATTGTGATTTATTTGCTCCGGTAAATTGCTTTGGTAACTTGGTAATACAAACATTTCACGTACATGCGCCACCATTTCACGCAGTTGAGCCGGTCCTGTCTTAATCCAGACAGCCATTGCCTCGAGATTCACTCCGTCACGCGACAGACTGGCTTCATACAGACTCCACAGTTGTTCTTCGATATTCAAAACGTCCAAGTCGATGGTGGTGGTGGGTATCACTACGCTCATTCGGCGGATATTTCCATAGCTGAAGCAGCATTCTCGCATCTTCAGTGCATTACAGACCGGTGCCAAGTCATGATGCACCACTGCCAGTTGGTGAATAATCGCCGGTCCATCATGCCACTGCACAGCGCCACGAACAAAGATGAGTTGTCGGATGTGAACATTCCGCAGCATCCAGCGAATCGCCTGAACAATACTCTCCGTAAAGCCACCCGCTGCATCTTCGACAGTGAACCATCGTGTTTCCACCGTGATGCACTTCAGCATTCCCACCATGGGACCGAACAATCGGGCGGCGCAGGTAAGATTGGTCAGTAAACTCATGTCGACCGAGAAAGAGATGCGGACTACATGGCCGCTCCCTGGGCCGCTCAAGATGGCATTCCACAGTGCGCACGTTCGACGCAGACCGAATGCGCTAACAGAGTCCATAGACTGGAAAATCTCGCGCAGGAGATGCACCTCCGTGGGCAGTTGGACCTCTTGCTCTTCCGGCTGCGCACCGTCCTCTGAATGTTGGCGCTTCTTTGAGGCTCCCCATGGCAGCAGCAGGTCTGCATTACCCAGTTCGCCATGATACCAGTCCATGCCGCGCGTGGAGTAGTATGTGACTCTCTGTACGCAATCGTAAGGATAAGCAGGTAGTCGAGAGTACAGATTTACGTGAAATTGTACGTAATACTTAATACGCTTATTATATCAAGCTAACTCTCAGATAACAAACACATACCAGCACCACTGCAATAAAATCTAACAGAAATAATTGTTTAACATAATAATTATGATAACAAATGATTCGTAGACGCAGTACACACAATCGTATCACAGCAGCTGGACGTATTCGGAACACTAGGATCACTTACCATTTATCCTCGGTCAGCGGTGAACAACTGCTGCGCTGCACATACTGAATCATGCCGCTGTTAACCGAAAGAACACGAATCCTATATCGACTTTCAATCATCTTGCGAAACTCGTCGCCAATCCCCGACGTGGCTGTCGAGGAATAATTCTCTGGCATGCGGCATTGCCGCGATGCGAAAGCGCCGGACTGCAATGCTTGTTGTCTCGACGCGGAAACTGGCAATGACCAACGGACTTGGTCAATGGGAAAGAGTTCTTTTTGTGTGCCGATAATGTCACTTTCCAAGTGCACAATTACGGAACCGATATATCAGCAAACGGTGCAAACAAAAGCGGACTGACCAAGCGCCCCGGATACCATGTCCACGGAGCATGCGGATGTGCGTGACACAAAACTTCCACACTAGCGTTTTGCGCTCCCGTGGACCCTGACGCAGCTCCTCTTTCCAGGATTCATACATAGGAGAATGTGTTGCAACCGAAGCGTCAAAGACCCTTGAGTAGGTGACAAAAGTCGCTCGTTGGTCCCTGCAGTGGAAATCCACGATCATTCCATCCTGCGCCACATTAATCACTTCGCCGTGGATGAATAGGCCGCTTTCCGTCAACACGTCAACCGACTTTTTGGTGTTTAGTGACCTGTAGAACTGGATGCTCGTTTGCATTGTAGGCGTAGCAGTGATTAATACGGAAACCGAGCGCGTAGCTTGTAGTGTCTCGGTAGTCGGTACCTTGTCCAAAACCAATCTATTAATTGCTAAACACCAAAATTAATGGCCTTTGACACCCTGCCTGATACTGCACTAATACCATTTTAAAAGGAAAGTGGGTGAAAAGCAGGAATTACGATGAATTTTACAGATACACCTGAGACAATGAAAGTAAAACTATGTGGTACAAAGATGTGGAATCAGTGATAGCAGGTGTACAATAATGATACCTGCTAAGCTTTAGCTAATGACACCTGCTATTCAGTACTAAATTTCAGTAGAATTTGCAATGTGTGACTTATTATACAGGATAACAGCCGATTACATAGGTTCTATCGTAGTGACATTGACTGAACGGCTTGTCACATCATCCTGCATAGTGCATACGTACGTATTACCGCACATCAGTGTAAATTACGCAGCACCTGCGGTATGTATTTGTACTGTTCACCAAAACAGGCATTCTTGCTAAATGTACTTATACGGAGCGGAAGTTCCTTTTTAATTTTCTGAGCTGTCAAATACCGAGGTAATCCAGAGTGAGTAAACCATATTGAAGCGAATTAATTTTTAGTTAACCTTGTTACCCAGCTGTAGCTCTCCACGGTGACCGTGTCCCGTGACGTTGCAGTGCGGTACCGTGTCGTCACTCCTTAGAATATTCTTTGAATTACGAAGGCCTATCCAATGGAAAAACGGAATTAACTTCAGAATTTCCCATAAATAACTTATACAAGCCAGGCTATTAAGAGGATGATCACACTCCAAACTCTAAAGTGTGTCGCACCACCTGGTCTAGTGATTGATAATTTAGCGGTTGCCTCTGCATGAGACCCTTTGCGTAATGGATACGTGTGGGTTGAGGCTTAATTAACTGCTTGCACATCTCGCTTAAATGTGCTAAGTATAACTATCCATATCATTCCTATCTATATCATCCCTCTTGTATTCGACCGGACAGTACCAATACTCGTTAGCCTGCAGCGTATTAAATATTGACGAACCTGGGTGAGACACTTCAGTACTGGTATACTGATGATGCGATTTCCGACACAGAACATCGCAGAAATTAATTTCATTAGTCAATGTCACTGCAGCACACTCATCTGGGAGTGCAATTACTGCAATGGGCCGTCGATAATTCTACGTGCATATGCAGTCTATACTCTATAGCTCTTTATAACTGTCTTCGATGTCTTCCAGAAACTGAAGCGAAGAGTTTATCCCTTCACTACGCTACAAGTTGTCATAAAAAAACCAAGCTGTTAACTACGTCTGTAACCAGTATACAGAAGTCACAGTTGCAACCTTATTTGTGCCAACCGGATTTGGAAGGCTATCATCATGTCTCCTTCTGCACCCTTCCTGCGACTGAATGCAACTCTTCTGGTAAATAGTACGAGAATGGCACAACCACCGATTTGGCTGGTCTATGAGCTGGAGCAGCGCATCTGGTACGGAATCATGGTTGCAAGCTGCATCGTCGGCACGATTTCCAGTCTGTTCTTGATAGCGGCGATCTTCCGTTCCCAAGCTTCACTGTCCGGATCCAGTTGTTTGATGGTCAACTTGCTGGTTAAAGTGGTTCTGCAGTGTGGAATTGCCATACCTCTTGTCATTCAATCCTATCCAGGTAAACTACTGATCGTAAGTAGGCATGGTCGAAGTACAAATGCAGCAAGGTAAACGATACACTGACAACAACGTAATCAATAATTCATAAAGTTATTCCAGTTGTTGCGCAGCTTGCGCTGCCTGCAGACGTATAGAAAGGCTGGACGTAAACCGACGTAAAGCTTTAGAAAATTCTGGCATAATAACGATAGTAATATTACAGTAAACGTGCTGTGGGCAAGATGCAAACCATACACATTAACTGCCAACTTCAACAATCGACAATTAACGCTTTACATCCCTGTGTACTCATAGTTTTGCATATAAATCAGCGCTATGCATTGTACAGTTACAAAAGCACAATGCCGTACAGCTACTGGAAACAGAGATTAGAGGCCAAGTTTTTATAAAATAATTGTTGGCGGAGGGTGGTAATATTTATCTAATACGAATGCAGTTGACAGTACTGTACATACTGGATTTAAGTACCAAGTTTATCACACTGCACCATGAAGATCATAGTGCATATTTTGATTTACGATTAATTTCACACGATGCTGTATTAATTTAGCTCTTGGAATAACTGACAGTGAGTAATGCCAGTGGAACAAAAACTGCGACCTTTTGCTTAACGTAATAATTAGAAGCTGCAACAAACAACTATTATTACGTCGTTATTATTTGCAGATGTCCCTTTTAACTTATCCAACGTGCCAGTTTATTGCGCCAACTCTTTATTTTTATACTCCGCCCTGATGCCTTCAATCGACTACGCTGATCTGATGATCGGCATAAACCGTTTTGTTGCCATTTGCTTCCCTCACCATTACGCCCAGTGGACACGACGTCCTGTTATCTACAGTATGATTGCATTCTCCTGGGCAACCGCCCTGGTGTTTGCGGTGGCGCCACTATTCCCAACCATCGCCGCGTTCAAGAACCTCCCGCCTTGGCACGCTTGTGGCGTAGTCTACAGTCCTTTTTGGTCCTTATTTTTCTCCGTAGCAGGAATTGCGTTTCCGGTGATCCTGTTGTTCATTCTTTATGTTGCTGTTTTTGTGGTAATGCTGGTGCGCACCAATACATGGCGCAAGCAAGTGACAACGGCTGGGATGGATGTTAACAGCAAGGTCAAGACAATCGAGCGACGTTTCCGCAGTACAAATATCTTCTTCACCGTATTCGTTTGCTATGCATGTTGTATGCTGCCGGCACCGTTGGCGGCACCGCTCTTTCCTAAAGAATATGCCCGGTTGCCTTTCTTGCGACAAATACTGAGAGCCTTGATGACGGCTGGAACGGCCAGTATACCGGTATGCTCATACATATTGTGAAGTTTTCGAAAGAACGGTGTGCAGTAAAATTATTTTGTAGGTGCTTTACTTTGCAATGAACGACAGATACCGGAAGGGATTACTTCAATGTGGAAAACTTCATCAAAGGTCACGTGTTTCTGGAATGGAAACCAAATCAAATGCAGTTCACAGCCTCTCCAAACCGGTTGCCGCGATGACAATCGACTGAGTGCCTTCGAAACCTTGCGCAGCTGCTGGTTATAAGTTATTAACCGTGTTGCGATGACTCTCAAACTGTCACATATTACCGATGCTTATCATCGCAAGTGCTATAAAAATGGCAAGCGGTCTGAATCAGACCCGTTCTTGTGGGATAACCGTTCGCTGTTTAGCTCTGCATCCCTGCCCAATTCGCCTTTTTGAACCGATAGGTCCTGATCACCTGGTCACCTCTCTACTTCCTATCAAAAGACACAGGAGAGGGCAGAGTTGGTCAGACTGGTCAAAATGCATATGGTCTAAGTTGCCACATGAATGGGACAGTCTACTTACCTTTCTTTTACTACCTTTTCTGTATGTGATGGTGCTGATTATATGTGATTTCGTTTCGCAAGGATCTGGTAAAAAGAAGGCCAGAGATGCTTTTTAATATCACGCGGCAGCGGTTGCGATGTAACGGTCGTTCTGTGATATGTAACTTTTAAAGATTGCCGCAAGATCGCCGCAACACGCCCAGTTCTAAACAAGTAATTTGCTGGCGCGATGAGCCGGCAATTTTCAGCTCGCATGGACCCCACAAAAGGGCACCCAGTACATCCAGGCCTGGTCGCCGGGTTTTCCGAGGTGACCGGACCTTGGATCATTGGTTGCGCCACTCGGGGAACATTTTCACGCGTTATTTCGGACGCACTTTGAGCCCGCGCTGGGCCTACGTTGGCGCAAAAAGACAGCTGTTTTGGGGCAAGAAAAAGGTCATTCGTAGGTTTTAATAGAACACTAAAATACCGTTCAGCGGCCGGTTTCGACAGTCTACACAGCAATGTGCGTCCAATAAATAAAAAAAACAAATAAAATCATACCATGAAATTACTGAAAAATACACCATTCAGCGACCGATGTCGATTTCACACAAACAAAATAAACGAATAAAATTCCACAAAATTCAAATTAAACTATTACAGAGTTATGCCTTCACGCAGCGTTTTCGAACGTCATTTTCCGACAATAACAAATAGAAGACCAGACGAAGTCCAGTGCTTCTCGATTTCGACTGAGGCGCGACGATTTGCTACCACAGCTCCTGCAATAAACACAGCTGTAAATTTCCAGTTAAGTTGTTAAGGGACACAAAAACATAAAAAAGAACAAAAATGCACAAAAACAATGTAAATGCACAAAAAAAAATTCAAAGGCTGACGAATAGCATTATAGCACCATTAGTACCACACAAGACAACATCACAACAATAAGGCGATAACGAACCACACTGCTAATTTCTAATGCGCTTGAGTTATAATACGCTTACCTGTTCAATTTCTTGTTATCGCGGGCCTCGAATTCGGCGTTCCATATCAGTGACAGCGAGAGAGTTTCCACGTCCAGAAGAGCGAAAAATAGAGTGGGAAGGTTTCGATCGAAAACTGTACTACAACAGCTTGCAACTTTGTTGATTCCACCTCCATTTCAACGTTAACATCGAACTAATAATACTAATTCTTAAAGAATATTTGAACATCTTGAAAAATCGGTCTCGAAGTTCGTTAAGATTAAGTGAAAAGAAAAATCAAAACCTCTGACAGACACAAACAGGACGAGTTCGCTGCAGCTAAAAAATTTTAAAATTGAAACTAAACTTGCACAAACGTGCAGCGGCCTGGTCTGCGGCCATGTGTAGATTTGAATTCCGAAACTGAATGGGCATTGGCGGAAGTTTAATGCCCGCCCTTACGCAGCTTATACACTGGAAGCCGTGGCAGCCACCTGTGGGGGCGCAGTTTCAACTTGCCGTTTATTTTCGGTGTTTCGCCCGCTCACTGGCGGCTTACGGAACAAATTGTGTTAAAATGCGTTATTGCGGCCGCACACACGCCCCAGCAAATTTAGCCATTCCGGCTGGGACGGTTATTGTGTCACCGTACTCATTCACTGAATATGTAAACCTAGCAAACTATCCGTTCCACCTACACCGAACAGTACTAGTTGTACCCCTTAATTTTGACCGAGACTTTTAATTTTTACAGTACATCAATTCGTAATCTAAAAACAGCTTTGTCGATTAAAACAGTGTGCAAAATGCAAAGTCATATAATAAGAATAAGTATACGGTACAGTAAATAAATGCTCCATGCGTAGACCGGTATTCTGGTGCATGGAACGTGCGACATTAAAACACAATTTATTTAGGAAGAAGTACGCGCAGTAGATGTGTTGAATGCATACGGACGTTTCATATCGATTCGAATGACTCTCTTCATGTATTCCATGATTTGAAGGTCACACTCCATCGATGCATTAGTTGCGATTCCAAAACATTCACGCGCGATGCAAGAAGCTATTGATTTGTACGTTCCACTGCATTTGTAGCACTTACTCAAAGAGAAGAAAGGATGCTCACGCACATCGTATAATATTGATAGTTATTGCGGACATGGCCTTTCCTCTGGGTGAACAAATCTTGCAAACATGGAAATCAAGGTTGAAAGAAGGCGCAGCATGTCTATGGTTATAAGCGGAGCTGCATGCTCGCAATATTTTCAAATTAAAACGTTTCTGTTTTGTCACCGTTCAGGCAACCAGAAATCCGTTGACGAGTAAGGAAGTGCGCAGAACGCATTCAACGCATACATCAGCAAGATATTTGACGCACCGAACATCCACAAACATTTCTCTATCGGCAATTTTAATATATATAACATATACAAATGTTTTGGTACGTTGCATGATTGACAACGAAAAATTAGACAAATTAAACGTTACGAATCCAATGTAGTAGACCTTCGTAATAGATAGTATCTACATACAATGTCCGAGTCGACGACAAGTACTAGCGCTCAAGGAAATGCGACAATTAACAAGACCACAATCCCTATCTGGGTCGTATACGAAGTGGAGCAGCGCATCTGGTACGGAGTGATGGTGACCAGTTGTGCGGTTGGCAGTATCGCCAGTGTGGGTCTTATTGCGGCCATTTTCACCTCCAAAACAGCCCGCACCGGCTCCAGCAGTCTGATGGTCAATCTGTTGGTAAAAGTGGCGCTGCAGTGCGGCGTCGCTATACCGCTGGTAATTCAATCATATCCGGGTACGTAGCGAAAGGTCACGCATAGATAAAGTAGTATATACGCCTCATTTTCGATATCTGCAAACGTTGACACCAGTTTTAGTTTTCCTACAGCAAACTTACATGGCGTGAAGTTGATAGAGTCTTATTAATTTTCCTGCGTAAAGATTTATAGTAGATTTTCCGGCGCCAAAAATAAGCAAAGTGACTATTTCATCTACCGGTGTATCCGTTGTATATATTAATTTGAATAATCTCTGTTGAACTTTATAGGAATTCCTTTCAATTTATCCGCATCCCCGTCATTTTGTGCCAATTCTCTATTCTTATACACCGCTCTAATGCCGTCCATCGATTACGCCGACCTGATGATCGGCATCAACCGGTTCATCGCCATCTGTTTCCCGCACCACTATTCCCGGTGGTCCCGTCCGCCCGTCATCTACACCATGATCGGCCTGTCCTGGTCCACCGCCGTCGTCTTCGCGGTGGCGCCCATGTTCCCCAACATCGCCCGCTTCCGCAACCTACCGCCCTGGAACGCGTGCGGCGTGGTGTACAGTCCCTTTTGGTCGGTGTTCTTCGCTGCCGGCGGTATCGCCGCGCCGGTGGTGGTGCTGTTCGTACTGTACTTGGCGGTCTTTGTGGTGATGTTGTCGCGTAGTCGCATCACGTGGCAGAAGCAGCAGAAAGTGGCGCCGGTCATGGAGTGTAAGGTCAAGCGCACCACGGAACGCCGCTTCCGCAGCACCAAGATCTTCTTCACGGTGTTCGTGTGCTATTCGTGCTGCATGTTGCCGGCACCGTTAGCCGCGCCGCTCTTTCCCAAGGAATACGCCAGACTACCGTTTCTGCGGCAGATATTGCGAGCGTTAATGACGGCGGGAACCGCAAGCATTCCGGTTAGTCTCTCATTCTGCTATTTACGGTGCATCGCGTACAGCTGGCAATTTATTTTTATATGCGCTGTTTAATTATACTGGCTAAGGCCAAGGGAGTCTTAATATAATGGGGCTACATGGTTTTTCAGGTGTTGTATTTTCTACTGAACTCCAAATACCGTAACCAAGTGCTTTCGTGCGGATACAGACCAAGGTTATCATCACATCCTTCTAAAATGGAGAAGTCAAACGTATCGCGTAGTCGAATGAAGTCCATGGGTGCAGGCGCGACGACCGATGCTGCATCCGAATGAACCAGAGCGAAATAACGAGCGCGGGTGACATCCATGCTGTGTTGCAGACTGTACAGTACATTAGCACACTGCGAACCTTGCAGATACCGAAGCCCGCTTTTAAACGTTTTTAGTGATGCCTATTTTGCAAAATTATATAATATTATTAATAATTATAACATAATTAATAATTATGTCAGTTGCCTTGCGCGTTTGCATTGCGAAAATCTTCTCTTTTTTGGTAGTCGGCTCTGTTCAAATGGTACCAAATGTGCGGAGAGCATCCGTATAATGTATTATACGAGTATTTTAATCATATAAACAAAACCACAGCAAAGCTGCCATGAAAAACAACATCGGGTACAAATTATTCCCGATCAGCCAATCTAAAAGCTAAAAAAGCTTATACGAGTATGTGCAGTACAATGAGTACATACGTATCTGTGTATCTACCACGGTTTACATTAATTTAACTTTGAGCCACACTTTTAGTCTTTCGTTGCACAAATTATAATAATTAATCTGGCTTTTCTAATTTTGTATGAGATATGTTAACTGTTCGTTAATTGAATAATGGGTTTTTCGAAATGGGTCACCCAAACGACAAATAAGTACCGCAGACCGAAACTTTGTTGACTTTTAGCAACATTAGCAAATGATATCAAAACCAATGCTGCATCAACAAAGACGAAACAGAATACCGGGACAAGCAAATAAAAATAAATGATGGTGCCGGTTGCCGCGTTTCGCATTTTACATCTCTGTGCAAATACTGTCACCGCGTTATTAAGAACAAGACAAACCCAATGTTCGAAGATCCTTTACAGTATATAATATACAGAGTACGAACATTTCTTTCATTAATCACAACGTTCAACCACCATCTCTCCCATCACGCTACAGCCCATCAGATGACCTTCGTCGTCAAGCCTTCGTCAAAATATTGCTTCTCGATCTTTTGGGAGAAAAGTCCTTCTTTAACAGCAAACTGTGTCCCGAAAAGGAGAAAATCCCCACATCGACAAGAGCAGCAATCGCTTTCTTCCAGCATTCCTCATTAACAATACCCGTGCGCAGCTTCAGACTCTCCACATCCATCTGATCTATATCGTTGAACGCCGCACAGATCGCATACTGCGGCATATCCATGGTGATCAGCAGCGGCTTGCGAAGGTAGTTCACCTGCACATCCACGAATCCCAGTTTGTACATCCAGTTCAACGTAGACCGACCGGTTTGGCGCGTGTAAAAGGCCGAATAGCGGTCCACCAGAAGGAGGATATCCGGGGGCAAGGTCATTGTCATCCCTTCCTTGGGAATGGGCCACACGCCAGGCTGAAGCAAATGAAACATTCAATACTTTATTGGGATATATTTTCTTCCAGTCAATTGTATTATACTGCTCTTTTAAGATCCATACAAAGAAGTAAAAATATTTAGTACGGCATTCAACTGTTACTAATCATGCATCATTTGATAGGCTTAAAACCGCCAGATATTGATGCCCACACTCTACAAAACGGTCCAAACCCACTGTATCAAAAAGCCAATCTCATCGTGCAATGTAAATTAAAAGCTGCAGACTATTACGCTTGCTTGTCAGCTACTTTAAGTACAGTATGCTAAAAGAAGTTAGATATACGAGTCTACGTCCTACTTAATTAATCACAAAACTTACCGTCAAAACATTTACGAAAAGTTCGCAATCAGACCGCGGAGTTGCAGAGGGATCGTCATCGTCCACAACTTCGGATAAGAAGGCCGTCATCAGACTCCGACTGCTTTCAATGTCGTTGACAAGCCGTTTGACACACTTGATTTCCTTTGAATCAGCCCCGTTTTTGCATAACTTGTCAATTAAAACGTTTTCCATCATGAGATCAGGGCGTCGACCAAGTAGCAAGCGTCGGGCCATTTTGCGAATATTGCACTATAAACGTGAACGAGCATCACACTTAAATTTCGAGAAAATCGTGCTGCTGGTGGCGCGTAAGGTAAGGCGTAATGTTCTACGTTTCAATTTCTGTTAAATGTTGAAAAATCGAAATTATACTATTAAATGATTCTCCTTAAGAAAAATTAGTGAATATCCATCGTTCATTGTTTTTACCTCATAAAAAGATCGGTTATCCTCCAAAAACTGGCACAACATAAGCGGCTCCAGGATTGCATCCATTCGATCAATATCGGGATTTTTTCTCATGAACTGGTCATAATGTGCAACCAACGTCTCGGCCAAGGAGAATTTCTTGTCAAGATCTCCTTGTTCCCGGTTAACCACAAACCGAAACGCTGTCTCCGCGGCCTTCAGCTGACGAAACGTCTGTGGCGCTAAATTGTGCAGTTCCAACAATTCCTGGGAATTTTCCCCAAAAACGGGCAGCATATCCAGTGAACTGGTTTCCAGAAATTCAGTGGTCTTTTCCTCGATGGTGGCCAGCAGGAATCGCCGCCGCGATGCCCTTTCCTCGGGAGTAAAGAGGTGGGACTGCTGGTACATGAGAAGCAAATTGTCGACGAGATTCTCGGTGCGCGTATTGAGATTATCCAGGAAAATCGACGCCAGCCCTTCCCCGAGGACTTCCGACCGCAGTGCGTGCAGCTTTTTTATTGTCGATTTATGGCAGATATCGGAGGAACGTATTATTTCCTGATCAAAGAACTCCGAAGTCTGCAAAAAAACACTGAGCCATTAAACTCCCGTCATTCGGCATTACCGTTATACGTCGAAAAGCGGGCCTACTGTCTCCTAAGCACATAGTAAAAACAATACAATTAATTAATTTTAACCAAAAACGTTGGCAAAACCTTAACCGATTCCAAATCTTTTAGCATTACCTTATTTCCATAATTTCGAAATATACGCAGTATTGCGAATACCAGTCACACAAGTCATGAACAGATGATACCATTGCACTACGATTTTGTTATTATTCTTAGTGCTTCATTTACCCTGTGCAGATAATGGAGACTCGTAGCATTCCGAGTCAGTGCTACGACTTCTTTTTCGCAGCGTTCGCGCATTGCCAGCAGGAACGGCAGCTCAAAGATAGTGCTATACACAGGCAGTTCGTCCTCATCGCATCCATATCCATCCATGGTGATCAGCGACGTGACGACAGTCTTAACACATCCCGAATGCTGCGTCGCGTTGTTTTCCCAGTCACTACGATGTACATAAATCTAACTGAATGGAATCAACATGAAGCTAGAAAAAACCTGATTCGTATGAAAACGAATAACTGATTTTTCACTGGAATTTACAGTGCTGTCGCAACTGGCTCCCATATCGGCACAAAACTTCCATACTTTCGCCACTGTACTACGCTAAACCATCAATCTGTCTACCCTACCGCCGCTTACCAGCATATTCCCGCGATTAATGGATCCGTCAAGCGTTTCCCCAAGGATTCCACTACCGAATGCTTCCAAATTTCATGGCCAATTTGCATAAAATTTTTCTGATGTTTCCCATAATACACCCACAGCGAATGGAAGGATAACTCCAGGGCTTCGATGGATTTCATGGAAGTCTGGAATTTCTCCCATTCTGTGACGTAGGTTTTCAGGAACTCCGATCCCACCAGTGTGTCCGGGAAGATCTCATCGTACACGCGCGATAAATGCAGACTAATCTGATAGTAGACGCTCTGATAAATCCGTCTGGCGTACTCCAGACGGTGCGAGCTGATTCGAAATTCGTACATGATCCTGCCAACAAGCACAGTCTCCGTCAGAATCACTGCACAATATGGGCGACTGCGTTGTGCATTCAACGCCAAGAACAAGAAGCAGAGTACAGGCCAAAAGCTGGGAAAACTTACGTGTGCAAATCGGAGAAGAACTTGTCAGCATACTGCCTGGCCAGCAGGCTGTCGATGGCCTCCTTCACTTCGCTCCATCGTCGGTCGAAAAACGCTCCCACTTCGACGGGATGAGTAGGTTCTAGTCTCTGAGAGGGGAGTGGCATTTTGATCACCATTCTGGGCATCGTCTGCTGTGAGGAATGGGGAGTCACAAAATACGGACTGCAGATTATCAGGTACAGTGATTTGTTAACAATCCTCAACTTTCTAATTGAACTGAGAGCTCTGCAACTGAAGAAATGCAATTTACATACTCGGAAAACAAATTTGGAATGGCGATAAGAATTGGTATGGTCGGTAGAATGTCTGACCACCACATGGGAGGCAGTGCAAAAGTGCCACTGCAGTCGTTTGAAAGGAAAGTTTTCGTTAACCTGGATGCACCGATCTTGGTGGAGTTTCTGGGAATTTTGACCTTTCATCAATTTTAATTTGACGACGGAACACGACCATATTGCCAGCCGTAAACCCTGGTTTGAAAGCGTCAAACGTCTGGCATGGCTGGCTGATTCTCAAAAAGCGGAAGAGGCTAATATCGCGCGCCGCAACCCAGCAAGCCACTAAAAACGCAAAAGAGAGTTGCTTATACTAGACCGAAATGCTGACCATGGTGAGTAGAAATGTGTTTGTTATAATGGGCGCACGGGAAAACAATAATGCATATCCTAGAGTGGGTTATTTCACTCGTGTTTAATTTTTATTGCCGTGCGCAGAATCGGATGACTGTTTAACATGTAGCTAGTTAGGCTGTATCCCTATCATGAAGGTGTGGTGTAGTTAAGTTTTACAAGCTGGATTCTGAATTGCATAAACCAGAAAACAAGTCCTTGGCCGATCAACGATTGCAGTTACAGTGACCGATACACTTGATTTATTTGATACCGTTATGTAACTAACATGTTACGACAGAGTCACAGACGCACCCCCAGAATCCCCCAAAACACCGGTAAATTCATTCTGGACACAGATAAACTCGGGCTGGCGTTTAGCGAGCTTACGTAAACAGAATAACGGATTAAAACCATTTCACATATAACATCTATGCACGCGACCACACTCGACAATAAAATCAACATGGCAGGCTGTGGACAGTGTCCACTAGATACAAGACCGTGATAGAAATACATTATTTTCACTTATACTCTATCAGGATTTCCTGAGCTCTATACAATATATTCATATACATCTTGCGCGGTGGGTGAGCGACGGATGTAGTCCTTTTCTATCAGCGTATCCACCGCCTTCTTCATCATCGGCACCGTGGCAGCGAACCGCGACTGGGCGATCTCTCGGACTTCCTCCAAGAGATTCTGGTGCGACATGCTGATGCGGGACTTCATGATTCGACAGATCGTGGCCTGCAGAAAAAGAAATGATGACCTTAGACGCAGTTCTTATGACTTCATGGGATAGCACATTTTGGAAAAATGACGTATTTACGACTCCAAGAGTGCATGGCTAGATGACAGTGCCACATCTGAGAATATGTGACATAAAACGAAATGCTGAAATCAGCATGGGGATAAAAACTGCCGCTTCGAAATGAAAGCGTAACAAATGAGGCGGCAATACTGTTCAACAACTTCCTCTATGGACCACTGATGTGTCCTTATGTATACCATACTTTGCCCATGCTTCGGTAATACGGAAACTGCAATTTACTGGAAATTCGGTTCATTGGAAATTTCCCCCACCTTCCTTCGACTTAACTCATATGTGAATGGAATGGATAGAATAAAGATAGTTAGTTTACAGCGTGAAAGCGGCTGGCGATTGTCGGACATTGGGATGGGTGGGTTTGGCATACACGGAATGCTGTTTAAAATAAACCTGTTCTATTTACGCCACAATGACTGCAGTCGTATCACGAAGAAAAGGTACTAGTACGAGTACTACTACAGTAACCTTATTTATACTTACCCAATCAAATTACGAACTATATACTACAATACAAAGCATTAAAAGAATCATAACCTGTGTCAAAAAGCTACGGCCGCGTTCATAAGTATTCAGCGCGCGCGCGCGCCCGCGCTATCTGCGATTGTACTGTACTTGTAAAGTTACTAAAGTAACGTACAGTATAATTATCGTATCGATACGTCGAACGTTTGCCATTGAATGCCATTCTACTACAATGCATGTAGTCTTAAGTTAAGTAACAGTGTATGCATGTTTTCCGCTACTATTTGTCTATTTCTATACTTCGTACCTGTAAAAACAGCTGCCGCATATCCCCGGTAGACCGTTCGGTCTCTTCGCGCTCCTGCGTCGGCTGTTCTTTGGTCTGCGGCGCTGCAATCTTGATTCGCGGTTTCTTGGGCGAATAGTCTACACAGAGCGCGACGGTCTGTCCCAACTCCGTATCCTGATAGCGGCGCATCAGCCCCTGCTGGGCCAGGCATTCGATGTTGACTTCCAGATATTCATCCGGCATCCCCACCATCTCCTTCAGCTGGGCCATACTGATACTGTCCACATCGGAGAAGGCCATACAGATGGCCAACTGCTGTACTGTCATGGTGACGATCACCGGTCGCTTCACGTAGTTCAGTTTGACGTCGACGTAGCCCAGTTGGAAGATCCACGTCAGACGCCGACCGGAGTATTCCTTCGAATAAAATTCACCGAAATTCTCTATTACCGAATGCAGGCCGACGGGGATATTGAAGGGGATATCGAAGCTGGGAATTGGCCACACACCGCTCTGCAATGCACAAAATCATCCATATATTAAATTAACAAAGTCTGTAATTTCACATCTCTTTCGTCTTGTTTCAACTTTCAATGATTGATACAGTAGTACAGTAGCAGTACATACCGTCAGCACATTGATGAAGAGGTCACCGCATTTGTTTCTAAAGCTGGATAACGGAAATCTTTCGAAAAACTGCTGCATCATCAGAGCACTGGAGTTGATATCCCGCTGCATTCGCAGCAGCCTGCCCGTGTAGTCACAGCCACAAACGTCTCGTAGTTTGCTGATCACTTTCACTTCCACATCTTCGCTCACAGACTGTTTGTTGATCAATCGCTTGGCCATCATACGCGAGTAAAACTACAAGCAACCCAAGCCTCTTTTATGAATATATTTTACTTTTAATCCTGAGTAAAATATAATACAAATATCAACCAAAACTACTTCAATAATCAATATCACTCAGTGTACGATGTGTACAGTATCTACCGACAGAAATACTCTGGTATTAAAGTGCTGTAACTTGGATCAAAAAGTGCAAAGTACTGTAGTACAGCGGCTATAAAATTCTAAGCAAGATGCAATAAAATATTGAAACGGGCTAAACAAATAAACGGCTTTAACACGTAACTTTTTACTTGCGCCCAGGCCCGCCACAAGGTTTTTGGAAAGGGGGGGGGCGCACCATTTTTTGGCCGCCGCCGGGGGGCGCTTAATAAAAAAAAATCATTTTTAATTTATTTTTATTTTCGAACCGTATTTTGGCCCGACAAAAACCGTCGATCGCTAAATGGTATTATCCTTTGTCTGGTTTTAAAATGTTTTTGAAGCTTTGTGAACACGCAGATTACTAAATTCGAACCAAAAATTTCAAATTTCATTAGTTTCTATATTAAAAAATTTAAAAACGTACGGAACCAGGGCAGTAAAACCGGCGCCGGGGCGGCGGAGCCCTTCTCGGCCGTCAGGACGGCGCGCCGGGGGGGCGGTCAAAAACCCGGGAAAGGGGGGGCGACCGCCGGTGCGCCCCCCCCTTTCTGGCGGGCCTGCTTGCGCCCTTATGAAATTGTTTCGTAAAAATTTTTATGATTACTTATATCGTTCTGTGATACAAAACCTTACAAGTCCTACCAACTGCTTATCAAATTCAGCAGATATAAGTTCACTAGAAGCCCGACGGGAAAAAGTCTTAATAACATTTTATAACCCTATTAATAATTACTATTACTCCACAATTTTTACACGATTTCTTACCCTCTGGAAAACATCCTTATCGTCCAGAAATCTGAAGATCCTAATGGCCCCATCTAACTTATCCTCGACATCCGGGACATTCTTGGCACTGCGTCTCAATAAATTATCACAATAGCGGGCAATGAGCTCCGCCGATGAGAAGGGTGAGCCAACCACGCCGCTCTGCTGATTGACCACAATCTTAATGGCATCCTCAATGGCTTTGCGGAACATGGGATCCCCGTTGAACACCTTATTGACCATCTCTTCAAACCGACTCAAAATCCTATCCAGATTTTCCACCAGATCCTGTGGCTCTAGCTGGGCCGTGTTGCCCACGGCTTCACGGGCCTTTTCCTCCACGAAGGAGGTGAAGTACTGGCGGAGGGTGGCGATCCCTTCCGGGCAGGGTCGCAGGACTTCGTACATATTGATCAGGTCATGCTCTGGCTTCTCTTCGATGAGCGTTCGACTACCGCTCAGAATAAAACCGAGGTGCTCGTTAACCATGCGCACTTGCACTTCGTTGCGGATCTTCTCGAGCGTCGAGGGGTGACAAAGGCGACGCGCGCGTAATTCTTCCTCTTGTAAACGCTGCAGCACCTGTTATACGATGGTCTGTAAGTTTTCATAAATACGTACAATGCAGCTGAATCAAAATTCCGATCAAGTCAACACACATCGCATACTAACGTAAATATTTACGTTCATTTAAATGGATTTAATCTCACGCTAATTGTATGGCCAAAACCTTAAAAAAACCCTGAATCCATGAATTCGTCTTACCTTTACAACGTATTGCGAAAAGGTTGTTTTTGCGATCAAGTACACCGCTTCCATTCGGTAGTGTTCACCGGTAGCCTGAATGTAAGGAATTTCGAACACCTCGCGGTAGGTTTTTAACACTGATCGTCCCTTGAATTCGTCCAACGCCACGAGGGAGTTCACCACGCGACGCATCAGTTCCGAATGGGCCAAATCGTGCTCTTTTCGATCGCTGCAAAAATGAAATTCACCTCAATTATTATATAATGATTCTGCAGTAAACAATGCGACAAGCCTAATTTACCAATACAAAAAATTCAGCGCGGATACCTACACTTGCAATTTTTCTAATTCCACGCGAGAAAACGACAACCCGGTACGGGTTACAGCATACGGCAATAATCATACAGTGAGACCACATCAAAGCGCGGTATTTAAGCACCTTAACGAAACGTAATTACGAATAATCCCGTACCCTTCGATCATCTCCAGCAAAGTCATCGTCAGATCTTTCTGCATTTTACTGACAATCCCATCCGCCCACATCTGGCAGCCCAGCTGCAGGATCTCGATCTTATCCAGAGAGTAATCGGGCAGGTTAATGCCCAGATGGATCATGGGGAATTCGCTGTCGTTGATTTTGGCTGGCTTCACCACCGCGGAGTTGAGATGCATGGCCAGTTTGTTAATGTACTGCAGCGCTTCGTAGAAATTATCCCAGTGATGCAGGTAGACATTGAGCAGTTTCTGCTCCCGTGCTTGGAGGAGATTCTGGCACACATGGGTGATGTGTGTATGGAGAACTTCTTGAATTTTGTCGTACAGATTATCCACGTACTCCGGCGGGAAATCGACGGTGATTGCGTAAACATCTCTACAAATACAGCGTTATGTTCTGTCAAAACTTCGAAACCATACCGTCCATACGTATTACAACCGCCCTGCAAGGCACACGTACGAAAAGCGCTCGTTCCAGATTCTGCGCTGAATGGACCGCTTCGCCAAGATGGATTCCAAAGTATCCTGAATGCGACACCAGCGCTTGGCGAAGCGCTCTTCCAAATCGAATATAGTCCCTTCCTCCGACAAACCGATCGACTTATCCATGGTTGGTCCGAAGAAACTCATTTTCTGCTAGTTCATATCACTAAATAAGATTAAATCCACGGCTCCACGAATAAAGCACATCCAAGATTTCGCAATTCACAAAATTTATTACTTTAAGCATGGTAATAAATTTGAGCTGCTTTATTTGTTTAATCCATAACTTTCAGGGTGGCGTTTCAAAATTTTAGCGTGCAGCTGATTTCTATGATAAAGACGGTTGGCGATGCGAGCTATTTGGCGTGGTAAATGGATTAATTCACCCTCGGCATATTGCTAGTCACGGAGCGTAGCTCGTTTCATTACTCATACGGTACTTAAAAATGAGGCTGTACCGGGAACCGATATGAACCGCTTATATTCTATCCTCACCGGAAATGGCTTCGGGCTAACGTTTTATTACCAAGTCTTTCAAAACAGAAAAAATGGATTAAGCCTGCCTCAAGAACTAAGAAAAGATTTGTATGCAGCCATTAATTAAACTACACAGGATGATGCCCGGACCTGTGGTATATTTTTCAGAAATTAGCGACGTACACACATTCGCTCGTGGTGCAGTCACTGCAGTACTCGCTGCGGCTGATTGTTGGCAAAATCCCAAAAAAAGCAGCACTGTCTCCGCAGCACAGCAGATAAGAGTTGCTTACAAACAGCTGTGCACGTGGTTATCGGACTTCGTCTAATTCTGCGCGACGTCGTGTAAGCGTAATGTTGGTGATTGTCAAAATTTTTTTATCCCCTATTTTACTTGACAAAATGGGATACTCAGGTGTTTTGTTATTATTCTAAATAGATTTAGCAAAAAAAGTATTTTGCTGATTCAAAAAGTGACGAAGTCGCAAGACGCGAGTCGTTCTTGTTTGTGCGAGGCTGCTGCGTCTTTCTGCGCGAGTTGGATCGACAACCGCTTTTTCAATCGTCGGTGATTAACCTGTTTATTACAGTACTGACTTTTTTCGGAGACCGATTGGGGAATTCAAATGGTGTTTACGTTATACGGTGTTGCCATGTGATACTCGAAATGGGAGGATGAGGATGCATTGTTCCTAAAGCGTGGACGGGATTGCAGAGCAGCGTTCGTGAAAGACCGTTTAGTACCTAGTGAAGACGAAGTTGCAGCTTTGTTTCCCTGGAAGATTACTCGGGCTTGGAAGATTCGCAGCTGCTAGTTTGCTGCTGATCGAATGTAGTTGTCTGAATCCTTCCTGCACTTTCCTCTTGTCTTCGTCAGTGATCATGGGGTGCAGGAGCAGGATATTCGTGTTTCTTGGTCGTCAGCTGGTTTGCGCCAACAGCGCTGCCGTTTTGGGCCGTCATGCGCGATGCTTGGCTGGGCAGGCCACTGCTTCTGTTACCAAGATCGAGGATAAATCCATCGTCAGATCATACGGAATTCTGCAGGTAAAATGCGAAATCCGATTATGCTTATGTGAATGTATGAATGTATTTCTTTCATCAGTGCATAACTTGAGGAACGTGCTGGTGAAACAAGCTTTAAGTGCAGAAATTTTGGTACTATACTGTAGATGGTATAAAATTTGGTATTTATACAACTGTGCATAAAAATGCTCTTAAAATATAATAAATAATTTATCGATTTTTTTTAAACAGTGAAGGGCCTGAATGCTATTACTGATATCGATATTCAGGCGCTTCTGAGTTCTCTATGCAGAAGTAGACTGTGAAGCTGCGGTCTCGACTCTCCGGAAATTAACGTAAACGCCAATTAAAAAATAATCGGATGTATCATGTATTTGTAGACATCGTAAGATATCGTATAGGGATCACCATAGTTTTCTGTACTAGAATAATGAAAAGGTTTTCGGTTTCTCGTGTGAGTAAATCAATCCTGACGCATTTAGAGTGAAATTTTTTCGTAAATAATAATGGTAATAATGGTACATTCATGTTGGGTTTTGCTTTCAGTTCACAAGTGGTGTTGTCGTCTTCGCAGGTGTCGGAAGATTGCTCTAATTTGGAAGTTCGAGAGGTAAGTATGTATGATGTATGTTAGGTATGTTTCGGAATTACTAACTGCAGCGATTAAGAGTACTTACAAATAATTGTTGTACAACATTTTAAGCTCATACTGATTGCTGAATTGCGACTAAAACATTTTTCTTCTTTTTAACTTATGCTTAATTTTTTACTTCATCAAACGAAGGAAACCGGCAAACTGGTAACATTTTTGCAGCCAGTGTTCGATGTTTTAACGTGGAAGTTCACTCGTTGAAATTTTTTGTAGACCCGTAAATAACTGTGAAGAAGAGTTATTTCGCAGTTATTTACGGGTCTACAAAAAATTTCAACAACTTTGAAAATAAAGTTTTTGCAGGTTGATACCATACGAGTACAGTAAGTAAGCTTTGTAAAATGTATGGATCACAGTTTGTCAGGTTGAAGCCGTAACACTACACTGCTTCTGAATGTAGAAAGAGATGATGTATTGTAGCAAGTAAAAGTAGTGCTTACATGCATGTGTGCCGTGGTATTTAACTGAATCAGCTGACTGCACAGCAGTGACAAGAGAAACACATGGATTTGGTATCCGATTATACTATAAAGTGATATTATTTCAGGCTTTCGTCCGCTTGGCCAAAAAGTACCACCCGGACAGCAGCGAGTCTCCCGATGAGGAGCGCTTTCGTTCCATCGAATCGGCGTACCGGTCCATCATGGAGCACCGAAAATTCGCCCGGCCAGATGAGGAAATTGCCGACGCGGTGGAAAAGGAGCTGGGCTTCCATCACCGCGCGCCGGCTCACCGACAGTACCTGTCCAATGAGGGATTCGGCTACGGGACACCCAGTCAACGGGAGCGACAATACCAGGCGTTCCGTCTGAATCGAGCCACCGAAAACGTGTACAATTACCGCGTGGGGAAGTTGGCGCCATACACAGAAGATGCGCTCGTCACCCTGGATAAGCAGGTATGACGGACGTACGTGATGCAGTATCTCTACTTCCTCCGTCGTTCACAAAATACGAATAGTGTGTTAATCTGCACAATAAACTTCTAGTATTATGTAATATGTAGATTTAAAAGATGGGAATATTTAATGATTATAACAGTTCTCGCAATATATTATTAATTTCTTTGATCAGATTTGAACAATGTTCCTATGCATATTAACAAAGTAATAGAAACTTGTAATTTTGTTTCGTTTGCTGCGAAAATTAAACACAAGTTTTTGCGCGATAGTGTGACAGCCAAATTATTTGTAAACTGGTTAAGCACTAATACTCGTAGTGATTCTGATTATGAGCTCACTGACTTGTGATACAAACGATTCGTTTGATACTTCTATAGGTTTTGTTAAATTTTATACTTACCGATAGTTGTGCGTTTTGTACTGTAGTTTAGCATTCGCCAGTTGGATGTGTATTGCCTTTTTCAGTTCGTATGATTTCATTTGATCGCCTGACTTTATTATCACGATATAAGTCAACTTTTCGTGATTCTTAAAATTATTTTTTTGTGAACAGGCGACAAAGAAATTCAAAACGCAAAACGCTATCGAGCGTGTGGTGGAGGATCTAATTCAGGAAAGCATGGCCAAAGGAGAATTCACCAAGCTGAGCGGAATGGGTAAACCGTTGAATTACGCGGATGCCAATCCCTTTGTCGACTCAATGACACATAAACTCAATCGGATTCTCATCAACAACGGTGAGACTTGCACATTTTTGCGATGTGGTTTATTTGTAATTTTCAGCTCTGTTACAAGGTGAGGCGAGCTGTAGATTTTGCTCATTTGACCGTTTCACCTGTTATTTTGCAGTTGCTATTTTAAATTGCGATTAATTATACAGTAAAAACTTGAATCATATGAAGTTTCCATTGTCATGACCTTGCGGATTTTTTCAAAGTGCACTACTCTCTTCGGATGTGTTGAGGCGTTCGTACTACGGTTTATCAAGGTTTAGTTTTGGTAGCGAAACACTACTCGAGTTTGTAATATTTCATGGGTTCCGAATATTTTTGTGAAAATGATTCCTGTAGGATTTACGCCGGAGTGGGCTGTGCTTGGTAAAGAGATCGAAAACCTGAAAGCCGAACTGCGACAAAAACTGACCGAAGAACGCGCTGTGTACGGCGAACATCCGACCCAACAACATCGCGGCGCGTGGGCCGATTTCGTCCAACAGCAGCAGCCGGCCATCGAAGAAATCAACCAGAAAGTCCATAAATTTAACTTTATTTGCCCCAGTATCCAGCAGCAGCTGTGTCAGGTCGGTCTGCAACACTTTGCTGATAAGATTTTCAGCGGCGATGGCTGGAGAGAGGTATCCAAAGAGAAGCTTCGGGAGAACATGGAGAAAAAGAGGACAGCGATGCGGAAAACACAAACACCGGTGGAATCCTCGACCTGGTCGTTTTGGGACATTTTGACCAGATGAAATATTGTTGGTTGCATTAAATTGCTTATGGATAAATTTGTCTGTGATAAAATATTTCGATATCATTCAATTTGATTTGAATTACAAAGTTTTGAATTCTTGTACAGAAACTGCGGCATATTATTATGTAAATATTGATTTTCTTGTGTGAAAATTTTCTGACTGAGCTTGTTGCTTTATGAAAGGCTAATGTGATTAAAAATTTATTGGATTTTCCTGGTGATATGAAAAATCGTAGACCACAGCGTGCGTGGTCACACGCAGAAAAACATGCCGGAAAAAGAACATCCGCGTATCTTTTCGTGTTTTCCTTGCTTTACTGTACCTGTATCAATACTCTGTATGTAAAGGAACACGTAACGGATGTTAAAAAATAATCAAAATAGAATATTTTCGTGTAAGTGCAGCAGTTTTTATAAAGACTGCTTTTTAGAACTCTGAAAGATTTTTTCACTAAACGGTAAGTAAACAAGACATTTGTTTGAGGAGTTTGGGTTTAATAAGCCAGTCACCGAGGATTATTCCATACGCGGCGTCTGACGGGCGTATAAACGCGGCTTCCGGTCGGCTGCACCAATTGCGTGCCGGGACGGGCTTCTTCCGGGGTACAATCACTCAAAAGACACCCACCCAGCGCAGCCCAACCGGACAATACCCGCCTTGATACATATGCTGCTGGATACATCGTTATTACGTACAACGCCAACTGACTGGAGATGTTTGACTTTGCTCCACTCATCCACAGGGACAAATAACATAAATATTTGATATGGTCATATGGCTCATATATCGATTGCGTATAGCCACAATGGCCGCTATTCAGCCGCTGACGCTCAAGTTATTCTTTAAATCGGGGAGAGAAGAAAACCGGCGTGCCGGCTAGCGCAGCCAACGAGGCGGGAAAATATCGTGTTTTTTGGTAGACATCTGTCTTGTTCGGCCTTATCAATATGCCTTTTACCCGGGTGGTGCCCAGTGTTTTCCCGTGAAAAACGCGGCCTCTTAGAGTGTCATTGCGACCGGTCATTTTTTGTCGTGCTTCCGGAAGTGCATGCTTGGTTAGTGCGGAGTAACTACTGTGTTAACGTTCGCTGTGATAGGTAAGTAGTTGGAAGAAAACCATTCGTCTTAACGTAATTATGGTTCACTTTCATGATTTCGCTTTAGTTTTTTGCTTTTTTAACTTCAGTCAATTTTATACTATTTCCTACATGCCTTTATTAAACTCGTAATTGTTTTTCTTCTACTGAAAACCGATTTAAACACTATTTTTTCGATGTACATTTAATCATGTTATTGGTTTTCAAACCTGATAATAATTAGAATGGTGGATTAGGTACGTACGTATTATCCAATTTCCGATAATGGGATAATTCGATTATAGTTCATTTTTGTGTAATTAAGGCATTGCGTTGGTTAAAAAAAATTGCCCACGCAAAAAAAGGCGTAATAACAGCAGTATTGTGTTACGAGTCAGCATGACCTTTCTACAGGAAATTGCCGGAATTAAGCTTAATGAATCATTCACGAGCCTTCTACGCCGCGAATGCATGACCTCCAATTTCAGGTGGCCGTATTGCAAATCTGCAAATCCCCAGTGTCTGGTGGAACTTATCCAAATACAGATCACGTGGTGCTGCCAACATGGATTAAAACTGCCGCTATGGGAATTCAACCTGGATTATGTCCAATTGTGCGGAACACGGGCAGCCGCCGTTGCGCATAATGAAAATAATGTTATGGATTAATTGGCGGATTTAAGTGCAGCGCTGCGTTATTATGCCGGCACATCCCAAAGTGTCCACTGTGGCACAGCCCGCGCGCAATACGGCCACATCGGCATCGGTGCGTTATCGGCCGCGGATGACCACGCACCGGCATGCGGGACTGTGGTGCGGATGGATGCCGTTGGGTGAGGCCAACACCCGCTTCCTCCTCTTGGGTACGTTTCCATGTACTTTCCCAGTTACAAATATATTACAGTAATTTTTCACACTCATATATTTCAGATATTTTTCCCGGTTAAAACAATGTGAAAAACTGTATTTAAATGAAAAAAAATCTGTCCTAATTATAAAAATACTTGCTCATTTATAAAAATACTTGCAAGTAAAAAAATACTTGCTCATTTCATTTTTTATATTAAGCAGTAAATCTCCTGAAATTTTGGCAATACGCTTTTTATAGGATGGCTGAATTATTAATGCGCTTTGGGTAATTCTGTTGGTACACTCCCGAGAATGATGACGTAGCAAAAGAAATTAAAAATTTAATCGAAACTAAAATCACGCTGCACTAATTTAGTAGTAGTCTTATACTAACTTAGTAGTCCTGATACTAATTTAGTACTTTTATTACTATTATATAAACTAACTTTCTCTATTTGTTGCAGTGATAATACTTGCATTTTATATGGTATTTGGAACGTTTTTGCTGTATTATTTGGAGCACGATAGCGTAAGTTGTGCGTTTCCTGCGCGTAAGATTGTATCAACGGATATCCATTCAGTGTGTAGTGTGTACCTGAAATTTTTGTCTTCGATTTTCCAGGATGTTGAGAGAACACAGTATTATGAAGACTTTTGGCGGAATTTTACATCAAAATATGGACATATTATTAACGAGAGTGATTTGAATATATTAATTAAGGGAAGCGGGAATCACATGTTGCCCATGCAATCGCGACCCAGACCGACTATTTACCAAATGTTTTATTTGGCCTTCACTACCTGTGCAACAGTTGGTAAGTTTGTAAAATCTATTGCATGGGAACTTGGGAAGTCATCACAGCACTAAAACCTGCCGAGGAATATGAGGAAAAAAATTAAGTATTAGTAAACAATTAATTTTATTTTAGCTGGTTGACCCCACAGAAATTAAGGCGGTACCAGAAGCTGCGCTGATTGTAGTATAAACTAATAAGCCGGCCTAACTGGTGCGCTTGAATTTTTAATATAATTTTACTTTACTTTATTGTAACTGTATTTCATGCGAGGCCAATGAAGATTTTTCTCCAAATATCATATTTATGATTTATGCCACCACACGTCAGTGCATTGTGAATCTTATGCCAACAATGTTGTGAAAAGCGGAACGTTAGCAGCTACGTGACCGCACTAAGCAATCGACTATTTAAGCTTTCCCTTGTTTCCCCAGCGGAACCAGCGGAATCACGGGTGTTCTACGTCAATCATCTGCACTTTTTGCATGCAACGCTTCCGGCCTAATTCGACACAGGCCCCCCAGTTTATTAAAAGAATTTTTTATACTGATTTTACAGTGCGTACGTACTACATACGCAGTGATAATAAATATTAATACTGTATATCAACATTGAGCTCACATTTGTACGTTACATGACTTACATCTTACGGTATTGAATTAGTTTTCCGGCTTATTGAAATTTGATCGAACAGACGCTGATTCGATCGGTCAAGTTTAACTTGCATAACTCGTCTTTTCGCAGGCCGTAAAAAATCCAATCAGACGGGATATAATTTGGCTTTGAATTACCGCAGCATTATTAACACAGGGATTAAATTTTCCGCCGGTTAATTTGATTAGGCGGCCCTGTATATAATGTTATTGAGTACGCATCGTGACTTTTCCCGCACTGGATTTGCATAAAGAACATCTTCCGGGCTCTGGCTCGGCTATGCAAGGGTGACCAAGCATTATTTGTTCAGTGCGTTTGAAGAGGAATGTTCTTTGAATATTCCAGCCAGACCCGGGATAACATTAACCCGGCTTGACATATCCCGAGCCCGCAACATCCGCACCGCATGCCACAACGTCCGCTATACGAGTATACATTGCCAGTAACGCCTAATTACCCTCAGCCCTGTGACGTCATCGCGGCAGTGCACTGTGTCGCATTAAGCGGCATTTCCATTAAATTTCTGCTATTTTTCCAGAGAAAAATACAATATGTACAGATGCGCGCATGCGTACAGAAATATGCAATAAACAGCGTAGAATGTAATGTCGACATACCAAAGTATAATATTATAATTTGTACGTAAAGGAATATGATGCATATAAATTAAATTCTGTTTCAGTGCGACCATAATATTCGATAATATTCGATTCAATTTTTTTCCATCGTGAAATAAAAAAATTTTATACGCAACTCATTTCGCTTCTATCAGATGTGTATCGGCATTCTTTTAATTAATTTTGGCTATGTTATTCCAGTTTTCTATTACATATTTCATTTTATATGTAGACAAAACTGTTTTGTAACTTGGACAAAGCTTATGCATCCAGCAGCGAAACAGGGAAATAAAATTAAATTCCAAAATTTCACGGTGTCAAACTTTCTGAAGGAAATTAATGAAAAGATTATTCACATCCGCTAAAGTCATCATCGTCAGGAAAACCAGGATTGATGATAATCTGGCAGCTTGTGGGGATGCTGCAAATGACACGCCGGCCAACACTTTGCCGCACGTTTCGTCGCAGCGACTTGTCTGCTGCGGAACGATAAGGGCGCGCCAGAAAAGACATTTATTCTGGCGGGCTAAGCGAAGTGTAATTGTATTTAAGAACATCCCTCCGGTATTGAAAAGGGGACGCTTCCGTATACTCCTTCATTCCCGTGCCAGCCACGGCAACACATATTTCAGCACACAGCCGACTTCCGGTTGGGACAGTATTGATTGCGTGCGCAGCCATAAGATATCCGTGCCCGGCATAAGCACACTGCACCAACCGGCCGAATGATAAAATATACTGACTATACCGCATTTATAATCCACTTGTGCCTGCTAGCGGTCCCACCAGACCAAATAGTGGGCCTTTTTGCGACGTGATCGAGTGGATATAATATGACTTTCGTACGCTATCCCCCCGCATCGCCTCCTCTCCGGCCGTGGGTAAACAACTTCCGGTCGGTTTATCAAGATGTAATTGTCCGCATAATTTGCCCGTGTACACACAACAACGACGCTGTAATCTGTTTGCCATACATGAGAATTACAATATCCACTGAACTCCAAAAAATTTATAAGAACTACAGCTAGTGCACGACATCATCTGTTAATTGTAGCGCAACAACTGATCCCGCTAGAAAGAATTTTGTACTGCAATTTGTTAAAAAACCAAGCAGCTGTTTTGTGTGTTCGGTATGTGTACGCTACCTTGATTCAAAATAACTACCCGTGTTGAAATACGCCATTACAAAGATAAAAACATTTTTTTCCATTGGCATACTGCAGAATTATATAAAAGAGGTGCTTTTAAAAGTTACAGAATGTATTATCTCATTTTGTTGTGTTGTTTCCGCTTATTGCGTATGACCTTTCGCTGTCGAGATTGCCCATTCGTGATCGACGGCAACCGTGCCGCTTACGATCGGGCAGGAAACGCCTCATCAGGAGAACATGCGCTATTTCCGTTGGGAGAAACCCATTAAGAACGTATTATGACTGCCTAATTGGGTTAAACTTGTTCCACTTTCAATCAGGAATGATTTACGGATTGGAGCAACCCGCATATGCGTTGTACGTAGGAGTATTTGCAGGGCCATCCACAAATGTATTCTGTAATTCAACGAGCTCTTTTGCATCGAAATTGCCCCCATGATGACGCCATTGGTACAACACTAGAAAAAGTTTTCGGTATAATTTCAAAGCTTTTCAATAGTTTCAATTTCAAAGTTGACAATATAAACAATTTATTGTGCTTCTCATGATATAATTAGGTATGTCACATTTATGTGCTTTAGTATTTACTGAAGTGATTATTATGTACAGTCTTTTATTTCTTTAATGGTATTGCGTACCGCATACATAAATATGTAGTAATTTCGTAAATGTTTGGTTTAAAACGGTCACCTGATAATTTTACACTGGGGCATTAGCTCTTGTGTACCTAGATGTACATCAAGATTTTTATTACTTGTATGTCCAAATACATATCATTATATCTATACTTTACGTACGTACAGACTCTGTATGTGTACGTTATGTAATTTTCAGCACAGACTGGGGTATTTCAAATAATTTGCTCTGATGTGCTCGCTCTTTGCAGGATTTGGACACGTGGTGCCGGAAACTGTTGCCGGTCGTGCTGTGATCATAATCTACGGATTATTCGGTTGTTCAGCTGTGATCTTGTTTTATAATTTATTTCTGGAGAGGATTATTACCTTGTTGGCTCTTGTACTGCGGACAGTACACGAATTCAAAATGCGGAAAAAATGTACGACTATATCTGTAAAATATCCTATGCTTCTACATGCCATACACCCTGTTTGGATTAAGAAATTTATGAAGTGATGCACATTATAGATAGTTTGCGTCCATCTCTGCATGGACGGTAGTTGTACAGAAACAAATACATTATAAAAACAATTAATTATACGTTGGTCAGGTTAATATTGATTTTACATACGAAGGCACACCGCACAATTAATGAGCTACAAAGCAGTATACAAAGTATCCATTAAATACTTGGCATCTTTTGAACAGATGCAAACGAGCAATCAAAAAATCCCCAATCAGGGCGACGGAATTCGACTAATTCCCGGAGTTCCTCCAGTTCCCTGGAGAGCTGGAAGCCGTCGGTGTACTGGGTGATGGTCTGCCTGTTCTGCCTGGTGACCGTCATCACGCTTTTCAGCAGCTGGATGTTCTCCAAAGTGGAAGGATGGACATACTTCGAGGCGTTCTACTATTCCTTCGTACGTTCATCCCAAACTATTCTATTTCTTGTGAATGTTTTATTACAATCCTAGTGTTCTTCAGATAACGTATGCGACGGTAGGATTTGGTGACCTCGTCAGTGCTAACGGTAATTGTACTATTGTAATTGTACTATGGACTACGTGGGTATACTTATACGTGTATCTAATAATATTATCATGATGACAATAACCCAACAAGATAATTGTTCAGACAGAAACAAATTAAATCGTGGTTCAGATGTGCAATAAAGTGAATAAACAGTTAACATATTATACGAGTACTCTTCCAGTTCGCATTTCAGTTAAAAGTTAACAGTATTTACTACCTATCTGAAGCTAGTCTTACTGACAAAGAAAATTTTTTATTGTAGAACCCTGACTGCAGCAGATTTAAAAATTAAAAAAATCTATACAATATAGTCACTTCGATACGTAGTTTATCGATAAAAAATCTACTCTACAGTACGGGTCTCGCGTGTGAATCGGCTACCGTTTCTCTGTCGCCGCTAGTCTACGAATTAAACTTGATAGAGCCATCGGCAAACCGGCATCGCCTTATAATTATTGGGCTACAATATATAATGTGGTATTTCGTACTCGATCGTAAACATTTTACAAAATAATTAATACAATTTATGTTCTCTGTTTATTAGCAAGAGAAGTGGTGATCGATTACTGATAATGTTAACGTAGACAAAACAGGACCGGTGCCCTGCAATCTGCATTAGACTGCCGTTGCTTGATCTTCTGCGAGTGCTTAAATATGCTCGTACCTGTAAAAATATATTTTACCACATTTACCGTCATCCGGTGGTAATGCCCCCATTTTTGTTGTCACAGTATCGACATACGGCGCCGCCGACAGTGTATACCGGCTGGCTAACTTTGTCATCATGATCGTCGGTATCTCCAGTCTGTACAGGTCAGTGCCAACAATATACTACACGATATTAATACGTAAACATCACTAACATTACCCTCGTTGATCGTGAAACACACAGCCTCTTCAACGTCATCTCCATCATCATCAAGCACGGCCTGAACTGGATCATTAAGAAGCTGGACCAGAAATGCCAGTGTGCCTGCCAGTGCGACTGTCTGCCCTTCGCCAAAGTACAGACCGGCCGCCGCCGCAACGCCATCATCCCCAACGTCATCCAGCAGCGTCGGCCCACCATGGACACCGACCGGCGCTACTCCGAAGAGGTCATCGACGTGCGGGAATTTCTGCAGGCCACCAAGGTGTCGCTGGCGGTCATGCAGAAGGATTTATTCGAAAGTGCGCAGCGCGGCCGTACCGGTTTCATTGGCCAGCTGGCCACCCCGCGGGCACCGGCTACGAGTGACGCGGTGCCGTCGCCGCGCGATACCATTCATCTGCGGAATCTACACGCGCACTCGACGCATCATCATCGCTCGCATGATCACCTGGACAAAGATCCGGATTTTACGCCTGGAAATATTGGACCGCTGGCGATTGTGGAGCACACGTTGGGCGATGATTGAAAGTCGCCAAATTTAGTTGGCGGGGAATATGGTCTGCGGTTGGTGTGTTGTTATTGCTGGGAAAAAATGTTCGCTGGGGGAATAATGGACCAAATCACTGTAATTAATTTTCGAATATTGATGGCATATTTTTTGAAAATGGCGCTTCCTTTTTCGCATGACTCTGCATAAGTTTTTGCGCAAGAATCAATCAGCAAACGGGAAAAATCGGAAATTCCTTGCCGGGAGAGCAAGTCACAGCTAGTCGACTGGACACCAATATTCCTGGAACCCACCGGAAACCAGAAAGGTTGAATATTGTTTGAGCTTTGCTTGAATTCGTTGCAGCACTTGTTGTTTCGGGGCGACTTTCTCTACTAATCTATGTGTACTATAGAGTGTTACACCTTTTGTTGACATTTCGTCTTCCGGTTACGTTAGTCGGAAAACCGTTAACCATAGATATATTCTGTGATTAGACAGACAGCCGCATGTTTGTGAGTGCCCTAGCTTCCGCAATAATTTGTCTTCCGAAACAGATATCAAAAATAAATTCATCGGAATGCGACTGTACACAGCCTCACCTTTTTACGCAATAGAACATGAATGATAAAACTGAGGAAGACATGCTTATAAAACAAAAAAAACTTCTGAAAACTGGTAGTTGGTAACTTCAAAAGGAAATTTTATACCATCATAACGCTGATGAGATCCGAACCAACCCGAAAGATTCCAAAGCAGTTATTCTAATCACCAATAAAATAAAAATCCATTCCGCATTACAGTTCATCATTCATAAAATCCTCCTCGGGAAAATCTCCGACTTGAACACTATCCGGTCGAACAAAGGCACCATAGTTCGGGGCACATTCAAAATACCGATGTCCGTCCACGCTGCCAGAAAAAACCCATACAGCCGCTGACGGTACAAACTTTAAATCTAGCAAAAAAGTTACAGCAGAGTTTACCTTCCATCGTTTTTCCCTAGTGGTTCATCGTACTTTACACCGACCCAGATGCCTGGCTTGAATTTCGTAGATCCTGTGAAATTAAATATGATTACAGAATAAAACTGTTACAGAAATCAGAGAATGCAGAAAACATCAATTATTTACTCTCCATAAGCGTTTTAGTAAGGCGTTAAACAGTAACACCCACTACAGATTTCCCACCATGTCGATCACACAAATTAGGTAAGCCAATTTTTTGGCGGGTCAGCATGAGTCAAAAAAGGTTCTGTTGTGCTGTACTCGTACCTTTGAAAAGGACGACACCGCGCTTTTTCGGCTGATCCGCTACGGTAACCAAACAGCGACTGCCGACGGTTATGGCATCGGCCAAGGCTTGCTGCTCCGACGTTTTCTTCTGGACACTTTCTGACTTTAATTCTTTCTCTTTCTCGTCAAATTGGCCCATTTTATGCCGTTGCTTAAAAGCCCGCAAAGATTCTATAATATTCAAAATAAAAAAACGCTACAAGTGGTATACTTAACACCAGAGTAGTGAGTACTATGTAAATACGGACAACCTTCTCAAAACGGCCAAGACAAGTTTTATCCACACAGCTTTTCTACTCTAGGATATAAGCCAAAAGCTGGATTCGAATTACGAATGAAAATTAAAAAAAAAACTATAATAATTTAATTTTCAAACTGAAATATTTCAACCGCACATAGACGAGATCACCCAACGACAGAAGTTGTAACCGCCGCACTACAATATTTCACGTTAACGCAGGGAACGTACGCTTGCAATTTTGTCAAAGAAGCTGCACTTTGCAAAAAATTAGACAGTCGAATAAAAATGTACAACTTTAACTATATCTGTTTCCATTCGTTCACTTGAATTAAAAACTGAAAATCAAATATTTAAAAATGCGATTCCAGACGAAAAATCAAGGACGCATCTTCTGCAGGCTCACCTGCGCGATTAGCATACTCCTCTTCGCTCAGCTCAAACCTGGAAACAATCGCGATGAAATAATCGGACAGTATCCAAATAACTAAAAACAACAGGAATAGCCATCCAAAACATGAACGGGACAAAAACCCACTTTTTAACTTTGGACACATCCTCGAATTCTCCAACCCGAACAGTCGGATCACTGACCTATGCCAACAACGAGACCAAAATCACTAACAGATTAATTTGTAATATAAAAGTCAACCTACGAACAACACAGTGAACACACTTTTGGATAAAATAAAATAACACACAGGATACGGTTTAATTTTACAAAATCTAAAAAGTTGTGAGCTAGATAAATCCCCTGCTTTTCGGACATTTTTCTCCGCCTGCAGAAGCAGTCAGGGAAGGCCCAGGAAGGGCAGTGCGCATGCCTAGCGTACCTGCACCGTCATTCCGTTGTGTAAATTCAGAGAGCCCAGTTGGACATCGTCAGACTGCATCGCACCTGCCGCTGTACCATCTTTGTTGAAAAGATGCAACACCATCGAGCTGGGCTGGGCGCCCGTTAGACCTTCCAGTAAACGCTGCAACGCAAGGATAACGAGTGCATTTTGCGTCCCACTTCGCCCACAAAGTCCCACTCACTTTTAGCTGTCCAACAGTGTAATCAGTAGAGAAACGGCGTTCAGTATGGAACGAATTGAAGGTAGTGCTGATGATCAGATTGACGAGCTGCGGCTGACTACCGTTATCCATATTGCACGGGAACAACGATATCGTCAATCAAAGCCAAAGGTGTAATTCGCACTCAGGCAAATGGAACGATATGGAAGTGGAACAGACACCTATGTAAAATGAAAATCAAAGTTTTCTAACTGTCGCTTGGAAGTAAAAAAGTTGAGAAAACAAAAACTGCAAAAACACCGCAGATTCGTAGCGTAACGGAGTGGAGCTATAAGGCAAGGGTGCGGGGACACCATGTTAAGCCGTTTACCGGACCGTTTTTATTTGTTTTGATTGTGTTGCTTTTTCCAACGTTTTATAGTTGTCTAACTTGTCACAACTTAAAATTAATTTTCTTTAAGTGTCCCATTTTAAGCTATTTATGTGTTTCATCAAAAGGGGCAAAATAAAACCGCAGTGCACACTGCGTAACGAGGTGTGGCTCATGCTGCCGTGTGTCCTCTACCACTGTCTCGACGCCTACGCAAGTTGTGAAATTGCAGACAGACAGACAGCAGTCTTGTCACTTGTCTCTTCTGGAATCTGTCAGGAAGCAAAAGATTTTCACGACGACGAGGAGTACAAAATAATCGAAGGAAGTTTTATCCTGATTTTACCTATAGCGTGGGAATTCCCACATTTAAATATTTTATTTCCGGAAGGTGCGAGCTTCATCTATCGAAAGCGGAATCGTGATTTGTCACTGGGCAGCTAAGAATTTGCATGCGTCCGTTCTGTACCTGTACGGAAAAAACACTGGAAAGGATGTGAAGTAGAATTCGAACCCGAAGTGGAGATTTTATTAATCTTTTTTATCGGCAATATATTTAATCCTTTTTAATTTGCAACCATGGAGGTTATGACGACAGATCTGGATCGGTGGGTGGAGATCGCCAAAGACTGCAAGTATCTGCCCGAGAACGAATGCTTGAAACTGATTGACTTCTGTCACGACATCATGGTCGAAGAGGCCAACGTCCTGGATGTGCAGACTCCGGTTACGGTGTGTGGTGATATTCATGGACAGTTCTACGACCTGGAGGAGCTCTTCCGTACAGGCGGACAGGTGCCCCACACCAAATACATTTTCATGGGTGACTTCGTCGATCGTGGCTACTACTCACTGGAGACCTTGACCCGCCTGCTTACCCTCAAAGCTCGTTTCCCCACCAGGATTTATTTATTAAGAGGCAACCATGAGAGTCGGCAAATCACTCAGGTTTATGGATTTTATGGTAAGAATATAGCGTGCTAACAGTTGGGAAAGAAGTTAGCGATTTGTAGTTTCTTCCTTAGGATTTTTGATATGTAGGGCAGCTGGTTATCGCAACTGCAGTGTGTCGTCATGTCCCTGTACCACTAATTTTTCCACAGCTGTGCTTACAGGGTTTTGATAGAAGTTAGAGTCCCAAAGGAATTTCCAAGACGATGTAATTGTAACTTGGAATTGTTGAGTTTGTTTTTAACTTCTGTATTTACATTTCTAGTTCCTAAAATTGTAATAAAACAACACAGTTTAAAAATCTTGAACTTTTATTTTGGTGCAGGTCAGTTAGCACAATCTGCTGCTTATTTGAAAATACTTCGTTCTAAATTCTAATCTGTCTCGAGCCGCTGGAGTGTAAATAATTATTTTGTTACTTCTTTATGCAAAAATACAGTATTTGTTACGTAATAAAGATTAAAATTTGTATACGGTACCGCGAGTGGCGATCGTACTTTCCGGTGAATTTAATCATACTACTTTGTACTTAAAACATAAGAAATTAAAGAAGTCATTTAACGATTAGAGAAAGAGAGCGCATTGTACGTGTTGTACAGTGCTTGCTGCGGACGAAAACTGCATGCATGTCCAACTGTTCTGACAACCTTCTCGTTGTTGCAGATGAATGTTTGAGCAAATACGGCAACGCGAATGCCTGGAAAGCCTTCTGCAAACTGTTCGACGTGATGGCCATCGCGGCCCTAATCGACAACACCGTCCTGTGCGTGCACGGCGGTCTGTCCCCGGACATCACCACCCTCGACCAAATCCGCACCATTGAGCGCAACATTGAGATTCCGCACAAGGGCGCCTTCTGTGATCTAGTCTGGTCGGACCCGGATGAAGTGGACTCGTGGGCCACGTCACCGCGGGGCGCCGGCTGGCTGTTCGGGCCCAAGGTCCTCAAGGAGTTCATGGAGATCAACAAGCTGGACCTGTTGGCGCGCGCCCACCAACTGGTGCAGGAGGGCATCAAGTACGTGTTCAACAACCAGCTGGTGACGGTGTGGTCGGCGCCCAACTACTGCTACCGGTGCGGCAATGTGGCGGCCATCCTGGAGTTCAATACGGCCATGGAGCGGAACGCCAAGATCTTCCACGCCGTGGCCGATAATCTGCGGACGGTGCCGCCGCGGCAGATCACGCCGTATTTCCTGTAGAGGCCGGCGGGGGCGGTGGTGCATCGTGATTGCATGTCGAACATACCATGTTTCCTTTTTTTTTGTTTTTTCTGTTAGAAGTGTTATTTGTGGCAGCCGGTGGATGCTGCTTTGAAAAATGTTTTTTGATTCCGGTTTTCGACGGGGCGCAGCGCGCGCGCGGAGCTTCTTGTTTTTAATTTGGTGTTTTTTCAGTGACGTGGCCGTATTGTATTTATTTATTTTGAGATTGATCATTTTACTCGATGATTTTTTGCAAGTGCGATTGAAGGTTTTTCAGAGGTAAAGGGCAGCGGTCAACCGCAACAGAGAGAACTTTTCTGATAATCAACTAATCACACGTGAGGGAAGCTCAGCAGGAAGCGGATTCGGAAAATCTGTTATGATTCCATCCCTGTGTGGCTGTGCATTCGACGTGTTGAGATAATAGAATAGAAAATAGAAGAGATACGGTATCTGTAGAATAACGAAGTGCAGTAATACCACAAAGTTCTGAAATGTTCGGCCAGCTTTCCGTAAAAGAAAAGACCATGAACGCCTACAGAATTTTTAAATTTTAAATTTAAAAATTTATTTTTAAATTTAAAATTTTTTAATTTTTTTTTTAAATTTTTTAAATTTTTAAATTTAAAAATTAAAAAGAATTTTTAAATTTTAAATTTAAAATGTTAGGCGGTTTACAATACTCGTACTTGATTTATCAAGCAGGATGTGACCAGTTCTTGTGGGTTGCGAGTCTTGTGACACTGACCACTCCGAAGTGGCCTAGACTCCAACTCTGACTCTGATTCTGACCACTCAAACTCTGACTCTGACTACTCAAAGTCTGACTCTGACCGCTGAAAGTCTGACTCTGACTCTGAAGGTTTCTCAGGTTTCTTAATAGGTTTCTTAGGTTTCTTAGGTTTCTTAGGTTTCTTAGGTTTCTTAGGTTTCTTAGTTTTCTTAGGTTTTCTTAGGTTTCTTAGGTTTCTTAGGTTTCTTAGGTTTCTTAGGTTTTCTTAGGTTTCTTAGGTTTCTTAGGTTTCTTAGGTTTCTTAGGTTTCTTAGGTTTCTTAGGTTTCTTAGGTTATTCTTAGGTAATTCATCCAGAGTCAGAGTCAGACTTTAGACAGTCAGAGTCAGACTTTGAGTAGTCAGAGTCAGAGTTTGAGCGGTCAGAGTCAGAGTCAGAGCTTGAGCGCGGGCCCTCCGAAGTCTGGAGCCAGTCGAAGCGGCGGGCCAATCAAAAGCCAAGACCGACTGCAGCACGCAAAAGCAGGTTTCAACGGGTCAATCAGGCCGAAAATACCGTATATATTTAAGCACAAACAGTAATTAATAATATTTTTGCTAGAGCGTTGTAGAGAGTAAGCTTACTTTTTATTTATTTCCCAATAATTCTGGATACGTCATTCAATTAAAGAGAAGTTAACATTTGCATTCGCCGAAGCGCGGTGACAATCTTTTGCCCCGGCAGCATTAGGTTTTGTGTGTATGTACTATATGTGGTTTTGAAATTATATTACTCTTTTCATCGTTTTAAAGTTTTCTTTGTTGAAAACCTGTAATCTATTAAGTACTTACTACTTACTTGCTCGACACAAAATACAACTAAGGAGATCTCAAAATGTTTCGGGTGGATGTTTGGCGCTTCGGTGCGGTCGCGGTGCGCGACAACGATGATAAATCGATCAGGCACGGAATGATCTGCGACGTCGATCCTGTCGGTGGCCGGTTCACCATTGATTTCGGTTGTGCGAACCATCGTGCGGAAACGGTCAGCATGGCACGGTGCCGCGACCAGCCTGTTCATCCTCCCGCTGTGGTTGGCGATCGCGTACGGACACTGCTACAACCCGCACCGAACCAGCCGTGGAGATGGTATCCTTCCACACTTCTTGCCGGCAATGCCGCATTGCAGTATGCGTTTGTGGAGATTGAGCTCGACGGGCAGGTTGCGCGAGATGTGGTGCGATGGGAAAAGGTCATGCCGCTGGAAAGTGCGCAGCAGGAATGGACATGCTCTAACACGTACTTCAAGCATATTGTTGACATTGCCAGATGGAGCGATGAGCTAAAAAAGGTGACCAAAATGCAAAGATTTGCGGCAGTGTGGAACGAGCATACGAATACGGTTTGGGTGCAGCTGACCACAACGGGATTGGCCTACATTTCATCCGCTGTAAAGCCCCTCTCGTCAAACAAATGTGTAAGTGTTTTTCTGTCAGTAATGTACCACAGTTTAATTAGTGTCATTGGTGTAATACATTTCGGTAGCAGCGTGGTATACTACCATATATTTTGTGAAACAAATTCACGTGCAGAATGAACGAAGTATTCGTATTACAAAATCCTTTCTGAAGTTAGTATAAACTTCCGAAGTTAGTATAAGCAGTCGAAAAACGTGAGTACGATTGCTAGAATAAATGTAGTTTGGGAAAACTATCGCTTAGGAAAACTAAATCATTTTGATACATGTACAGTGTATATGTTCATTGTTAACGCATTAAAGCTTACGCGTACGGAAAAAATCAAGCCGCGGAAAGCTGTGCTGCAGGGAGGGGGGGGGGGCGTGTTTATAACACAAATCTGTGTGACCTTTCTGGTCCGCATCGTACCCGTCACCACAGCGATGGTTTCGCAATGAGCATTCATAACTCCTAGGGTACTCTAAGTAATGCATATTTTTGATGTGCAAAAACAAAATTTACTTTACCTTCTCTTTTTAGGCGGCTGTTCTCAGAATGGTAGAGATTTCTTTGGCTGATCATTATCAAGAGGCGGGGACGAACCCGTGTTTCGACAAAGACGTCTTGTTAAATCTCGCTCCCATTTCGACGCCCCGGCAAGCTATTTCGGTAAAAATAAGCGGTTTCTTCTAGCATAAAATTTTTATTTTACCTCGCACAAGTCAGACGCCCATTTAAAATTGCAATAACGTTATTAGATGAAAAACGCGGAAGAACCGGACAGCCTCCAGCCGATGCGCATCGGCCTGGTTCCTGTAGAAATCCTCACCGAAGCGTTTTCCTTCCTCGACATTTTCACACAGTTGACCTGCCGCCGCGTATGCCGATGCTGGAACTCAGTGCTACTATCTCCAACCGCATTCTCTACGGTTACAATCAACGTGAGACGATGTGACAATCAGCAGCTAGCCATGGTGCTTCACAAAAAGGTCACCAACTTCACGAAGACGGTACTTATTGTGAATGACGGTCACCCACAGCCAACCGCCACTCGCGCTCCCCTGCAAATCCTTACCGAAATGCTGACGGCTAAAAAGGTCAAAGTGCCGGTCATCATTGTTTGCCGGCTTGGGATGTCGGCGCGCAGTCTACTCGATTACTCCGATCCGGTGCGACTGCAGTGGCGTTCCGAGTGGAGCCGTGTGTGTGCGAAGCTGGTTCTGAAGCAAGTATCAGTGCGGGAACTAATGGAAGCACAAAACCCGGAGGCGGAGCCTGGGAAATATACTGTTGGCGCTTCTGGCCACGAAGCGCTAACCCTGGAGATGGTGACCACGGTTATTGTGACGACTGGAGTCCATATTGGATTTCTACTGGACAAGCTGGAGGAAGCATGCCCGAAGGTCCCGCCCAAACTGTACTGGAAGGCAGTGTGGCATTTGAAGAAGGAACGGGAAACTGGTGACCTCATACCGTGGCAGGTCCGATAGAGTAGAATTAACTGGTTCCGAAAAGATTAACGATACTTCTATTTATACGAGGGTTGTTAGTTATGTTCTGTCGTATTACTTTTATTTATTTTTGGACTCATGCAATTATTATATTATTTTCATATTACTATTACTGAACTCCTAAGGCATCGTTTTCATCTGTTGCCAGATTTGTAAATACGACACAAAAAAGTTATAAATTTTTTGAATGATGGCACCTTGGAAATTTCGTTTAATTTTCTTATTTTTTGTTATTTCATTTCTCCGCAACGAATCTTTCCGATTCGGAAATTATTTTGAACCTATGCAGGATCAAGCTTATCGAATATTTAGGTTACACGAATATCCGAACTATGGATTAAGTAAAACAATTTTTTAATATTTAGAGGTTTTGGTTTGGGTCCGTCGTGGTGCCAATTACACCAGTCGACCACCTCCCGCCTCCAATTTTTGCGTTTTCTCAAAGAAAGTTATCAAGGTATTTGCAGATTACTGTAAACGCTTGATAGTTATTTCCGACAGAAAAGGCTTCTGAAATAATTTCATTGCGGGAGGCGCACCAACATAAACGTTTCTTCGAATGCTTTTTGGCTCTTGGTCTCCCACTCCATTGACAAAACCCTGTTCTGTTATGCTGCTTCCACCAAGTATGGCGCTAAGCAAATCAGGATCTGTCGTGAGTGTAGTCTTAGGATTGATAGCTAAATGAGAGAAGTTTGGCTTTGCTAAGGAGCATTAAATGCAAAAGCACCAGTAACCACTAGTCAGCGTAAGTTGTGCCCGACGGTACTCCGCCTTGCTAAAAATCAGATCCACGCGCAATACGGAATCTGTTACTGGGGATCTGCTCTATGCTTCCCTGTCCATCCATCGGACAAACACATTTGGGGATCGGTGTCTGCCACGCGCAACAGAATGGCTTGCTATTTTAGGTTCCTCAACAAACAGACTGTTCCGATCTCCTCTCGCCATGCCTTGTTAAAATTCCAGAATAAAAACCACAAGACAAGCGCTCAGTAGTTCACGCAGAAGAACATTTAATCACCAACATAACAAGCACTTCAGATAGTCAATGGGTTGCATCCCAGTTTTTTAAAAAATTTTAATGTGAAACAGCGCAAGCCTACGTTCGGGTGTTAATGCGCCATTTTTAATTGCGAATTAAATTTGGTGCGGGTGAGTCGTGCTCTGACTCACGCTGACTGCCACCGAGAGCGGCCATTGACTCGGCCATTAGCCTACTATTACAGTTATGATATGCTCTACTTTTTAATAATAATTTGATATTTTTAGTTTCATAACTGATATACGCACGACAGAACATAACTAACAACCCTCGTATATGTGACAAAATCTTGTCTCTTAAAACTCGAAATTAATAATTTTATAATTTTCCACCACCAGCTGCAAAGTACCGACATATTATGGTAATGCATGTTTGGTATTATGCAGGTGGTACGAAAATGGCAAGCTGGGGATCGGCGATTTGAGGATAACTGTGGACGGCAGAATTTCGAACTGGAAGTGAGGTCGTTGCGCAGACTGACCATATATGCTCTGCACTACGCCAGTCGTTAGCGTGTCTTCCCTTTGAGAATGCATCCAGAATCTCGTGGACTTTGTACAGCACCAAGGCTTCCTCCGGAATCAGCAGTTTAGGATTGTTTATTTTATTTTCATTCGTTTTTAAGTGTTTATTAAACGCTTATAATTGTCATATAACAAAGTCATGACCAAAATTATGGAGTTACTTTTGTTTATGCTTTCGCATACAACCCCCGTTCACAGCTCCTGGATGTGGTATTTGTATCTGTATGCTGTAAAGGGATCTACTACAAGACGTTTAAATGTGAAGAGAGAAGACAGCAAATTATCATAGTATCAACATTTACGCACGTGGACCTGGTCTTTTAAACTGGTGAATAGTGAATACGTATTACGTACTTACTTGGTCGATAATGTTTAAATGTATCACATCAAAGAAGGTTCAAAACGTCAATAAGCTTATAACAAGCTGGGTACATTCAAACGATTCAATAGTTATTATGATAACTAATATTTATTTAAAATCCTGATATACACACAGCCAACCGCGTTCACCATCACCCTCATTAAGTTTTCAAGTCCGGTATTTATTTTTTATCTCAAAATCAGTAACAACACTTCTGAGTTCCCGCGCACGCCATAAATGCAAAAAAACCTGGAAAAACGACACCACAGAACACCGCCAAATAAACCCAGAATAACACCGAAGAAAAACTGAAGTCCAAAGCAAAAAAAATCGGCAAATACCGGACACTTGTAGCAAAAGCAATCGTATGAATATCAACAAAATTTCCCATAATATAATCGAAACCAGAGATATACATATTATACTGTTTTAACCGAATTACAATATCGGATCAGAAAGAAACACAGAGAACAGGGTTCATGATCAGTCCACAATCAGGAAAACAATGGGTGGGGTTACGGGCGGGCGCAGGCAGCCATCCAGTGACACCAACCATTCACCACATAATTTTGTCATGATGGACGGACGGAACAGAACGTGTGCGAATTTGCTTTTCGTATTTTTTCACGTCACATTTATGAAGAAAAATACTCAAAATGCCGGAAAAGAGCAGGCAAAAAGATGTCTCCATCTGAAAATCACGGTAGGAAATATGCAGACTGTTTTCTTTCAACCAAACATCTCCTGTGAGGCGTATACCTGTAAAATCAAAACACAATGTCAGACAAATTTATCATATTTAAAAGCTTTGCTATTACTACATTTGTGCGAAACCTTCTAGACGCTGGCGCATCGGTTTGATAACTAAATCAACACGCTGCAGTTCAAAACTTCTCGCCTTGCTAATTTAATCATATCGGAGTTATTTATTACAATAAAGTACTGTACTGTTACCCTGCACTTGCCGAAAGTTTCACTAGTGCAGCCATGCGTACGTTGTACGATCGCTATCACGATTCACATAGACGGCATACAACAGCTAACTGGGCACACTGTACGAAATTTCGGCAAGTGCAGGGTAACAGTACAGTACAAATAAGTAGCACGATTCTTGGATAATACGGATCCATGATTGCTTAAAACAGCAGTAAAAAGCTACTCTTTACTTTTTGACACGGAACAAAACGTAAAGATAAAAGCTAGAAAAATCAGAATAGTAACAAAGCTGCTTATTGAAATCAACAACTAACATACGTAAAAAGACAATCACTTCAGAAAATGAAATAATTACAATTTATGTAGAAATTTGTCTGAGTTCTGTAGTTTACCATGTAGAGAAATCCATCCTCATCGCGCTCCTCGCGATAAATTTCCGCCATGGTTTTGCTCATATTGGCCAACGATTTGTTGTTGACTATCAAGTATAATGTTTGCGTCGGTGAAAGATTCATCCGGTTTCTGTAAAAGAAAAAAATTTTAGCAAACCGGGTGTAAGTAAGTGCAGTATGTCCCTAAAAATAAAAGCTTATGAATATTGCATACGTATCATACAGATTTTTTGTCGCGGTGTTCCCCAAACATAACCATAAAATGTTAAATCGATTGCGACTGTACTGAAGTGGTTTAAACCCCAAATACAGATATTTTCAATGGAACATTACAATAAATATTACGTTTTCAAAGTTCTTTGCGATACAATTTCTGCATCAACGTACTGTTTTTTTTTGTATTTTTTAATAGCGCATCTGTTTTGTTTTGCGCGCTTCACGTCTGCGCCCAACAACCAATTTTGGTCGAATATTTTATAACACCATGCTTTAAGAAAACTAAATAACGCGTTCACATGTTGTTTCTGCGGTACAGCTACAATATGTTTGAGTAAAGTCGTTTAGGAATACATAAAGCTGCAGTTTTTCAGTGTTAAAGCGGAACTTGTCACACACAGTGTGCCATAAATCCCCATTATCCTGTTATGTCGGCCGTTGGAGCTTGGACCAGCCAAACGATGATAAAAGGCCAGGCAATTATGCACTGGAAATATACGAAACAAAGAGCATAATGTTATCCCAGCGACAGACGAACGATTATTATCCAATGCCGAAGAATAGACCAGACATTTAATAATCGCTCTTCCGTCTCGCCACTCAACCGGCTTTGAACCCGGCTGCAACTCGTAAGTACGTATGCGTGCGCGCCGGGTCCGGTTGGAATATTAAACCATATTCATTAATTAAATTATTTTCCTGCAAACTCGGGTTTATTTCGGTATGTATATTGTACCAAAACCATCGAGAATTTTCTACAACAATTTAATTTTGTTGATTTTTTAAGTATCAAAGTTCAACTACAAAAGGAAACATACAGCTGTATGTTTCCTTTTGTAAATTGCTGTAATATTATTATGAAATTCATGTAATCGTTACCGTACAAGATTAACCACAACAATAATTATCGCCCCGATTGATAACCTATTAAGCAGCGAAAATGCGTTCTTATCGGCAAAGATACACTCTAGTGCCCAAAATGAGGCAGAATGCCGACCATATTAAAAAGCATAAATTCTATGATCAATGATCAAACCGCTGATTAGCAATCGGACAGTGCTCGCATTTTTGAATGTGACTATTCTAAAGAGCATTTTTATGATGCATCTCTGACGAAGAGAAAATTCCATTACCTTCACCAAGAGAATATATGGCAGAACACCAGGCAGGAGAATATATGGCAGAAAAAAATTTAAGTTAAGTAAGCATCGCCATACAATATTTTAGAAATGTTGCAAAATACGAGAATAACCGAAGTTTTCATTAAGGATGTCAACGTTTGATTTATTAACTGGCATTTCGCAAACACTTTCTCGTGTAATCTGCTTGTAGAGACATATGTGCAGCAAGCAGGCCTATGTAGAAAAGTGGCATTTTCAAAACTGACCAGACGCAAACACAGTTGCCAGACTGATTAAAGCAGCCATTGCAGGTCAGACAGTTTTCTCCCGAAGCCAAAACCGGTCCAAATCATAAAGTTAACACGCTTGGCAGGCTCAAAATTTCTAGCAGCAATCTGATACACTTTGGCAGCAAACACTTTCAAGATTCCTTAGCAAAACATCCGATCCAACAGTTTAAGCACCCGCAAACATCGCGTGAAACACGGCAATAAAATTCGCCATTTTCAGTTCACAAGTAGCAATCAACGAAACTCTGGGAACACGTTCAGTAAAATATGGGCGATTAAAAATTTTTGGAAATTTCCGGATGCAACACCGAAAAATACTATGCTTATTTTACAGGATGAATAATACACTTTCATTGGTCAGTAGACTCGCAGTAAGTACACAAAACAAAAAGAAACTCTTGCATGGCAAAATTTAATTTAGTGCTCACACAGTCACACTCACAGTGAGCACCTAAAACTTGTTTCGAGTTCAAAATACCGCTGTTCCCCAGCTAAAAATGTTCCAAGAGAAAACCAATGATAAACGTTATTTTGACGTATTTCAGTGATACTCAAACAGTTAGTAACATTAATACTCAAAACAGTTCAAAGTTTTGGAGATATCGATGACACACTTGATGTTGTTTTCTCCTATAAGGTGAAAAATTAAATCAAATGAACGCGATGGGTTTCATAAATGTTTAAAAATCCAAACAATTAACAGTAAATAATTAAACAGATAGCTAGCGCTGATGTTTGATAAATGAAAGCAGCTGTTTAAATTTCATCCCGACACAAATAATCACAAGCAGCGGACACACACTGGTCATCGCCAGCAGCGTCGCATATCATTTTCACAAACCCTAGCCGGCCATTTTTAATGGAACTTTAACGATTTCTCTCGCCGACTGGCCGTACTGGTTCAGAATGCTGATGGCTGCCTGCGATAATGGAGAAGCTAGCCTCCACCTAACCGGACCGGAAACACTGACCAGCGGAGAACGCGGCGCACTTGGCTATAATATTCAACATAATTTCCTTCCCACTGCGCAATGCACAAAGAGGCTCATTTTCGTCTTCTATCTTTTATCACCGCGGTCGCGAAAGCTGAGAATGTCCGTTTCAGGTCATTAGTTTAACAGAAAATGCCTTGATAATAAAACAATACAGCCTATTCAGTATATCAGACAATAAAAGAACAAGTGTACACTTTTGTCTGGTCTAAGCGAGAAGTTCGAGAAGTTCTGGGAAAGGATTCGCTCATACTGTGGAAGGCGCAAGCATTCGAAGAAAAATAACAGAATAACAAACTAACACTTTTTGAACTCGTAGAAAACCAAAATCGCCCTACTGGAAGAAAACAAAATTGATATAACTTTGACATCACACGCACAGGAACAGAAAATATTCCTTAATATCTCCTAATAAACACCAAGTGTGCCATCTACGTAGTAATACTATTAAAGCCACCCCGAAATATTCCACTTACTGAAAAATTCAATACTGCATTCTGGGTTAGCGAAATAGCAATTAACAAAAAAATATTACGTAATAACAATATTATAATACAGATAAAATCTTTAAGCAAGCCAGACAATTTTCTGCTAATTAAATCCTAACATTCATGTACTTAGCAGACACTTGCCTGATAACGGCCACAAACTGTGACATCGAGATCTCGGGTGGAACCAGATACTTTTCTGCAAGGCAAAAAGTCAACAAATGCGCGGTGAGAAAACGCTGATCGCAGCGCGATTAATGGGGACGAAATCGAAATCAGATGCTAATCACCTTTTTCCAGAGGGGGTAACTGAACTTCCTTGTAGTACTTCTCCACAATCACCTACAATATAATGCGATAAAGCATGTAATTCCGGTCGAATGCAAACAAAGAATACGACACAAATCCCTAATCAGTCCAAGCAGAGCAAAGCGGACAGCAATACGGTGCGGCACGCATAACTTAATCTGCCGGCACTGCTTTGAAACGGATAGATTTCAAAGAAAAGCGAAAACTGTAATTAATAAGAGATCACATTAAAGCTGTTTTCCTTTGAAAAGTTTTTCTGGAATTATTTCTATTGTTCCTATTTTTGTTCAAAGTACTTATCTGTTTCACCTGACTCGACAAAATTCGGAATAACTACGCTTGAGTACATATGTTACATTATGATATGTTTACTTACAACTTCATAGTTTTATGCGGCACGAAATATCGCTCTCATGGCAGTGTTCGAAATTCGAACTTCGAATTACGGAATCAAAATTAACTCCAACAGATACAATTATTTTTAGTTGACCAACAGACACAATTACCTTATTTCCTGTAACAGTCTTACGCGCTTCCGGCTCACCAATAAGCAATCTTCGTGCCGGCATTTTGTTGAGCACTTAAAAACGTATTAAAGCACCGAAACCTGCAAGTCATCTATCTGCAGTTTAAGTAACCTAATTTCATGCGTTAATTTGGTGTCGTCGCAGCAAAAGTTCAAAACGTTTCCACATGTTTCTAAAGACAAAGCTGATAAAATACCGAGCAGCCTGCGACTTTCTGCTCTACTTTCGTTCGAATTCTACACTACCAGGCACCACAGTAAATTCATGCATGCGTAATTGCGTATGCACTATAAATAAAAAATTAAAAGTGTCTGTGAAATCATTGCGATTATATTTAAGTACATGTTAGTATCAGCACAAGTATATGATACTAACATGTAAATAACGTTTAACAAATACCAATAACACTTACTGGGATTTTCAAAGGATGACTCGTGCGGATATTTTTCATCTCTTCCTTCCGCATTTCTGCAAAAATACATGCACCACGATAAGTGACCATAATTCCATAGTAAAGCAATCACAGAACGAAAATACGTGCAAGCGAATACAATGCGGTTCAAGCAGTTTCCTTGTATGTGCAAGCAAATGTGATGAAGGGTTGAACAGGGATTAACCAGGTCAAAACGCATTCTGGCTAACTGCCCTCACCGAGGCTTTTCCGCTGCTTGAAACTCGTCCTTTTGGCCGCACGTCCATTCGTTCCCCAACCGATAAGGCTAGCAGCCGGGGAACTCTTTGATAATTTATCCAGATTGGGCATCGGGGACATTCTATGGAACAATATTGATATGGTCCGAAAATGTGATCGGATAAATTACCGCAACTGCACAGTCTGCACAAACCGTCGACGAATTAATTAAGTAGTAAATAAGTAAATGCTGTAAATCCCAGATAAATCACAGATCTGACAAGTACTGGAAGGATTCACAAGAGTACGAGAATGCACAAGAAGACGTAGAGTAGGAGAAATGCAAACAAATGCAAAGATCAGAAAGGAGATGGCATCTTTTCTGGTGAGCACTGGATACTTTGTGTGATGCAGAAAAGAGAGTCCGGCTGCAAAGTGAATGCATCAGCTGTAAGCTGTAATGGCGAACAAGAGCTGACCGGCAGATAGAGAGAAAGACAGAGAGAGGCAGACCAAGCGGCAGATAGAGAACAGAGAGAAACACAAATTCTTGATTTACCTCAAGGCCATTGTTAATTTCTGTTTGACGCTGCACTCTGTGCACTGTGAGTATTAAAACGATGCGGTACAATGCTCGCGAAAGGACAGATGGAGGGCACCGACAAGAAATATGGGTGGAGCAACATGACGACATTGTGCCCACTCCGACTGAACTGGCGTATCGCTGCGCTCTGGTTTCGTACTGCAATTTTGTAGCACGATTGTACGAGTTAAAATTAAAACATGTACATAACGTACAGTACTCAGTACGGTATTAAAAAAATCCAATTAAAATGCTGTATTAATTTTATTATTATTATTATGAACAAAGTCTTACTTACGTGGTATGAACTATGAATAAGCGAGTATGCATGGACTTTGATGCTCTATCGCGCCTCGGCCAAATAAAGCAATAATAAAGCAAAGTCACAAAAGCAAAAGCGAAAAAACAAAAGTCGCAGAAGCAGAAGAATATTGTTAAATTTAGTGTAACTAATGTATAATATGGTATTAAATTAAAGTGCAAATACTCTGTATATTTATCTAATTTCGAACGTTAATGGTACTGGCAAGGCATAACACTACACTACGTGTAGTGTATATTTTGCCATGGTACACGTGGTTCACGTAGTGTATATTTTGCCATGGTACTGGCCATTGGGCAAAAGCCAACTTCCATTTCGTATTCACTTTATTCATGGTCAATACTCGTACATAGTTCAACTCGTGCATGTAATACCTTCGAGATTTCAAAGCATATAAAATTTAATTGCAGAGCTATTATATGGAACAGTATTAATTACAGTATATTCGCACACGTATAATTAATATGCAATGTATAAAGTAAATGAACACATTCAAGCGTAACAGTACTAACGAAACACCAAAACCCTATAGCGAATATAACGCATTTTTGCCAGTCTCGATATCGAAGTGCATGGCAGCATGAATGGCACTACATATATACAAGTAATAAAAAACTAAAAGCATCAATAAAAAGCGCTTCGGATTTAACGGTATTTCCATAATTCCATGTAATAAATAGCAGATCGAAGACCGTTGATCTGATATGAACACTGCTGGCATGCAGACACCTTGTTTACTGCTGATGAGATATCTGTTTTATGATCATCACGTTTTTAAAAATACCTTATTCCAATCCGTTTGTAACCACGAAAATAAGTTACGGTAAGTAGCATGTCTACGACCATTTTGCTTTGCTTATCTTTCTTGCATCATGCACGGTGTTCATGGCTGCTACCTCTACGAATACCGAAAAGTTAACGCGCTTCGTTGCTTTGAATGATAATTTATGTATAAAGGTCTCGTGCCGTGATGCCAGAAATTTTTTGTTTTGTCATATTTATCAGTCTCGCATACTGGACGCCACATCACCAAAAGAAAATTTACGGCGGAACCGTAAGACAATTTTGAACTTTTGCTGCTAACTATCGTAAATGTTTATGTAATGAGCAAGAGCAAATAATTAAGCGTTGAGTTTACGTAAGATGTTTGTTCCCGCAGGACAAACGGGCTCTGTATCGGAATGGTAGCAAGGTGAAAGTAAAAAGTTCAACGATAAGGTCGTGGCACGCCGAATGCGTGCGCTGCAGCCAATGGCCCATCGCGTGTGCCGATGACGCAGTATTGACATCTGCTGAGTGCTGCCGCACTGCGGTAGTAAGTACAAAAAAGCTACAAAATTTTAAGATAAATATTAGGCATACAGTTTAATGCACATTTAACAATTTTTTTATTCCTTGGGTTATTGCAAGTACTGTACATACATGAATTCCACTTTCCTCGCCTGTTAGCCAGCGATAAGCTCAAAACTTCGACAATTTCCGGTCGTTTTAGCTTGCTGATGGTGCGCCATATGCTGGTAGCCTGGTGGCTGGTACGCAGTTTAGGTCATTTTGTGCTTCGAGAATAGATACCATACTCGTACGTCAGTCACCTCGATATAAAATAAAAAATAGAACATATTAGGAAGAGAAAGCGTATTACAAAATAATACTTATATACATACAATTTAAATAGCGTCTCTTTTGAAACTAGAAAATGCGTTTCGTATAGTTGTGACAGCCGTACCGATCCCTTTCAGTTCGGCAAGTAGGAAGAAAACTACAAAATTAACTCGAACTGGTAAAGCCTAGTGTCCAAGTGCACAACATTTGTGCAAGGAACCAGTAGTTAATTGTTGTTTAGGAGCATTGTGTTTGTAACAAAATCCAAAAGTGATGAAAAACGAAAACGGGAGTTTTTGTTTATGACCTTTGTTTGCGTAAAGCGCTCGATCGATTAGCTTTAATTTTATTTTTGATGCGCATAAATATGATGTGTTCAAAGGTCACTCAAGAATGAAAGGTGCAGTTTTTGTCCATAAATTCATAATTCCACCACCAGAAGCCCGCAACCGTACAATAACGATTATCATTCTGACAGGTACTGTACGGGCGTACTTATCACTATCAGTCAGATTAGTTAGCAGATAAAACACAGGAGCGGGCTATGGAGATATTCCATTTAGTGTCACTGCGATCATTAATTAATCAAAACCTTATCTTTTTCACAACTGCAGTAAACATCGACTGTATTTTGTAACGTTCCACACGTTTGCGCGCTTTATTTTCAAACCCCAGTCCTAGGCGCAACCTGGCTGATTGTGACTGACGTATTCACCCGATAGAAGATACCAGCACATTCATCGGAATTAGGTCCACCTGTACGATAATCAGTAGGTGCGGTATCGTAAAATATGTAATTTTTGGTCTTTGTTGCTAAATGGTGGTTCCGACTGCGACTTTGCTTATGGTTAGCCTTTTCCTGGGCAGACAAACACAATCGTCATTTTCTGTGTATATTTTCCCCTGGTCAAATCGCTTCGCGTTGCTCAAAATATGGCGGGGAAAGTCTTTACCTTTACTTCCGGTAACGGCAGCTTTCGTTACGTTGCGGTTAAGGAGCTTGGCAAGGGAAGCTTCGGTGAAGTGTTCGAAGCCAGTGAGCAAGTGAACAGTAAGCCCACGGGACGGTCGGTAGCGATTAAGCAGTCATTTTACCATGGAAATGGAATCAGTAGCGAGTATCTGCGCGAACTCAGAGAAAAAATGGATAACAACCATGTACGGATAAAGCGCATCACTAATCCCCATGTTACTAGTTATCACCATGTAAAAATGGAAGAAAGTGTAGGACTGGAATTGTCTCTGACAGTCGTCATAGCCATGGAATACTGCAATCGTAAGTCTGCATCATGCGCACAATCACTGGATCAAATTGCTGTACCGTGATCGAGCGCATGGTCAAATCAGTACTTTTGTTGCAGTTGGAAATTTGGAGAATTTCACAAAAACGCATAAACTATCAAATGGCGAAATCAAGGACATTATTAAACAGGTTCTGAGTGGTTTAGTCGCCATTCACGAACAGGGGATAATTCATACAGATCTGAAAACCGCTAATATCGTACTGGCATCGGACACCCACTTCGCATACGGACGCGTCGTCAAAATTACGGATTTAGACGATCACGTTGGCCTTGCATCCACGGTTACACGAGTGAACGAAGTAACCAATAAAAGAGGGACCATCATCTTTATGTCACCTGAAATGCTGACCGGAGGTCACAATGGCTACCAGATCGGCCGCCGGACGGATGTATGGAGTATGGGTTGCGTTATCGTTGAATTGTACCGAAAAGGAAAGGATTTTTTGTTTGTCAAGAAAATGACCGGAATCAACACACCGGTTGAAATGCTGAATGCTCACCGAGCTCGTGAGGAAGCTATCTGCTCTTTCATCACAACCGGTGGCAAACCGGAGATTCCAGAGGACATACCTGACCTTTCTAGGACCATGGTGCAGAAGTGCTTTGAAATTGATCCAAAGAAACGTATTAGCGCGAGCGAGTTGTTACAATCAGGCTGGTTTGAAGAGCCGACAGTAGTGCAAATAAATCAAGCACCTGGTAGGTCCGCTGCTGTTTAGGAATCATCAGAAATTATGATTACTCTATCAGAACCTACCAAGCTCTGCAGCGATACACTCTGCATACAGACCAGTCTAGGACCAAGAAAAAAATTTGCAAATGTCGCAAGTTGCGCGGCGCTCCGCTCGCTTAGGTATTGCTTTGCCCGCCTTCGCCTGACTTTGTGTTTTGATGTTGGGTTGGCTTCGAGTTGTTAAGCACCGCTTTTTCTTATGGTCGTTCTCGCCTTAGGCTTTGTCTTTTAAAACTTGGTTAGAACTTAAAACCACTGAAGCTTGACAGGTTCTGTATTTGATTTGCTACTAGCAGGTACCAGCAAGATGGAGTTTACGCTGAGTAATGGAGAACGAATTCCTCCCCCGGACGACGAGCTGAAATGGGATGTCCGAATGGCTTGTGCCGCGCGGGTTCTGGTGCATCACACGAACACCACCCGCTTCCCATATCAACACCCGAGTTTTTACAAAGCCGAAGTTGATCTGGTCAGAAAGGTCATTGAACCCCGTCAGCCATTAGACCCCAAGTTCCACGAATGGATGGCAAAGTTATTGGACACGAAGGGACCGCTCGCACACAGTCTTAATCCGATAACGAGATTAATCCACATGATAGTGCAACCCACAGGGCCGCGAATGTCCGCGCTGTTGACCACCTTCTTACCGACAATTGGCCCGTCGTTCCCCGCCATTGCCGAATGGATGAATCGGTACACAACCGACTACGAATACGTTTGTAAAGGTCATGCCTCCTGGCCGGATATTAAGAAGCTGATTGACAAGAAAGAACCGGTTATTGCACAAGTCCGCTTGTATGACCTTCCAATGGGTGATATGGTGAAAACGATTGCTGAAATGGTGGGGATCGGTGAGCATTGTCCTCCAACATTTCCTTACATATGTGCAAAAATACTGCGGGGATACGAAGGGAGCAAAGCTAACGGGGAGCCAGCAACGGTGATCTACACGAATCCGGATGGGAAAACAGGTATGATGGAGTTCGAGGAGTTCAAGAAAGAAGCGGATTGGACACCTTCGCATCCGCTTCTCAAAGAAGTGTTCGACTTGGCCGGCTATGAACCCAGGCAAATTATCTATCGAATCCAGAAAGGTGAGATGTGAATAGAAAACGAATCGATGATTGCTACGTTTTGACCTTTGCATGTACTGTCTTGTATGAACTTTTTTCACGAGCGTACCGAAACGAAAAGTTGCAGGTATGGAAGAAATTGGGTCAACGGATAATTCCTATAAACTGTCACGAGTACGACTGGTTGAAGTACATTTTGTATGGACAGTTATACTTTGATGTGGTTTGCAACGAAAGGAAGTGGCCAGAAAGTATCAGCCAATTAGTAAAGTGTTAAGTGTACTTTGATCTCTCATAAAACAATCAATAAAATGTTGTCTCATGGTTTGTCTATGAGTGTTTTTAAGTTGAAGGCGTGTTCTGTCATCTTTCATATTTTGGATCAGAAATCGCTTCTGAGTGCTTGAGGAGAAGAACTCCTTGTGAATGAATTAATGTCATCTTGCATAGCTAGCAGCTCTGGAATATCTGGTCTTGGGAAGTGTTCTCTGGCATATCTTCTTGTCCTAGATGTTGTTGCACTGTTAGTCTGAATGAGTCTGTATAAAGGTCACCGTTAGCAGAACGATTGGGTTAGCGTCGTGCCTGAGTTAGCTGTTTAGTAGGTCATTCACCACCATAAACCATCAGTAGCTTTACGCTATCTGACATGGAGGGCATTTGGTGGTGAAAGTCATTCTATGTGTTTTACGCGCGGTTGTGTGGTTTATCGAGTCGACTAAATGCAATAGTCATTGTTACCTGTCCGATTTCACCTGTGCGATTTTACCTGTGAACCCGGATCGCCTGCCTGTTACCGGTCTACAGTGGGATACCTTTGTGTTTGTTCTTGCGGATTGGATGCAGCTGGATGCCGGCGAGCACGGTGCCAACCGGATGACGCGGGCGAAGTTCGCGGTTGAAGAACCACACGGATGGTGTAAGTGGAAGATCGATAGCCGTGTCTAGTGAAGCATGCTGTTTAATTTTGTTGCGATGAGTCATTTCTCCCTACGTTAAGAAGATCTTTCCGTTTTGCACGATATTGCTTGGCTTGTTGTTATAATGGTTGTTACTACATGAATTTTGATGGAACGCCAGCGTGAATGGTTTAGACTAACTTTTTTCCTTGATACCGGTTTACGATTCGATAAGATAGAAGTCAGCGTTAAATGTAATGGGATACAACAGTTAGTGCACTACGTAGGTGATAGTTGTTCTTACGTCCCTTGTGTACAAAGAATCGAAGTTGCTAATCCAGACGGAAGTGTGGGAACGATATACCCATTGAGATAGAAATATGTACAAGGTCAACGAACAGTATCATAATTTTCGTTTAACTACAATAGCTGTGCTAGTCTGTGTAACCCGCCGACATACCACGCGTTTGTCAGCTGTTGTTTATCGGCTTGTACCGTAGATGTGATGGAACTCTTGTGGCCTCGTTGTTGCTTTCGTAACGTTCATGGCCGGTATTTTGTTTGGGCGTGACCGGCAATATCAGTTGCCGGTAACCTGATGTAGTTAGCAGCATGCAAATTCACGTCTCAGCATTGTTGGGCAGCGTTTTGTTTAATGCATCAACTTTATAGTAAACAGTGTCAGTTACCGGCACTTGCTTATGTAAGTGATAACTTTGTTGAGCAAAAAAAAGCTGAGTTTCTCTGTATTTCTGTTCACTGTGTAAGTCTGTACTGCCGTGTTCATCCTGGCTTGTGCATGTACACGCGCGGCGCAATCTCGTAGCTGTTGTTGGTACATAAATACCGGTACAACGGGTACATACCTTTTGTTGTGTACTCTGTACATGTGATTTATTAACATGCACGGCAATGCCAATATACTCGTACCAGTTGTAATGATAATTTAGCTCTGCTTTAAGTAATAATTCTAATGATAATTGTAACTGTTAACCTTGAATTACAATGGCTAATAATAGCAATAAGCTATGCCTGCTACAAGAAACACCTTACCGTTAACACATGTGAGTGAAAGGGAGCTTGTTGATAAAAGCGAAAAAGCCATAAAAAGTAGAAGTAACAAAGTGAAGCCGATTACCAGTAAAGAGCCGGTTACAGGCGCGAGCAAGGTTACAACCAATGATCTGAATAGTACGGTTACTGGGAATAACAACGAGTTTCTTAATTCTCAGGATAACGATATTTTGCCGGTTACTGCAAACCTAGAGTTGTTTGAGGAGAGAAAATTTGTTGGTGCAGTTGTACAGAACAAAATGGATGCAGCTGCAGTAAACAAATTAGCTGATGCTTTAAATAAATTAAATCCTGCCAAAGTCGACCGGAAGGTTAACCTTGCAGATTTGCCGTCATTTTCTGGGCAAGACTCAGAATCGGCGGCAGATTTTCTGATAAAATTCAAACTTTTTGGTGAATATTTCGAATGGGATAATGAAAAGTTGAAAGAAATGTTTCCGATGCGGTTAAACAAAGACGCTTTAAAATGGTTTATTACGAATAAAACTAAGCTACCAGACTGGGATGAAACTGAGAAAGAGTTTCTTAAAGTGTTTGGCAAAAGTGCGTACGACCTTGATCTGCAATCACTAAGCTTTTCTAATAATCCATTACAAAATCCTCTGGGTTACGTTTTCGAGATTCTCGATTACCTTCGCATAACAAACCCTCTTGCAACAGAGCAGGAAAAAGTACGCGTGATTTTGAGCACATGCCACCTGAACTGAAAGCAGCAGTTATCGAAGACAGACCAGATACTGTTGATAGGTTTGTTGAGAGGCTTAAAGACATTAAAAGAAAACAACAGTACTTGTCGGTTGTCGGTAAACATGATACATCGATAAAAAAACTAACGTGGCAATAAGTCCGAAATGTAATGAGAAAGTACGGTATACAAAGTAGCGCAGGTGTAAAACTAAAGAATAATAATAATAATTAATGATCGTCGATCAAATTTTTTGCTTGCTAGTTCAAAGCCTTTAAAAATTAAAACCATGACAGTGAAACAACAGGCGGACAGTATGGAGTATAGTGGTTAGCTGTGTGTTGAAAATAAAATTTTTTGTGATTGAATAAAGTTTTATTATGAGTTTTAGCCATGGACAGTCAGGGCCCTGGTCTGTAAATGGTGCATTTTCAAAAATATACAAACAAAATTGTGTATGATGATGATGTAAGAAATGAGATTTTTGTGAGGAATTTAGAGAGTTGATAGTGTTAAATTAATGATTTATTTTGCCGCCTGTTGTCTATAAATTTTTATCTGTCAGTAATGATTTTGCAGTCTAAACATCAGCTAATTCAGAATGTTGCTACAAATTTTGAAAAACTGTGGTAAAATACCGTTACTTTCACTGAAACTAAGGTACAAGTAAGTTCCTGTTTAGTTATCCAATCGTTTTTAACTGGCCATGGGGGAAGCCCTAATAGTCGGTTACTTTAGTCATAGTTTATTGTATACCTGCTTTCAACAAATTGTATATTGGAAGGCTCCTAAAATTTGCAATTTGCCAAGCAAAGTGGAACAATTACTTGTATTTATTTAATCGGTGATTATTGTCAATAGAACTAGAATTTATTCACCTAAAACAAATAAAAATGTCAAAATTTGTGATCTGTATAAATCTATGGTTAGAAATTAAAATTCACAGACAGCGCAATTGTACGACTAACCTTTTAATGATTTGTGTAACTGACTATAATACAGTGGTCTATTTCTCACTTTTCCAAACACGCGGAACTGTCTGTATGTTCCATGCATCCAAAACTGCGTGTAGGACGCACAAAATAAAAAACAGGCTTGTGCGAATATATTACAGCGGCAGCAGTAAATGCGGTGCAATGCGCTCGTATGTTGTCAGATGTCTGCACTGACTCAGACGTTACGCATTGAAGCGTAACGCACTGAACCACCAAGTTGCCGGCATGTGACTAAAGTTCGATTACTCATGTTGCATTAATAAACCTTTCTGTTTCCTTGGTTTTAACGCGGGCGCATTATGCTTGGTTAAATGTTGGTTTCAAGTTACATCAACCACATTTTGGTTAAGATGGCATTTTCTTCTGTTTCATTTTGCGTTTTTTTTTCAAAGTGAAAATTGCATCTTCGTTTGGTTTGCACCATGTGTTGTGTTGTCGCATGTATTCATGTTCAATACAGTGTACATTTCTGTTTTTCTTTGTCTGTTTTCTTTGAGTTGCAGGACTGCAGTTTTATTGGTTTCCGTTTCCTAGTTTTGCATGCACGGCTATATCGATCGATTTTTTCGTATGAGCGCCTTGTGCGGGCCGAAGCGCCAAGGTTGGGTGGAATGTTTTTGCAGTCACCGCAGATGAGAATGAGCCAGCAGATCAATGACCTGCAGCGAGGACAGCATAAGTAAAGAGCCCTGCTGTTCAATGTGAGATGCGTTCGTCGATAATGAACTGGATAAATCGCGACATGCCACGTGCAGTAAATATACTGGATGCAACACAATTATGCAGCTTTATCCGCTACTGAAGCGTGCTGTTCTGACCGTGAATGGACCGATAAGGGATGTTTTGTCGAATAATTCAGCGCAGATTGGTCCAGCGTCTGCGGACACACTAACTTTTGCCAAAGCGGAATTCACCAAAGCCCAAGAAGGTGCGCGTGATCTTGCAGTAGATGCAGTGTGGATGCGGAGGACAGCATGATGTGGATGCGGAGTGACAGCTGATGCTGATTGCGAAGTGGGATTGGATTTGGTTAACGGGTTGGTCGAGAGCGCCCGTAGTATGGAAACGGTGGTCATTAGCGCCCATGTTGAAGTGCGTATATGTTTTGGGAGAGATATCAGGTTGGCTGTCGGCGCCTGGTATTTTGTGAATGCGCTGCGGCATATCATGTGTGCCGCGGAAGTTCTCTCATCAGTTATTGCTATCGCTTTACACCTATGGATGGTCTGAGTCTGTACCGCTACCTGTTGTGGTACTACCTGACGTTATTTTTCGTGACCTTCCTGATGTTAACTGTGGTGCCATCAATGGACATTTCTGTCCTAATCTTATTTCAAATTTCAACATCGTATTATGTTCCTGACCTGACCACGTGCCACCACCTGTCAGCTGTATTACGCCAGGAGTTTTACCTGGGCCTCCATGTAGCCAACGGTTCTCGTGGCTGTAAGTCAGCTGTCTTAAGTTTCGTCAGCAATGGATGTTCGGATGGATCCTGTGGACGTTCGTGCCGAGGACGTCACGGTCCAAAGAAGGAGCGTGTCACGAGTACGACTGGTTGAAGTACATTTTGTATGGACAGTTATACTTTGATGTGGTTTGCAACGAAAGGAAGTGGCCAGAAAGTATCAGCCAATTAGTAAAGTGTTATGTACTTTGATCTCATAAAACAATCAATAAAATGTTGTCTCATGGTTTGTCTATGAGTGTTTTTAAGTTGAAGGCGTGTTCTGTCATCTTTCATATTTTGGATCAGAAATCGCTTCTGAGTGCTTGAGGGAGAAGAACTCCTTGTGAATGAATTAATGTCATCTTGCATAGCTAGCAGCTCTGGAATATCTGGTCTTGGGAAGTGTTCTCTGGCATATCTTCTTGTCCTAGATGTTGTTGCACTGTTAGTCTGAATGAGTCTGTATAAAGGTCACCGTTAGCAGAACGATTGGGTTAGCGTCGTGCCTGAGTTAGCTGTTTAGTAAAGGTCATTCACCACCATAAACCATCAGTAGCTTTACGCTATCTGACAAAACAAGTTGCAAATGTGCCTGCGATGAATTTTTTGACTCCTGTGCCACCTCGAAACCTGAGTTCCCATTCCGAAGAAAGCCGCGGCGAGATGGTGAAATCTGTGTCAACTGGTGCGTACTGCAAGCACGCTGTGGTCGTGCCAGTGCTCTGATAAGCTGTATAGTACAAGGAACCAAAGAAAGTGATAAAATTAACTCAATAAACACAAGTAATGCATCACAATGTCATGTACACACGAGTACTGTAGAGTCTAGATCATCTGCGCAGTGTTTGATAAACTAGAAATGCGCCTCCAAAACTATGGTACCAAGATGTGGATGGTACGATCCATTAGTGCCTGTTACGGTTAGAAAACTGTGAGTCTGTGACCATTACAGCTCGAAGATGACCTTCTATTGACTCTGTTTTTGGTAACGCAAAAACAAAAATCTGAAGAGCTAATTTATGGATTTTCAGGTACGACGGTGAGACCGACGGCACCGCCTAACCATGATGTAATTGTGCATTCGGTAAAATACGGCGATACGCTCTCGGCTATAGGAGTGAAGTATGGTGTTCCCTACCCGAAGATCGTTAAGGATAACAACATTATCGATATGAACAAGGTTCCTGTGGGAACCGAGCTGAAGATTATACGCAGCAACGGCTCAGAGAAAGGGAATGCACTGTCTGCTCAAACCTTGACAAAAGGTGACCCTGCTAGAGAATCCGTGACAACCGGCATACAGCCTCGTGTTTCTTATTCTTTTAAACATAACAGCACTTAAGTATACTAATGTGGAATTGTTTACTCTAGATGCGGCTGCGAAACCGGTTGAAGCCGTCGATCCGGCGGTTACCATCCACACTATTCAATACGGCGACACTTTATCCGCCATAGGCGTGAAGTATGGTGTTCCGTATATGAAGATTGCCAGGGATAACAATATTGCCAATCCAAACAGTGTGCCTGTGGGCAAACAACTGAAAATCATACGTAACAACGGTCTGGAAAAAGCAGAGACACAGACTGGGTGCATCGAGTTCGAGAATTACGAGTACATTGTGAAATACGGAGACACGCTGTCCGAGCTCGGAGTAAGGTTCCACGTGCCATATAAGACCATCGCTCAAGACAACGGAATAAGTGATCCGAACAAAATCTATGTTGGAATGAAGCTCAAAATTAGACGCGTGGAAAAAACTGACCTTGGATAATTCGTTATGAGTGCAAACTGCCCATATAATATAAATACTAGTAATGTTTGACAGAATATTTTTATTCTAGTGTTTCGTAGTTATTTACTGATGAGCGATACAAAATACATGTCTTAATTAACCCGATTTTTTTTCTAGTTTTACCTCAGTTTGATCGATTAAAATTTTGAATTTTTTTTTAAATTCGTTATTCGTTATGCGCAAAGTAAGCAATACAGTTATACACTAATGTGATCTGCACTCCATAATTTAACCGTACTCACTCATGCATTTGCTGGACAATGGATAACCGTGAAAGGTCAACATGATGTACCGCCAGTACCGGTAGTAGATTTTCTTATTTAACGCCAAAGCCAGCGTATCATAATCAGGGCGACAACTGCAACAATGATCCCTGCAATCCAGAAGAACCTGTTTGCCTGCAAAAACGCAATTTCGTGGCCGCTTGATACAGAGCTGCGATTTGCAAACTATGTGGTACTCGTAGTTGCATGTGAAAGTTCGCACTGAAAAAAAATTAATACCGGTATCCCTAAGTTACAGTTGTGTTGTATGGTGGCATACTATAAATTGCAACGCAATGTAAAAGAACATAAGGCCAGAACAGGTTTATGAACCGCGACTTCGTGCTTTTTGATGATGTTATAATCGCTGTCACTAAAAATTGTTGACGCTCATGTACAGTATTACCTGCCCACTGGTGCCCTGCCCCTGGATATCGACAAGTCGCTCGTGAGGACGGCTTCCCGCATTATTGTTCATGGTGCGATGTCTTTAATTTCTTGTGACGTATCTGCTTCTTGTTGTTTCTCCAAAACTCATTAAATGGTAGTTCGATAATAATTTCCTATTAATTAGTATGTAACACATTCACTTATAAACCCCTTTAGCTTTAATTGCGCATTAAGGGCCAAACAAACACTGAGATTTCAGAGTACAACTATATCAAAATCGTGTCAAGTAATGTATTTACTTGACATATAAGTAAGTACGTATATTTATTGTGATCCGGGGGAATTTGAAAATATTTTACCGATGCTAAGCAACTCATCCTCATATATTCTATGCTGTCATACAGATACTGTACGGTAGATAAAAAGCGGTTTTCAACATGCCGCACAGTAAACCTATTAGAAATGCACAACTGAGTGTGCAGCTTCGGAAGCTGCACACTCAGTTGCAACTGCACACTGCGGTGCAACTGCGGTGCAACCGCAGTTGCACCGCAGTTCTACTTGTCTTGCAAATAAGTGAAATGAATAATACCAAACAATTTAATAAAAAAAATCTATTTACATATTGACGAACCATTAGATTACAGTCACAGCAGCTTACAAAAAAAGTCGAAAGCTGTCGAAAGGTCGAACTGTTGTTCGGTACGGGCTTGTTATTTTGCTTCGTACAAGAAAGGGTCCGTAAATCAAGTGCACTATGCATGGTATTTCCCGATCATAATAAAAGAAAAATTCAAAACAAATGTGGAGATGCGTGTTGTTACGAATTACACCGAAGTAGGTGAGCATTATAACGTTATTTATTATTTATTTTTAAGAAAACGTATCCGTGCGTCGCATTTCATGTTTGAAAGCACAACAGAATTATGTTACATATACGATTTATCTTAGAACGTTCAACCCAACAAATTTCCGACCTATTTCTCTGGGGAACAGATACATTTTCTGCAGACACGTGCTAATTACAGCATTCATTTTATTTCTTCAAAGAAATCTGCAGCTTCACGTTTCAGGGCGCTGTAGTTGTTCCCAGAGGTGGGAATGTTTACTTTTATATCAAATCTTGCGTCCATCTCGATTAAAACGAAGCGCCTTGAATCCATTGCAAAAATTCATACCTAATTTATCAGTACTCCGTAGATTTTCAACTTCTAAAAATAAAAACGTATCTGCCATCAGAAATTAAGTTACAGAAACAGCAACGTGAACTAAATGCTAGTGTCTAATTTGAGGAGGAGTGCCCAAATTGAACGTAATCGAAGTCCTAAATATTGACATCAAATTTCCACGCACCTTTCCCTTTTCCTGTAGTATTTATGTTCTCAAGTATCGCTGCATCATAAATATTGTATGCATATGCGTACGTGCAGTGTTACCATAATCCAAATGTAAGCGTAATCGCCATATGTCTTTGCTATTTGCATCTTTGTTTTGCCGAATAATGAAGAAGTAGTGCATTAATGCTGCGGGACCACTGCAACCAATGTACATAAACGAAACCGGCTGGCCTATTTCTCAGAAATCGGGAAGAGAGTTTTTACTACACCGGTAACTTTGTTCAGTTTGTTGAATGACAGTGTTTTTAACAATAAGCCTAACACCGGTACAAGTATACACAATGGTTTCGATTATACAATCCAATAAATCGCTGGCAGAATGGAGTAACCTTTCGGCCTGGAGTCTTTCGGAGTCGCCAGCGAAAAAGCTGCTAATCCCCATCTGGACGATCGATTCCGTATTTGACGCCATCATCGCAGTACTGGCGTTTATTTTCAACGTAGCCGTATTGGCGGCCATTGCAACCCGACGATCACTGACCAATGCTCCCTTCTCCGTATACCAGATGCATCTCACATTGGTCAATGCCCTTTACGTCGTTATTCATGACCCACTGCATATTATCTCTGTGGTCGACGGCGTCTGGTGGATGGGTGACGCCTTATGTGACCTTTACCAATACGCTGTCCACGTCATCTGTGCGGCCACTACACACACGCACATGCTCATCTCAATCAGCCGAATCTGGGCCGTTATGTTCCCGTTTTCGTACCGGCGACGGCATTCCACTACGCTGGCTCTGGCATTCTGCACTGGAATGTGGATTTATTTGAACGCGCTATTGCTGCCACGAAATGTTTTGGACTGGCTCTATTACCGGCTTCCTTTACTGGAGTACGGATGTGTTACGAATTTTGGTACGCGATGAAAACATTAGCCCCTCGTATATTTGGCCGTGTATCTGATTTATCGTAAATGCAGTTTTGTTTAATTTTTTTCGGTTACTGAATTTTATTTTTATGGCGAGTACATGCAATATAAATAATTATACTGTTTTATTGGATTGTAGGGCCACAACGCACGCTTAGTATTGCGTACCAATTCGTCTGCTTCGACATGCCGGCTTTCGTAATGGTGCTTTCGTACCCGTATATTTACTACAAGCACATTAAAAACCGTAAAATTTCCAATGATAAGCAGACACCCCATACCGACTCTCACGGAAAATTCCCCGGGAATTCGCATGCAGTGCAACATGCAGCATCATCTAATGGCGAATTAGAGCATGGGAAAACTTTGGTGGAACAACCCGCGAACCACAACTACGCAAAAAGAAACCATGGTTTTCTGGTACTCAGCTGGCTAACGGTGTCCATACTGATATGCTGGGTGCCGCTACTGTCTTATTACTCCATTTTACAGTTTGTAAGTTTTGATATGCCGCTGCTGTACAAGATTGCTAATATCTTGTATAATTTGCAAGTAGTGTTTGATCCGATTATTTTGGTGTTTGCGCAGAGTTCCCTCAGAAGAATATTCTTCAAGTAGCTCCAATGTTTTGTGCTTGGGGTGGCGCTAATGATGCTGTTGTAGTTCGTCTTAAGAAGAAACTGTGACCTTTTTCCCAAGGACTAATTAAAGTTATGTGACCTATCTTGATGCGTACCTTTATGTACTGATAGAACTGCTATCGGAACAATGGTTAACGTTCATATAACTTTGGTGAAAACGTACTGTACATAATTCGTTATACAAGTCTACCTCGGACTATTTTTAACTCTATGTGTATCTGACTTCGGCTTTGTAGCTTGTACATATCCGGTCGCCAAGGCAATTTTCAAATGGTACATACAAGCTGTGATATCGGCGACAGTTGCAATTTGAACAACTGCGTCGTCTCGCATTTTGGTGCATACTTTCATGACCTTTACCAGCTATGAACTGTAAACTGTATAGCAGGCCAGCTGGCGATACGTAAACATATTGGTTACTTTTTGTTTAGCGGGAGACACCTTCGCGCTTTCACGTAAGCAGATTATTGGTAGGTTTCTAGTGTGCTCTGTATACAACTATATGCTCCACAGTTCCACGAATCAAAATAGTACCTATACTACCTCGTTCGATGAAAATTATTGTATGTAGTCGCTTGCTAAAAAAGTATACCATTCTCGTGCAAATGCAGGCAGGCGCAACACCACACCACTAAAATGATTGGAGAATATTATAACACCACAGGAAGGGAATGGACAAACGATTCAAATTCGGAATCGGAACTCACACTATCAGTAAAGTTTCAAACCTGGATTAACGAGGCAACATGGAATTTCGATTCGATACTAAGTGTAATCATAAGCTTAGTGGCGTTCATGCTCAACGCAACAGTTTTGTCAGTCATCTTTACCCAGCGTTCGTTACGCAGCAAACCGTTTTCAGTCTATCAAATGCATCTGACACTGGTGAACGTGCTGTGCGTTCTCCTGCACGATCCACTGCACATTATGGCGGTCGTCGACGGTATCTGGTGGATGGGCGACATTTCGTGCAATATATACCAGTACTCCGTCCACATTATCTGGCCGGCCACCACCCACACGCACCTTCTTATTTCTGTCAACCGAATCTGGGCTATGTTGTTCCCGTTTTCGTATCGCAGAGTACATTCGGCAACAGTGGCGGTGGTGTTATGTTTAGTAATGTGGTTATATTTGCATGCGCTGTTGCTTCCAAGAAATATTCTAGATGCCTTGTATTATCGGCGTCCGGTATTAGAAAATGGCTGCAACATGAATGTCGGTATGGTTATGGAAGTTTTACTATAACAAATATTGTACTTACGCTTTATGCTTTATGACTACTTACTATAATTATATCTAGTAGTACGCTTGCGATTTTTGACTGTCATGTGCACATATTTCCGAGGACCGTATTGGTCAGCTTGGCTACCTATTTGCGAAAAAAGAGGCAGCTGCAATCGATACATTACGCAGAGCTCCTGTTATGCGCATATGATTACGCCCAAATCATGTTCGCTGCCTCGCCTTAATAATTTTTTATTGCGGTGCCAGGTGTTCAGCAATTAAGGGATTTGGCCCGGTGCATTGCACCAAATTCGTGTACACCGACGGGAACTTTCGCTGTCGCGCACTCCCAAACACTTTTTTGCATTGCATTATGGTATTTTGTAGGCAAAAGAATTGTGTACGTAGTTGTGAAATCCGTTTGCGCGCGCAACATTCGGTTGCGGAGTTATGAGAGTAACAAAATTCCAAAAAGTTTAAATGCATTACACGAATTTGGTGCTATGTACCGGGCCAAATCCCTTAAAACTTACGCTAATGAATGATTTGCAGCACCACAGCGCACTCTCAGCATCGTGTTGCAATTCATCTGTTTCGATATGCCGGCGATAATCATAATAGGATCTTACCCATATGTTTTCCTCAAGCACCTCTCACACCGCGCTGGTTCAACGACAAAGGTCAAAAAAACCGAATCGCGCAACTGTGTCCCAGTCAACACGAATTTGATCTCACCCATGGCAGCTCCCACCAGTATTACAGGAAGAGAAGAAAAAGACGTGGCGAAGGCGTCCACGAGTCCTATCAAAACCGGAAGACAGACCCATGGTTTCCTGGTTTTGAGCTTATTAACAGTATCGGTGCTTATCTGCTGGGCACCGCTCCTTACATATTACTCTATTCTGCAGTTTGTCAGCTTTGACGTGTCACTTCTTTTAAAGAGCGCCAACATTTTATACAATTTGCAGTTGGTAACTGATCCTGTTATTTTAGTTTTTGCCCAGTCCTCACTGAGAAATGCATGCGGGCAAAAGTTACGCAGGTATCACCGCTAAGTGGACTATCGGCACATTTGAGAGATAGATAGAAAACAATCATTAGCTGCAAACGTGGTATGCTTTTCTGTGGAAAGAAGGTTTGTTCGGGTTGAGCAAGAGTGCTTCTTTGTTTTTTTTTTGCGGTAAAGATAATCCATGAACTTCTTGTAGTAGCTCGCACCCCTTGACCCACATAGTTTGTGTACCAGAAACCAGCACACGGGTATTGCGCATGCTGCTCACTGGTTTGCCGTAAATTCTCTAATTCTTATACTTAGTACAGCTTCTTGTACGCTTTTACCTTCTACGAGAACACAGAGTAGTCGCTGAAACTGGCTCTCATAGTGGCGAGCGGCTGCAACGTTGTTAAATACTGTCATGCGACTTGAGCTAAAAATACGCAAGCCGCAAGCATTTCTGTGAAACCAGCCTTAACGGGTCTGAATACGATCCACTTTCTTCAACGGTGTATGAAAACTTTGCAACAACACCATTGTAGTTTTTAAATTCGAACAATATGACACGATTCAAATACACGTCACCTTTTCACAGTCATAGTTGCAGATTTTCTACGTCAGTCCTTGATTGAGGATCGCATGTAATGTCTCCAGTTGGCAGATCTGAACGCAGCTCAAAGCCTACACGAATTTCAAAATGTCCAAGTCTCCGGAGATGTACTTTTCGTGTTCAGATGCACCTGAACATGAAGAGCACATCTCCGGAGAACACATATTCTCATTACACTGGAGCAAAGAAATCTAATTAAGGCGGCTTTTGTCCACCTCGTTCGTCACACGAATAATATTTCCGGTTTTTTCCATTGAAGCCCTGCATATGAAAAAGAGATAAAAACCCTGTAAACAGGTGTCTTGCAAACATGTACCTATCACAACCCCTCATGCTTGGCATTAATCTTGCTCCCACTTTTATTACGGTGACCTTTAAAGCCAGACATTAACATGAATATTACAGTCAGCCTGTTGACTAACCAATCTTATGCACAGCCACTGGCTGCTTTAACCGGTCAAAATGTTCATGTATGGACCTTCGATACGATTTTCAACATAATTATTACCATACTAGCTGTTTTCTTGAATTCGGTCTTATTTATAACGATAGCGACTCAACGGACACTACGCAGTACACCTTTCTCCGTCTACCAGATGCATTTATCACTGGTCAACATTCTGTACCTCCTCATTCATGATCCTCTGCACATTTTGTTTGCTATTGATCGGGTATGGTGGATGGGCGACATCTTGTGCAACATGTACCAATATGCGGTGCATGTCATTTGTGCCGCCACTACCCATACGCATATGCTTATCACTTTCAACCGAATTTGGGCAATCGTATTCCCGTTTTCTTATCGAACGAAGCACTCCATCAAGATGGCTGTGGGTTTCTGTGTCTGGATGTGGATATATGTGAATGCCTTGGTTTTGCCACGGAGCGTATTGGACTGGATGTACTACCGAATGCCCCTGCATATTTATGGGTGCAGACTGAATTTTGGTTAGTACCGTATCTTATATAAGATATTATATAAGATATATCTTATATAAGATATAAGATATTTATATATAAATAAATTTGCCACCTTTTCGTACAGCCTAATCTATCAATAATTCTAATTATATTATTAATGCTGTACAGTAGGTGAAAATTTGCTCTGCAGCATAATGCGCACCCTGAACGTTTTACATAATTAATACGAGTACCTAGTGCACAACCTGCCGGTATAATTTGTTATTACGATTATTATATGTATACATTGTCGTAGATCCTTTTCGCACACTGAGCGTGGCCCTGCAGTTCATCTGCTTCGACATGCCGGTCATCGTGATGGTATTGTCTTATCCGTATATCTGCTACACGCACCTGAAAAGCCGTCGAACCGCCATTATTCTCGATTCTCATGGAACCAATCCATCGGCAACAAAATCCCTTCCCATGAAGTCCCTTAATACCACTAGCAGCACTGCCAGCGGGCAAACAACTTTTTATCGCAAAAGAGCGCGGACGCAGTCGATAACCCTGATACAGAAGCCCCACAAGAGAAACCACGGTTTTTGGGTTTTGAGTTGGCTAACCGGATCGGTGGTGGTGTGCTGGGTGCCACTCTTGGCTTACTTCTCCGTAATGCAGTTCGTGACCTTTGATATACCGGTCTTACTGCGAGCAGCCAGCATTCTGTATAGTCTGCAAGTAGTTGTGGATCCGATTATTTTTGTCGTTGCACAAGGCTCCCTTAGAAACGTTTTCGTGCAAAAGTTTTCCTCGTGTAAATGATGAAACTAGACCGTCGGACGAAATTAGTGTAATGGGAACTGCGTTGTCAAGCTATGGCGAAAATTTGAAAAGAAGAAAAACCAAACTACTCGGCGAAAATGCAAAAATAAGCATTTCTTTCAGCCTTACCTGTTAGTGTACGTAATAACTTCAAATGTTGCCACATCTTCAGATAAAGTTATTTGTTTTACAAACCAAGATTATCGGAAAGTAACAGGGCGTTCTAGTGCACTCGATCTCTGTAAGCACAGTTACAAATACATTTCAGCAGCTCTTTAAAAAAATCCCAAGACAGCGAACACGTATTTTTTTACTAAAGGAGTTTAGGCATCTAATGTGCTTTTTCATGTTTAAAGCTGGGCAGAAACGTAGTTACGCCGAATTAGTGAGACCGCAAAATTTGGTTCATAGTCGAAAGTTACACCACGTGCTTCCTCATATTGTGGGAAATATCGGTTGCATTCACAGTTAAAACAGCAACAAAATTTCACGAAAACTTCGCTGTTCGGTGCTTATATTTGTTAGCACAACCGCTACAGTTGTAGATCACTATCATCCCGGCCTCCATCCTCCAACAACCAGTACTGTGATAAGAATTAAGGCATAAAGTAACTGTAATAAGGATTCTCGGTTATTAATTTTATTCTCTAAATGCCACGATGCCCTCTTTCATGTGAGCCGTATGATATTTTATGCGGCAAATAGCTTTCCTTATCTTGCGCGGGACGTCCAAATGTCCCATATTAGGTCACACCGTATTTATGTTACAACCATACTCTATAGTGTAAGACATGCAGGTACTCAAGATTCAGCACAATCTTTACGACAAAAATGTCACATAATTAAGTGATTGTTATTAGCAATTTCTGCTATGGTTTGACGACTGGTAGAGCCAGGGTCCTTCGTCGGAGCTCTTTCTCAGTTATCTAACGACTCATGTATTCAATGATAGGAAGTCAAGCACTTATGGAGCCTGGGATTCAGAAAGTGAATACATCCCAAAATAATGTGAATACGATAGCTGCGTCACTGGTGATGTTTTAATTTTGACCTCGCACGAGTATTGCAAAATAAGCTGGGTATTTCTATTCATAAGCACATAGGTTCGCTCAGGCGCTTCGGTTTGAAAACCTAAACAAATGCGAATCTCTTACATGAAAATTTGTTAATCAGGATTTTGAAGCCAAACAAAGCTGTAAGCTGACAGTAGCCAAATAAATTTGTTGCCGCAGGATTCATAGTCGGTGCTGTAATGCGAGAGAAGTGTGGACATTTGATATCTTTCTCGAAAATTTCCAAAAGGAGCAAAAGATAAAAGAGCTGATCTTATTTCGTCCCTAGACGGAATGAAGCGCCGGAACATTTCTGTGTGATCACTCAGCTTTGTATTTAGCGAAAAAGCACTAAAATTATAATAATTCTTGAGGGGACTTTTATCCGGCACCAACCAGTGCACAGATCAATACGCTTGCGTAGGTTTACACTAATTAAAACAATTAAATTTATTTCTTCGAAAGGAAACCTTGATAATTCAGACAAGTCTACGATATCAACTACTCTATATAGTGCGTCTGCGATAGGTATTCGCATCGGTGAGCAAAGGGATTGGCTGGATTAAAAATAATCAATTTTCTCCCAATCATGTCTTCTAATCCCACCGGTCGCGAAAACAGGCTCCAGTTCGGCACCTACAGTGCAGTGAAGATTATGAAGTTTTAGTTATTCGCAGTGTGCCATTTTTCTATAGCTAATATACTGCAGGCCATTATATTATCTTATACTTCCACTGGTAGCGCTTGAAAAAGGTTATGAGAGACAAACACCTGTTCCCCACCGGCGTACCATCTTGTGCAACCGTCAGACATGATAAGGACATCGCGAAACTCTCCGTTGCGGCAGCTGCACAGGATGGAATTATTTGAGCGGAGGCATCTGCAATCGATATGGATCTGGACGTCAGCTTTTTGGGAACTCTCCATGCGCTAATGCAATGTACGAAGCTATCTGGTACGTGATGCCGCTACAACTGAATTACTCAACTACTTTGGATCAGCTGGTAGGATAACGATCCGGGAAACGAACAGTTCACCGCTCCGCAATCAATGTAGAACAACCTGGTGATTCTGTGAATATAAATTGACTGAATTGCTTCCGTGTAAGATCACCTGCAGCGTATTACGGTTGATAATCATTGATTGTCCTATATCAGCCGCAGAATAGTTCACCATCTTTATTCATGGATTGTATGTTCGGTTCCCAGGAAGAATCCTCCAGGAATTTTACGGTAATCGAGCGATGGTTTGATCAATAGGACGAGACTGACCATGAAAGCACGTTTCGGATCACGCCTTCAACATAATTAATAATTCCGGTTCTTATATAAACCGGCAAAAGCAGTAACACAAGCGCTATAGCTTCTGTCATCGTTGCGGTGTGACACATTCTACTTGGCCACACGAACCGCAGTTCTGATTTGTTAAAAAGATGTCGCTGATTGCGATAGCCATTGCTTTATCACTGACGACGCTGCGGATATCAGCCCTGAATGTGACAATCGTCAGTCTGCAGACAGGCGACCCAGGCGTGGCCATTGGTCTGCCGTGGACGGGCGCTGCACTGCAGATCGCTGTACAGCACGTCGACCGGTATTACGCACAACAGGGCCTTGATGTGCAAGTGTCTCTGAAACAGATCAATGCGCTGGCTGGGCATTCGTGCATCACGGGTCCCACGGTGGCCAACAATCTTCTGGCGCAGTTTTACTATGGTGCAGCTCGATCAGACGTTTGCTACGGATTAATTAGTAACGGTACGCCGATGTTTTCGCCAATGATAATTTGTCAGAATAGTATGTACTATGGCCACTGATATTTTTTTTGCAAAATAAATTTTGTTATACAGGCTGTGCGGATTTCCCTCAAGTGACCTCTTTGGCAGCAGGTAAGCTGTTTTTTTTCCAAAAATACTGCATATCAGCGGTCTTTGTTAAATTTTGATATTTGTTTATTGCAGAATGGGACTGGCTGGTTTTCAACAAGTTAGTGGAATTCTAAATATTAGGCAGTACTATATATGCGTTAAATAAATTGAAAAAATCAATAATAATTTTTTCTATGGTGCACATGTTGTTTCCTTCTTTGTTGCAAGTTAGCAGTTTCGGATTTATATTTTGCTTAGTGCATTCTGTACAGTGTTTTCTGTGCGATTAACAAGCGCAAAATGATTAATCGATTCCCCATGGAACTGTATTAATCGTTACGTAGAAGATTGACCATAATTACGAGTAAAGCCGATTTCTGCGCTTCGCAGCGGCGCATCTGATCCAACGACAAAAAATGTCCTGAACACCGCCGGCACGATGGACGCTCTTGGTACGGCCACCTTAAGTGTCATTCGGCATTTCCGCTGGCAGCATGTAACGGTACTGGCCGATACCGATCCCAAAATGACCATTTTATACGCGCGCATGGCACTGGCGTTTATCCAGCGGGCGAAGAAAGCAGGCAATTCATTGGAACTGGATATAGCGTACTCGGAGTTCAGCGGACTGCAAAACAGCACCATTCAAAAAGCGTTGCAAATGGCCATAGGAAGAAGTCGAGGTATACTTCGCACACCACAAAAGCAGAAGAATTTTTGTGTAACTACAGGAACTGATTAGTGTCAAATCGACTTATTAACAAAACCTAGTACAAAATTGCGATTGCATGCATTTACGGTACATTCTGGGAACGTTTTGCGTAATACAAATATCGATTTGAAGGCAGGTCTGCTTTTTCGTAGTCATTATCGTGTTCGCCACCGTCTCGGTCACGCTCACGGTCATGGTAAGGCCAAAATTATCGACATCGATAATTTATTACGTTGGAGGTTATCCCACTGCCGATATTGACCCAGGCCTGTACTTTCCCACAGGATGTCGCTAGCAGTTCGGGAATGAATAATGGAGAATACGTAAGTCGAAGGCACACGATAAACTCAGATTTAACCAATTATTGCAGTATCATTTGCACAGGTGTTCTTCAACATGCAAACACTACAAAACGCTTTTTATGGCAAAGCTTCAGCATTCAATAACCCTGCACAATCAGTATGAACCTCCAGAATCACCCCTAACGTAACCAAGTATCACGCTAAAATAGCTATAATATATACTCGTATTTGGCTCACAGATGCTCAATCTGACGCGATCTTTGTTCTTCGTGACCTTTCGCCAAAGTTCTGGACACAGCCGCCAGCTTAACAGTGAAATTTCCGATTTGGCTCGCATTCAGTACAACAAAAGTTATGATGAATTCATGGTAAGGCATCGTAAATTACCAGACTACTAATTTGTGCAAAACAAGAATAATGCAAGAGGACCAAATGTGATCTTGTTAGGTAAAAAGACCAATGCAATCTTGCAGCCTACCGTAAAGTTCACGATTCCGCTGTTGCGCCTTATTTTTAAACTTTTTGCAGCCATTGGATGTCTATTCGGTAAAAGCGACATATGATGCCGTGGAACTCTTCGTTCGGTTGGCAGTGGACTCTAATACCACTTCTGCTAACGGATACAGCTGCGGTGGTTTGGATTTATTCAATAAAGCGGTCAATCGAAGCTTCGATCTGACATCGGGTCGCGTGATTATCGACCATAAAGGCAACAGTCTCCTGGATGCGGATATCCTCGTCTACGAGTCCCGCACCAGAACGATGCAGCCGTACGCATTTTACTCCGCGGAAGCCGACACTATGGTTGTGTCCACAACCTTCCCTATTGACTGGCCCGCGGGAAGCATTCCCTTGGATGTACCACTGTGTGGCTTCGAAGGCACAGGTTGCGACACACAGTTTGGTATGTGCGACAGATGCAGCTTCCTTACACACAGTAATTGTACTCGTATGAATAATCTTACCATTCCAGCTTGGAAGCTGCCCGTCTATATCGCTGTACCAGTGACCCTTGTATTCTTAGTCTTTGTCGCAACTTTTATGGTCAGGTACGCAACATAACAGTGGTTAGTTTACTACTTGACCACATTCCCTACCTGCATTTGAAACTTGACCTTTCGAATGCAGACAACATCGTCGGTATCAAGCTTCGGCCGGCTGTTGGTGGCTGATAGATGCTGTAGATGTGGTCAAGATGGATGCCCAGAATACCAACACACATTTGGCGGTTTGGGAAAGCAAACCGGTGTGGAAACGATCGTTCGCCGTCAAAAAACGAGTCTTCGTTGAAACGCTGGGAAAAATTCAGCGTGTTTCAGTGAGTGTTCCAACTTTTCTATATTTATTTTATTGCTTATATAATTTTATGGCATTTAACTGCAACTACTTAACGTAAGTAACTGTTTTTCTTCCAAAATGAACAGTTATAATGTACATTTGTTTACACATGTGCTTATTTACGGCAGCACGCAAACGTCAACACACTCTGCGGTATCGTCATCAGTACCGACTCGATACACGTGTGTTACGATTACTGCAAACGGGGATCGCTATCTGATTTACTGTCTCGGATGAAGCTGGATCTGGATTTCCAAGTCTCGTTAATTCATGACCTTTTAAAGGTGATTGCTGCCCAGAAGTCCATGTAGCAAATTTTCAGTGCTCAACTGTCATGCAGGGATGCGCTTACCTTGCCAAACATTCCCATCCCCATGGATTCTTACATCCAGAATGCTGCTTAATCGACGACAGGTTTACGCTCCGAATTGGCGACTTCGATTTTCAGCAAATCAAGCAACGAGGGCTCGGAAGAGACTGGAGCGCGAAAGACTTGACTAAATCACAAGAGTGTTATGCGGCGCCGGACTACCTAGAGGCTCTTAGACAAGGCAAAAGGTCAGCGACGGCACCGGCTGATGTGTACTCCGTCGGACGGTTAATGCAGCTGATTACGTCGCCGGAGCATTCGGATGCGGTCAAACCGGTTCAGTATGCCGTTAACTGGCAGAGTCTGGTAGACAAGTGCATCAATCCATCCGCTAATCTTCGACCATCAATATATGATGTCGAAAAACAGTTTAATAGCTCTTCTCACGGACGGCGAAAGAAGAATATAGTGGATGCCATTTTGGCGCGGTTTGAAAATTATGCAGCAGAGCTGGAAATAGCGGTGAAAATCAAGACGGATGAGTTGATGGTTGAAAGGAATAAATGTGACGAATTACTGCGAGAGATGTTACCGAGGTAGCGGCGATTGACCAAAAAGTTTAAAAGCGGATTTATATGCACACATGTGAAACGTTTCCGGGTTAGGTTTATTGTGGATAATTTGAGAAACCAAATACGTACGGAACCGACGTATTTCGAATCAGTGACGGTATTCTTCAGTGAGATTGATGGATTTTCGGCCTGGCTACCTACAGTACAACCGGAAGTAGTCATGAAGACCCTGTCGTCCATCTATTTCCTTTTTGACCAAGAAATCCCGCGTTTTGATGTGTACAAGGTGGAGACTATCAAAGATTCGTACATGGTAAAATATTTTATTCTCTTACGGTTAAAAATACTAATTTAATCCGTTTTGGTACAGTTCACATTTGGTGTTGGTTATTGTAGGTTGTGGGTGGAATTCCGGCGAAAGAGTATTTAAATCATGGCAGCGAAGTGTGCGAAATGGCATTAGCCTTTGTGAGTTGTTTTTCTGCCGCTAAAATGCCTTCGCAATTTGCACTTCAGTGCGGCATTCATTCCGGTAAACAATTCTATATAATTACGTTAATTCCACGTGCTGACTTCACAATGCCACTGCAATATTTTCACTTGCTCCTGATTACTTTAGGTCCGTGTGCAGCGGGAGTAATGGGACGCCGTGTTCCACGCTACTGCCTGTACGTCAATGATGAAATTGATAATTACCGTGCATTTCACGGTAGTTTTCATTTTAATTCGTGTATTCAATGCAAAACGGGAAAATTAATTACAAGCAGCGTTTTCGCAGGTTTGGCGATACGGTGAATACTGCATCGCGAATGAATAGCCACAGTCAAGCCGGCAAAGTGCACCTCAGTCCCACGTGCCGCGCCCTGATTGCGGATATCAAATCATTTCGGGTGGAGGAGCGCGGTACTATTCCCGTCAAGGTTCGTGCTCGGCCGGAATTAATAATTATTAGGAAATGGCGGCTGCCGTTTGTGTGTTGCGGTAAACACTGCAGTTGTCATCGACGGTAACTGGTTTTCAGGGAAAAGGGATGATGACGACTTACTGGCTGTTGCCGTTCTTTTAATGCCACCTTCTGCCGGGCGTGTGATTACAAATAGGATATTTCGAATGTTTGCTCCGTTTCGATTGTATCGCTTCCGTACAGCAGTATTTTTTTAAAATGATAATATGTCAATTGTAAAAGTATATTACCCAGTAGATAATTCTGATCAGTGCACCAAGTAACGAATGCAGATTGTAAAAAGCCATTTGTGCGATTAAAGCGCACAAGCCTTTTTCGTTATTCGAAACATCTGACTGTACATAAAGAACCATCAACATACTCGTACAATGATGTTTTTTGCTGATTGGGTGTACTGCGTTGTGATGTTAATTGCTTTTCTATAAGCGGAATGGGTAAATCAGCAATGTACTAAGCACTACGTTAAAAACTGCCCGTTTCTTTATACAGTACGTGCACTGTTAGGCATGCGTTCCCGAACATATCTTTTTAACGATATTTAGTTAACCGTTTTAACATTTCGATTGGCATCGATGGACCGGGAAACAAGTCATTACAGTACTTACATGAATATTAATGTACAGCACTTTATTGTTGGACCATTGTTACCACATCCAAAGGGTCACCTGTTGCCGCATACACAATGCTTAACCTTAACATACAGTAAATAAGTACTGTAATTAATTTCAGTAAACAGTCAGATAAATCGCTCTCGTTACGACGCGTTCCTTTTCTGCTCTTGTGCGAGCACTCGTACTAATTATTGAGTTCGTGCAACTGTTGCAGCAATTCAACAGCACTCATAAAAACATGACACAAATTAATTTTGATTATCGATCACCGATCATAAGAGTTCGTATTTCTCTTTGGCAACATTCATGCAGTTGGTTTTCAGGCGGTTCTGCAGATTGGTGCCGATGGAGTAGATGCTGCAGGGTGAGAAGCGCCGGTTGTTGTTGTGCATGCCCATGGCCGACGTAGGGTACATAATGTAGTTGCCGCCGTTGTGGCCGTCGTTGGCTTTGCCAGCCGGCACGCAGTTCGTCGGGGAGGTATCCACAGCGTCGTGGTTGGCCCCGAATACATGGGCGATTTCGTGCATCACGGTGATCACCGATGCCGCTCGTTGCCGCACCTATCACCACAACCAACACAGTGCATGATCGTGAGCATAAAGCAAGACGATACATAAGTACAGGTACGAGTACAATAGAATTCTGCACTACCAACGCTATACCATAGTAAGCAAAAGCATTTACACAAGAACGACTTAAATTTCAGTAGGCGACTCATATGAACAGTACAGGAATGCCGAAGTAAAATACAGTTGGCCTAGGTAGTAGGTACCGAGCGGATAGTTCATTATTATTATAACAATACTATGTCCAAAAAAGTCTAAAGAGTAAAACGCGATGTAAGCATTAAGGAGCAGCAACAAAGAAAAACCGCTATCGGCGAATAGTTATAAAAGACTTCGTTTATTAGCGAATTCTATTTCATGTTTGTAAACCAGTGTTTCATGTTTAATTAAACATTAAACATTGTTCATGCGCTGTTAATGTTTAAAAATTAAAGACCTTCAAATACAGTACGTATATGCATCACTAGCAAAAACAAAAAACTATTATAGACAGATTCATAAAAATATTTAAGAATACTTCATCAGCAGTCGCAAAACATTCACCTGACAGTCCGTCAATACATACATGTATGAAGGTTGCTTCACTTCGTGCATAAAACCCTTACGTATTGCGCATTAATGCACAATACTCGTCGCAGTGTGAATCTGTTAGTAATAAAAATTGTTATTGTTCTTACAAACACACCTCTCCGTCCATGCTGCGAAAATTGACCAGCGCCCAGTTATATCGCGGATTGCACACGGTGCCAACGTAGGAGATGCCGAAGGTGCCCTGCAGATAGGAAAAGGTAAAGGTCATGGCGATACAGGCATCTCCCGTATCGATGAACTTCATCTTCTTCAGGAACTGCTCATCATTCAGGTCATCCTCTTGAAAGGGATTCCCCGGCGACTGCAGCGAAGTGAACACCGTGATGCGTTTAAGGGACACACCCACTTTTCGTGGGGCACTGGGCATAGTCCACTCGGTGGAGCGGTACAGATGGTCGGCCTCCTCGATGTGCCAGACAATGGCCTCCACAGTCTTCTGCACCGAGGCGAAGCCGACGTTGGCGAAGAAGCGGTGGTCGGCGATGACGTGGATGTGGCAGGTTTTGTCTTCGCCCACAGGGGGCGGCGGGTCGTCGTAGGCGGGGTAGAGATTGGCGTGCCGGACGATGGGCGGGCCGTCGGTGGGCGGGAACAGGGCTTTGTAGTGGAGAACGGTCTGGTAGTAGTAGCAGGAGGGATCGTTGGCTTTACAGGCAGTCTCCACGGGGAAGAGACGCAGGTCTTCCCACCGGTAGATGATGGCGCGGTTGGACTGCTCTTTGGAGGATTTTATGCGCGACGTGTTGCCAAAGAATCTGTTAAACAGCCTTTTTGGTCATTGATAGATACGGTTGGAAGGGTATTCGATGAATAACAAAAACAACTCGATACCCAGCGGAATCAAAATCATAAAATATGTTAATTTTGAAATGTGGAAGGTTTATAGACCAAAATACAGATAAGGAAGGTCATCTACGAGTATGTTCACGGTTCTTCATCTTCTTCAGGAACTGCTCATCATTCAGGAACTGCTTTATGACACATGTCGTGTACTTAATCATGATCCGGTCACCTCCACCAAATGCATACACACGGTGGATGCATCGTCAACAACAAAGGTACAAGTAACCATTTTGGCACCCGTCTGTGCAACACATGGGCGTGCTGCATAAAGCATTATCATTATGGAGTACGCGCATCGGTTGTACAGGCGTACAATAACTATTTCATTATGGCTGCGTGCACGGGTAAACACGGGTTTTGGCTGCGTGCACGGGTGATATTTTTGGGTCCGCACGGGTGTTGGCTGCGGGCACGGGACTCCTGCACGGGCGTTGGCTGCGTGCGCGGGAAATTATTTAAATTGTTTAAATTTGATTGTATAATTTAGTTAGAAATTTTTTACATAATTACTACTTAGGAAACCTACTCACTTAGCCCACAATTTCTCAACGAAAATACCTACCGCACGTACTGCGAAATTTGCTGTAAATAGCAATTACAGAGTACTATGTTACCAGTTAAAATCTATAGAAGTACTTGTTAGTGCAGTACCACGAAGTACTAGAAAGCCACCGTAAGAAGAGTCGACGACGTGAGAATATGTCAGAAACCGGTCGAAAAACCTGTTGTGATTGATAAGACCTCCGAAAATTATAAATGTTACGACTAAAATTTGAAATCATAAAAAACTGAAAAGCCGTGCACACAGCTAACACCCGTGCGGATCCAAAAAGGTCACCCGTGCACACAGCCAACACCCGTGTCCAAACTCCGTGCACGCAGACAACACCCGTGCAAACACCCTTGCACGCAGCATCGACCTAACTATTTTCACACGATCTGCACTTGTATTATTCATAACATAATTTATCAGTTTTCAGTTACTGTACTGTACTCCACCAATGAACATAATATGTTCATTGGTGAAGTACAGTACAGTAACTGAAAACTGTTAAATGGGATTTTCTTGATAACTGTTGATACGAACCATCGAAAATGTTCGTACAAGGCCTCGTACACTTGCTCGAAAATGCTTGCGCACTTACCCTGAAGTCTGAAAAATTTTAAATACAAAGGACATCTTCGAATTTATTCGGTTTATGGAAGGAACTTAAATTGATTGATAATGTAAACGTATTTAATTTGACTAAGTTTTACCGAACAGGACTTTCAATAAAATACGTCTCACTTCCGGCTTCGACGACGCCTTCGAAGAGCCCGTTCTTCCGCAGCACCCCGTGGGCGCGCGACTGCGGCAGCTCCGCCACGTGACCGCGATAATAATGGATTTTATCGGCCACGGTCAGCGTCTCGGTGGCGTTGGGCGCGGAGTTAACTAGCAGAAGGTTACTATTAAATAACTTTAATTTAACTTTAGGGTCGAAGTAAACTTAACAATTATTTGTTAGTAACAACTTAATTTCTGTAGACGATAAAAATATCTACTCTACTCTGCGATTGTGACGAAACTAAGATTTTACCTGCTGCTGGTATGAAACTGGCCCATTCATACTTGGCGACCTTTTGCGCCCCCGGTTCTTGGGGCGGATACGGCTGGGAACGGACGCAGCATATAAGTTGAACGGCTGCCACCAAGAGACAACATAAAGTAGGGAGTACGGCCAAGGACATTGCGTCCACGCGGTGTCGGGCTACCCGCGGCGGCAGATGGACACGGCGTACTACAGGTCACCGACAGGGGGATTTAATAACGCAGAATGGGCGGGGAGTGGGACACTAGGTCAGGCATTCTTGCAGGCGGATGAGCCTAGCCTGCCCGCCCGGAGAAGGGACGGCGCTGACAGTGAGGAAACGGAGCTACTTGCGGAGGCATGGCAACATCCCCTGTACATCCCGCCTCACTTGTCTACAATCTTCGTGTAAAGAAACGAGAACACTAGAAGTACTGTAAATAATTCGGTAAACTAATGCACGTTCGCGTGCATTTGTGCCGGAGCGCGCACTTATGTCGATTCCTTTTCCGGTATTTCCCCTTTTTTCAGTGTATGTGCAGTATTTACTAATTTTAATTTATTAAAATCGCTTAAATTGTCAACGAGTAAAAACGGGCACCTTGAAACTGAGATAAATCTCTACGAGAATACATTTAATTTAAGAGAGCAACTTCTGTATCTCTACAGCGTGATCGACATATGATGTTATTAAAGCCATTGTACTACACAATTTTCTGCAGTATGCCTGGCGTTTAAGCACGTTTAGCAGTTTACTGCGTAATTCACTAGATGAGAATTATCAACCATGTTTCTTTAATTTAATACTCCCTAATCAAATCGACAACGTCTACACAGTGAAACCCAAAGAGGTAACCGTACACAGACAGTCAAGGTAATCAAAAAAACAACGACACAGCCGATCACAAAGAATATAACCCCAGCCCAGTCCAGCACGCAAAGACCACAAACCAGTCCCCCTCCGAAAGAAAAGTTCCCTCCTCATTATCTTGGTCGCTGCAATCAATCAACCACCTTCCCCCGCGGGAAATATTCCCTTACTCTCTCTGTCAAAGCTAACCGCTGTGTGTCGCGTCTTCGCCGGATTTGTGTTTGAGGAAACACTCCGACGAGGTGGGAATGTCGCCGCTGCCCGTCGGCAGCGGGCTGCTGGAGGAGGGGGGCGGCCCGTGAAAGGGGTCCATGTTGATGTCGCCGGTGGGGCGGGGATCCTCCTCGCCATTCTCCACCGCCTGCGCGGAGGGCTCGCCCGGCTCCGGGGTCAGACAGGAAGCGCGAAATTCAAAGGGACCGTCTTCGCTGTCCTGGGCGCCGTTGGCCGCTTGCGATGATCTACAACAACACAGAAAACATATCCTTCTTGAAAAGACATAATATTATTAAGGCATCATTTCGCGATATTTATGCTGAATAAACTGTACATGCTGAACAAAATCTAATTTTGCTGGTAGACAGCCATAGTCGCAGTATTAACTTGTAGGCGATATTGATTTTATCACTATTACCACTACTTTGTCATTTATAACTACCCAGTATTAAACTGGGAATTTAAAAAGAATATGGCAGATAAGATCCGTCAAAAAAAGCAATATGCATCTCACTGTAGTAGCACTTACGACAAGAAGAACATATCCCGGTTATTGTTATCTGTTCCAGGTTCAAAAGCGGAGAAATCCGCCCATTCATCAGCAGATGCTGCTGGTTTGGATGTCATCTCACTGTCCCAGTTGGCAAAATCGTGCGACCCGTCCGTGGACTTCATGGCCGTATCCCACGGTGCTGCAAATTTTAAGAAATTAAACGTTTTATAAAACTGTCATCAAATCCATTTAAGTAGTATGAAAGCGACCAAACAGCACATTAATTTCCAGCTTGCGGCACAGCAAATACAACGATGACTGTAAGCAGTATATTTTATCGGTAATAATGCCAATGCTGTGTTCTTAGATTACGTAGTGTTCTAGTTGTAATGAACGAACATTCCATATAATATATCAACATTTCAAATACTTATACTGTACTCGTAGAGCAAGGCTCTGTGTACACAAAACTGTTCATTTCAAATTTTTAATAAAATTTTTTAATAAACGCTGAAAAAAACGAAGTCTCAAGCGATGGGCTGGTACTTGTTAAAATCATAGCTACGCCAGCAGCCATCACCTGCAAAGCTCATACATAATCTTTTAAAACATATACAGTCGGATAGAAGTAATTCACAATTGTCAGTATCCATTCTGGTTATAATTTTTGGTTAGTTACAACTACCAAATTACGTACAGTTTGCATTTTCGGCTTCCTCCATCCGCTTCAGCCCATCCTTTTCGGCCACATGCAGCGGCTGCACCGCCGGCCAGTCGGACACGGCGTCCTTGGCCACTTTAGGCGTTTTGACAATTTCCTCATCGGTGGAAATATCCATCTCCTCGTCTTCATCACCGATACGCAACCGCATTTCCTCGTCAGCCAAACTAAAAAACACGTCACAGTGACTCATATGTGTTCAGACCGTTTCGGAACAAACCGGCAGTTAACCGTAATAAACGTGCTATTGCCAGTGCACTACATTGTTACCGCTAAACAAAATACAAGACTATGGAAGCCAAAAACCTGTTGATAATTCGTTACAGTAAAAATTCATCCATGCACGGAAATCAAAAACGACACAAACAGCGGGCACCATCAACCATTAAAATTTAAACCGGGCTTTTTCCCTTTAGGCACCGATAACGCGGACGAAACCAATAAGAAAGACTTACTGATCAATAATCTGGTTGGCTTTCTGGTCGGCTGTGCCAGGCGGTACATTCTCACTATCCACCAGCCGATCGATGTGCTTCTTCATATTTATATCCTCCGTTGACTGATCACTGTAACCGCACAGACAAGCACAATTAAATCCATCCTTCCAGCACAACCATGGGTGTTTAGTGTTTACATATCAAACGATAGAAAAATTTACTGTCTGTTTTAAAACAGAAGTCGATATCGGAAAGTCTTTTATAGAGATAAGGCACTCTTTCTGTTTTTAAAAGTTTTTTTAGAACAAGAATGCCTTTTTATTTTCTGAACGCTTTTTATTTTTATGCTTTTTATTTTAAAACAAAGTGGAAAGAAAAGTGATAATTAAGACGCCAATTTTTTATCAACGGTGCATAAAAAACTACAACGATGCCTTCGGCTTTACAATAATTGAACAACTTCAGTCACGTCAGTCTTAAACCATCAAAATAATTACATCAATTAACGATATCAAACGAATTAATTAATTAACTACATCATACGAAATTATCAATTAACTATAATCATACAAACCCCGGAGCTGCGGATGTGCTATCATATTCGAAAGCGGCAACATCACTCGGAATGGATCCAGAATTGGGCTAAAATTAATCGGCGTAAGGAGAAACCGGTACAAATCAAAACGTTTATGCTAACCTGGCTTTGGACTTGGAGCGGATGCACACCAGCCTAAAAGCACAATAAAAATGGAATGAAATTAAAGAAGTACAATTGTTAATCATAGAAATAAAGGAGAGATGTTGATTAGTTAACTAAATAAAGCTCATTTGCGGAATTAAAATGCGCAAATTTGTTTAGGCAAACTTACGATGATTGCTGTACTACCATGAATTTTCAAAGCATACAGTAAGTACTCGTAATTCCGAATACAAAAGTATTAAAGCCTAGGGAGCAGCTGCACAAAAACGTTCTTCCTTACAAGGCAACGGGACTGAATATCAACCAAAGGCTTGATACTGGTCTGCATAAACTCATTCCATTCTTGAGTCGTGGAAGCATCCATTTCTACAGAATAACAAATAAACAAATGCCATGTCAACAAAATTTTTCAAAACTGCAGAGATCAACCAATTAACTATGGACAGACATATAAAGCGGTCAAAATACTACTACTAATTTACTAAATGATTAAATCTAATTTATACGGCACTAACAACCAGATGCAATACAGAATATTGTCGCACATTAAAACGGTGAACGCATTTCAAAAAACAACTAGGGCTGAAGTAAAAAAATATTTCCATAATGCTGAGCAACTGACCATCAAGAAGTACTTGAACGAAGGAATTTTTGGAAGCCTGTTCAGGGGAAAGCTCCATGCTAATGGCTGTCACATGACCCATGTATGCTCGCCGGGGTTTACCAGTTGCTCTAAAAAGTTGCGCAAATTCATTATTTTTTCTTGTACAATGCAGCTATTGAGCAGTAGCAACACCGCGTTCCAATACAGAAGTATGCAAGTCTTTTTAAACTCACTCTAAGTCAGCGTTCTCCTTCCATGCCTGCATTATTCGCTGTTGCAACCGCCCATCCACCAGCAGCTACAAAATCGCAAATGTCGGATACTACAGTTAAACTGTAACTGTATAGTAATACCGAAAAAACGAAGAAAACTGACACAAAGAGCACAGCACATCTTATTTTTAGCACGATCCGAAGTGAATGAAATAAATATAAATTTTCGAAACAAATAATAACTGTTTAGACTGATAAAACCCACTGGAAGAATTTCCATACATTAATAATCTAATTAACATTCTCATCTATTTTGTTGTGCAAATGTTCCGTTCAAAAAGAATTACGCGGCAGTACCTGGTGTAAAAGTGGATGATTGACCAGAACATTTTGCGAATTCTCAGCGGTGGTAAGCGCCAAGGGAGTATTACGAATAATGAGGTTAATACAGTTTTGCACGTGCAAATGGAAAAAGGAATTCCAATAAAACTGGAAAAACATTTCCTATAAAAAGAGAAATATCAAAGGTTAACACTGGCAGCAGTCGGACGTGATAAGATTGGCGTGTTGATACAGGCGCGTTACGGCTTTTGTTACCAGGAGCGTAATTATCAGTCCACTTTGGTAGATTGTCTGATTTAGCTGCGGTCGGCCGAAGGAAATCAATAGTGCCAACAATCGAACGAGCTGCACGCGCGTCTGGCTGACGCGATTCGTCAAGGTCACTTCGCCCTCCGCCAACTCCGCAATCAACATATTGCGCTAATCAGAGTAGAAAAAAACGTAAGCCACCTTCTTGTGCTTTTGATTAATTACTCTTATTATTCTGGTAATCAATAACGCATCACGAAATAAATTTTATGCAATATTTTACTTTTGAAACTTATAAAAATGCACACATTCACTGTAGTATACAAGTGCACACGCATAAGAAAAAGCGCGACAAATGTCACCTAAGTCAATAAATAACACACCATATACATTATCTTTAGTTAGTAGTTTAGTTATCCAAACTTACCACCGGTGGGTTTTTTAGAATATCATGTAACTGGGGGATAACCGGGTGAAGAATTCTGGTATATTTGTCAATCCGCGAATTGACAACGATAAAGCTCAACTCGCTAAATAAGGCTCGCTGTTCGGCATTACCATCAAAACTGAAAACAGCCGTATACGTAATTATTTTTCAATGTTGGTCATCCAAGTGTAAGCGAAAATTCTTACTTGACCGGAATGAAATCAAAGGGGGCACCCAGAACTGAAATACAGTTAACAATGGATGACTGACTGGAGGAACTCTTAAGAAGAATCCCAACGACTTGATTTATAAAATCATCACTGCAAAAACAAAATACTGTAATTTAAAGCACATCCAGAACTTGTTAATTAAATACAGCAGCAAAATAAATAGATCCTTCTGAACTTTCAAGTAAACGGAATATCCCTTTTTCTTTATCATGCATCCTGGTACAATAAAATTTAAACGTAGCAGTTTACGAAAACTCATTATTTTACTCTAGAAAAACTTCTAAATACTGTAAAAACAATAAAAAAATATAAGCAACAGACAAAATCGAAATAGACAATTTCATTTTAACCCACTAAATTTACTATTAAATTGACGATAACTACCAGAATTTTGATAACCTTAAGTAAACTGTGAACATTTAACGTCAAATAAAGCGTCGCAAAACAAGACTGTCGAAAAAGACTGGTAATGATGTTAATTGGGGTATCATATGGCGCTAATGGATATTGAAATGCCACCGTAGGCCAGGGCGGATACGAATTAACATGCTACTGCTATTAACCTATCAGCTGCCTTGAGAAGATCATTAGCATAGGTTTCCGGTGTCAGTTTGGACATTTCATCATCCGGTTTGAGCTGCTGGAGTTGCTGCTCGCGTGAAAAACGAATAATATCGGAAATGAGTTGTGCGGCATTGAAATGGTAATCGGGATCGGCTATGAAATTCACATCCAGATATTCGGCGACACGCTGCATGAAACGCTGCTGATTCAGCCACTACAAACACGGGACACATTACTCGTAGTACTTGAGCACCATGAGTAAGCTATCAGTAAATGCTTGATGATATCCAATAAATCAATAATTTTAAATAAAGATACAGTTTTCACTGAGGGGTTTATTAGTTTTCAGTTTTATCTGGTTAAATCTATGCTAAATGACGTCAATCAATTGTCTAGTAAGCAGTTACAGTAAAGTCCAAATTTTTCCTAAGGCGAAGTAAAAAAAAACTAGGAGCAACAATGTAGTTTAAAAAACAGCATTAACAAACGCCAGCGGCAAGCGCTGACAATTTTAAAATTCAACCGAAAATTCTATGCCAAAAATCATCCAAATACGTTAAATTATATTTAAAATTCGAAATCAGAAGATCAAACAACAGTGCCGCATATGGTTCAACAAGTAAAAATCCGTACAGGGTACAATTAATATAAATTTTTATATTTACGTTGTTAGAGTAAACTATTATCAAATATTCATACCTCGCACATTTTGTACCGGAAGTCATCATTCTCATGGGCAGTAATTAAACGAATATAAAGATCGGTAATGGCCGTAACATTTAAATGTTTCAACGACTTATCCAAAAACTCTTCCTTCTGCTTCAGAAACGTAAAAACCTGCAAAACAACGTCACTCTAATCTAACCTCCTAACAAATAAGCTGAGAAACAACACCCACTTCAATAGGTTTCTTTGAGATCAACAGTCCCAGCGTTCTCGTAACAAAACTAGTTAAAATGGGATTAAGAATCTGGTCGGTGGAAAATAAGCCAAATAACAATTCCAACAATTCTCCAGGCGGTTGGGTTAAACCGTCAAGAATTTCGGGAACGTCCGCGTTCAAGATTTCGCAAGCGGTTGTTGCTTCCCTATGAAAAGACCAATCATCATCACGCATTTCACATTCCTAAATCACTGACTGGCATTCGAATGCAGTTAAGAACAACTTTGCTATTGTGGAAGTAAAACACACAAATTATTATAATTTCCCCATTTTTTCAAACCTTAGTCAGAGTTCACACACCGCTTTGTTATTTTATTTTGCTTTGTGAAATACTTGTACAGAATCAGCTGTACGTAGTACTGAACTATTGGTTTATTTAATCCTGAAACGTTCCGATAAAAGAAGACATCGAACTTTAAAATAACCAGGACATCAAAACGCATAACATCCTTTCCTGCACTGCACTCGCCAGTTCTGTCAATCTGCAAAGTACACGTAAAAACACGATAGAAATCCATATGCACTAACTTGAAACGGTTTTTGGCGTCCAAATCCCCAGCGGGCTCTTCGGTAATTAAATTAACCAGTTCCCGTAATATATCCGGCCGAGTTAATCTACAAGCAAAAGAACAACGCCACAGATTACGTATTATGCTAACTGATTGTTGTACATTGTATGTAAGTATCGATGTAAAAAATCAGACTGATAAGAAGTAGTAACATCGATAACACCCCATAATCACTCTGTCTATAGCACTACGGTGTGTGTATCCCTGTATCGCCAAGGCGGAAACACCAGTGCATAAAAAGGGGATGTAACGGCATGCGCCGCTTTCAGTCTTTTTAACCCACTTACACTTTAATGAGTTGTGGTGCACGGGCTTTCGCTTGCTGGATGCAATCTTCCTTCTCAAATAAATCTTTCAGCTCCACTTTCTGTGAGCAGACCGTACAAAGTTTACGCAAGGTATTCGCCAAGCAAAATGCAAAACGAATAAAATCACCTCAGGGTCAGTATCCAGTAGGACGTCCTGCACCGAGGACTCCTTATTCAGCATCATATCAAACTTATTCCAGAACATGGTGGATGATTTGGATGGCTCACTGTTTATTCTACAGTCCAAAAATACAAACCAAAAATAATGGAGAATTCCGCGACACAACTCACGTTCCCAAATGGGGAAAATAAATAATAAATCAGCAAACGATGCTCGTCAGTGATCAGTTCATGCATTTGTAATTACGAAGATGTTCAACAACAGATCGATCCTAATTTAAAGCAAAGCATAAATTTTCATCCCTATAATTTTCCTGTAAACCTGGGTGGGTTATCAAGGAATCAAAACAATCCTTTGGAAATCGGGAGTGTTCAAAAATCGTCAATGAGTTCATTGACATTTGTCCTGAATCGCCACATTCAGTGCGAAGGCCAACATTCCGAAATCCGAATCCCAGCAGTCAAAGGAACAACCGACCGAGATTCTGCGCCCGCATGGTATCCCTGAATCCTAATCCAGTACTGAAATCCATATACTTACAAGTAATATATCACGGATAATCCATAATAAATTTCAGAAAAACACAAAAAACGTTTTCACAGAAACTCGTAGCAAAACCAGAATGAATGATCAGGTCGTTCGCGGTCTCTTTTCTGTGAATTCCCATTGGTTCACGGTACAGGGTAATGGTTGGCTTAAGCTCTGTTTTTCGTACGATAGCATACAGATGACCAGAAGCGCCCGAAATCGAATTATTACATATCTGCTGCATTTTGAATTTTCGAGTTTAATAGACAAGTAACAAGTTTGGTTTTCGCAGTATTTGTGTTTTTTTATGTATGCCACTTTTGGCGGAACATTTCTGCATTTGTGATTATGATGTAATGTTTTGAAAGACAAGGTATCTTCGTCGTCGCTTCCTTGTTTCCCCATCGAATGGTGGTGACTGGTGAACTTGCATTTGAAAGAACTATTTCCTCTGAGAACTTCGAGAAGCGATGAAAGAGTAAGTCGTATCGAAGACTGTAATAATAACTGACAACGTGTGTACCCAGTTCCAGGGCTGCCGTTGACGCAGTGGCTTACAGAATATGCAGTGTTTACCGTCGGATTTTGCGACAACTGTTTCAGCGTTATTATACTGTTCTCTTGTTTGTAATTGCGCGAACGGGTTTGCGTTTTTATCTGGCAGAGAAAAGAAACATTCTTCGAAGAAGGAATCATCTGCACCGAAGTTCCGTAAGCGATGCTACTTGGACATCGCCATCGGCGAGCGGAATGCAGGTCGCCTTGTGATCGAACTGTACGACGATGTGGTGCCTCGCACGGCGGAAAACTTTCGCGGTCTGGCCACATCGGAATACGGAATGGGACAGACAACGCACAAGAAACTCACCTACCAGGGTGTGCTCTTTCATCGGGTTATCAAGGATTTCATGATCCAAGCTGGAGATTTTACAGGTAAATCGGATTCCCTGAAGGTTGTTGGCTTGCAGCAGTGCTTTCCATTCCCACGTTTGGGACTTTTGTGCAATAAATACGCGGATTAAGTGCTCACATTTTCATAATTAATTTTAAGTAAGCATTTTTTCAGTTTTCGCGATGACGCTCTGCGAATGCGAAACTGAGGTGCTTCGCGAGCATGTTCGAACTTTTTAGTCAGCAGTGTTAAACGTGTGCCAGCTACCATAATTGTGTTACTTGTTATGGAGATTGTTAAAATAATCTTGTTCCTTTTGAGTTTCGAAGGAGTGTTTAGTGAAATCCTGTGTTTTTAGCTTTCGACGGAACGGGTGGTGAATCGATTTACGGCGGCAAATTTCCGGTTAGTTTAATGAACTATAACAGTCATTGAGGATTTATTGTGTTTTGGACTTTTAAGTTCGTTTTGATATGGATTTTTGATCATTTTTCTGCATGAGTTGCTGTTTGTAATAAAAGTTGTGGATCCCCATTTAATTCTGTTAAACCATTGAGAAATTTTTTCGAATAGCTTGCGTAGTATTTTTGCTGCTAACCGTACGTTACTGAAGTCAGATTTTTCTCTTTTCGACAGGATGAAAACTTCATCCTTAAACACGACCGACCGTTTTTGGTATCTATGGCCAATGCTGGCGTCAACACCAATGGATCCCAGTTTTTTATTACATGTCAGCCGTGCCCTTTTCTGGATAACAAACACGTTGTTTTTGGACAAGTGGTTGCAGGACAGGTAAAGATGTGATTTGCGAAAATAGTTTGGACAAGTGAAGTTCATCTCTGTTTTTTGGGGTTATCGGGGTTCGTGCGTAATCTGTGAAAGCGATTAGTTTTATCCATCCACATTTGCTTTAAAGAGTCAACTTTACTTTGCTTCAGGGATTTAAAACTCTTTAGAATAACGCTAAGGCAGACCACTGATTTTGCTAGGTTTACATTTACGAAAGCACTTTCTTATTTCGCATAATTTTTGAATGAATGCATTTTGTTAGTTACAATAACATAAGTGCATTTGGTACCATTACGTACTGTTGCTCGTTGCTGTCTGGAATCTGAATATTATAAGTATGAATGTGCACTTGCAATATGCATTTTTGTGAATTCGGTTAAGCTATGTCATTTGATTGTGGTGCGTTCTAATCTTGCACTGATGTTGCATCCGTTAGGAGCTGGTCCGAGAAATCGAAGCCCTTCCCACCAAGGCCAACGACGTACCGGAGCATCCGGTACGAGTGATCAAGTGTGGCGAGTTGGTGCCTGTTTTCGCTGACAAATCCAAGAAGAATAAGAAGGAAAAGCACAAGAAGCGCAGTAAACGGGACTCTTCATCATCGAGTAGCTCCTCCAGCAGTTCCGGCAGCTCATCATCATCCGATTCCGAGAAAGAGAAGAAGAGGCGCAAACGTAAAAAGGCCAAAAAAGCCAAAGAGAAGGAAAAGAAGGAAAAATCAAAAGCTAAAACTGAGGCTAAACCTGAACCTGAAGGTGCGCGATAAAATACTGTACATTAATATATTTTTAAGCATGGAAGTATGCTGGACATTTTTCGTATTGATATTTCTGAGTTTACTTCAATTTTTTCCATAGTTTATTGCACCGTGCGACCCGAAGAAATTCCTGAAGTGCCAAGCAATCGCTTCCTACAACGTCACACCTCGCCACCACCAGAGCAAACAAAAACGGGACCACCACCGGACCACGCTCGTTCACCGGAAGGACGTGGCCGACAGCCGGAGGTGAGGGAGGCGGATTCGTCGTTGACGCTCCAGCCGGGAACCAAAGTCGATTACCCGAGCTCGTTCGATGAGCGAAATCGGCAACCGAATCGGTTTGCGGATCGGGAACCGCTTGTGCGCAAAGATTTTGACGGGATCACTGTAAAGGGACGCGGCAAGATTCGCTTTAATGCGCGGCGCAGTGAAACTCCACCGCACTGGAAAAATCCAAAGGACAGGGACAGACCGTGGAGACAGCGCGATAACCAGGCTGGTTATGTGCGGTAAGGATCGCATTAAAGCTGTGCATTTATATTTTGTACCCATAAGCAATAGCCACCCAAATAACTATTAGCGCGGGTACACTACAAATTGTACATGAATGCGCCTTAAAATTGCATGTGCATTATAAGGAATCGTTCAAATGGATGTCTGGGCTGTTTAAAGATTTTTCGAGTGTTTATTTGTTAGCCGTTAACCGGAATCGGAATTTTAAAGTGTGAATTAGTAAATTAGTTGTTTTACTCGTACATTAGCCCCTTTCATTGAAAACCTGACAATTTTGGAGCCAGATTTAGGTTTAAGTTTGAGCGATCGATTAGCAGCTCTTCTTTAACAATTTCTTGAGTTAATATTTTATTGTAGCCAAGAAGAGCCAGGAATCGGCTCGAATAGCGCGTCATGGAAGCAGTCGAAGGAAGCGGATAAGCCTGTTGCCCAACCACCGCCCAATCCACCACGATCAAGTGTTACCGATAACAGCAAATACAACAGCATTCCATACGATTACAAGGCGAGAGCGGAACCCTCCAGCGGGCGGCGAGAGGACCATCGAGAGGAGAAACGCGATGACAAAGAGTATCGCGACCGGGTGCGGTCCAAGTGGCACAGTCCGGAGCAGCGCTATGGGAAACGGGTGGTTAGTCCGGGGATGGGCCGAAGACGCGATAGTAGGAGTCCGGAGAGGCGGAGAGGAATGGCGCGATAATCTGTTCTGGGGTGTTTGGGTTATCCTGACTTGTGAACCACTTTCTGAAATTTCACGAACATAGTTACGTTACGTTCTTTCATGTCTTGTATATGCTTTCAGTTCTTTAAACGCGACATTGATTCCATTGAATGAACTGTGAGAACGAGGACGTTAAGTTGGCATTACTTTTGTTGGGTTTTTAATTAAAATTTTTCGTGTAAAAATTGTTTTTGTTTGAGAATTCAAGTACATATGTTTGTAGTTGTTGCTGATCGTCGTTTTTCTTATCTTAGGAAATCTATGATAAAACTGCGCATTAAAAATTTCGGGATTTGGGAGACTTCCTTTGGGTGTGCAATTCCTGCCGATATTAAAATGTTCTGTTTCGCATTTCGTCACTCGCGTACTTCTTCGTTACTCGTGCCGAATACTGCTAGGTACTTCATTATTATTGTGCGCATTTATCAGTACGTATTGTTATTTTCTTGCCAAACGTGAAACAGTTAGCTTTTCGATGGGATTTTGTGCGAAATATGAGCAATACTTTGAAAAATGAATATGTATATTTATTCCACAGAGATATCAGGGGAATAATTATTGTAATTGAGATTTGTTCATACTGGAGCGGGAACTAATTGCAAGAGCAGGACACCAACGCCTTACGGTTAGATAACTCTAAAGACGTAAAGTAAAAGCAATGTATAGCGTATTTTGTACTGCCGCAGCTACATTATTTTGGCGTCGTGGCTCATGAAAAGTGCCCACTGCCCTGTAAATCAAAATGACAATACTACTGTGCCTGTACAATTGTACATGTACAGTACAGTAGTCGTATGTAATTACCGGGTGGCCGAACAAAATGTCACCCTACGCTTTTGTTCTGCCCCGCGCGAACTACTTGACGAAATCTAGGCTGCATAGACTTGTTCGATAGAGAATTTTATGAGCTACAACAAACAATAAAATATATTTTGAAAAAGTTGAGGCTCCTCGTTAACAATGGCGCCAAGTAAAATCGTGTCGAAATTTTTAGTGTCCCAGCTCGCAAATTTCAAAATTTCGTCTCGCTTTTTGTCCTTGAGCAGCATTTGAATTTTTTAAATTGTTTTATACAAAGAAGGGCTTTATCTTTCAATCGGGAAAACATTTTTGGCATGGTGCAAGCGCTGGATGAACTGTGGGCTAAGCAACCTTTTCGACTTTTCTAAAAAATCACGAGTTTTTTAGTCCGTTTTTTTAAGTATATTAGTTGCAATTTTTTTGTTCATGACAGGGTGCACCAAAAAACGCCGCTTTATCTGGCAACGGTAGGTCGGTGGTTACTACTGGTTAGTGGTTACCCTTTCAAACGCGGGTGTGAACCAGGACTTCTTTTGAAGCGATGGTTTGAAAATTGTTTTTAAAAAATCTGATACCCCGTTTCATGAAGATCAAGTGTGGGCAGTTTCGAATCTTTCGCTCCTTGGTCAGGCAGGGTCACTAGAATGTCGTTGTTCTTTACATTTAAAAAACCATTAACAATCCCTCTTTCCAAAACAGTAACGTCACAAACATTAATGCATTGTACTGAGTATTTACAATTTTAATTTGAAAATAGGACAATTTAAAATTTTATTTCCATTCAACTCCACCCATATTTTTTGAATAATTCAGGGAAAATGGAAAGTCCTTTACATTGTTGTTGACTTAACTTTATCGTGTTATGGAAATTGTTCTTTCGAATAAAACTAAAATCATGCCAATCAAGCACTGGATAGGCCCAGGGCACCTTAGTAAACCAGGGTGACATTTTGTTCGGCCACCCGGTAATGTAAAGAAATGTGCAGTGACTTGCATTTACTGGATCCTGCCGACGTGACAACGACTTTCATTTTATGTGTGCACGTGAATTTGTTGTTCTATAAACAGAATCTTTTAATGTGAATTGTTTGTGGCAAAGCGAACCAAGCAGAGAAATCAACATCGCAGCTACCGGTTTAATCATGGACGAATAAATGGAGCGTACAATTCAACGATGTTTGTACGAGTGGCCAACACTAACAGCCGCAGCACCGGTACAATGGCTACTTACGGTTAGTGCTAAAGTTTGACACTTATAATACTATTCAAGTAGTACTCACATGTTATTTATTAACTGATAAGCCATCACTTTCCTGCTGATTGCCATCGTTTTTCACATGCACAAATGTACCATATTTCCCGCATACTGAATCAATGATATAAACGCGTGGGTATTGGGAAAATGAGATGGAGCGGCTGGATAAGGGCTGACTTGTTGCTTCGCTCCAATCGCAAAGCCACAATCGGTCTGCTTTGGTCGGCTGCCGTCTCATGAGTTCTGCTCAAATGAAGTGACTAAAGTTATGCGCAATTTTGACGCGATTTTTTTGTGCTGAAACCATGGATCCATGTTGTTCCGGTGCGGTTATTTCCGACAAAACAGACCCGATAGCACACAACTACATAGGTTGATTGTGCGTTCTCACGATTCGTATTTTACGGAATTGGCGCTTACAGCGTTTTTCAGACACGATCGTGCATTTGTGTTTGCCAGGCTATCTATAATTCCTTAACATCTGGCCCCGAGATTTGTTCATATTTTCTGTTTTTTTTTGCCACAGTGCGAAATTACAAATTGTTTGTTCGTAACGCAGTTCGCACTTCGCAGAGCTTGAATTATTAAACGGTTAAAAATTAGAAAATAATTTTGCTTTTTATTTCGAACGGCTTTTGCCTTTTGTCGTCTCGTAAACGGATACACTCTAAGCGGTTCACCGCCCTGGGTGGCGGCTTACTGCAACAGCACTGGCACCATTGGTCACCAGCCTGACCACCCCATGATGCCGGCCAGTGCATTTATTGTTGTGCTGTTGGCTCGTCTTAGGCCTTGGATTTGGTTGCCTCGCGAATCCGTTTACCTATTTGGTCTGACACCGTGACACGGACAACATTAAACTCAACAGTTCTCAATAAGTCATTACATTAAATTTTTCTGAAGCGGTACTGCTGGCGGAATGGCAGGCAAACCGACGATTGTCCGTAATCTGGCTTAATTTCCTCGAGGATTGATACAGGAGCGAATTGCCAGTTTGCTGCTTGATTGGAATTCGGCTTTTGGCGGACCGCCGTCCGCGGAGTGTTAATATTCTAAGAAATTGTCTGGATCTGACGGCATGCTCGACCAGCACCATGCAGTGGTTGCGGCGGTTTCTTCGGACGCGGCTGGGCCTGGTAACGGGGGTGCTGGTGATGGTGGGCTTGCTTTGCGTGATGCAGATCGCCCGACTGCAGAGTCCCTACGATCCCATCGGGGAGATTCGCGTTAAACTGGAAGCGGCCTATGCCACTGCGTCCAGCTCGGTGATGCTGGAGGAGACCACGTCGCTCGCGGTCGCAGCCATATCCGCTAATCGCTCCCAGCGGCAGCTTTTGCACAGGCAACACAAATCTGGTAAGCCCATTGAGATTTGCTCGTAGTCGTGTGTATAAAAATACAGACTTTAGCATTTCTTCCCGTACAGACCTGCATGGTGCACACTCAGTACACTGTACACCATTAACTCATTTGAATCGGCGTCCAGTTTTTGGACAGCATGGTTTAATAAGCCAGATATTTAGTGTAGTGTTAAAATAGCTGCGCTGTGTCTTGCAGAATATTTTTATGCTTATTAATGCCTACTGTCGCGTTGTACATGGAGGTAGCAAAATAGCCCGATATTAAAAACCCATCTTCGTAGATATTGTACGTGATGTAAATGTTTTGCTTTTGCTTCTAAGTTCTAACAGTAAGATTTGGTGCAGGTGCCGCTTTAGCAATGCCATAAAAACTCCTGGTTTTACCCGGTTTACCATGATTGTGCTTAATGCTTATTTCGATTACGATTAATAATCAGTGAACACGTACGCCTTATTTAAGCATAAAAATACGTTGCTTACGCGTATAATAATTATAATGATTAATGAATGTTTATTATGTATGCTGCTAACTTTTTCTGACAATGAGCTGTGGGCAATTTCAAGTAAATAATAAAAATTATATATAATCGTCTGGAAAGAATTTTTAAATTAAATTAGAAATTTCGAAAAAAAAAATTTCGAAATTTCGAAATTTGATTTTCCACAATTTGGTTCTTTGTGGTCACCAGCACGCTGTAAATATTTGTATGGTTCTGAATCAAATGAATTTGACAACATGCCATGTAATTGATCCGTTTGTTCAAACTTCTTGCAGATTCATCGCAAACCAAAGCACGTGCCAAATTACCGCCAAAAATGGATTTCGCTTTTCCGATATCCCGGACAAATGTCTGTTTTGGTGATTCTCCTCCAAATGATCTGTTTCTCCTTATTATTGTTCACTCAGCCGCTTCGCATTTCCATAACCGAGAATTGGTAAATACTTACAATTGTTAATGCTGCTGCGATACAATCGTACACTCGAATATTACGTAAACATCATGCATGACATTGGTGCCGCCATAATATACTCGTACTAACGAAACGGAATGCAGTTAGGCTAGTGTCACTAGACGGTGGGTGTTTATTTTGGAAAATACCTAATATATATAGATATATTGAGATTCAGTACATATTTATACATATATATATATAGTACATACATATATTAAACTGATACCGGAAATTACAGTAAGTAACTACGTAGAGTCTGCAGTAGAGATGACGCCAGAGTTAAAGAAAATTCATCATTTAGTTGTTACTTTAGCTTTCGGTATTGATAGGAGAGTAAGTCATGTTGAATTAAGCAGTTTTTTTCAAGAATTATTATCAATGTTTATTATTTTGTGCCAAAGCAAGCTGGATATTTTGATGAGCACTCCGGTACTTTATTTATGATTTTCCCCAACCTTTTGAAGTTTTTGCTAAATCGAGACGCACTTTACAGTGCACAGCTTGTGGGTATCGGTAAGATATAGCGCTCACCAGCTGTTGTTTTGGGTTAACCGGAATTGTGGTTGCAGATTCGTGAGACATGGGCGAATGAAGTTTGGCGCCGGAAACAAGGTGCGGCTGTCCTGTTTATTGTAGGAACACCAGTCAGCGAAGCTGTGCAGACCAAAGTGCGTACTTTGACGGTTTGACTATTTCCGTATACAGTATTTCATGTTTTTCGTTTGACTAGATTGGCTGTTTAGTAAAGCTAAAATTTTGCCAAAATCAAAAGAAAGGATTCTGCCGTTTTTATCTTTTAGAGCATTGTTGATTTCTACGAAGAGCTAACCGTTAGTACAGTGCGCTGCTGCACCGTTTGTAATAAGCACGAGAATGATAAAAAAAGTAAACTTCAAACCAACCGGTAACTGTAGTTCGTTAAAAAACCGGGGAAACTGAAAATTCGAAGAAAGTTGGTTACAAGTTTGTTTTCATCTCACTAGGTAGTCAATGAATCCGTCACTTTCGGCGACATCATCCAGTATAATTATCTAGACACGTACCGCAACATGACCCACAAGAACCTAGCCGGCCTCACTTACATCTCCCAGTTCTGCCAGACACTCCCCTTCTCCTACATCCTGAAAACCGACGACGACATGTTCGTCTATCTGCGTCCCATCGTGGCCCATCTGCGCCAGTATGAATACTGCCATCCGCACGCCACGCGCACCATCCTCTGCGCGGAACTGCAGCGCCGCGAAGTGGTGCAGCGGGATCGCAAGGGCAAGTGGTTCGTCGCGTGGGAGGACTTCCCGGATAAACACTATCCGCCCTACTGCTACGGAGGCGGTTACGTGCTGACCCGCGATTTGGTGGAGGGGCTGCTGAGTGCGGCCGGGAAGGTGCCCTTTTACTGGATCGACGATGTGTTCGTTACGGGGCTGACGGCCAAGGCGTTGGGTGGTGTCCAGCATGTACAGTTTCCCGGCCAAAATCCCATCAAAGGATATGTGTGTGATGTGAAGTGCATGCAGGTAAAGGAATTTTAGAAGAAGTTTTTCCGTCATAAAAAATCGTAGCAACCCTTTCAGTAGCTTTTCCTTTTTCGCGCTGTCTTGTGTGTCTGTAGGTGACCCTTTATGTCTATTCTTGTGACAAAGGCGACGCCCAAAAAGGCCTAATATAATTAACATGAAGTATATACAGTATATTGAATTTACAATAATAGACGATTTACACCTCGTATTTGTAAGTTATGCAGAAACCTACTGAACAACGTTATTCGTAATCATCTAATTTTGTCTACACCAGATGGTTTTTGATAAACTCTACTCTTGTGTGTGTATGTAAGTGGCTTTCTGTTTGGTAGAGGTTCAACAAATGCACGTCAGTAAAAAAGTTCTTGTGTCTATCTAATAATCAATCCTTTCGTGATATTTAAAGGTTTACTGGTTAAGCTATAGGTATGGAGTGAGAATATTGTAGTGAACTGGCTACTTCGAGGCATCAATTTTGGCATAGGTACCGGTAATCAATAAGAAACCGTGCTGCTTATGCGAAAATTATATATTTTTTGAGCAGAATGGTTTTAGATTTACTGCATGCGAGATCCGTAAGCAGTACTCTGTTGTAGACGAATCGACGGTGGTTCATGCATACGCTGCAGAGGGCGGACATGATAAAGAATTATTACCGAGTGGTCAAGGATTACGGTCTGGTCCACGATAACATCGATCCCGAAGGCTGCCCGGCAACGAAAAGTGGAAGGCGGTGATGAAAAGTGTCTGCCAAACCGAGAGTTACGATTATATTGATGCATGGATTGCGATAACGGTGTTTCTTCTTTCAGTGGCAGATGGTTGTTTGAGTTTTTAATTTTTTATATAGATATTTGTGACGCCGTTGAAGAAAGTTTCTCTGATCGTTTATGTTGGTTGTTGAGTGTTGACTGCAATGTAAGTAACATTATTGCACATTTGATGTGGTTAGTCTGGCTCGATGCGGCCTCGGTGGTCGGCATGCGAAATGTAAGATCTATTTAAACGCATCTTTTGGATGGATTTTTAACGTGTTATTTAAAATTGGGGTTAGCACTTTAGCTGACCGTGCCAAAGTACTGTATGTACCGTGCTATTCAACTGGTCCAGAGCGCTGCATTTTTTACTTATCGTACGTGCATATCGTACGGTAGTTAATAAAAATATTATAATGTTGAAGAATATTCTATACCTGGCTGCATTCACTACGAGTAGTTCGTGTCCGTGTTGCGAGTAGATGGGTGCTGCGAGTTAGAGAGCGAGATGTCCTTACCGTACTTTACTTACGTGTGCATACGTTTTACGTTGAGGAATTATTTTTCAATAACAAAAAACTCCAGGTAAATATTTAGACGCGTATGAATAAAGAAAATTTTAAATTTAAATAGTGTAAAATTTTATTTTGCACGGATACGATAATATTATATGTACTTTGATACGAGTACCATTGGTAACGTAATGCCGATAAGCCAGCGTGTTTAGACTACCTGGTTTGAATACAACGATCCTGTTCTTCCGGTGCTGACGTAAGACAACCAAACGCAAGAACAGTACTGTGAACAAAAAGGCGATTTAATCAGGGACAATAAAAGCTATATGCGGCTACTTCCCTCCCAAGAATACCTACGCTGCTGACATGACACATCCTTTATGACTAAACCGGTAAGTATATAAAAACCACGTTTTCCGGGGACACTCAGCCCAACCATGTGAATTATTACTTAGCTGCATTTACCAACATCAACCGCATTTTATCTGACAATAAATTCAGAAATTTTTGAAGGTTTGACTTCTAAGTTTTTTCACTGAGAATTTTTAGAAACAGCGATAAAATGCCGCAATTCGGTAACTGGATCATAACGGGGATAATCTTAATCATTGCCAACTTAGTATACGCCGGTCGGTTTACCCGTCAAACTGGTACGTAAGAGTAGTGTATAAACTATAAAGTATAAAGATTGCAGAACTGATGAGCAAGTGGAAACCTGTTCTATATTGAATTTTATCGTTATAAGGATTATGCTACTTAAGCACATTAGCGGATCGTTATTCACCGTAGAAGCGTTAAAATTGAATAATTTATTAAAAGTTAAGAACTTAAATTATTAATAAATTTATTTACAGTAACCAGAATTGCAAACATTGGTTTCACAGATAATTCTGTTGGATCAGCAACATATGAATCCAGTGGATACTACATGGCAAGTGGCGCTCCACAACCGAAATTCTGCTTGTTAGTCCCGTGGACTGGTCCATGCAGAGCTTACTTACCGGAGTGGTATTTCAATTTACAAACGGGCACATGTACACAATTTGTAAGTACAATGGCAATAAAATTAAGTGTTTTTGGTTCTTTACTTTTCCAGTTAGATTATTATTTTAAAAAACTAAATGCGTCATGCATAATGATTAACGATACAGCTTGGCCATATTTCTATAAAATGCTCAACCGGTTACACAGATACTTACCTGATGTTTGGTTCAACGTTTGGTGTTCGAAATCGTTTACTGGTTACAAGTTTAAAATTAATCTGTAAACATGTGTAATCTGTAATTCTGTAATAGTGATTAGTTAGTGGAAATTTAGTTGTGAGCACTTTTTTGTTAAGGTTTACGGTGGATGCATGGGAAATCGAAATCGTTTCGACACATTCGCTCAGTGCACATCAACCTGTGTAACTGGAACACCAGTGACCGATTCCAGTGGCTCTTCATTTGGTGACCTTTCTTAGAATAGCACAGCAGGCGCTGGTACATATCAATTACTCTGCAGCGGTGATGTATAATCCATAAAATAATTAAAACTGCTGGAAATGTATTTGTTGCTTGAATGTACAGCAGATGTTCGGAACAGCATGAAATAAAACAAATCAGTAATTTTGCACAGCCGGCACGCACACTTTTCCCAGATCAGGAACCTGACAGCATTTTGCACCGGTCTCGCATAAGCCGTCTGTCTCGCAGAAGTTGGAGCAGGAAGTGGCGTCCGGCGATTTCGGGCATGCACCAGGACGAGTAATGTCTGCAACAGGTGAACTTGTTATAGTACTGTGATAAGTTGGCAACAATAATCTTTCTTTAATCAAAATTAATATTCTTTCGTTCACAGGACTATTAATTTTTTGCGTAAAAATGAAAACAGGCGCATGAATGTTGAAGGCTCTTACTATAGTTGATTATTCAAATGCGCCAGTTTTTAAACAAAGAAATTCTAGGGCGTGATTTTGCTAATTCGCAGTACCACTGAAGAAACAAAATATAAGAAAAAAACATAAGATAATAAAAAAACGAAACTGGAATTGAAATAAAAGCATGAAAAACAAAAAAGTACTAGATTTATGTGCGTAAACAGAGGTTGATGGCATGTTGTAGAGCACTAGTGCTACACAAATGACATCAACTTCCGCAGAGTATTAAAAAGTTATCTTACTGAAGCATCCGGCTTTTACGGTGCAGATTCCATTGCTGCAGGTATCAACGACAGCGGCGCAGTCAGTTCCAGTGAGACATGTACTGAACTGCAATTAAAATAATTACAGTATACTCACTCGTATAGAAGTATTGTACACATGCGGGTATATCGTATACATCGATCCGAATTTTTGTTTGGTGCATTTAATAAAGTATTCAATTGTTTTATGCTAATATAAATTTTAGCTGGACATCGGTAATACTGAATCCTGTTCACGAGGTAACTGATAATATTAATTTTGAGCCTGGCCAAGCAACATCCCGCTGCATCCTTACAATGCATGGATCTGCAAAGAATTAGACAGCGGGTCAAGCTCTGTCATTATACGGAATTTATAACTGCGTATATGGGGCAAACAGTTACAAACTTAATTTTGAAATACCAGATTTAATAAGGCTGTCACGAAACAATTAAATACACTTATAACAGCTAACACTCGTACTTATGAAGTCGCCGCAAACTGCTATGGGATATATAGCAGATCTGGCCGGTTTTATTGGGACACCAGTAATCCGTTATGGCACTGCAGTTTTGTCCCTTTGGGCACGTCACATTCTGGCAGAACAGATAACTCTTGGTTACAATAATATTTGGAGTATCATTATTAGTTTTACTGTAATGGTGTATATAGATCACCCAAAAAATAATGAATTAGCGCACATTCGAACAAAGACGTTATGAAATTTTTCATAACGCCCAATGCATCACACTGTGTATTGGTCAGTACATATTTATGTATATATTGATAACCTAATCGTGTATCAACCACTACTGTAGTAATTTTCACTGCTTGATATGTGTTTTGTCTTAGAAAATTGAATAACTGATTTATAACAGTGACATTTTTTACTTTTACCTCACAGACGTTGGGAAACATTAAATCGCATCCACCTGAAAATTAGCAAATATCTTTGTTATGTCGAATCAAGCATCACACAAGAAAAATATCAAATTACGCCCAAGATCCACGTTGCAAGCGAGAAACAACATCCCAATGCATGCGAATACCGAAACTCCGAACGCGCTCGTACGAAAAGGCATGATAAAAACTATTTTCAGGTAACAAGGTAACAGAAATTTTAAGGTTTGCAAGCTAATAGTTATAGACAACTACGGAATTTGCTGATAAAGGCAATAATTTATGAAAACACACTTCCACAGTCGCACAACCGAATTTTATGAGCTGTACGTGGTGCTTTGCACGTTTACCGTAGGACTTGCATACATCAGCCAACAGTGCATACAAAGCACCTAAATGTAATTAAACGTTTTGTTTTGTTTGCGAAAAAAGTGCGTACAAAAATTGCTTGAAACGTTTCCTCGATGCACGGTATATTGGTATTACGTATTATAGAGGCGGTTTTTTACACAAGTGTGCAAAAAAACACTCCTTAGCTTTTGATAACGTGCACACTTTAAGTAATCGCTTCTGCTTCAGAAGAAACGGATTTGTTTGGCGATTATTAAGTGTATGACAATATTGAGGTCATTAGATAGCCGGCGGTACCATGCTGCATGTTACTGTATATACAAAGTATAAGCCACAAACAGCATTAGCAACCATGGTTAAGCGTCACTCCCCGGCATATTCGTTGGCGCAAGGCAGGGACAAGGTTCTTTGATATTTGATCTTCGCTTCTTACATATGCATCCTTCTTTGACAGAAATTCGAAGTGAAAAAACGCTTTATTTTAAATTTTTTCAGACTCTTGTCTGTCCATTTTATTTTCGAAGTGTATTTGGCGTCAGTTTTCGTGGCACAATCAATAAAATCATTTTCTACCGTTGTTGGTGAATGGTGCACAGTAAATTTTATCATGCGGAAAGTTCAGTTTATGCGCTGACAATAGTTTTAAAGTTCATGGAGTTACTGCGCTCGCATCTAAGATTGCTTAAGATAACGCTGCTGCTAATTTCGGCGGTTGGAATAATCTTGGGAGTATATTTTACCCAGCGAACACTGCTTTATTTTGAAGTTGAAGATTTTGAGTACGAAGAGAAAGAAGCTGCTGCACACTGGGCAGAAATTGTGCCGTTTGTACATGTATACTCCGCATTTTCTGCATCTTCGAACTCTGCAGTGCATATTATTGCGGCGACACACCGCCATCGTGACAAAGGAAGTTGTACATGCATCTTTAATTCCACACAAAATCCTCTGAGAACGGTTACTGCTGACCGGGAGGATTTCTGGGATCATCATGACCAAGTGTACACTGCTTCGCGATTTCTTTGCTCCCTTCCGCTAAACAGTAGTATTACTGCCAATGGTGTGCATGTAACTTTTCAATGTGTAAATAACGGAGCACGTGGAAGTAGGAATTTCGCAGTATATCCTAGCGTCACACCGGTGAATATGACCTCTGCACTATGTGGACCAATTATATTTGGGAATTACTCTGATGCAGGTGCTTTAAACCGATTTATCCGCTATTACACCGGTCTTGGGATTTCCAGAATTTTTTTATGTGTAAAAGCAGTCTCTGCCGATGTTATGAGACTGTTGCAATTGTATCGAAAAAAACAAGTTGTAGAAATTATGAATTGGAATCTCATGGTGGATGAACATGCGATTCATTATAATGGACAGATTGCGGCAATCAACGAGTGCTATTTACGCGCTGCAAAAGAAGGATTTGATTATGTCTTAACCGGTAATAAAAAACACACGACATTATACGGCAACCTAAAATATATACAAAAGATTATTTGTAAATGCCAGTATTTTAACTTTTAAATTCAATACGTGGCAGACTAACAAGGAAACAAAGCAATAATTGCATTGCGTGTGAATCTGATCTGAGTTTCGGTTATGTTGTAACATAAAATAATACAATTTTTTTCGCAGTGGATTTGGACGAATTCGTCATTCTTTCCCAAAATACCAGTATTTCTGAGTTAATGGAACACGGCAGTTTGGACTGCGTAAATATCCGCAGCACATTGGCTCGCGTCATCGATATAACCAGCGATCCCTCTCAAAATTCAAAAGCGTTATCAAATTCTAATATTCAAAAATCGAAACGCATGTTCCAGCGACAGGACCACATAAATGAGCCAAACGACCGATCAAAGTACATTTGCCGGACACAATCCGTGCTGATGGCCGGCATACATTATCCTTACCAAATTCACCCGGAAACCAAGATTCTGACTGCTGCGCCGGTCAATAAAGCTTTAGTACTGCATTTCCGCCGAAACGAAATTACGACCAGTAGTGTTAACAGTTCCGAGTGGCGGGATCTGGACGCCGCTTTCGAGATTAAAAACTATTATTGATTAAAATAATTAATAGTAAAATTAATTAGTAGCAACTGACGCAAAAACCCTAATTTTTTAATTAAAGCTAAGTTAATGCAATATTGATTCGGATTGTAAAATGTGATGTACGTAGATATGCACAAGTAATTTTTACAGTACAAAACATTTGTGGTGGCTTAAATTTGTTACTGCGCCAGTTCTGAACGTTGGCAAATTAAAGGTACACAAGCCAAGCGAAGGTTTGGTTTTTCGAACTTTATTGCGGCTTTTACATTAACAGTAAACGATGTCAATTTTTTAGTCTCCGCACAACGATCAAAACGCAATTTTCCCGCTAAAAACTTAAACGAAAAAAAGACCGAAACAGATGACAACCGGCCGAAACAAAGAACCAAACTACCGAAGAAAAGCACAAAGGTCAAACATCCGCACTAAGACACTACAGAATTTTTATCTAACCAAACTACAACACTAACTAACAGCCGCTTCCGTTGGCGGATTTCCTGGAATCCGGGGGATCCGTTGGCTTAGAATCGGGTGTAGTAGGTCGGGTACTCACGTCCGTAACCGTAGGTGGTGGTGTTGTAGTCACGGGTGTAGTAGTTGTCACGCTCGGTGTTGTATGGGCGCGTATAGTTGTACTCGGTGTTGTATGGGCGAGTATACTCGGTGTTGTACGGGCGAGTGTACTCAGTGTTGTACGGACGAGTGTACTCGGTGTTGTACGGACGAGTATAGTTGTACTCGGTGTTGTATGGGCGAGTATACTCGGTGTTGTACGGGCGAGTGTACTCAGTGTTGTACGGACGAGTGTACTCGGTGTTGTATGGGCGAGTGTACTCGCTGGTGTAGTACGGGCGAGTGTAGTACGTCGACTCGGTGTTGTACGGGCGCGTGTACTCGGACATGGTGTTGCATGGCTTGGTCATTTCGTAGTTGTACGGACGGGGCTCTGGGCCGTATGGGCGGGGCTCCGGGCCATATGGACGAGTGTACTCAGGTCCGTACGGGCGAGGCTCCGGTCCATAGGGACGAGGCTCCGGTCCGTATGGGCGAGTGCCTAAGCAAAGGTCATAAATGTAATGCAGCTATATCACAACTAAAACAATTAAAAATTGCTAACGTCAGTAATATTTCCAGTTTTAGTTATATGGCTAGAAAAGCTTATTATTGGAAAGAAATTTCAAGCGTAGACTATAATGTATCATATTTAATATTTACTAAATATTAGAAAATAATTAAGATGCGGTTAGAAACAACAAATTTGATATATGAAGCCACATTTATTTGTAGAAACATTTTACCGAAACGCTTCGCTAAAAACTAAAATTAAGGTTTTTCGGCTTACCAGTTGGGCGCTCGTAGTTGTAGTGCTTGGTTGGTTCGGGGAAACGACGATCGGTGTACTTGTAGGTGTAGTCCGGGGTGGTTTCGGTGGAGTAACCTGGCTCGTTGCGGTAGGTCATCGTGCGTTCGTACTTGTATTCACGGTCCTAGGATTGCAAACAAAATCCCTGATTAATTTCAACGGCTCGCTTACAAGGTTTAAAGAAATTCACGTCTCAAGGAAGCAAAAAAAAACAATATAAATAAACAATCATAAATTCATAATAATAAACATCATTCTGTATAAAGCTCAAACTTATGCATTCTTGAAAAAGCTCATATAATCGTTGGCAATAGTAATCGTTATATACAGAAATTTTGTAAATGAAAGGTCACAGCGAACTTACGTCATGGTCCTTCTTGTTGTCCAGACCGAACCACGAGCGCCATCCACTGTTCTCGCCATCGCGACGTTCGCGGTGTTCGTTGGTGTAGTCGGTGACGTTGCGGGTAGTAGTAGAAGTCATTTTCTCTGGAGTACAGGAAGGAACGGCCGAAAACAACAAAAACGAAAGTCGGTGCGACTGCGAAAGTTTAAACAGTGGATTTAGCTCGAAAGCGAACGAATGAAGCATAACTGGACAATTGCGTTGCTTATATAGTCAAATGCTGAACACGGCTTGACCGGACTGTGACCTTGACCAGCTTGGCCCGATGGAAGATACGCGCTGGTCTGGACAGCGTGTCTTCCACTATAAGAAAGTGAAGAAAACCGCTAATCAGCTAAGGTCATCCGGAATTCCACCTGGATGTGCCTTGATAAATCCGGGCAAAAAACCTTGATAAAATCGGCCGGGAACGCCGGCGAATGGCGGCGCCGTGGACTGGTGGACATTGAAGGCTGTTGTTGTCTGTTGCGGATGATAAGTTACTGTCAGCCCAAAGTACACGGAGTAACTTCCGTTCCAACGTAATAGTACACGTAATACAACTTTTTTCTCATAAAAAATCCCAAAGTTACATTCCCCTGAGATTCTTAGGTGTCGGTATGTACTTCTACCAGTGCTACGAATAAAACATTTTGTAAAAATAAAATGCAAAAGTTGATAATATTTTTGAATAATTACTTCCGAATAAAACGTTATGTTTTTGTGAAAATACTGTATTAAAATGCGTTCCGCCCGCTTACTTCGTATAATACACTGCGGTCGTTTCTACATGTTTAGAATTCTCTGTATTGTTAATTTTAGAAACTCTGATGGTGTAGAGAAATAATTAAAAAAGCTTAACGACTGCATTCTTTTGTGTGTTCCTCGTTTTATGGTTACGCCAACCAAAACAAAACGGGCCGTATTGTCAAACAAAACTCAAGAAACCAAAACAACCCGCTAACTGCTACGTTCGCGCGAAGACAAATCATCAGTTTAAAAAAAATTCAGTAGACTGGTTAATATGGTTAAATCATATTTTTTGGCTGCTTTTGTATCTGCTCAGCCTTGGGGCACTTAAATTGTATGAATTGCAGTTTCTAGTTCAATTCCATATGTACAGATGCAGGCGGACAAACAGAAGTTCGATGCTCGTAAGTGTCTGTCAGGCAAATGAGCGATCAGTTCGTACGAAAAATAATTACCCGTCGCATCCCGTGGCTGCACCGGAAGCGTGCGAGGGAGGTCACTCCCGATTCAAAGGTGCTTGCAGTCACTCTGCAAAGGTCACCCAGGCTTAGCCGAAATCGGCTGATGTATGGTATCGTTCGCAAGAGCATTGAACGACCAACACCTCAGAGGTAGTGCTTTTGAACAATGACGTCATCAGAATTTTTAAGCAAATTTCAAACAGGACTACTGCTACCACGCTGAGTGGGTCAAGCCGCTTTTTTCCTCTGGTCTACCCTAATTTTGACCTCACGGTTATTCGGAAAGCGGTCTCAGCGTAGAATCTCCAAGTGATAAAGATGTCGGACACACACGGCAACTAAGAAAAAATTAAATGAGGAAGTATTCTGTGACGGCTGACCTGTGCTAATTTTTTGAAAAAACTGCCCCAACTTGGCTGAGCAGGGCTGTAGATACAACTATAAAAATTGCTGCTAATGGTAAGCAAAACCTTGATATTGTTTTTTGAAATTTTTAAAATTTACACGTTGCAAAATACTACATAAGAAAGCAAGGGTGTATGCTTACCGCGGTATTATGCTGTTGCTTCGACCAAATTACTTGTTTTGAATAATATTTGACTCTTTTGTGATACACCACAAGCACGCCTTAGTACAATTATTCCTTTCTCATGGCAGTTATTAAGAGGAAGCGCATCTTTTACATGCACCAATAAAAAAAGCGAAAATGCTGTTTGTACTCGAAACGGTTAAATCTGTTTTCTTATATCATAGACGATCTTGACTGGAGAAAAGGGCATAACAGCCGGTTGCACCGCTTAAGCTTATAAATTTTTGACTTAACGATATTATCAAATTACCGATCTTGCAGATATAATTAGCGCTGTTGGCTTATCGGAATTTTCCAGCAGACAGGCAGCATTAAATGTGTGCTTAACTCCATTACTGCTCATACATGTATAGTAGATTCACTTCCGTCTAACTTGTCAAAAATTTATTTTAATGCGTATCCTCCGCAATCCATCTAACCCCACACACGACATTTAAAGTGTCCTATATTATGGAAAAAACGTTCTTCAGTGATGTTTATTGTTTAACGCTGTGGATGCAGAATCAACTGACAAATAAGAAACTAATTAAACATGCGTACAGCCTGTGCGACAGAATCTAACCTGCCTTTAAATTTTTTTGCTGTTTTCCTGGCTCTTTTACCCTCTAGTTAAAATGCTATGCGCATGCGCATTAAAAATCCATCACTGTTTATTTTCGTAACTTTCAGCAGTCTGCAGTGTAGTGTATTCCCTGGGCATATTATAGATCGAACGTCAGTGTAAGTAAAACGCAACTTTCTTTGTTTAGGTAGATGCAAATGTTAGCAGTAAGCTGAATTGGTGGACAAAACGGTTATCTTATGTCATAAAAACCGTGCGATTACTTAAAAACCTACATGCAAATATTATATTAGCCTACAAAGATATAATTACGTTTGCACGGCTGATGTAAATATGGATAGTGACGCGATGAAATTTATATACGACTATACGTACGCATCATACCGCCTAAAAATTCAGCATTTAATGCCAAAATTATCCCTAAAGCTTTTAGTCACGTTTTTTCTTGTGAAATTTGCTACGATATATTATACTCTTATAAATAGTGGATGAAACATTTCGTAGCAGGTGCTATAAAACAAGCCGACTACGCACTTGCTCTGGTGGTGTAACGCCACGCTATTTGCCAGTACCGTAAATGATGAAAAGTTTGAGTATACGAGTACTATATAGATATTGCGGAGATTATAAAGGTTTTGATAATAAAAAATTTACAAACGCACATGAAATAATGTTCCTATATATGTGTCAGGATGGAGATGATCGACAATGCATGAAATGATCAACAAAATTAGCAGTGAGTGCTGTAATGCTGGATGATTAGGTTTATGAACAGGTCAGTAATGTCAGCCATCCTGCGTAAAGTGCTTTTAATATATCGAATAAAGCGGCTAAAGCGTTAGAATAACATCCAACAAAAGGTGACAGGATTAATTTTTTAGTACATAACCGAAAGTAGATGCTGGTATAATGTATCACTATGCATGCAAAAGGCTTGTCAACTTCCGGTGACCCTCATCGCCCGGGCTGTATGTGTGCGCTCGCGGGGGCCGCTGCATCGATGCAGTGGAATGAGACACAATCCAAATCCCCGGTCCTTTACACTGACAGATGCCTCTTTAAAAATAAATGATAACTAGCGACAAACGAGTATTTGTAACAGGGACTCCACAAGGGCGTAACTGGATGCCGGTGTTGGCAAATATCCGTTACAACTGTACAGTTACAGTATATATTGTACATACCCGCTCTGTATCTGTATACAGCCGTGTGTCCATGTTGTTTCCCCTAGCTGATTAACAATCAACCGGGAGAAACGGAAACCAAACGGAACGCCGAGTTGTGGTGGATATTAATAAATGTTTCTTATCCCCATCTTCAGAGATCCCCATCAACGGGACTGACTCGATCGCCGCTGGATGGTATATTTCATTTGTATATGGCGATTTTATGACATATCTGACAGTGGTTCAATGTGGATTTGTATACAGATTATACGGTTTATAATGGACATTTTATAACCGGCATGACCTTTAGACATTTTAGGCAATTTGATGGAAATATCTTCGCTCGGCTGGAAACCACAACGCATGATCCGCCTAATTATTTGTGGCAGTTTAACTGCTCGTTTTCCATGGTGGAAGTAAAGTAAAGCAGTGGAATACTTTTTAATTTGGTTAAGAGAAAAGGTAAGAAAATTCTGAAGCCAGTTTTAAAGAAAGCATATATTTGTGCGTTATTTCTTGTACAAGACATTAAACATTATTATTACATTACAAGTTTATACTTTTCTATGCAATACTAATACATGTTGCGATAAAACATGCAATAAAATCATTTAACCGTATTGCATTTCTAAATTTGTTGATAAATGCATGTCGTTCAAATATCTACTTTAAATCTTTAAATGTACCTGTGATACGCATTTTCCGATTACCGTATAGTGCATAGATACGCAGAGCTAATAAGGTATAATCCGGCCAAGGATGTAGCGCGTACGGTGTCGAAAACGGTAGCACTGAATGTCTAAAAACTTCTAAAAACTCTAGCAATGTCAGTCCGGTTAAAAAATGGTGTTATTCCGTACATATACTACGTAATGTGTGACAGTAATTAATATTTTAATTTGTTCTGGCTATTCAGTTGTGCGTGACACCCCATTTCCTGCCCGTGACCCCGACTAAACTGTCAAGCCAGCTGCGTAAATTTTTATTCATGGTTCTGTGTTTAGGCGAACAGTTTTTATTAGCGTGATAGATTTACTGTGTAAAGCAAATTGGCTAGACATAACAAAATATGGATCACGTAACATGGTTAGTAATATAGATGGGTACCGCGAGACATCGACGTTTTACTGTAACGATAGGGTATAAATTTACGCATGTGCTTACCGCCTAAGCGCACATGCTGCGTTACACTTGCTGTCGTTATTCTAAACAGTCTATTTTAATGGATAACAAATCGGGATCCGCAACGATCAACTGCTTAAGCACTGATTTGTAATTAATTTTGTTATTTGTTGCAGAAAACACATAGCAAAACTTTAAAAATTTCTGTAGTCAGTTTTAAGTTTTAACTAGTACACTACTTAGAAATTGTAATCAGCCGTGCATTTCAAACTCGTACAGAATCTGTACTTTACCTTGTTGTTGTTGCACATTGCATCCGTATACCGTACAGTACATGTTCTGTCTGTGGCGTCAATAAAAAAAATTACTTGAATGTATGGAAAGCCGAGCACCTGGTACATCGTGTGCCAGGCTTTCGACTAAATTAATGAGTTGTTTAAAATATTTCCAGTTTAAGTTTCAGCTGTGCATAAGTACCTTATAGAAGGCTGTACAATAAATACTTCGTGGTTGTTTCGTTAGTAATGATGCCACTTTGTAACAGCATTAAACCATGCATCAAAATTTTTATAAATTACTTACATCCGAAAGCACGCAAGTTCGAGTTACCAAATGATAGCAAGGACGTTTGCAATAATATATCATTGCAAAACAAAGCTGATATGAAAATTTTGTTAATTTTGAAATAAAATCTTTACTGGAGCGCATACAGCGCGATGTTTTTGATTTTGCAACTTTTGACAAATTTTTTCTGCGTAGTTTTCGTATAATCATCGTATGATACGTAATACTTTATTTATGACTCAAATGAATCAAAAAGTGCTCTTTATAATATGAAAGCAGTTGTACACGTTGGTCTGCAAAATCTTTTATGAAGTACAATACAATACAGACTTATGCAATGTACCTTTTGATTTATTATTGTAATTATTGCATAATGCTATGTAAGACGCAGTAATTTGGCACTAACAATTATAAACTTTATAGCAGCTTATTTTTGAGAAGTACGTATGGGCGTACGGTATTCGTACTGAGACCTGTGTAAATTATATTCCTGCTCCTTGCAGAGAAGAACGAATTTTTTGTATCTATTGTATCGATGGAGCAAACATTAAATCTACTCGTAGATAGCTTAACAGCTTGCATAATGAAGATTGCTATTAGAGCCCAGATTTGTAAAAACGGAAAATATACAGTGCATATATCGCGCGAATACAGTAAATACACATGCAGCGTTACATAGTTCATCAAGTGGCCCGGATACTAATAAGGCAGGAATTTTATTGCTTGAATTGAAATTTGATTTATCGACGCCACTGTTATGTGTATGCACAGCGTAAAAAATCGATTTCTTTATGGCTACGGCTTTCTTTGATGGATATGGATAGTGTCCGTAAACAGTCTTTATTATTCTTCAATGCCACATACCATGTGCTAATTCTAAAATAAACTTGTTGGCGATTCGGCAGCGAATCGAAGTAATACTGTATAATTATAAAAAGCTACAGAAACTATCGACTATGGTTCACAAGGCATTACAGTTATACTCGAAATACATAAATACAGTACGCTGAACATATAATCTACAAAGTGGTCCAAGTGCAGAAATTCTAAACTCTCCTGCCAAAAATTACGAAAAATGCAGCACCTAAATTTAATTTCTTTATGGTATTATCTAATTTCTAACTTTTGCATTCTGTGTTCCATTATACAAGCAACAAAAACCATATAAACGAATCAATAACGTGCACCGCATACTAGCTAATATAGAAATGCACAACTATTTTAAAGCGTATTCTGCCTCCTCGAAATTTTTAAGGGTAATGTATTGTAATGTAAAAAAGCCTCTTGTTATTGACGGATCTATATTCATTTAATGACGGTAATCGGTATAACTATGTATTATTTAGTATGCTCCCCCGTCTATTTTGTGAGCGCAACTAAATTAAGTTTTTACTAAATAAATTTCAATCTTGGCTTAGTATCAATGTATGTATGATACATAATTATTTATGATGGATAAGTGATAGGTCTTTTTGACCTTTCACAAAGGTCATGTGTCAAAGCAATCCATTTGCAGCAGCGAGCGCGATTACCACTCAAACGGCATTTCGATGGAAAAAACAAAGCGAAATCAATTGGAGTGTGCAGCCGGGGAAGAAAGTTTTTAATAATAATTTGGTCTGCCTACTAAAGCAATCAAGCGCAAACCCGTTGACAGTATGACTGGAGATGGTCGGGCGAGGATTAATATTTGCTTCTCTGCCGGATTGCTGCCTCTTCCCGCTCCGTTCTCCGTATCGGCATCGCGCCTGCATATATATCACGCCGCACAACAACATATATACATCCAGCTGATAGGCAGATTATGAGGCGGAAAGTGTGAGAAGGGGGAGAAAAAGATGCGGTAGCGGATGATGGAAATCGGCTTAGAAACGCTGCTACATCTGCACTACAATGGCTGGTACATGCGGCATTTCAATACGAGCAGTCCGCGTACGTCGAATAGTACGTCGACGTCAGCGTCGTCGTCGACGCCGACTGCGCATACGCCGTGGCCATCATCATCATCATCATCAACAGTTGCCAACAGTCACTCACGACTTTCAACCGGCACATCCACAATTGCCGAGTATCACTATCCCCATATTATCCCGCAGTCCAATGATACGGATACGGATATCCAGTGGAGTGCTGACGGAAATTATACGTCCACGCAGGGAGACGCTGATTATTATAATACTAGTGATTTCGGCCGCATCTTCTACTGGACCGTCGACAGGACGTCACATGCGGATGCGGATGCGGACCGGCAACGACGCAATAACACCGCTAATGTCCACAGGTAGGGCCACTCGTTTACCCGCGCCGGCATTTATTTACTTGGTTTAATCAATTTACAATTTAAACATTTTTCATCCTAAATAAATCTCATTTGCAATCATTGAAGTCAAAATCGTGCCGTTATTTACGCACGTTAAAAAAGATTGTTTTCATTGACAGTCGATGGTCTCTTTTTAACAGCTGCATAACTTCGCTCAGATCAATTTATGGTTACCAAAAGCATATAAACGAGCATAGTCAACGCATATACTCGTACATCTCAGCATTTCTCGTGCAAAAATTTTCAACGTAAATTTTTCAATAATCATAATTATTGGATTTTGAGTTTTTGAAAAACATTTACTGGGTAGTCTGGATATGATAGCAAATTTGGAATACAACCCGCTTACGACATGCAAATCAATTGAGACTGATGGTATAAATTGAATGGAATTAAAAATTTGGTGCTATCTGTATACACAGTGGAATTGCTGCCGCCCACCAATCTGCAGCCGGCAACTTATCATCATCGGATTATTACATCCTCAACATAACGGATGATCTAAGCACATTGCCCACTGCATTTCCCATGATTAACACCACACAACGGGAGAATGCCGGCACCGCGACATTGTCATTATTACCGGATACGATGGACATTACGCTGTATAACACCACCACCAACATCACCACCAACGATACCTGCGTGTGGTCAGTGGAAGATATGAACCTGTGGGCCACGATAGCCTGCGTGCTGATCGTGGCCGGCTTCCTGGGCAATCTGCTGGTTTGCATGGCCATTATTACCGAACGCCGTTTGCAGTCGCCGACCACCAAGTTCCTCTTTTCACTGGCCGTCGCCGATCTCTTCGTCTCGGTGTTTGTTATGCCTTTGGGAATAGTTGTTGAAATATACGGTAAGATGATAATTATGCTGCTAATTTTACTACGCTCATTAGGTGAATACAAAGTATAACTGCCAGTTTGGTAACTGCATATAAGCCGGCGGTATTATATTAATTTTATTACTTATTGTCAGCAATATTGACTATTGACAGCTGTTTGTAACACTAAAACGTTTAAAGTCGTAAAAAGTTTTTTCCTTATTCACTAGAAATAAATGCATTCCACTGCAAACGTAGAATTTAATTTTTTTAATTTTCGACTAGTAATTAGCAAAACAAATGATAATAAATTATCCAGTTTTTTTAAGAAAAACTTATGCTCAATTGAAAACGTGATTGTTGGATGCATCTAAGGGGATCGGTGTACATAAATTAAATTTGAAAACTGATTTCGTCGGATATATGGTATCCTTCGAAGGTCAACGATTGTTTAACCTAATTAGCGCAGAATATGTAGATAGCAAACTCTTTTTATTTCCGGCGCAAAAGCGTGTTAAATATGTTAATAATTGCCGAACTACTTTGATGCTGGTCGATAGCAATTGAAAACGGCTGAATAAATACTGAAGGCGCACTTGTATGCAAAAAAGCCATGGCGGTACTGAGTGATCATTTGGTGGCTTCTTTTTATGTCTTACAACAATAATATTTGTGTGTATACGCAATGCGATATCGTCTTACATAACGTCTGTACGCTGTCACGATCGATTGTTTATCTTTAATGCCAAATTTTTAACATCAAATTTTTCTTTACCAAATACGATTTATAGTACAAACTTTTTTTACATCTGCTTTTTTATTGTATAGTCGGTGGTTCATTTTCGAGTCTAATTTGTGATTACCAATAAAATAGCGTTAATAAAAACGTTCTGACGAGATTCTTCTATTAGTATGAGAAACCATGGTTCCGGAAATCACCAAATCGTTCAAATGTTGATGGGTGAATTAACTAAATAAACATTACAGGGGCCACAGAAAAATATTTAGTACAAAACAATTTAAATAATTTTTAAGTATAAAAGTGAATGGAATTTTTTCCCTGCGCTACAACTGTATAATTATATTTCAGAAAGGTAAAATTTGATATATTTGGGAAAATCAGTTGGCGCAGTTTTGAAAAATAGAAATTGTTTGCAAAATGTTGCGTAAGAGTTCATCCGGGAAAATGCCGAATCGTATCTGGGCAATTGTAACACTGTCCTTGTCGTAGCCTTTTAGAAAGGGCATCTGAGTGATGGATGGGAAAAAATTACACAGGCACCTTAAATCCTTTAATGTTTTCCAAGCTGCCATTCGCCATTTACCAGCTCATTCGCGCAGCACTGCGGCGCACATGGGATGGACAAGTTGGCGTCCCCCGAGATGGGCCAATTTTCCCTGTTTAAACTCATCTGCCTTTTCCCGTGATTTAGGCTTATTTGCATGCTTGACGTGTCAAATCAGGCTCTCCGCAGGCAAAAAACAAATTATTATTACAACATGCCGGTCTGTAAAATGCTCTGGCCGGGATAGCATTATCTGCACGAGCCAACATTCCGTCTGGCCGTGCACGATAACCTTTCTGGGTGCTTGTATGATGATTTATTAAATTTGAATCAGTGACATGTGAGAACGCTTTTTTCACCAGCCGGGTAAAAATCGAATCAGTCTGGAGAAAATTTGCATATCTTATGTGTGTGTCGGCAGAGTAGCGCAGTCTGGTTCGCACGGTGCCTAATGATGAGAACGTGACCTTTTAATGATCCCGTCACAAGCGAGCGTTTATTTTGAGCGAATGTTTAATTAAGCGCGATACGCTAATCTAATTCCTGAGCAGCACTAAAATGCTAAGTTTGTTAAAATGCATAAATCATGCTAAATGCTGCCAAAGAAAAAAATAGAATTACGTACATTTGCATATGCTGAATATTTTAAGCAGTTTTTGCAAAGAAAATTATTCTCCTACCTCAGATGTAATGAAAAAACGAATTATGCGATTGTTTATCGTTGACTAATCTTTTATCGCTTTTTAATTGTTTATGAAAATATTTTCCCCTGAAACGATAAAAAAGCAAGGCCGAGAATTGCTGTAGGACTTTCAGAGCGATTTTAACAAAATATCTGAGTGGCATTTTAAGGTTTGTGCTAATTCCAATAAAATTTTACGACATTTTTTAACACTGCCTTTTGCCGGTATTTTTTCTCTTCCGCAAAAATTCCTTTGCGGATTTCCGTCCAGATTTCCTATCCGCGCTCCGATACCGTTGCGAGAGTGTGGAGTGGGATTTACACACTTGTTTGAGCCTGAGAATGAGAGTGTGTGCCGGCACACTCGAGCGCAGCGGCAGCGCCTAAGCCTGCGCCACTGAGCCGGGTCTTTGTCGATTGTCTCAAGGTTTGCTTCTTTCGTCCCTCCAAACCGGAAATGTGAAAAGGAACTGTTTAGCATAATCGTTTAGCTGGTAACACACACACAATGACGGCAGCGGCCAATCACAGCGTGTCGGCCATCGTTTATGGTCGACCGTTGCCGAATGCATGGCACAATCAACATATTTTCCCCATCTCAAGGTCATGCGACAGGGCACAGTTCTGGGCGTGCATACATGTATGTGTTGTATTTTTACAAACCGTGTTCGTGCTGGATGTGATTAAAACCCCGGAGAAAGAGAAAGCCGGCATTTTTTCGGTGTATTTGTCCGTAGCGTAATATGTTCTGTAATATGCATACTCCACCAGCAAACGACTCGTAACACGAAATCATATTGTGGACCTTAATGGCACCACGTGGTACACACATGGGAATTATGAGTGGGGGCTGTTTATGTACATACGCGCCTTCTTCTTTGTGTTCCGACTGCGATGGCCTCGGCCGCAGTCAACAAATGGGCACACGCGACCGATTTGTCGATCCCCACAAATTCGAAGGTCCATGCGTACGTTTGCTTAACGAAAACGGTTTAATCTCATTAACAAAATTAAATTAGTTGGGAAATACTGGTTTTACTATATATGTGGTATATACTGGTAGTATATTAGTAGACAATTATTACTATTATTTGGTAAAACACTGCAAAAAAGTGCATATAGAAATTAATCTGTTTAGTTATACGTACGTGAACGGTTGACGCACGTGTTGCAACTGTGTCTCCAATTGCCATTACTTCGCTGTTTGTTTCCGCCTAGTTTCATGCCGGTAAACTGCAATAACTTATCCAAGAATTACATGAAAAGCGGTTTCTTTATGATATTGCTTTCATTGTGCCATTTACCCAAATATTCGGTTCATTTTTACCCAAATATTTGCGTGCTTTTTATGTAAACTAGGCTATTAATTTTGCTTTTGGTGTGAATATATATTTTACACGTATGTGTTGCGCATGTCGGCTTTTCTGCAACTCCCTTAAACAATCGGAAACTTCGGCATTTATCCGGCGAGCAATCTTTAAACTGTGATCAAAGTGCGTTGCATGGGAGAACTACGTGATCGCTGGTAAATGATACACGTTGGACAATGAAGAATGGCCAATCTGTATGCATATATTGATTAGAGCCGGAGAATGCAATGCGCTGTCATTTGGAGCGGCGTTGTTCTGCCGGCTGCGGATATATGTATATGTGTATACGGCTCCCATGCAGTACATAAATTCTCCCGTTCCCTGCACGATGCATGGTACATATATATCTGTATAAGATATAAATATATGTGTACAAGTTAGCTGGCCCATTGATGGTTCGCACTCGTGCAGAAGGAGCGTATCCCGCTGGCATTCTCCGTTAGGACACTTTCCCCCCTTTGCAACATCCATCATGCTGCATGCTGCTGCCCGTCCCCGCTCTAAACTTTAATACCGGAAGATGCCAGTAAAGCTGTTTTTGTCATGCTCCCTTGTCATAACAGCTTCCGTTAGTTTTTCACTTAATTAACAGTAGCAGGCAATTCAGCCCCTCAATGGCCAATGTCTATGATGCTTCAACTTATTTCCATCTACTCCCGCGATACGCCTGACCATATGTGCCCTCTGTGTGATCTCTTATATAACAAATACGGTAGTGTTTTTTTCCGGATTCTTTCGCATGGAATCGTTGAATGCAGGATAGATCTGCAAATACTAAAAAAAATTATTTTTAGAAATGAAGCGGCTACAAAAAGCGATGAGAAAAATTCCATCTCATCTCAGAATTTATTATCTTACTGTCGTATGCGACAAAATTTGGTAATCTGGTATACGCATCGATTACCTAGGTTTTAGAGCCGTCTGAGTTTTAGACTTTGAGTTTTGTAAGCACAAATGAAAATTCGCATGCTCACAATCATATGCGTATACTGTGCTAATTGCATAATCGTACATACATATATAAACCTCACTTCGCCATATAACTTTGGTGAAGAAGATATACCATTTTGGTGAGATAAGGAAAAAGTGATTTAGAAGGCCACTCACATTTTACTTGCGCAGCAGCGCTTTGTGTCAGGAATGATAGGAAAAAATGTAAATGCTCCTTATGTAAGTAATTAAATATTAGCAAATGTGTGTCAGTTTAATGTTACCTGTTTGTATAGTCTGAAATATGAGCTTCAGATACTGGTGAAATATTTTTTTCATAATAACCCTTGCTACTGAAGTAGGCTGCCGTGGGTACAATGACCTTTTAGTTGGGCTGTTTATGCCGGCCCATCTGTTATGCCGGATACTTGGGATATTTGTCAACGCCCCAACCGGAGCGTCCTTGTTTAAACAGTGGCGTCTGTGAATTGTGTGTGCAGGCTGTTTAGAAGAAACAGCGTCTCCAGCGTCTTTGAAATGCGGGTGCTACATCCATCAAATTGTCACTCAAATGTTGAAATCTGGGCGCAGACAATTTGTCCATGCAGAACATCAGCACTTGTCAAAATACTTTTCCTCCAGCATTAACCGGCAAATAGCGCTGCAACGGTCGGCATAGAGTATAGTCCAAGCTATTTCGTGCGCTCAGACCTTGTTTCAGAGTTTTAAAAAAATCAAAAAAATTTGGAGTGTGTTGTTACAATTTTTAGAAGAAATGGAATTAAATTTATTGAAATAGATTCAAGCTTTCTTATGTGTGTATTATAAATTATCGTCAGTACTCATTATATACGCACAAGTTTATTCTGTGCGCGCGCACTTGCATTTTTTGTTGTGTATCGAGTTTTATAGGCGCACTGTATTAAGCTCAAAGTCAGGGTTACGTTTGATAATACTCGTACCAGTGTCCTGCCAGATTACAATAATTTAGCAATTTACGGTACTCGTATAGTTTTGTTTCTACTTTACTCGTACTTATTCTTTACAAACGGGGCTTTCGGTATTTAAGGCTGCAGGACTGTTTTTATGATAGGTATTTTTATTAATCGAAATGGCATGCGGACGAGATACGTGTCTCTGTAAAGACTGCCACGCCTAACTGTCTCGCAATGGCTTGTATACTTTCCACGAAAAGGGAAGAAAAATTGGGCGTCGATGCGTTGATGATAAGAACTGTTTAAGTGTACAGCTGGCCGCACGAAGTATTGAATTTGTGCCTGTTTAATGCCGGCGTAAATGTGGGAAGGACTGTTTACTTTACGGCCGACAGACACCGGGATTTCCTCTCGGCTACTGAGGAATAATTACAGGAAGGAAAGCAAACGTAGGGTCAGTAACGCGCTTTGCGCCTCGTTTTCCGCTTAAACATAACTTCCGGCTTCTCCATTACACTCCGCTACATCTTCCACTCTTATTGCTTTTAGAAACTGATCAGCGCTTGTCGTTTGGCGGATTTTCTTTTAATAAAGTGAAAAATATGATGATAATAATTGTTTATATTAATTTCCGTTTCTAATAGTGTTATTTTTTCGATAAATCTAAACACAGTCACTCCGATAAATTCAGGTTGACAAAGATTCGTTTGTACTGTAGGTAGTTACAGAAACGTAATTTAAAACTATTATGCGCAGTTATTTGCAAATTACAATGCACACGAGTGGTATAACTGTGGCGTGCTGTGTCGGTATAGTGTATAAAATTTTGTCGTCTACATATGCAAACCGGTGCACTGCAGAGATCCTCTTCCGGTGTCACAGTTTCCCGATTTCACAGCTGACCTGCACTCGGAAGCAAACTGAAGCCGACATGTATATTCATCCTAAAGGCAATACTTTTCTTACTGTGCTAATGACCAACATTTTAATTTTATAGAGTTTCGCTGAAAAAACTAAATTTTGTAAATGTATCGCTTACCAGAGTCGAATTGCAACTTCTGTTAACTAATTTTAATATCTTCAATAACATTTATTGAAGATATTAAAATTTTTTAGACAGCGAATCTCCATACAGATACAACGGGGGAATGCGATCTGTGTAATGGGTACAATTCCCGATCAAGATAGCATTGAGGAGGTGTTTCTGTTATAAATGTTTCTAGTACTACGTTTGTACTTCTGATATGATACTTATTAAAGGTTCTTCCCACATTTATTTGTGAATTCTAGGCTTTTACAGCTTTGTTTCTGCAATTTTTGCGGTATGACGTGTGTAATAAAATAGAAAACCGCTAAAACTGGAAGGTGAACCCCTGCATATTGCGTCACGGTATTTATTTAGAGATCTAATTCCGGCAGTAAACCAGAAGTGCAAAATTAGGTTAGCCGGCATCGGACGCCGTAGAAGTATATTCCTTGGAACACATCTTTCATCCCCGACCCATTAAAGTGCAATTTTATTATAAGAAAAGCGTCGTATCAACACTTGTTTCGCAAGTGCACGCTCCTTACCGCATATATAAACAAACATTTGACCGCAGTAAACGCCGGTCCCAGACTGGTCAAAAAGCAAATGAAAAATGAGCCATTAGTGTCAGAATCAGAAATTAGTCGCTTTTCCCCTTGACTGGACCGCAAGTATCCCTTCTAGCGGTTATGTAATTATACACTCCTCAGATGACTATCAGTGATAAATGACGCAGTTAACCCATATTTTACAGTCACCGATAAAGAAAGAGTAGCTTGATGAAAAAATAATAGGTAAAATCGAGAAATGAACTTCGTTCCCGTTTGACATGGCAATAGATTTGCCACACTGATTGTTGCAGCGAAATTTAACTACTTTTAGTGCTCTCTTTATTTATTACATGCTAATATTATTACATTCGTATTATATTATTAAATTACATACATGCTGCTTTATAAGCTATATTCGAGCGACATTACGATACGCGAAAGCAAAAACAATCCAATCCGAATTAGAAATACTTCAATGATAATAAACAAATAAACAGGAAACGGGTCCAGTCATAATTAATGTTATATATTATTCTGGAGTTATAATCTGTGATCTATTCAGTAAACAAAAAAAATCGCACTGTATGTAAATTTCGAGTTATTGATTTGTACACCATCGTTTAGACGTCAGCGCGTGTACCGTACTTGGTATTACTTAACACCATAACAAAATAATATGTTACTAAATCTGTACAGTAACATCATAATACTTTGTATTACTAGTATTGTAATGTGATTATTATTATTGTACTGTTTAATATTGTGCATTAAATTAGTTTAATTATATGTGCACAAATTATTATTACTCGTACAGATATATTAGTGTATTCAGTAATTTATTATGCTAATATTTAAAACTATGATTGCAGGCGGCTAATATTTAAAACTATGATTGCAGGCGGTAGTTGGCCGTTAGACTTCAGTATGTGTGTTTTGTACAACTTCTCGGACATCACCGGCTGCACGGCCAGCATCATGCACATGTGCTTCATCAGTATTGACCGCTATCTGGGCATCTCCCGTCCGCTGAAGCAGCGCAACCGCTCCAACTCCGTCATCCACTTGAAGATCGCCTTTGTCTGGATCATCACCCTGGCCATCTCCTCGCCGGTCATCTTCGTCAGCCTGCACGACCCGAGCAACGTCTTGCCCACGCCCTGTCTGTGTACGATGGACAACCAGTACATTATGGTGGCCGGCAGTTTCACGGCCTTCTTCTTGCCGCTGGCCGTGATGGCCTTCATGATGGGATTGACGGTTAAACTGCTAAGGGAACAGGCCCGCTGGTCGGAAGGGAAGCGCGAGGCCGGCGGGGCGGTCAGCCGCTCACGGACGGCCATTAAGCGGAGACCACAGGAGCGGGCGCCGCCCGAACGCTGTAAAGCGCGCTACCGCAGTGATAGCAACAGCGGCGAACATCGCAGGTACAGTACTTACTGTAACATCCGTAGTGCAGCTGCTATATGTATCCGTTTTCGTTGTCGCCATGTTTTGAATAATCGTTCTCTTTTTGTTTTTCTGACTCAAAGACTACACACACAGTACTATTTTTGTATACTTTGTACTACACAGTACTAAACAGTACTTTGTAATACACAGTACTTTGTAGTACTTTGTACTACACAGTAAAAAGAATATACTTTTTTATATGTATACTACACAGTACTATTATATAGATATACTATTTTTATTTTTATATACCGTTCCCTATCTCCGCTCTGTCATTCAGTTGCGCAACCGGATATAACATTATTACATATTAATGTGATTAGTATAGCCGCAAAAGCGGTTTAGTATGAAATATGATTTGGCCGAAATGCCGTAGTTCAGAAAACTGGAAATGCCGAAGTGCCCGATGATGCGGCCGCTAAAACAGCTCAGCCACTGTATCGTTGTGATTTTCCCGTTTGACAGATCCAACGGGAACGTCGGCGTGTCGCATAACGAAGAGTCCTCGGCGTCGGACATTTCGCCGGATGAGCCGCTGGCCACCTCCAACAGTCCGACGCGCAGCTCCAAGGGCGTCAGCAAGATGCAGGCGGCGGTAAATCTGTTCAATCGGCGTCGCCAGAAGAAGCTCAGTGCTCAGAAAGTCGACAGCGAGAAGAAAGCCACCAAGGTGCTCAGCATCGTCTTCGCGCTCTTCGTGGCCTGCTGGACACCCTTCTTCGTCAACAATCTGTGGATGGGCGCCTGCCTCTTCAACGGCTACGACTGCTCACCGAAGCCGATCGTCCTCAAGGTGTTTTTGTGGCTGGGATGGGCGTCCAGCATAGGTATTGTACATCATACACAAATGCGTTCGGCTGTGGTGATATTACTTTGGAAGCACGCAGAAGTGGGTGCTTTACCCTCAGTAATGGCAAGGTTTCTGCCGCACAATATATCGATCGAGGTGGATGGTTTGACAAAAAAAACCGTTTGCATGAGAAAAGGAAACTTTCTAAAATATTTTTCATAGGTGACCACTCCGTTCGCAACCTTACACTCGGTTCGAATTACCTCTTGTACTCACGACCTTTTCGTCTTTTCGCTTTTAAGTTCTTCCAGGTCATAATCCATGAGCATAAGAAAACTTCGCGATTTATTTCCCACACTATAATTTTGCAAAGTTTAAAAAGATTTAAAAAAGTTTGGAAAGATTGCCTGATACCTGGTTCATTTCTACATCCAGGAATTAATTGCGTAGACAACACAAACAGCATTCTTTTGTGCGCTGTTTACTGGCAGCAGGCTGGTAGCAGCATCATTCATTTACAGAACTCGGATCGCAATAATTGAACAAACAGCTGTAAGGAAATAAAGTAATAAGTACAAATAGTTAAATCCGTTTCGCACGTGCCGGTAGACACAGTTAAAGGAGTTGCCGGAAAAGGCTGTGCAGGGAACGAAACGTAAAAAGGTTGTGAACCGAGTGGTGTCCTTTTTAATATTGTGAGTTTGATTATCGTCTCTTCTAGTAAAATCATAATTCTCCTAATCGGCTTGATGAATCGCGTTACACCTGCAGCTTTTCTACATGTTGCTTGATGACGACAGTCGGTAGTCGTAAAGACTCATAAAGGCGTCGGCTATTATTGCCTATTAATTGTAAGCTGTGTACAAGCCAGACTACTGTACCAATCGAGCATAAACTGAAACAGCGAAAAATACAAAGTTACTGTACGGCTCACGCCAAACTGTAGTGTAGTGACCAATATTTTAGTGCTGACAGTGCGCTAACTGCCCTAAACCTGTTCCTCTATATTCTCAATTAATTTTGAAGTCTGGCTTATACAGATTCCAACAATTGCAACATTTCGTCGACGTCAAGGATGCAGTTTCAAGCCACTTGACTACGTTTATACGTACTGCAGTACAATCCTAATAAAATACGGCGCAGTACAGTGAGGAATTTAGAATAATTGAATCGCACAGACTATCTATCATAAACAGATCGGAACCGAATCGATTCTTGTTTCTTCATATTAAATGGACTCAGTGCTTATTTCTGTATGGCAAAAACATTTAAAACCTTTTCAAGATTTGTTACATAAGGGCAAAAACTGATATTTGAAGTATTATTTAATACGGTACCAAATAATTACCATTATAAAAGATTGTGTGATTAGTTTGCACTTAGCCGCTACATCGATTGTCGTACAATGGAGAAGTGCATACAGTATGGTGCAATACTGCTCACACCTCAAGCTAAATTGTTGATTAAGGAAGTTTTAACTACTCGACTAGATGTTTATATTGTCACGATGTTTCATGGGCAGCCATTAATTACATGGGAAATGGCTAAGCATTTAACAAACTACAATTATTTTTAGCATAACTTTTTAAAAGAAATACTAATGGACCGACCGATTTTAGTGAATCCAGTGGTGTATACGGTGGTGAATCCGCTGTTCCGCAAAGCCTTCTTCCGCCTGCTGTGTTGCCCGTTCAGCAAGGACGCCGGTCAGCAGTGCCGGCGCCAACTGCAGCGCACCGTCCAGAACTGCCGCGAATGGTCCAGTCTGTCGGGCAGCTGCAGCACCACCGGCTGCACCGGCGGACCGTCCAACAACAAACGCGCCATCCTCCTACCAAACTCCGATTCGACCCACTTCAAGCCGAACGTCAAATGGAACCCCACCTTCTTAACGGCGCTGGCGCTGGATAACGAAACTCCCGTTTAAATAATATGTCCGCGCGACTTCCTGTGCGGATCGATTGATGGATAGTTTCAATTTGGATAATTATTACCCTTTGTTCTGCACTTGGTGGCATTTCTCCCGGTTGCGCAAAAAACAGAATTATGAAGAGACAGTTATTAGCGTACGACTTATCCAACTTTCAACTGTGTTAATTTGGTGTTCTTCCTGTGAGTTATGGTGATCTGTCTAATGTCTGCCAAAAATTGTTGCGTATTGATTATATTTGTCCGCTATTTTTCTTGTAATGTGAAATTTATGTCGGGCACATATTTACGTCTTTTGTACGGTGCGCTACGGCTGTCGTTTAGTAAAATTTCCGACAATCGACATCGAAGGCACAGTTTTTGAATTTTGTGCAGATAAAAAAACAGCTAAAAGGCTCTGAAAGTGTTGCACATAAAATCGCTTAATGCATCTTTAATGCAAACCGCCAAAAAACCCATTCGTTCTACATCTTCATCGTTATCCTACACTGATATCATTGTTATCAGACTTTTTTTATTAAATTTCCAAATATAATTTTCACGCTGGTGCGCCGAACTCACCAACCTTTCCAACCAAACACAGGAAATCATTCCACTCTCTACTGCTTTGCAGGCCGCTAAGGTTAGCATACGAAACCCATTTCGACACTCCACTGACCCACGACAATGACCACCACACGCGCTGACAAATGAACAAGCCGCATGATGCCTTAGATTTAAAAAAAAGGAATTGATTTCACCAAAAAATGAACAATAAACTCTTTCTTCCAAACCAGCATGCTAGATAATCCCGTGATCAACCATATCGTTCCTGAATATTGGTCATAACATTGCTGGCCATGGTGGACAGCCGGCCAGCCACCTTGGTGATGCCCTGCTTGACGCTCTCCTTCACTTCCGTCAGATCCGGCGTCTGCAGGTTCAGGTTCAGATTGCTGTACGTCGAGGAACGCGAAGTGGACTGTGGCGAGCCGGTGCCAAAGTATTCGGCACTGGAAATGCTGCTCTTCCCATCGAAGCGCGAATTGTTACTCTTGGTCTCCCACTAAAACCAATAATAAGGAACATTATGAAACAACCGAAAGTACCGTGCGCTCATTTTACATACCTACACGAATTTACATACCTTAAATTCTGAAGCACACAAAAGAATTTACGCATTTTTGGTAAGTATTATACAATCCGAATGATTAATCTGGATGATTAATGTACTCGTACTTAATAAGTAAGTATTACAGATTCAATCTCAAAAAAATAATTAGGAAATATATTAGCACATATTACGCTAAAATTTTATATCGCCTTTTTATGACAAATATTTCCTCCAGTGTTTCGACACTGCTATTTTGGAATCTGTACGAAACTGCAATGCCTTTACACTACGATTCCCATTAAGTACACATATGAACCAAAACTGCGAAGTTCAGTTCACCCGAAAACATTCGCACTATTTTTTACATGTATATTGCAAATTTAATATAAATAAGGTTACAACTTCAACTTAACGGGTCACTATGAATTAAACCCACGAGCACTTACATCGCTGGCTTTATCATTGCCAAAATACATATCCGATGAGATTGACTTGGCATTAGCAAACTTCTTCTGAGCATCATCACCGGCTGCGCTGCTCGTATCGGGTTTCTTGTATCGTGACGCACTACTACATACACAAAACGCAACACATGAGTTCCCCATTTCTGAAGTTGACAAGTTTCTCCAGCAGTGTGACCACGTGTCAAGTGGTAAGCAAAACCCAATTACCTGTCGCTGGCAGATGTGTGTGAAGTGTTCTTGCCGTAGTCATCGTCGTATGAGGAGGATTTGCCGGATGCCGTCGACCGATCACTAACCGTCATGCGGTTCATGTAATCTTCAAACGACTTGAATTCCTCACGATCCCGATTGCTACAACCAAACGTTCACACTGCAGGTCTAAACTGCCAAGTCTAAGTACCTCGAGAATAAATCTGACTTCATCCGAAATGTATGCAAAATAACCGAAACTACCTCAACATAATAAAAAAGAAAAATGTGATTAAACTTTACGTCAGACCCTGATTTCCGACGTAAACATGAGCAAAACCACAAAACAGCGGCAAATCAGATTTGTTACCGAGAGTTTCCACTTTCTTCCCAATCGTCTTCCTTGGGCTGACGATCCACAGCACCATACGATCTGAACTCATTGCGTCCGGCTGGGCGTTCCTGCTCGATCTTGGTCATGTCGGATAAAATGGAATGACTAATCTTCCTGTGTAATTACAAAACCCAATTCCGAATGAACACGGTCTTGCAAAGAAACAGTTAACGAGAATCCTTCAAAATTTCCACAAAAAGTCACTGGCGAATTACAATAAAAACATATTACTTTGGACACACACAGCAAAGCTACAAATCTTATAATTACAGTAACCCTTATAATAACGGCGTATACAACCAAGCGAATAAACTTACGCATGTGCCAGCTATCTACAATGTACACATATCAGATAGTTAGGGCAAACGTACCCTCTGGCGCCGACACCCATCCCCAGCCGCTCTAATTGTTCAGCTTTTTTCGGATCTGCCTTTTTTATACGCTCTTCCTCTTTTTTCCTGTCCACGTCCACATCTTGGTACGCAAAGCGTGCAGATATCCTACACAACATATCTAGTGAGTATCTAACAAGAACCGAAATAAACCCCGAAGAAACATTATAATTGTTGTTGGCTATATCCTTTTTACTTTGTTCATAAAGTAAACCCAAATACAGTAATTACTGATAACGTTTCTAAATAATGCTGATTATTTTAACTTCGCATGCTCTTGTCTTTATGTCGTACTCTCGAGTTATTACGTACTGATTCATAAGTCACGGAAAAAATACTCGGACAAGAAATCTAGCATTACCATCAAAATCTGCGCCCTAAACAATATGAAGTTTAACGCAATAACCTAACTGTGCTTTACAGGAAGTTCTTGAGAAACACTGCAGGAGCACCCATAAAGGTAACCGACACGGTTGACTTACTTGCTCGAATCCTCCGCGCTGCTGACTTCGAACTTGGACCGGGCAGCCAGCGATTCCAAACGACGCTTTTCAGCTTCTTCAGCTTGTTTCTCTAATTCTTCGAAATCGGCTTCAACCTTCTGAGCGCCAAGTTTACCCTTTTTCGGTCCAGCGGTCTTACGGGTGCCCAGTGTATGTTTGCCAATAGGGCTGGAATGCTCGGAACCAGCGGTATCGTTCAGGGCGGCTTCAACCGACGGACCAAGCAGATCTGAAACGAACTGAACATTAAACTCCAAAGAACATTCACACAACGGTTCTGTGGAAGGCTGGGGTTCAAGAGTATTTCGCCAGTAGCTGGAAAGTAGCAAACAGGAAACAAAGGTAGAAAAACACATAAAATGCAAAAAATTACAGGAAAAGAAACCTAAACCGTTAAAAATGTAATTCTTTGCGGTGATAATCCATGAATGTAGTAAAATATAAAATTATCTAAAAACAATAATAATTTTCACAAATTAAACTTTCCTATTACAAAAATAAAACAAAAAGCCGCAGTACATATGGGTAAGATGGTACGGAAGCAAAAAACTTCCGTGAATCAAGGGGAACGGCCTAAGTACACTCCGATGAGAAAACATACCATCGCCTAACTTTGCACTTCCATTTTTCGCTTTGTTGGATGATTTGTTTTCTTTCGTCTGCTGCCACGTTGTATTGTCTTCTTGAATATTTTCTGCCGAATGAACTTCAAAGAAATCGAAATTATCATCTTTTTTGGATTTGGGCGCGGATTCTTCTGGATTGGCGTCGACAATATGCTCTAAATGGAGCTGCAACACCAAAAAGCTATACAGTACGGGTAAAAGCTTAACATGAAAGTACGTAAACTGCTGACTGAATTTGGCAGAAAACATACTAAGTAATTTTACGCTGAAGGTTTACACCGGTGCGCATAAAATGAGCCATGCACAAATTTACATAATTCCAGTGCGGATAATCCTTCCAGACTAATATTTTTGTACAGATTATTTTAAAGCCTTTTTTACAGCACAAACTTATTACCAGAAAAATAATATTTTATCATTCTATGCTGATTTTCTCTCGTACCTTTGATCCATGGACTTTCATGGCTTGAATACTCATTTGCTGCAGTTTATCTTTGTACAATTGTGCAGCACGACTGTTATATTTTTGCTGAGCATCCGTTGTCGTGCACCCATGCTGTCGGAAAAATTCCGCCTAAAAAAGTCAATCCAAAAGCCACGTCAAATTAGCAACACTATTTAAGCAAAACTATATTCGTTAGTATTTTATCACTTTTATGGATAACAGCAATTTTATGATTTACGCAATCACATCGCTATCCGGATAATAATTTCGAAATCAATTCTCCACGACGAGTTCTCTGTTCGGTGTGTGCAAAACCATTTCAAACGAACAGAACGTGGCAAAGTTCCGCAGTTATACAACTTACAGCATGTGCGTTTCCCCCGAGCTGCATAGCACGTAGCTGGAGCCATGTCCAATTGGTATCCAACTGCGTGCTCCTGATAAACGATAAATGAACTCCCAAAGATCGGTGAACTGCCGAGCAGTCAATACATAAAAAAATTCCATATGTTACGCTGGCCCAAGTGGGATTTTTTGCTCCACAATCAAAACATGTCTAGAAAACCAGCACCATAAGATGAAAACCTGCTTGACTTAACGACCAACACAAGACGGTCTACAGGGCATCTGATTCGATGCGCAATTACTTTCTATTTGTTTTTAAAAATTTTACCTTATTACTGGAAATCCCTCGCAGTCTTTTCAGCGCTGCTGCAACATCAGCTTTGCTTGGGTTGTCATCAGCCATTTTGCAAATAAGCGAAAGGAAGGAACAGATAAATCAAGTAAGGAGTAAAACTGACAAGAACAGATCGTATAAGGTTCTTGTCCCAGATCCACGTCAGCGTGGTGGTTGGTGAATACAGCTGCTGCAAGGGCAAAAAACTGCGATAAACGTAAAAATTGCTAATAAATCCCAGTACTTGATCAAAACCGTGCTGTATCCGAGAAACCCTTGCTATCCCGAATAACTAAAGTAACCGAAGCTTTGAATTAATTTCAGTTTTCAATTTATTTTCAATAATCCGTAATCAGAAGCGATTTAAAAATTCAAGATTATTTTTCTTATCTACGTACAGTACGAGACTACGGCATGCGAGTCCAACGTGTCAAAATAGTGAAAAATACTGCTGCTGCAGTGACGTATTGCTGAATGGGCTGGAAAAATCATGATTCATACAGCGCACTGATAGCGCTACCGGATGCTAACCGCCTGAACGACGTGCAGTGTCCTAATATAACCCCATTATGCGGCTGACAAAGAACGGTAAAATTAATACTTTAAAATTCAAAGAAACGGTTTATTCTTTGATAAAATGCCGATGTCAGCTTGTCAGTACGCTCCACTAATCACACGAATTTGAGATTGAATTTAAAACTTCTAAGTCGTGATATCGTAAATTTATTGCAAGTAGCGTATTATATAATTTATATTGAATTTAAGGTTTCATTCGTACATTTTGAATGACCAGAATCATGAACTGTGTACGTAATTTATTACGATTCCGGTAACAGTGTAACTGCTTTTGCCGGTATCGCCAGGCCCGCGTTGGCATTTTTTCGGTAGGAACCTGGCTAGGCCCCACAGAAATAAAAAATACTGATACTGTAATAGATAAAAATTGAACAGACGAAAAGTGAAAATTAGTAATATTAACAGTGGCTAAAACGGAATAGTGAACCAACCGCGAATTCGAAGGTCGTCAACACACTTTGCGAAAACCTAATAGTGTTTAACCTAATAGCGAAAACCTAAACATAAGATGCAAAAACCTCTAGAAAGCGACATAAATATAATGCTAAACGTAAACATTGTTAATAAACCAATACGATAACTATACTCTGCTGTCTGCTCGGAATCCTTTATTAGGCAATTGCCATCAAAATATACCATAAAGCGCAAACGCGGACACCCTGCTTTACAGTTAAAATGTTTTTCTTTGTTTTTGCACTCGAACCTTATCCAGTTAAGTACTTAGTAATTAGTATGTCGATAAAACTGAGAAAAGTTATTGGTTTGCTATTTATTCATCCATAGAACTTTTTTTCATTTTCACATCGGTACGAGTGTATTTACAGATCAGAGAGAATTCATTGTATGTACCGATTTGCATCTTCGTTAATCATATTAAAAGTTACCGACAACTTTTTACAGTTAGATGCATAGAAAATATTTACAACAACATATACAAAAATGGGCGCCAGCCAGTGGACAAACAAAATGTTTTTATCACGTTGCATATTGGAGAAGAAGGGCCGATTGGCGGGGCATGTTAATAGCTGGCAGCCGGGCCAAAGCCAATAATGCCGCATCCAATGCGTGCACCGGAATTTCCGGTCTCGCGGCTCTGCTGATCGCCGCCCCGTCCAAGGTCATCGGGCTTTTCGTGGATAACCAACGTCCGGCCAATGACAAAGGAAGGCGATTGTGGATACAAGGAAATGAGCGGGCTCGAAACGGTGACAATGACCTCGCCGTATTCTGAAAACACCGGAATAATTCATTTATTACTAACGGTGAAGGTAATATCCGGCAAAAATATTTTATTTTCATATAACTGTATATATAAAACCGATATATATATACTTAGTTTTTGTTATTATGTTAATTCACATTTTTTTTGCTTTGGCCTTTGCAGTTTGCGTACCATTCGCTCGGACATTTCCCAGATCTCCTGCATGCGGTTGCATGTGTGCATCATCGGGCGATCCGTGGTAGTTACCTTCAGGATTGAAATGCGAACCAGCCGACTCGCATCCCATGCTTAAATCTCCGAAGGTATGGACGTGGAATCCATGGTCACCTTCAAAGTAATGTCAAATTGTTTACCATAAAATGATCGCAGTTGATTAGTGTATACCGGTAACATTCGCTCCAAGCAGCCGCTCGTTGGATAAACGCATTATCAGGAGATAAATATATATTAATATGTTCTGTGTTATATAAATTTTAGATCTAGCATAATAGTTATTACATTACACGTAATGCCACAAATATAAAACCGAGATATACATAACATTCCCAAATTTTGATGCTGTTTTTTTTATCACAAGTTGGAAACATCATGGCTTGGAAATGGCGTTACGAATACATAAAAAATATTGTCGGCGCCGGGAGTAACGATTACATACTTATCCTGGTCGTACCTGGTCGAACGCCGCCAATCCTTCCGCTGAGTTCTACCGGCGCATCGGGAGAGTACTGTGTCAAATTCACCAATCCACTGACGCCATACGGTCCAGTTACAATAACCACTGCTTGAGCCGGTTTGGAGTAGGCCGAATATTTGTCATATCCACCGTATCCCGGATACGATCCTGGGTACATACCACGGCTCTCCGGGATCTCATTACCAGCGATCGGGCGTCGGTACTGCGGCATTAATCCCTCCATGTACGATGCTCCGGTCGGGCTGACCACGGGCCGGTACTGGCTGGCCATGGCTGCCGCCCCAAATGCGGCCGCCGCTCCCAGATCCTGTCGACCGGTGGGAAAACCGCCACCCGGCATGCGGTTAAACATATTCATATTATTTGCCGCGCTCGTATCGGCTCCGGCACCGGCGCCAGCAGGATCGGTTGGCATACGTTGCGGCATGGCCCCAAAGGGCATTCCCGGCGGCATCGGCGGGAAGTTGCGGCCCTGCAGCATGGGGTTCATCATGGGATTCATCATGTTGTTCATCTGGACAAAATCATTCTGCATCTGCCGGGCCTGGATGAGCGCGCTGGCATCCGGCATAGCGTTTTTCCCACCGGCCGCTCCTTGCGCTGCTCCCGGGAGGGCTCCTGAGAGTCCCAGCTGCGGTCCCGGTCGGTTCGGTGGTAAGAGGCGCTGCGGGAAGGGAGCGCCCATGTTGGCCATCAGACCGGATACCCGGCCGTTGGGGCTGACATTAAAGGTCGTGGCAAAGAGCGATGTCGTCGGGCTGTTGGACTGGGGCGCCCCTCCGCTGCCAGCTTGGGGTCCGGCGCGCGGTTCCTGTCCGTTGGGGGATTTGGCAGCGGGATCATTCGGGACGGCCAGGCATTGGTGGAGGGCGAGGAATGTGATACCGAGATGAAGTAAAAATCCGCGCTGCAGCATGGTGGTATATTGCCGGTATACCTTATGCTGGACAGAGTGAAATGTGAAAATGATACAAATGTGCGGCTGCTGGTCTGGCTAAATATAGCTGCGAGAACGGGGATGCTTGACTGCGTGTAATGTTGCAATTTGAAGATGGATGGAGAGTGGTGAGGCAGGCCTAGGTGATGGATACGTCATGTGCCGGTCGAACGGTTTGTGGTTCAGTACAGTCACAATGGCGGCTGGTCAAGCGGGCCGCCAGGCGACCATCAGAAAGCGGTACATACTAGTAGTTTGAGTTTGAAATCTGGGAACACACAATTATTACATTGTCGAGTTGATTGTTGAAAGCGCATGTAAGTCAAATAAATTATGGTTAGGGAAATTCCTCAAAGTCTGCACCATACTTAATGCTGAAACACTTTGCTTACTGAGTTTTCATGAGCAACAACATCAGTAAAAACCTGAATGAACGTAGAAACCTGGTTGTGCGCTGTTTTTTTGCTGTGTATTGCAACACCTGACAACACTTGCAACAAATTAAGCCAACGGATACACACAATCCATTCTTTCGAACAATCTTTTAAGGAAATGCTTACGACTTCGGCGCCGGCATTTTTGACCAACGATTTCTGTAATCAACAATTTCTAGCCACTTTAACATATACATTTACATTACTGTAACTATAATATGTGTAACTACATGTATATCCATTTTTACTTTTTTTCGACATAAGTCAGTTCACAGATCAGTTTTATGTGGAAGCTAGGTACTGTATGTCAAGATAAATTTTAAATTTTTTGCATTTGAGCTATAGCGGCTGGAGCATTTGAACTATTTTACTCTTAGCGATATCATGATCATGAATTAAGGAAAAAGGCAATGATAATGCTACCAATCTTTGCAATAGTGCATATAAACTTTAAAACAACTTGTTTTATATATTTGGGCGGCAGTAAGTAAACTTCCTTTCGGTCATAAAATTACTATGGCGGCATTGTTCTGCGGCTAATATTTTGGCATATTTTGGTTTGGGGCTTTGGTGGCTTTGGTGGAAAAGGTCACGGGCAGCGGTTTTCGGTTTTGCTGAGACCGTGACGCTAGCCTGCAGTGCCACCGAGCGGTCCGTTGCGTAAACTTTACCATAAGTTGATTTTTGATAAACTGTACTGTACGTCGTACGGTGACTGCAAGTGGCGGTTGTCCAGTTTCGGCTGTGCTGAACTGTTGACAAGATTATTTATTTATGAAGCGCATTTGAAGCGCAGACAATTTCGGGCGTTACCATGAGATCCTCCTCGAGTACACAGAGGACTTTACATAGTCTAGTCAGGTAGTTTATACAGTGCAGCGGGGGATTTAAGCGGCCAGCACAGTCCGGCTCTTGATAATGGTAATGCGCCCGCCACGGCAGCCGATTAGACAACGTCCGTCGGCAGCGGGTATTACGGCTGCCCGTGTGTGCCGGTAGTCAGTGGCGGCGTTGAATGATAAGTCCCAACCTGATCATCAGTCAAGACGGGCTTTTTGAACAGATCATGCGCTGAGTGTTTACTGTAAATACGTAAGCCTCTTTTAGGCCTTGAATAAACATCAAGTTCACTGTCACGGGTGTCAGAGAGAATGGAAAATGTTACAGTCACTTACAAACGATAATGAAAACCATATTCATCGCCTCACCGCGATTGTCAAATTTACCTACAATTACTCAGAGTAACCGTCAACGTAATTATTTTAATTTTACTAAAATTGAGATAGCTGAGAATTACAGTCACTATATTTAATGCATTCAGGTATCAACATTTATTAATTTGTTAATTTTTGCAAAGCCGATAAGAAGATTGTTCTGTGTGCAGCAGACATCGGCGTTGCCATTTTCACATGGTACATAAACTGCATTTTGTAGGCTAAATTAAAACTTAAAAGGCTTCGAAAGTACTTATCCGGCTGCACAGTCATGGCCTTACTGTATATATGGGTACAACAGTACGTACTTGCAATAATATAAATATTTTATTTCAAAACGTTTTCGAAACATACAAAAGATAAACTGCTAGAATGATCTGCTAAGTGGGCTTAAGTGCAAATGGCATTAATTTGCTTGTACAAGTTCCAAATAAAGATAGCGATATACTAAGAAACACTAAGTAATCCTATTCCGAAAATATTTTAATATTACCATTTGTGCAATTTTTTTCTAGAACGAAACTTTCTGTACTAAAAAGAGCGTTTTAAAACTTTTTTTGGTTGATGTGCATGTGCACCGTACCTAACAAGGTGCGCTCAGCCGTTCACCGATCGCGACACCGGCCATCTTGATATTGAAAATTACACGTTGTTTTTGTGTATGTTTTGTGCTCGGCTTTGCAGTCAAATAAACTTGATAAACTGCCTTCGCACTCAGATTTCAGACAAGTGCAAAGTGCAGCGTTACATGATCAAGTCCACAAAAAGCAGTGAACCGATTTTTTGCAAACCGGAAGCTGGAAAATAATTGAAAAATTCGGCCCAGATTGGCAATTGTTTGGTTACAAACGGCGGTCAAAGCCACTGGTAGCCTTTACGACAGAAGAGAAAACAACGGGGCACAAATAATATAAAAGCTCATTTATTATCAGGCAGACAAATTTGTTGCGATTGTGGCAGTACAGTAGACCGGTGGATATACTTTCATTCCGTTTTAATTTAGATTTGACAATTTCAAAGTCTAACGGGATAGGTCATCAGTTTTCCAATAGTTTTCTTTTTTTAACGACGTCTTTAATTTATTTGTTTGCAACATGCTGACATTAACGATAATAGCAGCCGGTAAGTTTCTGCTTGCAATAAGGAATACTTCCCCTTCAGCGATAGAAGTAAAAACTGTATAGATATATATTATTCATATAATATAAAGAAATCAGCTTACTTTATACGACGTAATTACTAGTCTTGGTCATAATAATGTGAGAAAAAGTATCTCTTGATAAGCAGTGGTGCCGGTAATATTTGATGATCTGCAAAGTCATTTGTAAAAAACCCTGTTTGTTATATTCAGTTAATTTTAGTACATTTCAGTATTCATTGTAGTGCTTAATCGTGATGCTGTTTGATTGTAGTCATCGGCAGTGCGCTGACCGCAGGCTATCAGGCGCCAACTCCCTACGCAGCAGCTCCCGCCTACACGGCACCGGCATCCTATTCACCTCCGGCTTACCAAGCACCGGCGTCCTATTCACCTCCGGCTTACCAAGCACCGGCCGCACCGACTTACTCGCAGTCCACGTACTCTGCATCCTACTCTGCCCCGGCGCAGCCGGCATACTCCTCCTATTCCGCGCCACCCACCTACCAGTCTTCCTATACCGCGCCGGCGACGTCCTACTCGGCGCCCCCCACCTATCAAGCATCCTACTCCGCGCCGGCTCAGCCAGCGTATTCATCATACTCCGCGCCGCCGACCTACCAGGCCCCCTACTCCGCACCAGCCCAGCCGGCCTACTCCTCGTACTCGGCACCCCCGACTTACCAGCAGCCAGCGTACACCGCACCGGCCAGCTACCAGTCCTCTTACAGCAACTACTCCAAACCCGCTTATCCATCGTACAGCAACTACTCCAAGCCGGCCTACCAGCAGACCTACACCCAGCAGACCTACAGCTCATACGCCGCCCCCGCCTACCAACAGCCGGCTCCGTCCTACCACGCCTACGGTGCGCAGACCTACCAGAAACCGGCCGTTACCTATGAACAGCCAGCCTACCAGCAGTCTTATCAGCAGCCGGCCTACCAACAATCTTACCAGCCAGCCTATCAGCAACCATCTTCCTACCAACAACCTGCATCTTACCAACAATCCTACCAGCCAGCGTACCAAGCGCCTGCTCCCACCTATCAGTCGCCGCCGGCTTACCAGCCCGCCTATCAGGCTCCAGCTGCCACCTACCAAGCCCCCACTCCCAGCTACTCTCAGTCTTACACCGCGCCCGCGCCCGCCTATCAAGCGCCAGCGACCTACCAGGCTGCTCCGGCTTACACCCAGACCACCTACAAGCAGACTTCCTACAGCTACCAGGCCCCGCCGGCGGCTACCTACTAGAGGGCAGGAAGGTCACCGGATGATATTCATGGTGCAGTGCACCGGCTTTCTCTGTGACTAAATAAATACTACATATTTGTGGCGCATATAGTTGCTGCTATGTTCCCGCTAAAAATCTGTGCTTTGTTGTTTTGTTAAGTACTGCACGTAACTCGTGATATGCATAATATATATTCGACGCGTATAAGAGTGCTTTCTTCGATACGTATTGCGTTGAGAGACCTAAAATTGTTGTTGAAATAAAAATAAAAAGCTGCTTCAGTAACCAATTCATAGAATTATGGCTTTTACGGTATCCTACGCAATACACCCGTACGTAAGCATTTTCGATTTGAGTTTCATCAATGCTTTTGCAAAATAACGTCATGGAGCCAGGAGACTCAGTCATAATTTTTTAAACTTTGACACACTACAATTTTGCAACAAAGTTGATGTGCGAGCACCGGAGCTACTGTTTAAAACAAATATGAGAAATGCTAAATTGGAAAATACGTATAGTTACAGTATTATCTGTAGATACGAGTTACGTATAGTTACAGTATTAGATAATATATAATTGTATGGATACTCGTACATCATACATGTACAGTAATTACTGTGTCAGTCTGTGTCCAGCCCTGCTCTCTGTCTAACAATAAATGCAAGCAACGACAAAAAACCCAGGTAAACGACTGGGACGACAGATGTACCATTCTTATAATTTAATATCTGTGTGCATAATTTTATATTTGCGTCGCCTAATCATCTAATTGTTCTGTATATGGTCGGCACCTGCATAAACGCTGTAATTCAGGGCGCGTAACTGCGTTAATATCTACAGATATTAAGTTGAACAGAAAAATGTACGTCCGATCTGGTTTCCCAGCAATTCGTCGACGGAAATTTGCTGACCATCAGCAAGCCGAAGGAACCCGTCGAAAGGAGCGTAGTTCAGGTTTCTTAGTTTCCGAAATTCCTTGGTTTTCTTAACGCTCGCTCTTGTGACAATCGATCTCGTGCGCTTGACCTTGGGACAGTGGAAGCAGTGTTTGTCGGCGCAGTGTCGATGAGCCGTCTGATATAAGCCATTTTACCGGTCATTTACTAGTGCTATTCGTAAAGTACAGTATTTAAACAATTAAATAGATGTATTGTCAATAGTAATTTTACTATATTGGCTCCTTGCACTTATTAGTTATTAGTTACTTTTAGTGCGTTAACTTTGGTTTTCAATTAAAAATAATGTTAAATATTGGTAACAAAAGATACCGTACAGATACACACAGTCGCTGGGTTCCAGTTACCGGTACATGCAAAGCAGCGGCATGGTGATGGACCGCTGCTGCAAACAAAAGTTCGTCGGCCGCAAAGAACATCGATAAGAACGCTGCATGTATTTAACAATGCGCTACAAGGACAGTTACCTTTGCATCCACAAGCGTTTTACTTTTTTTATTTTAAATGGATTCAAGGTTAATAAGGTCAGTACTCCGATAGACCAGCCCGATATAAAATCAAACAATATGCTTCCTACTGAACCTTGGCGGCCTAAACGCGACCTTCGATTGTAAAATTGCCGTAGTCTGGCTTCTTTGCAATTTAGACAAATTAGTTGGTGTTCGCACTTGTACCACCAAGGAATCAATAACTGCGAGACTGCAGTTAGTCTGGGATTACGCGGGTCATCTAAATTATTTATTCCATATTTTCGGTGCTCGACAAAACCATGGCCTTATTCGTTGCAGCGACTCTTTTAGCAGGTAATTCCATATAATATTATTCTGTTCTGTGAGAATACAACGGCTATTCAACGGCATTAAGCAGAATAACAGATAAGAAGGACCTGCAGTAATAGATAAGGCTGTAACTTTTTTTCTATAGTTATAACAAAAATTATGATTTTGGTAGGTGGTAGGGCGCAATCAAACCAGAATTAACATCCTATTTAAAACTTATTCGTTATTTATCGATAACTAATAGCACACCTTGTTAGAGCGTGCTGAATTTTTTATGATTTCGTTGTGTTATGTTATTTTTTTCCAGTTCTAACTAATTCAATAAAACGGCCGCTAGTCTCTTCTTGTTTGGTATACCTACTTCCGGTCACTAGTAATAATAACTATTACAATTATGTTTATGCTATAGTATGTACTAATACTGACCTTTACAGTGATAGCTGCGGCTACCGCTCAGACGTACGACAGCAACTACAACGCGGCTCCGGCATACAACCAGCAGTACAGCCAATCCTACGCCGCCCCGGCGTCCTATTACGGCCAAACCCCCTCGTACTCCCCCAACTACCAGGCCTCCTACACGCCCCAGTATCCTAACTACTACAACTACTACAACCGCTACGCCGGCTACATCCCGCCCGTCGGCTACCAGGGCTCGTCCCCGTCGTATGCCTCGTACCAGGACACCGGATACTCAGGTTATCAGGGCTATGGAGCGTATCAAATGGGCTACGGATACGGTGTGGCTAACTACGGATCCGGTAATTACCAGGGCCAGCAGTATCAGGGCGGATACCAGGGCGGTTACCAGCAGGCCAGTCCTTCCTACGGACAACAGTATCAAGGAGCGTCCTACTGAGCCGACTACCGCGCCTGGTTCAGCAGTGTCTGTTACGGCATATTGATAGTGTTTTTGTTTTGGATAAGGATGCGGAATATTTGGTTGTTATCTTCACTGTTAGTTGTCAGGGCGTTTTGCCCATATTTGTCTACTCTAAAATAAAACCTTCGGGTCAACCGACAGAAAAATTGATATAATTACATGATTAGTAAATGTTTTATCGAGTCAGCTATTACTGTATTTTGCCATAGTAAAACAAATCATTGAATTTTTTACTGTGCATTTTATGATTTAATAGAGAACTTAGACAAATTCGGTTTATTGATGCGATAGAACCGTCATCACTTTTGACCTTTAAGAGCTGAAAACATGTACAGTGTGTTATATCCTAAAAACGGCCGATGTCACCCAGATTCAGCTTCGAGGACATACTGACTTGTTGGAAACCGCTGGTGATAAAGTTCTCAATAAAGTTTTGGTAATAAAGTTTTTTTTTACGCATACGTTAAGGATAACTAAAGATATCACACATCTGCAGCTATCCTAACAGAAAAATGTCGTATCAAGTGTTATTTAAACGGTGCAAGGAGCACACAGCAATGTTTTAATGAGCAACATGATGCTGCGTATTTTCGGATACTTGGAGTACCTTTGCTGCAGAATATAATACCGTTATGAATAAACGGCAAACCGATAAAGTTGTAACATGTGGCATGATTAAATATAAAATATACGCCTGTAATCGCAAAAAGTAGTAGTTAATTTTTGGATGGAACAAAACGTGACACCATTGTTAATAATCATATGTTTTCGGCACCGTTGGGCATAATGTGCATCGTTTCAGAAAACTGTTTTCTTTTCCCTCCCATAAGGCCATGCCATGTCTGATTATATCATGCAGTTTTTAAATTTATTAGCGAATATTTTTTGTCGTATCACTATATTTTACAATTTTATATGAAGTGTGGTCAAAAGCGGCAATATACTTTAACAATGTACAGATAACTATCGCGCAGTAAATTTCGCCAATCAAACCAGCATAGTAAACCCTTGTGAGCTACGTAAAAAACGCCCAGATTTAGCAATCAGCAGAAAAGGAATACACGGGAAAGCAAAAACTCAGCACAACAAGTTACAGATCAACAGTACTCTGGTGGATGAGTTTGTTGTGCCATTTTACCCCGGTAATTTTCTGTATGTGCGGAGCCTAATTTATTACGGGAGTCAACACAGCATTGTGTTTTTATAGTTAATCTAGAACGCATGGATTAATGTTTTAGATCAATCTGTACATATGCGAATGTACAGTTACACATACACAGTCATTCCCGATTTTGATCGGCATCGGATTAGGTCAAATTATCGCAGGCCAGAAAAAAATGCCAACAATTGTCATAGTAAAGAGGCTACGGGTACGGAATGTTGACCCTTAGTCCATAGCGGTCATTCTCCAGCGACACCGAGTTCTTTAGGAGGAAACCGCTGGTATTGACCGTTTAGTTCCGGAGACATGCAGCTGGCTTGATTCTTTTGCTGGTGGTTGTGTTGCTGTTTGACACACTTGGTTCATTTCCAATACATTATTACGCAACAGGATCCCCATGTCAAGTTAAATACATTTCATGATACGGCCCACACGCTGAGACACATTTTGCTATAAGGGAATTACAATAGATCTGACTGAACGCGGGTGTGAGATGAACGCGTACGCGCGGCTCGTTCTGCTGACCGGTAAAGTAACTTCAATATTTCTACGCAAAATCCTTTTTTATTTTCTTTAAAAATTATATCGTGTTTGTTAAACTAGTTTCGTACTTTTTGCATTTCAAAAGCTCTTTCAGATACAAAAAGTTGGTAAACTTAAACGTTGTTATCATATATCACATTTATTGCTTTAAATATCTGTACATATATTTAGTGTATTACATAAGTGCATTACATATTGTTTTGTTGTATCCAAATTCAGGTTTTTGCGCGCTATGGATAACCGGTAGTGGCGCAGTCAGGTACAAATTTCCACCGGGTGAGGACGGCAACTACACCAGCTGCGGAGTAACGACATCGCTGAGGGCATCCAGCTCCGATCCTAACGCGCAGAGTCCGAGCAGCACTATCCTCATATCCAGTTCCATTGATCCAAACGTTGAGTAAGCACGTTTTCCAGACACTGTCATTTCATAAACGAAACAAACGATACATTTGCTATTAATTAAGACAAACGTATTTATTTTATTTTTGAATTTGCGGAGATTTTACACTTCATGTATTTTTTAAAATGAATTGAAAGTGCTGTTGTACTATGCCAGATATCTGTGTTCGGCCGGTTACGGTTACGACATCACAGGAATCTACTGCTACTCCCTAAAATGCCCGGCATACGGTTATGACCAACGCACTCCGTATCCCAATCCGTACGCCCCGCCCCAGCCTGGTTACGGTCCCCAAAAAGGCCCTTATCAGCCCGCTTATCAAGCTGTCACTGTCGGTGCGCAAATTGCTTCAGTAGAAACTACATATCCGTGCTGGAAAATACGGGTGAGATTTTATTATTAATCTTAACAAGGTAAAATCGCTTATTTAACATGCTTAAATGCGACAAAAGTTAAGGATATTATCGATACGAGAGTACGCAAAGCCCGGTCACGCTGATACAGAAAATTATATGCATATTTTTAGTTAATATTTGTACGGTTTAGTTTATATGCAGAATTGTTTTGAACGCTAATGCACTAATTCGTAGCAACTCCGACTGAACACCTACGTCTACATCGTCTGCTTCATCCGCGGCTACGCATCCACCATATACCAGGTGAACTTCAAGGAGAACTACCAGATCACCTTTGACCAGGTAGAATCCATCTTCAACACCGGTCTCAGCGGCGTGGGACGTGTGGGCTTCACCACGGAAAAGGAGCTCTCCTGCCTCGTCACCGTCTTCTCCAGCTACCACACCGCTTTCCGCTACGACCAGATCCGCGAGCCCTCCGACATACTCCCGCCGATCTACCACATCTGCCCCAACAACTACAAATGGTACTACTGCGGCAATCTGCCAGTGACCTCCACGGTGGACGCCTCCATGTGGCTGGTGCACAAGACACCGCAAGCCTTTTTGGTGGCCAAACAAGGTGTTGACTCCGCACCGGTGCCGGGCGTCATCACTGTGAACCGCGATTCGCCGACGGGAAATTATTCCGTGGAAAAATGCACAACCCCCATTGTGCATTTCTCCATTAATCCCGATGTGGAGGAGTACGTCTGCAGGAATAAGCTGATTGAGACAATCACAAATATCGGCTGCTCGAATACCGACGGAAGTTACGCGCCCATTTATCCATTATGCGGTGCGTTGTAAAAAACTTATTAATTTTCATTAGTACTGCCATACATTTTACATGTAAATGATATAATTATACGAGAAGATATGCACATATGAATTACATTTTGTTAGTGATACATAAGACACATGTGTTTATACATTTTTCAAAAACAACGATAAATAAATGTACAGATGCATACTGTATACAGTATTTTGCCAAAATCCTAATGTTGTACGAGTACAAAGTTCGTCGATTTTGAAACTCGTATAGATAATTGTAGTATAAATTTTCTAAGGTATCAGTTATAATTTGATTCATAGAGATGCCGGCAAATGTTACTGCAGCTAATTTCGTATGAACGATTGTTATAGGTATCAACAAGGCAAATGTTATTTATGCCGGAAACATGACCTTCATGTGCGCTTCGGTTAATGTCCTGCACTGCTGCAATTATACCGTCGTGGAAGGCCAACCCAGATACTCCTCCTTCTGCATGTTGTACGATACCAGCGCTAACCAGTTGCGACAAGACAAAGTGGTCTTCCTCCGCGGCTCAGACCAGGTAAACGGTGCTGCGCTTCTACAGAAGTCTTGTAATTCTTGTTATCCAACGCACTTCTTTGTTTCTTAGGCTTCCGATCTACAGTATGTGCGAGGTCACAGTGACGCATGCCAGTACATTTTTGTGACCAGTCCGACCAAGTCATTGCGAGCCTACTGCTTGTCCAGTCTCGTGGCGGCCATGAACAACGTCTCCACCTGCGGCGACTACACGCCGGGCGAGATCAACCCAACGGAAATTGGAAAGGAGTCCCATTATTACGGGGCCGAGTCTTGTAGCTACAAATCCAAGTGCTGTGGATCATCGTCAACATGCGTGGCGTGCACGCGACCGGCCAAATTTTATGGCACGTATTTTTATTTTCTTGTAACGATTTAGCACTTTGTCGATAATAACACTGTATCTTGCATACTCTTACAAATTTTGTATTCCTATTTCTTTGTATACCTTTTATAAATTTGTATTTAGCGAGAACATATACAGTGGTATGTGAGAAGCATGACCTTTTCACGCTTCCCATGGAAACTGTACTAATTTGTTTTTTATATCGCAGACAAATATCTATCGGAACTGTCATGCGGCTCCGACAAAAAGAACAACTACGACGACTCAGGTGACTATCCCAGTCCTCCAGCGCGCAACCCGTACGGACAAAGTCCGCAGCCTTACGGCCGTCCCGGTAATTACACCCAGTACGGACCACCGCCCCAGTACGGTGGGGGCCAGTATGGACCACCTCTTCCTCCTCAGTACGGACCTCCTGGTTACCCAGGCCTGCCGCCGCCCGGCAACTACGCCATGCCTTACCAAGCTCAGTATCCTCCATATGGCGCCGGACCACATTATCCGGGTTAAACGCAAAACTGTCTCATTAGTGATACTGGGAAGCTGTCCATTCTTTGTGGGAAAAAAACAGTGCAAAAATTGTTTTTCTACTCTTTCTCGATGATTCTCGTTATATTATTAAGTTTTGTTTAAGCGCAATCTGTAAAGTTGTGAATGACCGAGTACTTAATCGAATGCAGTAGTGTCTGAATTTATTTATAAATAATTCTCTGCAGGATTCTGTGGTATTTTACTAGCGTTACTTTTCATATAGAACGCAGGCTCGGCTTGTGATAATCACCTTATTATTTATAGTTTAAACGTTAATAATGATATAGCTCGTTTGGCACGTTTCACCCTGTAGATACGTATACGTACATAATGAGTGATTAACATGCCACATGTGCCTAAGCTGGCTTACGTTGTCCTTAATCATAGTTAATTGTGGGTGAATCCATCCCATTTCTTGCTTATGGCTGTTTGTCACTCCTTATTGGTTGCTTTGTTTCTGAGAGATTGAGATTCTGAGCGGTTTTGCTCTGCTGAGTGTTGGTGTTCAGTTGAAATCATTTCTGCAGTTTGGGCAGTGAATTTTTCTCCCTCCCGCCCTTTCTGCCCTTTGCAGTGACTTTGTTTTTTTTTTGTACAGTATGTTCTTATTCTGTTGCACAATATATACAATCATAATAATTATGTCAACATATTTTCAAACATTTGCCGGCCGCATACCTTATCAAAAATACATGATCGCAACTTACAATAAATTTGATGATCTTCTACTGTACAGTACCTCCTGAATGGGTCGGCAGACACGTTATGGAATTTACGATTTTAATTGCGTGCTTTTGAACTGACCGGTGAGGTGATTTGGTCTCAGTGTGCGACCAGTCCATAAAACACTTGCGGGCTCAGCCAAAGAGGGGAGCGGGCGCCGTTGCAACCGTGAGATATCGCTGCGGAACTGGGAGCATATCATTCTGTACATATGTCCCGAACGTGTCTTGCGCAGGGAAATGAAGTATGGCATGAAGTCCACCAAATTAGCAAGCAATTGAGCATTTGATAATCGTACCTGAACATAATTATTATTGAGTGTACAACTTCAGCATTCTAACTACTCGCTAAAAGATTCTGATTGTCACCGAAAGGCGCAGATATTCGAATCGAAAAGTGACAAAAGTCGATGATCAAGTGGTTTTTGTGCATTCTTTATTTTACTCGTAGTTGCGCTGCCGGCCACGTTGCTTAGCAACTGCAGTGTTTGCAAATTCAGTGGTGTTTCCTTTCGTGCAGCACTGCATGCGTTGCAGTAGGGCTTTTATTTGTTTTATAACTTGAGGAGTTTGTAAAAACCAGTTGTGCCCTCTGCGTTTCGCAGTCCATCTCTATCTAACGTTTTGAAGATGGCTAATGGAGACGTTGATGACCTTTCCAGCGTGGACGAACAGTATGCACAAATCACGAATCTCCATCCAAATCCAGTTGGCTATCTCCATGAAATATGCAGCAAACGGAAAGAAGACACTCCGCAGTTCACCGTGATATCGTATCATCAGAAGAAAGCAACGACTGTATTCTTCGTAAAGGCTGCTGCACTGGGAATTGACGCAGTCGGCTCTGGATCGCGAAAGAATAACGCCAAAGCCGTCGCGGCATATAAAATACTGGCAGCAAAGAATTTTTGCCAGCCCGTGCTCGATTTGACTGAACCGAAGGTTAACGAAGAAGTTCCGCCTGAACCAGCACCAGTGGAGAATCATGAAAAGCGGAACGAGAACGATCTTCAACCACTGCTGTAAGTGCGGGTGAACTCAAAAGCGTTGGCATAGTACGTTGTCCGCTCAGTTTCATGTGAAAGAATAATAAAGCTACTGTGTACCGAACCGTGATATTGTAATTACATAGGTTTACTGGGCAATAGCCGCCATAACAACAAAAGTGCAAGCGCGGAAACACTACTTTACAGTTAAAATTTAAACATTAAAAAAACAACCAAAATCTCTATCCGCCCGCGGGTTAAAAGGCAACGTACTTAACACAGCAGTAGCATTCCCTTAATGACAGCCAAACTAAAACGTTGCTTCGTAAAAGCAGTAGAACGCGCTTTTCCAGTTAATTCACGAGTTTTACGGCCCATAAAATGTACAAATTCACTTAAAGCTAGGCCGAAGACACCGAACGTTTCAACAACTAAGGGATAGAAAAGGTGTCTACTTTCAGTGGAGAGTACTTCCGTCGCTTCTCATTTTCTGCCAGGTGAGCCACACTTCCTGCCTTCTTCGAACTTCCTTGGACATGGGAATCGGCTACTGTACACCAGCTTGTGACATCCCATACAACAGACTTTCCTTGACGGACTGGAATAAGCGTCATGCCGTCAGGTCGAATCGCCGCACTTGGTGATAGGCCCGTCGGTTCCAGTTGACATGGGAATCCTGCACTCTCGCAACAGTTTTTGGCAATACTGTTCATTTCTCTATGTCTGGCCCATCGCCCATTCGTTGATTTATTGCAGGAAAGCCCGTGATGCAGGAAAGCCCGTTCGCTTCCACTAATTTGCCGCATGCCACGCAGTTATGAGCTGCCATTACAGGCAATCCAAAACGTAATGCCACTCCTACTCTGACTTCTTCATCTCGTAAAAACTTTCCAAGACAAGGCGCCGGTAATGCATTCAGCCATCCCCCGGAATCTCTGCTAAATGCAGCCAACAATACGGCTCTTGCGCGCTCATTGCCAATCGTTGATAACATCAGTTCTGATACATCCCTGTCAATCATCGGTACATCCCACAAGTACTGAAACTTTCGCACACAATCTTCTGGTAGCGTGCAGTTCGTCGTCTGATCGCCCCGTGCCGTAATCACATAGCCTTGCTGATCCCTATTTGGTTTGGTGAATAAACGATTGCATTTCGAATAAAACTTGGAAATATACTAAAGTAAATAATGCTGCATTAATGATTGGTCATTGTAGAGAAAAATCGAAAGTGAATGACGAAAAGCAAGTTGTGGCCATTTGCAGTTCATCCGGACGCCAAGACCTTTTAACAGAAAAGAAGCTCAGTGTATTCTCTTCAATCCCCCCATTTAACACAAATAATCCTACAGCAAGGTATGTCAATTGTCAGATCGCCCCGTGCCGTATAACATCCCAAAGTAAATAACTTTTTGAAAATATTATGTAAGTGTGGCCTGTGCTCTGTTTATTACAGTACGTGTTAATGATTGATTACTACCTGTTGCTGCGCACATTCGAATGCAACGATAAGCTAAAATACTTAATTACTACTGCATGGTGGCAGCCTGTAGAGAATAGCATGTAATAATAATATGCAAGTGTGCGAGTACAGAACCCAAATTTAATATCTTCTAGTGTCAATTGGATATTGAACATCGTCCAAGCAGGATCTCTGCGCATTGAGTACCAAGAAGCCGGCAGATCGGAGGAACAGTCACGAGCGTCATGGATCTGCAGAGTGATGGTGGATGAAGAGGTCACCGTTGGGGAAGGTGCCAGCAAACGACAGGCTCTTCGAGAGGCTGCTGAACGCATGCATAATTACCTGCTAAGCCTCGAGAGTGTCCAACTAAAGCTAGAAACTGTTGAGGAAAAACTGGTACGGGTTGCGATTACTTTCTTTGTTAACATTTATTTGTGTGATGTACAATTAGCCAGGCGAAACAGAATAATATACAAATATAAATGTAATGGGTGCACGGTATATTATGCACTTTACATCTTCATATAAACCTTAAATCAAAAGCCAAAAAGTACGTCGTGTATAAAAATAATTCACTTATAATTATTGCTTGCACAAATAATTCAAGTAGGATATAATTTTTATAAGCGTACCGAGGTATGTGTAATGATAATTCTGTGGCACATCAGAGTTTCAAAGATTACGTTCTAAAATGTAAATGTTTTCGGATTGCATGGTTGTAATTAACATGTTGAATGAGAGTTTGTGTCTGCAATTTTACTGTGTGTGCTTTGCAGAAACTATTCCAGAAACCACCGGTAAAAACAGAAACGCCGGCAGGATGGGGTCGATTTCAACATAGTCTGCTCATTAATCGCTCTGCTAAGAATCTGCCGACAGGAGCAGCATTATTACAAGAATACTACCAGGACTCACAGTGGAGTACCTTGGATGATCGATTGGCTTTACTGGCTACTAAATACAGTTTCCGGTATTACTTTGAGCCATGGCCACAGACTGACTCCTTCAAGAGCAGCTACCGTTCTGTGCCCACGAAATCAAAACGAAAAAAACGTAGGTGCATAGACTATAGTCTACCGACACATCCTACATGTACTACTTCGACTGATGAAATTACGCATATTATACGCTTCTTAACTGTGTACACAACTTTTATAGGCAAAGTGGAGGGCCCAGTTTTATTGACAATGATCGTGACATTCGCCAAAACAGAATTTCCGCTAGGATTTTCTGGCATGGGTGGCGACGATCAAGCCGCAAAAGAATCGGCATTACGGAAGGCTGAACGATATTTCAGCGTCGTAGCAGACGTCGAGAAAATATCCTCGGGCGCTGCGAAGCATGGGATAAGTCGAAAGAAAGAGTAATTTCAGGTGGAGAAGGTCAAAGAAAGTTTACTTTACGACGTTTTTCAATTTACTAGCGACTTGCCCCTGGAAGTCGCATTCAGCACTAGCACAACCGTCAAACTGCTCTAATTACCTGTATAAACTGTATGGGTTCGAAAAGGTCATCCATATTCTTACATGTAGGAGATTAACTTTAACTGAGAATCACAAATAACAGTTTTTATCTTTTTCTTTGCGTTTTGCAACGTTTGTGCTGTTTGCAGTATTAAATGACGCCCGGATGAGGCACGCAAGCTGGCAGTTGCAAGGCGTGTGCAAGCACAAGTACTGCACTTCCGCTTTGTTAACGTTCTGCAACTACAAATTTTGCGCCATATTTACCTAGAATAGGATAGACACCGTTTTTTTTCGCTGCGTCCGTACTATCTGTCTGTATTACTGATCAATATAGCCCTTTAATGAAATTAACTGTTGAAATTGTACTTTTTGTTATTATATTATTTGACGACCAACAACATGATTCAAGTTATTACTACTGTATATCATAGGTTTGAATGGTTTGTGAATATTATAATTATATTTTAAAAAAAGTAGCGCGAAAGGTACTGATAACAGTTCTAATCTGTAATCCAAAAGTAGCGATAGCAAGAAGTGCACATACTATCTGTATTGCAGAAGGACATCTTTTTGTAAAAAGGAAAATCATAGAGTTTTGGAAAAATAAATTAAACCTTCAAAAGTCAGCAGCACGGATAATCATGACTAGCCCATGACGAATTGCCGGTAAATGACACTTCCGCCGTGCACGACCTTTACCCCTCTTAAGCAGACATTGGTATGTGGCTGACCGTGAACAATTATTCTTTTTTTGCCAATTCTCCGATTTGCATTTCCGATAAAACTCGCCGGAAGACAGAAACAACCCGCAGCATGGTACTTTCTCTTTTACACCAAACGCGAAAGCAGCTCTAATAAAATTTGGATGACAAAGCTGTAATATGCAAGATTTGTTTGGCTTGTCTTTGTTGTCCAACGATTGAAGGTTTGGTGTTCCTTTACGCTGCCTGACATTTTTCCACATACCAGTTGTTTTCATGCGAACTGCCAAAATGCGTGACCCGTGGCCGGCACTGTGCGCAACTGCAGTCTTATGTTTTTCATATTTTATTTTTCCATCGACAGCTACAGGTATTGTACCGCGCTAAAGAATAAAGTTGTTGATAATTGTGATTTTGGTTGTTGTTTTTAATTCTTGATTGTGCAATAATGGCTGTAGTGGAATGACTGACTGCTATGTCGCAGTGTAAACATAAATAAAGCCCCTAGCTTGTACTCGCGACACATTGTTGTGTTATGTACGAGTTTTAATGATTTTGCCGGTGAAGATTCGCTTACAATTGCAGACTGTACGCGGGAGCAGGCCAAGTGTAACCCGGCGTGTGTGGCGGTGGAACGGGTATTTCACCGCCATGGCACCAGCGCTTCATCCTCCGCACTAATGGCTCTACCACAGTTGACGAACAACTAGTAAGTGAAACAGAAAGTCACCTGTATCATTAATCAAGCTTCTATTTACCGAACTGTATAATATCTGCATCATTATAACAACTGCATCATCTTAATAGTGTACTGTGCTACTCCAAGCCGGTATCAACCAAACGGAAAAGCCAGATTCTGTGCGTGAACGGAGCCATGGACGATCTACAAAACGCTCAGCCACAGTTCGTTATCCTTGCGGATGGTGTTGTGACCAATTTTGAGGTATGAACATAATTTTAAAAAAATAATTTCATAATTTAAACGGCTAGCTGACGGTATTTATACATTATACAGGCTTTCGCTGTGGGCACGAAGCAGTACGTGGTGATCTTCGCCATGAACCGCAGCCCCATTTTATACGAAGTGTCCGTCAAAGACCACACCCTGGTCAACTTCCACGCCCTGCGCGTAATCGGCGCTGCCGGCGCACTGGATATGGCCGTCGCGCAATACGCCCACACGACCGTTTTAGTGACCAGCAGTGGGCGTCAGTGCCGGGAAGGTGACCGCCAGTGCGGTTATCCCAGTGTGTCCATCATCGACCAGAAAGCCAACACCATCACCCAGTGCACCACGGCCAATTCCGGCCCGGCGGAGTATGTGGCTGCCTGGACGGCCAACGGAGCGCACTATGTGGTGTTGGCGTCCTTGATACCGGAAAACGCGTTCGCTTATCGGATTGCGCTACATCAGATTGTCCAGGGCGGCAGCGGCGAGTGCGCATTAGTGCCGGTGGAGGAAATTTCTTTTGGCCGTGCAGCACTGTGTGGTATGCAATATAAAACGAGTTAAAAAATTTAGTTACAAATACGTATGTGTTTCTTAACTTTTACGCATCATTGTATGCACTGTAGTTACTTATCCATATATATATTATGGGATGCGTTGTTCGGGATCAGCATTTACATTTTCGGATTTTCTCATAGTGTGTATGAAACGAATATTTACTAGATAAAACGCTTATATAGCGCACACACAATGTCATGTGACATGTACTACCATAGAGCGCATATTTAGATAGAAGTATGCTTGTAATTTTAAGGCGTTCAGTCGCTGGAAGTCATTACAAATGCTGGTGCGGATAATCTGATCGCATTGATGGTATCCAATCACCATTGTCCAGAAGTTGTAAATGGGATACTCAAGGCGAACTCCGAGAAAGCCAACACATTGTACCTGCTCTGGGATGCCAATACGCAGAAATTCGTCAGAGTAGCCGACGAACTGCCGGCAACGAGTGGGGTACAGACTATACAGTAATTATAAGCTTTAAAAACAATTTATTCAAAATTAAGTAATCGCTGAATAATTAAATTTACGTAATGACTTTAGTACCATGTGCTTTGCGCCAGTAATAAGGTAAGTTTGGTAAAGGGACATTTGGACATCCAAATTCGCGTATAGATGAAGGAACGAACGTCTTCCTGTTACAGGTACGGTATAGGTACAATTAGGATTGATTAAGTATTTGATTTTCAGGTATCCAAAATTTCACGAATCTCCGAACAATTCTTCCTTTGTCAAAAGACGTCCGAGCCGTCGACCGTTCATATCTCCGATGTCCTGGCTGAAACTCTCCGTAAATATATTTTCCTGGTATAATAATTTGTATAAAAAATAAGTCGTCAAATTATTGCAGCCAACAGCCTCGTCGGAACGGTCCGTGTTAACAACCAAGCCTCAATCAGCGCCGTCCAATCGGCCAACCGCGACGCTTACATTACCCACGTAACCTCGTCAGGATCAGGTTAGTACCCTTGCACCACAACAGAAATTCCCACCTAACAACGTCCCCGTTTCAGTGGTCATTGACTGGATATCATGTGCGAAAAATCAGCTGATAAAGGCATCGAACTATACGTTCAGTATGTACAGTAGAATCCACACAATTAGGAATTATAGTTATGATATGGTTTTGATAAACACACGGTTCATTATGCATCTAAAGGTCAATACACTGGCAATGTCTATCTGACCGGCTCCAACAACCTGACCGAACCGGCCGATGAAGTAGTCGATAATTCCAACCATCTCCATCCCAATCGCCGGTTCAATCTCCGACGACCTGATCGTGATTCTCCTCGGGCAATGCCCCATATGGAGGATCTTCCAGCAGCGTTTCTGCACAGTGACCTCGTCAATACCACGTCCAATGCTACTGACAGTTCATTGCTGATTGCCCCCCAAATCCGCTACGAAGATGTTTTGATCGATCGCCACGTGGAAGAGCCGCAGCTGCTGCATCCCAGTTTCCCCAACGATGGACATGGACAAGGGTCCGGCATGCCGCGGCCTGGTCCCGAGCTGTCGGCGCCGCAGCCCGTTTTCGGACAGGCACCGGTACCGGAAGGACTCAGCCAGCCTAATATGAACAACTGGATGCAAGGCATGGGATACCAGATGATGGGATCTGGACAGCCAATGACGGTTTTTATGGGTCCTAATGGACCGCTGTACCCTGGTGGCTTCGGGTAAATTTTACCACTAAATTCAGTAACAAAGCCAATAAGTGTTAACTTCATAAAGAGAAAGCAACTCGGACCGGTTACTCGATGCTCTTAGCTGTAGGATATCCTTGTAAGTTTATCTAATTACAATTGGTCTGCTTAATTCGAATATTACATATCTGGTAAATGTATAAATATTATGTAAAAATATTATATTATAATATAATAATTTTTGTTGGAACGCACATAGATTGTTATTAATTTACTGTTGCACAGTACAGTATGGTTGCTGCTAACGATTATACTACTTCCATTTTGTTTTATAGCATAAATTCAGATACTACTCAAAAATTTTAAAGCACAGAAAATCAGAAATTATTGTCGCAAACACGAGTATGCTGTACATATTGTACTTCGTTAAATAATCATGTAGTACTCGTACGCTGAATTTAATTTTAGAGGGCCTGGACCGCAGCAAGTTCCTCCAGGAAGCGCTTTCGCTGGATACATCACGTTTCCGCCGGTAGCAGTATTTTCGCCGGTACCTACAGTGTATCCAATGCCTCCGAATGCGAACATTCCTAACGCACCCCAAAATACTGAACAGCCTCCGTAAGCTTGCCTTTCCGGGCACTATTAAATCTATGAACGTAAACCTAATTGCACAACCAGAGATACAATCAATTAATAAATAGCAATACATAAAATATAATTTCTGTACGAGAGCGCTTGGATTAAAACATTGCCACGTTATAGATCTGGAGCGGTGCCACCCCAGTTCCATATGCCATCACCCGCGATGCCCCCATCACCATGGTGGAACCCTGACCCCAGATTCCAAGCACCGCCACCGATGCAGCACGCCCAACACGTACAACCTGTAGCCAGACCCTGGGAGCAGCCACAACGCGGGTTCGTTCTACTATAATCACGACCTCATAGCGCTTCATATTTCGCGTGCACATCACAAAAGCATAAAAGCACAAAAAGGCTATCAACAATGTTGGACCGTAGGTTACCAAATGCTATACCCCCTCCTAATATGATCCACCACGGACCACACAGAATGGTACAACAACCCAATTACACCAGCGTCCAACAGCCGCCATGGATAATCGAAGTTAACATCACTGTCACCACTCCTCCACCTGGTACATTAACTGATCTGCAATTTTTTGTTGTATAAGCAAAACCGCGAAAAGGTCAAGGCGTACACAGAGCTTACTATGCCGGTATTTTCAGAAACCAATGCCACGACTATCCTGTGGACAATGCCATCCGAATCGTCACTACCCAGCGACACAACCTCTGTGATCAGCATCGAATCGGCAACTGACGCAACGGACGCTATTCCAGTTACAACGTCAACGCTGACCACCGACCATACCAGCGCACCCGATACCACCATGGACAGCACGGTGCCACCGTCCGTAAGCGATGTCACAGCGTCGACGGATCTAATATCAACTACACCCGTGATTATTGATTCCTCGACATAAGCAGTTAACTCTCACTGTTGCGGAGCTGTGACTCAGAAATCAACCGATGTGCACCGAATGTAGAATGTATATCACGTTTTGCGAATACGCACAGCCGAAAAAATGGCTGTTATTGTGGTGTTATTATAGAATATGCCTGTTACTTTTTAGCGATCTTGTTGGATACTTCCGGTATACATCTGCTGTCATGTGTTATGTAACGGTAGAAAATATTTATTGAACTACAGTACTTGTTTGTTACCTTATTTCTTGTTTAATAAAATAATAATAATAATGGAAGTTTATTGTCCTTGCACGGAGCGAGTGCCCCCTCTAAGCTTCAGACAGCGAGACAGCGGAAGGAAAAACACACAAAACATTACAACAGCATCATGAAGTGAAACACGAAAACATGAAGTGATTACGATGACAACAACACACACTGTTTTATAATAAACAGCAAAACACTTGAAAAGGCAGTACAGAGAGTCTCAAAGGTTGCGATCAGTTGGTGTTATCGTGGAAAAAGGAAGGGAGACGATCGCGCTGGGGTCGATGCATAAAACCAAAACCCACATTGACAATTACGAATTTTCAAAATGTTTTCAAAAAGAAATCGTGGGAAAAAGGGAAAGCAAGGACACTTACGCACGTAATCGCCTTTTGTACAGTTTCAACTGAGTCGCAACCGTGATACTTCACTAATTAAAATTTACTTCTTTATCATTGAACACCAAAGAATAGACGTAATTATGCTAGTCACTTGTTCTGAAAGCTTTAGCTGATGGTAAATCGTTCCAGTTTACTGTCTTTAAAGCTTCGGAAAAGGTATTCAACGTGACGTAGGCGTTGGGCATCAGGGGAAGTTCATTCCAGACGGACACAAGGCTGTTGAGATACGAGTCATGGGCAGTGGTCACTGTTATTCCACAAACGGTTGTTGGGGACGGCTCAATCGGGCACGGGTGATTCAGGAGGCGTTCTGATATTCTGGTATTTCCTGCAACAGACTCAAGCACAGCAGCAGAGAATTTCAGGGAGATACAATTAGATCACCCATCGGAACAACCCGAAACACTAATTTGTACATAAACAGCAGTGCTTTTTTCAGACGGCGCGTAATCAGATCGTCCCATTCAAGTTCTTTTAGACGTTTTTCGTAATTCAAGACATCGTTTCCGAGTCGCAAAGTTTTAGAAAACCTTCTCTGACAACTTTCGATGGCATTTTTCGACTGTTTTAGTGACGGCTTCATGATGACGCAGCAGTAATCGATAACTAAAAGGACAAGTGCTTCAAAGAGCCGTATGCGGGCACCGTAGTCAGTGTAGCGAAAAACGTGGTTAATGTAGTTGACTCTTTTGTTGCATTTTTTTGCTACATTTTCGCTGTTGATTTTGAAGTTCAGTTTTCGATCAACAAATATTCCCAAGTGCTTTACGTAATCAGACTTTGGTACAGGAACATTGTTAATACTGTACTGACATGAAGAATCAGGAGATTTCTTTTTTGAGAAACGAACGTGGACGGACTTTGCCGCGTTAAGGATGAGCTGTTTGTCAATAAGCCATTCACCAAGATGCGCTAGGTCTTCCTGCAGTAACTGGGTGTCCGCTGTGGTTGTAACCGGACGAAACACAACAATATCATCAGCAAAAACGAAAGCGGCGCTTCCGTTTTTCAGTGCAAAAAGGATGAAATTCAACACGAAAATAAACAACAAAGGGCCCAGTACAGAACCTTGAGGTACACCACTGTTTACCGGTAGCGGATCCGAAATTTCATTTTCGACTGTCACACGTTGCGTTCGATTTTTTAAATAATCAGAAATCAAATGCACGATTTGACTGGGAAGATACATCTGAATTAACGCATCGTTAATGGATTCATGAGACAGCTTATCAAAAGCCTTTGAGCAGTCCAAAAACACGGCGTCTACAGCAGTGCCGTTACTGATAAAATCATTCACAAATTTTACGAAAAGAAAAAGCTGTAGTTCGGTTGACCTTTTGTGCCGGTAAGCGAATTGGTGATCGAAAAGCATATGGTTTCTGCTCAAGTGTTCACGAATCAACTGATCAAGACAACGTTCAAAAATTTTGGATACAGGATTTAGCATTGAAACTGGTCGATAACTGTCGGGCAATCTGTGATCTGCTGAGATTTTCGGTATCGGAGTTATAAAAGAATGCTTCCATCTCGATGGAAATACCCCTTCATTGATAGCGGCATTAAAAACTAATTTAAGCGGCTTAGTGATAGACAAAGCAGCAATTTTTAAAAGTTTATTAGTTATTTCAAATTTACCGCTCGATGTTGTAACGGATATTTTTGCAAGCTGTTCAAAAATTAATAATTCAGAAATTTCCCAATTATCATTGTTGTCACAGGTCAGATCAAGGCTGCTGCCAGCACAGTGGCCATCACACATAGGGTGGGTCTCACATTCAAAGCGAATCTAGTTGCGATACAGCAACTCCACCTCGCGAGGTGGCTTCGCGTACCGTATCTGTAGGCGTGGCCACTGCAAACAACCACCTCGTGCGGTTGAGCAACCGTACCATAACGAGATTCGCTTTGAATATGAGACCCACCCATAGACTGAGAGTTACGATACACTGTGTTAAGTACGGCTGCTTTCTCACGATCGGTAGTTACGGATGTGCCATCGGCCACCTTGAGGGGTGGCATGCCGATTCGATCATTGGTTGATTTCATATACCGCCAGAACTTCGATGGATTATTTCGAAAAGCTGTGGATATATTTGAAAGCTTTTGTTTTCCAAACTTCCGCACAAAGGTGTCACATTTTTTTGAAATATTTTTCCATTTAAATTTAAAATAACTTGATCTAAATTGCCGGTACAAACGGAAAGCACGATCTCGAGAATTGATTATCTTCTTGATATTTTTGGGATATTGTACCGATCCTTTACGCAATTTAACATTTTCATAAACGAAAAAAGTTTTAAATTCATAAACGAAAAAAATTGTTAAATTGCGTAAAGGATCGGATATTGTACCGATCCTTTACGCAATTTAACATTTACATAAACGAAAAAAGTTTTCGCTGTGTCGAGAAAAACATCTTCAAATTTATCCGCACGTTTGTTAGCGTTTAGGCAGCCAAGCAGATTAACCCAATCTACAGCGTTCAGCACAGCTAGGAACTGGTCAACTTTACTTTTTTCAATTTTCCACCGCTTTTTTATCCGAAATTTTCTGCGATATTTCTTTAATTTCAAAGAAAATTCAAAACCGATGTGATCATTTTTAGTAGAAGGCGGACAGATTGGAACTGCCGGTTCAAAAAGTGAATTTGCGCTTAACAAACACAGATCGAGGCAGTTCATTTCTCTCGTAGGAAAATCAATTATCTGTCTTAACCCAAATTCTTCAACGGCGTGTAGCAACTCACGGCTTGCTGGCTTAATTGCAGTTTTATCTGACCAGTTTATGTCAGGCCGATTGAAATCTCCCATGATTATGCATTTTGTTAACAAATGAGGGGAGAAACGAGAACGCAGATGTTCAATTAGCGCAGGGATTGCATGAATACTTTTATCGGGTGGTGCGTAAAATGCAATAAAAATTCGATCAAGAGACAGAGACTGTACACAAAGAATCTCAAGTAAGGGAGTTTCCAGCTCAGGCCTGGGAATCGCGCGTAATGTGTTACGAATGACAATAGCCACACCGCCACGACCATCAGACCTGGCTTTTCGAAATACGTTGAAATTATCTAGGTCAGCGAAATCGGAATCTGTCATGAAAGGCCTGTCGTATGTCTCCGTAAGAACGGTCACATCACTGACTGAAGAGAACAATTTAACTTCTGTGGCCACAAATGTGGCTTGCACACGAGAGCGTCCACGAACGATAAACTATAAAGCTGGACACAATAAACCCGTTAGAAGTGGAGTTACACCGGCTTACGCCTTTCTTGAGCGTCGGTTACTTTTTTTCCCAGGTAACAATTGTTCTTCTCAGTAACAACTCTTTCCCATCTGCTATTTGGTAACAGTGCCTTTTATTTGCATAATCAATAGCATGATAATCAATAGCTGTTCTATTTCTATTTCTCACCATTATTTTGCAATTTACCTACGAACCTAATCTTCATCTATTTCTTTGACTATCCCCGCTGGGCAATGGATGACTGTTGGGCATCTACCGAAATTACTTGAGGGGAACACTTTGTGTGAACCTCAGGTATCCGGGTAGGTCGTTTCTTCAGTGGCAAACACCGATTTTTCGACGAACTTGGGTCTGGTTCCTCGCATTGTTTTGTAGCCACCGAAATATTCTACGATGTCATCTGCTCTGTTTACGTGTTCGGGATGCGGAAAAGAGCTGCGAAGATGGGGGACGCATAGACCCGTCTGTCCAAGAAGCCTGAGCAGGGACCTCGAACTTGTGCCAGTTAATCCCTCATCGGCTCCTGGCGCTCCTCCTGCTCATAGTACTACCTCTGCTCCTCTTTTCCCCGACCCGCAAGCTGGCACGCCAATCTCCGCCGTGGTAGCGTCCTGGACTAAGCGGAGAATTATGCGAAGGATACCAAAAGCAGCCAGGCCATCTGTTGCTGTACTGCTGACAAAGTTGATGCGACGTGCTACCACGGAAAACTCCTCGTCTTCATGGCTGCGCCTGCTGTCAGCACCATCTGCAGTACTGTCTCTCCCTGCTGATTCGAAAAAAGCCCGTAAAATTTCCCTGACTACTCACATCAAGAATCGTGTCGCTTAGTTTGAAGAGGGAAAACTGGAGGACTCAGAAACGACCACGAAACCTAAATCTCGACGCGCTACGCTCGACGAAGACCTGGCTCGGCGAGTTGGCATACAGATTGACGATTTTAATATTAGTGGCGCTGTACGCACACTTTTTTCGTCTGATTCCGTAGCGGAAATAACCTCTGAAGTTGTTGAAGCAATGCAGAGCAAACATCCCGAGTCCCCTATTCCAGATTTGCCCGAAGACCCAAATGGTTCGTTTGTCCCACTCACCCCAGATGAGGTCTTCAGATCACTGGAATCCATGCCGAAGGGTAGCGCCGGAGGACCAGACGGGTTGCGTCCTCAGCACCTTCTGGATTTACTCGGCGGGAGGGCAGATGATACGTCAAAAGAATTGTGCGATGCAATCACGGACCTGCTAAACCACATTTTGACTGGCAATATCCCTGAAGACATTAGGCCTGTCCTTTGCGGCGCTCGTCTCATCGCACTCCGGAAAAAGGATGGCGGCTTACGTCCAATCGCAGTTGGCAATACCTACAGGAGACTTGCCGCTAAACTGGTCGACTCACGAATCCGTCCGATTACTACACCTATCTTCCATCCTCATCAACTAGGCTGCGGCACAAAGAAAGGCGTAGAAGGTGTCATCCATGCGTCAAGGGACTTTCTTTTACGCTACAGCGACGAAGTAAAAGTGCTGCTGAAAATCGACTTTGCAAACGCCTTCAACTCTGTGTCGCGTGAGAAAATTCTGAAGATTGCCGCTGATATCATACCGGATTATTATCCGTTCGTAAAGCTGTGCTATGGCTACCACTCTTCACTGTTCCTTGGCGATATAATTATTTCTTCGCAGTCCGGCGTACAGCAAGGAGATCCGCTAGGGCCAATTTTGTTTTGTCTGGTTGTACAATATATCGTGGACATGCTAATCACGCAACTAAACGCGTGGTTCATGGATGACGGGACACTAGGAGGCCGCCCACAAGAAGTGCTTTGCAATTTTGAGCTCCTCATTGCGGAAGCGGAAAAAATCGGTTTGTCTGTGAACCTTTCAAAATGTGAACTTTTTATCTGCGGTGGATCAGATGTTCAACGGGAATCCACAGCTGCTATTTTCCAGACGAAATTCCCCAGTTTGTCGGTGGTGTCTAAAGAGAAGCTGAGCCTCCTGGGATCACCTCTGTTGCCGACCGGAGTAGCACCTGTGATTAAAAAAAGAGTGGAGGAAGTGAAGAACATGTGTGAACGACTAGTGCTAATCCCGAAACACCAAGCACTATTTTTGTTGAAAAACTGCCTTGGTGTTCCAAAAATCGTCCACTTACTTCGCACCTCTCTGGCGTGGCAGTTTTCGGATGAATTATACACCCTGGACCAAACTTTCCGCGCCGCTGTGGAGAAGATCACCAACGTCAGAATGGATCATCCAACGTGGTTGCAGACATCGTTACCAGTTCGACTGGGTGGTTTAGGGATTCGACGCACCGAGGAGCTAGCTCCCTCCGCCTACTTGGCATCGGCTTCCTCTGTGCGCTCGCTTATCTCTAAATTATGCCCTTTTCTACCACCGACCGACACAACTTCCGCAACTTTGGCTTGGAAGTTGCTTACCGGCTTGAATGATGTGCCAGCTGAACCCCTCCACGGCATCCAAAAAGCCTGGGACACTCCTGCGTCCTTGCGTGCACTTTCTGACCTTTCAGCACTCCGTGTCTCTGCCACAGAAGTCGCACACTTGAAGGCGGTGTCAACACCAGAATCGGGTTATTGGATTCACGCATTGCCGGCTGCTTGCCTAGGTAATCTGCTGGAAAATATCGATTTTCAGACCAGCGTCGCTCTACGTTTAGGTGCTCCTATTGTAACTCCCCATGAATGTAAATGCGGCGAATGGGTAGACGAGTTCGGGAGACATGGACTGCGGTGCAAACGATCAGCCGGACGACTACCCAGACATGATGGCATCAGCAAGGAGTTCGCTCGCGCGTTAACGACGGGTGGTTTCCCTGCCAGAGTGGAGCCGAAAGGATTGGCCTTAGTAGGTAACAAAAGACCGGATGTAGTTACGCTTGTCCCTGGGAACGTGGTAAACCACTCGCAATAGACGTAACCTGTGTGGACACTCTGGCAACTTCATATCTCGACCGTACAGCCGTCAATGTCGGTGCCGCAGCGCAACTAGCCGAAGCAAAAAAGCTCGCAAAACATGCGTGGCTTCAGCCAAGGTACAATTTTGTTGCCGCTGCCTTTGAAACATACGGACCTTTGGGCGACGGAGCTAAGATGCTGGTCGATAAAACCGGACAGCTCATCGCGACCACTACCGGGCAACCACGCGCGAAAGAATTTTTCCGGCAGCGGATCTCCATACAGATTCAAAGAGGAAACGCTATGTGCGTTATGGGCACAATACCGGATCAGGAGAAGTTAGAGGAAATTTTCTTGTTATAGCATGTGAAAACTGCATTTCTTTTTTGTCTGTGTTTGTATTATTTGATTTTTGAAGGATATTGAAAATTTCTATAAATGAGTGAAGAAAGCATGATAAATACATTTCGAACTGAAATTTAACTTCTTCGCGTTTGCTTTTTACGCTTCTAACATTACAGCATCGCACACGGATATTTTCAACAGGAGCCGGATGTTTCGGCTGTCGAAGAGACACAGTCTGTTGGTTAACCGGATCTGACAAAATCTTATTATTAAAAACAGCGGTTTTCTCAGTTAAGTTAGTTTCCAAAATTTCAACGTCGTCTACCGGTTTTTTGTAACGTTTTGGTTGTAAAAATACCGCGAATTTTTGAAAACAGTACAATATGGGCGATCGTATGCTGAATGGTAGTTGGCCGGCATGTAAACATTGCTGTCACTGCAAAGCGGGCACACAAATACAAAATCATCATTTTCCGTACAGTCTGTAGACAAATGGCCTTTAGCGCAGTAAGCACAGCGGGGTGATTTGTCACACTTCGTCGAAGTGTGGCCATAAACGCAACACGTGGAACACTGTGGGATGTATACATGATCCTCTACGGGACAACGTCACCACTGAATCATTAAAAAGCGGTGGTCAGTCAACATATTGCGAACAGCCTGACTGACTTCCAAAACAACTGCACATGTGGAAACTTATTCGCGCCGACTGGTTAAACGGATGACAATTTTAATTTCTGAGTTGGGTGGAAGGATGTTTTTGGCCTTTATTTCATTTAGAAGGTCATCATTTGACAGTGTTTTCGGGACTCGGCGAACAATAACCCTTGACATTTTAGGCTTAATAGGGACGACTTCGTAGCCTAATGTTTCTGCATGGTTTTGTAAAACTGACTTACCATTTTCGGCACTGTCGGCATTTTTGAACTGAAGTAGGACACGCTTACCACTGATGGGACGGATGTCAGTCACGTTGAGATTCGCAGCGCCAGCAGGGATGGCTGTGTTAAGGGCGTTTGATAGTTTGGACAATTCATTCGGTGTTGCACGGGATTGGTGGGGTGGCAGGGACGCTTTATTTTTCGGCTGGAGTATTACTGCAGGCAGGGGTTCTTTGGCGATTGCAGCATAGGATTTTTGTGGCACGGGATTGTTGGTGGGCAGCCATTTCTCTTTGTCGCAATGGCCGATGATCAGGGTGCCGGTATCTTCGTGATTCCTGCGAGTTAGCTGTATCACACGTTCTTTTTCATGGCCGAGCTCGGTTTCCGTCATCAGGGCATTTTCGTAGAGGCGGATGTGGTGATCTTTTAATAAGGAAGGGATTTGCTCCAGTGCGTCCTTGTGTTTGGTGAGAACAGCATGGAGTTTGGTTTTCTTGGATGGTGGGTTGGCATACACTTCCTGAACAATTTCCGATAATTTGTTAACCAAATCAACAAACTGTAGGCCAGATAGGTCATCCTCAAAATCGTCGCCATCATCCGATTCGGGCATTTTCGACATGCAAAGAGCGACCGAGTGTAAAGGTCACTGCTGTGTATATGGAGTATTCTATGCCAGATGTACGGCTAGAGTGCACAATCGAGTAGGCTAAAGGCTGCAGAGAGCAAGTTCTAGATTTATTGAGCAGTCTGCAAGCTGTCCAAGCGAGGAAAAAAGGTTGTTTTAAAGTGAATTTCATTTAAGCATGAATTATATGTTTTGTTTATTGTTTAACTTTGTTTGGTCATTCTGATTAGTGTCCCGGTCCTTCAGGAGTACAGGGATGTGAAGTATCATTTGAAGTTACAGAAGAAGAATATTATCAGGAACAATAGAACCTTGACTGAATCGTTATCAAATAAACAGTAAATACTATAATCATTATAATATACATATCATCTTAAATTTAAAGTACTGTTTTAGTCCACTTTAACTACCGTAGCAGCATGCTAATTTTCCACAGCAGCTACATATATAGCGTCTTTCGCCGGGTTTTTTTCCGGGCTCTCAGTATCCATAAGTTATAACTACATATAACCTCCCACACATATATATTTAACTAGGGAAAAGTAGCCTTTCATTGTATAACCTTGCTTCACAAATTTTTGCAATAATTTTATAAATTATTAATTATAGTAAGTAATTTTCTACAGCAACAAGTTCATAAGTTTTCAGTAACAACAATTTTGTACGTTCCACGTACTGATGCAGTCCGGCAGTTACTGTACGTAAATTCGCACTGACTACCGCCATATGTGGCGACCGACTGAAAATATTTCATCATTCTCCACCAACCGGCCTACCACAAACAGTACACTCGCACAGATTCTCGCTGAATGCTACGGCAGCAGTCGGCGACGCAGTTTCAAAAATTATCATCCAGAGTTCTTCAGGGTTCGCGAGGTATATCTGCGGATTTTGATTGTCTGGACAGCTCCCTTGTCATCTTTTTGTGAGAAAATGGCCGTAAGTCAATTTTGGATTTTACGTATTAAAGAATGCTCACCGGGAATCACTGTTTATCGTACTCGTACCGATTGCAGGTTGAGAAGAAGGAGAAAGCGGATCCCGAGAAACATCCCATGCGCGAACTGCGCATTCAGAAACTCTGCATTAATATCTGTGTGGGTGAATCTGGTGACAGGTTGACTCGTGCCGCCAAAGTGCTGGAGCAGCTCACCGGCCAGACCCCAGTTTTCTCAAAAGGTAAGAAGAAGCGAACATGGCTGCAGTCTTCGTTTGGGGACTTGAAGACGTTTGGGTTCGTCGGAAATTTGAGGGTTCTGAATTACGTTTAACGTAGCTCTGCGAGTTATCCAAATATACAGCAATTGGTTTCATTAGCATTGTAATTCTGCAGCGAGATTTACGGTTCGATCGTTTGGCATTCGACGTAACGAAAAGATCGCCGTGCATGTGACAGTACGTGGTCCCAAAGCGGAGGAAATCTTGGATAAAGGTTTAAAGGTACGCAATGCGCAGTAGATTTATTTCACATGAAAAAATAAGCTATTAAGTCTATTCTTTTTGTTTTGTCGCCTATTTTTTCAAAATGAGTGTTGAAAGTTTCTAAAAAGTTACAGTTTGTCCTACTCAGACTGTTTTGAGAAGTTATAATGTTGAACAGATGGAAAATGCGTCTTCGTTACGAGTTTCCCTGTTTCTCCTGTCTTTTTGGTGTGAAGTAGCTACAGGGTATTTTGGATATTCGCGCTCTTGAAATTGAAACGAATACGATAATTATGGTTTCGCATTATTTGCATTTCAGGTGCGAGAATACGAACTTCGCGAAGGATGCTTCTCAGAAACCGGAAACTTCGGTTTCGGTATCCAAGAACACATTGATCTTGGAATCAAATATGATCCGAACATTGGTATCTACGGTATGGATTTTTACGTGGTATTGGGACGACCTGGTTATTCCATTGTTGATCGACGACGACGAACGGGCATAATCGGACGGAAACACCGCGTCACCCGCAAAGAAAGCATGAAGTGGTTCCAACAAAAGGTAAACATTTACAGAGGAAGACTTTTTATGTTTCCGAGAACGTCTTTAGCGCGTTGTGGAGACTTATTGTGACAGCTACTAGTAAATTGATTATAAACTTTTGTTTCTACTGTTCGAGAAATCTTTGATTGCTATACATGCGTTTATCCATGAGAAAGTATTGAAATAATTATCAGTTTATTTTGGGATCAAAAGCTTGAGTTTTCATGGGAACGATTATTTTGCTTTTTCGTTTAGCCTGTTTATGAACAGTCGTGTATAGCGAAATACTGTAATGCTTGGCGGCCTATTTTTGAAATTGATTGTTCTCGTATTTTCCTCGTGCACTGACCGTGGGTGCAACAAAATGATGAATCATGTATGAATTTTGTGTTCAGTTCTTGCAGCTTACGTCTTCTTTTGTGTTTTGCAGTATGAAGGTATAATCCTGCCAGGAAAAGGAGAAAAGAAACATTAAAAAGCTTTTTTGTGTTATTTTCTGTCTTTTTCCTCGGATGAAAATTGGGAAGGAACCTGTAGGATCACGTGAAATGCCACCTATTCGAAATAAAATTGAACATCATGGGTTTGACGACTATTTGGCGGATACGTAAATGAAATTATTAAGTACTTTGGTCGCAAAAGTGACCAAAGTACAGCCTGTACTGTAGAACAGTATTGTTTGGTCACTTCGGTAGATAATTGATCATTATGGTTAAGTACATACGACTGTACGAGTATGCATTCTGCGGTACAAAGGTCTAAAGTTTACTGAAGACAACAGTTTCAGACTTCGTTGTACAAATACCGAAATACGTATTACTTTAGGATCAAAATTTTTAACGACGTAGCGCAACTACATATCTTGTACGATGGGATGACGAGCTGGTTTATTATTCTTAATGCTGGCAGTTTCTGCGTAGTATGTTTGCGAGTACTAATATGGTGTACTTCGTTTATTATCGCCGTAATATGGTGTACTTCGCCTTTAGAGAGACTTTTAGGCAGTTAGCAATGCAATTTTTTTATATTTTGAATGTGGACAGAATTTTTGTGTTTATCGCTTCAGATTCATGAAAAATGAAAATGTTCTCGAATCGCGTCGCGTCTTAGTGCACATAATAAGCAGACAACACCAAGCAAAGGCCATAATCCTGTGCCGTTGCACTACAATTCTTTCTTGCGACCATTCAGTGCACTATGCTGAAATGGAGCGCTTATGGACAATTGTAAAGGATGTGTTGTCATAATCTTCAAGATTCAATTAAGGGAGCTCCATTTCAATCTCAATCCCCAGTTCGGTATATATTTCTCTCCCTAGTTAGGACTGTTTTACGCCGGCACAAAAAAATGGGCTGGGCTTTAAAAAATTTGAATGAGACGTGGGGTTGCGCTGGTAAGAGCCCCGCGCAGCTATAGAGCGGCTTAAAGCCAGCCGCCTGCATGCGTACATAGGCTAATACGTGACTACACAGCAGCCTAAGCCCAGCGTCAATCTAAACTCCATTTGTTCCAATTGAGATGGTCCATTTCCGTGATTGTTTTGGGCCAGACTTAATACAATAGTCAGCGGCGCAAACTCTTAACCCGTCATCCGATCACATCTTCATAACCACACACTCCTCTCATCCCGGCATATATATATGTATTCCGCGACCGCGGATAATCAAATATATATCGCATATATGTACCGCAGTTTGTTTGGCGGCATGCCGATGCGTATTATTCCATCGCCTCCACGGGGACCAGACTCGCTGATTGTTCTCTCCCGCCGGCTGAGCGCAGCAACGCCCAGGCGGGCTGCCTGAATGGTGCAGTGCAGCACCCGGATGCCGGCACCCCAGCGGCGCTCTTTTAACCTTAACCGATCGGAAACTGGATGCCCCAGCAAATTTGCTGATCCCACCGACTCTCCCGTGCCGAGTTTTTCTGATCCCGGGACGTTGTTGGCTATAGCGCCAGCGTCGCGGCGTCGTCAAAGCGGGAATTTATTTGGCATTTAATCGGCTTTGCCCATTTCCTCGAGACTCCGTGGCCCCGGCGCGCGGGTATAATGTAATCGGCTTCGGTTGCTGATAGCTGCCCGCGCAGACTATTATATAGACATCGTTTGTGGCTGGTAACGCGGTTTCCATTCCATTTGCCCACCCTGGCAATATATTATATCGCATCACGGTGCCGAAGGAAGCCATCCATATTATACGCAGTCCATATCCGGTCGAGCTGATCAGTGCGCCGCGCGACTCGGTTCATATATACGCGCAGCAGTGATCGGCGGCACAGTACAGATATTTTGTATATATACGGCCCAATATCGTGCGCATTATGTGTCAGTTGGGCCAGTGTTATACGGCAGCTGTGTAAAGCCTCGCTCGCTGATACGGAAGTGTCAGTCATATCGCAATGCAACCCCGGCTTCCCGGTTCTTGTACCACATTAGTCGGCTTCCCTGATTTTCCGGGATCAGCATGACATTTAAATTAATCTACTGTTGGCCATAATTGGCAGTGGTGTGTTTGTTGTTCTCTGTGTGATCCGCGATTTATTTGGTGGTTTAACTTTCCTGCCCCGATACCACGGTTATCTCCCGTGAACCTGATCCGGCAATTAACAATGGTAAGTCGTAATCAGCGTAATGCTACTCCACGCCGGATGATAATAATTGTACAGAGAGTCGTAGTTTGGAATTAGGATGATTAGCCGAAAACGGGCCGGGCTGGCCGTTTGGGCAGTGTGTGCGGAGAATAACAACAGGCTGGTCACGGAAGTTGATGTTATAATGTGGCGGACGTGCCGGCTGCTCGGGGATTCTTTTATGCCTACGTGCAGCTGCACGCCTCACCGCGTTTCGACTTTTTATGCGTCCCCTACCCATGCAAATGCTATGCATACACTAGTTATCCTTTTGTAGAAAGTTGTTACACTTATGTAATATGCAATATGGCCATTCAGTGTGTTTGTTCTATTGTCAGTATGGATTCGTCAATCGTGCCATTGAGCTACTGGTGCTGAGGAATTTCGGAGCGGATACGTGGGAGGATATCAAGTAAGGTTTCCCTGCCGGTTTATTTATAAAATACGCGTCACACATACATTTTTTCAGTTAGAAAAATATATAAATGAAATGCGTATGAACTTACAATCAGCTTAAGTTTTTGATTATTTTATGTATCTCTCAGTGTCTGTGACGGCTGCTACGTACGGGAAAAATTTAATGCTATTCAAATGCGCACCGCGCCGCAGACAGCACAACTTACAACAATTTGCAGGCTCATGATGTCCATTAAGTTGGCTCATAAAACGTGATCTGCATGCGGACCGCTTGGTTTTTTAATGGGTTTTTACGACGTGACGAACAACTGATATCGATGTTGACATACCGATGACATGTTTTATCGCATTGCAAATTTCTGCTTAAACTCACTTGAACGCACTCGTAAGTGCGTACTACAAAAATGTCGGAAAGAAATTAATTTACTTAACACAACGTAGCACTTGTAAATCTAGCCTATACCGCAAAATTAAACTTTGACGCTGTTGGTTTTTAAATATCAAAACTTTTCTGTGCGCTCGTTTTGTTGTTCAGATTCCAGCGCCCTGACGTACGCCCAGGTAATGCATAGTGCCAGTTGCGCATATACTTCCTATTAAATGAAAAATTAATGAGAAAATCCGACCTTGTGATTACCAATGTGGGCACCAAAGCGAACTGCATCGCGCTTGATTGCGCTGCAGTCTGCATTTGAATGGGCATTAAAAATATACACTGGTGTATACGTATACGCAGTTTTACATAACGCGAAAGGTGATAATTTGATTGATCAAGTAGCTGACCGAGGTTGTGTGTATGGTTCACCTGGTGGGTGACAGTGTAGTTTCCGGTGAGCAGGGATAATTAATTGGGCAAACAGGGATTGGGCAGCTGAATAGGCTAATAGAGAGTCCATACGGAAGAAAGACTGCATTCAAACCACAGTAGCTGGTATTCATACATATTCATCAGCTGTTTTCTTCCCGTGCAGGCCCGGCACACAGAGATATACGAGTACAGTATTAGCGCATTGTATCGGCTTGTTTCCGCTTCTCTTCTTCCGTTATGACGTTCTGCCTATTAAAAGCAGTCGATTAGTCCGCAGTACATGGCCACGTGCTGTGCGGGATCAGGGCCCAGCTGATTACTTGCAGCTTAATGACAAATACGGAGCTCGATCATAATTTGAAATTCTATATAGCAGTACAATATTAATTTTAGCACTACCGGTAATTGCGTTATACCACGTCATCAATATTCGTGTAAAATTTTGCGTGCAAAATGGATAAAGTATTATGGCTGACTGAAAAACACTTCTTTGACCTTTGAAAAAGGGTAGCTACCATATGAACAGAATTATTTCAGGTTACTCATTATTGTACTTAAAAATTTTAAAATACTAATATTTTTGAAGACTGATATACAAATTGTTGGGGGGGGGGGGGTAAAGTGAATATCATAAATAAACGTGGAACCAAACCATGCCCCCGGCGGTGCGTGACCTTTACAATTAGGACATCACCGTAACAGCGATAACCAGCGAAAATTTATTATTGATTACAGAACTAGATTAAATCTTTCTGTTTGCAGTTAATTACTCCCATAGTTTTATACAAAATGCGACAAAATTGAGCGTATACGCGATAATAAATTATACAGTCATAGAGAACGGTACTCATGGTCAGGTAAAAGCATAACAAACTGTTATAGGTAATACCGTAATCCTGAAAAAAACCACTCTTGCGACAAGTGTAGGGAGACGTTTGGCCTTTAAGTTCTGATAATCCAATGGAAAATATAAATTGTGTACAAACGGCTTATATACTTACCAGTTAGCCGCTTTATATGATTTGATGAGTATCAGCCTTGAAGAGTTTGCGAATTTGTTGAAAGAGAAAAAAGATTGTGATCAGCATTATCTGGACGCCACAGCAGCGGGCGTGAGTGTGTGTGGTACTTTGGTACTCGTCTACGTTGTCGATGTAGAGTACATTAGTGTATCCGGAAACGTCGGCGGGATGGTTTAATGGTTTGGGTCTTAAGATGATCCTGTCCCGCGGGAATCATCGATACTCATATGCTACACTGCACTGTATTATATGCACGTGCCGTATTTACAATTTTCGCCAAGAAACCGAAATTTGATTTAGCCGTGGTTTTGTATTGAACGCGTGCGGCTGTCGTATTATGCAACCGCTGTGATATTGTTTGTACATACATTATGAACGCGTCTTTGCAGTGTGCGGCCGATACGAGACATCTTCTAAATCCGGTTGCGCAATCACCCACCATTTTACTGTATGATCGCCGGGTTACAGCGCGTTGTCAATTTGATAGGGTATCCAGTCAGCCTCGTTATCGTGGACGGATTGTAGCGTAGATCTAGACATTCTTGATGGGGATTATGGCCTGCAGCTGTTGACACTCTGCACCATGGGCGCATGTCCCTCCAGTACAACAATCTCGGGCACATGTATGCAAACACACTCGGCTTTTTTCCTGGCATTCAATCCCCCACAAAATGCACGCTATCACGGATTGCTTTCAAATTAAAATGCCACACACTGGCAAAAAACATCTCCATGCGCCCGGCCGCCGCTGCCATGTGCCGGGCTGCGGGCGATGGGTGCATATGCGCTCCGGCGTACGCAACTAACTGCGTGGGTGGTTCCACAGACTTAATGATACGGTGGGATCTTTTTTGCCTACTCTATGTCCATTTTATAATTTCAGATGTCTTAGAAATTCTACAGAACACATTGAATTAACACACGATTAGATACTCTAGGTCTGATTTGGATTAAGTGAAAGCTTGCTGTTATTTTAGCAGTGCTCGTTGTTTGTACCTTGTATACTTACGTGTTTTTTGAACAATTACTTTTTATTGCTGTATTATTTATTAAATGTTTATATTAAAATCATAATTTCATGAACCCGAGCGACTTAACTGCACATCAGCGTGTACAGCTGTAGCTGATAATTCATGCGTACTTTATTCTGGAAAATTACGAAATGTCTGTTACTTAAATTTCTAGTACTATGTACTTTTTGTCAACACAATGCATACTTTGACAACTGTGCTACCGGTATGTTCCGGTATGCAAAATCATGTGGTATACCGTACTTGTATGTGCAACCGCGTTGCTAAAAACCGATCAGCTGCAAAAAGTTGATAGTACCAGAAAAGGCGAGAGGTTATTCTTTAATCTTTACTAAGGGACTGGAAGATAATATAAAGAAACACGAGCGAAAGAGCGCGCGGTACAACATTTCAATCACGTCCAGCGTGATTCGATCCCACTTGAAAGGTTTGAGCATCCCGCGTCAGCGGATGTCACAGGCGCGTGCACACCCACGAAATGAATCTAATTGCTGGTTAAACGGCGGAATCGCGTTACGGCCATGCCGGCGCCCATAGTGAATACGTAATGCGGTCAGCGGCGTGGTCGACAACCTCACATGAAAACTGCATGTAACGGGCGGTGCAAGTGTTTCTGTTCTGGAACGTTTACCCACTGGATGTGGCAATCCCGGCCATGCGGTGTTGAATAATATCCATTTGTCCAGAGTGAAGAAGGCGCTGTAGTGGGCGCCACTACAGCGGCCACAGTGAGGAGGTGTCAGAGAGCGACTGCCCGCCGGAAGTGCCGGCATATCTCGGGGATTATTGCAAATTATGGAGCGCATCCCTTGTTTGCACATTTTCACTCTAGTACCCTTGAAAGCTTTGAAACCCGTGAAAAATGATGGGATGCTGAAGAGGCTCTATTCGGGCGACCACGCGATCGACCAGCCACGCGGCCACAGATCGGCCATCCATGCTCGAGAGGAGAGCGCTCCTGCCACTTGTGCCTGCATGGGCACATTTGGGTGTAATGATTTTTTTATCTGTACAGTAGCTGCGCGGCTATTCAATTCCCTTTTCTTTTCCCATTTTCTTCTCTGATCAAGCAAGCGCGTTGCAGCTGGTGACTGCCTAGCAGCGCGGTCATGTGCGACTAGTGAGATGCAGCTGCGTTCCACTACTTCCGCTCCTCATCACTTGCTGAGCGGGAGACAGAGCATAAGAGGAAGGGAGTCAACCGATTCCCTAGCAGTGTAGGCGTGGGAAGAAATTACGCCAGCGCCCCGGCAACTGACTGGCTGCAACAAGATATTAAATGCGTCCTTGCACTATGTGTATGACTACTGGCTATTGGCGGCGTCGATCGGCGAATGCGCCATTAGGCGATACCACATGCCGTTGCAGGCTTTCCGGTATTTGTGCCGTTTGGTCTTCGGGCCGGAATACCGGCTACTGGAAACTGCATTACCACCCGCAGCCATATGTATTCTGACTGTTTAAATTGAAGAAGAAAAAGCATTTCTTTACATTTACTCCGAGATCGTTTTACCACTGTGACGTTTCAGTTGATTCGTAACATTCGCTTTTTGTATGCATTCAGCTACACTATTAGTGTGTTAATTTTTTAATGATCTGACTTCCGACGAAACCAAATCAACCGCGGTAAAAAACTACAATTAAGTTCAAAAAATTTAGGACAGAAAGCTACATGAAGTTATAATATTATATTTTATGTTATAGATACGTTGCATACATTAGTGCGTAAGTTACACAGATACGATACAGATACGATACATATGCGTAGATACGAAACAAACAGATATAATTATTATTATTTTATAATTTATTACCGATAAATGTAATGTATAGACATACAGCATTATACCGTATCGAACCGAATACCATGTAAAATACATACTATGGTGTACCACGTGTATTGTAGTGTATTGTACAGGTACTCGTGGCATAGACACTCTATCTCAAAGCTATAATTACGTACAACACAACATAATTATATAGATGTAAGAACATTCGAATCATTGGGATATTTAATATATTAAACTGCTTGATGCTAGCGTGTTGGTTTACAATTATAGAAAAGAAGCGGGTGTGAGCATTGACGGAAATTTTCTAACACGATGCGTGTACGACGACGAAATGACGTTCCGCTTGGTGACCGCAGCGGAAAAGATCCTCAGTAATGTCCCTCTCTCTTTGTACTGTAAACGCGTGACATTTACTGGGTAGTTAGGAATACGGTTATTGCAGATGTACCTGTACCCAAAATTCTGGAGCTCTTCGGTGCATTCTTCTACGACTTCTGCCTGGAGTCCGGCTACGATAAAATCCTGGGCGTGTTGGGCTCCACCCCCACGGCCTTCCTGGAGAATCTGGACGCGCTACATGACCACCTGGCGTCCATCTACCCGGGCATGCGGGCCCCGTCCTTCCGCTGCACCAAACGCGACTACCGCTCCGTCATCCTACACTACTACTCTGAGCGCGAGGGCCTCGAGCCCATCGTCATCGGCATCGTCAAGACCGTGGCCAGTCGTCTCCATGGCAAGGAGATCGACATTCGCGTGTACATGGACAAGAACAGCCATCCCGACTGCGACCACTCCCAGTTCTTAATTGAGGAACGCGACGCCAATAAGGACCAAATCCAGGACACGCTGGAGCGCAGCAGTACCGTCTTCACCAACGAGCCCAAGATCGCGCCGCACACCTTCGCCCAGCTCTTCCCCTTCCATGTGATATTCGACCGCGGTCTGGTCATCCGCGGTATGGGCACAGCCTTTGCGCGACTCCTCCCGGACAGCCTCCACCGGCCGTTGGACAGCATCTTCGACATGCTCCGTCCCCACATGCCCTTCGACTTCAAGACCATCGTGTCACACATCAACACCGTCTTCGTCCTGCAGACCCTGGCGTCCGTGGCCAAATTGCGGAAATTGTATATAAAGCTCAAAGGTCAGATGATCTTCCTGCCGGAGCATGACTGGGTGCTGTTTATCTGCTCGCCCAGTCTGACCAATCTGGTCGAGTTGGATAAGGCCCATACGCACCTAACGGATATTCCGCTGCACGATGCCACCCGCGATCTGGTGCTGATGTCCGAACATTTCGAGACGGAGTACCGGTTGGCGCGCGATATGGAGATCCTGACCGATCAGCTACAGCAGATGTATCGCGATCTCGAGGATGAGAAGAAGAAGACGGATAAGTTGGTGTACTCTATATTGCCGGCCAGTGTGGCCATTGAGTTGCGGCATAACCGGCCGGTGGCGGCTAAGCGCTACGAAGAGGTCACGGTGCTGTTCTGCGGAGTGACGAGTTTTGCGCAGTTTTGTGTCGACCAGAAAAATGATCCAATGAAGATCGTGGACTACCTGAACACCATTTATTCCAAATTTGATGCACTCACTGATCCGAAACTCAATCCACACGTTTATAAGGTAATTAATTTGTATAAGTGTACTGAGTTTACCAAGTTAATTCCTAACACAGCTGTACCTGCAAAGGTCATACAGACATATTAGCATAGCTCTTGAGGCATTACGATTGTACATTAAATACATACCAGATTAACACACATGTAAAGACTCGAAAGAAATTTGTCTTGTGGAATTTGGGAAATTTCCAGTGGACTGCATGGTTGTAAAACAGGATTAAGCGACGTGCCAAACACCCATTAAGAGTGAATTAGGATCATTGCGGCGATTGATTTGTAGGTAGAGACCGTTAATGACAAGTACATGGCGGTCAGCGGACTGCCGGAGGAGAACAAGTGTCATGCACGATGGATCGCCAAGTTGTCACTGGAGATGATGGATATCTCCACACAGCTCCGGGAAGACGGTCTCCCCGTCACGGTACGTATATATGCGTTAACGCGGTGCGGGTTTACAAGGGCACCGGCACGCCCGACGCACCTAATTAACGAGCCATTTGTCTGTCACGATGGGAGTGTGGATCACACGCAATACAACTTGACACGCTAATCACGACTAACGATTGGCGTGGGTGCGCACAGTAGTGCGGCTGGTCATTAAGCGACTGGCAAATATACTGGAGGGATACCGTCATTAGCGACATATTTTTTGTATACATTCAGATTACGATTGGACTTCATAGTGGGGAGTTGGTAACGGGTGTTATTGGGCAACGAATGCCGCGATATTGTCTCTTTGGAAACACAGTGAATTTGGCCAGCCGGACGGAATCGACCGGCTCCAAAGGTCACATTAATATATCCGAGACGGCCTTTCGGTAAGACAGAATGATAAAATATAAGACCATGCGCTGTTAATATTATGGTTGTTTTTGTCTTTAAAGGTACTTACAAGATGAGAATAATTTCGATCCTTCCTTCTGCTTCGAGGAACGCGGCCATATCGCCATGAAAGGCAAAGCCGAGCCCATGGAAGTGTTCGTGTTGCGCAAAGAGGTGCCCAATGCCCGTACGGCATTCTTATTCCATCCGTTACTGAAAATCACTGCTGTATGACATTCGCTTAAATTAGACGAACGTGATATTAAATTTTGGTTCCAGTCTTCCCTGTTTGAACGAGTTTTGTATGCTACTTCTTAATGCAGTTATATTTGACCGTTTTGCATCCATGAATTAACTTTTATGTATCTACTTCTACAGTATATAGAAACTATTCCAACTTATTTTATGACAGCATGTTTATGTGTCGAAAAATCTACTGGAGCAATAAAAGTTGGCTACTGTATGTAAATTAGCGTGCACTTTTGCGCGGAAAGTGTGGATTTGCGATTGCAAATGTACTCGAACTATGAACAGAACTACGCCAGCACAAAATCAGGTGCACAACCACATAAGTGCAGAAATACTCCAAATTATCTAACATATAGTGTAATTTTCGTTAATATTTTAATAATAATAATGGTAAATAATATGAATCTAATCTCTCAATATGTATACAACGAGCTTCGCTCAATGATACCAATCAAATGAATATGATGAGTAAATAATATCATTATGTCATCAGTCTTTAGAGAATTACGGTTACGTGGCGAAAAAATTCAGCGTACTCGCATATTGCTATCACATACATGTATGTGCTCTGAGCGCGTGCTGGCGTGCAGTAAGTATATTATTGTATTGTCTCACATAATAATAGCATAATAATAAAATCTAATTTAGTAAAGTCCAACTACGGTCAGCTTTCGTGCCTACTGCGTACCAAACAACTTGATTCAGCAACAAACGCCAACCATTATTAAGTTCAAATGTGTACATGAAATTTTAGTACCCAATTTTCCAACCATAAATAAAACTCCAGGCAAATCACCTTTCTGCACGTAAACAGACGCGAGAAAACCGATGCCGCAAAAAATCAGGAAGAAAGGAATTTATTTAACCGTTTTTTGCTAATGTGCAGATTACAGGAGCACTGAAATTGTACGGTTCCGATCGAACAAACTCAAGCGCATGACAGCCGCTTTCTTACATGTGGCTTTATGCGACAATCTTTAGAAAATGCTCCTATTACCAAGTCTTAAGTTGGAATGCTCGATTAGGTATTTATCAACTGTATGAGTTATATAGTACGATTTTAATTCATGCGTAATTATACTCTACGATGTTTTGTTCTTCATTAATTTTGTCGACGAAATATGCTGATTCTCATACTCAGAAGAAGTTCTTCACTGCAAATAACTGCAGACAACTGGATGACCGTAACTTCTTTTTTTAATAGTTTTCACCACCACGTACCATTTGTATAAAAAAGCCGCAGCACAGCAAGCTGTTTAAATTTTCTAAAAGCCATTTCAGCCAATTATAAAAGCATTTAGGATAAAGCACACAAAACGGCAGTAAAAATTCGGTGTGTTAGTGCTAACTGTTATTAATAGGCCTGGCAATCCATTTCACATCGATGCCACTAAAAAGGTCCATTCTGCAAAGCAGCGGTTGTTCAGCATTAACATTATCAAAAAAATAAATAAATTCCAATGAGGAAAAAATAACAACAATGTGTAAACGTACCGTATCTAGTAGCCGCTGCTGTAAGTCGCCGGGGCGGAGTAAGAAGGAGTATTGTAAGCAGGAGCGGCATAAGGAGCTGGGCTGTAAGGAGCAGGGGCGCTGTAGGAGCTGTAAGAAGCAGGAGCGCTGTAGGAGCTGTACGAGGTAGGAGCGCTGTAGGAGCTGTATGCCGGTTTGTTGTATCCATAGCTAGCCGGTTGCTGGTATCCGTAAGAAGCGGGTTGCTGATATCCGTAAGAACCCGGCTGCTGATATCCGTAAGACGCTGGCTGCTGATATCCGTAAGAAGCCGGTTGCTGGTATCCGTAGGAAGCTGGTTGCTGGTAGGCTGGGGCTTTGTAGGCTGGCGCGGTGTAGGTGGAGTACGAAGAGTACGAGGAGTAGGCCGGGGCAGTGTACGCTGGGGGAGTGTAGGACGGAGTATAGGACTGATACGACGACGGTTGGTAGGCCGGAGCAGCGTAGGGTGCCGGTGAGTAGGAAGAGTACGACGCCGGGGCAGTGTAGGACGGGGAGTACGACGCCGGTTGGTAGGCTGGGGCAGCGTAGGGCGCCGGCGAGTAGGACGAGTACGATGACGGGGCAGTGTAGGAGGAACTGTAGCCACCGTACGCGGGTGGTGAAGAGTACGCGGGTGGTGCAGAGTACGCGGGTGGTGCAGAGTACGCGGGTGGTGAAGAGTACGCAGGTGGTGAAGAGTACGAGCCGTACGTCCCCTGACCAAAGGCGGAGCACACTACGAAATCGAGGCAATACGTATTACACTAATGGGTCACAATTAATTATTATAATATGCGGATGACCTTTAGTGTATATATATATATACGTATGAGAATATTAGAATCTTTAAGCGTATATTATTTGTACATATATGAATATATAAAAGAATGGCTTTATGCACAAATTTATAAGCATACGTAAGTAGATTAGTTGAGAAGTAATGAGCGAAAGAATCTTACCTAAGGTGAACAAGGCGGCCGCTGTCAGCACTGATGCCATTTTGGAAAAATTAACTGCAACAGTACATAAGATGTGTATACAAATACAAGTAATACTGATGTAATGTTACTCTACTCAGTAGTCGTTATGCATCTGATAAAAAATAAAAGCGTAATGACTTACGTGGTTCTGTATAAGTGATACTCCGTCCGTAAGGTAATCGCTAATTACAAAGGCACAGTGCAGGAAGTAAGCAGAACTTGTTCAGCTGTAATCCAGAACCGAAAGGTGTGATACCAAACTGTGCGGCCGTTCCAATCATTTTATAGCCATGAAACCCGTAACGGGTTGGCGCGTGAAACGACGCTGTTGGATAACCGATTCTTACTGTTGTACAAGCGTTTTTTTCAAGGTGGGAAAAAGTTCAAGAGAGAAAAAACTGACAATAATCTTGATTGTATTGTTATGTGAATTTAAAAGTTCAAAGTCAAGTATGGCATCAATGCGGACGTATGTTTCTGATGTCCGATGGGAAAGACTTCTGCTATGGTCAAGAAGTGCTTTGACCTGCATGCCTTGATTGAATTACAATGCTGTACCAAGGTCCTCCCAGCGTGCCCGAATTGTTTGGAGGTGTTTGCCCGCTGAAGGCAGTGCTTTCCTGCTGACAAAAAAGTATGAGCAGCATACGAACGGTTAAAACCGCTCGTTTTGCCGGTCAATGGGTACATACGAGTATCGATATATCATACATGCAACATTGTATAATATCGAATACCGATCAGCCGATGCTATCAGTTACGATTAATCAGTTCCAACTTTTAAAATGTAAACGACGCACTTTAAAATTTTAAAAACAGGATATTATGGAAATTATTATGCTTAAATTTCGCCCATAATGTGAAATCAACATACTGCATACTACCAACTTTCGATTACATTAATTTTTCGTGCATTGATTGAATATGAAAGGTTCAAGTTTAGCCTAGAGTGTGTTTGTAGGTGCAAAATACATTACACATGAAAACCGACATATAAATGAACCTACTCCCTATATTTCAGATTTTTTTGCCTGTTTTCACTGCCGATGCATTAGCTTACAGCACTATGCTTACAGCATGCAGCGCAGACACTGAACCATCCCAAATAGCGAAATAAGCAGTTTGTGTGAAATTGGTTACTGAAGGTATTACGCATACTTGTTTACAGCTTTTTTGAACTACATTTTTGCACTACATTTTTTGCTGGTTCGACGTCGCTTTTTAGGTTTTCAGAAGCCATTATGCAATATCCAGATGATATCATTGGCCTTACCAAAACAAGACTAAAATTTTATTGAGAAAGGTTTTAGTACAACTGGTTTAATAAGGGTTCAGTGCAGCTACTGCTGCACATTATAATATACTTGTATTTTAATTACGTCAGGCGGAAGAAATGCATTGTGTATCGAATTAAGGTCACAACTTCACCCGTCCCACAGCGTTAAACTGTCGGCAAGTGAAATAAACAAATTTGGATTTACAATAATTATTAAAAGGCAATGTGTGTGTTTGTAAACGCTTTCCTTATTACGCCTGCGCTATGATGACAATTATTAATTAAAGAAAATGGTAAACTGCAATTCTGGTGGCGCAGGCGCACGCACATCTTGCCATGGTTAGCGCAGCCAAGCTGACGGTACAACATCAGATACAAACGCCATGCATATGTATTGTACAGTACGTCATATATGCTAGATAAAATTATGCAAATGATACTAGCGCTAAATAAAATATTAAATATGTGCTGGTCTAACGGCTACAAAGTATTTATGCCATTCATCGTCGCCGTTATGCATATTATTTGTTGACTGCATTATTACTGTGGCAACCATAAAATTTATTACTTATGCACACAAACAGTGTTCGCACGATTTAAAGAAATATCACGAATGCGTGCATACGTGTAGAATTAAAATTTTTGACTAGTTTCGGGATTAAACCATTGTGGTGATCCTTAAGAATGGATATACAGAAGGCTTCATAAATTTTTGTGTGATCTCTGATAAAAATAAGTAGGTTTATAGAAATGTCTCAGCTTTTATTAATTACGAGTACTTGCATTGGACAGACAGCTGCAGACGGTGCTGTGGTATTAAAAATGCGTATAATATTAAAGTTGCCAGTATGATTATCATCGAACAGACACCTTTATCTCAAGATTTATCCAAGGTCAAGAAGACCTATGAGTTGTATGATTTCTGTAAAATCTTTATAACCATTGCATCGCCGGCATGCGATAGAAGTATGAAAATTAACTGTGCAATGATAACTGACAGTAACCTTTCACAATTGTCAGACAGTTTATTCTTATTCATGAAAGAAATTTTTGTATTAACAACACACAAAAAATATCATAGAAATATATCACACTCTCCCAGAAGAATTTAATAAATTTTTATGATACTATACGTAGTTATGCTGATCACTGCTGTAACAAAAACGTTTGTGCTATATGTGGGTGAGAAAAAGATGCAGATGTTAGCTATATTTGTATAATTATTATTATCGACGGTGGTCATGCAGTTTCGTTGTATCGTATCCCGGGGTGAATCGTGTGCTGACCATTTGGTACAAGATAAGGTGGTCGGTAAGGCCGGCTGTCGGTATCATTCTTCCCGGTGAATATATAAAGACTGTACGTGGGAATGGGCGAAATGTTTAAATCCGTTGTACTGTTGACACGAATGGTAGGACTTTTTGCAGTTGTCCGGTAAGGATTAGGATTGAAGTGAGCTAGAGGCATACCCGGCGGATAAGAGGAAAATCTCTTCCGTGGCTCTGAAGGTGGTCGCATATAGCGCGGATTCGGCGGTGCCGGGTAGGGATAATCGCGGGGTTTCCGTCGGCTGCTGCCGATGCCGGTCATGTTGCGGCTGTAGTAGTCATCTGAATCCGGATGGATGGCCGACAGTCTGCCGTGGTCGGCACTGGACGAGGACCATCGGGGTTCCGATGGTAAATTACGGAATCTGTAGGATTGATAACGCGTGGGAGCATGAGGTAGTGGACTGTACACGGACCCGGCTTTGGGATGGGCGTTCAGGGTGGAACGGTTGTACGGTTGTTGACTGTAGTACGCCGAACGGTAATCCAGCCACCTAGTAAAAATGCATTTAACGTAGTCAACAAAATAGTATAAGGGAGGAAGAAAACACGCCTTAACATCTCAGAAGGCGTTGGCATATAACTGAATGAAACAAATTTGCTTTTATACCCAAACCAGTTTTAAGATACTTTTTATTAGGTAATATAAAAAAAACAAAACAAACAAACATAGCGTGGCTCCACACAAGAGCCACGAGCAATGCGTTATCCTTTCAGCGATTCTTCGTTACCGTAGAGTAAGGAAATTAAATTAGCGGATACACTAACGTTTACAAGTTATATTAGATGCAAATCCCGAGCAATATGTATGATAATTCTTGCTCATATTCTGCAGTGCTCAAATTTGTTTTATTTCAAAAAATTAGCAACCACGAATTGTTTTAAGCTATTTTAAGAAGCTGAAAATGATTATTTATCTGTAAGGACATGTGCATTGTATGCAGTATGTAACCAGTCCCAGAGACTAAAAACTGCCACGCATTACTTTGACTGGCTTCGGTGTTCCGCCAAGGACATATTCGGGGAATGCCTCGTGCTGGAAGGATGGAAAGGAGTATCTTTGCTGCATTTGATGTGGAATATGGTGTTATCTGTCCGAATTTAATGAGATTTACAGAGTTTAAACTACAACAGTAACACAAATCATAAGCTGTAAATAGATAAACTTAGTTGATGCATCACCTAAATTCCAAAAACTGTATAACGTATGTCGACATTGTAGATAGTAATTATTACAATTAAATAATAATTACTATCTACAATTAAATAATAATTAGTCATGCACCAAAATTTTTAATAAGGTTTTGACCTGTAATTCACAACGCATATAGATATACCCTTGTAATCTTGTACATTACGATGCTTCATCTAGCAGTCCATTTTTTATTAATCTCTTGTTGTTACTACATATTTGTAGAATGCGTAACTGGTCATAATACTTTTGCAAATTTACCAGTATACGTAGCTGCAGCTGTATTTCATTGATTTACCTGACTGAAAGGCGTGAAGATCATAGCTGACAATAACATCGTTGGTGTCGCAGTAACCTAATGATGAGCTATGAGCATAAGGCGGAAGTCCATGATCAATAAACTGAAACAACTGCGGGAAGCCATCGTCGTCCGGCTCAATGGAATATAATTCCGTCCTGCCGGAAGGGCTACTCGTTTGGAAGATATTGCAACAGCTCTCGGTTTTTATCTCTCTGATCTCCGTGACCTGTAAAGCGATTATACTGCAGTCGATCGCACACTCACCAGTCAGACGGCTAAACTTGTACATAACCTAATTAAGTACGGAATATGCTTGCAAGTTTACTACTCAGGTATTTAATGTAATTAATATACTCTGTACATTCAAAAAATGATGCATGACGAAAAAACAAAATTGTCTGCATGGCAGGCAATTATGTACTGACAGTACTGCTAATAAATTGCCTCTAGTAAAATACTCTCATATACGTGTGTAATGTGTATGCATGCAGTGTGGCCCCATATCACAACGTGTATCTTCTTATGCAGTACTCTTATTTCTAAGCACATAAGTACTGTATTTCCGAGATCATCTTTGACACTTACAGCCGCACTGTCTCCCTGGAGACTTCGCAAATCTAATACTCCATGCCGGCCAGATTTGCCAAACTTTCGGGATTCATGGGAATAATCCAAAAGGAAAGAATATTGGTTAGCATGAGGGCAGCAGCAGAATGATTTGTCAAAGGCATTTTCCGGCATAATTCGCTCTGATACAGGGCAAGCGTCATTCTCCTTTTCAGCGCGCAATGACAAACCAATTACTAAGTGTGATGTTTGGTAGCCTTTTGAAGACACGAACTTGATATCTTGAGCTCCTGCAAAATATAATGAGATATAATTCAGGACTATAACGTTACTCTTGTTTTATCGATCACGCAGTCTAAACAACAGCAAAAATAGCAAAAATCATCACTGCTTCCATAATTCATATACTCTGCAGGTATCCTTCGGGATAACCGGAAATCTTGAATGGAGAATATTGAAGTGCTGTTTGTGAAGCCTACTCTAGCCGTTAATACTATTATCTATAAAACTGTGAGTAATATACGGGTTAATTACCATTCATCGTTCCTTAATTTAAATGCATTAAGGTTTCTGGTTCATACCGCACAGACAATGATCCACGGTGAACGGTTCGTAAGCGCACTGCGTATTCCGCCCTCCTCGATACTCAGCTGCTCCCAGTGTTTGCTGGTATTCATAGTGCCTGCTGACGCAATGGCCTCTGTGGAGGCGAATTTCGAAAAAGTGCAACAATGATCGCCTGGTGCCGCTGCGTTGTTGTAGATAGGCCACGATCATGGAGCTTGTTTTATCTGGCCGTTTCCAAGCGGTGACCTTTCGGGTGTTCTGTATATCCGTGAACCCGCACAACCGTATCTCCCCATGTTTTACTAAATAGATGGGAGCCAGAGTATCCGCAAAGGGCGCACCGGCTTCTTGATTATCGTTCGCGAAAAGCAAGACGGTCCCCGCGCCGCCAAAAAATACTGTCTATCGAAAATAATACTTGTAATGGACTTTATATTGCTGTTTTCATTACGAAAATTCGCGTGCAGTTGATTATAGTCATTACACATACGCGCTGCTGCAGAACAAGTTGTATACTGACCTCGACATCAGTCAGGTATTTGAAATAGAATGCTTCCAGAGCCGGAAATAACGTAAAACCGCCAGTGTCGTAATCCACTCGATATGGTCTTGTGTAATAGCCTTTTGTTAGGGGTATGACAAAATGCGCAGGATTCTGTAGGTTGTTCCGATCTTCTACCACCTGGTAACATGCGAAACATGCGGCACAGTTGATAAACGAACGGATGAAAGTGTAACTAATAAGGTAAGGCTTTTTAGCAGTATGATGTAACGTATAGATATAAAATAATCCCATTTAAAAGTTCCGTTTTATAAAAAATTATAAGAGTGAGTACATTTTGTTTCTTATTCGTTTTCGGGTTGACATTTTTTTGGCTTAAAACATTTCGTTGCGCCACCCTCGACTTGTATTTTCAGCATACGTACAAATATGTTCACTGACAAACCGGGGCAAGACTGAGGCGATTATATTTATTATATTTATGGAATTACAACTTCTGGTTAAAAATGCTTACAAAATTGTACAGCCGTATTCTTACAAAGTATGTAAGTCTTACACTAACCTTCAGCTGGTGGCATGGGTGCTCGATATCAGTGACAATACCGCCGGTCCCGGCAGCATGGCCGTTATTTGCCTCTTCATTGCAGTAGAGTGGAAATGTCAGGATTTTGCCGTTTGGATTTTGCGTACAGTACAGTACAAAGCTCCCCCTTGTCAACAAGCGTAACACAATTATCAATTGTCGCATACGGCTTATTAAATGAATATCGAGCATATACATATTGGGAATTTCGGGTCAGGTGTATTTAAAATGTCGACAATCGTAAAAAGTGAAATCAAATATTCAGTTGATAATTGTTGTAGTATATATGGTACACTAAAATACTTTATTGGGCAAAGGCCATCAGTGTAACAAAAGTGCATACGCGTAATACTACTTAAAATGATACAAGTTTAAACGTTAAAAAAACAACCAAAATCGTTATCGCCGTCAAAAATCCTAGGACGTATGGTACACTTGACGTACATGGGAAGCGAAACCACAGCACTGCCGGATGTGATGGGGAGGCTGTTGAGGGACGACTTCGTTTGACGCGTGACGTATCTACATTCTTTGTCTTCATGCGGATAGGGGCCCTGCTGCAGAAAGTATTCGCTTTCAGATTCTCTGCAACAAAACTGTTAGTTACAGACTTAAAGTATAATCATTATAATATAACAAGAAATAGGAATTGCTGAACGAGAATTCCCGTATCCACGAAAACTGTAAAGAGTGTACACATCACTGGTTTTCTATAGTAAGCAATGGTAGTAAGTAACTTCGAGCTTTCTGTACCTAGAATAATCGTAATCCCCTCCTGCATACTGATTACGTAGTCGGCGTTCCTGAGTTTTCCTAGCCGCATAACTACGACGCTGCTCTAGTTCGCTGCGATCGTAGTCGTCATCGAATTCGGTGCCATTGCTGTATGACAGACGATCAGGCCGCTTCTGCTGCTGCTGGTCAGACCCATCCGAACGTGACCCTTGGCGAGCGTAGGCATCCGCTTCCAGCTGCCTCGGAAAACGCCGGCGTTCCGGATGGTCCGCAAACAAACTATAAACAATCAGTTTCCAGTGTTAAAAATGGCATAGCGTTCGCGTTATCTTACTTATCCACAGCAAGTACATAATTTGTTACTAAAAGTGGTTCTTTCTTCATACTGCGTACGTATACGTAGCAAGTTCAGTATATCTGCACGTATCGCGCGATATTTCAGTTTATTAGAAGTTCACCGTTGTTTTATAGCCGTTTGAAGTGTAAACTAGTAAAGTCAAAGTGATTTTTCATCAACAATAGCGTTAAAATTACGTCATTATAACCTTAACAACTCCTAAAAATCAACAAGCAGAACAGTTGTTTGAATTTTGCCGAAGATGTGCTGACTTTCAAAGTATATGAACAGTGCACTTACGTTCGAGTCAGAGGAAACGAACCTGAAAATTTAAAAGCCAGTGAATAATTAATGTAAATGCTGTTGTTTATTATCTAATTATGTAAAGCCTGTATTTAGTAGATATTCTGTAATTTATGTACAGATTTCGGTTTGGTGAGAAACAATCAGTTACCATTGCGATAATAAGGTCGCAAGCGTCGGTGCACCACAGATTCGGATACATCGTCTCTCAAAGGATTCGCAACAAATCCTCTAGCTGCAACGAAACTGCGATAATTTGACCAAGTACGTACCAAGCGCACTGAAAAAAGCTTGGACATATGTACAATATCAGACGATGAAATGCAAAAAACTGTAACATTAGTAGCGAACTAGCAGTGGCAAAAATAGTAAGCTATTTGCAGTTAGTAACTCCATCGGCATGATCAGACTTAAGTCACTTACCTGCATAAAATGCCAATTGAACGAATATAAATACAGTACTAAAGAAGTCCGGACGTAGCGATTGTTTATGCAGCATTGTTATTAATTTGTTTTTCTTATCCTGCTCATGATTTTTAGAATAACACTACAGGAAAAACGCGTTTATTACCCAAACCGGGAAACGATTTCTCCCCGCTGTATAAGTTATGACATGTGCGGCGGCGGCTAACAATAGCAGCTTTGGTTTTCCTACTGCTGTTTTACTGATGGTAGCGCAATACCCAGCCAATTCGTCAAAGGTCAAATATCAGTCAAAAGCCTTTAGCTAGGTTCCAAACACAGTAATGACCGCTACAAGGCAATGCCTCAAGCTGTGGTTTCCGGGAAAACGATTGCTATCTTTGCTCGTGATTTGACTCAGTCGAATTTACATGACAAGAGTTTAAGACAACCATCCATGACTTCTCAGGTCTGTACCGGTACATATAACTGAATACTGCAACTGTACTGTGCCCTTCCAACTGGGTATAAAACATTTTCAATATCTAAAGCTATATGAAAAAACGATGCGAAAGTCAAAATGATTGGTCAGTAGGATGACAGCGCGGTTCGTACACATTAAGTCTTCACAAATTATCATCCCGGCTTGATCACTGCAAAAATGAAAAATTTTTTCTTTAGGTATCTTATTTATAGAAGTTCAGCAGATCTAGGGTATTATCAGTACGATGTGACACGTACAAAGTGTCATGGAGATAAAAAATACCTGCAAAAAGCGATATGCATGGTTTAGTAACTGATTTCGTGGGTGGCTACTGCATATTATAAAGATATTAATTATTACTTTTAATAATTATGTTGTCAACTAACAAACAGCGTGAAATTGATGGTTTTCATCGAAATCAGTTCTGTGCCGATACTTTCTTACTGCTCTAAACTGTAGAATTTACCTTTGCATAAATAATCTCATAACATCCTTAAACTATTATAATTCTTAAATTCACTTTCGGAGAACGGATCATTAGAATATATTGGTATAACTGCAATTGCATAAGTACAGCATAAATAATATTTTTTTTGGAACAATAAATGCCGCACCATTATCGACATAATATTATTATTGACATTCACATTTCAACCAAAATAATAATTTCAGGCATTTGTACTAGAAAACACGGTAATAACCGCTGAAGCACAACATTCCTTTACAGTATTACAACAAGTATACAAATAATGTTTGAGATACAAAAAATCATTTTTCAGTTTTTTGACACAGCTCTTTTATCTGCCGTTGGTCCGTGCCGATGGCGAATAATACCCGCCCCGTGTGGAATTCGTGAAACGGATGCCGGTATGCGACGACGGAGCGTACTGCGCCATGTCGTAACTTAACGGTGCCGGCTGATAGACATTGTATCCCGGCTGGGCATATCCGCCGCTGTACAGCTGCGGCCCATAGGTCGCCCGCGACATGGAATAGTTGCCGTAATGCCCATACGGATCCGCATTGTACAGATCATTTCCGAATCCATGCCGGTATGTCCCGTTATACGGGCGCTGATACTGTTGTGATGCTAAACGATGAAAAAGCGGATTGTCGGACATATTCAGGTAAATATTAACAGGACGCTGATCTTTACTGTAGTTGGCGCGCAAATAATCGTATTTGGGTTTACTGGCATAGTTCGTGTTGTTGTACGTGGTGTTGTAGGAGTTGGATCCGTTATAGTATACTTTCGCGGCGGCATAACTATTGGGGCTGTTATATGCGTAGGCGGCCGGTGCCGGTGAGCCGGCATAGGAGCTGGGCGCCGGCTGGGCGTAGGGTGCCGGTGCCGGTACGGGAGCCGGTGCTGGGGCGGTGTAGCTGGGAGTCGGATAGGCGGCGGGGGTGTTGCTGGTCGGGGCTTTGTAATTGCTGTTGTTGTAGCTGGACGTATAAGTCTTAGCCGGCGCTAGCGCATATGGGGACGGACTGTGAAATTAAAAACATACAAATGCAGTTTTCTTAAACTCTTGCTCGCATAACTTTCTCGGTGCAGAGCATGATGTTTGAATAAACGTTTATTACGTTACGCGCTCTACAGGAAATGTAAAACAATTTTGGGGTAAGGTAAAACATATAAAACAAATTATAAACATTTGTAAAACGCAAATTATAATGAGCAACGGCGTCGGAAATTTGCAATCAGTTTAATTCTAAGCACCACTAAAATACTGTATAGGAATTTTCCTTTAAAAGTAGAGCCAATAATCCTTCCACAAATACAGATGAAAATGCAGAAAAGCAAACCTGTGCCGACTCTGTACGTACGCAGTGTAACTTGTTCGTCCGACGTAATTGGTCTTCTCTTTGTACGCATCGTTGCTATATTTTCCATCCCAATTACACCGAATATGGTAGATCGTATTGTCTGCAACACGGGATTTACATAAATAATTAATAGCTCCAAATATGTATTTTTGAAAATGCATGTACGATTCAAAAAGGTACCTGCTTGAAAGCTGTGCAAAGTGTAACTGACAATGACATCGTTGTCGTCACAATATCCAAAGGAAGAACTTTCGGCGTACGACGGTAATCCATGGTTGATAAACTGATAGACCTGCCAGCCGCCATAACGATTCTGTTCCAATGTGTAAAGGGATGTTTCGCCGACTGGACTTATGGTTTGGAATACCGGGCAGCATTTTTCCGTTTGCAACTGAGAGATTTCCGTTGCCTGTAACCATGCGACCGCAAGAGGAAATGAATCACAACTGCATTTATATGAAGTTTTAATCAGAAAATTTACCGATTCGGGACCGGCGTATAGAGTCTGGAACGCGTTATCGTCATCCGACATAAAATCAAAACTGCGCGACTGCCCGGAATACTCGATAATAAACGAACGCTGATTGGCCAGCGGACAGCAGCAAAACGACTTATCATACTGGTTGTCCGGCTGGAGACGCTCTTCCACTGGACACGCCCCATCCGTCTCATACTTAACGTTATTGCTCAAGGCCACGCCCAGATGGACAGTTTTGTGGTAATGCGGCGCCCGAAGGATTTGTAAATCCTCCACTCCTGTTGCAAAAAAAAAGAAACTTGTACGTGCAACGCAAACACGAAAATTAATATCAAGTTTTTGCAGTTTTACCACACAGGCACTGGTCAATGGTGAACGGTTCGTAGGCACACAGCGTGTTGCGCTGTCCATCGTAGACCGCCGCGCCAATGGTCTTCTGGTGCTTATACGGTCGCACATCGCAGTAGCCATCCTTGAAGCGGATCTCGAATAAGTGTAGCAGGGTTCGGCGTGTATTGCCACGTCGCTGCGAATACACCAAGATGATGGAATCCACGCTCTTCTTCCACGCCGTCACATCCAGGACGTTCTGGATGTCGGCGAATCCGCACAGGGCGATTTTGCCGTCCTTGGCAATGTACAACGGCTGCACGGACTCGTGATAAGCCGCTGTCGGCTCCACGTTGTTATTGGCGAAGGCCAGCAGTGTGCCGGCATGTCCCAAGGGAACTGACTGCAAAAAGGTCATTCATCTACAGCTTACGCCAAATACCAGATGTGTAGTGTAACATCTAACTCTGAGGATTGCAGTAATGTTTGCAGCATCTCTGGCAAGCTCAGTAAATTAACTGATTAAGTACTGTATACAGCATCGTGTGGTACTTGTATGTGGTTAAAAATTGCAACAGCGAGCAATTTCGAAACACTTCAAAATCAAAAGCTACGTAATTATTTGTACTTATAAGCGAAACGCAAAACTACCTCAAAATCCACCAAATACTTGTACTCAAAAACATGAAGGCACGGAAGGAGTTTTAAGGTGCTAGACGAATAGTCCACTTGGTACGCAGCAGAATGACCCGCTTTGGTCAAAGCGATAATGAGATGGTTAGGCTTTTCCAAATTGTTTAGATCATCCACCACCTATAAGCAGTTATACGGAAACTAATTAGATGACTGGCAAGTATAGTTATTGCGCCATTTTACTTCAAACGCGCACATTAAAGTTCTAAAACCTATTTTAGATGTTTATTATTCTACATTTTATAAACAAGCCACCGGCTGGATATAACTGTAACGGTAACGTAAAACGTAAGCTTATGTGGTTATACCCGGATGTCGAAGCATGTATTGTCGATAAGTGTTGGTGTGGCATCTTTGCCCATTCCCTCGTCGCCATAACCGCTGCAGTACAGCGGATACGCCAGGATTGTTTTTGCCGGATGTTGCGAACAATACAGAATGAAGTCACCCCTAAAGCAAAATAAATTATTGAGGAACAGCAAACGCAAGCAGCAAAACCTAATTTCCGACTAATAACCTTTTTCTTTGACTAAAGTTGTTTGTTTTTGTTAACCAGAAACTGCAGTCTGTTTTTCAAAATATGCAAGCTGTAATTCTAAAAAATTTTTAAAATAAGCAAACTGTTATACAAACATATTAACGATAGTGAGAATACTATTTATTAGTCAGGTGAAAACGATGGATAAAGGAAGTTTAATTATAAAATTTGATAAGCACTGTGTTGCGTATGCTGTTATACAAATTCTGAAGCTTACGTGGGAATAGAGACAATAGCACTGGCGGAAGTGGTGGGAATGTCGGCATGTGACGACTTGGTCTCCTTCGTCTGGATGGGGCAGTCATATCCGGATCCGTACGCTTCCTGCGGTTTATTGTATGTCTGTCCGTAACCATTATAACCGCCATTATAGGATCCTCCGTATGGGTTAATTTTCCCATACCGGTCGTACTCCGGTCCGCGCAGTTGTTCGTTTCGGCCGTACGAATCCCGGTTATCGTATCCATAGCGGTCACGGCCATCGTATCGGTCATAATCCCGGCCGGCAGTATTTCGTCCCAACGCGTACGAATCATTACGCCCATAATCATAACGGTCATTGGCGTAACGTCCATCATTGTACCGTCCGTAATTATCGTTGTCGTAGTCCCGATAACGGTCAGACCGGTAAGGACCTACATTTTATTGGAAGAAATAAACATTTGTGAAATATGTACCCGGTCCCCCGGATGATGAAACCCTGATAATAAAGTACAGCGCACCGGTGTGCGCGTTTCTTATATGCGCAATAAACTGTCGCAGATTGAAATAATCGCTCATTTTTTGTACACGGCACGTAATCAATGCTAGCAAGACGGCCATCTTCTTAAGTGAAGCACAGTATTCACCTGAACTATTATAACGGTAATTTCCCCTGTACGTGGAGTCGTAGTCATCTCGGCCGTAGTCGTCATCCCGGTATCGGTCGCCGGTCATTCGTCCAGACTCATAATTATCGCGGTCATCGCTGTACCTATCCGCATATCCGTCATACCGACGATCATCGTACGGTTCCGCTCTGTAGCCCTTTTTCTTCGAATAATCCGTCCCCCGCCCGTCGTAACCCATCGTCCAGTTATAACCCGTATCATTGTGGATCATCCGGGACGCCGTGTAATTTCGTGGATAATATCCTGACCCAGTGGAGTTGTAATACCGATTCGGTCGCCGGTAATCCTCACTGCGGTAATATTCCTCGTCATTATACCGATCGTAGGTGTCGGGACGTCGGTCGTTGTAGTCTCCGCGGTCATAGTTTACCGAACGGTTGTAATAGTTATTGGGATAGTAGTCATTGCGATACGGTGTATAGGAGCGGTTTTGATAGGTTAGCCGGTCCGAATACGGCGTGGGCTCATCGGCGAACGCTGTGTAGTTGGCCGAACTGGAATTTGGAGTGTGACATTAGGAGAAAAATCTTTGACCTTATTAATGCCTGTATGTGTGCGATTTCGTGCCGATGGACTTACAGTTTTTGTGGTTGCTTTTGGATGCCGGTATCTATTGAAATATCAATAACAGTTGTGACATTCAACACGCACCATACATTGTGTAATCAAGAAATGTTTTGATGAATCTTGCTTTGAAATCGTTTACATTAATGCAGATTAAAAATTCATGACATTGAATTCATGCGCACATACATAAGTACACGACTCACAAAATTAATGAGCAGTTAGTAATGCTACAGAACCAGCTCAAACAGAATGATAACTGACAACGCAATACTTCGAGAGCCAGTTTATGGGAATTCGCTTAATTTTTGTGGCGAAAGGCAGTGCGCAAAAGTTGTAAAATGCTCTTTTTATTTCTTTCATGTCTCCGCCTTCATAAAAACATTTAAGCATTTGTAATGGCGTAAATTAATAATAATATTATTTTATTGTTAGTATCGTTGCGTCGATAGACCGTGCCATAAAGAATGGCCTGGATAGTGAGTAAGACACTAAGGAAGCCAGTCCGCAACAAATCTTGTTACCTCGTAGATTACACATTCAGTCTTACACTCGCATTCTTACACAATACCTAACGTACCACCGGACCCTAAAGCAAAAATATATTTTGAAAGTTTTGCCCACAACTGTAATTCGCACTTATAAAAAAAATAAGCTTTTAAAAAACTAACCTTTCGATAGATACAGGGATTCCTTAAGAATTATGACTTACAATTCGTAGAATAGCTGTTAGCTCCAGTGTATGGGGTTTTGTCCGTTGATGCACACCGTACGGCAGCTGGAAAAGGCATGCAGGAATTTGTTGTATTATATAGAGCTTGCGCTTATAACTCTAATAAATAGATTTTCTAACCGTTCCCATTTTAGATACTTTTTACTGTATATACATCAGTGTTTAAAAGCCTCTACCTGCACTTTGTTTGACGAGAAAAATAATTGTGAAAAATAGGAGGAAACAGTTTCCAACAGTGCTAAAACAAAATATCTTCCGCGTAACCTCCATGCCGACTGATAACAATAACTTGCGGATTTCAACCATGCAAGTTTTAGTTTATGTAAAAAGTCACAATAACTAAAAAATAATTAACAAAATAAATTATCAATATTACACGAATACAAAACAGAGGTTTGGGTATACGGTGGTCGGCATGGGCACGCATGTATGCATGTGGATGTCAAAATCCAGCATGCTTTGCTACATGTTGGTGGACGAAGTGATTCATATCGAAAAGCTAGAAAAAAAACTGCACAATGCTCCTACAAACCTGCTTTGCATCCTCAAACTTTTTACAAAACTTTATCATGATTTGTCGGCTGATGTTCTAGTTTATTCACTTAGTCACTCTGCCGCTTCGATACAATACTATGTGACCTCAGAAGATTGGTGTTTAACGAGTAGAATGCAGAGAAAAGATACACAGACATTACCATGTTTCCTTGTGAAATTGATAAGCCGACGGTTAAATATAAAAAATAAGTCGAATGTGCGTAGTAACCGCTGCTATCGACTCCATAATCAAAACTATACTTTATGGTTCATCGTTGTACACATTTACTTCCTTCACACTTTACGGGTACCTTTATAGTTTATACGTACGAGTACATCAACCTAACCGAGAATTAGCGAAGTGGGCAAGACGATTTGGCAGGAAACAGGCGAGAAACGTGCAGCGGAGTTTTTGCGCCAGAGGTTCAGCATCGAAATTCAACGTGGAAACGCGGCATCCATCCTGGGAATGGCACCGGCCTCGGCTAATTTAGATCAAATGTTCTCTGTAATCCGGCCGCATGTTCCTGCTGTTTGTTAATATTAGGATGTGATGTTTCTTTTGTGAATTGTAAGCTTATCTTTGTATTCGATCAATAAAGTACACCGAGAATTTAATTTATATAAATACAGATTTGTGCGTGCGATTATCCAACTTAAAAACTTCTTGCGTTGTTTTTTTACATAGCAGTTATTGCTTTGTCTAGTTACAGTTACTGCTGATTTTAAAGCATTTAAGTGGTAAGATAATTAAAAATAAACTTCTGTGTTTTTTAGTTGATATTAATACAGTACTAGTCTTGTTTCCGTGAGCTGATTTGGTTTTATTCCATTGCAAGGCGCTCGTAAAGCTCAACTCTAGCACAACAAACAGCATGACGTATTTGTATTATTAATTATGGCGAAACTGCAAAGGAGAAAAATGAACAGTAAAACTCCAAAACATGAAATTGGAAATTGTTAGCTGGGCTCTAACTATAAGAAGGATCGCGCAGTTTAGTTATTCAGAGGCATACACAGTTTAAGACAGTTGCCGGTATCCAATCAATGAAATGTTTGATTATAACTTTTTACTATGGCAGTGGTTAGGTGGTGCTTCATCCCGGACCTGCAACAAAAGAAAACTTAACTCAGAAACACGAAATCTGATGAATATTGGAAAACAATATTTACTGCAACGCACCACCGGGATGTTGAGAGTCAATGAGTGCAGCATGGGCTGCGCCAATTGCACCGCCAGCTACGGAGCGACCGAATCCCATATCAAGTGTCGGCTTGCTTAGGCGTTCCACGGCCAGCGTCGACCTCTTGACATTGCTTCTGTAATACGTGTCCGCTCTTTTTATAAATTGATAATGAAGTATAAATAATTAGCATACAAAGGTAAATGTACTTGTACAGCCGTACATATATTAGTAAACATATAAAACGCAACGCTCTTTAATGTGGCTAGGAATCACTTGTCTGTATCAACCGCAATATGTCAATTGTAGGTATAATATCATCAGCAGTTGTGATTTACTGTGCCCTTTACGTACCCCGCTGCGGTGAATCTTCCGGAATTAATATCAGAAAGCAGATTCTGCAACAAATGGCGATCGGATTCCAGGGAATCGATGCGAGCAGCTTTTTGCACTAATGCATGAATGAGATTTTCTTCCTGGGACGGCGTCATGTCCTGATGCATGGATATCCTGTTGGAAAGTGCGAGAGTTAAGCCGAATATGGAACAAAATTATCAAGCTTGCAATACAGATGTTTCATACTTGCAACCATAAGAATTATTAGTAAAAAAATTGGCCTTACTAATATAAACGGAACTGAAATTAACGTATAAATCGCAATTGTACGTACACTTACGTATCTGAATTGCGTACTTACAATTTTGTCACATCAACCGGCGCGCAACGTCCACTGTGTATGGACTTCAAAATAAGAAACACACTATAAGAAAAGATAACAGCAACGTCTGTTACGGAAACCATGATTTCGGAAAAAGCGGTCGCAGAATGAGAAATTTCTTCAAACCGACAATTCAATTGGAAGAAAATGCAAAAGCCAGTTTTTACCTGTTCGACAGAGAAATCTCTCGCGTTTTATACCTGTGGCAAACTCTGAAACCGGATGCAAGTCATTCCAGAATCCCAGAATCAGCCTAGTGAATGTATCCAAACGACTTTGGAGAAAACGAAAGATTCATTACTCGAAAGATTCCCGACTGGGTTCGTGCCTATTTTTGAGGCCGACTTCCGTTCCGCCCAGTGTCAGATCACAAGACACACAAGTTGAACGACATAAAAAATACCCCGCGAACAGCTGGGTGCGGTAAGACTACATAGACTCGCCAATGTCGTGCAACTTAATTATAGAATTTTCACAAAACTGCAATGTCCTGAATTTGTTAACAAATTTTTCAATATCAGGGTACCGAGGCTTTCATCTTTTGTTAAAGATACCCCACTGCGCCACCGGATCTTAATTTGTCGTGCCCAGAAATAATTCTGGATTTCACATGACCGCGAACTACATGGAATTGTTGATTGAGCTAATTACCAAATTTTTATGTACACGCACAGATTTATTTGGCACAAGTCTAAACCTCCTACGGCTATCGTTGTTGCATGTAATGAATTGCCGAATTCCGGTAGATTACAAAAATCCCAAATTAACCACCTTAACATTCTGATATAATTTTTTAATTTTTAAAATCATCACTATGCAGGAAGTAATTATTCAGGATCATTATGTTCCTTCTGGCATACAAAATTTGATTGATTTATTGATCGCCGTTCGGCCATCCGCTGTAAATCACAAAAATCACCAGAATAAAAAACCTACTGTAATCCATGTTGCTGTTAACGAAAGTATACACATGTACACTGAAGGCAAATGCACTAACTGGACACAAACATAAAACTGTCTAGTATGCGACCAGTTTGACTTGGTTCTGGGGTGTGGTGCAGTAGAACGAATCCTTGAGAAGATGCAGGCCCTTGCAATATTCGGGAATACCGACGAACTTTCCGTAGACGATCTTTTTGCAGTAGTACTGTTGGTCGCAGATCACCATGGTGTCAATGTTGTAGATGTCGAACGCCCAGACACCCGTCTGGAACACCTCCCAGTAGCGGGTCTCAAAGTTCCATCGGTACAACTTGTAGTCGCGGCTCAAGTACATCAGCGTGCCGTCGTTACCGTACCCGGCATCGATGGCGTTGTTAACGTCCTTGTCGCGGATCCACTGGTGACCGGCATACAACCACAGACTGCCGTCGTCCGACACGGCGAAGCCATTGTCGCAGTTATGGGGGGTGACCGTTACCATGTTAACTGGATTGGGCTGACCGGGAATCTAAATAAAGCCAAAGGTGACAGTACTGGTATATTTTAGACAAACGATCAGTTTGTGTACAGCGCAAACGTACATTATTATTACGTAACTTTACACGTTGATTTACTGTATGTAAGACAAAATGCAGTAAGCACTTACAATTAGTAGAATACATTAAGCAGACAGGAATAGATGTGCGTAAGATGCATAAGATATATAAAATACATGTACACATATTACATATACATGCATACATTTAGGTAGTACATAATTATATCATAATTTGGTAACTAAATAGAAAAAAAGGTTTTATTGATAGTTAAAATTTACCAGTTCAGGAGCATCCTTATAGGTCATACGGTAGATATTTCCAAACTTGGTGTAGTCGATATACCACAGGCAGTCATCGTAACCGTGGAAGGCGTACTTGACATTGGTGGCCACGCGGGTCTGGTCGTGCTGGAAGAGACCGTCGGGATCGACGCGGATCAGTTCGTACTGGGTGTTGACGTAGTATTCGGTTCCATCGGGTACGGCGACGTTGACGGCGGAGGTCTCACCCGTAGCGGCGATGACGTTGCCGGTCTGGAGGAGGATGGACGACGAGTAGCCGGTACCCTGGTAGTTGTTGCTGCTGTAGTTGCCGTAGTTGGTGCGACCGTAGTTGGTTCCGTAGTTAGCGTACGCGGGCTGTTTGTAGTCTTGCTTATACGCAGTATTATAAGGCGGATTTTGCCCAAATACGCAGCCCGCTACAACAACACAACGAAAAATCTCAACATGTTTCTATTTTCCCAATGCACATATCTGCATATGCGATCATAAATGTCTCCACAGACTTTCAATAAACATCTTTTTGTAATAATCTTTTACTGTTATCAGTAAATTGCAGTACGAGTGCATACCGTTTAAATATACGTATACTGTATACCGATATGGAGAAATCTGCTATTCGTGATTAATATATTTGCCGGCTGCTTACCGAGTAAAATAACGATTGCCGCAATTTTCGCCATCGTAACCGTCAGTAAAATCCGCAAATACGAAATCACTAAATGACCAGATTATGGAACCGCATTCCATTATCACCTCTGCGCTTTACTTTATATACAGCCTTTGAATATTTCAACGATTCGGCCACTGTATCCAACAACCATTACATAATGAGTGATATGATATCCATCTATGGACTTGCTTTGGATTTTTTGAGTCAGTTTTCCGGCAGTCTCCAGCTTCTTTGTTTTGAACGTTGTACGTTATGCAACGAAACGGGATTATTACTTATTGTTAATTAGAGAACCGTACACAACACGTCGTGCTTACGTTAACGCCACATAAAGGTTTACGGCAGTTTTTGATTTGTTAGTAACGATGGAGCTGAACCGCATCGCAATTATTTTCTTACCAAAATTATTTTCTTCCATATTGGTATATATTATGCGATTCATGTAATTTGAGAGGTATGCAGCAAACCGGCCGAAATAACATCAACAAGAAAGTTGTTGGTTGTACATCTGTATATCTGTACTGTACTTAAATGCGCATTATGCTCTCGCAAAAATCAAAGTGGCAAATGCGCAAGGACGAGCGCTGCGCCTTGCTAAAATAATATAAATTAATACACAATTACAATACTGCAATGTTTACTCGTAATCTTGTTTTTTCAATTGCAAGACAAATTCCCTACGAATGTGGTTTGAATACCAAAGCAACTAAAGATGTTGCAGCAATAAAATAGCGCACATGTACGACTGCACTCATAGACTATCTTGAACAGAACCATACGTATAGATCTGTGTAACCTCCTAACTGAGCTAATTCCCTAATTGCTTGATATAAGGTGCGAAAAGGCGTGGGCGTTAGAGAGAATGTTTTAATTGGTAATCCACAGGTATCGCCCGTTATGCACGAGCTTGCGCAATTGGGCGACCCAGACCGCGCGTGTGCCCTTTATTAAACCTTTTTCGAGCCACGGAGTACTATGCTCTAATCGTTATTTCAAGCCTTTCCATCGAAGCAACCGTTGCTCTTTAAAAACGGCGTTACCGGTTAGAGGCGATGCATGTATAAACAGTGTGCGGTTTTATTAAACATTTAATGCGTTGCTACGTTAGCGGTACGCTAACATTATTATACCGTAAGCAGTAAGGAATCTTTTCTTTAAGGAACCAATATATGCAACCTGTTAAGTTACTATTATTTAAAATACGAGCCGTACCGCTTTATTTAAATTTCGACAACACGGCGTTCACCGTCATAAGTACGTTAGCATTGTATTGTCACAATCCATCAGATTTGTTGTTGTCAAAATCCGGTCCGTTTTGATCCAAATTGCAGACCCTTAAACTCAGTGCCGTGGAGGTATGGATAATCACTTCACGTATTTTCAATGTTTGGCTGTATTATGATCGTAGCTAAGTACTGTACAGTAACATCGATTTTGTTGCTGTTCCGGATTGCGGTTATGAGTTATAACTGATCAGAATTGACCTGGTGGTTGAATCGACACGAACTGCGTTTTCGGAGAATAACAAGAACACACACAAATTCTAGTTCATTTTAATCACCATTTTAAGTGATGGTCAGGTTAAACCCAATGACAATCTGTACAAAACCACATCAAACATTTCAGCCAGGCACGCATGACCTTTAAAATCACAATTTCGGAGTGTAAATTTGTTAAATCAAAATCACCATACAGCGCATGAATTCATTCACCCGCTGCAGCAAGGACTATTGCGCGGCTTAATATGCCACCAGCTTGACTTGGCTCTGAGGCGTAACACAGTAGAAGGAGTCCTTCAGGATGTTCACGCTGGTGCAGTATTCGGGAATACCGACGAACTTTCCGTAGACGATCTTCTTGCAGTAGTACTGCTGGTCGCAGATCACCATGGTGTCGATGTTGAAGATGTCGAAGACCCAGACGCCGGTCTGGAAGACTTCCCAGTAGCGGGTCTCGTAGTTCCATCGGTACAGCTTGTAGTCTTTGCCCAGGTACATCTGGGTACCGTCATTACCGAAGCCGGCATCGATGGCGTTGTTGACGTCCTTGTCGCGAATCCACTGGTGACCGGCGTACAGCCACAGACTGCCGTCATCCGCAACAGCGAAACCGTTGTCCCAGTTGCGGTTGGCCACCTTCACGAAGTTCACCGGGTTAGGCTGATTGGGAATCTGTGGACAAAGGTCAAGATCAGACATCATTGTGCAATAATGTGAGAAATATTGCGTATGCATGCTTATACCACCACGAACTGTTATAATATATTAGGAATTTGGGAGCTATGGAAGTACGTACATATATAAGTACAATCATAAATCCAACAGTAATAATTATGTATCCAACAGTAAATCCAATAGTAATAATTATGTATGTATAAAAATAATACACTTAAAACATACCTACATTCTATAAGCGCATACATATCTCTACAGAATTGTGCTACATTACTAACCATCATTGGGTTCTACATAATATTATTGTGTTGCGTTATTTGTTATATGAATACTAACTGCCGGGTATCTTATTGTTATGTACATCGCGCATTTATTTTCGGAAATCCGTAATGAAGAACCCTGCAGTCCTTAGCGGATAACTGAACGGATTATTATTATTAAATATTTTACCAGTTCGGGGGCGTCCTTCCAGCACATGCGCCAAATATCGGCATACGGTTTGTAGTCGATGTACCACAGACAGTCATCGTAACCGTGGAAGGCGTACTTGACATTGGTGGCCACACGGATCTGCTCGTGGCGGAAGAGACCGTCGGGATCGACGCGGATCAGCTCGTACTGGGTGTTGACGTAGTATTCGGTCCCGTCGGGAACGGCCACATTGATGGCAGATGTCTCACCGGTGGCGAAGAGGACATTGCTGTTCTGCAGTAGAATGGACGACGAAGGGGCGTTATAGTTGGATCCGTAGGTGTTGTACTGGTTATATGCCGGGGCTTTGTAGTCCTGCTGGTAGCCGGGTTTGTACGGTGCGGCGTTATACTGTGCGCCGTATGGTGGTTTATTGTACGGTGCTTGTCCAAAAACCGATGCCACTAACAAAATGAAATACCATGAGCATTTTATACAATAAAATAGATGAACTACGTAAATTTTAATTATTTAATTTTCATAGCATACTGTAACATTATAACTTTTTGTTTCCTAATGGCTTACGCTAATTGGAGGTGATTTTCATGTACTGTACTTACCCAACAAGGTGACCAATGCAACAGGCTTCATCATTATGTCGAGGAGGTTACTGTCGTCTGCAGAACTATCAAAGTAATCGATGTCACGATGAATGTTGCTAATGTTTTCCGGACGTGGCTTTTAAAGTGATGCACAGCTATGGAGAATTTGCATTTCGTTGAGTAATGCGATAGGTATCGCTCAGTGCGGTACGTTTCCAAATCTTTTTCCAACACGTTTCCAGAATAGTTTTTCCCGGGTGAAAAAGTGTTGACGAACATTTTGTTATGTAAAACGAAAAACTGTTACGAAACGGACGAGAAACTTCCCGTGAAAGGCGTTACCAAAATTAATTACCGAGACAAACTGATCGGTGCGATGTCGCTGAGAAAATCATAGAAGTCACAAAAATTAGTTTGCCACTACAGTCCACTAGGAAGAAATGTACCGTTCCCCTCGAAGCCAATAATTTTGGGCTTCCTTCGTGTGCACTAACCAGTAAGCGTATGCATTCAAATCGTGAGTCTGTACAATACTTTTTAGCCATAGCCATTACGAAGGTTTGTTATTTTGCAATAATCCACTTTATAGTTTCACATCCGTAAGCTCATTAACGAAATGTTCATTTATCCATTTCTTGCTTCCTGTACTCGTAGTTACATAATCACTCTAGATATGACTGATATGTACACACTACGCGATACAATTATTAAGGTTTACTGCCTTTAACTGCCAAATTTACTTCACCTAAAATTCACATCTATGTAAACCATAGCTGGTTGTAAACTATGTTCTGCACTACTTGTCGACCATGGAGATCGGCAAAATATAAAGCGACACCGCGACAACATAAAACATAATAACTTTATTGCACAAATATGACACTAAAAACACTGAGAAAAACTAACTTTTTTAAAAGAAACACAAAACTCTAGCAATAGAAGTTTACAGTGACCAGTCTAAAACGAACCCCGACAAAATGTAGAAAACGTCTTAACAAGAAAAACTAAAAAAGCCATCCACTTCCAGAATACCGCCGCCTTCTTAAACATAAAATACTCTTACAAACAAAAAAACCAGTTCCATTTTTCCATCAGAAGATCCGTAACCGGAACAAAAAACCAACTAGCTTCCAAAAATTTACCAAAATTAATAATTATATAACCGCCATGAATGGTTTTCTTAAAGAAAAACTTTCCTCATCTTGTTTTTTCCCCGCTTGTCTTGATTTCCCTCCAAGAGACGTGTCCGCTTGTAAATTATGTACAAAATACAAAATACTGTAGACCGATAGGAGAGCCTATGTCAACACAGGGACGGTATGGGTTGGGTGTGTGGTTGTGGTAAAGGTCACCAGGGACCGCGTGCCGACCGATCCGCTGTTTCCTCTTTGCGGGAAACGGGAAGGTTGTCAGAATAGTGTGCACTTTCAACTAGTCGGCAGAATCGCGCTCCTTCTTGGCTGGTTTGTAGTCCTCTCCCAGTATTGTGGCGATCTCCTCTTGCATAAATGCCCACGGTACCTGTTAACGATCGAACTGTATAATCTTTCATAATCACTAACAGCAACATCAATTTAATGTCTGCTAACGAATTTGTAAAATCATCAGTACTAAATATTCCATTGGTATAAATTACGAAAATATGTAATTTTGTAAAGCCGAAAGCTGGACGCTTATCGTGCATAAATACCCATAGTACCGTAAAAATTATACTTTAAGAATACAACAAACTGCCGAATGCTTTCAGGTGGATTAGATCCGATTTAACTTTAACCAACAACCTCTCTGTTTATTTTGACAGGGAGAAGGAAATGCATTCCTCAACTTTTATACGACAGAAGAGAATAATAATTATCTTTTATAAAAGATGAAAGAAATCTGTACAGACAAAGCCGAAGCTCATTTTATTGCTGTTTGCACGCATAAAATCCCTGATAGATTCCTGTTTCTCACCTGTGAGCCGACCAGGGGACATCTTTCGCCGCTGGGACAGTAGACATCATTACCGGCTCCCTGTTTCTTAATACTATTCCGCGAGCAGGGAAAGCAGAATTTGTGATGCGCCACCGAGGGGCACTGTACGAAATGCGTGTCCTCCAGGCGTTCATGGCAGATCGTACAGCGCAGCAGCTGTGTGGAGGCTCCCGTGCCGGTGGCGCCGCCGGCTCCACTGATTCCGCTGGCCGGTGAGGAGGCCGTGGAGGGGGAGGCCTCGCGGCCGCCCATGGCCACCATGGTGGGCCGCTCCTCCTGACTGATGGATTTGCGTGGGCCGTGTGTCAGATGGGTCGTGTAGGGCCGGCTGGTGACGTGCGGTGATTCCATCCGTTCAATGGGGGAACTGGTGGGCAGCGGATGGTGGGCGGGCGAATGCGTGATGATGGGACGATCGGCGACCGACAGCACCGAGCTGCTGCCGCCGGTCGGGGACAGGGTGGGGGGTGCTGATGCGGAATGGTTAGCCATTTCCTGCAACAACAACATTCGATGAACCACCGCCATTAGCGTATTTAATTTTAAATCATTTAATAAATCAAATATCTACCAATTGAAGGCAACAAAATTGTACAGAATAATCAGAGTAACTATGACAAAAACACCATCATCGAAACATCTCCAGTGAATGCACAATTATCATCATAATTCTCCTGAACTTTTACGCGGTGAGACAGCCAAAACAAGCAACATACCGGTGGACTGCCTCGTGAACTTCCATTGGAACTCATTGGTGATTGAGCATGAGATAAAGCACTTCCGCTATTGGACGGTGTACTGAGGCTGATGTTGGTGCTTAGTGCTGAAATGGCACTCGGTAGGGACATTGGGGGACTCGTGGCGATCGACACCGCTGAAGAAACAAATAACAATTTTTTTTACACTACTTCAGGCTGTTTGTTTTTATAATGTCCATAATATTTCAAACAAATGGAAAAAGTGTTCAGTATATTAATGCATATTAAGCTAGCACAATTAATAAAGTAACTTCAACCACTGGCGCTGTGTTACACATTAAAAACAAGCGTAGGATAATATGAACCTACGGGGTTTAATTAATTGTGGTGGTTCCATGTGCATCGGCATAGCGTTGCGCGGTGTGCCGGCCAACAAATGCTCCTTCCTTATACGGATATTATCCGTCGTCCCGGAGGATTCTTTGGGTAGGGAGCGCAGCATGAGATCAGGATGAGAACCGGAGGAGCCCGATGAATTACTGCTGCTCAGGCTCAACTGCGGCATTTCCATGTGGGGACGCTTGGCACTGCTGGGTGCCGGCATCTCCATCATCGACGGCGGACTGTTGCGGTGCGGATGCAGCATATCCTCGTCGCGCTCCATGGGATGCGAGCGTTTCGCCTGGACTACTGAGGCGTGCCCGGGACCTGGGTAAATATTTCCGCCTAAACGTTAATTCAGTCACTCAAACAGTTTCGAGAAACCTGGGTGCGTTACAGTAATTCGCTGGACAGTACACCAATTACTAAGTAAGTAAATAATAATTCTCAGTTCCTGATTTGTTATTTTTCGCTTCTTTTATTTGGACAGGATGGGAAACTTTAACAGACGAAACGGATCTCCGTACCGCTATTGCGTCGCGATAACTCTCCCAAATTCATGACTGCCGCAGGAACTACGTAGTGGACGGAAGCATTTCAGTGTGCAGTTTGTTAAACATTTTAATAATTTCTTTCGGAACAGTGCGGAAATCATTAATTTCTTCATGTTCTTTTTACAAGGGGGTGCAATTCCACCAAGAAAGCCAGCCTTGATTAGGCCCTCTCAACGCCTACTGCACCACAACAACCACGAAAGCCCGATTTACCAACGCAGATAATCTCCCATAATGGAGGCAAACTGCGAAATTACCTCCACAACAATTTTCTATGTAATAACAGATAAACATCACGGTCTAATGTTGACACAAATACCGAGCACGTCATGGGCATGGATGTCGCCTCGTTGGCGTGCCACAGTCGACCTTATTATGTCCGACCCAACGCCACGGAAAGGCCGGTCGAGAACGAGCATCGTAGCAGGGAATACTCCACTTCCCAATGGGAAGCGACACGCAACCGGCAAAAGCATCAAACTTCTGCCGCATGTCCCGCTACAACGGCCATGCAGCACGTGAGATTAAAGAGAACATCTCACGCAATGCCATGCCGGAGCGCATAACAATACCAGCGGTAACCTTTCACGTCGTCAATATATGATCAGCAACAAACCCTTGGCACGCTATTATTGTCTAATACACCGCACCGCATGTATCGACAATTTATTATTTACCAATGATCACATGTAGAATATATGTTGGCAAAAATTTAATACGATTGTTCCTACATCAACGCTAATTCAATCTCTGACACTTATCCGTATTAATTTCGGATTTTTCCATGAAAAAATAAAGCTCAGCTTCCACCCGATTAAATGATGCCCTTTCCCTACATCATCAAAACAAGCCCTACAGACAGAGTAATCATCCTAGAGACCACACAATCCCCAGTCCGGTTCCGTGAAAACCCCCACTATTAATTGACGTCAAAAGCCCGCTGCAGCGGAATCCGCTCCGGCCAAATTGTTTCACGGGAACGGAAAGCGGTGTTCCATTCATTTCCGTCTATATTATAGAATATAATCCCTTCCCTGTCTATTATCTTATTACCAGACATGTTCCCCTTTAATCTGCTGATTATTTTTAATACTCATTTCCCCCGCTACCACCTTGATCAATATGGAGCGAAGGAAGAGAGACGCGGGATGATTATCTCTGTCTTCCAATTTAGTCCATCACTGTAATCCTAGAATCCTCATACTCGGGGCTGTTCTTGTCAATAATCTTCATCTGTGCCGCCATCATTATTCAGACAATTTTTCTATCGTCTCCCATTCACCTATCAATTTACTGCAATGCATTTGATTAGGGTTCCAAAATAATTACACCGTCGACAATAAGAAATACTGTCCTGTGTTTCTAATACGCTGCGACAACTCGATACCATAATTACAGAAAAAAGACAAACAAAAATTAAACATAGACTGAAGTAAGTCGAAAATTATGATTCATCAAGCACCACTGTCTTCCCTGCTTATACGTAATCATATTTACCATGTTATTTATTTTCAAGTACTTAGTAAACGTATTTAGTGCCCTGAATCGTCGGAATTATAAACTACATACAATTTAGTTTTAAGTAAATTTGTAACTGTTTATCCGAAACGCACCGAAAGTATTTATTACGATGCTGTATTCACACAAAATATAGTATCGTAATAACTTCAAAACATATTATTTTCACATCCAGCAAGTGCAAGTTACATAGAGAACACTAGAGAAAACACATGTATTCTACAGTTAATTTTTGAATCCCAAAACGTTGTTCCCGTAGTAACCTGCTGCTAGTAGTGTCTATAACTCTGCATAGGTATGTATTGCACGAAATTTTTTCACTGATTTCCCAGCTTATACTCTGATTTACAAAACAACAATGCACCATAATATATAAGTCATGAAAATTAAAGCTAGCACCACACTTTCAACTTCGATAAATTCGTTAAAACTAATATTACCGCTATTAATAATTATAATTAACGGCTGTTAGTAGGTAGGCCAGCTATCCACAGACTTGGACATCTGATCGTCAACGCAACGCCCGATCCACCTGATATCTCCTTAACAATAGCCCATCATTATAACTAATCGGCATTCAGTGTTTGACTTTGATTCTAATCTGGCCCGTTCGCCCAATCAGCTTCCCGATTATTAACGAACCCCCCGGTTTCGTCGTATCGCACACGAGATCATTCAATCAAGTTGTCATTTGCATATCGAACGGGACACCGTGTATTGATTACTATCGGCCGCGCACCCGGACCCCGTGCACAAATAATTCCCGGGCCTTTTAACTGCTGCACTCTGCACTTCGTGTCGATAATGGGCTTTCCCTTTTCATCTGCTCCCGTTCCCGGAAGCCCGTGCACCAGGGACGTGCCGAATTCAGTCCTGACGCATTTTTCACACGGCTGCATTAATGAGTATTTTATAAACGGGGAAAACGCGTCAACACACGGGGGACAACCGTGTGTTTCACAGGTCTACAATCGACTACATCGATCATCCATGATGCCTAGTCCTACCAGCGGTCATAATTAATATTATACACAGAGATCTCTCTCGCCGCGCGAAACCCAAGGGCCATGCAAAGCCGACATTTTGTGTACATTAGCGGAGCCGTTGAGGCGTGCACTATTCTCTACCCATTTTTCCATGTCTTTCATACACGGTACAATGGAATGTAATGAGGACCATGAAGAGATAGCCCAGAAACTAGTCCAAAGAACATCCGGCTGTCATTCGGCGCCTCAGGGCTCGCTTAAAATTATATATACGTTTGGTCAGAAACCTACCGCCTGGGTCAATTAATGACACAAACAATTAGTAATCTTCAACTTCACTTTCTGTTAGCACACTACGATTTTCGAACGTAACGTTTACTATAATGTAGTTTTGCTGCCATAATTTTTCCAATATTAGCAAACCTGCTGACAAACTGACCGCTGACATAACCACAAAAAATTAGGTACAAGCTGTAAAAAGTTAAAACAGTATGAACTGCTTCAACTGCATACAACCTATGTTGCCATCTAATGATTCACGACAAATTCCATTCATTTCTTCCTTAATTATTCTTGCTGCGTCCCTAAATAAATTATGTAAAAGCTTTTGCATCAACAATTTTCCAATAATTTAACTGTTTAATAACCCAATTATTTCCATTGAACAACGAGGTAATGGAAAATTGTTATACCACTAATCCGTGCGCATCCCCATCCCCTTTTTCAGCCAACCTTGGAAAAAGAATCTAGCTCGTGATGCTCTCCCCAAACGAGCCGGTGCCCACTAATCCCAAAACAAAGACCACAACCAGAAGCCTATTCTCTAACAATCCCAACCGGAAAACATCCCTTTTCAAGCGCATCCCGGCATACATTCCCCATTCAAGCCAACCTGCCCCCATCGAACGGAAGATGTTCTAAGGAAATAATTGCTGCGTGGTCCCTGAATGCATGTCTCTCAAGTGCCCGGCGAACAATACCAGCCCGGTTGGAAATCGAGACAAACCAGCATGTTTCGGCGCTTACGAAGCTAATTTTTCCTTAGCCATCCCGAACAATAATCCTGTGGCCCTAACGTCGTCGAAATCCCCCCGTCTTAAAACTGAAAAGAACGACCCGCAAAATCCTCTGCGCCATTCCTTTACAGTGAGTTCACACATACACCGGGATTTATCAGTACAATTGCTCGCTTAGCCGGCGCGATCAAGGGGGTTTGTTCAATGGAGCGGCGCCAGCGCCTACACAAAATCCCCCTGACGGGTTTTAATGAGGCTGACCCGGCAGGAAGAGTGTCGCTGCCGCACGCTGGATGGGGATCTAATTAATCCCTCCAGGTGCACACAGCGAGGACAATGCGCACAATACCGGGAAACGGGGAAGGAAGGGTCGGTGTATTACGCTCTATCCTCAGGTGGATGCGGCTCAAATTATTCGCAATTAGAACACAGGATGGCTGCTAAATTAATCAACATTATGATGAAATACGACGCGCTTAGGCTGACGGCATTCCCTATATTTCTACCAATTCCGTGAATTACATTTAATCAATTATTTTTAAAAATAAAATATTCAACACCACAATATCAGATGACTGAACACCCAATTTTACCAAATTATTCCCCATGAAAATACTTACTTAACAGTAGCCGCTTCTCGAACTACGATTTACCGTGGTTTATAGGCCCGTAAAAAACCGCTCATGCATTTTTCCTTGCCAATTCCAAAGGAAAAAATTATGAAAATTACCACAATAAGAAAAACAAAAAAAGAAATTACCGCAAAATAAATCTTTTAAATTTAACTGGGCACATTCGTGTTACCTGGAATGCCCTGAAGTCCATGTCCGTGTGACTGTGGAGGTATTCCCGACCGGATTCCAGGTACCGGCATCGGCGGCGGTTGAATGGGCGGCAACCGGGGCAGCGGTCCCAGCACCGGTCCCATCCCGGAGCCCCTCCGGTCCAGCGGCACCATGACGCCGGGATGCTCCACCACGTTCGGTCCGCCGTTCATCATCCCGAAGTCGCCGCGGACCGGTCCATTGGGCGGCATGGGCGGCGGGCCGCTCTGGGGGTGTCGTCCGCTGGGGGCCGGAGGCGGTTGGGGCACCCCGCGCACATCCATCCCGTAGCGCTCATGGTGGACGACCGGGTTCTGGGTGACGATCCCTCCGCCGCGGGTGGGTCCCGAATGCGGCGGTCCGGATCGCGATTCTCCATTCTGCATTTCATGGGGATTGCGGGGATAATTGGGCGGGTGCTTGTTGGACGGGGGCGGCGCCCCCACCCCGTTGGCGGGGCGGGAAGTGGGCGGCGGGGGCGCCCCGCCCCCGCCACTGTCGTGGACGCCCGCCACGCGCTTCATCTGGCGGACATCCTCGATGACGTGCTCGATGCGGTCGGGGCCCTCGTAGTTGACGCAGCCGCGGCAGACGGCCTCCGAGAACTCCAGCAACATGGCCCAGGGATAGCGTGGCAAATCGCACAGATAACAATGTTGCCGCACACTCCGGTACATTTCGTCAATCATGAAGGGCGACGGTGCAAAGATCAGCGGAGGTTTATCGAAGTGCGATACGAACATAAGGATGATCGTGAGGGGGGATCAGGCGGACAAGTAAATCCTGCGGAAACAACAGCACACCTCACATTATGCGGACCACTACACATGTGATTCATCTGTGCGAGGCTGTATGAGTAGCGTAACTAATAACACTAACGGCAACAGCAATTATGGGTACTCTGTTCAATGCTTGAGGGAACGTTTCACATTGCGTAAGATAAGCAGTAAACTAGGTGGCTTATCAAAAAAATGAAAATTATGAAAACTAAAAATAACTGTCAATCAACGCGTGCGCCAGTTCCAGCGCTGTAGCAGCACCCGACCATGTGATCGGAATGCGACGGCATGAGGCAATCGATTGTGTGGGGTACCTGTGTTGCGGGCCTCGAGTGTCATTTCCAGTTAATGCGTACAGAAACCCTATACATCTGCGCCGCATTTACCCCTTGTACACGTAGCGACAGCACGGATATGTGGCAGCCTGCATTTCCAACGACTGTCTTTATTATGTGGGATATCCCGTAGTAATTTTTACCACATAAATGTTTTTCGCAATAAAGACTCTTCAACACAAAATATTTTCGAAGCCGGAGAATAACAAATCCATTTGAAGGGTAGATAATTACGAAGCAAAGAATACAGATTAATCAATCTTGAAGCCGGTACAGGCAGTAATTACAAACAGACAGTACAATATACATACGCTATACAGTGAAGTACAGAATTTATATTTACTGTATTATACAAAATTACTATTAGTGGTAAGCCGTTCGTTATCCCTTCTACAACGAGCGGTAAACAATAAACTACATAAATTAATATGATCTTAAATGATAAAAGTGTTGTTTAAAAACGTATAATAAATAATGCAGGAGATTGTAAAAACCGTTCCGACTTGCCAGCATACTATTATTGGATCTTACTGGTATCAGTTTATTTTAAGAGCTATCGTGTCGAACCTCGAAACTGAATTTTGGCATTTTAAGGGCGAACATTTGTGAGTTACTAAAAGCAAAACGGATAACGCACATAAAAAACAGCAAAAACGCCACCTGAATGCGAGTTGGTACTGTTTTATATGAGTACACATCTATGGTTCTGTCATACGTCCTGCGCAAATAACTATATATGCCACTTCTCCTAACTCGAAAATAATAATAGCTTTATTTTTCCCCGTAATGTACCGGTATGTACAATACATGAGCACTTTTAATAATTAAATATTAAGTTAAACGAGTACAATAATCATGTGGTTATAATGATAATACTAAAACAACGGATAGCCTGTCGTGTATACAGCACACTGCATATAAAATTGGTGTTCGTAACGTATAAACGTTGGCATATAAACGTTGGCGTAAAAAACTTAACATCAATTAGCGCTCTCATTCATAAAGTAGATGAAACACTGAAATTTAAAAGGAATTTTTATGATTAACAGTGTTCGGTTTTTATACGAATGCTTTCGCAGAGGTGATCAGTAGTTACCGTAGCGGCTCGTGGACCGGAAGTGAAATTGTCAGGGTATGTACAGAGCGAATAGTCCCAAAAACCAGCAACATGTACCGGGTAAGGATACTTCAAGTGGAAACGTATACACTAAAATAATATTGCTCCACTTTCCAACCACAACGTAACTAAACAACCAACGACCATTGTCAACTGATTAAGCACGATTCACTGCGCAGGGTGCGTGGAATAATACACCATGAGCATCAGCATCACCGGGGCTGTACACTGCAGTCCGGATGAAATTGTGTCATTTCTGTAAATGGGATGACAAATAGCAATATTGTCATGAGATGTGTTAATTAAACAAAGTATATTGAAACAGGGTCAGGCTGGGGGTATTTTTCTCCCGACAAAATCATTTGCACAGCGACCCGATCGAATTATTCCGGCATCTATATACACGCGCGCAAGCACACACGTAATACACCGCCGGCTGATCCGCTTCCATCGGCATACTAGCTATAATGACAAGGTAACATCATCCTGCGGGGATGCCGGCTCTCTCCCTCTCTGGCCTCGCTGTGGATGCAGCTGGGGCCGGGTAAGATGAGACAGCAGGTAGCGCACGCACATCGACGTATATGTTACACTGCGCAGCATATACACAGCTGTTTATCCCGTTTTTCAGCCAGTGGGACGCCGGGATATCGAATGTACACGTCCGGCAAGTACATACGCATACTTGCAGGCCAGCAGTACATATGTATACAGATATACCTGGGAAGCAATTTTCGCAAAAGGAGAACAAGGCCGGTTATATTGCGCTTTGGGGTTAGGGATTACCAGATCAGGGGCATTATGTTACATTATGTTCTTATGTTTTTGCCTGCTAGCATCACTGTGCACTACAGATATACCTGGCTGATTGGGCACTTTTTCTCAAATTTTACAGAATCGCTCTGGCTATGGAGAAAGGTGACAATACAGTACAGAAACTGATAGCACTTTTTTATCTCAGGCCTGTCGGTTACCGCTTAGTTTCTGTAATTCTGCGCAGCCCCACTGTAGAACTGAAATTGTGCAGACACTAGTACGACGTGCACATTCAAAAGGCAAAATTCCGACGCATTATTGTGGTGTGCTACAAAATTTTGAGCCGGTACTACCGGCACTATACAATACATGTTTCTACTAATGGCGCTCTGTGGATATAATTATGCAGTATAATTATTTCATTTCTAACAAGCCGCTGTAGGAAAACCACTATTTCGAATCTACAGTCTTTCTACTGATGTGGTGATGCACTCCGTAATTTCGAGCTCGCATATGCTGATATGCTCGTTTACAGCTCCATCTGAGCGCGTGGATAGTGGATAGTGGATACAACATAATGCACACAGTGACTGCCACACACACAGATTTACCGCTGCATAGAATACTTGAATGGGAAGAATTCGCCTTTTTGCAGACAAATTACTTAGATTGCTGTGTATTTCGCATGAAAGTTTCAGCCTCTAAATTAAAACATTCCAAACGGTAGTTTTCGATATCATTCTGACGTATTGTAAAATTTCATTCAGTATCTGCAGTCGCAAGAAATCTACAGGTAGAGTAAGCTTTAATATCGCCAGACTAATTTGCAATTTACAGGCAACTATACCGAATTTAGCCGGCGCATTAAAGAAATATTAATCGGAAGGCTCTTTACATCACACATATCGGGGTAAAATCGCAAATACCGGCAGGTATAGCTTAGTCATATATGCCTATGCTTCTTCCCATCTTCGACCACATACAATACAAATTGGATGAGGCGCATACATCCTTTATCGCATCATCTTCCCGATATTTCACAATCAGCCAACCTACGCATCGGCACATCCGCACGCACACCTTATACTCGAACCACAAGATGTATGCGGCACGTTAATTAATCTTTGCGTGCTCTTTTGATCATTATATCGGCATCTTGTTGATCACATTCGCTATCCTATATATAAACTCCTGGAATAAAAGGGACGTTCGTCAACAATTAATTTCCATTCAGTGAGCACAGTTTTCTTCCAGCTTGCGACTGCAAGACTAACCACAGCATGTACGTCGTTTGATGACCGCTCGAGAATTTAAGTGCTTTGTTGCCGCGTGCTGTAACTACTGATGCGGAACGCTCTAATTTTTACATACGCTACCAGTAAATAATTTCCGATGGGTAATTAGAAGCTAGGAATAAAATGCGGTTTACTTATAGAAACCTTACGGCTGAAAATGTGTGTGCGGGATGTTGTATTCCTCATATTAATCGTGCGTAAAACCAACTGAATAAGAATTTGAGAACCGACGTTAGGCGTTTAAGTTTCGTTCCTTGGAGAATTTTTTTGAGTATTCTATGATAATATTAATAATCTCATGATCATGTAGCGCAGCTAAATTCTCAGTGAAATATTAGCTTCGCAATAATACTCAGTTAAATTAAATGAACCAGAAATTTGCTGGTGCCGGGCGGTTTAGTAAAACATTATTGTAGCAATGAAAAAAAGCATGCAAGTATGCCTTTATGCATGAAAATGCAATTTTGCATGGAAACAATTCTGTTAACTGCAGAACGCATTAAATGCTTTGAAACTGTTTGGTTTTTTACCTTATAATTACAAAATTTCAAAAACAAGTTGTGAGCGGCTTGAGACGCGGCTGCAGCTTTTGATTGAAGAACGGTATGTTCCGACATGAATAATTCGTTTACCAAATTAATTTCCCAGACGGATCATGCCTGGGCATGTACCGGCTTTTCAGTCTATTGACTGTCCGCCAAAAACCGGGTGTACGTGTACCGGATGATTTACGTTATAAGATTCCAACCAGGCTCAAAAATGCGGACTTCAACCTCGCTACCATGTAAACGCGGCAATAACGGTAATTTGTGTGAGAAACAGCACCCTGTCTGCACTATCACCAGGCACCGAGCTCGATCGCCAATTGGCAGCACTTTCCGATGATATGCCCATAGTGCCGGATGCCCTAAGGTGACAAAGTCCCACACCGGTCGCAGATATCTGACCGGTATAAGTTACGTAGAATGAACAAGGGTTTCCTGTTGGAGCGCCCACTGTGACGATACATGCGCATGCAATCTAGTAAATTAATTTCGCTTTGCACACCGCACGAACCGTGTTTTATCGGATCAAGACGCACGCAGGAGTGTAGATAACAATAAACAGTGTAATTAATGTATCCACATGTTCTGTATCTGTAATGTACTGTTTCCGAAGATTATAAACTTGGTTCGCATAATTCTATCAGTTTTATACTGAGCGTATTTATTTATGCAAGTAGATATTCGCGTATTCGCAGTTTGAAAGTACTATTGTTATCTATCGTGTTCGGATTATCAACTTCTAATTCAGATATGAGAAGTAGAATTAATTAGACTTGCATATACACCATAATAAAACTATTAAAGTTCAACAATCGCGACGAACCCTTTAAAGAACAGTGGTTACATATGTAAGCGTAACGTGCGGTTTAATCTACAGTATGTAGTAAAATAGTTTTAATTTTGTTCCACTATTAACTAAATTTTAAAACCTATGATCACATGATAATAAAGTAAAGTAGTGCTTCATCTATGTTTGTCAATCGATATTAATACGCTGTTAGCTGCACCTGATATCTTAATGTATTGCGGAACAAAAACTATACACCTGCTTCTAAAATTTTAGCATGGTCACTCATATTAATTGCTTTACTTTCTGTAATACTTGCACTAACATGAAATTGGGTTAGTAATCACCATTCTTAAAAAATTTTCTAGAATATCATAAAGTAAAATTCTTGTAAGCCGATCTGTGTGAAAATTTGGAAATTTAGACTGGTTTTCTGTCAGCAACCAGAGGCAGTTGGTTGGCCAGGGTACTAAGCTACATAAATTAAAAACACTAGTTCCGGTTTTATGTCATAATTCTATAGTACCCCGCTTCTGGCTCCAACGCCTGCCTTATCCCTGGGGTTATTTTTTCCTAGGCAAAATAAAGCATGACGATCTAGCGATGTCGCTACTACAGCCACAGTACCCGGAACCTGCCAATTATAATAGTAATTTGTCCAACGACATAAGCTGTCAATATTTTTGTTCACAACAGTGCATGTGCAGGTTAAATGTTATTTATCAAACTTAATTATCCGCCGGATACATTAAGCATCCAATTACGTTCTATGAGCGCATTTCCCACCCCGGAGCATTAATGGGGTAAACCTCGCCGCCAGCCATATGCGCCTTGCTTATAGCCCAATCAATTTTCGGTAAAAATACCAATTACTAGCACGCATTCTCCATTTCATACCTAGTTAATTATTAAGGCATAACTTTATATCTTTATATGCAAGGAGTAATTAGGTTGTTTTCCTTTGCAGTCAATGGGATCGGTGGGGTTTTAATTATAAGGTGAATATTTCAAAGGGTTTCTCACAACCACACCCTACTAACAGACCAAAATAGCAGTGTAAGAGATTCTGTTTTACTGGTAATACAATGTATGCCACACCTGCTAGTGTCGCAATGCCTTTTAGCTGGTAATATTATCATATTCGTAATTACAGCGGTAAAATTGTGGTACGAGCTCGTACAGTTATAAATATACGGTCCTTAAAGAAGCGGGTTTCCTTTCTTCTCTTTTAATAGTGCTTTAGCTGCGCTTCCCCTATCGATACCCCGATTGGAATAAATAAATTGCACTAACAGCCAAAATAATTCCAACAAAACACGGCTACTAAAAAACAAAAAAAAACAGTAACCGGTGTCCGGTGATCTTTATAAATCCAATTTCTGAAAACAGTGACGAAGAGGCTTATTCGAGTGACAGACATCTTTATCTGTAATTTTGAGCTACGTACGAAGCCATGAACTTTACATGACAATTAGTGCATCTACGTAATACAATTAACCACTTACGTGCGTTGTATGGAAAAGTGTTTAATCCAAATTTTATATAAGTATTGCAAGATGAAAAATACACAAACAACTTTTTGTTTCGTTTAGGTACATTATTGGATGAATTTGTATGACTGGCACATACATCATCGATTGCAGTAATAGATTCGTTTTCCGGTTTCGAATAGGCGCAACATTTCAGCCGAATATATTTTACACACATACTTCCAACACACGCGATAAACTAACGTAACGACCGGAATTCAGTAAAGGCAAGATATGATAAGCGGACAATTTAATTTTTATCGGTCTGCGTTCTGTCCAAACAGCATAAAAGACGGTGTTCATAAGGAAGGTTCCATCATAATTTTTAATCTGTTAGCGTTTTGTGATTGCCGATAAGGAGCGACCTATCTGGAGTGACCATTGCTATTTAGGACAGTGTACGTAGCTGGGAGCATAACCGTGGACCGAAGTCCAGCCATTTGGAAAGCCGGTTTTCTATCGCGATAACTCCAAGCACTTGACGTTTTGGCAGTCCTCACCTAATGGAAAGTAGTAATGCACTCTGTAACGTGTGTCACGATGTGCTACATGAGGAAGTCGCGCCGCCTATGTGTATGTAATCTGCTGATTCGCTCCGTTGCGATCGATCGCCGTAATCGCCATCCCCATAACCATAATAATAAAATCGAGATAACGTAAATTAATGCGTGCCGGCAGCTCTATGAATTTCTCAGTATAATGAGCTTCTGCTTAAACCGAATTATTCACAGAATATGTTCCCAGTTTTTTTCCCGCGAGAATTTATGTACGAGTACATATATCAACAGATATACTAAAATTTATCATTATACGTCTACTATACTTATGCGACTTCGAGCACATTATTTCAGTAGAATCTTCGAAAGGTCTAATGCGGCACCCGATTCTCCGAATTTTTTAGAGCAATATCACAGTATTATGTTAAAACCGTTCATATTGGTGCTACAGTTTCAATCCACACTAATCAGTTAGAACTAACGTTAGAAGCAAAACTTCGTAAAGTTTTTTTTTTTAAATTCTACAATACTCACACAATTTTAATTTTACAGCTTTAATCACCTCATATCGAACACGTGCTCAATCCACGTCAAGTAATTACCGGCATGGTACCTAGATGGCACCGGACATCGGGTACTACACAGCGTACGCGGTTCTAAATTGTTAGAACGCAGTTACATATGAATACTGCAGAATCAAATAATCCAGCTGTTACAAATATTATTACGCTCATTGTTATGGAGCATGTCTACTGCAAGTTATTCGTCGAAACTAGAAGTAATGTGACCAACCTTGTGAGTCCGTGACCAATGCCAACCAATCACAATTAACTGTATTGTACGAGTGTGCTAACTAATGTATGACCATCATAATTACAGTGGGAAACATGAGCACGATAGTGCCATATATGTTACATACTTTACATACAACTACAACAAACATCAATAACTTCTATCCAACAACATGTAGATAAAACTTCGGCTGTTATCGGAGTGCTGTATGAAAGCAGTTGATAGTGCCTATTAGCCAAAGGTTTATCGGTTCTGTTTCATACTAGCCACTAACAATAAGCCACGAGATACCAGTAACTGTTGTACGAATGGCCTTAATGAACGATAAAAACCATACCTTACGTTTGTCTGGAGTCCCCAAGAATGTCAAGTGCTGACGATAAAATCCGCTCAAATAAACACCTAGCTAGTCACATATCCCGTAAAAGAAAGAATTCGCAACAGAAGCAGCTTTTGTTCAAGTGTTATCCGTCAAATATGCCGCATACCATTGGAAATCGAAGACAAACACGGTCATCGTTCGGAAAGTCAGGTGAAGACAGAAGTAAAAAAATGTCTGCTCACAGATGCCAGTGTTAAGTAGAAAGTTTGTACTACAGCGCACCCAAGCATTGCCAATAGCAGCCGCAGGGCACGGTGTTGAGCTGGCGGAGAAAGGTGATCTACAAAACCGGTACTTGGTCATAGAGCACGAAAGGACAGTAAACAAGATGATGGACAATTTGGCCGTTTAAATCACCGCTCGAAGAACGCGTCTTTTGGTGATTTATTATTCAGCACATTGTTGGGTATCGCAAGTGGATAATATTGCACTGGACAGCCCGCGGCCAGAATTTTCCATGTGGCCCAATCATAACGTCGCATTCACTTTACGGTGCGATTATCTAATTTGAGCGGGCCTCTATTAAAAAGGTTTTACGCTTGTCCTCTGAGCGGTTTCAAGCGATTTTCAGCAAAAAACTTTAAAAACAAGTCCTTCTTTACGGGCGTTAACACTCATGTACAATTATTATTGCAGTTTCGTATAGTACTGTGGAAACGTTTAGCGAGCACCAAGAACCATCGCAACATGCTTTTAAGGATTGCTGAAATTGTTAAGACCAGCATAAATGCTACTAACCACTGGCCAGTACATGTACACAATATTTATGTATAACATGCTTCTTGCACAAGCTTGTCAGGTAATTTCAAACGAATCAATACAGCGAAATATACGAATTAACGACGTAGTGTAGTGGCATTTGCCATAGCGCAAACTTCGCGTTAAATATCTGTATGTCTGTACCTTTACGCAGAAATTACCGGACAAGCTTGTACATAGGTACTCTGATCTTTTCCATTTTAACTGTACATATCGTGTCACCAGTAAAAAGCCGGTACGATTTTCGATTAAATCCAAACAAATACCTTCCCTAATCCAAAAGTATTTGCGTATTTTAATTACGGCAGAAAGACATGGGCACGTGAAGAGTTCGTGACCTTCGATAATACCATGACAATATGATGACAATATTGTCTAGCTCCTAATGTGGAATTACTGTAGCGGCGATATCGCTTACTAGAAATTTATGGTTTTTATAAAACCTTACTTTGTTGTGGATTCGAATCACTTATTCATATAGTAACCAAAGGAGTTCCGTTCGCTTTACAAATCGAGGAAAATCGCATTTCTGAATCAGATACTTTTCTAAATGAAAATCAATGAGCTACCATTTTCCTTATAATTAGTTTTACTGCTTAACATTTCTAGCACAACGACAAACTGGTTTCTTCAAAATTAAGGTGGGCCGTGGGCGCAGTGAAAACAAGGTAGCCCAGTCATGGGTGTGGTACTAGATTCGTTGTGTACCAGTTGCCTCACAAGTCAGTACCCAATGAGCACTACTCATACTGTAATATTAAACTGCATTATTTTGGCAAGCAGACACCAGCTGCTTAATAAACACCCGGAAGGTTACACGTATTTGGAATATGAACAATACGACATTCACTTTATGGCGGCAACATTGAATGAAGTTTTGCTTGGAGAAATTTTGGCAAGTAAAAGATTCTTTCGCACTAACCCTCTCCAAAACTCAGTAATTTACTACATGTCAGAATTCAGACGACGAATGTTACGTACGTTACGGTGTGGAAAATATGCAGGAACGAAAGTTTACGCGCACGGTTCTGTAATATGTATACAAATTAACGGTTTTCCAGTTATGCTCAGGAAAGTACGTAAGCTGTCGGTAAGCATATGGTTCATCCGCATCGTGCTTCCCATTTCCTTGGAAGCTGGACGCATGTCCATCAAGGATGGCGCGGGCGTTTTTGCCGTAATGCACGACAACGCAGTATACCGTACGCAGTTTTGGTTTGCCTGTACTACAAATTAATAATATTGCTCCTGAAGGGTCGGAAAAGTCTCGGTTTCCATACTGCACACTTCGAATCCTCTCGCAACCCGATCCTTTTTGCTGTGCGGTTTAGCAAAGCGATCCTGAGCTGCTGATTGTGTACGCGCATTTGGCTTTCCTCGAAATCATGGCCAAACATTTCGATGTCATTCAATTAGAAATTTAAAGCTAAATCAGAAATACAAGTTCTACGTGGTAGGTCTAAGGTAAACCCGAGAGGAGACGTCCGTGAAATTTCGATTGTTGCCGATAATTTTGTGACGATGGCACGATTGGCACCCTTTCATTCACAACTGCCAGTGCGGCAGTTCCGGATAGTGCGGCGAATACTAAAGTACAGTAGACGGAAGAGGCAGAACTTTTAATTTTTACACCGGAAAGGCCTGTCGTCAATTCCTTGTGAAGTTGTTATGGTGTTCATTGTCTATTGTTACTTTTTAGTTTAAAAACTGCACAATCACCCACAGACATTACATAATCCTCTGCATCTAAACTTTTACTGTCTTTAATTTTTTACAGCAATTGCAAAATAAGAAAATAAGGGACAATCGTTAAAAGCGTCGAAGGGCAAGGCAATCATCAGAAGTATGCTTCAAGTTATACTACTTGTACGAGTTTATGCCGAAGTTCGAAAACCTTGGACGGAATTCCGGATTGCACTGTTTTGCATACTGAAGTAGCCGACTGGGAGTAACTGCCTGACGAGCACACGCTGCAGCGTACATTGCTACTTCAGTCAGCCGAAATGTTGTTGTCGAGGCAGTCGAGCCATGGCCAAACGCAATGGAGCTGGAACGTGATACATCATACCGCTCACAACTAAGATAAAGTACTAGGTCAGAGTTTCTTTGCCATCCATGGATGCATTGTTGCCTGGTTCTCACGACATGATGATCGTGTAGTCCTTACGCTGCGAAAGACTGTCGTTATCCATCTGTGCTGGCTGCACCACAGTAGTCTGCATGCGCCTACGGAACTGCTACCACAACGTCGCCATAACCTGATAACCAACGATGTTTTCGCTGTACAGGATTCGCGTCACGGGATGTTTTATATACGTTTTATTGTTCATAAGGATCTGTGCAACCGGTAAGTAAATGCTTTTCGGGCTAACTAAAATCACAGAGCTTTGCTATTTACTGTTATGGATGCAGAAAATGCCAGTCCTCCATGGCAACTCACGGAATTCCTGCCTGCCACGCCACCCAGTTCCTGCTCGGAATTCGCGCACATCAGGAATTCCAAGGCAAACAAGAGCGATGGTGACCGACGGTCAGTGAATTGTGGCATTTCATTGGCTGAAACCGTTCAGCCAATCTGAATCGCGCAATATTCTACAGCATTCTTCTGTTGTGCAACGACCAAACTGCGGACGAGCAGAACGGCTTTCGTGGCTTGGAACTGGAATGCTCGCCACGGGATGCTCACAAATGGAGCAGCGATGGACAGCAGGCGACGGGTTATGTCGGAGAACAGCTGTTTGCTATTTCCACGAAAGGCCGCGTTCGAATGATAAAGGTAAGTGGAAACAATCAGACAAGTTCGAAGCGTACAGTAAAACTATCCAATCGCAGCGCAGCGCGGAAATGCAACGTATTGCAACAAACTGGGCTGGATACACATACTTTACAAGTCTTAAAATTTTGTTTTTGTGAACATTTCACTTATGTAAACAGCCTGAAAGGCTTCATGATGTTCATCGCTGTGTATCCTGAATTGTGTTGCCAGTGTACAAACAGCGTAAATATCGATGTATAGAATACTTTTGCGTTGGACTGATTGAGTCACCGAACTAACGAAATTACAGCCACTGAATTAATACGCATTTGCGCATTATTGCTTCCGTTGTGAAGGCTTAAACGGAACATACATAGGGTAATACATACATCTGTTAACTGTGCTGGCGCTAAATGTACAGGCGTTCGTGGTAGCCAACCGGTCTTTCGTTGTCGTCCTCATCGAGCGCAGTTACAGTTTCCTGTACGAAGTCCTCGAGGACGACAAGGGCATTGTCCAGATTGTCAAACTGCAGACCATCCCGTACAATTACCTTTCCGATGTCACTGCCGTCTACGTCTCGACGGGCGACGTGTACGTGGCGTTCGCTGCTTTTGAACCGGAAGGCGTCGATAAGACCCGCCTACAAGACATGATCGCGCCCGTGTATCGTCTGCACAATGCCCGATTAAAATTGTGCGACTTTGCCGGTGTCACGCGCAGTGTGGCGGTGCGTGGTTGGGAACACGAGGGCGGATTTCCTACTCTGGCGTACGCGGCCTACTTGGAAAAGGAATCCGATAAATCGGCAATCAACTTCTTTGATGTGTTCATGGACGACGAAGGCAGCTGTCGGGTGGCGGAGCGGCATTTCCAGTCCAGCATCAAAGAAGTCAATGATCGACAACTGTGCGGTAGGTATATCTATATATAACCGATTTCATTGTTTATACATATGTTTTTATCTTTGTGAAATATTTGGTACAGTTAAAGAACTGTGTACAGTACACATTAATGCTGCTTACTTCTTGTAGTTAGCGTAACCGATGTAAAAATGTAAATGAGTTGTAAACGAGTTCTGTGTGTAATCCAGAGTTGTGTGTTTATTCAACAGGTATTCAATCGATCGAAGTGCTACAGAAAGATGCGATAAAATACCTGGCCGTTGCCTTGAGTCCCGTCGACCAGAATCAGGATTGCGGTCATAACGCCATGACAGAATCGTTTATTTTCCAAACCGACGACAAGGCGCGACATCGTTTTATGGTTGATCGCTATATTCGGTTCCCTGCAGCCCAGACACGGGTATGTTATCTAGAAATCGCATCAAAATCTAGAAATCGCATCAAATCACAGAAGCTCCAGCAGTTGTTCCGTGTACAGTTTTCGGGATTCCGCTTAATCAAAACTTCCTGCAATGCGGACGTGATCCAGGCGTTTGGCTACTTTTCTAAGACACTATTCTTCACGGCGGAGCAGTTTGAAGATGATAAGGTCATCTTCCTGAAGCGCATTGCAAGGCTGGATACTCCACCCAATGTGTGGCATTCGTCCGTTGGATACTGCAGTGGACAGCGTGCTTTGTTAGCGTTGTCGAGACCAGATTTATTCGGTAAACCTAATAATAATGATTTATGGCAGTTTTTAATTCACGCTGGACGCTTGGTAAGGGGTGGTTAACCAAATTTCGGAAAATAATTTTTAAGAAGCAGCCGATCGGTGACAGTCGTAATCGGAGTTTCGCTGATTAATGGTAATGGAGTGTTTAATGTGTAAACCTAGGCGTTCCCGTATTAGAGCTCCACTGCGGCGGGTACGATGCTCCACAAACCCGCCCCAACAGAAATCTTCCCGAAGTGAGAACGGATGCTAGGTCGTATTACAGCCTCAAAGACAACGATGAAAACAATGACCGGCCAGAAAGTGCTGCCTTCCGTAACGTGACCTTTCCGACTTTGCCTGCCTACATGGACGTCACCCCGGACAATTATGTCGAAAAAGTCGAAAAATCAGAACATGGTAAGCAGCAAAACCGACAACCTAATCTTATTTCTGGCTGTTCAGTTGAACAGTTATCGAATTGTCGTAGAGGATGACGGAGATGACGCGGGCCGTTCAACATCTCATTGGCACGGTATAGTCTCATATAAACTCTGGAAGAAGAAGCAGGGCAATTCAAATTCATCGATGGTCTCCAGACCAAGCCCGGCTTTCCTTGAACAGAACCAGGCGTCGGAAATCATCCATCCTTATACCCAGTCGCCGGTGTTCGTAAGTTCCACTGTCGGCGTTCCGCCAGACATTCCTACTTATTCAGGAAACACCAGGTTAGCATATATTCAACAAGGCTGAAAGCAAAAAAACCGGTCTTCACTTTTTAAAAAAAATGTTTTTAACCGGTTTGGGTAACAAAGGTCACTTGTGCTACTACTGTTAAATTCATTTTTCAGGTATCAAAATGTATCATTACCGCTCACTCGGCCATCGTTTCGGACGCTAGGAACCTCACCGAATCTCTTCTTGAGCCCGTCGATGCTCAACAATGGCAGTCCCGTGGGATCCAATCGGATCTCATCAGGCGACACTGAACCGGATCCGGGAACGTTAGCATTCGACCAGAGCAGCGATCCGCCAACTCTGGCCCACGTCACCTCGGAGCCGGCCCCCAGCTCACAAGAATACCTCCTTCCGTCCAGCCACATACCACCGGCCAGCTACGAGCCGCCTTTCTGGTCACAGGACATTCCCGGTAACACCAGCACCGTCCCGCCCAGTCCGCTGATCAACCAGCCCCCAGTATATCCGTTTCCCGGGGAGAATCCTCCCAACGCCGAATCCTACCTGTACCCGATGTATCCACCTAACCCGCCGACAGTACCAGTGCGGAGTGATACCGTTTATCCGAACCCGTACCCCCAACCGCCACCCGGTATATACGATTTTCCTAAACAGCCACCGATGTACTACCCCGAAATGAGCTATCGACCGCCGTACCTCGAGCAGCGAATGCCGGAGTATGGGGCTCCAGCAATGGGACCAGAACAGGCGATGAAGGAGAACGGACGATGGGGTGGTGGAAAGAGTAAAGGGCTGCGACGCTACAAACGCCGATACAGTGCGCCTGGTTAAGTGGATAACTTGACGGTTTTCCTTGTTGAATTGTCTAGATGGTTTGGTGTTAATATTTGTGATCGTGGTTTTGCTTGTATGAGGTAAATCGTTATTAGAATATGTGATTTTTCATGCTTTGTTGTGAATGCCTGACCTTCAGCTTTTAGTATCTCTTCATGAGCTGCTTGACATACTCGTACTTTTTTAAATTTAAAATGCGTTGAGAACTTGCTCAGTGACTTTGGAAGCTAAAAAATAAAACGGTTGGTTATCATGAAAACGTTAGGTGATCAAGTTGTAACGAATATGATCTGTCATGCCAACTCGAATCCATGCAGTCATCAGCAAGGGCGTAAAACAGTAACGTTCGATGCTGTACACTACACATAAACAACTACAACAGAGCTTTTAAAAGCCGAGCTTTGAATGCGATATTTTGTGATTAGTACTAGTTTTCATGTGTGACCTTCTCACTTCTCACCGGTCGAGAAACAGCAGCCACTGGAAGTCACAATTCAGTATAGTACAGAAAACTACAGCATAAAAGAGAAGACTTACAGAGCTGCAGCGCGCACGCTATTATTCAAACAGCGAAGATCAACTTTATTATACTGTATTATGATTGCCTCATTTGCCTGTATACTTTGATACTCTACTACGGTACTCGAACATAATTTGGTCACTTTGTCTCGTATAACTGTAGTGCGTAAACAAGTCAGAAATTTCAGTTGTTGCCAGAAAAACGTTATTCCATCAGTGAGACCCTGCCGACTGCTTGGGTGTACTCTCTTGGACCATGTCATTTGTAAAAGTACTGTATGAAGTACTTCAAGTGCTGCATGTTCGCACCGATTGCATACTTGTCACTGAAGGTGTTCTGAGTTCTCACAGATGTGGTTGCGATATAAAAATGTAAGTTGAGGGAACCGTCCCAAACAAACAACGTGTCCAACCTACTGAACCTAAGGAGCTTTTCTTCCCGCGATCGCGATAGTGGAGCAATAGACGACCGGAAACGGCACTAGTAACAGGACAGTTTTATATTGCTCTTGGCATTCTTCGTCGGTAAAATTGGTTGTTGTTAGTTTCATCCGAGAAACTCTGCTCCACTTTTGCGATCGTAGGCTTACTTTCCAGCAGTTCGCTACCAGTGCACAGCAGTTAATCGCTCAACTGAGACAGAATTCTTGAAATTTGAAAGGTTCAGGCAAGAGTTTAACAAGCGGAACAAGCTGATCAAGCTGATGCAAGCTGTAACAAGCGAAGGCAAGACTGAATTCTAGAAATTGTGAAGAAGAACAGCTAGCCGGTAAAAGGACAGAAATTGAAGCTAGAAGAAGAACAGCTAGCCGGAATTGAAATTGAATTGTGAAGAAGAACAGCTAGCCGGTAAAAGAGCAGGAATGCATAGCGCAATGATGAATCATAACTGGGTGGTCTTATGATTGTACAACTTCTATCGCTTCAATATGGCGACTGCGTAGCCCTTAATTGTTAACTAACGCAACATGTAGTTACAGCAGTAACTGGTTTCGTGTCGTAATCAAGGCAAACGGAAGCGATGCGGACTCTGTTAAAAAAAGACGTATAGTTTATATAGTACAATTGCTTTCTCAGGAAAACACGATGGAATAGTTTTACGCGCCAGATGGAAAAAGTGGAATAACTGCCAGCTTATCCACAACCGTAAAAGTAAAATTTCATAAATTTTTTTTAAAATCCCACAAGAAGATGTTTGCAGTTGTGGCAATAGTACATCAATGTTACGATTTTAATATTTCTCTGCATTTAAAATGTTTAGTTTATACTGCCGGACAGATGTACAATACATGCATACTTGCCTTTGTACTACCGTATGTGACTTTATATAGTTTTGGCGCTATATCCTGACAGTGTGTCATAATGTTATTATTGTAAGTACGCTATTGCGCAGTGTATTGAACACTATCACCGTCGCTTCGATTTAGCTAAATTAATCACACAATTGGGTATATGTTGATAAAATAATAACTTATATTACGTTAGTACTTTCATGTGATGACCGTTAACAGTACAAGGGATCCTAGCCTTGGTCATAGACATCGGGCAATGACTGGCCTACTATGTATCGTGGATCTTTATTTGTTTGTTTGTTTCCGTTTTTCCGTGCAATGCGACCGATGGTAGCAAGCGAGCATGGAAATATTCATCGCGATACTACTGTCTGGCGTCTTATCTGTGTGGGTCCGTCACCGCTTCTGCGTCGCGGATCACTTTGTTGCTGTCATTTCGTAGTCAATCGACGAAGAGAAAACGTTTTGGTAGAAGTTCCCAGACAAGCAACAGCATTATCTTGGATAAACTTTTTGCCCAGCGATAGTAAACTTGTGGTCATTTGGTAGAAAATTGCTTCGTGATTGGGTCTTAATTTTATTTTTTCTGCTGTTCAGCAAGTGTACTGTCTAATGGTTTGAGAACGTTCATCACCAATATGTTTGTCAGTGGATTTATATTTATTTTTGGCATCTCCATATCCAGAGCTTTAGCAGGTAGGTCAATTACAGTAAAAGGTCATCTAGTTTGCTTAGATTTAAAGACGACTACAAAATACTACTAATACTCGTATAATTATGTTTATTCGAATGTATTCCCAGTTTTAAGACACATTTTATTGTAATATTCACATGAGAAATTCAATAAAGATAATAGAAAATGCGATGTCTGAGTTAACCCTAACATCACGTTATACGCTCCAGAATTTCTAACTGTTACTTCGCACTAAGTGCACAATCTTACTTTTATGTGTAATCTTCAATTTGGCTGTTTCAGCAACCTGGCCGGCGACACTATCAACATGCTCTCCCGAAACCTTACAATTATCGCGGATCCACGAGTCTCGTCTGAAAGGTGACGTCACCGCCACGACTATTGTTAAGGGTCCCAGCGACACATAGTGAGTTTTCACAGTCATTCCCCCTCCGCCGGCTAAATAACCGTTCTAAAATGCATTTTCGCAGTTTCGTTTGCGTTTCCCTATTGCAAGGAAAAGGTCAATCCGACATATACTGCCAGTACATTGGACGGAAAGACTTTCTGGAGGAGAAGTATTTTTACAAAGCGGCATCAGTTTCAGGACACATTTCTAGCTTTCAGGTACAACGCATTTAACCATTTGCATTAACAAACCAGTTAATCCAAATATCGAGGCATGAGTAAAAAATAACGCCTTATCCATTATTGCTGGCATGCTGTTGATAATTTAAAATATCTATATATCACCAAAACATATCACGATAGCAGCGACTGCTTATAAAGTTGTCACCAAGTTGGGTATATGTAGGTGACCAACAGGAAAACGTCCAGTTTACTCATCGCATCCGTTCCCGATGGACAGTCTATCCTGTTCCTCTGTCATCCCAAAGAAAACATCCTAAAACTGATTGTTGTGGGCAACATCGGTGAGAAAGGTGTCGGTCAGCACTCCATCGTGCAGCACAAGCGCTGGGCCATGATTCTGTCGTCCAGTTCGGCCGCGTGTCTGGCTGGAAACAAACAACAATGCAACAGTCACATTCCCAGTTCGCAGATTTATCAGGGTAGTCTGCTGGTGACCTGCGAGAGCGACGAATACGGGATATCCACGGCCGTGACCGGCTGGACCAATGGCAGTGATGTCTACATTGCGCATGCGCTCGCCCGACTGGATGACCCGGCCTCGCTGACGCTGAAAGTTTTCCGAGTGGCCAATGAGAGTGCGCTATCAAAATGCCAGCTGACTTCTGTGGCGTCCACGCGTCTCGATGGCATTTGCGGTACGTTTTTGTGTGAATTACTACTGTCTTCGTCTTAATTGCTAATATGTGTTAATTGCAAATTTTTTACAAGTTTAATATAACTTCCCCTATGTGCAATACATACGGCTGTTTAATACAGGTACGAGGAATTAAGTACATCATTTAAATTCTTTTAATTTATAGGGGTTCAATCCATTAAAATTCTTCGCTCATGGGGCAAGTATTACCTTATGATATCGAGCAGCCAATGTAAGCCCACACCGGATGCCAGCAAACGTACACCCAGAAACCTGCTTGGCATTATGTGGAACACGAAGACTGGGAGGTTCATAAAAGACACCCTCACCGAATTCCCTGATACCGCTTACGTAAGAGTACCAGGAAATAAAAGCTTAAATTTTTCTCCGTATATATATATGCAATCGCAAACAAACCTCGTTGGCAATCACAGGGTTCCACCCTCGCGACGACATCGGCATCCACCTTTGTGCTGCTCGGCCAGCCCGACACGCCCAGTCGCATCTACTGCCTGACCATCGAGCCATCGAAAGGTGGTTTTGTTGAAGCCAGTAACCCCATGTCCATCTACGGGAAGGCCAGTGTGACCGTCGTGGCGCTACTGCATCCAGCGCGTGGTCCGGCGTCCGGCACACTTGGCGTATACAACAACAACAACGGTCAAGTTTACATCTCGCTGGCTTGGGAAATGGGCCGACAGAACTTTGGTACGGTGGCCTGCTTTACACCTGCATCCATCGGTACATGTCGAGCAGCATGCTAACGCAGCGATGACGCTTTGCAGTGAGTGTTGACAGATTGGCTTGTCCCGGTTACCAAGTCCCCGAAGTCGGCAGACCTATGTTACCGAAAACTGACCAGGCATATTTACGTCAGCCAGTCAACGAACAGCCGGAGAAACTGTCGGTATGTGGTGAATCATGGGTCATGTTTTCGAAATCTCGGCCGAAATACGCCGGGTTATGTAAATCGGCTCTATTCGATCATGTGATTTATACAGACTGTAGCCTAAAATGTCCAGCTTAATAAGGTGTAACTTGTTCGCTATTTTAGTTAACGGCAAACGGCACATGGTCCATTTTTAACCACACGGGAAAAGCTAACTGCAGTGCGAAGCTTGGTGAAAAGCCTTTGCCGGAAAATTTCCCGTACGGATCGCAGGATATTAATCTGCCGGAAGTCGCCACTCCGCCTTCGCCGCCGGAAACGGTCACGTTGCTGTTACAAAACTTTTTGCAGCCTATCCTTCCCCAGTAAATACAATCGATCGAAAAATTTTTCATCCTAGCCAACGACACAATTCATAGAATGATATTTCAAGTATAAATATGCATTTCTTTTCAGAGTCAATGTTCAAAACTTAGCGAGTGGTTTCATCTTACCGATGACCGGCGAATATCGTTTACAGCAACCGTTATTGCCCCCCGCTCCTCAAGTTTTTACAACTGGTTAGTATTTTGTGAGGTTGTGATGAAAGATATCAAATACGACTATTTGAAAGATTTACTATACGATTATCGATTACCTCTAGAAGTGCAAATAATAGATGAGCGTTGTATTATGCATTACGCATTTAAGGAATTACTTCCTTGTCAACAATAATGTTGTTACACCGTAATAAACGCAATCAAAAGCTTCTTTATTTATAATTAGCTTATGACTGATGTTACCTAATTGTATTTCTGTCTACAGTGCCGAGAAGTCCTTTAGACGAACGCTATTTGGAAGGTCTGGCAAAACACTCTCAATAACTGAATGTATTGAAACATGGAGAGTTATCTTTGCCTTTTAGATTGGTTCGATCAGATCGATGTGTCCGACTACGAGGAGATCATTCCAGAATTTGTGACAAAAGCAGTTAAGGTATTAACACAACCGCCTTCTATGACCTCTCCTCGTCTGCAGGTGAAGCCGCCGCCAGTCCAGGGTAGGCAACGCATTAAGAGAGCTTGCATTAATAGAACACTTGAAGCTACTAACGAAGATGCAGGTGAGCTAACGAGAAATTCTCTCTCAGGTGCGTTAACCTCTAAACTGACGGGCTCTCTTCGTTGGCTAGCTGAGGACCCCGCACCCGAGTTCTCCACCCAGTCCACGGTCAAAGTCGACATGGAGCCCGGCATCTTTGTGGGAGGCGGGGCGGAATCACGTGATGTAGCGCTTCCGGATGACTACGAGGAGCTCGACCAAAGTAAGTACTACTGGCTGTTAATCCAACCGCTGCGGAATTGCAAATGACGGCCAAATTCATTTCATTCGATCGCGTAACTTGCTACCTTGCAGTAATTGATAAATGGTACAACGTACTTGGAGCAAAACAATAGCAGTGTAGCGTAAAAAAAACTATTGTTATTTCGGTTTATGCAGCAACAGTTGCGTAATAATTTTAGTTATATCCGTACAAAACTAGAATGGTTGTAGGTCCACGATTTCGAGCGCAACGCGGTCGGCAGATACCGGTGTATAACATCACCGTTCAAGAGCGACGTACTACGTACGCACCTATACCGACACCTGCGCTCCCTTCTCGCGTTAACGCAACAGGTGACAATTGCTAATCGCCTGCATTGATGCGCAAACCCATAGAATCAAGACTAAGACAGTTACTTTGCAGATCCTACAAAACAAGAGTTTCCCGAGGTGCAACCAGAACGAATGGTGTTCCCACCAAAGAGATATCCTGCAGAGAAAGCGCCTGCTCCGATTCTACGTGAGTCTACAATTCTACACTGAATGTTCTTTAATAGAAGTACATAAAATTTATGCGCATCATACACTTACATCGTAATAATCCATCCCCTAGTTCTTGTGAATTTGATGGCAATTTTTGCTTTAGGAAAACCAATGAGGCCTGTTAATATGCGCCGTATTAAATTCGGCGAAGCCATCGAATCAGCAACACCGGTCCCAACTGTAACAAAAGGTCTGGAGCCTCTTCCGGCGACTCAGTTCACATGTAAATCAGCCGTCCAGTACTTTTCCTCTCATTTATTTTTCTAATACCCGCAACCTGTATATAGATCGCCCGATAAAATCTAAGTCGGTTTCTCAACGAGTAAACCGTTTACGCTACAACGATTCAATGAGTTCCAACCGAATTCGATACAACGAGACGCTTATGTCTCATCGGATCCAGTTTTCCAACGACTCTCAAGCTGCACAACCCGATTTGCCTTTCTCAGTTCGGCCACTTCGCAAGTCATCCAAACCACCGTCATTGATCCTGCTGCCATCGAAATTCGAACTGAAACGACCGGAATCATCGATTGCGGCTCCCTTCAAGCACGCTTTCAGTCAGGATTACGAAGAGGTCGTCCAGATTGTCCCCGAAGATATCGCTCATTACGAAGATTTCCAGCCCGCAGACATTCCGCGACCACCCCGAATGTTCATGAATCACACTCTGGGAAGGCATGTTGGGGCGGCAGAACAAATACCATCCCAAGCTGTCAATGCAACCGTTCACGAGGACCTTGAGGATGTGGAGTATCACTACGACGACGAGGACTTCAGTCAGCATGTGGGCGTGCCCAAGCCTTCCGTCCGACGTCGCCACAATGTCACCGGACAGGGATTTCAACGGCTGCGCCATAATGCCACACTGCAAGGACCAGTCTACGAAGAACCTGCGCCGGTTTATTTGATTCCCAGTTCCTCTGTCGCTCCTACTGTCGCATTGCGTAAAAAGGTCACGAAATCCAAATCGCACGTGACAACCAAAGGTATGCATATTGCTAATTCTTTTCTGCATTTAAGGTTGCGGTGCCGGCCACACAGTTGATCAGATTCCGTTTTTGCTTTGTTTAGGACCCACCAAAAGAATGCGATACACGGACTCTCTGCCTCAACGTCGCACGCCATCGCGTCGCTTGCACATTGATGACAACTTCGTTGGTCTCGATAAGTTGCGTCACACCAATGTATCCGGTAGTGATCGGCTTAGTTTCCACGATAGCGTCCGCACTGTGGATCGTCCGGGTGTTTTTCCTGCTCCAGTAAGACGGAACGCCTCAGCACGAAGCAGAGCAAAATTGCCTTTAGGTAAGCTACCAATAAGCCTGTATAAAGTGCAGATTCTGATAACTGGCGTTTTTTTATTAAATAAGTGCTCTGTAATAAGTACATATGTAAGTAATGCATCAAGTTTTGACGGCCTTACACAGTACAAAAAATTTGTACCTAAAATTTATACCTTCTGTAGGAAATCAACCTCGGTATCGATACGGAAATTTTACGAGATTGCCCAGTCGTATACCACCGACTGCTGTACCAACGATGTACACCGTACTTGACTTTTTCGAGATGTCAACCCCCGGGAAAATTGGTAAAACTTCGTAGACACAGTTTTATTTCATTTTTTGATTCGTTTAACTGATTATGAAATATTTTAAGTACTGGCTTATTACATGCATCTAACCGACGCAAAGTTATCCTAATTAAACGCTACCTAGTACCTACATCTAACTAGCCTTTTTACAAATCATACGTTGGCGCTACTTTTATATATTTCCGAAATTGCAAGGTTATCCACGAAAGCGGACAATAATGTACTTACCGTTAGCTGTAAAAGTGAATTGATTTAATTTTGTTGTATAGAGAGCACTACCATGGAACCCGGACTGCATATTAACGATACGGCAACTGGAAACGATCGTCTCTTACACATTGAAAATAATTATGCGCAAGACGGAATCAGTTTTGGTAACGACACATCGTACCTTGAGCTACAGTTGAGCACTGCTTACCCACCGGTACAATTGCGAAGAAATTACACTTCGAAGCCGGTCGGAATTACGCGTCCTCCACGGATTTCGGTTGGGACTTATCTATTCAACTACACTGCTAAATACCATAGAACCGCTGCGCCTTACCTGGAGCCTAACCCCGAGCGATTACGCTTTGATGATTCACGGTGGGCCGATGACCTGTCGCGGCGTAATGAAACCTTTACCCGTCCTGTCGCGCATCTGACCACAAAACCGTACCGCCTGTACGCAAATGCTACGGATTTACAGCGACTGAACGACAGCGGACTGTTTGATGAAGAAGTGTTCACCGTTGCTCCTGTGTTTGATCGAAATGCTACGCTGATGTATAAGCCGCCAACACGATCACCGAACATCACTGTGGTCTTGCCTTCCGCGCAGGAGATGACGGAACACGATGAGGACTACATTTACGATTACGAAGAAGGAAGAGTCCCTCACAACGTAGCGGGAATGGCTAAGCCCGGTCTTTCCCGCCGTAAACACATGAAAAGTATTGAACCCACAAATTGTTTTTTATTTTCCTCAGTCTGATTTATTGCGATGCTGTAGATTACCGGGAATCACGCCTTCGCCACAACATGAGCCTCACCGATCGTATCCGCTACAGTGACCCTTCTAGTGCACCAGAGCGAATCCGCTTCGATGACGTCAAGACTGTTCACGAACTACCGTTCCAGCTGAACACCTCGCTACTTTCCCAGCCAGCCGCTCCTGCATCATTCAACCAAGTGGTCCCTGTTAACGAAACTGCAGTATCCAGAATGAGACACGATGACACTGAGGCGGTTTCCGACAGAATGAAGTACACCAACCAGACGTACTCGGTGAACCCCAGATTAGCACAAGACCCAGAAGTCTTGGATTTGACTGAATATGGCGAAATTGATGAGGTTCTCAGGTTGCGATTTGAGGACACGCTGGGATTATCCGACCGTATAAAATACCACAACAGAACCGGCATTACCATGGGCCCACATTATACCGACATGTTGTCTGAATACCCGTTTTCATCGGAAGCACCAATGTACAGCGCTGTGGACGATGGCAAAGCCAGGATGCGACACAACGATACTATGGTATTTGTAGACGAAAACCGGTATGGTGGTACCACAAAAGCATATAAGCCCATTTTCAATCGCACGCTACCGTATGCCAGTCTGCCGCCAACACTGCCTCCTCTGGTGTACAAACCACGTACCAATGATAGCCGGATGAGGATCGGCGCGTTGGACGAGCCGCAAAGGATGTCGCATATGGATGACCTCTCGGCTCACGAAGTACCGGCGCCCATTGCTTCACAACAGTTCACACCTGTGTACGCGCCGATACAGCAACTGTCCTTACGCATCGATGCGACTGCGGAAACAATTCATCGACTGCAACATGATGAAACCTTAGGCGTCCTGAACCGTACCACATACGACGAAAGTCTGGATGCACCTGAAGCTCCTGGAGCCTATATTGGTCAACCAATGACTGGCGCTGCTGTGACCGCACCTGTTGCCTTGATAGATATGACGTATCAACCTTTTACTAATCGAAGTGCAGTTTATAGCCACCGTTTGAGTTCCGCAGAACTACACACCGATGACGTCCATGAAGTCGCCGCACCCATGATAAACACAAGCCAAAGTATAACTGCTACCGCTGCGATCCCGGTATTCCGCGCCGCGCCAATGCGTTATGACGACACCGTACTCACAGATAACCGTATAAAACATAACGAGACACTGGGCATTTCCAGCCGAATGGTGTATGATCAAGTTCTGGAAGATTCGGAAGCTTCTGGTCCAGCAATCGAACCACAGAGAACAGCAATAGCCACTACTTCCACTCTGCTTGAACCCTCACCGTTCGCGCCGGCGTCTAACAGGAGCCGACTAACAACGGACCACACCGGCGATCAAGACAGACTTTCACACATGGACGATTTGAATGCGCACGAAGCTGCTGCTCCTTTCACAACCCACCGCGTTCAGTTTGCTCCACCGTATGGTCTTGCAGCAACCCAAGAACCACGCCACAACGGAACCGCTGCCCGTTTACGGCACAATATAACTTTGGGATTTGCAGATCATCCTGAACAGAGTGGAATTCCGGAAATTGCGAAAGTATTTCGCCCAGCTTTTGTACCGCAGCCTCCTGTTATGGTCGTTCCATCAGCGCCGTCGCTTCCTCTAGCAAGCGTAATATACATACCTGCCGTGAATGGCAGTATTGCCTACAGTGATCGCCTGCGATTCCACGACACTGCCGGACAAGATCGGCTGTCTCATACAGATGACCTCTCCGCACACGAAGCTGCCCTACCAGTACCGGTCTCTGCTGTTTACAGCGATCGACTGCGATTCCACGACACTGCTGGAGAGGATCGGCTTTTCCACACGGATGACCTTTCGGCTCACGAAGCTGCCGCACCAACCTCCGCTGTTTACGACGATCGGCTGCGATTTCACGACACTACTGGACAAGCTCGACTGTCTCATATAGGTGACCGTTCTGCACACGAAGCTGCCGTACCAGTACCGGTTTCCGCCGTTTACAGCGATCGACTGCGATTCCACAACACTACCGGACAGGATCGGCTATCCCACACGGATGACCTTTCATCCCACGAAGCTGCCATACCGATCTCCGCTGTTGCATTTGTTACGCCGGCAAGTCCTGGTGGAATGAACTCTACATACAAGAATTCCAGCGTCCAAAGACTGTCCAACATGGACGACCTCCATGTTCCAGAAACCGCTCCATTACTTTCTCTAAATCAGCCGCCACCCATGCGCTATGTTCCCGTAGAGATCCGCAGCAGAGTACGCCATAATGATAGTGTTGGAGTCAGCAGTCGCTTAGGCCACAATGAGACGTTTGGTGTTGCAGAGCGACTGACATATGATCAGACCTTGGAGGTTCAAGAAGGGCATAGCCCGGTCCCTGCGCTGTTGCCGGCCGTTCAATCAACAGCTGCGGCAAGACTCTTTACAGACGCACCAGACCAGCTAAAACGCACTGATCTTGAGACGATAGAAGACGGCAGATCAGACCAGTATCCCACTTTTCAGCCGGGTGTCCGTTTAGTACAATACGTTGATGATGGCGTGGCCCGGTTGCGGCACAACCAGACGCTAAGTTCCGATAGAGTTCAGCATGATGAGCACGATTTCGCCTATATTGCAGTCAACGCGTCTCTCTCACGGCTTCCCGGCATTCAAGTTGGTCTGCCGGAAATACCCCAGTTACAAGTTGGCGCGGACGTTCACCCACTGGATGATCGCCTGGCTTACCATCACCTCTCCCAAATAAACCATTTCACGTTGCCTGAACAGCCACGAGACAATCGGTTAAAGCATGATTACATATTGGCCCCAGAAAGCGACCACCAAGAGTTTCAACCCCATTTTCCTGCTTTCATCCCAGTCTTACGTCCGGGAGTGCATCACGGCATTCCATCACAGTATCCCGCGGACAGACTTCGTTTCCAACCTTTTGCGCTATCTGACGGCATTCGGCATAACCACAGTTTTGGCCCACCCGAGAGAATGCGATACAACGACGACATGCGCGTCCCGGAGTTACCGTACGTTGCGCAACCGCAGAATATTAGAACGGGATTTGCCACTGATTACCTCCCGTCTGTCGGGTTGTATCCAATTGAAACTGACGCGTATCGTCAGGCCTGGCAACCGAGTACCTGGACGTTACCAGACGACCTCTCTCCGCAAATACCGGATATCGACATGGATACTGGGGTCACCCCATTCTATGCACAGAATGCAACGGTAAGTCCGATTGCCGGCATTTCCGCCCAAGCGACACCCGCGCCAATGCGAAATGTAACCAAACACCGAGACCTGCACGAAACTGATTACACCGACAGCGCCGACTATCCCATCGAAGTCCACCGCATGCCGAGGACGACACCGTTGCCGCAGCGTCTGCGCGACCATCCAAACGTCATTGAGCGCCTGCAGCATAATGAAAGCATCAGCGAGCAAGATCGTCTGAAGTTTCAGGAAGGTTTCAAACCCGACAACTACTCTGAACAACTACCACCCTATCAGGGTATTCCTCCTAACCAAAGCGCGTTAGGCTACGTTCCGGATCGTGACCGTCTTGGCATAAATGTGACTTCCTGGACAGACAACATGTTGCCTGAATTTTCTTGGTTACCGTATTATCCGGGCGCGTATTACCAGAACGCGTCCCTTCCACCGGTTTTGGAATCGCCAAAACCCACGTACGCACAAGTGGTTCCTTCGGCCAGCCGACTGGTCTACAGTCGCGATGACCATCCGACAGAAGCCCTGCGACCTATTCCAACCCTCCCGGTACAACAGAAACCCATCGAAGCCTACCAGCCAGTTCCTACCATCCCGCGCATTACGTATCACGATGCACCTATCGTGTTTGATGGTTTGAGATCTCAATACGATGTTCCGGAGAGATTGCGCCATTTTGAAAGCCTGCCGGTACCGGAAATCCTGCCGACCGTCAACGTTACATTGCAACGCCCGGTATTACCTTATATTCCTGCTAGCATTTATCCCGAACTTCACAACGAATCGGAGCGCACGTATTTCACCGAGCAATCGAAATTCGAGGGACCAGGTTTACCGCAACCGCAGCTTACCGCTGACCGTATGAAGTACAGTGAACACTCTGGCCAGCCAATGGAACACGAAGAAGCTCGATCTCCGCATGTGCAGAATATCTCACTAAGTCAGCCACAACGATATCCACTTCCGACTCTGAGTGCTGCCTTACCGCACATCCCTTCGACTCCTTTCTGGACCAATGCTACCGTTGCGTCACCACGGCACCCCGATTTTATTCCGCCCTTGAGAAACATTACGTCGACGGTGTCGGCATTTGTGCCGGTTCCACTACATCCAGTTCATCCTGGTAGCGACCAAATAGTTCCAGTTATTCCCACGCAAAACGTTAGTATGGTACTACCGAGAGCTCAGCGGAAGTTTGGCCATTCCGGCGATTTTGATGGAGCTCACGGCATGAACCGACTCCGACATAATATCAGTTTGGAGGAATATCACAAGGAACCCGCCATGCCGGTCACACAGGGAGCACCAAAAGCTGTGTTCCCTAACACCAGTTATATGGAGGCGCAGCGGCATGATGCTCCTCCAGGCACGACGGCTGACACCTTTTTACTGAGCCCCCAGAAATTCTCTCCGACAAACCAAACGTTCTTTACAGGTGAATTATCCGTTGATGTCATAATTCGGTATTCTTTTCTTCTAAAATTTTGTAATATCTGCAGAGCTGCACCCGATCCGCCCTACGGAAATTTTGCCCAGTCCCACTGCGCCTCTTTTTATCGGCAAAATGAACATTTCAAAGATCACAGACGAAGATGTAGCGCAGAAAATCCGAGCGCAACAAGGTGACCTTTCGCCCATTATAAAAGCGCAATATAATTATGAATTATTGGTTATTGTACAAGTGAATTTCTCAATTCCAAAACATAATAATTGCTAATGTTGCTTTTGCAGCTAAACCATACAAGCATCCAAATAAATATATGCTGTCGAGAGAAGCCATGAATGACGAGCTTGTGGAATCGGGATATGACGAAAAGGCTATGTTTGTCTTCCCACCAAGATATGCGCCATCAATGCGCGATCACCGTAAAATGCATGAACATGTCACTCGCAAACGGCCCCTGGCTCAACGCGATCCCGTCGAAGGGGACTACGAAGAGAAAGATTCACTGTAAGAAGCCTCTGCTTTTGTCATATTAATGCTCCTAAAACTTACGACTGTTGCATTGCACTGTTAGACTGGAAGCGGATGTTGCGGCTGAAAGTGATACAGGTAAAGTTATCCTATATAATGACAAACTAAATGACCAAACTATCCAGTTTCCTTTCATTAGGAAAATATGAGAAATTCGCTAACTTTTGCTACCGTGTGTTTCCTTGGAATTCACACAAGTGACTGCATCTACGTATATTGTGTGATCCGTACTTAGTAATTCCCTGCTGATTCTTGACCTTGTACAGATACCACGTACGACCAGTTGGAACCGGAAAGCCATGGCGCAGATTACGGCGACTCACTCCAAGTTAGCGCGGTTGAAAAGTCGAAGAAAACCCATAGCAAAGTGAAAGTCACCGTGCTTAAACAAAAAGCTGGAAAGGATGGACAGACGGACCAATCAGGCACATTTGATCAGCAAGAAGCCTACCCGGAAAAATCCAATCGCTTACGGTACTACGAAGATGACGAAGTGGAGAATACAAAGGAACTACAGAGGTGAGACACTACAGTGTCGGTGTAATTTACATAAGCCTATTACTTCAGAAATACTATAATTATAGATTAATGTACTACTGTAATATTATTATAAGTATTGTATAACAACCGCTTAACCATAATCGTTATGTTATGTTGCAGCTCGAGAAGTAAACACAGAAAACCAGCGAAAGAGCCAACGCCTTCGGCACCACCGACCGAAGCGTCTAACAACCTGACAGTGCAAGTCCGACTGAAGAATGTCGTCAAGGTCATTAAGGGCGGAAAGCGGGCTCAGCTTCCCTTGTCACCGTACAGCACAATGATTGTACCAGAACTAGTGCCGTAAGTCTTGGCCCTGCACTTTGCCTGTATTGTCGCATCCGTTCATAAAGAAAGTGTGGTTAACCGTTATTCGCTTTAGGAATCCAAACAATCTGTCTTTGCCCACGGTCAACACGAAGATCCACGAAGTGACCATTCATAACCGCTCGGTTAATGCAGCGGACAATGTGGTGCTGAATGTTAACGCTTTTCTCGGCAATGATTCCACATCCACCATGCATTCTGTGAAGGTTAAATTGGTACAGTCGAACAATGCACCGATGGCCGAAGCGTGTCGGAATCGGCTCCGGATAGAAAATAGCGAATACGTCAGACACGTTTACTGCTACCGCAACTCCACGGATGTGCCAATCAAAGTAGTCGTTACCGGTGGAAGTGGCGCGTTTAGCTTTTCGATAATCAAGGACTTCAGAGGGTAATGTCAGCCAGATACGAGATCTAAGCTTGAATTATATATATACCGGACATTTTACAGGGTTCATGACGGCCGACGCTTTCGATTTGAAGAAACCGGAGGTGACCTTTATCCAAAGGTTTCCGTAAGGCCCGACGTTGGAGCCAACGATCCGAACTACCTGCGACCCGATCACGAGTATCACGTCCCAGTGCGGGTGGTGGATGATGTGTGCGAAGATTCCGTCGAGACATTTTTATCCATAAGCTACATGTGTCGCCGATCACGACGCTTCGGTTAGCCAAGTTGTCTCACCGCCATGTTAAGTATTTTTTTGTCGTTATATGCTGAAGCGCTTTGTGTTTCGCGGTTCCGCATTCATGATGTTTTGTTTTGTCACCTGGCTTTGAACGATTGTTCCACAAAACGCAAAGCACAACTGTTTGTTTATATTTATCATTTAATTTTCTGAGTTCTCCTGAGTTCTCCTGTCAGTCTGTATTCGTTTGTTCTGTTTGATTAAAATCCTTACCCCGGACTTGGTTGAGTGAAAACTGAAGCATACGACGTCGCGTCAGCTTGAGCGTTGGTGCATAATGTAGTATTATACAAGTAGTAATTTATGCTATGGTAGATAGTTGCACAAAAAAAATTCGTTGCGCACGATGTAATTTAATCAGCAGAATTGATGCAACTAAGCAGGAAACAACGTGCTCGCATGCAGTTTGTTATAACTCAATTGTACGAGCACTAATTCTGAAACCAAAACCCAAAGTGAACTTTTATTCGTTTGTTTTGTTGTACGATATCCCGCATGCTTCGCTCGGATTTATCGTGTTGTCTTTTTGAAAATTCTGAAGTTGCGCTTTGAACTACCTGTTGTCGAACTTAAGATACATTTAAGCGCAATGCACCTTTCGGGAAGTGTTAGTGTTAGAAATAAGCATCTGTATTGTGTACTCTGTAGTAGTACAGATTGTAATCTGTATCTGTACATACGAGTATATTCTGCAGTATCGCATTTCTACGAGTAACCCACAACTCACAAGAATGGTGTAACAGCAACAGCCAAAAAGTAAAAATTTAACTTCACCTAATTGTAAGCCCAAGGCAAAACTGGTATGGTTTTGGTGCGAAAGGGAAGCAGACACACTGGGACTTGTATTTATTTTTTAAGAAAAACGTTTGCATCGACGGAACCATACTCAGCACGATCAGTCTCGAGCCAGATCCTGTTTGCGTGAATCACAAACGGAGCAGCCATAAATATCAAAATATAATTTATTTGATTTTGTTAACAATGAACTAAACTGTCTGTAGTACTCTGTACCAAAATTTAATCTCAATCTGGTAGAGGTGATTATCAATTCCGCAATGCACTTTTGCAACTTAATTTTGTTCCCTTGCATTTTGTTCCTTTGCAGTGATGCAGTTTTGTTCCTTTGCATTTTGTGAACGGGAAAAAGTAAACCTTCGATGGGGATTTTCAAACCAAATCAAATTTGTAATCAAATTTTCAGTTAGGAACATAATTAATTTTTTATCTTGTTTTCTATGATATATAGCTTATACGCAGATTTGACGGAACTGTCTCTCCTGTCAGCTCGTGTTGAAATGCAGTTTATGCACCCGTACAAATCGACAGCTGCTCACAGGAAATGCTGTCAATGTCCTACGTATCTTCGCCTCTTGTTATGTTAAGCGTCATGATGTGCAGAATTGCTGCCGGTATAACAGCAAAATTACATAATAAAAATTAATCCTGTCAGATACCATCGTACTGATGACCTCCTTTAACTTAGGGAGGTCAGAATAAATAACGATGTCCATTAACGGCGCTATTGTGACACTTTCCTGGATGTCTGAAGTCCGTCGTACTACGCTTTTCCGTTCTTCGGACGTTCTGTATGGCAATATAGTGGTGTCGCTTGCATAATTTGCGGAAGCCAGTGCCTGCCTGGTGACGAGGCGGTAACCATCGGAAGCAGAGACATTACAACATGAATTCCGCTTCCATATGGATGTAGGACATGGATTTCTCAATCGTGCGCAATGAAAACAAACGCGACCAGATAGCTGCTTTCGGCGGCAGGCACGAAGAGTGTTGGTAAACAGGAACATACAATAACTGCTCAAGTCAATGACCAGCTGTCTGCAATGCGTACTAGCTACTTTCTTGAAGCCTGTTACTGTTTGTTGAATTCGGTTAAGTTTCAGGATTCAGGTTACTGTATATTGAATTCGGTGTCATTGTCAGATTTCGTGATCTTGTTACTTTTCTTTATGGATCTAAGTAGATTTCACGTTATTTAAAATGTATTTTTTTAAAAGCCGTATCATAGTAATTGTTGTCATATCTATATACGTGCTTTCTCACGATATTTCGCTCTTTTGCGGTAAGACTAACATCGGGAACTGCATACCGGATATTTTCTTTTTACCTGGGCTTAGACGAATTGTTTTTTTGTTTTACTTCTAAAAGTGCTGGGGCTTATTTTTATATTATGGATTTCTGAATTTGACGAAGATATCGGTTTGTTAGGAGTTTCAGCAAAATCTTGCTTACCTCAAGGCCTGCAAATAAAGATTTTGGATTCATCTCCGGTTTCAGCTAACGCCACCGCATCGGTTCTTTTGCGGGGCCAGCACGGGATGTAAGTTACGAATGTGGTTTCTGAATACGTATCATTCCCAGTTGCTGTTACTAATTGTTTGAAATTAGTAGCTGTAGAAAACCGCTATCCGTCATGTCTCGTAGATTCGCTTGTACGGCGATATCGCAAGAAGCACCGCAAAGCCGAATAGTATGCCGTTCACTTCACCTAACGCCTTCTGTACCTGCTCATAATCACAAAGACGGCATAGTTTGGGATGTTAGCACAATCAATGGTCGGATAACCGATTTCCAGGTACCGATAATCAGCATTACTTTTTTTGGTTTTATGTGCATAAAATTAATAACGTGTGGATTGCAATAGAATTTGATTTAATGCTGTCTTCGCTTAATTTACCATAAGAATTCACCATCGTAATCCAAAAATTTGCCAATATCTTCATATTGCCAAATTTTTGGAGTACGACAGATTTGTTGAAGAATTACAGAATTTAATCTGTAAAAAATTTAAAGTATGCATTTGTTTCTTTTTAGGTTACCAGTCGGAACGTGTCAGACTTGATAATTGCCGTCGTGCAGGACCAACCAGCAGTCCTGCTTTCCGCCAGCGCAGTTAGTCCCACGCTGCACTTAACGCAAATTGGTACCGTTAACGCAGTGGGCGCGTCAACCATTCGCATGGTCCGCAATCGCAACCGTGTGGTCATTCTGACATCCAGTAGTTTGGTCTGTACTGTTCCGGGCCTGGGCTGTAATATTCCATCAGCAACAATAGTTAACCAGGACGACAGCCTGACGCACTGTGACAGTTTGGATTTCGGGATTTCCACGTCAGTTGCCGGCTGGCCGTCCGGAACGCACATCTACATTGTCCATGCTGTGCAGGATGTGGTCGATGCAAGGGTCAGTCACCTGGTTCTGTTTCGGATGGAACTGCCAGTCGGCGCCAGCCGTTGTCGAATTGAAAAACTGCAGACAGTGAAGCTACCAATCAAACTTTGTGGTATGTCAACATAGACACGCCCATATGCTCTCTACAGGATGATACCATTTCGAACAGAAATTAAGCTGTGGTGCACAACCTGAAGAGAAATTGACAAAACAGCTTTGACCCTTGGGTGTGATTCACAGATGTCAACTCCATGAAATTATTCCGTACATTACGTCAGTACTTCCTGTTGATTGCCAGCAATGATTGCGCTGGGACAGATCACTCAGGAGATGCCGGCACACGTGATCTTGCTGCAATCCAGTGGAACCCTGTCACTGGATTCCTTGAAGGGCAATCCATGAAATACCTCAGTGGAACAGAACATGTAAGGGCTAAGGCGTAGCTTTTTTAATAACTTATTTCTGTCGTCTCTGTTTCACATACACGCCATTGAACAGTGAATAACATTATAATTGCTCCATTTCATTCAGTGCGAACCGCTTAGGCTAATGTACACTTACTTCTACTGTACTTTGATTGATTAAAAAAATTAATACCTTCTACTGTACTTTGACTATCAGCAGTCTGTTTAGACTATTTAGCGATCTGCTGCACAACGGAACAATTTTGAGTATAACTGTATGATAAGGTTTTGCGACTTTATATTAACGGAATCTTGTAGGTGAATCGATTGACCTCCTTGTCAGCATCCATCTTGCTGCTGGACAGACCTAGCGGATATGTAAGCACTCTCCATTGTCTAACATCGGAGATGCCGGGTTTTTATGACGTATCGCGTGGGCGATACATCCACACGGATTCCCGAAGTACCACGTTAGAAACCTTAGCGGCAATGCCGGTCACAACAGGCATAAAACACCTCACCGTTCTTAACACGAACGACGGATCGATTTTCCTGGCGAAAACACTACATGCCAAAAGCGGCGAACGCAAAGGTCACACGGGATGTTTTATTCTTCCGAAACCCAGAGTTAAAAAATGTTTTTACAGTTGAAGTGGATCAGCTGTTTTATCCTATTGAGACCCTCCGGGATTACGGAGGTGAGTTCTGATTTGACTCACAACTGTATTACAGATATATTGTACAGATCGGAACTAACTCCTTTCAATCGGTTTATTTTGCCCAATACAAAACTTTTGCATACGTGAACTGATTTTTATCGTTATTAATACTTGCTTTTAGCTTCCCGCGCTATCATGACCAGTCTCAACACATCAGATTTGATGGGTGGCACTCCGTTTCTCCGGGAACCACGATCATTCTACGCCGGGTCGCCAAGAGCTTTCGAATTCTCCGCTGTTGCCAGGAGCAGTACGTATTTTTTAAATCTTCCGGTCAATCTCCTCACAAAGAACTTAAAGCAGTTAAAAGATGCAAGCGATTACTGCCTGTTTTATTTCAGCGCCATCAGCCGCCACGTGGGAGCAACCGTTTACAACAAATTTTCCTGGAACCCCGTTTGAAATGCAACTCATGACTGCCCAGCTGCCAACGACTATGCAATCTCAGTCACGTAGTATGTACTTATATAGTTGCGTGGTGTGGCATGGTATTACGAAACATAATTTAAAAAAACACCTGGATTTCCAGTTGCTACAGTGCTTAATGAATAATGTTGTATTTGCAGTACATGTTGTTCAGCGGCTAGCATCGTATGAGTATCGTAACGTCTTCACTAGGCTGTACCTACATATGTATCTATATGTCAAGCCGGTTTTCTTGTTAACAAAATACGATAAAATAATGATTCATTGCGTTTGTAGAACTTCATCTGGACATGGTAATGACAAAGGACAGCTTGCGTGCTGCCAATATTTCTACGGGAATCCTTCAGAGTTACTCACGCGACCCGTTTGAATTTACTCCTACTGAAATACATCCAGTTGATGCTGGTACAGAAGACGAATTTCGTGTTGTAAGAAAACATTTGTCGACTCCGGTACCTGACGAGCTGAGGGATATCGACTATTTCGACAACAAAAAATTCCGGCCACATCGAAACGAGATGACAGCAGGTTCGAATCCGCAGCCGACAACAGCAGGAGTCCCCAGCGAATTTACCCACAAGGGCTACCAAATGTCAGGTACCCATTTCTGCAAACATTATTTTTGTGAGGAACTTATTTATTGGCCGCGTATCTTTCTCCGTAGAACAAGGTGTGAATGCCGGTTACCAGTTGGTTGGTAATTCATCGCGAATAACCAACTACAATCAGCTTTCTCCGCACCTGAGGTATGATATCTGCGCTTAACAGCAAACTTTTCCGTTTTCGGCTTGCTGGCTATAAACGTGCGTCGTAACATAAGGTCAGTAGTGATCTTGGTTAGCTTCAGAAGAACCGATGAGCACCGCCCACCTCATGGAGCTGCTCCTCAAGCGCCCATTCAGCCAAATCATGCCGAGTACACCTACGACTACGAAGACGATTTTGCCGATCCCATGGATCTTACCAACACATTGTCATCCCCAGAAACCTTTTTTGCAGACCGCATAAACGCCCTCTCAAATGCACAAACCGTTCAGAAAGGGGTCTCTCCTCCTCTGCAGTCACATTCTCAAGTCCCGCCACAACCTGATCCTCACAGTCAGCATAAGAACGAGACCAAGACATGGCTACCACCACAGCACCATCTGATCCGTAACGGACATCGCAAGAACGCCACTTCTTATTCGCCTCGTAATCACAACAAAACATCGGACTGCCAAGATCTAAAGCTAGCAGTGCACGACCATAGCGAGTATGACGATCCCGAGGACGCGGAGTTAATGGCTAATAGCACACCCACGGCGACTGCCCAGCAAAGATTGTTTCACACGGACAACTTGCTTGAGGACATTACTGTTTTTGACGAAATGCCCCGATTGCGACACAACCAAACGCTAGCCGAAGATGAACTGCCCGAGAGAAACGTACAGGATTTGCCGGTTACTTATGACAGAGGCGTAAGGTACAGCAATACCTCCACTGGGATGAGCCGTATACTGCACAACGAAAACTTTTCCGGTGATAGCAGAATGAAATACAACGAAACCTTAGCAGAAACCCAGTATCTGGATAATCTGCCCAATTTAACATTAATCCTTTCGCGGCCGGATCTCTCGCGTTATGCAAGATTGGATGCTATGCAGACAAATGACACGCGTCTACGATACAACGCAAGTTTTTCTGGGATGAATCGTGTGCAACACAACGAAACCTTGTTAGGAGGTAACAGAATGAAGTACGACGAAAGCTTACTCCAATCACAGTATTTGGAAAATCTGCCCAATTTAACCTTGACCTTTCCGCGTTCAAAACTCTTAAATTATTCAAAACAAAATGATGCACGGATTAACGACACGCGTCTACAATATGACACAAGTTTTACCGGGATGAATCGTGTGCGACATAACGACACCTTTCTGGGAGATGACAGAATGAAGTACAATGAAAGCCTAATCCAGTCACAGTATTTGGAAATGGTTCCGAATTATACGTTGACCTTTCCTCGACCGACTCCTTCCAGTTACAAGGACCCATTGCAAATGCAGACTTACGATGCACGTGTAGATTATAAGGAGAGTTCCAATGAAATGGATCGTCTGTTGCACAACGAAACCTTTTCAGGCCAAACCAGATTAAAGTACAACGAAAGCCTAATTCAGCCGGACTACTTTGATATTATGCCAAATCTGACGGTGACCCTCCCGCGAACAAATTTCTTCAGCCATCAAAGCCCACTGCTAACATTGAGTCTTTGGCAGGCTAATTATGGTAATGAAGGCACGAACAACGATGATTCCCTCGTAGCACGGCGATCCGAGTTTCCGAAAACTGATACTGCGAGGATGCGACACAATGCAAGTTATCCCGAGCATGAGCACCCTGTCGTAGCACTCCGATCAGAGACGCCAAACTTGAATCCCAGCGAAGCGGTCGTCATAAATGAAAGACATCTTGTAAACCGCAACCGGGTAAAATATAACGACACTCTACTTCAGGAAGAATATGAAGAAGTGAATATTCTGCAAAACATGACCTTTCCGTTCCTAAATCGCTCAAGTGCCGGCGGAGAGCAGCCGCAAACAGAATATACTTCTTCCCAAAATAATACAGCGGATACTGATGAGGACGTTGTTAACGAAGATTATCAGTATATTTCCGCGCCGACGGTATCAGGCAACGAAACGAGAGACACCGAAGACGAAGAACTGGCGCCTTCTTTTGGGATCGAAACTCTACAGAAAAGAAATCTTAGTATGAATCATGAAGATTATCATGAAGTGTTAGGACCTCATACCACACGTCAGCGAATCGAGAATGTCCAACCAAATCCTTACCGCAATGATGACACCGTAACGGGAAAGCCTCTCAATCGAACGTTTTCTGCTGGTCGGCTTCTTTTTAATTCAACCGGTGGATTAGTGGTAAATGAAACTAGCTTGACCGTACCTGGCATGGACTACAGATTCCTTAATAACACAGCTGTCCAAACTTTAACCAACTCGACGATACATATGCCAGATGGCAGGCTTCCAAGATTACGGTACAACGACAGCTTGTCAACAGCTACAGATGACCAAGAAGGTCATCCTGCAGCCGCGCCAAAGTTTAACAGGACAAATGGAATAACAAACAGGGAACCAATAGTCACAGACCCGCAGCGGCTGCACTACACAGATACTGCTGTGGCGCTAGACCAAACAGAGCACAGCGCACCATTCCCAAGTCTGGCTTACACATCCGTTAATCGAGGTCAGTTGTCAGTTGGAGCGCCCAGTTCTTCGGTTTTCCAGGACAATAAAGCTTCTACTCGATTTGTCAATGGAAGTGGAAAACTTTTGCCACGAAACGAAATCAACTTGGAAACACAGGCGGTTAAAGTGGATAGTTCGTCAGTCGGTGTGCCTCCTTTTCTACATAGACATTCGTCGATTCGAATGGGCCAAAGCACCGGTAACAGTGTGTATCAAGCCAGGAGGAACACCAGCTTCCTTGGAATTAATCCTGATGGCCGCGCTGGCCCGAGACTTTTTCGACCGCCAGTTTTACAGACAGGTTACAGGCGAATAAAAGGTTGTGTAACGGCTTTTCACGAAACTTTAACCGTGGAGCAAATCTCAATAACAACTCTTGTTTGTATTGCAGGAAACGTTTCGGTGTCTCCAAATACTAACAAGCGAAAACTGCAGCCAACAGCTTTATCTGGCAACGTGACCTCGGCAAAAGGTGTTGGCAATATCTGAGTGCCCGTCATTTATCACAGATTTCCGTCATTTGACACAGATTTTTGCAGTTAAAATGGGCAGAAGGAAAACCGTGTTCCATGGAACGCGAGACCGGAATACTACGACACGCCTCCGGACAACGCCTCCCGCTCCCACCATATTGCCTCCTCTTAACTATACCGTGAAATCCAAGGTTCTGCCCAAGCCAAAGTGAGTATTGTCGGGTTTTTAATCTTAAAACGTCTTTGAGTCAAATAAATATCCGGTATTTGTAACGCTCGTTGCCATACAAGAATGTCGCAACATACGAATACCGGTATTTTAGGGCGTTCCTCTTGACCCTATGACGTTATTAATTACTCGACTTTACTTTAAGTATTGATCGATACATCGCTTTAACTGCAGGAGTCGCAACAAAAATATCTCGGACGCTCAGTCAACAGTCGTATCAGAAACTGTCCAAGAAGTGCTTGTAAAAAGCTCAGGAGACAACGATGTAGAAGTGGCAGTCGAAGTGGAAACATCGGAGAGCTTCCATAATGTGTCATCTTCTAAAAACGACTCATCGCCTGCCAAAGTAAACTCCACCATGATAACACCAGTTAACCTGACGCTCGCCAAATACTGCGCGGACAAACTACACATAGAAGAAGAGGACATCTCGAGGGCGGTCGCATGTGGTGGAAATACAACACGAATCGGGGTGAAAATCGACGTTGAAGGCGGCAGTGGGACGTATCGGTTCGAAATTTTTCATGCCGGTTCAAGGTAAATGAGAATTTTTTCTGTAAGGTTTTTTACCGGTATTCCATCAGATCCGTGTTTACTTTTATCAAGTTTTATTTGGAGTATTGTTGAAAATTATTTCTTTCTTAAGAGTACTAGATTTACAGCCAAGCTTATTTGTAGCGATGATAACAACGCCAGGACTAAATTCAAGATCCATGAAGCCAAGGGAATATTGTACGCTCGTGTTCCCGTTAAGCGAAATATTCCCCCAAAGGACAAGCGGTACATCCGCTCGGGACATGCTTATCGTATCCCACTGCTTGTTAAGGATGATGTTTGTAAAGAATCCTTTGAGACCATCGTCACCGTTGTGTTGAAATGCAGTTAAACAAAGCAGTAAAGTAACGTGTTGTTTTTACTAAAATTTGTTGGGAACATGGGTTGTCTTGTTGGTTTTTGTACTATTCCAAACGTTGATGGTTATGTAAACAAGTTCGTTCAACGACTAATTTAATAATATTAAATTACGTACGCACGACGTCTACGCAAATTATTGTTCAGTTGCTCTCAGTTAGCATATTCACACCGTATAGAACAATTTCGCAAATTTTTTACGGAGTTCGGGAAACGTGTATACAATGACAAGTGGATCGATTATTGCCTGAACCGAGAAGAGAATCGAGCTGATATGAATATACACAAGCGGTATCTTCAAGTCTGTGAAAGTTTCGAGAGCTATGTAAATTATGTTTGGCGTCCAACAGGCAGAAACGCTAAAGGTCAAGCCAATTAACAGCATAAAGTCTTTTGAATATACCAAGTTGCATCGCTCCCTCTCTCGCTGCTCTCGAATGGTTTCCTCGTTAATGGTCTTTGGTGATTGTGAAGTAAATGTCGAGATGCGTATAATGTTCCTTCTGCGTCGCTTTATCCATAACACAACGTTGGCCACTGCAATAAAGACAACCGGAATAAATCCGGTAAATATCTGACAAAGAGCTACTCCGGTGAACTGCGCTTCCACATTTGCGTAACATTTCGTTGCCGATTCACGGTAATTAATTTGGTCCGTAATGAGTATGTACAGCCAAAAAGCGCTAACAAAAATCCAGACAATAACACATGAGACAACCGCTAACTTGTACGAATGGAAATTCCTGTAGTTAACCGGACGCAACATTGCCCATAATCGGTTAACGGCAATTAAAGCATGATTCGCCATGATCGTCCCACACAGAGATATGCTGGCAAAAAGATGGATTGTACACCATTGCTCGCCTAACCACCATTCGGAGTACAGACCGTTAATTATAGCTAAAGGATTGTGGATAGAGCTGTAAACCAATCCACTGATCAATAAATTAATTACGTAAACAAGAAATGGATTATGGCGACGATTTTCACATACACACTGGCCAAGGACGATAATATTAGCTGTGCAACCTAAAATGCAAGTAAGTATTTCGCTAATAACATAAAATGTCCAGGTCTTCGTTACGGGCATACGGTTTTCCGTTGTATTTATATTTTGCACGTTAGTTGAATAATCTAATAAATACTCCATGTGATCTGACACATTAAAATCATAAGGTGCACGAAAACTGAAAGGTAAAGGTTATCTAGCTATGCTTCAATTCATCAGAATAAACAGAATTCAGAAAGAATTGCTTGTTCTACAGCGTACTGGCACAACTGTTTGCCGGTAACGTTCGTGCCGCCCGTGTAATCCCAAGAGCAGGGGTATGTCAACCGCTGAAGTGTTGATGCACAACATTTGTAAGGTCAGCAATTATGATGCGGAGGTGTTTACTGTGTATGATTAGGGTATTAAAGAGTCCAGTGCAATATATCTGTACATCAGTACATGTACTTATATACGTGTTAGTCACAGTGTCAGCGGCGTCCCCTATAGCTAATTGTGCACAATTTGTCTGCAATTGTGCGATGCGGAAATGGAATAATCAGTGCATTGGAACAAGAAACTATTATTTACTTTGTAATTAGATTTTTATTTGCATGTACGTACAAGGCTACATTCTTCCTGTTAAATTTACTTGATATGTACGAGCAATACGTTTGCGGATTTGTTTGAATGGTATGGTACTACAGAGTATATCTGCAGTAATTAAAATCTTACGCACGACAAAACTTTGAGGAACCAAGTTAAAACTCGCTTAAAATCGCTCTAAAATTTATTTCATTAATTTAAGCTTTTATTGTGCAAATGCAGAATTTAAAAGTCGTGACGTAACAAAGTCAAAACAGTAGCACTGAAAAGATTCACTTTTTGAAAAGCAGATAAAATTTCCTATATAATTCAGGAAATGTAATAACTACGACGACTGGATCGATGATGGTCTGGACGGAAAACATGACAGATCCCAGGCGAAAAAATTCCAGCGGAAGTTCCAAAGAAGTAAACGCGTCAATGGAGTCGAATATAATACCTGGCATCCAACACAGAGATACACTCATCGTCAGGCCTATCAGAAGCATGAAGTCCCGGGAGTACACCGACGTGGATCGCTCACTTTCTTCCTGACGTAGCTCTTTGCTGTTAATCTGTGTGTGAGAGGATGTAGGACTAGGCAACCTGCGCAGTTTAATATTTCGCACCATACGTCTTCGGCGCCGTTTTACCCACAGCGTGGCATTGGCAACGGCGATGACAAAAATCGGCGCGAAACTGGTCAATATTTGGGAAATCGTCATCGTGATGTACTGGGCATCGGCATTGAAGCGACAGAGCGTGGTGGATTGACGATAGAATAAATGGTCAAAGATTACCAGGTGAATAGATGACACGTGGGCGTAGATCCATGCAGCCACACACATTCCTACCGCCATTTTGAAAGAGTGGACGTTGCGGTAGCTGACTGGTCGCAGCATAGCCCACAGTCTGTTGACAGCAATCAGCGCGTGGCTGGTCATTACAACACCGCAGAGGACAAAGATGGCGTACATGTACACGGTACACCAATGAGTTCCCAACCACCACTTAGAAAACAGACCGTTAATTATGGCCAGCGGGTCATGGAAAGCAATAAAAACCATCCCGCAGATCAACAAGTTGACGACATAAACCAGAAAATCGCTGTGGAGATGATTCGTCCATGTACACTGGATAAGCACAATGGCATTGGCGAGGAAACCAGTTACGCATACGGTGACCTCGCTTACGACATAAAATGTCCAAGTTGCAGTATTCGAAAAGGTTAAATTTTCTTGTCTAGTGGAATTAATATGCTGTTTTGCTAAATCCAAAAGTAAAGAAGTATTTAACTTTGAATACATATCCATTGCCTTATAGTACTAGTACGTGGTCATTAACTCGCAGCTTATGCTCAACTTTATTATAAAGATCAGTAATTACTGATAAGCAACATTATAACAAAAGCTGTTTCTTTACTTAACATTTCCTCCCAGAAACCCAGCGCGCGGTCTTCACGGACACCGCTCTGTATACCGTCATTCATCATACCTGCAATACACACTGTCGTTAAGTCCACATTATTCGTGTAATACTGCCTACCGATCAGTAGATGTAGTTCAAACTGTCTTTTGGGATCGGCGAATGGCTGTTGATATTGTAGATTGTAGTATCAGTTGTTTGTTCGAGGAAATTCTGTATGTGCCTACCAAAAATTATTAAATTTTCCTGATTTTGCAATAATATTCTTAATGTATGGGTTAGGCTTCTGTCGATAAAAGATACTCCCTAGTGCATACATTAACGCTGTTGAAACAATTTCTGTTCATTTAGCATTCGATTTGCAGAAGTAAGACTTCTAAATTAACACCAGCATATCACGCTATGCCCATCGCAAGTTACTTTTTACACTCGTATACGATGTCACTTTAGGTTTTAGATGTAAGTAAATTGCGAGTTGCTCCCGCACGAAAGTGATGCGGAAAAACTATGCTGATTTGGTCGTGTTTCTGTATATTTCCAAATGCGCAAATTCGAGTGTTGCTATTATGTAGTTAGTTGGTCGTCTCTAATAAATCGCATCCCAGGTATGCGCTCAGATACGGACGCTTCATCGCTTGCGCACATTTTAACAGCACTTTGCAGAATGTCCGATTTTCCAACGGAGCTGGCGCGAAATCCGATCGACTTCGACCATTGAATTTCTAGCCAACTGGGCTTATAATTGAAGGAGAAAAATATAATAGCACAGATTTTTTAAAAGTCGTTAGTTTCGGAAATCGTGCAGAATCCCAAGCGCTTGGGATAGCCCCATGATAGATCGGGATACGTCCATGCTAATGTCGTCTACGGAAGGCAGTGCCAGGGCGGTCTTGCTGTCTGCCTTAAACAGAGACTCTGGTGCGTGGCTAAATGCGTTGCCTGCGCCATGTCTGGGCACCTTCCTGAGGGACAACGATGTAGGAATTGGGGTAGCCCTGCGATTTGGATTACCGGTAGTGGTGGCGAACAATTGCATTGCATGTAAAAAGTAGGTCGAAACCAATGGTAACCACGGGCTATCGTGCAGTAAATCGACCAAAGGACGATGGGCGCGGCATAAAGAGTTGAACAGCCTAGCCAAGAATTGTTGCGAAAGCGCTGGTTTTCCTTGTCAGCTGGAACCGACTGGCCTGTCAAGCACAGACGGAAAAAGACCCGACGGGATGACGCTAATACCTGTCCGCCAGGGCAAACTGCTGGTTTGGGACGTAACAAGCTGGTGTACTGCTGCAGATTCTCACGTTACCGGAAGCTCGAAGAAAGCCGGAAGTGTGTCGCAACTGGCAGAAAATTCCAAACGCGGACGTACTCGTTTTTGGAATACGGATACGTCTTCTGTCCGCTGGTTACTGAGACGCTGGGAGTTTTTGGTCCTGCGTTGAGTGAAATACTGCATTTCATGGGCCGCAGGATTCGGGACATAACGGGTGAAGCACGTTCTACTGCTTTCCTCAAGCAGCGTTTTAGTTTAGCTGTCGTCAAAGGAAATGCTACGGCTGTTTTGAGTACATTGCCTTTTAAACCGAGAGAGGATAAGGATTTTGGCTGTTCTTTTAATGTTTTATTTTTAACTATTAAGTAGTGTACCAGTGCTTGCAGTATAATTGCTATTCGGATGGCTATTGCCAGTAAAGAATGCATTAGGAGTTTGAGAGTTAACAGGGTACAAGAAAACATAGTTTTATACATTCGTTTTTGCACTGGATTATTCTTTGCCGGCTGCGACAAAAATCTAATGGTGAGAGCAAAATCCATAAATGCTTTGGACTTGAATTATTGTATTGCACACTAAGCGCACAGTTGCGTCTCTTAAACCGATGGGAAAGTTTTGGGTCTTCTCGCCAAACTGTTCCATTTTTCACTAAGTAACCATGTCAAGAAACGACCGTTACCAAAATCTAGGATGACTAAAAAACTATTTGTCCGAATTCAGTATAAACTGCTTTCGTTAGCTGCACTGCAAGACGAATAACGTTTGCGAGTATTAAAACAGCCGAGACATCATACCAGTATAACCTGCATAGTGGCGATGTTTAGCATTCTTCTTGGTGACCATCGATACAAACACAGATGACTCGCTCACGAAAGCTAACAAACATTACTCGGCAGCGAAAGTTTTCGCATGCCTTCATTTTTCCACAACAACTAGGTCGCACTTCTGTAGTCCACCGATGCAGTTGTTGCAGATGACAGCATTGGCCAATGCTTCCGTCCGATCCAGTGATATCTGTGAATTATTGTGCTGTCGTTGCGGGAACAGAATGATTATCCAGAAAGTTAATTTCCCTTCCAACCTTTAAAGCAGTTATCTGACAGCTGTATTTGTTTGACCTTTAATTCGGTCGTTTGGATTTTGATTGAATTTTGGATTCAATGGACTCTACTCCGTTGATTTTTCTTTTTCTTGGACTGCTGCGAGAAGTCACAGGTGCGGATATGTTGCAATTTACATTTAGGAACGCATTTAACGCAGTAACTATAAGCTGTTTAATTAATAAAGAGCGTTGCGTTGGTTATGAAACTCGAAAAATATGCTTTTATTCCAACAACGATGGCAGCAGTACAGATCGGTGTACTGTGCTTATTATGAGACAGCGTGGGAATCATCCTGGCGTTGCGTAAAGTATACCATGCCGGTATCTGTTTTATTGAGAGGTCATTGACTCCTGACAAACCTTTACATGCCAAAAATGATCAAGCACGGCAAGAGATGCACAATTTTTCATTTAAGTACAATATGGTGTAATGTAAAATATGGTGCAAAATGGTTATTCGTGTTACGGAGTAATCGGCATTTTTGTTAACGTTGCGCGCTGAGTAACAGGCAGTTCAATAATTTAAAAGCGGTTTCTAAATGTTAACTTACGAGCACTTTGGTTTCACAGGAAATCCAGGCTCTGCCAAATCCTGCTTGCCGCATGCTTTGCGTCTTCAGCGAGTGCAAGCGTTCCCGGTGGATAAAGATGTCACTGCCACCGCTTTGATAAAAGGCTTCAACGGATTGTAAGATCAATAATTTGATGATTAATATGGTTATGTGGTTATGTTTTTCTAAGTACTGCGTTTTGCAGCTTTTTGTGCGCGGCAAAGAAGACGGCACTGAAGTCACAGAGCGCTATTGCTTGCCGCAACTTTCCCATATTCTCCTACGGCCAGACTTATGACCAGTTTTATTCGGTAGCCAGAGTCGGTGGCGCAATTACCGATTTCAAGGTAATCAGGAAAGAAAGATAAAAAGATAATGCAAATGATTTAAAAAATGGAGTGTTATCCCACGTTTGATTTGGTGCCTTATAATCTGTCCTACCCCGGCGGTTTACTTTAAACGTATAAATACAACGCTTTTCTCAATTTTACCAGAACTAGTCAAACTGTGACGTAAACGCTCTTAAAGTGTAACGAAAATATTACTTATATCAATGTAACATATGTTTCTCTGACGACTGGTTTTCAAAAACTGTTATTACGTCAGACGACCTTTTTCCTATTTAGGTACTAAGTCGCAGACAGTCCAGTTTGGTAATAGCCGTGATCAAGAACGAACCCTCGCTACTTTTCGCTGTGCATCTTAACGGTTCCTACTTGTCCTTTACCGAGCTGGGACCCATCGGCAGTATCGGCGCTCGGTCCATTCGCATGGTCCAAAACCGAGACCGCGTAGCTGTCGTCACGTCCAGCAGCCGGCTATGCCAGAATGTGGGACACGACTGCAACGTACCCGGCGTCGAGGTCATCAGCGCCGAAAATGTGGTGACGCGCTGTGTTAGTTCAGAATTTGGAGCATCGTCCGCTGCAACCGGTTGGCCATTCGGCCGTTTTTTTTACGTTGTGCACGCACTGAAGGATCACGAAAATCCGCGCAAGATGCAGTTGAAACTGTTTCGGCTGGATGAAAGCGTCGACCCAACACACTGTCTGCTGGAACCGATGGAGGTCTTGGATATTCAAGATCCGCTTTGCGGTAGGTCATTTCATACATCAATGAACGATATTGAACTTAGTGGTGCTCTTACGGTTAGTTTAAATCAATAATTATGATATAAACCACGATGCCTAACAATAAAAACATTCCACTGTGTCGTAGCTGATAGCTGTTGCTCTTCTGTAGCTATCAGCAGTTTCAAAACGAAAATCATATTACCTACTCACAGAAATTCTTGCATTCGATTATAGATGTCCATACGTTGCGGTTGTTTCGAGCGTCCGGCATGTATTTCTTGTTAATCGGTAGCCACGACTGTGACAAGCCGCTCAGCGAGAAAAGCGGTTCCACGAGAAACATCCTAACGGTGCAATGGAGTCCGATAACCGGGCTTTTAGATGGGCAAACGTTGGCAGAACTCAAAGACACCGACCATGTACGCTTTAACTGTTACTCTACTTCTACGACGTATACGACGAAGCCAACTCCCAAATGCTTTTTCCGAATATCTGGATAGTAATTTGAATAATTAAGCTGTGCAGGACTCAGGTTACTTCGAATTTAATTCGTTAAGTTGCATAAAGTTATAACTAACTTGCACTGCCTAGGTGCGCGAGGTGACATCGTTGTCAGCATCGATTTTCCTTCTGGACCGACCGAACATTTACCCGAGCACCATTCATTGCTTGACGGCGGATATCTTACGCAGCAGTTACGCTTCACAAGGCATCCACCGGGCGGAGCTGGACACCATTGCCACGCTTCCACCATCCCCTGGTGCTTCGAAATTTACATCGATGAACACAAATGAAGGGCTTATTTTTCTTGCAAGAATCAGCGATGATGTTAAACGAGGCCATACGGGTAAGGTTCAGTTGATGCATCTACCGAACGCAGAACTGGTTTGCTAATCAGGTTTCTTTTGCGATTCTGACCTGTGCAGTGGAAATCGACCAGTTGTCATGCAGTCAAGACGGTGATGCTGGACACAAAGGAGTCGGTAAGTTCAGATTTTAGAAATTTTTGAGCTGCTTTAACTGCAACCTCTTTGCACGCCTTCTCCTTTGTTAGTTTACGATGCCACGAACAGCTCCGCTCGACAGGTAAATTGTACTGCTCGAAAGGTACCTCCGACCTTTCTCGTGTAATTTTACCGACTGCTCCAAAGGGTTTAAATTATCTAAACCCTAAGCGTATCCGCGATATAGGGAATCAGTTTGGACGATTTTCAAAAAATCGACTCAAAACAAGGTCGACCGTACATGTCCGGGGCGAAAGCAAAAGGTACACCGTAGCTACGATATTGTGTTATTGCACGGTGTAAAGACGAAGATGCAATACGTTAATGACCAAATTTGCCGCTTGTATGACCAGGTGGAGCATCTTCTACTAAACAAGTCCTCACAAGTACGGTTTGGAATGCTTCGAACTCTGCAGTTTTAAAAACCGGGTAATTAATTGAGTTTTGTCTAATTTAGACTGGATTGGCGATCTGCACGATTACGAGGATTCTGTGCCGCTGTTAGTTCCTGTTGCCCCTGTTAAACGAAACAGTGCACCTTTCGGGGATTACGCTGGTGGTAATGGGACAATGGGTAAAACCAGACCGGAAATTTATAGTAATACCGGAATAACTGTAAACGTGCTCTGATTTTCCTAGGGCAACAATATCCGTCGAATGCTCCGGATCCAGCGAAACAGTACCAAACGCCGGGAAGACCGACGCCTGATGCGTCATATAACTCTTCTGAGGCCACTGTGCAGTACCCCACTGTTCCTCTAGGTACAAATAAAAACTGCTGCCACAATTATGGCCTTCAGTTACGCTATGCACTAACTTTATTTGCGTGAATCGAACTGAATTCGCTTTGTACTTGTATATTATTTATGAAGATGCCGGTTAGTCAACGTGAACCAATATTATGCATGCCAATTTTATAGTGTGGCCGGGAAGCCGTCGCCTCAAGTTTCCGGAGGAGCTGGAGTCTGAGGAGTCCGCATATGAAGAAATTCCGTACGCACAGTTTATTGCTGGTATGTACTGTAGCTGCTAGAAAAAAAAACTTAACACCTTGTTTCTCTACAAGCTTGTGAGAAATTTAAAAATTGGGATGTTGAAGAAACAACAACTCATCATCTACACGAAGACGGCGAGGAGGATTATCCAACTGCTCATAAGGGCATTTCTTATGTCAATGATTCAGCGGATCTGCTTGGACTGGAAGCGTCCAATGTTGCCCTGATTAAGTCCCATTCCAACAACGGTAACATTATTATAGCCTTATTGTTTCATTGCGAAACAGCTTTGTGATAGTCATAACTCTTCATTGCGAAACAGCTTTGTGATAGTCATAACTCAGTCGTTTTCGTCTGCCATCCGTACACGCGTTGAGAATGTATGCCTGCGCCTTGCAGTTACGAGTGCTAGCAACAACAGTTGAGCGGTAGGGCACTTGTAAGTTGTAATATCGTCGCGTTAACAAACGCTTGCAATTTCTTATTGGTACTACCGTGTACTACTTGTGCTCAAGAAAAATAAGAAAAATATTCGCTTTAACAAATAAAGAAAAATAAGTATTCAACTTAACAAATCAAGAAAAATACCCATTCGCCTTGCTTTGCTTTTACAGAAACTATACCGATTGGCTATCATCACGAAGAAGAAGGACACTACGATTCCATGCATCACCAAAGAGTTTCTTACAGCAATGATTCCACAGAATTCTTTGATGAAGAAGGACCGGACGCTGCAAAATACGGAACCCAACAGTATAATTCAGCCAAAGGTAATTAGCAAAGTAGCAGTACTAAACTGTGTCAAACATCAGCCCTTTGAGCTCAAAATTACCAAACATGTTGTGTTGCTCGAGCTTGAAAAGTGCAAATCTCAAACACTTTATCAGTCACTATTTCCAGGTTACAAAGTGGTACGACCGCTTGCTCCGCACCACGGACATCATCACGGTGTGCGGTACGGACATGGGCAAAAGGCCAATGCATCCAGAGTTTCCTCGGACGAGATGGAATACGATCACGACGACCACGAATATTCCGAATACGAATCCCACGATGAACACAGCGTACACTACAACGCAAGTGGTGAGTACCCTGACACGCCAGTGAAAGCGCCTGCTCCGCCTCCACCAGCCGTCCAGCCGCATAAGGATCACTACAACAACGTGCATTACGAGTATTACGACGATTACACCGAGTCGGACACGGAGCATGAGCATCCTTATAACCAGAGCGGACGCGCCGGACCGGTTCAAAATCCGCAACCTGCACCGCAACTTGTCGCTCCTCATGGTACGTATGTCATCTGCATACTGCGTAAATCTGGTAAATAAATCTTGCAAAGGTGGCAATCTGTACGTATGGGAAAAGCCTTGGATATCACTTTTCTGATTTTTGTATAAACTCGCAGTGTACGTTTGCTGTTGTGTATAAGGCAGTGCAGATAACTCAACGTTCAGACCTTGCACTGTGACCTTTGCAGGCTACTCCGGAAGACGACTGCATTACGAGCGCCCTTCCAGTCTCCGGTTTGACAATGGCCCCAATCTGCACAACCATTCTGAAGCGGTTCCCGGTTATGCTCACATCCAGCCGGCGATGGAGCATATACAAGAGCACCACGAGATGTCCTATCATGACACGGATTACGAGAACCTGCCACCCATTCGCTACAATGATTCCGCATACGACATCGATGCTGTGGAACGTCGCAACGAGACTGTGTATACAGCGCCCGCGGTTGCAGTCGCTCCACTGCAGCAATTCCCATCGGTTCCTGTTCAGTTGCAGCCGCTCCCAGCGCAGTATCCACCAAGACCATGTAAGCTGATTTGGCTGCGCAATTTTTTAACTAAATTTATCGTAATCTTAGTTTACAATTTAGTGCCGAACGGTGTGCGTTATACTGACGTGAGAGGACTTCATTACCAGCACGGTCAAAATTATCGCAATTACTCTGAAGTATTGCCGCAACAAGAAACAAGAGTGGAGACTTATAATGTGCCCTTGCCTCCTTATCCACAAGCTCCCGAACCACAACCCCAGATTATGCAGCAACCACCGCAGCCAGTTGGACAACGTAAGACAGTTTGCCGATCAGTATATTAATGGCAACGCTGTATGAATATTGGCAATATTTGTAGCGCAACATGGTGTGAGATACACAGATTTAAGTGGCATCCATTTTCAACATGGTCCAAAGCACAGGAACTATTCCGAAGCGCTCCCGCCCTACCAACAAGCGCCGCCGGCGCTCGTTCCGGCTAATGTATTGCCTCCTTATCCCCAACCATCAGGCGTCCAGCCATATGTTTTTCCAATTTCGTATTGTACGAAACGATCGCGCGTTTGTGATTAAAAAGCTCTACACTTCTAGAAAATTTTTTTAAATTTTGTTTAGCCCAACATGGTGTGCGTTATACCGACAAGAGTGGAATTCGTTATCAACAAGGTCCCAAACAACGGAATTCTTCTGAACAGCTTCCGCCTTATCTAACTCCACCGGTGTCAGTTCCAGTTGTTCCTTCTGTTTTGTACACCCCATCTGAAACCGTACAGTATGTTGACCCTCGTCCGGCTGTTTACCGTACGTATCAACAGTTGCCTCCAGATAAAAGTAGTTAGCAAGTCGCATAAGTTTGGTGTACAATTTAGCACAACACGGCGTACGCTATACGGACCAGAGCGGTATCCACTATCAACATGGCTCGACAAAACGAAATTATTCTGAAGTGCTGCCGCCGTTAGCCCAGCCAACACCCACCGCTACTGTCCCGTTAAGTGCGCTTCCTTATCCACCGTACGAGGTCGCGCAATACGTGCAAGCAGCAAACGGAACCGGTAACGCTTTCTTTACATATCGGCTTTATTATTTCCGCATTTTGTTTTATTTGTATGGTAATTTCAGTTAAAAAACGCCGATTACGATTTTACAAGAATGACACCGGCGATAGTAGACTCCTAATGGAATTAGGAGAAAACGCAATGTATCGCACAAACTACTCCGATTCTCTCCCTGGTCCGTTTACCGAATCCAGCACGGTAGTGGCCGATACAATCCAAATTGACCAGCGCGAGCCCGCATCACCCCTTCTACCCGCCGTTAACCCGACTGTGCCTGGAGGTAAAATCATATAGTTTGACGCGGCCTTTTTTAACCGCCTATTTGTTAAAAAAATTTACTCTTTCAATCATCTTGTCGAATCATCTGATAGAGAAGACCTTTTTTATAACTCTTCTGTACTCTACAGTTAGATTATAGTCTTATGTCATTAGGAAAATGACTTGTCCTCTGTTACAAACTAATCTGGTTAGAATTTTCTCAGGAATGGGAATTCACCGCATACGGTACAACCAGACAATGCCGACACCAAAAAGTTTGGGCATTCGTTATCATAGTGGTCCTAATCGGCACAACTTTTCGGAAACCCTACCAGACTATTTTGTCCGTCCAGTGCTCGATAAACTGCAAGAAGTGGATATGTATCAAATCATGCCGGTTTCTCCACAGCAGGAATATCCGGTAGCTCAACACGTTTACCATGATCTCCCTGTGCAACCAGAAATGCCGCCTAAGACCGATGGTGACCTTAACTTATCTGCTGTTTCTTCTGCGTGATTCTTACTGTTGCGAACTTGCCATAAATTATACTGTAATATTTTTTTACCTGCGTAACCTTTTACAATTTGAGATTTGCTTTTTCTAGTGATAACACTTCGCAAACCTGGTATCCATCATGACAACACCACACGTACCGGCATTCACTACCGTCGCGGTCCATACCGGCACGACTATTCGGAAGCCGCGCAACCGAAATCCGTCAAAACGAACCTTACCGATGTCATTCCGTCATTGGTCAAACCTGGTAATGATTGACTTTCCTATCTTCCTTGGACATTTTATGATAATGCAATTGGCCAGGTAAAAAGAGACGTCTACATTATGGAGAAGCTTACGCTAAACTGCTTCCAAAAGGAATCCAGTACGACAACGGCACGCAGCGTTATAACACTTCGGACACAACGGCGCAAACTGTTAAAGAGGCCGTCGCTTATACGGAAACTCAGCCAGCTCCGAGCCTACCTTACCAACCCGGACCGGTAGTGCCTGCCATATGGCCGGCAAAGTCTTCTAAAATTGTTCACTACGATAACGGATCCAGTGTGGAAGAAGATTATACACCGATCGTTAAAGCGACTCCTTACACGCCGCGCACAGCTGACTACTTCTCCTATATGACCGGTACAAACATAAATAAATGCCTTCCAAATTTTTCATCGTTCTGCAATATTCATTACATCTACTTGTTGTCATGCTCGTTATGCTAATAGACTAACTATCAAATGGCTTACAAATGTAGAAATTCTAACTGAGTGATACTATTTTGGCAACGTAGTTACTCAGTTCAACCCTTACGTACTATTGGCTCATCGGTGATTGCAGGATCCCCACAAGGCAAAGGAATCAGATTTGATGACAAGAAAGGAATTAAATACGATTCTGGACGATACCGGACAAATTACTCCGAAGCCGATGTGTTTGTGTCACCCTACACCCTTCCCGCACAGTTCATCCCGACCGTGTCTCAGCAAAAACGGGATGGATCTGCCGATCAGATGTTCTTCCCGGTCACACGACCGTATGTTCCGCAAGTGCATTTCGAGAATGAGACATCAGTTGACGAGGTCACACCGGCAACACGAACCACAATCAGTTATGGTAATGATCAATATTACCGGTATCTGTTCTTCCACAATGAGCCTGCATGGTCTTGTTAACAAAATAAATACGTACCATTACAATAATCACGCGTTGCTTTCGAACCTTGTTTGTTCACAAATTAAAATATTATTATAATTTCTTTTATAGGTACGTCGCGAAGAATGAGGTACGATGATAAAGATCGACCGAATGAGGATTTGAGTGAGCCGTCAGCAGCAACTACTATTCAACGAACTGTGCCACCCAGTTTCATTCCCAAAGTGCGCTACAATTACACCTCAATGATCAACGAAACACGGGAGTCCGTCTATCCACAAGTAAAGCCCGGGATCCGATTCGATAATTATTCCAAAGTGGAAGAAGAAGAACGAGATGATCGCGCTTCAACCTTAATCGTTCCACTGATTGCCACAAAACAAGGCACGCACTCATTAAGATTTATGAGTAGTCTAGTAATGATTGACTGCTTCAGTTTGTTCGTCGCTTCTTTGAATGTTGAGGTCACCGTTAACCGTGTATTTTGCAGGGTCATTGAGAAAGGTGCGCTTTAACGGTACCACAGGAATCACCAAGATGTTGAGCGGAAAGCGTTATCAGAATAAGGCAGACAGAACAGCGGTATACTCCGAAGCGACAGCCCCTAACCGACGTCATCAGCGCCTGAAATACGACAATATCAGTACTCCAGAAATGCGGATTGTCCAGAAACCGCAGCAGCTCATCAAACCCGTTCATTTCGATAACGAAACATCAGAGGACAAGGATATCGTCACATATAGTAAGCAACACCTTGTTCCAATTTAGTGCGACATACGAATACTTGATGTTGGTTGGTACACCTTTCAATAATCTTAACCGTCGAAATCGACATGAACGAAACGTCGTTTCGTCCACTTCAATGGCGACGGTTAAGATTAGCCATTGAACCTATTTCGAGTACATACTTGCTCAAGTATGACATATTTTGGTGTCGATTGGTATGACAGACTGCCACTTTACTGCGCCGCAAGTTCGGGGTGCATAAGTTGTTGACATTTTCGGTTTTCGGCCGTATTGCAGCCTACTTAATCAGTTAATTATTGAGTTAACTATTTTTCGCATAATTGCAGCTAAAGTTCCTACTTCGGCACTTCGCGGTCTGCACTACAATTCCTCCGACCCGCAAGATGCGTATGGCATCACCACGCTGGGCGTTGAAAGCTCTCAGATAGCTCCGATCGTCGTTCGAAAGTTCCGTCAAAACGACACAACCAGCGTCGACAAATCAGCGCAGATTAAGTTTAGACTCAAGTACAACGAAACGACCATGGATGACCAGGACATACCAGAATCCACTCGCTCGGTTTATCAACCGCGACAGAAGCTGATGTCCATTCGGATGCGATACGAGAACGATTCGGCGGATGTATCAGATGTCGAACCGATCCGGTTGGTTCGTTTGACAACACAAGCCAATCAGACACTGGGCCAAGCATCGCCCACTTGGATCTTCCTCAACGGTACTATTCCCGGTAATCTGCGAAGTGTCGGGGCACCTGTGACCTTTGTGGAGAAACCTATGGGACGTCCAAAGATCTTACCGGTTCGCCTAAAAGAAAACGTCTCCGAAGTCGATAATCATTACGAAGAACGACAGTTACTACAAAGCTCATACCAGAATACCAGTCAATCTGACACAGGTAAGGAATAGCAGTTTCTTAATGTATAGTGGTAATAGCTCATCACACCGCATCATCTGTTGTGAACAGCTTATAACGCCGGTACCAGACTGAATTATGACAATGCCACTGGAATCGACCGACTCAAATACGAGGAGTACGAGTCTACAACAGTAATGAAGGTTTTGATGCCATCAACGTCTACCATGATGTCGGTGGGGATGGATAACTCTACCCGTGGAATCCATTTTGGTTCCGACTACATCGATGAAGAAGAGCCGCGAATAGTGTATCAACAGATAGTACAGCCGACGATGGCTGTCAAAGGTGCTTTTACCTGTAAATTGTTTTGTTTCGGACGCTTTAGGAGCCCTGATAACGTGATACATTAATACGTCAGAAGGTCATCTTATGGAACCGCGTTCAATATAGTCTTACCAATTTTATTTTTGGGCGTAGGTCAGCCTGGCATAGGAATTGAAGATTTGGACCTTGGGGATGATGCCATGGAAGAACCGTACATGAAGCAATATTTCGTGCCAATGCCTTCGCAACCGGTTCTGCCCGCTCCTTCGCAAGCGCCTCCTCAGCCCATGCCCCAAATCGAAATGGAACCATTACATCACGAAAGCATTCAGCTGAAACACGTTGAGAAGGATCCAGCCTACACCGGGTACGTGCCGCCATCCGAAGCCCCAGTGCACCCAACCCCGGTGGCGGACGTCTATCCATCTCCTACCATTGCCGACATCTCTCTTCCTGTGGTTCCGGTATCACCAGTGCAAGGTTACAAACCCGAGATGCCGTTACGAAACCTTCTTGGCTGGGAGCGCAGCGCATCAGGGCGATCTTTCGTCCGGCGGTATAACGGAAGCACCATCGATGAACTGTATGCGCAGCCAACAGTACAGATGCGTCCATCGGCACCGGTATCACAAATGGTGCCGCAGCCAATGCAGTATTTAACGGGCTGGGAAAGGGCAGCAGCCAATCAAGCCTTTGATGAGCGTTACAATACAACTGCCATGCCTGGTCCTGATGCTGCAGTACAGTTGCACCCATCGGCTCCGGTTCAACCAATTTTACCACAGCCAGTGTGGCATTTAACGGGCTGGGAAAGAGCGGTCGCCAATCAAGTATTCGATGAGCGTTACAATACCACCGTCTTGCCTGTTTCTAAAGGCCAATTCCCCGGTTCGATTGCGATTCCCCAGCATTATAACAGTACCACCATCTACCAACCGCCTGCAGTATCGGCTCCGATTCAACCAATGGTGCCGCAGTCAGTGCAGTATTTGACCGGCTGGGAAAGGGCGGCAGCTAATCAAGCATTTGATGAGCGTTACAATGCAACCGCCCTGCGTGGTCCTGATGCTACAGTCCAACTGCGCCCCTCGACTCCGCTTCAGCCAATGGTGCCACAGCCAATACGGTATTTGACCGGTTGGGAAAGAGCGGCCGCCAACCAAGTATTCGATGAGCGTTACAATACAACCGTCTTGCCTGTTTCTGAAGGCCAGTTCCCCGGTTCGATTGCGATTCCCCAGCAATATAACAGAACCACCATCTATCAACCGCCTACAGTATCGGCTCCGATTCAACCAATGGTGCCGCAGTCAGTGCAGTATTTGACCGGCTGGGAAAGGGCGGCAGCTAATCAAGCATTTGATGAGCGTTACAATGCAACCGCCCTGCGTGGTCCTGATGGCCACTTACCCGGTGCAGTCATAATTCCTCGGCATTATGACGGCACTATACATGACGTGCAGCCTACAGTATCGGTTCCGGTACCACCAGTGATGCCGCAGCCAGTACAATATTTAACTGGCTGGGAAAGAGCTGCACCCAATCAGGCTTATGATGAGCGTTACAATACAACCGCCTTGCCTATTTCTGATGGCCATTCCCCCGGTATGATCACAATTCCCCATCATTATAACAGAAGCGTCTTTGGACCGGACGCACAGCCTGCAGTACAGCTGCGTCCTTTGGCTCCGGAGCGTGGAACAGCACCACAGCCTATGCCATCTTTAACTGGCTGGGAAAGAGCGGCAGCCAATCAAGCCTTTGATGAGCGATACAACGCAAGCGCCTTGCCCCTTCCTGACCGCCAGTTCCCTGGTTTTGTCGCACCCGTGATGAATGTCGTGCCTCTGGTTCCTTCGAAAACACCATTCGCTGGTCGACTGGACGCTGGCTGGGACACGGACCATCCAATGTTCCCCGAACGATACAACTTAACCATAGACGATTATTCCGACATATCGGTAGTGCCGGCATTCAGTGTTCCAGTTCCGGCAAGTCAAACAAGCTACCAGCCAAGGTTCAACGGATCACTGAGTGAGATTCCCATTTACCAGATCCCGGTGGACACAGAAGTACAGCGACATACAGTCGATGTTGCAGCAGTTCCCGATGTTGTTCAGCCTGAGCCGGTCGAACTGCGTTCTCCAAGCAACGTCGCGGACAGACCCCCGAACAGCCAGTCGGCTATCCATCAATGCCTCGACCACAGTCCACTCCAGTCTGGTTAATGGCAGGGCCGGCTTCCGGGCGCAGCCCACCTCTGCCAAGGCTACGCTTAGCTCCTCTCCCTTCCGCCGGGCGACGCGATGAGTACACGGATTCGGCGCGCGCATTCAAGAAACGCCACAATGAATCGCTCACTGACCACCCGGAAGGGAAGTTTCCGGATCTCAGTCCCAAGACATTTATGGGACGATATAACGCTTCTCTGGATGAGCACCAACAATACGAACCTGTTACCGCACCGCCTGTTCAAATACAACCAGCGATTGTGCCGGCAGTGTCCGGGCCGGGTATAGGTTGGGAGCGAGGCAGCACGAACCGGGTATTTAACGAGCGATACAATGCCAGCGTTCCCGAAGAAATTGTTCCTGCTGATGAAAGTACAGGAGCCAGATTAACGAGCAGTTTCCTTCCCTCGTCACGCGTCGGATGGGAAAGAGCGTCGGAGCAGCAGATTTCTTCAGAGTTCGAAATGCCTACCTCCGAGACGATGCCTCGTACAGGGTCTGGATGGGAACGACCGGAATTTAACCGGTACTTCAAAACGCGGTACAATCACACAGAACCCGAACCGGAGCCGCCGATTAGGAAACCGGTACAGCCACAAGCATCGCGGTTGGTACCGCCAGTACGCATTGACGTAACCCGTGCTGGATCTGGATGGGAGCGAGCTCCTGATCGTGTATTCTCGGGGCGATACAACGACTCAAGCCCACCGGAAGAAATTCAACGTACCCTGACATCGGTGTATGACGCAGACAAAAAGCCAGCGATTTTGATTATGCCGGACTTGCCTCGACCTCCATGGCCGCAACAAGAAGTGCGTGTTCTGTCGGAACCGGAACGCCCGCGGTACTTTGGACACCGGTACAATGTTACTATAGATGATCATGAAGAAGCGGCCCCGTTGACTTTTCCCGGTTACCCTGGTATCGGTCAGTTTGCCACGCACAAAGAGGAACCGGCATCACTCACCACTGGCGAATCCGGCATGCGATACGAAGGTCCAGCTCCGCCGTTTGTTCCTCCCATCAACGCCATCGTAAGCGCAGCGCAGCCATCGCAGGAGCGAGTGTCGAGTGGATGGGAACGGCAGCACAGCAACGTCATGTTTGATTCCCGGTACAACGAAACCACGCCAGAAGATCACGTTGAAACACTTCCCCAGTCTCCTAGCGTGCAGCCAGCTGTTTACCCGGCTATAGAAGAACAACGGATGCCCTCCTATGCAGCTCATCAAGGGATTAAATGGGAGAGTCCCGATAATTTTCGAAGTTTCGAGAATCGCTATAACGTCACTAGTGAGCACGAGGAAGCACCGATGAGAACTGGCGTTGTTGTTTCTACGCCACCGAAATCTGAAGAAATCTCACCTCTTCGAGGTGGACAAAACGAGTGGGGACGCCTAAACAAGGTATTCGATTCGCGGTATAATGTTTCGGTAACCGAAGACCAACCAGCACCTGTACCATACTCAACATCGTCACCGGTAGTCCTTGAGGTTACCCAGCCGCCGCCCATGTACGTTCGGCACCAAGGAATCAAGTGGGAGGGACCGGATAGCAGAGGTTTCGGAAAACGATATAACGAGACATTTGACTACGATGAGGCACCCGTAACTACTGTTGCGCCTCCGCTTCCGCCCAAACGGATGGAAACGGAAAGGTCATACCGGTTAGGAGGTGGATGGGAGCGCCAACCGGATGCAGCCTTTGATTCCAGATACAATATTTCGGTAACCGATGATGGATTGGAAATGGCACCATCCACAATGCCGGCAACTGCCACGCCTAAAATCACACATCCGCCAATGTACGTGCAACACCAGGGAATAAAGTGGGAACGGCCAGACAATTCCCGCGTGTTCCAAAGCCGGTACAATGCGACCATACCGGTGCACCACGAAGAAGGCACTGCCCGAACTGACCAGACCGTGGGAGCACGAAAAGCCACGAGTGAACGCGTGATTGATTCCGAATGGCAAAAGACACGGGTGTTTGATGTACGGTACAACGAAACGCATCCATTAGATGAACAACATCCGGAGAAACCCGAACCAGTGCAGCAAAAGGTCAACGCAGTGTTTGGACCAGTACGCTACGATCACATGCTACACGAAACGGACCATCATGAAATTGTGCCCAATGACCTCGCCATGTCGCGTGTTAACAAAACCGACCAAGTTGTTGTTGTGCCTCCACCGGAGCAGACCGTCCCCGATATGACGCAGCTACCCGTGGCCTCAGAACCAACACCACAAGCACCGGTAATTCCCCTTTTGGGAACCCAGCGCAGAGGTTCTCTGTGGGAGCGGCCAGATGGCGTGCGACCGTTTAAGGACCGGTTCAATCTGACGAAACCGGCAAAGTATAGGTCGCCTGGAATTATTCTACCGCTGTATGACCGAACACGCCCGGTTGTGCCTACTCTGTGGAGCGTTGGATCGCGATTTAATTCCAGCGTGGATCCGATGCTGCCGGCTTCTCCAATACGACGAATTATCAATACTGATGCTGGTAGGTGACAGAGATCTAGATGGATTTGTTATCGGTGTGCACGCACTGTCAATAAATTATTATGTACGCTAACGCCCTTTATAAAGTGATGACTGAAGTACATTTCATTCAATATCTTTCCATAATACTTGTACATGGTCTATACAGACATATATACATATATACGGTATCTAGAATACTTCTATACATATACATATGCGCAAGCATTTTAAAATTATATTTTGTGTAATTAAATGAGTGCAAGATCAACAAATACTTTTTCTCGCAGATATTGTTTTGCAACACAATGTTTTGTTAATAAAGATGCCGAAGTACCGGACTGGCAGCGGAAACTAGTTTTCATCAATGCGTCACTTCCATACGGTTCCGGACGTCCTCACCAGATTCCACAGCCCCTTGCACCGTTGATTATGCAACCGCAAACAAATGCATCACGGGAGAAACCGTGTGTAAACGCAACCACGAATTCCAAGGGACCTAAAAAATACGTCGAAGGCACGCCGTTCGTATATAACTGCGACCTTCCGGTGATTTATATGTAAAATATGTTTGTTTAGGTGTGGTTGGGAGAAATCCTAATTCATACACAATTAACCGCGATGCCAAGCTGGAGGAACTTTTCGATGAAAGTCTGGAGGAAGTGATATTATCGATGGTCACGCGTGTGACCGAGCCTTCCAGGCTCCCATTTCCTCCGCCATCTCCTTCTGATGCGATGGTCCCCGTACAGCAAGGAAATGTGCATCCAACCAACTATGTAAAAAAAATATTTATATTACAATGCCTGGTGCGTTTATAAAATTCGGCTTCTTACAGGCACCAAATCTGCCAGCAATTATTAATCACAGCATCGTCGCTCCTCCCCGTCCGTTTGATTTGCCTCCTACAATGGCGCCCGAAACATACTCGACGAACGCCATGCAGCTGTATTATCTCCCCACCAAACTTCACGTTCCTTATCCAACCGAAATACAGCAGCAGAACTCCAGCCGACTGATTCAGTAATTTGTTGTTTTAACCTTCATCCGGAATGTTAAATAACTTATGGTAAATTTTCAGAGAGCGTCTCCAGTTCAGTTCAGGAACAGTAAATCAAGGCGTTCCGCAATACGCCAGTGAGTTCCGTATTTTCAATGTATCTATATGGTACACTCAGGGTAACAGAATTATAACTCTTGGATTCAATTCAGCTACTAAAACACCGAAGCGGCCAACAAAAGGTTTTAAGACAGGAGTGAAGCATGTTCCGCCATTCCGACGCGGTCAGGTCAATATCAGCGCAATGGATCCTAATAAACCACGCAAAAAATTTGCAACCAATTCCTCGCTGGTACGACCCGTCCCAGGAAGAGCCCGTCAGCCGGCGAAAGCGAATTCCATTTCATACGATCCCAACAATGCTTTAGCTACAAGGTAGCGTGAACCTGGCAATAAAATTTAACTTCTATTCTGTTAAACAAGGTAAACACTTCGTAAATGCAACACTAAAAGAGTGTGGTACTGGTGACCTTTGTTGATAGCTGCTACAATTCCTTAGAAATCGCAATTAAGCGTTGCATATTTTACAGGAAACGCAGTAAAGGCTTTAAGGTCACCAGACGCCCAACGACGCTTGACACGCTCGGCTTCACGATGCCACCGTACAGTCCACCTCCGGTAATCGACACCCGACCGGTGATCCACATGCCCAATACCAGCTGGAATATGCAGTATGGGAATTATAACATCGCAGTGCCTGCCGTGCAGTACGCACCCAACATCGGGATACCGTAAGTCATTTCTTCACGCACTAAAAACTTTCATCCCAAATCGAAGCTTGCAGAATTCATACGGATATCAAACGAATGAATGTGATTAAAAGAAATTTTATTGTTTGTTAAACTGTTGTTTGTGGTCTTGATGTCTGTGAATTTTAACCTGATATCTTTATTACCAGACCGCAGCCGTATATGCCACCTTCCCAGCCATATTATCCCGCCAATCAAAGCGGAGCTATTCGGGCGTCCAACAAAACCGAGTGTTGCCAGAATATCACAGCGGATTCCGGCCAAATGCTGGACATTTATGTGAACAAGAGTACCGATCTCAGCGCCTTGGACAACATTCGGATCAATATGAGCGCTGCGCAACGGAACGCCTCCGTGACCGGGTATTCCGTTAAACTGCAGCTGGTACGGGCTCCTCTTGTCTCTCTAGCCAGCATCTGTAACGCCCCGATGGTCGTCGAGCCGCAAGGAATTATTAAGGAGGTGGACTGCAGTCAGCAGGACATCAGCGATGTCGCCATGGCTGTTCATGTCCGAGCGGGAAGCGGGTCGTTCCATTTCGAGATCATCAACAAAACCGAAGCGTACGTATCCCTGGCATTCGTAAAATCGTTGTTTAGTTTTCTTTGACACGCATATAGGTGCACAGCCATCAAACTGCGCTGGCGCATGGGGTACACGCTTAACGGAACTAATAAGTTTTGTTATTCCATTAGAACGGATGGCAACAAGTTCATCATTGACGAAACCAATGGCTTCCTGTACCCCTTCGTGCCCTTCAGTGAAAAAGCCCCGGCGGACAGTCGAACGCTACTTGGAATCGGTCACGCTTACGATGTACTGGTGCAGGTGACGGATACCATTTGTGACCTTTCCGATCATGCCTACGTATCCGTTATGTTTGTTTGTCAACGGGACATCACGACATTGCGCACCCGCCGACCAAGATCTTACCGCAGTAAACAAAATTGATAAAACGCTGTGAATGCTTGGATACTGTATGATGATTCTGTTGTTGGTATTGTGCAATTATTAAAACCATGCTTGAGCCTTTGTATCTGTAAAGTGAAATAAGCTACTGACAGCCAAACTTTATATTTATTGCTGTTTAATGTGGAACTCCGTATTTTAATGGGTTGTACAATGACTCTGCTTTCCGTTCTGCATATTTAAGAAAGGACAGAATAAAATTAAGGAAATCCGCGATAACTGTTAAGCGCAGCATTATTGCTTCGACGGAATATGAAACAACGAAACTGATCAGGCTTAAGAACCTGCTGCCAGCTGGACAATTGCGTGACTATAATATTCTCGTACATTTTGCGCAGTAAACTACCGCAGGCTTAGCGAAATACTGAATTATGGTTAACGTGTGTCGTCAAGTGACGAAGAGTTGATCTCGATAATGAATGAAAATCTTAACATCTCCTAACTGTCAAGTTCATTCATACTCCAGATGTCGCAATTTGCTAGCGCAACTCATGTAGGGATCGTGTGTATCGACGTATTCACACTTATAATCTGTATATTATAAGAAAAAAAAATTTTGAACTTTGTGTTAGACATCTCCACAACTTTCCAGCACAAAAATGCTGCCAAAACTTCCTTAATTAAGAACATCCGGCTGTGGGGAACTACAACACTGGCTGTTTGCGCGCCACCTACAGTAGTTCACCTTTCTAACGAAAACCATTATTTTTTAACGATACGATAATTTTGGCATTGAAGATTGTACTAACTAGACGTCAGAATCTGAGAATTGGTATTTTAATATTATTGGCTTTTCGAAACTGAACAAGGCACAAAAATTGGAATGCATTAACTCTACCAAAATGACTACCACCTCGTAGACGATTAATCTACTCGTACACGGCGCTTGTACGACATACTTATCCCACCGGCATTCCATTTTTTTACCGCATCACGACTGTTCGAACAAAAACACAAACACATGCCATGGGAAAGCGATCAGTGGGTGAAGCTGTACAGATAGACAGTGTGGTATATATTGTAAATCATCAAGAGGTTATTGAAACGCCAACGTACTCTTGGTATTCAGTGATCCACCTACATCACGTTTATCCAAAAACCGAATACTTGTAGCTGGATTTCAGTGTAAAAGTGTTCTCTTATGCGCCTATACATATCAAATTAGCCTTTGTCAATAAATTAATTGTCTTTGTCAATCAATTTTATTGATTTTCAGTGCAATTTTTGCTCATTTTATGCTGTTCTATTTTTATTATTTTTGCTATTTCGTTTGGCTGTCTTTGCTGTGCGCAAAATATAAAGTCGCGTTCACAAAATGAAGGAAAGGTGGATTACAACCAGCGGTGAGCGTTATATGTTTTGGTATGCCAGCTTACTAATCGTATGCCTATCTGCACACGCCGGAGCGGGAAATGCAGGTAATGTTCCTGTTTCTTGTGCTACATGCATGATTGCGAAGTGTTTTATACCGGTTAATTCAGTTTGCGCATTGAATACGACGTATTGTAGATTCATAAAATTGTAATGTCGGTACCGTGCACAGAAGTAATCAAACGCTAATAAGCAACTACAGGCATACCTGTTCCTTTTCCTTTTTTTTGGATAGCGGATTTTTGCGTGGATGGTGGACGCAATTGTTCACCCAATGCCACATCAGTTGCCTTGACATGGACCAACGAAAGCGTCTCGTATGACACTGGAACATTCGACAAAGAGGAATTCCTTCCGGTCATCGGCGGGCGGGGCAAAAGGCAAGCAGCGGTAAGCCAAGAATCGTATCACTGACTATTTTAAGGTTTTCGCTTCTAGCGTAAATGGAAAAGTGCCGCACATTTTGAACCAGACCAAAGACGAAGAAATGGATGGTTCAGGTGAAGGTAAAGCTTCTTATCGTAGCATGCGGATATCTTTTCACCCAACTTATTACACATTAATACAATAAATCAGGAAAAGATTGTTAATCAATTTAAACAGACCCAACCGATTTTCTCTCGCATTTTTCCACTGAGAATTCAACTGTTGTTGCGAATAATGCCACTAACCAGCCAGAAGAGAAAGTGCTGCACCTTTCGGAAATAACCAGCACGCCGGCAGGCGTTTTTGCATGGACGCTGCCTGTTGTAGCGGAGCTGTACTCGGATGCATGGACACTGCCGTCAATTTCGATAAAAACGCCGGTTACGACAGCTCCAACCGAAACGTCCACTTTGTCCTCGACGGTACCATCTGTCACAGAAGAAGCAGAAACAACGCAACCGCTAGAGCATGGCACAGGTACCGTGCCGCTAATTTCTCTTTGTGTAACTGCATCACTGCCGGATTCCAGATCTCGATCACAAAGACCACGAAATTGTCCACATTGACCAGCTCAGCGGACTGTCCACGTCTTATTGCTCAGAATTTGTCAAGTTGCCCGCCCAGTCTGACGGTCATTGGCTGCGCAAACGCCCGAACAAATATTCTGAATCCGAAGAAAAAGATGTGTGGTATGAATTCTAACTTCGTTTGCCACATTATTATAGTATTATCGCATGCATAATCTCTGCTAGACAGTAGACACATACTAGATGTGTAATAATTTAATCGTTTTGAGGAAGAGTTTGTTACACGTTTAAATAAAGTCCTTATGATGTGAGATAAGAGACCTCGTAGCGGTTTCTGTCAGTCAGCCAGCGATCTATGGACTTCTCCACAAGTTTCTGTTGTACTCGTACTTTCAGGGTACTGTTGGAGTGCTCCGGGGAAACCGGCTCTGAGGGAACTCGAACGGATTACGGATTTCATGCTCGCCACGTTGAATGTGATCCCGACAAATCGATCTTTGTGCAGCGCGACAGTGATTCGAAGTCCTTTGCATCTACCAGTGGAAAAGTTAAAAGCCTGAAGGTATAAGCAGACCGCTACTATGAGATAGTACTATACTACTATGAGATTTCGTAGATCTGTTAGTAGTAGTAGATTATGAGATACTGTTATGAGATTTTGTGGATCTATCTGTCTGCATCGAGAAGTTCATTCTCTTCAGAGTTTCGTCGTGCATCGGCACGCCTACGTGATCGCCATTCTAGCGGACAGACGAAGCCATCTGTACGAGATCCGCTCCGGTATTCACTCTGATTCCCCGCTGCACGTGGTGAAAATCCAAGACATTCCGCATCGGTACATCAGTGATGTCGACGTCGTGACCATGTCAGCGGGAAATACGTTCGTTGCCTTCTCGATTTTCCATCCGCATACGCACGACAAATCTAAAACAGCCGAGAAAATCTCGCCAATATACCGCTTTGTTAACGGCCGCTTGTTGTTATGTGATTATGTTCCGGTCACCGGTGCTGTGGCTGTCCGCGGATGGGAAGACCATCATGGACTCCTGTCACTTGTGTTTGCATCCGAACCATCGACTAAATCCAAAGCATCCATTCTGTCCTTTTTCGAAGTGCTGAGCGATGATGAACGTTTATGCCGGGTGTTGCCACGGTCAAATGGGAACATTATTTCCAGCGTTGGACAACTGCCACTATGCGGTAAACTTTTCTCATCAATCGCTTTATATTGGTGCACACATTGACAACTAAAGGTCATCTTGTAGGGGTGCAATCACTAGAGCTGATGCTGTCGGATCAACGTCGTTATTTGATTGTTGGTAGTGGTCGACACCTCCGCTGTAACGGCACCTATGGCCGATCCTTTATTCTGCCCGAGAATTACGACTTCCGTTCTGAAAAGGTCGCCTTTGAAACTCAGAATGCGGCAGAAATCCCTTCGAAAGAAAATGTAAGGAGATTATTGCAGTTGCATCACTTTGTCCTTAGTTGAAGGTATAAGGTGGCCTTCTTCATTTTCAGCACGACAAATTCCGAGTCGTTGAGCAGGAATGTGGAACAATCCTGGTCGGTTACGGTCAAACAACGGAAACAGAGCTCTTCACCGTAGCAGACACTCTTCATGGGTTAATGATTCAAAAGCTGGACAGCTTTAATAATGTCAAACGAAGCGCGGGAATGGCGTTAGGAGTTTGTGGGAGCCAACCCTTTCTTAACCTTGATGGAATTGACCCGCCAGGTAAAAGCCCACTCAAAGATTTGTAGTTTCCCTATAATTTGTCTTGTCAGAAAATGCATAACTATTCAATAAGTTTTCAATTTTCATTGCAGATTTGGATGAAACATCAGTGTCCTTAACGATGAGGTGCAAGAAAATACCCAGAGGAGGCTGGGGCGTTGAATAAACGCTATTTATCTGTGATGATGAAGCTGTACTGTCTACTGTAAACACAAAGACAGAATGTTTACTTCAACGACTGCTAACATTTGGGCTTTATAGCTTTACCCACTGCTACGCAGTACGACACAAACTACGACGTAAACTGATCCCCTGTCAGTTTTATGTTTGTATAATATTCGAGTATGATAACGTTCTGAGGTCACGCGCTTTATGGAGTGTCGGTTTAAAATTTTAGCTTGAAATTCTGATGCTATAGCTTTGAAATAAATACTACTGATGCAACCCGATTTCTGATGTGTTGTGAATTCCAAAACAAATTTCGGATGGAAAAATTACGCAAGGTGTTACACGACTTATAAAGTGCCAGTACAAGTAAATTACAGTACTGCGCATACGTACAGTACAAGTATCTTGCCATCTTGTTATATCAACCTTGTGTTTCAGTGATAGGAAAGTATTGCATCTATTGTCAGGTATGGCACCCTTCCAGCTGGCAAAACAAATAAATAAGCATACTACGAGTACACGTACATTCGTAAAAAACAATCGAATAAATTGGAAGACAAGAGAAGACATTCGATAAATGTAATAAAGAAATATTATTTTTTCTCAAGTATGTATTATGTTTTCCTCTTTGTATGCTTTTTGCTAATGCCTAACGCGCGTAAAAAAGGCGTTAGGTGCGCGAGCTGGGCTTTAATAAACCGAAAACGTTTCCGAGGTTGAATCTACTGCATATTTGGGCACTGATATAATTATATGAGCACGAAGTGCAAATCACGGGTGACAAAATTTAAAATGTTTGTTTTAAAAACGATGTAAACCATCTGTTCAGCACGCGGTTACAATATCTAAATACCGTATCTGTTAGATCATCATGATCAACAGAAACAATAAACAGTAAACACAACAACTCACGCTTAAGACCTGTTCAGTCGGAATCCTTGTGCTCTTAAGCTACGGGTAGCTTGTTCGAAAAATGCAAACTGCCATCTCGTAATGTTGACGATCCTTGGGAACTCCGTTTCGGAATCTGCAAAACTGGGGCACTTGTTCGATCGGCTATATGCAACATCGTAATAATCACTCATATTACGCGTTGTATATGTTTCAAACTGTATTGCGCGTAATTTTGCACTAGTTTTTTTGGTACCAAAGCAAAAGGAAAAGTAAAACACAGTATGCCATTACCGGCAACTTATTTTATGCAGCTTTGAGATAGCTTTACGTTGTGTGATTAATAATTAAATCACCAAAAAGAAATTGCTGACTTTCTGCTTTTGACAAACCAGTAACAATGTCCGTTTTACGGAATCTCCATCGGATTTACGGCGGAAACTTTTCGATTGTTTTGGTGAGTGAAACATTAGTACAAGTACTTTTGTTTTATTGCATTGCATGCCTGATGGTACATGTGTAGCATAATTATACTCTTTTAACTGCCAGTGGTATACTCGTGACCTTTTAAACTGGAAAAGCGTTTAATAAAGTTTTTCTTTGTTAAGGGACAGTAACAATTGTCTCAGGTGTCTTTAATTCAAATCTACACGAAATATTTGTATTAATTTTTCCCATTCATAAGGGCTATAGTGGCTGCTGCACGAATATTTTGCTACCATTTCTCAACTTTTTACCCTTTCTTGCTTCGCATTCCCGTTTTCCAATCACGTCTTTATAGTTATGGACGAAAATTACTAATTTGACTTCTGCCAAAATGATTGCGAGCCTAAGCCTTCGATAATTAACAGTTTATTCACGTATTTATCAGCGGGTCATTAATATACGTATAATTTATTGCAGTTTGTTGTTATGCTGTCCTGGACCATAATGGCGCACCCGGTATCGTACGACTCTTTCCGGGCTGACGAAGATCCGTCCTTGGAAAGAACTCTGTTGCGCGTTGTCCGACAATTCCAACCCGGGATCCGTTATGACGATAGTTTAGATACGCCTTCTAGAGTACACCAATACCCAGATCCACCGGTAAGGCGTGAATCTTCTGTTGCTTTGACGAGCTTCCGTGTGCCAGCTATCGATTCTTTCTGGCAGTTTCCCAATCGTGTCCCACCCGACAGCCGAAACTATCGCCAGTCGAATTCGATGCGACGTCCGGCAAATAACAATCTTGAATCGAGACCATTGCCACAGAATCAGATCTTTCGCAACAGGACGCTTACCGGCGAGCGGCTACGGACAGGAACCGCTCCGGTTGATTTACCATTCAGGCGTTACTATAATGAAACGGAATATGCACCAGGTATGCCTGTAGTTCCAAATCGGTAAATTTACTCCTAACAGACAACGGCAACATAACGCTTTTCCTTATAGAACCTTGGAAGCAAATCATTAGTGCCCAGATAGGTCCGCAGGGAGGTGCTCTTTCAGCGGTCAGCCAACGACAAATTCTGCCAGAAAGCTCACAATCGAACGGATACTCCCAACGAGCGCAGTATGCAATTAAAAACAGGTATGAACGAAATACAATGCAGGTCGGAGCTTAATAAATAAGTATCGATCCAAGCGAGAAATTTCTCCACAGTGCGATAGAGACCCGTGTTATATTATTCCGCCTGATGAGTACGTGATTTTGTTCCAGTACATCGGCAAAACAGAGACCCTCTGTCAACAGATGGAAATCGCCATTTTTGCCAGATGCCAATCAGGCAGTCCAGAATGAGCGCGAACAGACCCAGTTTGCAATAAAGAAGACCCAAATCCAAGCGCAAACGGAAAGAAAACGCATACCGCCCTCAGATCTGGCTGGAAGGACGAGCCAGCACAAACCGTATTCGCTTTCTCGGGCTCAGGTGGTCCCACCAGTAAGAATAGTGCCCCTAACGGAATCACTGACCCAGTCACCTCCCACTCCTAAAAAATTTGCTGCCAAAAAGAAAAAGCCAAGCAAGGGTGCGCCGTTTCCAATACGCAGAAAGCCGAAAAAGACTGCAAAAGTTTCTGCAGCAGCTGCGGTCCCGGCAATTAACACTAACGTATTGCCTCGAACACCCTCAGAGGAAGAAACACCCTTTATGCTATTGATCGAGCTGGAACCCGACAATGTTACCATGCCAACCAACCAAGAGGAAACACCTGCAGCGTTTAAAAACGATATTCTGATAGGTGTTGAAGACATTAAGCCCAAAAACGGAGCAGGAAACGCATCATTAAGCGTGGTTGGCACAACTGATGCAACAACGACACCTCCAGGAAAGGATCAAACGACAACCGTAGCAGAAGCCCGTAATGCATTTGACAATCAAGCTTACGGCGCTCAAACTGATGGTCAGCCAAAACAAATAACTGTCGCGGTTACTGAGGCATCCGTGTCGGAAACGATTCAGCCAGAAGCGGTGTCTGAGGCACCGACCGACGCATCTACGGCTGTGACAACCAATGCAGCAACAGAATCCGGAAGTAGCACGGACGCTGCAAAGGGTGACTTTGCCACAGATGCGACAACCGACGTTGTGACCAGTACTGATGCCGCACCAGATACAACTCCAGCATCGACCGCTAAGGAAGTAGTGACAGATGCGCCTTCTGCAGTGTCGTACGACCCAGTGACCACCAGCGACGCCGTGACCACCAGCGATGCCCAACCAGGTACAACTGCAACATCGACCATCAAGGACGCAGTAACAGCTGCGCCTTCTGCAGTATCAACCGACACCGTGACCAGCACCGATGCTGCGCCAGATAAAACTGCAACAGCAACGGTTACCGACGCACCGGCAGATACGTCAATGGCAGCTCCTGCAAACACAGCTGTGGATATTAAAAGCACAACAGCCGCTTCCGCTGACCTTGTCACCGCAGCAACGACAGATGCCGGAACAGACACAACTTCAAATGCGGCCATAACGGACGCAGCAACAGATGCATCGTCAACCGACACAGTCACCAGCACCGATGACGCACTAGGTACAACTGCAGAAGCGACGGTTACCGACGCAGTGACCGAAGCGCCGTCTGCAGTGTCAACCGACGTCGTGACTACGAGCGATGCCGGACCAGATACGATTGCAGTGTCGACCATCGCGAACGCAGTGACAGATGCGCCTGCTGAACTGTCCACCGACGCGCTGACCAGTACCGACGCCGCACCAGACACAACTGCAGGATCGACCATCACGAACGCAGTGACAGATGACTCTTTTGCAGTTTCCACCGACGCACCGATCAGTACCGACGCCGCACTAGACACAACGACGGCATCGACCAACACAGACGCGGTGACAGATGCGCCTTCTGCAGTGTCAGCCGATGCTGTGGTCAGTACCGATGCTGCGCCTGACACAACTGAAGCCGCAACCATCACAGACCCAGTGACAGATGCGCCTTCTGCAGTGTCCACCGACTCACAGACCAGTACCGATGCTGCAATTGATACAACTGCAGCACCGACCAACACGGACGCAGTGACAGATGTCAATTCTGCAGTTTTTACCGACGCGCCGACCAGTACCGATTCCGCACCAGACACAACTGCAGTATCAACCGATGCCGTGATCAGTACCGATGCTGCGCCTGACACAACTGAAGCCGCAACCATCACAGACGCAGTGACAGATGCGCCTTCTGCAGTGTCAGCCGATGCTGTGGTCAGTACCGATGCTGCGCCTGACACAACTGAAGCCGCAACCATCACAGACCCAGTGACAGATGCGCCTTCTGCAGTGTCAACCGACGCGCCGACAAGTACCGATGCTGCAATTAATACAACTGCAGCATCGACCAACACGGACGCAGTGACAGATGCCAATTCTGCAGTTTCTACCGACGCGCCGACCAGTACCGATTCCGCAAAAGACACAACTGCAGCATCGACCAACACGGACGCGGTGACAGATGCGCCATCTGCTGTGTCAACCGATGCTGTGATCAGTACCGATGCTGCGCCGGATACAACTGAAGCCGCAACCATCACGGACGCAGTGACAGATGCGCCTTCTGCAGTGTCCACCGACGAGCTGACCAGTACCGACGCCGCACCTCACACAACCGCAGCATCGATTCTACCGGAAGCAGTAACAGATGCCTCTTCTGCAGTTTCCACCGACGTGCCGATCAGTGCCGTTGCTGTAATTGATACAACTGCAGCAGCGACCATGTCGACCGCAGCGCCGGACGCATCGCCAGCCGGCACAGTGACCAGCACCGATGCTGTACCAGATGCAACGGCAGCAGCAACGGTTACCGACGTGGCAACAGATACGTCAACGGCAGCTGCTGCAGACACAGCTGCGCATACTGAAAGCACAACAGTCGCCCTCGTTGACCGTTCGACCGTAGCAACGACAAATGCCAGACCAGACACAACTGCAGCATCGACCACCACGGACGCAGTGTCAGATGCGCCTTCTGCAGTGTGGACCGACGCGCTGACCAGAACCGACGCCGCACCAGACACAACCGCAGCATCGATTCTACCGGATGCAGTGACAGATACGCCTTCTGCAGTGTCAGCCGATGCTGTGGTCAGTACCGATGCTGCAATTGATACAACTGCAGCATCGACCATCACGGACGCAGTGACAGATCCCAATTCTGCAGTTTCTATCGACGCGCTGACTAGTACCGACGCCACACCAGACACAACTGCAGCATCGACCATCACAGACGCAGTGGCAGATGGAAATTTTGACACTTCTACCCGCGCGCCGACCAGTACCGACGCCGCACCAAACACAACTCCAGCATCGACCAACGCGGACGCAGTGTCATATGCGCCTTCTGCAGTGTCCACCGACGCGCCGACAAGTACCGGTGCCGCACCAGATACAACTGAAGCCGCAGCCATTAAAGACGCAGTGACGGATGCGTCTTCTGCAGTGTCCACCGACGCGCTGACTAGTACCGACGCCGCACCAGACACAACTGCAGCATCGACCAACACGGACGCGGTAACAGATGCGCCTTCTGCAGTGTCCACCGACCCGCTGGGTAGTACCGACGCCGCACCAGACAGAACCGCAGCATCGATTCTACCGGATGCAGTGACAGATACGCCTTCTGCAGTGTCAGCGGATGCTGTGGTCAATACCGATGCTGCGCCTGACACAACTGAAGCCGCAACCATCACAGACGCAGTGACAGATGCGCTTTCTGCAGTGTCCACCGACGCGCCGACCAGTACCGATGCTGCAATTGATACAACTGCAGCATCGACCATTGCGGACGCGGTGTCAGATGCGCCTTCTGCCGTGTCCACTGACGCGCCCACCAGTACCGATGCCGCACCATATACAACTGAAGCCGCAGCCATTAAAGAGGCGGTGTCAGATGCGCCTTCTGCAGTGTCCACCGACGCGCCGACCAGTACCGATGCCGCACCAGATACAACTGAACCCGCAGCCATTAAATACGCAGTGACGGATGCGCCTTCTGCAGTGTCCACCGACGCACAGTCCAGTACCGATGCTGTAATTGACACAACTGCAGCATCGACCATCACGGACGTAGTGTCAGATGCGCCTTCTCCAGTGTCCACCGACGCGCCGACCAGTACCGACGCCGCACTAGACACAACAGCAGCATTGACCATCACGGACGCAGTGACAGATGCTACTTCTGCAGTGTCAACCGATGCTGTGATCAGTACCGATGCTGCGCTGGATACAACCGAAGCCGCAGCCATCACGAACGCAGTGACAGATGCCAATTCTGCAGTTTCTACCGACGCGCCGAACAGTACCGACGCTGCAACAGACACAACTGCAGCATCGACCATTGCGGACGCGGTAACAGATGCTCCTTCTGCAATGTCCACCGACGCGCCGACCAGTACCGACGCCGCACTAGACACAACTGCAGCATCGAACATCACGGACGCAGTGACAGATGCGCCTTCTGCAGTGTCAACCGATGCTGTGGTCAGTACCGATACAGCGCCTGATACAACTGAAGCCGCAACCATCACGGACGCAGTGACAGATGCGCCTTCTGCCATGTCCACCGACGATCTGACCAGTACCGATGCTGCAATTGTTACAACTGCAGCATCGACCAGCACGGACGCGGTGACAGATGCGCCTTCTGCAATGTCCACCGACGCACAGACCAGTACCGACGCCTTACCAGACACAACAGCAGAATTGACCATCACGGACGCAGTGACAGAAGCTCCTTCTGCAGTGTCAACCGATGCTGTGATCAGTACCGATGCTGCGCTGGATACAACCGAAGCCGCAGCCATCACGAACGCAGTGACAGATGCCAATTCTGCAGTTTCTACCGACGCGCCGAACAGTACCGACGCTGCAACAGACACAACTGCAGCATCGACCATTGCGGACGCGGTAACAGATGCTCCTTCTGCAATGTCCACCGACGCGCCCACCAGTACCGACGCCGCACTAGACACAACTGCAGCATCGACCATCACGGACGCAGTGACAGATGCTACTTCTGCAGTGTCAACCGATGCTGTGATCAGTACCGATGCTGCGCTGGATACAACCGAAGCCGCAGCCATCACGAACGCAGTGACAGATGCTCCTTCTGTAGTCTCAACCGATGCTGTGATGCTACCGAGAGATGCCAACTCTGCAGTTTCCACCGACGCGCCGATCAATACCGACGCCGCACCAGACACAACCGCAGCATCGGCCACCACGGACGCGGTGTCAGATGCTACTTCTGCAGTGTCAACCGATGCTGTGATCAGTACCGATGCTGGGCTGGATACAACCGAAGCCGCAGCCATCACGAACGCAGTGACAGATGCCAATTCTGCAGTTTCTACCGACGCGCCGAACAGTACCGACGCTGCAACAGACACAACTGCAGCATCGACCATTGCGGACGCGGTAACAGATGCTCCTTCTGCAATGTCCACCGACGCGCCGACCAGTACCGACGCCGCACTAGACACAACTGCAGCATCGACCATTGCGGACGCGGTAACAGATGCTCCTTCTGCAATGTCCACCGAAGCGCCGACCAGTACCAACGCCGCACCAGACACGACCGCAGCATCGATTCTACCGGATGCAGTGACAGATGCGGCTTCTGCAGTGTCAACCGATGCTGTGGTCAGTACCGATACAGCGCCGGATACAACTGAAGCCGCAACCATCACGGACGCAGTGACAGATGCGCCTTCTGCCATGTCCACCGACGATCTGACCAGTACCGATGCTGCAATTGTTACAACTGCAGCATCGACCAGCACGGACGCGGTGACAGATGCGCCTTCTGCAATGTCCACCGACGCACAGACCAGTACCGACGCCTTACCAGACACAACAGCAGCATTGACCATCACGGACGCAGTGACAGAAGCTCATTCTGCAGTGTCAACCGATGCTGTGATCAGTACCGATGCTGCGCTGGATACAACCGAAGCCGCAGCCATCACAGACGCAGTGACAGATGCGCCTTCTGCAGTGTCCACCGACGCGCCGACCAGTACCGACGCCCCACCAGACACAACAGCAGCATTGACCATCACGGACGCAGTGACAGAAGCTCCTTCTGCAGTGTCAACCGATGCTGTGGTCAGTACCGATACAGCGCCGGATACAACTGAAGCCGCAACCATCACGGACGCAGTGACAGATGCGCCTTCTGCCATGTCCACCGACGATCTGACCAGTACCGATGCTGCAATCGAAACAACTGCAGCATCGACCAGCACGGACGCGGTGACAGATGCGCCTTCTGCAATGTCCACCGACGCACAGACCAGTACCGACGCCTTACCAGACACAACAGCAGAATTGACCATCACGGACGCAGTGACAGAAGCTCCTTCTGCAGTGTCAACCGATGCTGTGATCAGTACCGATGCTGCGCTGGATACAACCGAAGCCGCAGCCATCACAGACGCAGTGACAGATGCGCCTTCTGCAGTGTCCACCGACGCGCCGACCAGTACCGACGCCCCACCAGACACAACAGCAGCATTGACCATCACGGACGCAGTGACAGAAGCTCCTTCTGCAGTGTCAACCGATGCTGTGGTCAGTACCGATACTGCGCCGGATACAACTGAAGCCGCAACCATCACGGACGCAGTGACAGATGCGCCTTCTGCCATGTCCACCGACGATCTGACCAGTACCGATGCTGCACTAGACACAACAGCAGCATTGACCATCACGGACCCAGTGACAGATGCTACTTCTGCAGTGTCAACCGATGCTGTGATCAGTACCGATGCTGCGCTGGATACAACCGAAGCCGCAGCCATCACGAACGCAGTGACAGATGCCAATTCTGCAGTTTCTACCGACGCGCCGAACAGTACCGACGCTGCAACAGACACAACTGCAGCATCGACCATTGCGGACGCGGTAACAGATGCTCCTTCTGCAATGTCCACCGACGCGCCCACCAGTACCGACGCCGCACTAGACACAACTGCAGCATCGACCATCACGGACGCAGTGACAGATGCTACTTCTGCAGTGTCAACCGATGCTGTGATCAGTACCGATGCTGGGCTGGATACAACCGAAGCCGCAGCCATCACGAACGCAGTGACAGATGCCAATTCTGCAGTTTCTACCGACGCGCCGAACAGTACCGACGCTGCAACAGACACAACTGCAGCATCGACCATTGCGGACGCGGTAACAGATGCTCCTTCTGCAATGTCCACCGACGCGCCGACCAGTACCGACGCCGCACTAGACACAACTGCAGCATCGACCATTGCGGACGCGGTAACAGATGCTCCTTCTGCAATGTCCACCGAAGCGCCGACCAGTACCAACGCCGCACCAGACACGACCGCAGCATCGATTCTACCGGATGCAGTGACAGATGCGGCTTCTGCAGTGTCAACCGATGCTGTGGTCAGTACCGATACAGCGCCGGATACAACTGAAGCCGCAACCATCACGGACGCAGTGACAGATGCGCCTTCTGCCATGTCCACCGACGATCTGACCAGTACCGATGCTGCAATTGTTACAACTGCAGCATCGACCAGCACGGACGCGGTGACAGATGCGCCTTCTGCAATGTCCACCGACGCACAGACCAGTACCGACGCCTTACCAGACACAACAGCAGCATTGACCATCACGGACGCAGTGACAGAAGCTCATTCTGCAGTGTCAACCGATGCTGTGATCAGTACCGATGCTGCGCTGGATACAACCGAAGCCGCAGCCATCACAGACGCAGTGACAGATGCGCCTTCTGCAGTGTCCACCGACGCGCCGACCAGTACCGACGCCCCACCAGACACAACAGCAGCATTGACCATCACGGACGCAGTGACAGAAGCTCCTTCTGCAGTGTCAACCGATGCTGTGGTCAGTACCGATACAGCGCCGGATACAACTGAAGCCGCAACCATCACGGACGCAGTGACAGATGCGCCTTCTGCCATGTCCACCGACGATCTGACCAGTACCGATGCTGCAATCGAAACAACTGCAGCATCGACCAGCACGGACGCGGTGACAGATGCGCCTTCTGCAATGTCCACCGACGCACAGACCAGTACCGACGCCTTACCAGACACAACAGCAGAATTGACCATCACGGACGCAGTGACAGAAGCTCCTTCTGCAGTGTCAACCGATGCTGTGATCAGTACCGATGCTGCGCTGGATACAACCGAAGCCGCAGCCATCACAGACGCAGTGACAGATGCGCCTTCTGCAGTGTCCACCGACGCGCCGACCAGTACCGACGCCCCACCAGACACAACAGCAGCATTGACCATCACGGACGCAGTGACAGAAGCTCCTTCTGCAGTGTCAACCGATGCTGTGGTCAGTACCGATACTGCGCCGGATACAACTGAAGCCGCAACCATCACGGACGCAGTGACAGATGCGCCTTCTGCCATGTCCACCGACGATCTGACCAGTACCGATGCTGCACTAGACACAACAGCAGCATTGACCATCACGGACCCAGTGACAGATGCTACTTCTGCAGTGTCAACCGATGCTGTGATCAGTACCGATGCTGCGCTGGATACAACCGAAGCCGCAGCCATCACGAACGCAGTGACAGATGCCAATTCTGCAGTTTCTACCGACGCGCCGAACAGTACCGACGCTGCAACAGACACAACTGCAGCATCGACCATTGCGGACGCGGTAACAGATGCTCCTTCTGCAATGTCCACCGACGCGCCCACCAGTACCGACGCCGCACTAGACACAACTGCAGCATCGACCATCACGGACGCAGTGACAGATGCTACTTCTGCAGTGTCAACCGATGCTGTGATCAGTACCGATGCTGGGCTGGATACAACCGAAGCCGCAGCCATCACGAACGCAGTGACAGATGCCAATTCTGCAGTTTCTACCGACGCGCCGAACAGTACCGACGCTGCAACAGACACAACTGCAGCATCGACCATTGCGGACGCGGTAACAGATGCTCCTTCTGCAATGTCCACCGACGCGCCGACCAGTACCGACGCCGCACTAGACACAACTGCAGCATCGACCATTGCGGACGCGGTAACAGATGCTCCTTCTGCAATGTCCACCGAAGCGCCGACCAGTACCAACGCCGCACCAGACACGACCGCAGCATCGATTCTACCGGATGCAGTGACAGATGCGGCTTCTGCAGTGTCAACCGATGCTGTGGTCAGTACCGATACAGCGCCGGATACAACTGAAGCCGCAACCATCACGGACGCAGTGACAGATGCGCCTTCTGCCATGTCCACCGACGATCTGACCAGTACCGATGCTGCAATTGTTACAACTGCAGCATCGACCAGCACGGACGCGGTGACAGATGCGCCTTCTGCAATGTCCACCGACGCACAGACCAGTACCGACGCCTTACCAGACACAACAGCAGCATTGACCATCACGGACGCAGTGACAGAAGCTCATTCTGCAGTGTCAACCGATGCTGTGATCAGTACCGATGCTGCGCTGGATACAACCGAAGCCGCAGCCATCACAGACGCAGTGACAGATGCGCCTTCTGCAGTGTCCACCGACGCGCCGACCAGTACCGACGCCCCACCAGACACAACAGCAGCATTGACCATCACGGACGCAGTGACAGAAGCTCCTTCTGCAGTGTCAACCGATGCTGTGGTCAGTACCGATACAGCGCCGGATACAACTGAAGCCGCAACCATCACGGACGCAGTGACAGATGCGCCTTCTGCCATGTCCACCGACGATCTGACCAGTACCGATGCTGCAATTGTTACAACTGCAGCATCGACCAGCACGGACGCGGTGACAGATGCGCCTTCTGCAATGTCCACCGACGCACAGACCAGTACCGACGCCTTACCAGACACAACAGCAGAATTGACCATCACGGACGCAGTGACAGAAGCTACTTCTGCAGTGTCAACCGATGCTGTGATCAGTACCGATGCTGCGCTGGATACAACCGAAGCCGCAGCCATCACGAACGCAGTGACAGATGCCAATTCTGCAGTTTCTACCGACGCGCCGAACAGTACCGACGCTGCAACAGACACAACTGCAGCATCGACCATTGCGGACGCGGTAACAGATGCTCCTTCTGCAATGTCCACCGACGCGCCCACCAGTACCGACGCCGCACTAGACACAACTGCAGCATCGACCATCACGGACGCAGTGACAGATGCTACTTCTGCAGTGTCAACCGATGCTGTGATCAGTACCGATGCTGGGCTGGATACAACCGAAGCCGCAGCCATCACGAACGCAGTGACAGATGCCAATTCTGCAGTTTCTACCGACGCGCCGAACAGTACCGACGCTGCAACAGACACAACTGCAGCATCGACCATTGCGGACGCGGTAACAGATGCTCCTTCTGCAATGTCCACCGACGCGCCGACCAGTACCGACGCCGCACTAGACACAACTGCAGCATCGACCATTGCGGACGCGGTAACAGATGCTCCTTCTGCAATGTCCACCGAAGCGCCGACCAGTACCAACGCCGCACCAGACACGACCGCAGCATCGATTCTACCGGATGCAGTGACAGATGCGGCTTCTGCAGTGTCAACCGATGCTGTGGTCAGTACCGATACAGCGCCGGATACAACTGAAGCCGCAACCATCACGGACGCAGTGACAGATGCGCCTTCTGCCATGTCCACCGACGATCTGACCAGTACCGATGCTGCAATTGTTACAACTGCAGCATCGACCAGCACGGACGCGGTGACAGATGCGCCTTCTGCAATGTCCACCGACGCACAGACCAGTACCGACGCCTTACCAGACACAACAGCAGCATTGACCATCACGGACGCAGTGACAGAAGCTCATTCTGCAGTGTCAACCGATGCTGTGATCAGTACCGATGCTGCGCTGGATACAACCGAAGCCGCAGCCATCACAGACGCAGTGACAGATGCGCCTTCTGCAGTGTCCACCGACGCGCCGACCAGTACCGACGCCCCACCAGACACAACAGCAGCATTGACCATCACGGACGCAGTGACAGAAGCTCCTTCTGCAGTGTCAACCGATGCTGTGGTCAGTACCGATACAGCGCCGGATACAACTGAAGCCGCAACCATCACGGACGCAGTGACAGATGCGCCTTCTGCCATGTCCACCGACGATCTGACCAGTACCGATGCTGCAATTGTTACAACTGCAGCATCGACCAGCACGGACGCGGTGACAGATGCGCCTTCTGCAATGTCCACCGACGCACAGACCAGTACCGACGCCTTACCAGACACAACAGCAGAATTGACCATCACGGACGCAGTGACAGAAGCTCCTTCTGCAGTGTCAACCGATGCTGTGATCAGTACCGATGCTGCGCTGGATACAACCGAAGCCGCAGCCATCACAGACGCAGTGACAGATGCCAATCCTGCAGTTTCTGCCGACGCGCCGACCAGTACCGACGCCGCACCAGACACAACTGCAGCATCGACCATTGCGGACGCGGTGTCAGATGAGCCTTCTCCAGTGTCCACCGACGCGCCGACCAGTACCGACGCCGCACTAGACACAACAGCAGCATTGACCATCACGGACGCAGTGACAGATGCTACTTCTGCAGTGTCAACCGATGCTGTGATCAGTACCGATGCTGCGCTGGATACAACCGAAGCCGCAGCCATCACGAACGCAGTGACAGATGCCAATTCTGCAGTTTCTACCGACGCGCCGAACAGTACCGACGCTGCAACAGACACAACTGCAGCATCGACCATTGCGGACGCGGTAACAGATGCTCCTTCTGCAATGTCCACCGACGCGCCCACCAGTACCGACGCCGCACTAGACACAACTGCAGCATCGACCATCACGGACGCAGTGACAGATGCTACTTCTGCAGTGTCAACCGATGCTGTGATCAGTACCGATGCTGCGCTGGATACAACCGAAGCCGCAGCCATCACGAACGCAGTGACAGATGCTCCTTCTGTAGTCTCAACCGATGCTGTGATTCTACCGAGAGATGCCAACTATGCAGTTTCCACCGACGCGCCGATCAATACCGACGCCGCACCAGACACAACCGCAGCATCGGCCACCACGGACGCGGTATCAGATGCTACTTCTGCAGTGTCAACCGATGCTGTGATCAGTACCGATGCTGGGCTGGATACAACCGAAGCCGCAGCCATCACGAACGCAGTGACAGATGCCAATTCTGCAGTTTCTTCCGACGCGCCGAACAGTACCGACGCTGCAACAGACACAACTGCAGCATCGACCATTGCGGACGCGGTAACAGATGCTCCTTCTGCAATGTCCACCGACGCGCCGACCAGTACCGACGCCGCACTAGACACAACTGCAGCATCGACCATTGCGGACGCGGTAACAGATGCTCCTTCTGCAATGTCCACCGAAGCGCCGACCAGTACCAACGCCGCACCAGACACGACCGCAGCATCGATTCTACCGGATGCAGTGACAGATGCGGCTTCTGCAGTGTCAACCGATGCTGTGGTCAGTACCGATACAGCGCCGGATACAACTGAAGCCGCAACCATCACGGACGCAGTGACAGATGCGCCTTCTGCCATGTCCACCGACGATCTGACCAGTACCGATGCTGCAATTGTTACAACTGCAGCATCGACCAGCACGGACGCGGTGACAGATGCGCCTTCTGCAATGTCCACCGACGCACAGACCAGTACCGACGCCTTACCAGACACAACAGCAGCATTGACCATCACGGACGCAGTGACAGAAGCTCATTCTGCAGTGTCAACCGATGCTGTGATCAGTACCGATGCTGCGCTGGATACAACCGAAGCCGCAGCCATCACAGACGCAGTGACAGATGCGCCTTCTGCAGTGTCCACCGACGCGCCGACCAGTACCGACGCCCCACCAGACACAACAGCAGCATTGACCATCACGGACGCAGTGACAGAAGCTCCTTCTGCAGTGTCAACCGATGCTGTGGTCAGTACCGATACAGCGCCGGATACAACTGAAGCCGCAACCATCACGGACGCAGTGACAGATGCGCCTTCTGCCATGTCCACCGACGATCTGACCAGTACCGATGCTGCAATCGAAACAACTGCAGCATCGACCAGCACGGACGCGGTGACAGATGCGCCTTCTGCAATGTCCACCGACGCACAGACCAGTACCGACGCCTTACCAGACACAACAGCAGAATTGACCATCACGGACGCAGTGACAGAAGCTCCTTCTGCAGTGTCAACCGATGCTGTGATCAGTACCGATGCTGCGCTGGATACAACCGAAGCCGCAGCCATCACAGACGCAGTGACAGATGCGCCTTCTCCAGTGTCCACCGACGCGCCGACCAGTACCGACGCCGCACTAGACACAACAGCAGCATTGACCATCACGGACCCAGTGACAGATGCTACTTCTGCAGTGTCAACCGATGCTGTGATCAGTACCGATGCTGCGCTGGATACAACCGAAGCCGCAGCCATCACGAACGCAGTGACAGATGCCAATTCTGCAGTTTCTACCGACGCGCCGAACAGTACCGACGCTGCAACAGACACAACTGCAGCATCGACCATTGCGGACGCGGTAACAGATGCTCCTTCTGCAATGTCCACCGACGCGCCCACCAGTACCGACGCCGCACTAGACACAACTGCAGCATCGACCATCACGGACGCAGTGACAGATGCTACTTCTGCAGTGTCAACCGATGCTGTGATCAGTACCGATGCTGCGCTGGATACAACCGAAGCCGCAGCCATCACGAACGCAGTGACAGATGCTCCTTCTGTAGTCTCAACCGATGCTGTGATGCTACCGAGAGATGCCAACTCTGCAGTTTCCACCGACGCGCCGATCAGTACCGACGCCGCACCAGACACAACCGCAGCATCGGCCACCACGGACGCGGTGTCAGATGCTACTTCTGCAGTGTCAACCGATGCTGTGATCAGTACCGATGCTGGGCTGGATACAACCGAAGCCGCAGCCATCACGAACGCAGTGACAGATGCCAATTCTGCAGTTTCTACCGACGCGCCGAACAGTACCGACGCTGCAACAGACACAACTGCAGCATCGACCATTGCGGACGCGGTAACAGATGCTCCTTCTGCAATGTCCACCGAAGCGCCGACCAGTACCAACGCCGCACTAGACACAACTGCAGCATCGACCATTGCGGACGCGGTAACAGATGCTCCTTCTGCAATGTCCACCGACGCGCCGACCAGTACCGACGCCGCACTAGACACAACTGCAGCATCGACCATTGCGGACGCGGTAACAGATGCTCCTTCTGCAATGTCCACCGAAGCGCCGACCAGTACCAACGCCGCACCAGACACGACCGCAGCATCGATTCTACCGGATGCAGTGACAGATGCGGCTTCTGCAGTGTCAACCGATGCTGTGGTCAGTACCGATACAGCGCCGGATACAACTGAAGCCGCAACCATCACGGACGCAGTGACAGATGCGCCTTCTGCCATGTCCACCGACGATCTGACCAGTACCGATGCTGCAATTGTTACAACTGCAGCATCGACCAGCACGGACGCGGTGACAGATGAGCCTTCTGCAATGTCCACCGACGCACAGACCAGTACCGACGCCTTACCAGACACAACAGCAGCATTGACCATCACGGACGCAGTGACAGAAGCTCATTCTGCAGTGTCAACCGATGCTGTGATCAGTACCGATGCTGCGCTGGATACAACCGAAGCCGCAGCCATCACAGACGCAGTGACAGATGCGCCTTCTGCAGTGTCCACCGACGCGCCGACCAGTACCGACGCCCCACCAGACACAACAGCAGCATTGACCATCACGGACGCAGTGACAGAAGCTCCTTCTGCAGTGTCAACCGATGCTGTGGTCAGTACCGATACTGCGCCGGATACAACTGAAGCCGCAACCATCACGGACGCAGTGACAGATGCGCCTTCTGCCATGTCCACCGACGATCTGACCAGTACCGATGCTGCAATCGAAACAACTGCAGCATCGACCAACTCGGACGCAGTGACAGATGCCAATCCTGCAGTTTCTACCGACGCGCCGACCAGTACCGACGCCGCACCAGACACAACTGCAGCATCGACCAACACGGACGCGGTGACAGATGCGCCTTCTGCAGTGTCCACCGACGCACAGACCAGTACCGATGCTGTAATTGACACAACTGCAGCATCGACCATCACGGACCCAGTGACAGATGCCAATTATGCGTTTTCTACCCACGCGCCGACCAGTACCGACGCCGCACCAAACACAACTCCAGGATCGACCAACGCAGACGCGGTGTCAGATGCGCCTTCTGCAGTGTCAACCGATGCTGTGATGCAACCGAGAGATGCCAACTCTGCAGTTTCTACCGACGAGCCGAACAGTACCAACGCTGCAACAGACACAACTGCAGCATCGACCAACGCGGACGCGGTGTCAGATGCGCCTTCTGCAGTGTCCACCGACGCGCCGATCAGTACCGACGCCGCACTAGACACAACAGCAGCATTGACCATCACGGACGCAATGACAGATGCTCCTTCTGCAGTGTCAACCGATGATGTGATCAGTACCGATGCTGCGCTGGATACAATCGAAGCCGCAGCCATCACGGACGCGGTGACAGGTGCGCCTTCTGCAATGTCCACCTGTGCACAGACCAGTACCGACGCCGCAACAGACACAACAGCAGCATCGACCATCACGAACGCAGTGACAGATGCTCCTTCTGTAGTGTCAACCGATGCTGTGATGCAACCGAGAGATGCCAACTCTGCAGTTTCTACCGACGCGCCGAACAGTACCAACGCTGCAACAGACACCACTGCAGCATTGACCATTGCGGACGCGGTAACAGATGCTCCTTCTGCAATGTCCACCGACGCGCCGACCAGTACCGATGCCGCGCCGGACACAACAGCAGCATCGACCATCACGAACGCAGTGACAGATGCTCCTTCTGTAGTGTCAACCGATGCTGTGATGCAACCGAGAGATGCCAACTCTGCAGTTTCCACCGACGCGCCGATCAGTACCGACGCCGCACCAGACACAACCGCAGCATCGGCCACCACGGACGCGGTGTCAGATGCGCCTTCTGCAGTGTCCACCGACGCGCCGACCAGTACCGACGCCGCACTAGACACAACAGCAGCATTGACCATCACGGACGCAGTGACAGATGCGGCTTTTGCAGTGTCAACCGATGCTGTGGTCAGTACCGATACTGCCCCGGATACAACTGAAGCCGCAACCATCACGGACGCAGTGACAGATGCGCCTTCTGCAATGTCCGCCGACGATCTGACTAGTACCGATGCTGCAATTGTTACAACTGCAGCATCGACCAACACGGACGCGGTGACAGAAGCGCCTGCTGCAGTGTCCACTGACGCGCCGACCAGTACCGACGCCGCACCAGACACGACCGCAGCATCGATTCTACCGGATGCAGTGACAGATGCAGCTTCTGCAGTGTCAACCGATGCTGTGGTCAGTACCGATACTGCGCCGGATACAACTGAAGCCGCAACCATCACGGACGCAGTGACAGATGCGCCTTCTGCAATGTCCGCCGACGATCTGACTAGTACCGATGCTGCAATTGTTACAACTGCAGCATCGACCAACACGGACGCGGTGACAGATGCGCCTTCTGCAGTGTCCACCGACGCACAGACCAGTACCGACGATGCACCAGACACAACTGCAGCATCGACCATCATGGACGCGTTGGCAGATGCGGCTTCTGCAATGTCCAGTGACGCACAGGCCAGTACCGATGCTGCAATTGATACAACTGCAGCATCGACCATCACGGACGCAGTGACAGATACGCCTTCGGCAATGTCCACTGACGCGCCGACCAGTACCGACGCCACACCAGACACAACCGCAGCATCGACCATCAGGGGCGCTGTGACAGATGTCCATTCTACAGTGTCTATTGCTGAACCGACCAGTACTGATGCTGTGCCGGATACAACTCCTGCTGCAATCCTCGCAACAAGAGCAACAGATGTTCCTATCACCGCGTCAACCGATGCTGTGACCAGCACCGATGCTGCGCCAGATACAACTGCAACAGTAACGGTCACCGACACACCGGCAGATACGTCAACGGCAGCTCCTGTGGACACAGTTGTGGATACTGGAGGTGCGTTAGACTCTTCAACAGCGATGCCAGTTGTCACTGTAGCACCATATGCTTGGAGTGCGACTGCCGGAGCTGGTGGCCTTTCCAACGGCTCTCAAGCGGATGCAGCGTCTGATTCAACGGCAGCAATAACCGGTACCAACGCAGCGACGGCAGCCCCAAAAGACAATGCAGCAGTAGATGCCGGAAGCCCATCGGCTGCAGCTGCTGACCTCACCCCACCCGCTTCAACGGACAACTCCCCAGCCGCTTTTGGTACAAGTCCTACAACTGCAGCAGCAGCAGCTGGAACTGATGTAGCGACAGATGCGCCAGAATCTTTGTCGTCTCGTGGAAGTTCTAGAGTGTCAGCCTCTTCAAAATTTACGGATGAGCTCGAGCGCGAGCATAGTACCTGAACTCAAAGCATTCGATTATTTTGGTTGTACTGAATTGCCATTTTCTTTAGTGACTCAGCTGCGTTTAGCCGAAGATCTTTGGATTTTTACATATTGACGGCTTTTGATGGTGTACCGTGTATGAAATGGAATTAAATCTTGTTGGCCTGTAACCTTGCTGATCTCAATTCGCCAGACGTAATATAGATATGTGATGCCTCGCCTATCGAATTTATTTTAACGGCACAGTACGTACTGCACGAGATTTCTCGTGCTAGTGTTAAGGGACAAATTATTACGATGCACCAAAGAATTATTTTTGTTAACTGGAGCAGTCGTTCTGTCTTAGATCGTAAGATTAGTTACAGAATTTACGATTTCATTGCTTTGTTGTAGAATTTTAATAAGTGCACTGCAAGTTTGTAAAAGTGATAAATTCTTTGGTGCATCGTAATAATTTGTCCCTTAACACTAGCCGGGTTACTGAGGAAACTGAAAATGGTCTTGGTAAAATTCGCTATTCCCCGGCAAAGCGCCTAAAGCAGCTGCCGTTCTTTTGTTAGTGGAGCTGAGCGGTACTTCGGTGCTGCTCAAAAAATCAATACTTGAGAATTACATATCTGTATGAGTTGTCTACTGTAGTAGACAGCCGGTGCTATGGAAAAACTGCATACCATTTGCGCGTGTATAGATGCGGTTTTCTGGTTGCGTGCTGTATTCCCGTGAGACTGTTTACGCAAACGATGTGAACTAGGATTAGCTGTAATCTGTACCAAGTGCAGTACACCGATTTCGGTTTATGAATTACATGTTCCAGCAAGACGATATGTACACTTGAGCTATGCAGCTCAACGTGGCCGAAGCAGCTACATCAACATGCACAGTACGTACAATGACGCTGTATCGGTCATTTCTGGGTCTTATTGATAAAAACGTGCCAACGAAACTTACCGGAAACACAAACAGCAGTTTCTCAGTTGAATTCATTATGCAGCCAAGATGATTCGATTCTGTGAACTGTTAGCTAGGAGTGCCGCCACGCTTTTCTGGAAGCCGTTTCCCACTGCCCATTCGTTGATGCTCAAGACATAATTTCTACTTCCGAGTGTTGTGCGGCGAATGTGTTTCGCTCAATTTTGTGGGCCATTTGCAGTTCACTACTGAATTCCTTTACCGGCTGGTCGTTTAATTCTATTTATTATTAATTTTCCACGCCAACTCTACCCATCCATAGGCATTCTAATGGCTTTTAAATGTGGATCAACTTGGTCTTGGAGAAGAATTCTGATGGTATGGCAGCGCTACCTAATTTAGCTTATTACTATTTAACTTTACAGTAAGCACCTATAATATTGCAAGCGGTAATTGATACAAATATTATTCGTGTAAGTTTATGTAAATAATTGTAATTAAATTATTCGTGTAAATTCATGGAAAGTAAATAACTTATGTGTTCTGTTGCAGGTGCATTTTAGCCTACTGTTATGCTACTCATCCGGCACACCACTTCCTCACAATACGATCAGTCTGAACGATACAAAACCAGAAACCGGTATCTCTCGCGTTTCGCGACAGTTTTTTCCTGCATCACAAGATTACCAAAGAACGATACCCAACCAATTTGTCGGCCCAACATTCCCACAATACGGAGCCGGGCACCATGACCTCATGGCAGAACATCCCGAAGTGTTGCCGGAGCAGTTCATTCCAGCGTACGGAGCCTCACTCAGTCGCTACTCTCCACCGGAAATTAATCCCATGTTGCGGAACCAGACCTTTGGTGTTCCCGTGGGCTCCCGTGGGTTTAACACCACTTTAACACACCAGGATTCGGACTTAACAGATCTGCACGCACCCGGCCAAGAGGAATTCGATTTCATCAGTCCACTGCACAGACAGCCGTACGCGCCCACCATGTCGGTGTACCGTCCTTTCCCACAGCGTTTTCTGAACGATAGTGGTGCTCATGAAGGTAAAATTATTGTACTTATATGAATCTGCTTTGTTCCGCACCTGCTTTCTTATCTGTTTAAGTCAGGAATGTTGCCACAATTTAAAAATTTATCAACTGATTTGTAACGGGATTCCATAATGTGCGTGGAAGCTTTTTTCATGCAGGTGTAGTTAAATTGCGATAGTATTTTGTTATTTGTGTGGTGAAGACGGGGCCTTACTATGACTTCCGCCAGTTCGTGGTGGTAATATAGATTAGCGATTTACATGTATTAAGAAACATATTCTTAAGATTTCGCAGCTGTTCATGTTTTCATGTTAGGTTTCGGCCACCCCCGATCTTAAATATGTCTACGATGTGACAACCCACTGGCACTAAAAAAACCTTTTGCAAAAAGAATCTTCTATACTCATTTGTTTTTCAGGCTCCGGCATGAACAGGAACACCTCATTGACCGAATACCGGAATCCTCGTGTTCCTCAAACCAACTTTAGACGACCATCGTCAACCAGCAAAGTCGGTAAATCTGGACCGCAGTCTTTATCCCGGGCGCTAACAACGGATGACGCCGTAGTTGCAAACCGGTAAGCAGCCTGGTGCGTTTAACACGGTCTTTCAAGTACTTAAACGTCATTTGAGTGTCGAATATTTTGGTTTTGCGGACAGAACCCTGGGCGCCCATACACTGAATAAGGTCAAGCAGCCGTCATCCCGTTTTTCCAACAAAACCGGCAATACTGTAAACCGAACAGTAAAGAGAGTGCGAAGACCAACTAACCGAACTGCCTCCGCTTTGAAATCCGCAACTGCTGCGCCGGTGAAAAGCGACAGCACTCCGACACCGACCAAAAAAGCCACATCAGGACGTTTCCGTGTGGTCCGTAACCGTACTTTCGTCAACCAAACCCTATCAGCCTCCAAAGCCAGAAAGAAGGTTACACTGCCAAAAAAGAAATCTGTTTTCGAGAAGCCTGTTGTTGCAGTGGATCGCAGTATGGCGACAAGCGATGCGCCTCTAATCAAAAAAGTCCCCGCTGCCAGAATTAAGAACAAGAAGCGCGTTATAGTGAAACCGAAAGTGAAGCCTACTCCGTTCAACGCCAGAAAACCCGTGTTTGTATCCGTGACAGCGGACCCGGAACCCATAGATATCAAGGTACTGCCGGAAATCTTTGGTGGGTCTTCAGCGATGGCCGAAACCGCAACAACCACCGTCGAAGCCGTTGCTGTGCGGAAACCGGCAATCTTTCAACTGAGCACTGCAACTGTAGTAGCTACTTCATCAAGAGAAGCCGAGCCGACCACAAGCAATGCAGCAATAATACAAACGACGGCAAGCAGCACAAGCACAACGCCTGAGATCTCTTCACCGGAAGTTGTGACCGAAAGAATTCCTATGCTATTTGAGATTGTGAAGGAAACTACTACAACAGCAGCGCCAAATGCCATTCCATCAACTACAGGTTCGACAGAAGCGCCTATTATTATTACCTATTTGTCTACAACGGACACTACTACACTGACAGCCACAACGATGCCCAGTGAACCGGTAACTCACTTTTCTGCTAATGCAGCCAAAACTTCTACCGCGCCCATTCCGGAAGAACAAACAACTATACCAACTTCTCCTATGGATGTCACTTTTCCGACTTCAAGGTTGCCCACAGTTACAGGTGGCAATCCCACCGATTTCTCCACAACTGCGGCGGATTTATCGGAAGAAAGCACAGCCCTGGTCGTGATGAACTCTACCGTTTCCAAAGAAGAGGTTCCGAGCGATATGCTGACGGTAGCCACAACGAGTACTCAGTATTCAGTCTCGAAGGAACCGGTGCCCGCTACGGCGAGCAGCTTCATCCCACAAACACCAAGCAATCCTGAGTTGTCAACAACGGTTGAAACGTTCACGCTGCCTGGATTATTTGGCTGGGATGACTCGGAGGAAATTTTGTCAGCTACAGCAGCTGCAGAATTAACGTCGGACAAAACCGAGGTCACCGCTAGCAGCACACCGGCTGAGGAAACTGTACCATCGCGCTCAACAGATCTTAATACTCCTGATACGGCTGACCCAGTTAAAATCGCAGCGTTTGAGGATTCGTTAGCAACTTCGGCTGCACACATCGACAGTTCTTCATCCAGTAGCTATGAAATCACATCCACTGCATTGGGTATACAAATGCCCACCAAAGAAGTTATCGCTGACTTCCCCAACCTTTCTCATGCCGAACTGATGACGTCAATGCCGGACGATATGACAGCAAAAACGTCGACGGATCACGTTGTGGTGGAATCGGAAGTTATCTTTGACATTGGTGCGACTGACCTGGTTTCGGCAAGTGATGACGACTCACTAACAACAACTTGGGTGTCCACTGCACTTATTCCAGTCGGTGAGATCACGGATGCGCCTGCGGAACACAACACTGCTTCGACCGCAAATACTTTTCCCACAGAATCGCCCTACATCATTGCATCCGAACAGACAGCAACAGCGTTTAAAAATGTGACCGATACAACAGCGGAAAGCGAACAGCGGACGACGGATGAGGCATTCACGACTAGCCTGAATGCCCAATCTTCAACAGCAACAGAAGCTGAAGCGGAAACCGTTTTATCTGACACCACAACCAAAGCTGACACATCAACGTCAACAGTTTCTGGCGATTACGGTCATCTTTCGGCATCCAGTCTACCTTGGACTGTGGATAGCAAAATTCCCTTCAGGTTATACTTGCCAGGAATGGAGGAGGTATCTGAGCGCCCCCACATATTAGCTAAACGTCTGACATGAAAATCTTGAGAAATGTAATATGTATGTTAAATTTGCAGGTCTCTACCGCCACATCATCAGCCACTGATTTCAGTTCGCCAGGTGATGCGACTACAGACACTCAACCGACTGACCTGCCATCTTTTGACAATTCAACTGAACAACTTGAAGCGATTCCCACAACAGATTCCTGGAGCCTACCGGTATTTGTCAATTCTGAAGTATGGCTCAGTTTATCCTTTAATTCATTATTTTATCCAATCAGCATCGTATTTCTCAAACTTAAAAGTAATTAATTCAAATATATTTGCGCAACCGCTGGCCCATTCCTGTGGCACGAGCCTTTGCCGAGCGAATTTCATCTTTCTGCACAGTTATGGTAACATGCTTTAACAGTTCTGATATGTTTAGACTACGGATGCCCATGCCGACGTCGTTTTGGTGACAACTGTACCCGAAACCAGGGAACCTTTTTCCAGTTCGGAAACTCCGCAAAGCGACACAACGGAGGAAACAACAGCTGTTTCGACACAGGATACAACAAGCATCGAAACAACATCGACGACGATGCTCCCTGTGCTGTTATCAGAAGTCAACAGCTCAACCTCACCGGCGACAACGGAATCAACAAATGCTTTTCCTGATGACGAAACAGACGATCGCTCAGCCGTCACAGAAGCAACTCCTCCCGTTAATATCAGTAATGCGACGGAGACGCCAACGCATCAGGAATCCACGTCGGAATCGACCCCTCGGAACCCAACGGAAGCTGTATTGGATAACACCAGCACCGAGGCCAGCGCTGCAAGTACCGATTCAGAGCCCACCCAACCGGATGAACGGTTGGTTAATCCGGCCGAGCAGACGCAGTTCAGCTCATCGACTACGATGGCCGATCCGGCATTTACTGAAAGCATGCAAATTACCGCTGATGATGTTACGACGTCGTCGGAATCGGTGAGCAGCACCACCGCGGAAGGCCCTCAAGAACCATCGACGATAGAAAATATCGTGGAGAGCAGTACAGAGGCCTCCACAGTGGAAGCGGTAGCCAACCACGAACCGGTTCTACCAACCACAATGGACTTGGCGGCAAGAACAAGTGTACCGAGTGAAGCAGCTTTTTCTCAAGCGGAAATGGAACGGGAAGGATCGTAAGCATTTGTCTTTTGTTGCCTGTCCGTGGGAAAAGTTCAATATCGCTAGATGTTAATATAAAAGGTCTTCGTTAACGTTGTCATAATGCTCATACTAGTCTGTTTCGTTTCGTCAAGTGCATGAATGCGTATATTATATGTTATTGTATTTTATACATGTTTTTTGTTTCGAAATTTCAAACCTTGTTACAAGCTCATAACAAACCTGAAAACGTGATTACGATTACTGAACAGTCTAACGAATAATCAAGTTTAATGGATCTTATTTAACACCCTAGCTAAAAAGCGAATGATATGTGCACCTACATTGTTAAAAATTTCAGTGCAAGAACATTGACAAAATTAATAACACCCAGCAAAGCAAATAATGAAAGATATCGATTATTCATTGAATAAGCATAACATAATGGATATTGCTCAGTCCGATAACCACAACGTTTCTAACTGCATCCCCCACTCGATGACCCCAGCATAAAACTGCTTTTCTATTCATTAACCTGCATAAGGGAAGGTCGTCGTTCGCCGGTTGGTATCTGTGGTTTTGACATTCTACGTCCATCCGGTACGCTCGACATGTCCGGAATTTTTGATCCGCCTCGGCCCAGTTCGGCATTTTTCGCTTCCAGGGGTTCGCTATTGGGGATGCCGTAAATCTGGGAAAATCGGCGACCTTCGCGATTGGCTCGTTCTCGCTCGGCCGCGATTCGTTCTTCGACCATGTCGCGGTACTCCCACGGTGCCTTGAGAATGCACTCCACGTTATCTTTGTACATGGCGGGAAAACCGGCTTTGTGGGTGGGGAAACCGGCTTCTTTAGCCAGTGTGTCAATGTACGGCCAAACCTAAATAAAAGCACCACTATGACTTTACGCTTCGACTAGGTAGTGTAAAATAGAACGATTACTAATTTCTCATAATCGGTTTGTAATATTATAAGTATCACCGGATGTTAGCTACATATACCTGTATATTGTAGTCTGCATCTGCATAAGTGTATGCAATCTTTGCTTATGTAATATGTAACAAGCACCTGATTGATCATTTTATGGGCCCAGTGCGGTTTGAAACCCTTGGCCAAACGTTGACTGAACTCTTCGTCCACTTCGGCAAACATTTTCGGGACTGGAGGAAGTTTAACCGTTCTTTCTACGACAGCTTTGTAGTACTGGATCTGCGGATCGGCACCGGCGGCAAGAAAGGGAACCACGTTGAACAGGCCAACGAAAGCCATCGAATGAAACTCACAATGGATTAAATGTCGGTACAACGGTTTAACACGTCCACGCAGAATCTCCGTTCGGCATTCCGGTGTCAAAAATGGGAAATCGTAGTCAAATCCAGTGGCTAGGATAACTGCATCGATGTTCTCTTTCGTGCCATCCTCCAGAATGATGTGGTCTGATCCAAAAGTCACGGCCGATGTGGTTTCCAACACATGCAAAAATTTCTTTCTGTAAACTTCTTGAAAAACACGTCGACACAGTATGATCTAAAACAAATAGCACAGCTATGTAATGCATAAATGAGCGTACACAAGTACAGATATTATACTAAAACCATATTGCTGATAAGTAATTATAGTCGTACCGTACCGTATTTAAATAAAATGCTAATACCATATATTAGCTTTTTTCAGTACGGTGCGTAACTTATCTTTAAAACCTTTCAAGGCTGATAATGTTTATGAAAAATTCAATTTTTATTATGTTTAGCATAAATATTTACCTTTTTAGCAACTGGTAGCAGCGCACAAGCGATATCATTAGCAGAAACCATTCCTCCGATAATGGCCACATTTTTGTTCTGGTAGACTTCCGGTACTCGGTATTCCGCACTATGGATGACCGATCCTCTGAACTGTTCGATATTATGCAGGAGCGGAATATTGGGCTTTCCATTATGCCTAAACAAAATAGATATTTAATGTCAAATAATGATATCCGCATAAGTTGCGTCCTGAAAATTATTAGAATATGATATACAGCAGTTTCTTAGAAGAAAGTTGTAAAGTCATTTGCACTGCACCACACCCTGCGTACCCGTTGCATATCAAGAGAATGTCTGCCACAACTTGTTCAGTCTTTTCAGTCTCTAAATCCATTGAGGTGACATGGAATTTCGGCCAGTTTGGATCTTTAAGATTTTCCACAGGTTCAATACGGATAACTTGATGGCGAAGCTATAATAAAACTATTTTTCTGCAAAATCTGGCTACGTGAACTGCAAAGTGACTGACCTTTATCCAGCTCCGGATATCAAAATGGTCGCAGTATTCGTTTAGGTAGCGCACCACAACTTCCCGATGTACGAAATTTGGAGTGTCTGGTGGCATCGGATAATCGGGAAAGTGGGTTAGTGCAGTGGGGGAATTTGTCCTACAAATTCATGTAATTAAGGAAATGCCGGCTAATGAAACGCGTTGATACGATATTCAAAGAGGCGCTACAGCAAGCTCGTACACATTTTTACTAAGAAATACGAGTATTAAGTACCATATAACAATAATCTTTGCCGGCTGATATTAATAACTTTTTGCCAGAGACTTCAGCTTCTTGTAAAACAGAATTTGTGTGAAATCTTACGATCAGGTTAATAATATGATTGTTGTGTTTTGTCTAGTGCATTGATGACACAAACTAACCTCCGGCGGAAAACAGTGCGTCGTACACGTGATATACTCATAAATAACGAAACCGGGAAACCAGCAGTAAAATGACAAACCGTTACTGCGTCTACGGGTTTTTCTAAGAAAACCGTAGTCTGAATGCAGCGGCATCACTTACATTAAGTCGCGATACGTGCGACAGTAGTACGGCGATGTTGGGGGAGCATTGGGGTGTTCCTCGCATCCTTCCGGATAGTTCCAAATCCCACCGATGGCCGGTGATTGCTCGTACGCGACGCAATCATATCTTGGATCGTTGGCAAAATGTCGCAGGGCACACAATCCCGACGCACCGGCACCGATGATCACGACCTTTAAAGGTCGTCGGCTACTCTGCCCGTCGTCGGCTTGCGCCATGCTTACGAGTTCGGATAATCGCCGGGCGAAAGCACGCAAAACCTGCCGGCTGCCGGTGGTATCGCGTGAAAAAGGCATCTTCGCTGGAGATTGGATACTCTTTAAATACACTCACAATGTGGCGTTTTCCCTCGACTCGGGATGGATAATCAGATAACAAGTTCTTTGTATACAAACAATGATTGTGATTGCCTGTTGCATGGCTGATGCTGTGTTTTGGAATGGCTTATATGTAGCGGATTTGCGTTTGTGCCGGTGGCATTACGATGCCGCATTTTGTCATGTCATTAATATCACTGCATTTATTTGTTTCCGGGTCGTTAGTATAGGTAATAAATATTGCTAATTTCAGGCAGTTTCTGAAATTACGGATCATCTTTATTGTATTACGCAGTATGAGTGCGCAGGCACCGTGCTGGTTTGACTACAATTCTTTGTAATTACGTCGCGGATAACGGAATACATGTACACTAGTCGTATGGTACTCGTAGTAATATTTCTGACTGCAGCGGTAACTCGCTCCCAGGTTATTATTTGCAGACAGAGTAGGGTTGTTATTAGTATGGTATATTACAGAAACTACGTTGAATTTTGCTTTACCAGCTAATTGTTAGCAAACAATTTATTACGCTGGGCAACCCTTAATCAAACAACATGAAACATTTCCTAGATAAAACGGTCGAGAAACCTAATTACAGATGCGTTCCTCTGTGTCGGCCAACACGTGACATATGCTAAATCTGTTAAACCAATCTCACTAACTTAACCGTACGTACCTTTTACAGAAAATTAAACGGTTGCAGTTCTGCCGTTTTCCAATATAAAAATTTAAGGGCCTCAGCGGATTTAGGATACAGTGACATGTCAACTGCAGCACAATAAAATGTGGCAGTGGTTGATTTGCGGTATTTATTGACGTAAAATGGCGACTCGGTTACGTCGCCGAAAGGTCACATATTTTGATTACCGTTTGCGAAAATATGGTCGTATAAGCAGGTACATTTGTATGGCAGCTGCAAGTGTCAACTGGGAAAATGACTGATCTGAAATAATAACTGCTCTTAGAATATAATCTTATGGTTAGTAATAATAATAATGTTAAAAAAATTTGTTAACTATCTATGTACCTCCATTACTCCATACGCATGTACGATAGGTCACATTATCCTACCAAGCTAAGCACAACATTATAACAGCTGTTTTTAATAATGTTTGCAAATTTAATAATGATATTGCACATGGATAATCCAAAGCATCCAAATCTAGAGTAACCACAACAGTGGAAGCGAGCGAGCATAAAACGTCGTATTATAGGAAGAGAAAGTAGATCATGAAGTTATGGTTCCATACTAAGCACGGAGATTTTATCTGTATCAGGCAAGCTATTGCTCTTTTTAACAATAACAACTTTCTGCTCCTGAATTCCACACACTTCTGTAACATCCCCTTTGGACGGTCCACACTCACCGTCGACTTTTGAATGGTTCTCTTGAAATGCAACGGATTTAGATCGTGTAATTTTCATTTTAGCATTGTCCACGTTTTGTATGAATGATGCCCAGCTTTGTTCGCCGAATTTCTCGGCTTCCTCCACGGTTGTCATTAGTTTAGTTCCCTGCGTTTCCGGCAGGAGAGCGGCAGCAAAGAAGCCACATAATGCGCATATTCCCATTATTATCAGTGGAAGTCCGGTATAGTCACCTAAGTCTCCCTGTAAATGAAATATTACGGAATAATTTTATAACTTCAAAGGTTCTAGCATATTTTCTGTTTAAACTGTTCTGCCACAGTTTCAAATTTTTATTTGATAATGATTCTGGAATTAACTTGTAAGTTTGCGGTGTAAATTAAATCCATGTGCTAAAGCTTCTAGCTAACAATTAAACGTTTATAAAACATTTTTTCTTTACATCGTATAATTTGCTATGTATAGAAAACAGTCTGGATTACAGTACATATTTGGCGGTTAATTTAAAATAAAATTACCAGTAGCAGAATTTGAGGCGCTGCCATTGATCCTATCCGCATAGCAACTGAACATACGCCCATTCCGCTGTTTCGTATCACCGTTGGGAACAACTCCGAAGCGTACGTGTACATAACGGAGACCGAGTTGGAAATGACCATCCGAGCTATCATCACCAACGCAGTTACAACAGGCCCGTAATACAAAATACTGGATGGGACCAGGCCGGCAACTAGTGCAATTATCCCTCCCAATCCGGTGTAAAACATCAGCGATGGGCGGTTGCCGAAAACGTATCTACGAGTATCATTATAATCAGAAAGCCAGCCAGTTGAAACTTCCATAATTTTTGAAGTAATCGTGATGGGGATTGTAAATAAATTCGTCGAAGAATGCTGAACAGCGCGTATTTTTTATATAGTACATATAGTTACCAATATGTAACTGTAAGTGGAACGTACTTTGTGGACAGCAATATGAGCAGTATTCGTGGTATGAGTTCCAAGGTGGCACTTATGGCGGAATTTAGAAAAATATTCCCTAGGAGTTTGTTGATGAATAGGATTAAGCCAACATAAATGACTTGCAGTCCCATCCTATCAATACAAATTTGCGTTTCATCTGAATGCACAGAACATTTCATATAAACGTGCAGTATCTTTTGCCCTGCTTTGCATTTTATTGTACTCGTTGATCGCTCACTTGTTATATTCGCGGGAAAAATTGTTAATGAAGCATCAATACGTTTTTCAAATCGTAATATATTTACCATACAAACGAGCAGAGTGCAGTGAATCTTCTTATGTTTCGGGTGGACAAGCAAGCGAAGAAGTACGATCCTTTACGTTTAAGAATAGACGCCGTCGATTCATATTCAAATGCGGAACAAATTTTCTCCTCCGCGTTCATGCCGTTAATTTTTGCAATTTTTTGACATAGCCTCTCCGCTCGGCTATACTGCCTTTGCAACAGAATCCATCGCAAAGATTCTGGAGCAAACCTACGAATCCAAATGACCTTTTACTATTACGATTAAATTAGCGTCCGGAAACAAGCTAATTTGCAATTCCTATTTACCATAAAAGCACCAACGCAACGCCGGCAAACGCGCTCAATGCTGCTTGGATGAAATACCATTTTTGAAGAAAATATGCAATCAAGGCCAGAATGATCATTCCGAGTATGTAGGAGATTTGGGATACCGCCGACCAACTGCTGCGCTGCTTTGCTGGAATCCACTCAGAGATCCATACAAAGGCAATGTTGCCTAATGCCTGTAACGCAACCACACAATGCATCGCAATTAGATACAGTAGTTACTAACACTGTTAATTTACTCTATGTATCCTTTAAAAACATCAATAACAGACAAAAGTATCTTTAATAACTGCACCTTACGCCTCAGATATAAAAAGTATCCTACTTAAAAATCTGTTTCGTTCCGTGTAGAACTAATAATAGGTTAGCAAATTAAGTATTATTGTCACCTGTCTGCAGAAGCCGACAATGAAACGCAGAATACTGAATAAGACATAATCAGCGATGAATATTAGTCCTGTATTCAAACAGGTAAACAACAGTGTTGCCAACAAAAGCGTCGTTTTACGGCCATAAACATCCGCTGTCCAGTTAAAGAAGCTTCCGATGAGTTGACCTTTAAAAATCAAACTGCCGGAAGTCTGGGATAAATACAGTGGATATGTTTGAGTAATTCGATAACTCAAATTTCCAGTATATCCAGACCGATATTCATGCGTAATGCATCTACAGTAAAATTTTTGCTGTGCTAAAAAGCAGTGTATTCGGTAATTTGTAGAACAAAGCGTCACGTACCAAGAAAATATATCGTAGTTGCAAAGGCAAGTAGCCAATATTTCTCACAAATGAGACCCATCTACATAAACAGAAAGCGCGGTCAAACAATTAATGCGCCTGCTCAATTTGCTTGACCTTTGGTTAGATGTATAGTTGCTGTAATAATTATAACATCAGCCTTCTACGCTCAACTTACGTCAGCTATGATGGACCATTGTTGGTCCTGGTAGATGTATTCCAGACTTTCGCCTCCACCAAACGTTGCGCAAGCGTTGGATGAACGAAACATACTGAACGGTAACAGCACTGTACGGTTGGTACTGGAATTTCCGGAGATGTTCACTTTCATAAACATCGGCTCTAAGCCATAAAATACTACCACGGTATCGCTCATTCCGCTCAAAATCAGCGGCAAACTCAAAATCACTAACTGCATCCATTGGAACCGTCCGGGGAATTTCTTCTGTGTCAAAGAAAGCAGCAGCTCAGCATCCATGATATTATATAACGCTTCGAAATATCACAGCATCTTGAAAACCACATATACCACCATGAAAAACGGCGACGGAAAGTATATCTAATCTGCTGTAATAAAATTTTGGTAATCGCTCATCATCAAAAATTATTATGATTCAGTTTTACACGGATGCAGAAATTATACACAGTAACGAAACGGAGAGAATAATCGAAGGCACAGGGTACGGTACACATGTACAATACACTGTATTCGCCATCATACCGGCAAAACATTGCTTCAACCGAGTTACGAGTTATTATGAGTTATTCTAGGCGTGACAAATTGTTAGACATTCGATTTACTCTGTCTAAAGAGTCGTTTCATTAAATTACTACGGAACCGAAAATTTCAAAATGCTTTCCGTTTTGATCGAAATTTGAAACAAATACATGTACCTTATTTCACTGTTCCGCAAAATACTTGTTGAACAAAATTTATTGAAAAGATTGAGTTACTGTAAGTAACGTATTCTAAGTCCAGGTTAGATTAATCCTTACCTTTAGGAAAATCAGTGACTGTATTTTTTAATTTTTCGGTTCAAAGTTAGCGGGGCTGCGTTTTGTCTACCCAGTACATTTGCAAAAATTCGGGATTTGGGACACTAGTCACACTACCATATATATTATCTATGATTATACAATTACATACAGGAAAATTTATTTATTTCCTGAACCGTAGTTTGAAGCTGGCCGATCAGCTTGGCGGGAATCACGTAAATTAAATAGAAAATGCGATCAGAACTATTTAAACAAGTTCATTACGTAACGGTAAGTAACTTTTATCTTGATCTACTACTACCGCATTTCGTCCAGAGACGTAGAAAACAGAAAAGCAGCTGACACTAAGTAAATGGCCATTTCTCCAAGCCGGGAAAATCGTTGGTGTTGTCGAGCTTCCGTGGCGGCACTCGCCCAGTTAACACACTAACTAACCACTGACCACACAGTGACCAGCTTCCAGTCGACTGAGTCGAGTCCCGCCGGGCTACATACTGTACTAAATAGCCAAACATACCACGCATGACGCAACCACCCTCGGGGAGACATCTGCAGCTTTTCTCTGCTGGCGCATTCAGTCCTGTTCTAGTTTTGAATTTTGAAAGTCCTTATTTCGTGTTTTGTGGCAGTTTCAGTTTTCAGTTGTTAACATGTTTGTTGTTATGCTTAAATTTGTTTCTTAATGAATCTTATCTTCAGAAGAAAACTGCATTTTGATTTCTAGCAGAAATCGGCTACCGCGATACGTGACTCTAATTGGGATTTGTCGTTCGTAACTGCGATTTAAGACTGCGAATGCATCGTTTCCGTTTTTAGACAAGTTTGATTTTTCAGTGTACTCGCCTCTCTCAGTTCCAAAAAGACCTGTTCTCAGCAATTCTCATTATATGGCGCAGAAGTCCGCACCCTTTGTGAGTTCCCAACGTCGCGGCACGGTCTCCCAGGCCAGCGGTCGCTGGAAGGATGCCTTATCGAAGAGTGAGCTGAGCGATGTGGAATTTGCAGTTGGACGCCTGTGTGGCGAAGTCAAGAGGTTCCGCGCGCACAAGTAAGCACGACGTTGCCTTCGCAATGAATAACCAGTGAATAAAGCGCTATAAACGCTGCTTTTCGGCTATAGGTTGACTCTCGGCATCAGCAGCGACGTGTTCCACACCATGTTCTATGGGAGCCTGGCCGAGCGGTGTGACACTGCCATCGACATCGCGGACATCCCTCCTGATGCCTTCGACAACCTGCTCAGGCAGGCGCTCACCCCATACTGTGCAGTTACGTACGCTGGGTTCATTTCTCTGCATTCCAGATACATCTACACGGATGCGATGGACAATCTCCTGCCGGAGAACGCGGTACAGACGCTGTACTGTGCCGACAAGTACGATTTGCCCTGGTTGGCCGAGCGCTGCACCGACTTCATCCTCAACGACCTCGACGCGGACAATTGCCTCCTGTACTTGGAAAATGTAGGTCTAAGCATTAGTTCGTAGTTTTGCTTGTGACAGGGAACCGGACAATTCAAGAAGCATGGGCAAGATAGTCCATAATTGTCTCGGTCTATTTTTGTTTAAAATCCTTTAGGCTTTAGCCGGCATTCGAGATAGGCACTCACCAGCCTTATTCCAAATTTCTAGTGTGTGACGACTGCGCGATTTTGCAGGCGTTACGCTGGTCTCCGGATTGTGATCCTGTGGTGGAGACATGCTTGGACGTGGTGGATGCATCCAGCGAGGCGGTATTCCAGTCGGCACACTTCACCCAGTTGGAGCGGAAAACGCTGGAGCGAATTCTGCAGCGCAACACACTGTCGGCAAGGGAGAATTTCGTCTACACGGCTGTGGAAAAGTAAGTAGTGGCAGCGTGTTTTTCGCAGCAACTGTCTATGTGCAAAATGTTCCCTTATGGTCTCTCGGCCCGGTTTGTTTTAAAACATCAAGCGGCCCTTTTTGAAGCACTAAAGGTGCAGTGCGTTCGGTATTTCTTTATGCTTGTCTGGTTGTTTAGATGGGCAGCGGCCGCCTGCGCTCGCAAGAAGCTCTCCCCGTCACCCGCAAATCGCCGCCGGATGCTGGGTCCTGCACTGTTCCTTGTGCGCTTTGCCTTGCTGAATGAGGCCCAACTTGCCAACGGGCCTGTTAAGGTTGGAAAATTGCTAAACAGATTACCGTGTTGATGAATTCCGCTGTGTGGTTCGTTTGCAGAGTGGTCTACTGAGAGACAAAGAAGTGTCGCGGGTGTTACTGAGTAAACATTCAACCAGTGAAGAGCCCGCGCTGGAATTTTCTGTGGAGCCCCGGCGCCACTTCATGTATCGCCTCACGTCGAGATACACGTACAAACCGATGGAGAAGATTTTTATCTTGTACAACAACGGCTACTGGTATCCGGCAACCGTCACGGGAAACGACGTTTCTGATTTCTCACACGAGTATGAAATGGATAACGCTAAGGATAAAGGGGGTATCCGGCAGCGCATAAAGGCCGTTCGAGCCATGGATATATTAAAGCGTGGTCTGCCAGTGAAAGCGTACATTGACGGAGCTTATAAGGAGGCGACATACGGCTCACTGCGAGCTGGACGACATACTGTCAGCGTCGCTGACCGCGAGTACAGCACGCATTTCATGGAACTAAAGATCTCGCGCAGGCATGTCGATGAATAAACAGCCGCGCAACGGTAGTGTCATCGGGGGGCTTTTTGGTGTGGTATTAAAGGACGAGATCAGCTTAGCAGACATTTGGGTGTCGTTACAGTAAATACTTAATTGGTGTTTTTGCTCTCTTGTGGTATTACTACCTACCTACAAATATTGGGTTTTTGTTAGCTTTTTGTTTTAATTTTTATTTGGTTTTCTTTTATTTTAGTTGGTTGTATTTTTATTTGTTGTTTTTATTTTAGTATATCAACCATTTTCCATGTAGACTTCTGGATTTGTTCCTTGCCGGTGTTTTGTGGTATTGTAATTGTGTTATTGCTGCCACTTTCTAGATGGACACAAGCAAGTAAAAGAACAAAATTAGCAGAACTTTCCTACGTGCAACAATTTTGGTCATATTTAATTATTCGCGCGCGTTTAGTTTGTCGACTTATTCACAAGGATCACAATAATATGTTCAATAACATCGGTTTATACACTTACGCCACACTACTAAGTATTTGTGCCTGTGTATACTATGTATGTAGTACGTAACAGGACTTGAAAAACATGAATGTTATAGTTGAGTGTCAAACGGAAAAATGTCATGCCCCTTGCTTCTTCCGCTCGCACAAAGTAGCTTGTCTTAACTGGAAACTGGAATAATATGCTTTAATTCTCTATAACACAGCAGATGCGTGGATCCTGCCCCTGGTCATTCCTGGTCGACCTTGCCGTTTGTGCCAAGTTGTCAGCAATCACGTTTATGCAAAGACAATTAAAAAGAGTTAACACAGTGGACCGTGGACGCATGTTACAGTATACTGTAACTGCTTCACATATATAATATTAAGTATAAACTGCAAATTTTACGCAAGTATTGCATACATAATACAACGTCTGCCCATCATGAAATTAATCGTTATCAAAAATATAATGTTATGTAAACCAGTGTACACAGCGTCTGCATTAAAATTCAAACGGAATTCATTCACTATAACTTTGAGTATTGTAGCGCATAAACTCGATAAGTAGGCATCTGTCTGAATCGTTCCATGCTACTAATCCTGCCCAGTACGTATCACATCCGCATTTCCTGTTGAGATTTCTGGACATAAGCTTCTCCGGTCACCGCAGTTACGAGCCATTTACACCAGTCCCTGCTGCAAAGCCGGATCGCGTTCGGAGTAGGGTGGTGGGCTTTTGGCGTATTTTCCATCCACGATGAATTCCCTTTGGTTGGCTTCTTCAGTATCCAGAACCCCATCATGACAGTCCCTTAAAATGACTGCATTGCGCAGGCAAATTTTAGCGGCCTTTCCACACAGCACCGCCACCATAAGCGAATACAGCACTGTAAAAATTACAGCATTAAACACAGATTTATTCGAATCATATGAATGCGCTTAATTATTTCAAAATAATTACAATTAATCTGCAGCTTCATTCAGAGTATACGCACAGATTATCATTATTCAAGATAAAATTATTATTCCTGTCTCCCGTTAATACTCAATAGAAAAACTGTAATTTCACACCAAATGTTACTCAGTTACTGTAATTTATTAGATGTACTAAAATAGTACACTAAATTGTTATGATTAAATTAAATCTGAAGCTGTATTTAGAGTTTCCGTAGAAGTATACTGCAGTAAAAAGTGAAAGCGATATCCCTTTTTTAACGTGGATATTCGCAGTAAGGAACGCTGCAATTTCACGCTAATTTTAAATTCTGAAAGAAGCATGTGATATATCTTTCAAAAACGTGATACCCCAAATAAAGATAATAACTGTAAAATATTCTCGAGCAAATGTTGCGCACTTGATATGGCGATTTCCGTATCATCCAGCTGCTGACGTCCGAAGACGGTCTGCATCCACGTCACCTGATCCATGAGGAGCGCGTGCGCCTGCAGGTAGTAGGCGAGGAGGGTGATGATTCCGGGAATGAGGATGAGGACGCAGGCGACGGCGTGCGCGATGCACAAGACGACGTTGACGGCGCCGATGCTGGCGAAGAGACGCGACTGCAGAAAGATTTCCTCGCGACTGTTCGGCAGATGACGGCAGCTGAGCAGTTTCCGGATCAGTCTCACTCCGAAGAACGCATTGCTGAACAGTGTCACGTCTAGCACGCCGATGAGGAGGGCGCGCAGGTAGTGCAGTGTGGTGTCTTCCGGATCCGATGAATCTACGGGAAAACACGATAAAACACACAACGATATCAGCTGAACGTAAAACTTCTCAAATAATAAGTACTTAATCCACGTAACGCACAGACGATTGGTTATGAAGAAATAATAAGATTAACAGCTATATATAACAACGATGCGTACCTGACGAGACTACTAGAACAGCTGAGCCGAAGCGCAGCAACAGGCTGAACGCAGCGCAAACTGCCTGGAATGTGCAGATGTTGTGCAGTTTGGAAATGAAGTCCAGGCGATATTCGGGAGTGACAATGTGGCTAATGTCCATCTTGTATGGATACACAAATCCGTTACGCATGAACCGTTGTCGATTCTTTTCGCAAAATATCTATTAGCGCAGAAGATAACTAGGAACTAAAACTCTGGTCAGCTGGAAAGGAAAACCCATGAAGCAGTAAGTAATCATCGCACACATATGGAAAGTGTCTAGCATGATAGACCGAGAAATGCGGATTGTCTTGTGCAAATAGACATAGGGGTATAACGTACGGCGTATCTTGTACAGTAGGTATTGCCTTTGGCGCAACCTGTGACGTACAATACATGCGGTGCATCGTTTTTAGATCGTAGTAAAATTAATTTCATGTACGAGTACTGCACTTTGAGAAAAACAACCTGCAGTAAGAATAATTGATAATAATAATAATTATTATTAACCCAAACCGCATACGCACGTAGTGCACAGAGCATGACTCTTCGAGGCTCAGAGCTTTTTGTTAGTACAATACGAGTATTAAACCAATTAAAATCCTTAATGTGCGGCGCGATGTATAGATATCGTACGTATTAATAACTAGGAAAGGGCACCGCTTTAGGCTAGCACTATAAGACCGAAGCGAAGCTACTGCTAGAAACAGTAAAGGGAAACATAACCTAACGGGCTTCCTATTATTTCGTCCACCATTCATTTTGTCCATCATTCATTTTATCCACCATTCATTTTGTCCACCAATTACTTTGTCCACTAATTATTTACTCCTTTAAACTACAGAGAACCGTTTATAAGTTCAAACCGATGAATACCGTTAAAGCCGAAAAGAATTACTACCTAAGAAAACCTAGGGTAGAATTACCTAATGAATCTAAGAAATCCTAAGATAACCTAAAGCACAGTAATCGTTCTCACTTCTCAGCATAGTGTTGAGGGTTGCGAGGTGTTGTATATCGTTTAACCTAAACCACTGTAATCGTTTCAGCACAGAGTTAGCGTTTGCGTAGGTGCAGTAAAGTATAAATCGAACTCGGTAGTGTGCATCGAACTGTATGGTGGACATAATGTACAGTGGACAAAATGAATGGTGGACGAAATGAGTGGTGGACAAAATGAGTGGTGGACCAAATGAAGGACACGACCCAACGAGGTCATACGTTCATATCTGCTTGCCAAGACTTTCGTACTAAGACTCACCATTCTGTATAATGTAAGTAATACAACAAAGTCCTTGAGTACGATATTGATTACAAGACTGTATGTGTTTCCATAACATTCGTATACTACAGATTAACGTTCATTACTCACCATTAGTACAAGATGCACGGAATATTAATGCCGCTTACTGCTAAAAGTACGAGTAAGTGACGCTTTTCTTTTTAAGTGGAAACGTGCTTACCGAACTCTTTATACGTACTGCAAGTGATACGAGCAAGTTTTGGGCGCCAAATAAAAAAAAAGTTGCCCGCGATAGGGGCGTGGTCCTCATTACAACCTTGCGGCAGAATGCCCTGTTACGCGTTTTCACGAGTTGCCGCTCAAGATTTGTCTGCTAACTGATTGACTAACAATGCAAACGTAGGTCAATAGATATCACAATGGACAGAGGTCATAAATACAACAAAGGTTACGGTTGCTACGACATCTCGTTTACCGTTCTGCAGTTTCTTAATGTCTGCGCCCCTGCCAATCCACTGTTTCTTAGCAGATAGAATTGAATCAAGCTGAATCTAGGAATTTGCTGGACTACATTCCTTTTACTGTTCCGACTCCTAGCTTAGCTTCGGTCTTATATGCTAGCATAGAACGGTGCTACTTCTATGTCAGTAATAAATGATACAGGAAAAAGGATAGGGGTTGCTTTTTTTGAATATAGAGGGTCTACTATCACTTCAGCTGCTAAATCAGTCAGCTGTGCGCTGTTTCTTGGTAGTTAGTCTAAGGACATTCTGTTAGTACCGTGTTTAGTAAAATTTGCTCTTAGGACTGACAAAACACGTTAGTAAGCACATTAGTGTTTTGGTTTAATGCGCGGTTACAGGTTCCCCTACGTTGTAGTGCCTAAATGTTATTGAGCGCCTAGCAGTCTCATCTAAGTGCCCCTAAGTGTCGGTCACGCCCTAACTACTTAGGGCGTGACCGACAACTTAGTGCGTGACCGACGTGCGTGACCGACGCACAAAAATTCCCGTTTTCTTGAACATAGAGGACCTTCGCTTCGCTTCGGTCGATTATTAATACGATTTTTGACACCATGTACCGGGCCATTTTCCTTAAGTATTGTACAATAACAATACCGCACCATCCGGATCATCGTTTAATTAAAGTAAGTAGTAATAAGTACAAGTACGAGTACTGCAAAAACCTGACAGCGATTGATTCCATCAGTGAATATTTTTACCAAATTTTTCATTCGATTCAGCACAATGAAATCTGTTGAGGAAACTCGGGATACGGCGAACAAATCTGACGCTGACTGACAGCTATCTAAATTCTTTTAAATCGATCCAAGGTCTACTATTAATCTCCAATGCCTTTAATAATTACTACTAAATACACTCGAAATTGTCAAGTTTATAAATGAAAATCGCACCATAATTGAGCCATTATTATCGAGAGATGTGAAACAAAATCGTAATTACTGCACTATTACCTAAGAATTAATCCATACATAACTACTTGTGCAGAGGATAATAATTTTGAAACAGTAATGTGTAACTATGTTAATGTTAACTACCGGTACGTTCGATACAAAATGCGTTGTAATGCTGTATATTGTAGTCTGCGTTATTACTGTATGCCCATTTGCCACAGCTACTGGACAGGACCACGAAATTGTTATTATGGAATCTCTCCAATTTTGTCCAGAGGTATTTTATTCACTGACCCTGAGATCGAATCTGTCATCTTTCAGATAAACAAATAAAAATACATTGACAATTCGCAGAATTACATACAAATTTACAAATCGCATTAAACGGTCCGTTTTCAGGATTCATCGTTCGTAACAGTGATACTAATTCCATGGCTTCCTAGTTTGCTATTCCGGAAGAAATTATTAAGAATATATTGGCTGATCTTGGCGGTTACAAGAGAAAGCACGATATTGGTGAGCAAAAAGATGCCACAAATAACCATAAAGGAAATTAGAATAGTGATGGTAGAGTCGCCGACATTGATGCCCGGGACGAAGAATGTTGTTCCGTTTCCTTGCTTCTGTTCCAGATAATGGAGCGTATTATTGGCTGACACGACTTCCCGGACGGCTAAATCAAGGTAATGCAGATTCGTTGGAATAATGGCAGCCGCAATGATCAACAGTATTAGAACAACGCAAAGGAAAATGGCCGAGATAATGTTAAACCAAGACAGGATGCGCAGCCGGCTTTTGTTCTTTTTCCAGGCAGTTTCTTCGTAGGTACGAGACACTTTTAGACCGTACGATCCAGCGCTTAGGATGATGCCGTCCACAGTTAGTCCCGCCAGAACTGTGTACAAGTGTTCACCAGATATAACTACAAAATTAAGTCAACCACACATCAAGAAATTAACCAAAGCTTGGTAATAATGCGCATATATTTGTAAGAAATTCAAAGTCATGAAAAGAGGAGATTGTTAGTTTTTAATGCCATCGCATGCATAATCACAGTACCCACGTAGCATTTATTTCTATTCATATACACTGCAACTGCAACTGCAAACATTTTCAGCTATTTTCACCATTAACACCTTACACGGATACATACAAATATTTTCTTGTAAAATAAGCGTGTTAAAAGCAGACTCAATACAGTTTTTTAGAGTTGAATATGTGTTGCTAACCGTAGTTGTCGAACTTGCGCAAGCCTGCCCAGTGTGTCGAAGGAATTAATTACAATAATTGATCGAAAGCATTATTACAATTAATTAAGCAGTGTTAAAAGAAAGTTACAGTGATACTGTAAGCAAGTAAACTGCTAAATACTGCGCCTTTATGCCAATAACGAGGACTAGTTTATCACAATGATAAAAAGGATAGCTGCTTACCAAGACATGAAATGATTGTCCCCACCAATCCTGTTATGGACATAATAATCTGCGCAAGTGATATACGATGTATGCGAGTGTATTCATCTTTGTGCAGCGCGGAAATATCCATTGGCACCGATTTGTATGGATAAATTTTTGAGTCCATTTCTGCACGCTACGTACAGTAGCATACTCAAGCAAGACGGTAAATGAATCGTAAAATATAAATAAATAATAAGTTAAATAACCAACGATCGCATGCACTTTTGAGCAGAAAATAGAGACACGTGTGACAGAATAGAACTACTCGCAAAGATAGGATCAGCTGTGCTGTAGTATATCTGTATGTTTCCGTTCAAACCAGACCGAAGTTCAACAGTATTTAGCTTTTAGGTTTCTTAGAACGGCTATTTCCTGTCATATACAGATACGCCTAATAATATTATTATCGAATCATGCGTTTTGCGATATTTGTTTTTAAGCTGTACCCGTGAGTTCCGTGATTTCCCAGCGCAGTTATTGCTGTTTTTTAGAGAACAATATATCTGCCGGCACTGTTCCTCCAGCAAACAAAATTATTTGCTTCTCATCTGCACTTACCATCAGTCATCAAATATGGTGTTAATATGGCTGGTGAACGTGTGGTACTTTGTTTAGCCAACTTACCGTACCTACTGTACTAAGGCCTCGTCCCGAATTCAAAGCGAATCTGGTTGCGATACAGCAACTCCACCTCGCGAGGTAGCTTCGCGTACCGTATCTGTAGGCGTGGCCACTGCGTACAGCCACCTCGTGCGGTTGAGCAACCGTACCAAAGCGAGATTCGCTTTGAATTCGGGACAAGGCCTAAGTACGCAGTATTTGTTGTACTATCAAAAATTGTTCTTACAGTTACGGCATTTTTTTCCGAATTCTCATAATTTGCTGGAGTATTTAAGAGCTTATCTGCAGATAATTGCAAGGTAATCAGTTAATACGCGGGTGTCCTAATTGTGAACAGATTTAGCACTAATCATATACAGCAACATAACAAAATTACAACAACAAAACCTTTACGTTATCCTGTAATTACAAAGTATCGCATCATTTCTCCGCTTTAGTTACGAATAATAAAAAAAACGAATTTAATAAATCCCAGAAACTACGGAACTGATTGTGAGTATAAAGTGCAGGAGAGCGTGTGTAAAGTTATACCAATTGTATTACTCTTTATACTCTTTATCGCTTATCGAACGATAGCCCTGCTTGTTGGATACTCTGACATTCGTCTCTTTGGCAGGACCGCGCGGTGGAATCGTCACCGGATCCGCTTCCAGGATGGTGGCGTTGCGCCGGCTAATCCGCCCCGCCGCCGCGGTCAGTATAGCGCAAATCAGTACAAATATACAAATCACCGAGATCAGCACCACCAACACCACAAAGACGATTACGTTGACGTTCTGCGCGGTGGTCGGTGTGCCGCCGGGCAGCTGGGAGGAATGTGGGCCTTCCGGCGATGTTCCCAGCCATTCGGCCACTTTATCCAATGCGACCTTTAGGTAGTACGGCGACCAGATAAACAGTACACCAATGGCGATGCATAATACCACGGCACAGCTGTACAGGATGCAGAGAATAATGTTGAATGCGCCGACTAGAAAGAATAATCGCTGGGATGGGGCTCCTTGCCGACTCTTTTTAACAACCAGGACACCGAGGGATCCGGTGACCATCAAGAAGATGTCGAATAGCAGCCGTACAACGACAGGCCAAATGTGCTCGTTGGGAATCTCTGTTAATAAAAACAGCTAACATTTAACAGCATATTTCGTTTTTCTTATTTATTTCTTGATTTCCGGATGTTATGTTTCGCCGAACACTGCATGTTTTGTAGATTCACACATCTATAATTATTATGTATATAAGGCAAAAATGTTATACATTTGGAGCAACAACCGGAAGACAAAATGTAAAGATACATAAGACAGAAGTATATGATTTATGTATAAAAATAAAACATAATTCTGTCCTTGGGACCTGCAACTGGAAGTACATCATCTTTTGATTTTTATTTTTACCGCATCCATGTTTACCTAATTGTAATGTAAATGATGAATTAATTCTAATCTTAAATAGTTGTCATAACTTACTTATCAACAACCAAATGGCTGTGCCAATGTTCAAAATTCCAAAAACAATTTCGGTGATCGATATGCGCTGGAGACGTGTCAGTGCTTCCAGTTGCTGGAATTCCATCCTCAAATACGCTTTTTCATCTGCGTTGACGTACAAAGCATAATCCCAGATGTGGCTAGCTTATGAAAATGCAAAATACCTATGATTAACTATATATACTGTATAACGATTCTGTGTCTGCTTATTCCGGTATTAAATACGGAATAACTTTAACGTACGTAGAAGTGTTTTGAGGTTCACCTTAACAATAGGTACTGTCAGTATAGCATAACTAACCTCGGAGAATTCGCTCCAGTGAATTCGAGTTTAAATCGAAGGTAAAATTTGTTTTACTACTGTAATTACTATTCTAGTACTAACGAAAAGCGTTGTAGCAAATCAAAAGCACAACAACAAAGCAAAATGATGTAATTAAAAGTATTCGCTCTGCCGCGCACCATCTCCAATATAATGCAGCCATATTATTGTACTTACATGCGAACCAAGGGCCGGGTACACGATTGCAGTACCTGTAGAACTACAACTTACAAACGTTCTGTATACCGTGGTTTTTAACTGCAGTGTCATTATGTATGGTACAATACTCGTATATGTTACAATACAACACAAAAAATGTAAGCAATGTTTTGCCGACACTTGTTGCTACACAAAATTCGATCGAGTGTATGCCGAATACTGTCTCAATGAACGAACGGGTAGCATTTTTAATTTTACGGAAAAAAACCAGCTTTTCCGGTTTTTGGGTAACAAAATGAAAGCGTAGACAGACTTCTTTAACCGCTGAGAAATATAGATATTTTTAGCTGAAGTGTCTACAAGGCCAAGCGCGATCAAAAGTAGGTTCGACTACCTGTACATGTAATGCTATGACTTCCATTTCCATCAGTAGCAAGAGATACTTGCAACTAACTGGTAAGTACTCTTCTTACAATTAGTTAATTACTTACCGTAATTTTTACTATGACATTGTACAATTTGTACTGTATGAAACGCAGTAAGGTGCCTGAAAGTCTGGGACATAATCAACGGTGCCGGTGGGCACTTCGAAATTGTGAGAATTATCCGCGCATACAGTATTTCGTAAATGCTGTTTTGTTGGTAGTTCTGGCAGAATTTCTGGAAAAAAGGCACCAACAGATTTAGACTAAATAAAATTACCGATATTTAGCTATATATGTACTGTATATAAATAGAACTTACGTGCTTGTGTATGATTGTACGGCAGGTGACACATGTGATTCAAGTGATCAATCTGGTAATTTATGAATAATGCTTGAAAATTATCGTAGTTATACTGACATCTTTGCATTAAATTACAGCTAAAGCTAAAGGGGATGAATATAAATTTAGCTCCCATTACATACTGAATTCTGTTTTTTATTGATAATGCCATACAAATTTATGGAGGCGTGTATATGGCACACCCATCCCGTGCTGCTGAGCACAAAAAAAGCGGTTGTTTAATTAGCAATAAAGCAACATTTTATACTTTCTACTAGCTTCCCACTCTAAAAAACAACTGCTGCCGATTTCTACATGACTTGAGCAACAAGCCACAACTCTAAAGCTGCATTAGAATTTAGCCGGCTAAACGCTGAAATTAAATTTTTCTGCAAACACACAGATTGTGCAAAATGTCAGATGCATAACTTTACACATGAAATTTAACCGTATTGTGTAAGCAGTGTCGGAGGGTCCATAAACATAATATTATTAACGACACATCCTGCGTTTGAAGTCAGCGTGGGCGTCTACATTTCATATGCCAAAAATCTTCACATGCTTTCAGATTTGCTGCCTGATAGGCTGATATTCTCCGTACGTGGACACCTGCTTGGGATACGTTCCGCCCATGGACGCCAGCAGACTATCGTTGTAATTCCCGGATGTCGGTGTTTTCAGGATGGCCGCATTACGCCGGCTAATCTTCGCCGCGCATCCCGTCAAGATAGTGAACAACAACAAAAACGTGCCGATCACGCTAAAAATGACCACCATCACAATCGTCACCGCGCTGGTCACTTTATGCACGGTTTCCTGCGCGGTATGACCGGGAGCGGGCTGCGCGGGATCATAGATGGTATCTTTGTGCAGATTCAATAGTTGGGCGATATGATTGAGGATGGCGTGCATGTAATGCGCCAGGACGCCGACAAGAATTGCGGAGATAATTATTAGCACCAGTAGAATGCTATATATAATACACAGGATCACATTCATGCCAGCCAACGCTGTGAAGGACGACGAGGATGCCACGCCCTTCCGGCACCGTCGTACCACATGGACGCCGAAGCAGCCGGCGATGAACAGGAGGAAGTAGAATCCGACAATGAGAAAGAGTGACCAGGACCATGTTAAGTGGTTGTCCTGTGTAGAACGGTCTGCAAATTCACAATAAGACCCGATAAAATAAAATTTTTTATTACATAATTCCGTATGAGAACATACGTGCTTGCGCTTTTTTACTGCAAAGTTAATTAATAAAAAGTACATTCACACGAGATAGAAATACACCAGTGACCAGTATGCGATAAAAATAATTATAAAACTGTTTTGTTTTACGTGGGTATTGTAAAAGTCAGAATTGCTAATGTACCGTACTAGGTGCGTGCAAAACGCACGTATCAATTTTGCAATGTTTGGAAACACCGCTTATATCTTAAGTAATCGCTATCACTTATATGCCGTATAAAGCGGAATTCGACTACGTCTGCAGTTTGTGGTTGCAGTAAAATACTTTCGTGTAAAATACTCCCAATCAGCAAACCAAAACTCAGGGCAACACTATTTTACAACTTACGCGTTAAGGCGAGAACGATGGCGACAATGAACAGCAGCAGACCAATCAGCCCGAAGAGGATCTCCGTAATGGAGATGCACTTCAGCCGGGACAGCGATTCCAGCCGGTAGCCGCGGACGACATCCATGGTCTCTTCCGGAAGAAACACGCACAGCATCCACTACTACAGTTCACAGCCAGAACACTTCCGTCGTGCGCGCGGAGGACTCTAGTCTAGGCCACCGCAACGCTTCGGAACCCTGGCGGTACTGCTGTAAATTGCACCGCAGAAATTAGCGGCATTGAATGTAGAACGCAGTCAAGTGTAGCTTGGCTGCAATTGCGACTATGCATAAGTATTGCCGCACTATTTTCGTAGCCAGGGGAGATCTATTAATGCAGCATTTAGCTGCCGATGGCATTGCTAAGATGGAGATGAGTAAGCTTTTTGTCATTAAAAAACTAGTCTGGAAAGCTGAAATAACCAGCTGTCATGTCGGCATTATTTAATGAGCGCTCTGGCCATTTCGCTTCTCCACCAGATGCGCACGTTGGTGGCTGGCGCAAATGCCGACTTTACACTTCGCTGTGCGTCGACGGTATGTAGGGTATGTTTCATTTTTTAAGGCTTTAAGCACGGTATGTACAATACTATGTACCTCTAATTCTATAGATAAGCTGGCACTGGTAGAGTGGCAATAAATTGCAAAAATTATGTTAATTTGTTACACTAAATCAACAGCGTTCGAATTAGTCATTTTAGGTAAAAGGCATTGACAATTTCTCTAAAGTCTCATTGTCTCCGGTAACTATAACATTGTTATTACTTATATAGTTGTCGTACAGTTCATTCATATCCATTCATCGCAAAATTGCCCATTTATAAAGCAGTGTTACTGTGAGAAAGCGCCATCTTTTTTAAAAGGCAGCAAAACTTTTCTGTGACCATGAATTAATTATATGAATACTAATTATCTGTGCCAGGATTTCGGCCAGTTTATTCCCGGCCAGTGATCTCAGCTTCTAATCACTCGATTTTGCCGATTTAAAGTGCAACAGAATCTTTAGACTGCGAGAAGTGTTCCTGGGCTGTTGGCGGTTTGTGAACTTTATTTTGTTACGCCCAGTGGTCACTCAAACACTTGTTAGTTGTTACCATTGATGCCATAGGACTAACACGGGCTGCTTTGTAACCACGCGCATATCTGTAGACTGTAGTGGTGCACTGCAAAATGCGCTGCAAAATGACAGTGACTACAGTATACAGTAGTTACGACCACTGTGCTTCGGTTATTGTTCAGAGAACACGTACGTCCCCAACCTACAAGCTGCATTAAGAATTTCAACGAACAGTTTCACCAATATTGAATACATTAACCCGAATCCCCATTGGTATCTCTGAAATAGTACAAGCGCAGAAACCTAGCGCAAGTAAACCGTAAACGTAACACCTGTTAAACCGTAAACGTAAGTCCTGTTAACAGGCCAAATTTCATAAACGATTACTATAATGTTCCCAGTGCTCTCGCTGAATTTAATACAATGTTTTCATTCTGACAAGGTTGCATTACAGTGCACGTGAAAGTTCACACGAATTAAATTTACCACTAATCGTGAGCCTACATTCATCCGTGCTGAGCTTGTATTAATATTACTGTACTCTGTAAATGCTTTTAAATCCCGGTCGTCTAGACACCAGACTTTATGTTCCGGTTCAAATTAGCCTATGGTACCATAATAATGACTTGTACGGTACTTGAAATGCGCACGGGTGCATTTAGCACCGCACGTACGAACAAATCCAAACCGTCGGTTGTGCAGTAGAAATAACGATTTTTAATAGTATCGAAGTGCAGTATAGTACTTCTCTTAATATAAACATTAGACGTACAGGTGTTAAACACCGGTGTGTTGATCATACCCATACAGTACGCGAGGCGATTCCCGGTGTCTTTCTGTACTCGTAAACAACAAGTACGTCATCTGCAAAGACCCGCAAGTGAAAAACATGTAAGGTGCAAATGTTGCATTTTATTTCTTCTTGATTAGTGCACCTATCAATCCCTACCCGTAGTGCTCGTTTACCCTTCTGAACACCTGCTCATCCCCTTACTGCAACATGCTAGCCCAAACACGTAACGCTCTGGATAGCGTCCACGAAGCCGTCTTCGATCATATGCCTGCCGGACTGCGCGTCTACTTCTACCATGAAAGCTCCTTCATCCAGCGCGCCAAACCCATCTTCACCGTGGTTGGCGGAGTGACACTGGCCTACTTGTCCGCCAAATGGGCCGTTTCTCTGGGAAAAGCGGTATTTGCAGATTCGCGCAATTACACCCCGAATATATTCTGAAATATCGCTCGTCCTTGCAGTTTGTTACGTACGGTTTGGCTGTGCCGTTGAATCTCGGAGCGGATTTAAAAAAATCAGGAGAATGGGCGGGTACGTTGTCGCCGGTTTTCCCTTATGGCCAGATACCTCCTGATTCTGCTTTTGTTGGTGTCACTGTGTATAAAGTCACTGTTTTTTTTAATGTAGTCGTTACGGGAGCAAACGACGGGATCGGAAAGGAATTTGCGATTCAGGTTTGTTAGGATAGGGTTGAAATCATAATTTTAAAATTTTTATAATTTTAAGCTTAAAATGAAATAATTCAAAATTCAACGTGGCTTCAAGTATTTAAAAAGGTTTCGAAACGGAAATTTATTTTTTTATAAATACATGTAGTATTAAATAGAGATTGGCTAAATTTGATGTCGACTTAATAAATACGAGTAAAATGAAATAACTGTTTAACAATGCCTTCGACGAGTTATGGAATTTCTTTATTTGTTACAGAAAAAAATATTCAGAAAAGGAATTTTAACTTTCCACTTTAATATTGTGTTTCAGACAAATTTCATTCCAAAAACGGCTTACAGTTGTTTGAATTTAACTCCACTGTGCTGATAACGTGATAGCCGTATAAGTTAATTGCGTCTATTACAGTTGGCCGAAAAGGCCTTAATGTCGTTCTGATTGCCCGGAACCTCGACAAAACGGAAGCCGTTGCTCGAGATATCAGTAGGTGGAATACATTTTGATGTTACAGGTGCAATTTACGCTCGGATTTCGCTTTTATTCAGTTCATAATCATTGCAGCGAATCTTCGGTAATTAATAATGACTCTGGTTTGCAGAAAGTATCAGTAGTTAAGCGATCTCCGTTGCGCATTTTCAGGTACCCGGTTCAACATTCAGACCAAAGTTATTTCACTCGACATCGGCAAAATGGGACCGGAAAACGTTCACCAGATGCGCAACGAACTGCAGAATCTCAATATCGCCCTGCTAGGTTTGCCGATATATAATCGCAATTGATTTAACGTTTTCCATTTGTTGCGGTTTGATTTTGCTATATGTGATATCCAGTGCATTTAATATTTTTGCTTGTAGTAAACAACGCCGGTACTGCCGCGGGAGTAGGGAATTTCCTTACCACCGGATCCGACGAAGTACGAATTAGTGTTATTCTATTGTTTCGTTGCATGAATAATGTCATAATTTACGTTTCAGGATGTGGCCGGCATTGTAAATCTCAACGCGCGCGGTGTCGTGATGGTAAGCTAAAAGCACAGTAATTAAAAGATTTAGATTCATCGAATTTACTTTTTACAGTTTGGCACATAATTGCAGATAAGCCGCGCTGTCCTGCCGTTGATGATTGCCAAGAAAAAGGGTGAAAAGCGCTATGTGATCAATGTGGGCGCTATTTTCGGGGGAGTTAACCCCTCGCCCGGGTTAACGGTGTACGGCGCGACCAAGGCATTCCTGGACTCATTCTCCATCGCGCTTCACCATGAATATAAGGATCAGGGAATTTTTGTCCAGGTACGTCTTACTTCCGTCATTCTTGGAAAGAAGAGTTTGGCTTCCCTTTGTACAAGCAATCGACCAGAGCATAATACAATACGATCGGTGCCGGTATTACTTTCATAGCTGCTAAAGCTTATTTTACCGAAGCACTTCTGCAAATTTTTCTGATCACAATCTTGCGTTTTCCGGTGCGTATCTACCGTTGCTCTTTAACTGGTAGTGGTAGATTCAGAAACGGTTTCGTTCTCAAAAGAAGGTAGTTATATACCGAGATATGCGTACTTACATGCTAGCATGTTGAATTACTGACGTTCGAGATAACGTAGTTTATGCAAAATAAAATCACTGCATTCGTATTAATGTACAATATGTGTAGCGTATGTATGTATAGAAGTATTGTATTTCTGTCTTGTCTTTGCAAATTGTCATTGCATGCATGATGATGTTATTTGGAAACGGAGATTTCTTACGCTGGGATTATTTTTGTAGAGTTATATTCCTGGAGCTACGAAAACCAGTTTAATGTTCAAAGAACTGGAAGGTCATCCGCTGGTCGCCATGCCGGAGCAAGCAGTGGCCGGCGCGTTGGCACATCTCGGTCTCCGTTCTCGTACTTACGGCCACTGGAAAACTGCCCTTTGTGTAAAGACATTGCATTAAGTTCTTTGTTCTTACCAGAGGGTTTGCTTCGTAATAACTGTGTTTTAGGGGTGGTATCATTCCTGGAAGAACGTTAACGAAGCCTACATTCCCCATGTTTGAGTAGAATATTTGCTCACAGCTCGTCTTCTCCTGCCACAATCGTGCTAATTTAAGTTACAGTTATTACCTTGGGATGTTTTGAGTTTTTTTCCAATTAACTACATATTTTTTAAAGCGCCTGCGTTTTACGATATTTATTAATTTTATATTCTGGGAGTAACTTGCATTCCGTTTGCATTCCATGATGCTTAATAATGGTGGTGATGGATTAAAACAGAAATGTTTAAGTGAAAGCTAAAACACTTATATTATATATAGGGTAGGATACGATATGAACGTACTGTACAATACCCAGAGTAAATACATACTTCTTTGATTCTGAAAATATATTCACATACTTCAGAAGTCCTACTACTTTGTATATACGTAGAATGACAGAAGTTTTGTGTCATTTATCGTTGAGTGTATGCGATTAGCCTTGCTTGCTTTTCTTTTTGTGTTGGCTGTGTTGACAGATGATTATGAATGTCGCCCGTTGACAAATTTTGGAAAACTACTGTTTTCGAACGATTTCAGAATTAATAAAGCGGTGCCGGTAAAATCGCATATTTATTGCCATTAATTTTATCTTTTTATTAATGTGAACGAAAACGTCACGCTAATGCGATACTTCGTCCCCGGCCACAGATAAATTCCAAAAGTACTTTTTTTCGTAATTTCGTTACAGTAGTAATGTGAATCGAGTTGTCGGATGTGCTTGTTGCGAATCAGTTGATTCAGTCTACTCTAGCGAGGCGCATGTGTACAACAAGAAGAAATATGGGGTAATTCAGTATATGCAGTTATTTTTAACCACGAGTCAAAATCGTCAAGTTCGTTCTGCATATCCTCGCTGCAAATCCCGTCAAAACACCCAATGAAATCAAAAAGAGGCCAATAAGGAAGTATGCCGATACAATGACGGTGACGCTGGGATAGTGGTCCGGTGAGGGGATATAACCGGTGCCATTCGCCAAATCGGTCTGCATGTTGGGCAAATCCGCACCCAGCCAAAAATGTCCGGGATCACTCAGAGGATAATCCTCCAGTACCCCGGTGAGGATGGCGTTAATTATAAGGAACACCAGCATTACAGCGGAAATAACGCACAGCATCAGATTCAGCCCGCCCAACGCCATGAACGACCTCCTGGACATGACACCTTGACGTGCCGTTCGCGCGACAAATAATCCCCAACATCCGGTGTACAGGATCATGAAGTCCAACGACAAGCGGGAAACTAACGCCCATGACCATGACCATGAATAACGTTCACCAATAACTAAAAAGCAAGGAAGATTGAATCGTACGCATTTTATATCGAGGTATCGATATATACCGTACATAATTTTATTAAAACTATCACGTTATAATTCTACTTAGACTATATATCTACGTACATCATCAATAATTCAACATAATATCTACCTTATATTTACGACGCAATATTATGAATTCACGGTAGACTTAGCCGGGCTGACCCAAACAATACAAAGCGATCTGGTTTATATCAAATTATACGTACGGTACAAGTAATATATTTTGTGTGCGTGAAATTTTTGTGAGTGTGAAATGACATGGCAGCAATAACAACTGTTGTAAACCACGTGAATAAATTAACACTAATGCAACTGAACTGGTTTGGGTAGCATACAAAAGTTCACGCGAAAAACGTATAGTCGTGGTCGTATGTTATTGGCACGACTAATTGTAAGTTGAAAGCTTGAGTTTTGTTTATTGAAAACTAACTTTAAGCGTTAACGTTAAGTTTTCTTCACGTCCTGTTTAATCCATTGACAACGGTTTATCATAGTCACATGTTTACTTGTCACAATTACAATCGTGCAAAACAAATTATAGGGCACCTAACAAGTCCATTTCTGGAACTTAATTATTTTAAACTGAATATTCCAGAAATTGTGTAAACGCATATTTTGCGAACGGTTTAACCCGTAAGCACTGCTTTATAATAAGCTTGCTGTTTTGTTAACATCTAATATCAAAAAAGCGCAACTGGGATTGTTAAATGCGTATTACGTAAAGTAATAGGTGGTTCTGAGAATTAAATATAGTTAAATCTATGACTTACATGTGGATTTGAATTTTCCAGCCGTAAATAAAATCAAAAAATTACCGCAGGCCATAACAATTTCCGCAATGGATATATAACGCAGACGCGTTAGAGACTCCAACTGATGACTGGATGTACGGTAATAATCCATGATTAACAATGATTAATTTTAAAAATTGCTCGTATTACGGCAGGTTCGCGTGACAGCACGATTATAGGTACGCGCTAAGCAGGGAATCAAAAAAATCATTAAAATCAAAGCGGAATCACATATACTTTGTTACCGGTCGTATCTTGAGCAATTCCTTGGTCACTTTTGCAAAAGCCTCTTTAAAAATAAGCGATTTTTTATTGGTATTCTCAAATCATCCATCGAAAAACTTCGCTAGCAGTTTTGAACCATTTTGATCGTATCGCTGGTTAAAGTTGTTACGAGTACACGGCGAGAGCAACATCGCGTGAAATCTCTCCAGTCTTTAAGTGCAACCGCACCAGAACTTCCCTTTCAGTGCAATAAATCGTAGCAGTAAAAAGACAGTTTATGTACTATCTGCGGCAGCTCTATAACAAAACGTTAAGCGCTGCGTTCGTGGTCTTTTTAAGAGCGACATCGTATAAAAGCAAGATGGTTGTTGGTAAATACCTAAAAATATGTAGTGATCAACGCGCATGACGGGCGGCGTTCTGAAGCGGAGCAGTGCTTCTGGTTTCTGGCCAGATGATCGAGATTGTGCTGGATCGATGCCTAGTTCGAAGCACTGTATTATAGATATCTATATTTCGTAGTTCCATATCAAAGTGCTGTATTGCAGTACGGCATACAGCGCATAATAATGTTTTATAAAGCGTACCACGGAATAAATTACTTATTTTGTTTCCAGTTTCAACAGACTGTCTTGCTAGCACAGCTTCGTAGTTGTATTCGTAAGTACAATGTATATAGATAGATATGGGTTATTGACTGCTGTACAATTTGGTACTGGTTCTTAGTGGGCCAGAAAGTTGCGAGGATTACATGCACAACGACTATGCAGGCACTTCCTACTCGTATCGATTTTTTCCTGGTTAGCTGGGCATACAGTCCAGCCAGACTACGCTGAACGATCTTCCTTTACATCTTACTTTTTCCGGTCACCAAATGTGCGAAGTTGAGACTGCGAACAAATCGTGAAGCATAGAAGTATACGTTACAACAGGCTTTACATTGACAATCATAGACACATGGTAGAGTATGTCTTCGGCTGGCAAAAAAATATGATAATCCGGAACAACAAAAATATTTCGATCCCTCCTATACAAGCGCCAAGGTACAACTTTCACTGTGAAGACTGATGCTTCTACTATAGCACTAACAAAGAGTTGAAACCAATAATACAGAAGCGAAATGCTCGCAAAAGCGGGGAAATTATCACCTCGAAAGCAAAGAATCCACGATGGGCCAAATCAGTGGCATTAATTGCTGGACCCTCACGATCCGCAATGTAGCAGTCATCTGGAGCTGGCGTTGCTTGGAAAAAAGCAACGTTTCCAGTCGGCAACTTTCAGGTTAGTTTGAAGCACTTGGTTAATGGCAGACGGACTGGACTCCATCCTATCGAAGGAAATTACCATTGCAGCATAAATATACCGGCAGTCGTAAGTGGCAGAGCTGTAAAAAAATCTGCAGAACTGTGCTACACAAAGAGTAATTTACACTGCTCCTGCTGCAGTAACTCCTCAACTTTAACTGGAAAGGTTATATATACAACAAATGTAGTCTATTAACGACGTCTATTAACTACAAAAAGGTGACCGTGTATACATTTCATACTTCATAAAAACGATTGCAACAAAAAATTACAACTAACTACATTACGATAACCAGGTGCTGATGCAACATATATGCACCTTTGCAAAGGTTACCGTTCGCTCCAGATTGTGCGCCTAAGCGTGCTCCGTTTTGACCGCTGTATACTGCATGTTTCCCGCTGCCGCAGTGGGATAGCCTCCCCGCGCACCGGCATTAATGATGGCCGCGTTACGGCGACTGATCCAGGCGGCCATGGCTGCCGTCAAGACGAACAGGAGGATTATCAAGAGGACAATATACAAAAACCCGGTAACCAGGCTGATAAGACCTTCGACTTCCTTCTGCAGTTCGGCATTGGACGGGTCATAAGTGCTCGGCCAGGCCACCACCGCATTGGCCAGGGATGGGTTCGTCTCAGTGAGGATGTACACCACGATAAAAAATAGCATCTCAATTGCCCAGATAACGCATAAGACGATGTTGAGAATGCCCAGAATGCGAAACGATTTGGCGTCCACGATGCCCTGTCGGACGCGTCTAATGGTGACGACACCGTAGACACCGGTGGCCACCAACAGTGCAGCGCTCAGAAAACCGGTGGCGAAGTCGTCTAGTTGGTTCTCGATCTGGCTTTCTGCTCCTGATACACAACAGAAAACACTGTGTCAAACAAAAATCAGTGAACCCTAATGTCAATTGTTTAATCAACAGAAGAACTACCCGTAGTTGTACTCGTAAGTTATGGTTTACGTAGCATTAGTCAGTGCGCTGATAATAAGTAACTAGGCAAATCAATGATTTAAACATAAGGAAGTTACTGTATATTACTCGTATATAAAGACAATGCAGTCCAGATAAGAATTATAGAGAAAGAAAACCAAAGAAAACTAATTAAATAATACGCTGGTACCGGAGAAAACGACATGATCTACCGCATATACACGAGTACAAACTACAGAGCATTGTATAATATTTCTCTCTGTAGATAATTTTATACTTCGAGCACATAGAAATACTGTAATTTTAATTGACACTCTAACAGTAAGCCGTAAGCACTACAATTCTTTAGAGCCGTGCTAGATTAGTCTGGTGTTCTCTAAAACTGAATTATTTAAAAGAAAAACTACCGTAACTTACAAAATAGGTAAAAATAAATATATGAAAATTGTAACAACCCTAATTCTGCCGTACAAGTACACACATGCCAACTGCGACCATCACTTGATTTTGAAGAAAACTAACTTACTAATCAACTTTGTTATTACGCCGATAACTGAAAGGATCCCAAATACAATTTCCACGATGGATAAGCATAGTAAAGTCGGTATTCGTTCCAGAATATAGGTTCGGGTATCCATGATGGATGGTTCTGAACCCCCAAATATCAGTGTCCACTATATTCAGAGACTCTGGGGTACTCGCACTAAAAAAATATGAAAAACGATTAATGGTAAGATTTGCTGCTGGTCTTGTTTGTGCAGTGTGCTTGTTGTATCGACAGCATGTCATCATCGAATGAGTCAGAACGCAAAAGCACAGTACAGTAGTACAGCATTACGCCATTTGCAGGAACGTTGCCGAAGTACCACATGGAACTTGATGCAAGAATCGGATTATCGATTGCTTACTGTGCCAGTTTTTCGGCGCCGGGATTACTTGTATTTGGAAGCAGTCGGTTAATTATATGTACATTGTACATTGTACAATAACAATTTATTTCAGACTTTATTTGGTATTCTTGATGAACTTCTGGCTCTTCCAGTGTAATAAAACAACAACTGTCGAAATACTACGTGATACATGAGGAATGATTACAGTACTGCATTTCGAGGATATTATTTAGAACTGTCAAATATCAGCAGCCCGCTCGTATCTGCGGCACGACTGCTGCGCACGTATCGGTTACTCATCTTTCCGCTATGACTAAGAGAAAAAACTGAAATATGTTCCCACCAGTGATAACGGATACACGAGTAGAAATAAATACCATACCTGAGAGCAGTCAGAGCACCGTGAATTCTGCAATAAATCAGCCTTCATTGCCGTTTTATATTGCCACGGTAAACAAGTGCAAACTTGACGAGAAAATAATTTAAGCTTAATGACATGCAATAATTAAATTTTTCTTCGTGTGGGCAAAATTTGCTAATTTTGTGCAAAATTTGCTAATTAATTAGGCGTAAATGATTCCAGTTATAACTGCTCATGAAAGTTTTGCTTAATTACTAATTAGTAATTTAGTTAATTAAACCATATCATCTCAACACTTAATTACGGACTACAGCGTAATTTCATACAGTCTAATACAGCACGGCATCATTACGAACATTTATAAGCAGCTCAGGATAATTTTAACGAGTTGATGTGCGGTCGTGAATGTGGCCACGAATTATAAAACGAGCTCAACAGCTCGGTTTTATAATTCAGCAACTGATTCTCCATCTGACCAATGCGCGCAGCGTTATCAGTGAATCTGTCTGACTCACAAATCAGTGCGTGAGTTGGAGCGCACTCGAGCATTTTGACCTAGATACAATTCTCTCTGAATCCCAATACGTGGTAAATTTGACAGTTGCTATTATTACTTTTGAAGATACTGTGAAATACATATCTTTGCTACTACAAGAAGTATAGCAAGTAATTCGCACTACTATGGCTGTTGTCTCAGTTTAAATGTCTCACCCACAAATGCGCTCAAAGGCAAAGTACCGGTCATTCTCTTAATATAACTATATCTTTATGTTCATATTACTTTTACCACATTGAAGGAACTGAGAGATACGAGTACTCACCGAACTGCTGTCACTGAATCCACAATTAGAATCCATATTGATTTATTGGCAATAGCCACCCAAATAGCAATAAATGCAAGCGCTGGTACACTACTTGATAGTTAAAAATTAAACATTAAAAAAACAACCAAAATCCTTATCCTCTCTCGGATTAAAAGGCAGTGTACTCAAAGTCAAAACAGCCGTAGCATTTCCTTTAACAACAGCTAAACTAAAACGCTGCTTGAGAAAAGCAGTAGAACGCGCTTCGCCCGTTATGTCACGAATCTTGCGGCCCATGAAATGCAGCATTTCAGTGAAGGCAGGGCCAAAAACTCCCAGTGTCTCAATAACCAGGGGATAAAAGAGGTAACCGTATTCCAAAAAAGAATATGTGCGGCGCTTGGAATTTTCCGCCAGTTGGGACACACTTCCGGATTTCTTCGAGCTTGCGGTGACGTGGGAATCCGCAACAGTACACCAGCTTGTTACATCCCAAACAAGCGGTCTGCCTTAGCGAACTGGTATCAGCGTCATTCCGTCAGGTCTTTTCCCGTTTGTGCTGGATAGTCCATTCGGTTCCAGCTGACAAGGAAAACCAGCGCTTTCGCAACAATTCTTGGCGATGCTGTTCATTTCTTTATGCCGCGCCCATCGTCCTTTGGTTGATTTGTTGCATGATAGCCCATGGTGACCATTGATTTCAACTTGCGTACCGCACGCGATGCATTTGTGTGCCACCACTACCGGTAATCCAAATCGCAAGGCTACACCGATTCTGACATCATCGTCCTTCAGGAAGGTGCCCAAACATGGCGCAGGCAAGGCATTTAACCATGCTCCAGAGTCTTTGTTTAAGGCAGCCAGCAAGACCGCCCTGGCGCGGTCGTTGCCTTCAGTACAGGACATCAGCATGGAAATATCTCGCTCAATCATTTGGCTGTCCCATGCAAACTGAAACTTCCGAAGAGATTCTACCGGAATCTCACCTTCTGTCAGCCGTACCCAGGTTTCCTGAGCTGCTTTCGTCAGACACTCTTCAGTTGGCTGATAAAATTCGGAAACGATGGGTTGCACAGAGTACACCGATGCCAAATAGGCACAAACAGCTAATGTCTCGATGCGTCGCGTTCCCAAACCGTACTGGAAGAGATATCTGCGTCCACTGAGCTTCAGAAATTTTTACGTTAACCAGCTGTTCCACCCCCAACCGAATCTAACCGAACGAATCCATATTATTCGATAGCTGAATATAATAATGCTAACACAACTTCTACTCATATAATAGACTTCGAAGTGCCTTCGGGCTGATGTAAAAGAGCATACTTCTGGTACCGTAGATATAGATATTTCAAATTTACTGCATGCTGCAATATACAAATGCACGCGCTTGTGCGTTCCCATTTATTCCTAAATTTAATAAATCAAAAATCTGGATAAATGCCAAAGTCATGCCGGTCTCATCTCCACGACTCCCGAAACGCACTAGTTGCGGCAGAGTGTAGTAGGAAAGACTAATAAAATGGATATTTGTCTATACAAAAATCTTTTTATTTTTATCGAAGCTTTCACGTGCATTGAATGTCTCCCATGGGTCTAGAGATGGACCGGAAGGGCATGTAAAGTTGGTAGCTTTTGCAGACGCCTACTCTTCGAGCAATCCGTTTTTAGAAAGACTGAAAGAATCGTCAAATAAAACGCCGGTAACAGTTTTCAATCCATCCATGATTGCACTGATAAATGCATATAGTGTATACTTTAGAAAGCGTTTTGTGAAATAAAGTATTTTATTTTCTGCTGTGTGTTTTTGATTGATATATGCAGTATTTCCATAACCCAATTTGTAGCATTTTTAAGTTAAGCAGGTCATATTTGACTTGATTTTCTTATTGCGTCAGTAAGCTGAACGTCAGTAAACCGACAACAAAACTTGCAGCACAAAAAACTGTTAATTCACTGTGATGCTACTTATTTGTTTCGGTTAGCATGAGCAGATGGTTGAGCCAAAACATCACTACTCATATTGATCATACTTACCACTTTCTTAATTTTCTGCTAGGCGCTGTGTCCACAGAATCACGCTTCTTAGCCGGATAAAAACTGTTGTACACCAAACAGCTTTTACGTTTTGACGTTTGCAGATTTGATTATCAAAATTACAGGCGGTTGATTAGTAAACAATCACGTCTACCTTCTAATCGGATATGTCACAATAATGCTACAGAATCAAATCATCCACGTTTTAAATTTTATTAGACTTAAAAAAACTAATATTTTAGTCTTTGATACAGTCGCTTCAGTAGGAGTGGACAATAGGCAAAAACAAATTCTCATCATGAACGCTGAAGCATGACCTTTATATGAGATCTTAATTGGAACCGATTTGAAGGTTTTACAACTATAAACTAATGAGCAAACGCAAGAAAGCTAAAATTGAGTGCAATCGCTTTTTGACTCTTGCTCCACACATGATCCATAACTTTGTGGTTTCGCTACAAATTTTTACTAAAGCATTTTTAAAAAATTCTCAGTCTGTATCAGTGTAAAGATCAATGAACATGAAACCAAAACAGGTTCCATTTGGCATACTGCAGATCTTTCAACCAGACATCGAACTGTACGACCATTCATCGAAACCCCGGCGCAGTGTGGTCCAACTGCGACGACAAATGTGCACCGCGGACGCAGCCAGCGCCACGTAAAGCAGAAAGACAACTTGAACCACAAAGTACACAGAAATCATAACCGTTCGTAATTGTTCGTCCGGGAAGCTCTCCAATCCGGGATTAGAACGGATGAATTCTTCAGTTAAGCCGATTAATCCGAGAATGGTCTGGCTCGCGTTGGGAGCGATGTTGACCAGTGCTCCACCGATAGCCAGGATGACGAAGATGGTGGAATACACAATGCACAGTATTATGTCCAGGATGGCCAACACCAAGAAAGTGCGCCGCACAAACACGCCACGCCGCACCTCCCGGACACAGTGAATGCCGTAGGATCCCGTCGCCACCAGGAAGATATCGATAAACATCCAGATGACCGTCCCGTATGTTCGGGCAATCGGGGTTACTATAAATATTTAGTTAACATTTACGGCAATACATAATATGGTATGTGGTAAAATAGGTATCTGGTAAAACAGGTGCTCAGATTACATTAAATGCGGCTGCAATTGCAAAGACTATATCTAGCTGCATACCAATTGGTATAATTATTATATATATCATAACGTACTTGTATTATGTGCATATTGGCGCTATTGGCCACTGGACATAACTGCAGCTGACATCGATCGATGTTGTAACTGCCAGTTTAGAAAAATTATAGATTTATAATAATTGGTCTCTAGATCTCCTCTTGTATCTTACTCTTCCATTTTATATATTAGTATCGTTATGCAATGCTCTTTCCGTGCGTTACGGCACGCCCGTGCACATGTGCACGATGCCATTACTTGGGAAGCCGACAGCGAGACTCTGTGACCTTTCTGGCTTTACTGCTGGACAAGCATTTTACTGCATTTGTACGAGCTACAGTATGAGCTACAGTACAGTATAGTATCTACAGTACGAGCTACATTTGCTCGTATCTACAGTTCAGCAGACATATGTTGCGGATACTTACTGACTAGCGTGCTGAAAAAACAACAGAGTCCCAATATACCGCAAAAGATTTGAGTGATCGATATATAGCGAAGACTGCGTATGGCCAGAAAGAACGATTTCTGACTTTGATCCGCCATAGTTACATAAAAGTCAATACAAATTAAAATCACATCGCTGCCCCATCAACAGGTTGCGATGCATGGCTCACATGTGACAGGCATTTTATACAATCGCGGAAAAATGCGCTTCCATCTGCTGCTGACCAAATAATCAAGGAAACCGGAAAATGTAAAACTGTCGATATTTCTTGTATATGCAGCTGCACCGGTACATCCCTCATGGCTCAGGCGGATCGCTAGCGTATTTTTCGCTGGTTTTCCTATAAGCCCAAAAATAAAAGTTTCACGGGGAAAGCAGGGAGCATAAATCTAACCCTGCTCAGACTGAGCGCATTTTATATTGAGGCAAAAACGAAAGATCATGCAGAAAGTGTCTGCAAACTGCAAAGCGCATGAAAAAACGACATCTTGTAATGCCGCGTCTAGATCAGGAGCAAACAGACTCAATTATTCGGCACTGATCCTGCTCTTATGATCCGGCAGCTGCAGTGCAGCAGACATCTGCAGTTGAAACTGGTCGAACGTAGCGGATCCAGTGGGCAATTTGCATGGAGATCGATAGTACTTGCTTAATGGCAGACTGTTTTGACTCCATTTATCCTACCGAATCGATTGCAATGAAATTACCATACATAACAATAAAAACACTAACGCTCGCCGTGATTCCGGTCTGTCATTTTGAATAACAAGCAAGTAGCCATTCCCTCATTATCGGAAAACGTTTTTTTTAGCTGACTCTGAACTTGGATCCAAGACTAGTACTCCAAGTGTATATATGAGCCAAGTGCATGCCAAACTCCCGGTTTCAAATTCAGATAGGTGAATCGCTGGAAAGGGGATGCGGAAATTCCAAAACTTTAAAAATTTGCCGCAACGCACACTCTGGCGCAGAATATGATTAATGTGTTGACTGCGTTAGCTAATTTTTGGGAGCAACGCTCCTCTCATGATATATACGAGTACTTCTTTAAAGTATATATATGAGTATATGCATACGAGCATACGATATGTGTATCTGCTCTCTGCAAACAAAATCCGCATGCAGAAATTATACAGGCAGTGATTTTACACTAAAAACTTCCTTCCTTACAATAATGAATTAACACACTTGACGTGTACAGAAAACCAGGTCGGTCATTAAATTTTGTTCGCAAGTACATAATAAGTATCCGTAACCCCAATATCAAATACATTCTATGATATGTATACAGCGATAATTACTTTACGATGCAATATTATCACTCAATAATTCTTGAAAAAAAGTTAATTTTTAAATTTGACGTGCATAGGCTTTCTCTTGGCGTTAACCAGGAGATAGATGACCATTTAAAAAAACCAAAGCATAATCAATACAGTATATGGAAACTAACCACAATCACAAATGTGGGCAGCGGAACTATTATACTTGTAGCATGTAGCAGCGGATTCTGATGGTTTGGAGTTGAAGGTCGTTATTCGAAGGCTCGAAGCGGATCCCATCCGTAGGTAATATTACGCTGATCCGTTGGTGTGCCCATGAAGTACGCAATCGCACTGACCAGGGGCGGAGCCGCGACCCGTAGAACGCCGAGCACAATTTCAGTTATGGATAAACCATCGTAATTTTGGTAATCCTTCGAGTATTCAACCTAGACTGGACATTGATGGATGATCGAATCAGCGGAACAAAATCCAAAGGACAGCTACAAGCTACAGCTATACAGACGGAGAACACTGCTTAAAACTGCGGAAGGCTCTTCAGAAGATTCCAACTGTGCGATTCACTCCAAGTGAAACCAATCTAAAGAAACCAAGCCGGTGTCGGCGCGCGACTACAAGCTAATAAAACTTTTCCTTGCCCTGAACATTGCAAAGGTATCCCTTCCCGATTTGCCGGCCCGATGTCATCAAGCTCTGTAATATTATACGGCCTGCGGCCATGGTCTTTAATTCTGAAAGCTAACTGCGGACGAAGTTAAACGACCATACCTGTAGTGATCCGACGGATTATCGACTGACTTTTTTCCGGTTTCAGTTTTTTCTTTATGTTTCTTGGTTTATTTTCGCTGTTTCGATGTAATATCGATAGTTTTTCACCATATTTTGGAAAACGGAAGGTTTCTAAATTTTGGATAATCGGATGAATTTTTACGGTAGAATATGTGCTGAAACAAATTATATTGTCAAATTATTTCCCAACAGTCAACAAAAATATAGTGGACTGACAACATTATTGTGTGTACATATTGCCCGCATAATATCGGAGGTACGGCCGCCGGGTATAGGTACAACACATACGTAGGTGTTAAAATTCCCAGAAGACTTGGATAATCAAGTCAGTTCCGGCACATAAAACATGCTATAAACGACTATTAAAATGTTGTGGTATGGTGGCCCAAACGTGGTCTGTGTCGCTGACTTGCACAGCAAAAATCGAAAATTCACCCCAGTTTTCCCAATTCCATCCTGTCGCTCTTCGCACTTACGAAGCTGACCTGTGCGGATGACTTCTGACGATATAAATATGAAAGGCAGGCGACTAAACACTGATTCCCATATCAACTTTTATTCATAAGAATACCACAACCGTTAGCAAAACAGTAACATTACAAAATGGGATAACAAACCATACAAAATTCAAAATGGCCATACAAATGAACGAATCACTGAACGAAGAAAGCGAGAACGCAAGCCAACGTTCAAGACTGGAGCCATAATATAATACATCGTATTACCAATTAATACCAACCCACTTAACAACTGCGAAACATCAACGACCAAAAACACACAATTATGGGACACAAATATAAATATGCAAACCAAGAAAAGCACTTTTGTCCACGTCACAGGCAAAACGGAACCAGCCAATAAACCGTTGCCCATCTTCGTTGCGTAATTTATGCGCACTTTCTAGCTTTGTGATCCTTTTTCAAAACTGCATTTTACTTTACTGTAGCTTGTAAGCATATTACTGCGGTCTGTAACAAAAATCTTCCCAACGCATTTAATGTAGCTCCCTTCAAGCACGGTATTAATAAATTAAAATGTTAATTAAAATGTGTGAAAACTACAGCTCTTTTAGTTTTTTCGTTTGTCAAAATCTCAAATTCGAGCAATTATGCGGGCCACGGCAGTGGGTTTCTCTCCGTCGCTTTTAGAACCAATCCCTGCCTCGTGATGTTTACCAAATTTAAATGACTTCCATCTACCAAAATCAGCTGCTCTGCCGCCATTTAACTAAAACTTGGTCTTTATGTTTCGACCAGTTTATGTATTTTCTTCAGACCGAACTGTGATCACCGTAGGAACAGGGTAGGAACAGGCACAGGTTCAGGTACTGATCACAACTGATGGCTCGGAGACGAAGAGCAGAACATGATTAGTTCAGAAACAAGACGGAGTTACAGACTACCGTACTTATGGTTAGGTGCTAAACAAAACTATTTCAAACATAACAGCACTAGTATGCGAAAGGAACATCACGGAAAACGTGAGGAACCTGCTGATAAGCCTCCTGATCTTAACACATTTCTGTACGATGTACGTTCAAATAAGCTGCTTATTTGAGTTGCCATCTCAAAAAAACTACTCTGGAGTAGTTTCTTTATTTTGCTTATTCTGGGCGGGATATGCAAGTTCTGCATATTTGCGTCACGCAAAATGGACCAACTGCCGTAAAGGGGAGGTCGTTGTGACGTGAACAAAAGTGCTTATCTGGGTTTGCATATTTATATTTGTGTCCCATAAATATACAATTCCCACGTCCCGAATTACATAACAACATACTATAAAAAACCAGCACAAAATAGGAAATACTATTTTCTGGATAACTTGACATAATAAAAGGAAGAAAATCATAAAATCTGCAACATTATGTAAATTCTATGTATTCCGACTGCTGTGTCGGCAGCGATGTAATGAGTCTTGTGCGATAACGAAAACACATTGCCGAGCCGGACCAGAAGGTAATGAGCGACGGTGTTTGTTTAAAATCGCTGTATGGTGTTCAGAATCCATTTCCTTCGTGAACCTAGAATGACAGCAATTTACATACTGCGCAGACAACAATCTTCCATAACATGCAATTTCATCAACACAAAAATTGATTCGATCTGATCAAATGGTAAAGACACACTTTACTGACTTCAGAAACAAAGTAGGTATGATTTAACAAGTAGGTACATACATTAATGAGACAGAACGATATCATACATTTCACACTAGAAAAAACAGCAAGTGTAACGGTACCGGTGCGCCAGTACTCGCGTTACCAGGGCTGAAAATATCTACAGAGATACTATTGATTCCATACCTCGTATATAAATGTGTTCCCTTTATGGATGCTCCGTCTTGACCACGGAGTACTGCGTGTATCCAGGTGGCGCCATGGGATAGCCCGCAACTGCTCCCCTCGCACCGGCCTCAATGATGGCCGCATTGCGCCGGCTGATCTTGGCCGCCATGGCCGCCATCAGAATGAACAGCGACGCGATAATGATGCCGACAACCACAAATACCACAATAATGGTGGTCACGATCGTGACGAGATGTTGCATGCCCTCGTCATACTGCTGGTGCTCTTGCGTTGCGCCCGACATGCCGGCTGCCGACATCATCTGAGCGGCTACGGATGGAGCAGCGGCCAGCATAATGCCCACTACGATGAAGTATATCAGGCTAACGGCAAACAAGACGCACAGGATGATGTTGAGGATGCCCAGGATGCGGAAGGCGTTGCCGTCCACGATGCCCTGTCGGAGGCGTTTAATGGTGATCACACCGTAGACGCCGGTGGCCAGAAACAGGATACAGATGGCCAAACTGCCGATACAGCTGGCTAACTGGGCGCTTGTGGCCTCTGATAGAACACAAAAAGACAAGTCAATTAAGCAGGTTCAAATCTATCTGCATACATAGTTGCAAATTAAATTTGGATCTGTACTAAACTTTATGAAAAAGCGCACAAATCCAGCGATCGATTACGGTACTTTTAACTTGTACAATTCCAGAGTCTTTTAGCTCCGTTTCACATCTCGTCATCGATGTAAACAAATCGACAGAACCGTAACCGGTAACATACGCGCAAGAGCAGAATCGCATCATATATAACCGCTCCTGTGGAGCCACGTTGTCGTTACACAACTTACACTGGCCACTTACACTGTAACTAGAGATTACCGAATTCACGGTCAGGGTCAGCGTTTTTCGTAGATATTTATATGAACGAGTATAAACTATAAGCTAAATACCAGCTTACTGTACCGTGCGTAATTTTTTGTTTAACCAATGTTAACTTGAATAACCCAATAAAAATCAAAACTTACTATAGAAGTACCTACCCTAGGTCTCAGTTTTTTTTACAGAATCACCTGCATGTAAAAAAGCGTAAAACACGATGCAAAGAAAATGCTGTTCTCTAATCCGATTTAGTCTTACACTACACGCCCATTTACCAATTTTCCCACAGTGGTCAAATTAATGAATCAGATTTTAATTTGTCTACAGTTTTTCTTGCTTGTGGTACATTTTATCGTACAAAAATTCAGCGTTCAAAATTGATTTATTCACGCAGAGCGGTGAAGCAATTTCGTACAGCACTGTATTAGTATAACAAATATGTAGGTGCCAGTGTAAACAGATCAATTTTCGGAATACGGGAATAAAAGGAATCCGAGAACGATCCGCAGCGGAACCGATCAATATATATAAGCAACATACACTCATACAGTACAAGCATATCACAGTCTTACAACGCCATGTCGATACCGCCGTGTACATATTGATTTAGCGGTACAATGCACAGTGCACACAATGTCAACTACAACAAGCATTTGCAAAAACTTACTAAAGATGTTTGAGATTGCTCCAAGAACCGCCAGTGTGCCCAGTACAACTTCCGTAATGGATAGGCATCGTAGTTTCGATATGCTTTCCAATACATAACCTTGGATTTCCATGATGTGTGTAGTTCGGAGAAAAGGTAGAAAATTATGAATGAAGTAACGTAGAAGGTGACAGTTGACTGTAAGAACACCGTTCCCAAATTGCAGGAGACTCTTCACAGGATGCGATGCAGTCGACGTGAAACTGATCTGATGTGCATAAGCAAATGGCGACGGCACAGGCTAATAAAAATGCACCGCGCCCTGACACATGGAAAGATGTGCCCGCGGTTTTCGGTTTGCCGGTCTGGTTTGTTCACATTTTGTCATCCGTACTCGTACCAGTGTTCTTTAAAGGCCTTTTATATTAAACACTGAGAGAGTACGTACTACGTAGTACCTACCGCTAGTATGTATGCCACAGTACCGTGGCAAATCTATGCCTCCAAAATGTACTTTGCCTGTGGTGGAACGGTGCCACGTGCCCCACGCAAGAACCGGATTATCGACCGCTTTTTTTTGCTTATTTGACGACAATCATATGGATTATCTTCAGAAACGGTTGCTTTAATACTTGTAGTATTTGGAGCACACAATACGCACATTTACTTTCTGTGCTTTAATACATTGGACTGTCTGGTGTCTGCATGGCCAGACATTAGAGCACAGTAGACCGGGTAGCCAGCAATTCATCCGGAATACCGCATTCTGGATCAAATTGGAAGGACTGATGGTTGTTCTACACGTCTGCTGTACACGTATTGAGTATACCGACCGTTACTAATTAATAGTAATTATCAAACAATTGCTCATGACAGCTTTCGGCAATAATTTAAGCACCGTTAGTGTGTCACAGGAAGTATGGCAAGTCGTCCAATTGTACGAACGTACAATTGTAAGTGCAGCTTGCCACTGTAGGTACTGTACCGTGCCTTGACTTGTGAGATCAAATTTATTACTTACTGTACCTATGTTGTTGCGCTCAAGGGCATTACATGTAATAATGGTTTTTTATCATTCTTTAATTAAGTAAGCAAACTGCAAATTTGCAGTAGATCTTTCACTACGGTAATGACTTATACTACGGTAGCTCAACAAATAATAATTATGTGTTAATAATTCCAGTTAGCAAAGAAGTTTAAAAAGAAACATTCTTCGTAGTAATGGAAATTACATATTATTTCATTTGATATATTTATTAAAATTGCATATTATTTTATTTGATGTTCATTACATACTTTGTATGATTTCGTGCCGTGCAGTTCACAGTTCACACTTCGCATCTGTAGATGCAGCGGGAAGACAACACTGATGATGATCTATCGCACTTGTATCTTTCTTTTGATCTACCACATATCAGTGACTGCGGTACGGATACTGTGATGTACGAATTAATATACATTCGTTAACTTTTGTTAAAGGGAAATTTTTTTCCCGATATTAATGGGGATATTTTCCTGTTTCCCTTGCGCACCGTAATTAGCTGTACGGTATGTTTGTACATTTGTACTATAAAGTTAATACATAGGTTAAAAGCGGTACACAAAACCATGGCCAGATATTGTTTCAGCAAAACTAAAGATTCTGCTCCTTAATTATAACGAATGACCGGTAGCGCTTATGGAATAAAATAGCATTATCCAGTTTTGGTCCGCTTTAGCTAACACTATGAGCCATGTAAATTTTGGTTCACTAAGGGTAACTATTAACTAACCGATGGGGATTGCGGATTAATTGGCCTAATTGTAAAAAACAATCACTGTGTGCGAAATTAGTCCCAGTTCGTTCGTATACCAAACCCACTTCTGCAAAATCCCAGTATTTTAAACCTGTTCCCATCAACCGAAATATTTCGCGGTAGTACCACGTACTCAGTAGGAAGCCAAATACACCGACAGGCACAGGAAATGACGGCATTTAACCTACCTTCACCATTTCATCGCCAATGGTCTACCCCCTTAAACGCACATCAAAGCCAGGTGCGTTCATCTGTTGGATGAGCAAACGGGAATTTCCTTCCGTGCACGCCACCAAGCAGCCATAAAAAGTCAATGCGTACATACATTGCTCTGTTCTGCTACAATACACAGAAACACAGCGGCTCATAGTTCAAGCGGAATTTTATTCACAATAACACCAAAACGGTACAAAACACTGAACGTATGCACGTAATCCATCACGGCAGGTTTTGTATTCACTATTCACACTGCATAAAGGTCAAACTATAAAAGAAGGTTCATCAACTGCGGCCACGACGTTCACTGCGTTGCGCTACTCGCTCCTGCCTGCGCTTTTCTTGGTACGCCTGTACGGCCAACTCTAAATTTCCTTTATTATCCGGTGATTCTTTGATGTACCTCTGAAAAACAATACATTCATTACGACTCACTGGTTCACTATGCTAGAACTCATCCCACAATAAGCTTCCCGTTACACCGTAACACAAATATACTGCACCTTTAGTGTTTCGATAGGCTCCATCGTCGAGATTGACTCGTCGGTAGTTCCATGGGAATGAACGATATGACAAAGTTGAATCACATCCGGGCACATATCCAGCCTAGACGCGTAATAAATATCTAGGTATATACACAAAAGAGATTAGAAATATTTACTGCAACTGTCTATGTGACTGATATCGTAAAATAAACAAATTCGGATATCGTTGTTCGGTGAGAACTTATTTTTGGTAGGGGAGTGCAAGAATTACTTTGCACAATTTTTCGGACCTGCTTTACAGCTAAAAAAGGTGGAACAAAACTGTTTTCTATAAGCGAATCTTTTCCCTACAGCACTAACAAAATTTACTACAAGGGTTCTGTGAGCGTATGTCTAGAAAATGATTTACCGGATGACATAATCGCTACGATCAAGGCAGCAAATTCATGAATTTATGGCACAGTACCTTTCATTTTGCAGTAGATATATTAAATAGTTATCGATACGTCGCTCGCGGGCCAAATGAAACACGAAACCGCCCATATGCCTCGTCGATTCCAGCAGGGAATAATTGCGCATTTCGTCGATATAATCATACACCGTCTGGCATACCTAAACACAAACGCAAACTTTGAACCCCATTCCCGCTGTGTTTATTTAATCTACAGCCACTCATGACCATCATCAATGCAAATGGCGGTGCAGTAAAAGCTTACACGAATAAAGTGAGGATCATCCGGCTCGAACTGCACGCAGGCACGATCGAGGATGTACTCCTCCATACCGCGTTCCAACGAGTCCTAAAAGTGATCAAAGTGTTCAGAAATACCTGGAACCAAAGTCAGTTGCAAAACCGTGCAGTACTGAACATTTCATATTTCGTTCAAATTTAATCAATGTAATGCCCGGTAATGCTATATACGTAGTCCCTCAAAATCCGCAAAGATTTTTCTCTATGCACGTCTAACCATTTTCAAAAACAAAAACGTCCAGACTAATTATTTTGAAAAGTGAAATGCAGTACTCGTACCGTAACAACATTTTCCTTGTTATATCCACGCAAAACATATAAATCATCCATAATTTAGCTCTAAGCTAAACGTGCACGGTTGAAGTATAAGCTGAGCGTTGTTGTATAGTACCACAATAACTGTAATAACTGTAAAAATGTGATATTAATTCCTGAGATAGTGCCATGCTTGTCCGTATAGACATACCCGAATGTTCTCCTCCAAAAACATAGCCGGAACTGTCAGTTCCCGGCCTTCCACCGGAAAATAGATCTGGTTCATTCTATCCCGCTCTTCCCACGCTGCTGTTCGCAGTGTCCCATTTAATTCCCGTACCACAATATATCGGTCCTAAGGAAAATCAGAAGATAACTAAAGAAAAGATTCCAAAGGCAAAAAACACTCAACAATAACGTATGTAAAGCTACGAAAACTCAAATAACCGAAAATAGCCTAAAATCCACTACGTCACGATTATTCCAGCCAAGAACAGCATCCACCAGAAAATATTTCCTATACATTCAGCCGGTGTAAAATAAAATTTGAAGATGAAAACCCAAAACGATTACAATGAAATTTCCACTCCAAAACTTGACAAGAATTATTAATACTGTGCTTAAAAAATAGCCAAAGCCATCAAAATTAACAAAACGTGCATTCGCGTAATACTTATCAAAACCATTCAAATTCAAACGTTTAATTTGAACTAATCAAGTAGCGCAAAAGCAGCTAATGTTACTTTGGTGGTTACTACCAAGAAAAATAACATAAAAAAAGATAATAAGTGTCGTAGGCCTTACTCTGGGTTTGATTCCGTAAGTGATGTCTACGAAGACATTGCGATGAGTGTCATAATCTTGCAGCAGTTCATCTTCGACGATCACTCGATCGACGGGTTCACGCGGCGCCATAACAGGCGGCATCTGTGTATGAGCCGGAATTTCTGACATCTTCTGCTTGGTTGCCTGCAAACCAGCCCAACAGCAGCGCATCAGCAGGGAAAAAAGTTTAAAATTCAGTGGGATTTTGCTACCGTACTTGTTCCAGCTGTTGATCCGTTAACAGGCGAATCTCGCTCTGCTCGAATTTTTTCTTTAACACCGGCTGCGTGGCAAACACTTTGGAAGCATCGCGACCCGTTAATCGTTTCAATGTTTGCTGGACGCGAAAATCAAGGAAAATTTTCTCGATTGAATTACCGGGAGAGCTGGAATCTAAAATCCCAATCAATATCGATATCACTGCAAGCATATAAACTGTATGTGCTACGTACGGGTAATGAGAGCGCAATTAAGCTATTTTGGTCAAAACTCAACCAAACTTTACACGCCAGAGAAAACTGAAATTACTATAACTACACAGAACACATCATGCTGCCATTGGCATTCTGCTTCAAGTACTTACCTTCGGCAGACTTCGACTCCGACGAAGTTTCGGTTGCATATAACCGCTGGGCTGCAGAATGGTATACCGGTCTTACTCCTAAGCTATTCCGTGAGAAAACTCGAAGAGAACTCAAGCAGCATGCACGAAGTCCCGAAGCGGACGACATCATGGAAGGCTTCCGCAGATTTGCAACTGCAGTTCTGATGCTTTGCAATCTCACTGCTTCACAAGTTTACTGCCAGTGCCAACTGTTAATATCATAACAGTTCATCCTCACAAAAATTATGACAAAACCCTCTTTCACTAAATTAAATCTGTACAGAAGCCGAAGCGGAATGATATTAATTAAATGTGCATGGGATAGCATCTGTTTTATCATAACAGTAACTTTAATTTTTTCAGTTTTTTCGAATTTTTTTACCATGTTTCGCCCTAGGGAGGCGGAGCACACTTCCGAAGGGTTAACAGCCCTTACCCAAGTGCAGTCGCCCCTAACCATAATGGCCGGATACGCTAATTCTGGTGTTTCTGCCTTTCGGGTTTATTTTCTGGACTTCTTTCTCATTCTTCGTAAAATTTGGTTCAGATTTCAGCTAGGTTTATTTATTTTTAATAGGATCAATTTAATACGCATTCAACGAAGCGAGAATTACTGCGGATACTTTGTCTGTTAAACCTGTGTGGAAAAAGTGAGCGTAAACGGATGTTCGGTCGGCGCTTTTCCGCTTTGTGGTGTGCAGCGTCATAACCACTGCCGCGTACACAAACTCTGACTGTTAGCCACCGGGCTGAAAAATTAGAAATTTCCGTGCGTTGTAGGTTCGCTCTGCACTTTTCGAATTTGTTAATTTGTAACACAGTGTTTTATCGTATTGTGTCAGAAAAACCACTATTTTTCGACAAATTTTCACTACTGGTACCATTTTTTATTTTGATTTATTAATTGGAGCTTTTTTAAGCCTGCGATATCTGTTTTTATTATTCTGTTGGGATCCGTTAGAATGGAAACACAGGCCGTTGCAGGAGGTAAGAAGGTTCCTGAAAAATTTGCTCTTTTCGAGGTTGCTGAAGTCTGTGTTTTGTGCTGAAACGGTCTATCCTTTAAAAAATAAATTAAACATTTTTTTTAAATTTATAAGTTATTCTGCAGTCAAGGTGTTGGGTTCACTTACAGAGAAGTTCGATGGCAAGCCAGCAGGGAGCACCAGCGAACCCATTTCTCATGACAATTTGGATAACCACAAACCATCGCAGGGATTAACCGATACTTCAAAGGAAATTGTGGGTGCTTCGCCAGAGCAGAATAAAAATGGTGAGCGGAAGGAGGGATCTGTCAGTGGAGAATCGAAAGACGGATCTCTGCCATCAGCCAACGATACGAATCAGGATCCTGCCAAAACATCGACTCCAGGCAAAGTATGTTCGCAGCACAGCGAAAAAAACTAATGACACGCTGGCTGCAACTTGCACAGCATATTATAAGCAGTAATAATAGTCCAACAAGTCCATAGACTCCATAAGCAGTTCTTTACGGATTTGTAATTTTTATTTGTAAGTAGTAGGCGCCAGAATGACAAGGAAGTCCAATCACGGTGACTTCGCTTCGTGGTTCAGATCTGTAAACAATGAACGACATCCTTCAGCCATAAAGAAAGTTTTTATAAAATTATAGATGTATTTGTCTTTAATAATAATAATATTATACTACTGATTATTAGCAATTTAATACCATTATTTTGCTAAAATTAATTCGACAATAACTTTAGACAAAAAACTTGAGTTTTTTAGCGCTTTTATTTACGACTGATTACGCATGTTCACTGTTATGACAGACTGTACAAGCCAGTAAGGAAACAGAGTTTTGACGTAATAACGCTTATTTACTTGATCAATGAGGTTTCGCCATTCGGAGCATTAACGTTGCGCAAGCCGTAGTGGCACTGTTGAGTAATATGATTCTAATGCGAGTACTACAGAACGACCAGGGAAATCAACCTTAATTGACATTTTAGTGTTTTAGCGCTGTGCGCAAAAATCAGATAATGAGCGTCTACTCGTAAGGTTGATTGCTCATCGTTGCGGTCCTGCCTGCATGGTTTCCAGTTGGATTACTCCGTTAAAGTTGTGCTGAATGAGTGAATCGATTTCTTTAAGAATTGCATTCACAGTTAAAGAGTTGGGCCGCTAATAGCCTGCTAGCGCTGCGAAATGTATTTGTTCGTGGACTGCCGTCTTCTCACGGAATCGTGATCGCATCTAGCAGTGGTGATGTTTTTCCACTATTTTGCAAAGCATATGAATGCAGCGATTTTAAGCTTGCTATTACTGAAGTACAATTTTTTACTTTTTTTGTGAATTTCAGAAGTATGCTTACCGGTAATTGGAGTAAAGCATAGTGCTGGACCTGCTGATCTTTGGGTTTTTTCTAATTATTAGCCTTTTTAAAAGGGATAAGAACTAACAGCAAAGTAGAATTTTATTAATCCGGAAATTTTAAATGAAGGATTTTCATGTTGTAATTATAGACTGTTTCCGAAGAGGCGCAGAAAACTGCCGTGGAGGAGAAGGACAAATCAGCCGCGGTGTCAGGATCGGATACTTCCTTGCTTAAAGTCTCCCCTCCCAAAGACGAGCGGAAATCCCCCGCAGGTGCCTCCCCTCGTGCATCCCGCTTAAGCCCCCGACCACCGGAGCCGAAGAAATCCGAGGAGCCCGCCGACGTACCTGCTGCTACCACCAGTACCCCACCCGCTACTGCACAGAAGACGGAAACCGCTGCCGAACAGGAAGCCAAGCCCGATCAGCCTGAAGGTGATGTGGAGATGAAGGAAACCGAAGCCAAGGAGGAGGAGGAGGAGAAAATGGATGTTGATCAGGAAACCCCGGGAACGACTGCCGAAGGCACCGCTTCAGCCGATGACAAGGAGAAGAAGGCTCCGGCCCGAGGGAAGGCCGCCGCAAAGCCGCCAGCGGAACCCAAACCCCGAGCGCCCAGGAACGCTGCACGTGAGTAATTGTTGTTGTTAGTATTTTTCTAGAACATACGGCCAATTACTGCAAATGATGATTCCGAATCCCCTTCTTACTTGTTGCAAATCTTTTGATTTGGAACATGCAGATAATTCCTTCTGACAGCAACTCTTCTCCTTATATTATTATGTAGTGATTTCCTCACTGTTAGACCGGACACTCATTTTTTTACGTAATAGTGTTAGTGCTTATCTTTAATCAGACATTCTTGAAAATAATAAAATCCAAAACCGATGGAAATTCTGACGATAATAAATTTTATTTAAAGATTTTTGCTGTCTTTGCAGCGAAAGAGAAGCCAGCGCCCACTGAACCTTTGCGTCGCTCGACGCGTGCCATTCCCCCGAAGCCAGCCGCCAAACCAGCTCCCGCGCCGTCTGCACGCGGCACCAAGCGGACCGCTTCGCCGGCCGCCAGCAAATCCCCGGTGGCTAAAAGACCCGCCCCAGCCCCCAAGCCGGCGGCAAAAGTAGTCTCCCTGAAGAAACCGGCCGCCGCCACTACGGAAGCTGCTGCTGCTCCCAAGAAAGGCGGTCAGAATGGGGTGGCCAACGCCAAGAAGGCCCCGGCGAAACCTCCGGCAGCGGGCACCAGGGCCATCCCTTCACGGGCGGCCAAGAAATAGACACAAAGAGAACAGGGACAAAAAGAACGGGAATGGTTCCTCTTTCATTCCACCGCTGCTGGGATTTTTAAGGGTGTGGTTTCTCTCTATCTGAGTATACGGTACAACGGTCAGTATCTCATGTGGTTTTTTCGCTTTTCGTTTATTCTCATGAAATAAACCCGTGTTTTTGTTGTATCGAGATCATGGATTTTGTCGATTCGATGTTTTGAATTTTCAGATTCGCAAAGCAGGCGTGTTTGGTTCCGACCGTTCAGTACTTAGCGATTTTAGCAATTTGTCGAAGCAGTATCATCAGTTCTTTTTGTTTGTATTTTTAAGTTGCAACTTTTCTCAGCATTTTGAGCACATAGTAGTACATAACTGTATCCCGTGTAATTGTATTATAGTTTCTCCATCGATATCCTAGCTATTCTCTGCAATGTTGTGGTGAAGGTGTTTAATAAATGTAATATATGACATTGGGTGTCGTTCGGTTAAATTCAGAATAGCAGAAATGAGAAATTCAGGTCGATTTGCTGTCAAGAGCTGTTGGTGGAAATGAAAATCTTACAGAAATTAGTATTTAACGGAGATGTTTTGTTTGTGTACAGATAAAAGCAGCGAATTACGACATCGCGTGATCGCACATTTGTGCATAACTCTGAACTTTATTCACTTCTCGTCGTCTCGATGAGTTTTCTCGTACACTTCTCTTACCCCCAGTGCACTAACACAGTTTTCAATAGAACAATACAGCGGGTTTTGTATGGCAAGCTCGCATAGTAAAATGGAATCTCCAAAAATAATCTGTCGAAAACTTCTTTAAAAAATTCTCCCACAGCAAATTTTACTGTAACAAAACAACCTCACCCACAATAACCATTCTGGACTTAATGTCCTATCATCCGGAGATTTTGTAAAATTTCCATCCAGGTTAAAACAGCTCTCCACATCACTTCTGGAGCGATATTCCCAACAACCCACAATTCCAACAAAAGAAAAGAAAGCGCTTAGATGAGCAAGAGGAGTAATATAAAAAATATACAGGTATTTCCAAAAACAACGCCGTCATTTCTTCCGTGACGGTTGACTCCTGTGCACGGCATCGGATCCCGCGGCTGCACTGCGTAGTATGGCATTCTCCGACCTTAACGCGTTGTTCTCAAATTCCAGCTGTTCAACTTTATCACGCAGTTTGGCCAGTTCACTAGAAACGGTCTCCAGTTCGCCACGAACAGCAATTATTAAATGATTTCCCACCAAATCCTACAATAAAAAAATCCATTATTAACCTATCGTACAGCCAATATCTAATCCCGCAATAAATAGATTTCGATTCATTTTTGCAAAAGTGGGTTATTACTTATTAGCCCTACTTAATGCAACGCTGCCGTAACGTAAAACGTAAAAAACGCTGCCGCGATTGGTGACTCACATCGATGAGTTTTACAAAAAATTTAATCAGAGCGAAAAAATTCTTGCAAAACGTAAAACGACCAGTTTCTAGATATATCTGGAAAAATTTCCAAAAAATATTCACAACGCAGCAAAATAAATCGAATTCACGGATTCGTATTGCAATGGCAAAGGCTTTGCAGTTGAAAATTGCTGCTGTAAACCAGTGTCAAGAAATATTAAGAAATACTTATCAGCTACTCGTATGAATAAAGACTTACCATGCACTGCCGGATTTTGTTGTCCAGGCTAATTCCAGAAATTTCACTCATTCTGCAATGTACATTGCAAGCCATATAGAAAATTCATAGTATCTGCGCAACAAATTAGAATCTAGGCATACTGGTGCGAAAAATTCATAAAGAGGAAAAGAATGACAACCAGCGGGCCTGGTCTACGCTAACCCCCCAATCTGCCAGCATCGATCATACCACAGTGACTGTGTAGACCAGTCGAGCGATGGATACCATGATTCACCTCTATTACCCGCAACACTCACCCATTAGCCCCGACATCAATCGTTGTCCGCCGGGACAGCTCAGCCGACAACGCCGCATTGGAATCCGACACAAACACCGCCGCATCCTTCCCAGTCGCGGATTCCCCCTCCCCATTGGAAAGCACATTGGTCCGTACACTCAAATCTGACACCGATGTCGAATCCGAGCTGTCCGTCGGCGCGCCTTTACTGATGACCACCGGTGGCGGTCCGGGAACGCCGCCGCCCACCGGTAGATGGACCGCCGTGACTTTGAATTTGGAGGGTTTGGTGTGGAGGTTGGAAGGGACCTCCAAGGGATCCGACACGGAGCTGGATGCGCTGGGCACCTGGGCAGGCGCGGTCGCTGCTGCGGTGGCAGGGGGAGCCACCACGGAGGTGGCTGATGGGTCAGCCGCAGGGCGATCGTTTGGCTGGAGTTTCGATTGCTCTTTAGGACGGTCGTGAAAATCAAAACACTGCCACCTCCCTATCACCAAACGCAAATAATGAATACACAAATCAAACAAAAACTTCATTATTCGGTAACTTCGGTTGGCTGTTGCTTATCCAAATTAACTTATTGAACTTGTCTTAGAGCGACATGAAATAAGCTAACAAATTTTCAAGAGAAGTCAACGCGGAATTTTAGAAATTACAGCTGAATTTTACTACAATATTTTTGCTAAGCAGAGTAAAATTCTCTCACAAGACAAAAGAACAATGCGCTTTAACTAATTTCAAATGGTGCGCTAATCTGTAGGCACGCAGACACCACTCACTACTTAATTTTCCACCTTTAAAATTTTTAAATTTTGGAATTTTGAAGGTAAACCAGTTGCAAGCAAAAATCACCAACGATTCAACGAGCAAACGCACCGCAGTATGTTCAGAGTTCACACACGCTCGTACACACCTCTGCAATACGGCGCTTTACTCTCCAACTTGACCACTTTAAATTTCGATACCCTCGTCTGCTCAGAGCTAGCTTCCGACCTCCTATCGGGTTCGGGCACATCTTTCGGGATTGCATTCGTATGGTTGTGGGGCCGTGGGCGAATCGCACCAGCAGCACCGGCATTTTTCACAGCCACATTCTCCTTATTCTCCCCGGTGCGCGACACCGATGCATTGATAGTCGATCCACTGCTATTATCCGATGCCGGCAGACGTCCGCCGCCGGTCGGCGAGACCGCGTTGCTATCGACATCCGGACAGACCACCACCGTGTCAGTGCCGGAGGAATGTGCAGAGTCCGAATCAGAGCTGTACAGATGATTCGCTACGTAATCGCTGGGCTTCATCAGCGGTTCTGATGGGCCGGAGTCCATGGCGTCCTGCACCGTGTCAGCTGCCATCTTTTGCTATTGGTCAAAACAGCAAGTTCGTCAGCTGTTTCGCATTGCACATATCCCGATGAAAGTTAATTCGTAATTAAAAAATAAAACAAAAGGTGCGCTGCAAAATTAATTTTTCATTAACCTATAAAATAAAAATCGAATAACAGATTCAACTTGTAAGTCTTCGTCTTTGATTCAAATTTTTTATTTTTCAACTGGTACCAGACTCGACATAAGTAAAGCATTACTTAAATCAGTTAAATATAAATCGTACTGAATAAGATATCCATCCCATCATGCCTGTTCAGTGATAAATTAGCGATATTAAATTTCCGGATAACCCGAAAGATCATGCACGCTTCCCGTTTTTTTAAAATGCAAAATTTTATCATTTCCCTGTGTTTTTATAAAAATTCCCCGCAGTTCGAGCAACACCGCGTGGTAACAAGAAAACATCACACTTACTAACGTATTTACTACCGCGTGATTTACCAGAGCTTTTAGAACAACAACCTGACGGCAATAAAAAACGATGTCACAACGTCGCGACTTCAACGACCATTTAAGAAACCGTCAACAAGGCTTCGGAACCACATAAGTTCAAGCCACTGATCAATATTACAGGTTCTCGAGAAAATATTGTCTTTCGCACTTTTTGCAAAATAGGCCAAAGTAACGAAAGCGTGTGATCGGTACATGCTTCATAGTGCCGTTAACCAAGTACGCAAATACGTACCGGTAATTCTACTGTAATTATTTCTATTTCCAAAATTTTCGAAAAATCAACATCGACCCACAAATCTTCAAGCAGCGAATGCTAAGAAACTGCTAACTTAGTTTATTCTGTGGGACAACTCCCTCATGGATAAGAATTTGACCACTACACGGTAAAATGCTGTATCATCCACGAAGAAAATACTGAAAACAGGTGTATGATAATGTAGTAATGTACCACTAATAATTGATTAACCCAACTCATTTCCATCTGCAATGATGTTAAAGATTACTGCACACGTAAAGTTGTAAACCGAATAATCGATTAAGGCGTCAGATTCCATGTAACTGCGTCGAAAGAAACAAATTAATGTGCTTGTAGTTGGTTTAAATTTCAAACCAGATAAGCTACCGGAAAAGCACTTTACTGATTGTGAATCAAATTCGGGACTTTGTTTACCTAACCTTTATTTCATACATGTAGTGAAAACTGCTGAGCAAGTATCGAAATATCAAAACGAATGACAACATTCAAATTTCAGCCTACATTGCTTTGTTGTCAGACGAACTGTTTCGCATTTTCCGCATAAAAAATTCAAATGGCACCCCCCTGGTAAACTGACAAGACCCATTTTTCCGGTCGTGATTTATATGACACAGCAGGACTCTTTAATGCGACTCTGTTCTTCCCACTTGCTCTTAAGTATGCATCGTGCTGCCAAAAATAGAGAGACATTTTGTATATAAACACATAAGCCATAATCCGTTAGTGTATTACACCAAATGCAACTCTGTGTCTGTCGCCATATAAACCGCTGCCAGGCGTTTTCATCGCTCGATTTGATCACAGAAAATACATCCCCATCAACGAGATGCCCATCAAATTACATCCCCTTGCGAATTGCATACTCAGATCGACGTAAGCATAAAATACGATACTGAAATCAGTAAAATCTACTACTTTCTTTGAAATCTTTTCTGCCACAAATGCGAAACAATCGAAACAGCAGCATTTACCTCACTCGTACCAAAAGTAGCAAAACTGTTTTAGATTCTTTTTATTTTCACAAATCAATAATATAATTTCCCGCCGTTATCCACTAAAAGAAAACAACTACAAAAATAATTGTTTAATGAAAAACTTAAAACAAGTATTTCGTATTTCTTAAAATTTGCGGAAAAAATTGAACCAACCACAAACATCACTTTTCTTCACGACTGCACCCAGAAAGCACCACAACAGAAATATGCCAAAAATGCTGATGCCAATCAAATTATGGCAGTTCCGTTCGCGCAAGCTCTGATGACAAGTAAAGGAAAATTTCATAGTCTTGCTTAACGTATATCGCATCTGATGCTTGAATATTTAAAACAAATTTTCAAAACAAATCAATTTCAATGCACTTTAAAACAATTTTCTATCGGTTTTCTTTAAAGTTCCACTTTAAAGCAATTATTTACGGTAAAAATTTTCCGCATCCGTAAACAAATGAAAATTTTCCCATAGTTATAAAGTAATAAACGAACTTGTGTACAAATTCAATTCAGTCAACATTCAAGTACACTTCCAAGACAAAACACACGAGATCAATTTCAATTTTCAGCCATTAAGAACCTCTGAGCAAGCGACGCGCGAAGTCATTTGTCCGACGCGAAATATCCAACGTCAAAAAAATTTACGCTCACGCTCACTTACCATAGCACCAGCAATCTGGTGGCAACGAAACTCAACTCCCCGTCATTCTGCTGCATCCATCACAAGCCAGATCCGAAGAAAATCCAACAAAATCGCAAAATCAGGATCAAATGATAATGCAGTCCAGATCAATCATGCAATCCTCCTTCGCGACGCAATCCAGACCTGCTGCAGCATCTATCCCTGTTGCGACACGAGAAAACGCGTACAACTGTCAGCAATTGTAGCCTGCAGAAGGAACGGCGTTCCTTAATCTAATCGGTTAGTAAATGAATAACGATTGAGTGAATTACCTACTTCAACTTGTACGGAAAGAGCAGCAGAAAACAAGCGTCCTCTTACCATAAAAAATCGCTTCGCTGGTCAATTCCATCCAACGACACTTGTACCGCCGCGGTAACTTTGTTTTTTACGCCAGTTACACGATGAATACTTGTCGGTAAATAATGTAAATCAGACGATAAGCCAGCGTAAACAGCAATTGCACATCTTCAGGTTCCACAACTTTAATTTTCTGCAGAATAGGCAGCTGACTCAAGTCTCTTGCCAAAACTTGTAAAGCAAACTCAACTGAATGAAATCAATACGAGGCGACGGCTACGTAGACGGACAGACGCACAGCAGCGTGACGGCCGCCAGCCAACGGAGCAGGTGGCGCTTGCTTGCGCCGCTAATCCTTGCAGCTTGCTGCAGATTTGCAAAACCACAACAAAACGTTACAAAAGTAACAGAATATGTTACATTTTTGCCCGTCAGGTTTCATGGGTGACTTTTTCCTTTTCCAGTTCGTTATTCTCTGTTTGTGCACACGATTTCAGTAAGCTTGAAGCTTTTTTTCTGCAGTTTTAGATGTGGGAGATTTAAGAGCTCGGAATCGGATCCATCATCCATCTACTATCTGTACGGCCGCAGCTCCGGACTTGGTTGCGAGTCGCGACGGTGCGACTTATCATGAAGTGTTTGAAGTTTTGAACTGTGTCTTTACCGAATTATAGCATCACCGGGAATGGCTTACCGTGGAGTTCTGCGCTTTGCTCCCCATCTTCAGACCGGAAAGGTAGGACATAGGTGATGGTAGTTGTTTTCTGCTTTAATTATGCAACGTAAATTACGGTTTTTAACTTTCTGCGCTTACTTAAAATTAACATTAATCTGAAGTACGACTGTACGAGTTCGCAATTGTATACATGTACATACAATGGACACCATAAATGTGGTTACACTTAAACTGCGCGCAACCAGATACTTATCTGTACTCAGACAGCCAATTCCGTGCTGGCCATCAACCTGCTGATGTTTACACTTGCACCCTGCACACTTCCCAACGAAAACTATCAAACGATATCTCAAAAGAATGAGAAAAAAATTCTAAGAATTTTGATACCATACAAATTCGTTTTTGTTTCATCTAAGAGAAAATCGAGGTTCCTGAAGTTTCCCGTAGACAAAGCATATGCGTGAAAACAAACCAAACCGTGGATTCAAATCCTATGCTATGTCTACGGGAAACTTTAGGAGCCTCGATTTTCTCTTAGATGTAATAAAAACCAATTTGTTTGGTATCAAAATTCTTAGAATTCTTTTCTTATTCTTTTGAGATATCGCTTGATGGTTTTCGTTGAGAAATGTGCAAGTTCCAAGTGCCTGAGTTTAGCATACGAGTCTACGCGCAATCGGAAGACCGACTTATTTTGGTCTGCTATTGGTCTTGCCGTTAAAATATCGGTCCTCGGACCGATTGCCTAGTGTAACCACATTTATGGTGTCCACTGTACCTCTTGTAGGCTTGTGCAATAATCATTAGCCTAGCTGTAGTATTTACTATTTACTAATAAAAAATTGTAAAACAGCGTAAGTTGTGCTCTTTTAAAGCTCTCTCTTTTGCAGTTTTGCACTCTCTGTAAACTGTAAAGCGACCACTCTAGAGTTTTAACATATTTAATAATTCTCCGTTACTCTTCATTACGGTTTTACAGTATTTAAATTTGCATCCTATGTACATATAGATATCGATGTATAGGTATCTCGTCATTCTCGGGTGTAGTCACGGTATGTAATGGTATTTCTGATTTTATGTGTAGGATAGTATACGAACAAGTAGCTGAACTGTTTTCGTTTGTGATATGGAAGCAGGACTGCTTTACCGCCTTTACGGGAAACATCCGGCGGCACATTGCGACCACTTCGCATCGGTGGAATGATGGCGAAACTACAGCTGTCTCCTACGACTTCCCAACCGTCAAAGTGGACAGAATTCCCGACAAAGCGGGATTGCTCCACGTTCAGCTCAACCGTCCCGACCGGCTCAATTCCCTGAATCCGCAGGCCTGGAAGTGAGTGGCTCCCGAAGCCGGTAGAAAAAAAGTGCGCATCGAATTACTTACGGTTTTTGTTTCACTCTTAGCCTGACCAACACCATTCTACCTACCTTCCGATCTGTATTCTGCTTTTTATTACTGAACTATGTACTTGCTCACGCGAAGTCATTTATCGTTAAATCATGAAGACAAAAGTGAACTGGAAATTGCGAAATTGAATCAACAAAAAAACAAAATCCACTTATCATAAGCGGATCTTGTTTTGGGTTGATTCATTTTTTTAATTAATTGAATTGGTTAAATTGCTTGGCGTGTTGCTACAGTTTTGGAAATTTTTATAATCGTATACTTACGGAAAATGAAATTTTGCTGGCTTTTTTGACAACGACACGAAATTCTCTTGCTTTTGTTACTGGCTTCGTTGCTTCGGTAGTTTATATTGATGTTGAGTAAATTTACGTGAACAGTTTTAACTGCTTCTCTACTTAACGGTTTTTGCTATCGGTACTTCTATTGCGTACTAGTGTATTACTCTATGCAAAGTTCAGAAGTAATAATTTACGAACTGTACTTAATACTCAGACGTTCGTGACGTTATCATACCATCACATGTAGATGTAGAGATCAGCTGTTAGTTATGATATGAACTTGTGTAAGAATTTTGAGACAATTATTAATGGTTTGCATTATGTTGCAGAGATATCGGTGAATGTTTCGACAAAATCGCTTCCGATCCAGAAGCTCGAGTGGTGGTTCTTAGCGGAAACGGCAAACACTTTTGCGCTGGTACGGTGGGTGCATTGGAATTACGAAATTAAAATGAAATGAAAACTTTTCTCGTGACTTATGATCAGAAAATTGTTTGGCAGGACTGGACCTGATGGATATGGGTCCGTTAATGGAGCTAGTTGGAGGCGACACGGAATTTGCTCGTAAAGCTCTGAAGATGCGCGAAACCATACTGAAATACCAGGCTACATTGTCGGCCATCGAGAAATGCCCAAAGCCAGTGATTGCAGCCGTCCATGGAGGCTGTATTGGAGCCGGCATAAATATGGTGGCAGCGTGCGATATCCGGTACTGCACGGAAGACGCTGTATTCGCAATTAAGGTAAATTCGAGAATGCTCATTGGTGATAGTTCATAGTCAACCATAAGTTATTCGTGTTATAGTTTGCCATACATTCGTTTTATTTGGTGTTTTCGTAGAAGGTAATTTATTATTATTAATTTTGATATTAGTTGTTAACTATTTCTGCTTTTGTTGTTTTCGCTGGTTAATAACCTGGTTCTTGTATTAGTCACTGCCCATTAATAGTCGTCCATATTCCTGATTTATGATTGACTTCTCTTACTTGTTAGTAAATAAATTTACTGGCAAGCGAATATTTTCGTTGTTTGTATACAACAGTGTCGGACACGTAATAGTACTTACTGTAATAGCTTTGAATGGTCTTTTGTGGTAAACGTTACGCATTTACAAATTGTTATACAGTACATAAATAACGTGATTACCTTACATTGCTGTATCCAGTTTATACTTTGTAGTAGTAATCGTAAGTTTGCTATACGTTTTAGGAGGTGGATATCGGAATTGCCGCTGATGTTGGTGTACTGCAACGCATGCCGAAATACACCGGAAACGATTCTTTACTCCGCGAACTAGCCTTTACTGCTCGAAATTTTTCGGCTGCTGAAGCCCGGAAGATCGGCTTCTTATCGAAAACATTCGATAGTAAAGAGGGAATGTTAAACAGCGCTATGGATCTTGCCGCCGTGATTGCCCGGAAAAGCCCTATAGCAATTCAAGGAACGAAGGTCCATTTGAACTACAGTCGGGATCATACAGTGCAGGAAGGATTAGAAAGCATGGTAAGAATCTGATGACGCCGGCTCTGTGGGAAAAAAGTGTGTAACCGAGCAAAGGTGGAATGCTTATTATTTTTTGCTTCGCTTTTTTTGCAGGCTAATTGGAACATGGCAATGTTGCTCAGCGAAGATTTGATGAAGTCTGCTACTGCTTCCATGGACCGGTCTGGAAAAACAATTCCTAAATTCGAAAATTTGCTATGATTTCATGCACTTCTTCAGGTGAAGTTTTAATGCCGCGTTTAATTAGTATTACGTTGAAATTTTAGATGTCTTATGACGTTTTAGCAGTGATGTTGTGACTTGAATACTTCCTCTGTATGAAATGCTGAAGATTTTGGTACTTGATTAGTTATTAAATTATTCATTTCTGTGGATCGCAGTAGCGCACTGTAAGTCTGTAACAAAACACCTGCGACTGGCCTTGTTGCATATCGTGGCAAGTTGGCAACATCCGTGCGAGCGGGAGCAGCGGCTGCAAAGGCGGAACAGGATAAGCCGATAAGGCAGCCAAGTGCCAGAACATGACCCAAGACTGCCTGTTCAGCGCTTTGGGCTTCGAACGCTAGGACCAGTCGGACCGGAATGCTACTTACGGAAGTGGGTAGGAGGGTACGGCAAGAAACCGGCGTGGCACGAGCACCGGGTTTTCTCTGCTAATACGCTGGCGTAGATATGTTGACATATCTTATACGTTTATCAATATTCCGGAATATCTACGCCAGCGTATCAGCAAAGGAATCCAGCGCGGGAACGCGACCTCCGTTCAGGGAACAGCTCCCTGCTCCAACCGGAGCAAAATTTAATATAGGTCAGTACTGTTGTTCTCTGATCTTAGACCTCCCGAGGGCCTCGGCGCGAGGCTGTTTTCTGCTGATTGAGTGCACTGCTTTGTGATGTTAATTGTTTTTCTGTAAGCTTAATGGGTGGGTATACCTATTAATTAAAAAGTAATCTCACTAATTTGCACTAGAGCCCTGCACGAGCAGCAAAACTGCTGCTCAACTCGCTCGTTTCTGCTTTTTTAAACTTCCTGCTCGCTCAGCTCGCTCGCGCCCAAACCACCGCTCGCTCAACTCGCTCGTTTTCCAATTTTTATTTGCTTCTGCTCGCTCAACTCGCTCGTAATTTTATTTTGGTAAATCGGCTCGCTCGTAAGATCGGCAAAAATTTACGTATCAATTTTTTTGCACGAATTAATTATACCAAACTTTTCACCAACACAAAAACTCAGTACATAACTAACATAAGTGTAATTGGATGTTCAGAGACAATCACTTATATCTCCATACTGGTAGTCCGTATCATTAGCTTTTCATTTTTTTGCTAATCCATTTCTCTAATTTTCAACTGGATGTAGTTTTCTTAATTTGGCCTGAAATAAATACGTATAATAGAATGCTCAAAAATTAAAATGCACCTTTCTTAGGAATCATTCAACTGATTCATAAACCCGTCAAATAATGTTTTTGTTGGCTACGAGTACAAAATATCAAAATTTAGTCGTGCGTCCCAAGTTCCAACCGGTCTAGGAAAGTTAGTAAATAAATCAATTCGCGCGAAGCGCGAAGGTGACGGTGGTTTAAGATCGTTTTCAGGTCGGTCAATGTAATTTTGTACTAGAAACTTCTCCAGTTCGCACAATGTCAGCCTGTAGGCTCGCGATCGCTCGCACCCGACCATCCCGCTCGCTCGGCTCGCTCGCAATTTTTTTCTATTGCTCAGCTCGTTCGCAAATTCGCAAAACGACGCCTGCTCGCTCGAAGTGCTCGCGAGCGCCGAGCGCTCGTGAGCCGAGCCGAGCAGCTCGGCTCGTGCAGGGCTCTAATTTGCACCCACAAAAACTGGTGCACGGTGCACGTATGACGTTCGTGACGTAACACCTTGTAGACTTTTTAGTACATACTATGAACCGCCCATTTTCGATAATTCCACCCCATCCCATCCACCTTGCACTGAGTAACTCCCCAGCCCATCTTTTCCCCGGCTAACCCGACTTCCATCTCGCATTTTCATCGCCCCTATCGCCCTATCCCATTCTCGACACTTGACAGGCTTGAAAATCGTAAAGTTTTGGCAGGTTAAAATTCGCCGAAATAACGGCGAGCATAACTGTTTAAAATCGTATGCCGATAGCGCTTCCGATCACTGCGGCCGCATAGAATTACTTCAGCACTCATTCGGCAAACGCTCTTTTCGGCAACTGGGCATTTCGGGCATCTTGTTTTTCCAGCTTCTCTTAGGCTTCTTTTTTTCTTATGTTTTCAAACGTTCTAGTTATCTTATGTTCTTATGCTTCCCTGTTTTCTTATGCTTTCTTATCATATATTCCATGTATTTTATTATGATTTCTTATGTTTTCTTATGCTCACTGTTAGCGAAGTGTGCATTAAAGTCGGTACCTTTGGCCCAGTGGCCCGTAGAACCACGGCCGAAATATTTTGACCAAAACCAAAAATTATCGTGGCCAAAATGAAGGCGAAGTGAGCGGTAGCCTGCCGATTGAGGTCGGCCACGCCTTCACGCGTATGAGATACGGAGATAGAGCGTCGGGAGAAAGAATCTTTCTGCTCTTAACAAACGTGATTTTTTGTCATCTGTTGCTCTTCCATCTTCATTCCCCTTCCCCAAAAGGTAGGGTAATGGTAATGGGGAAAATTTTCACCTTACACATGGTAATGCTTATGTCTGTACCCAAAAGATGGGCCAGGGCTGCTGTGTTCAGGCTGTTCAGCTAAGTACTCAGTACTTAGTACTTACTGCAACAGTTTTTCGGATCCGGATGTATTCAGTCATTTCAGTGAATTGCTTGAACACGTTACTGGAGAACAAAAGTTTTGCACTCGTCTCTGGCATACGAATAGAACTGAACTGCATCAGGAACGGTGCCGGAACTTTACAGCCAATCCGAATCTTTGAGGGGCGGCTCTCTACGTTCCTAGTGGAAGGTGTGATGTTTGCGCTCCGCCCATTTTTTGTGGTTGTCAGCCGCAGCGTGCACGCCGTGCACTGTATGCTACGCAAAGGCAGTTGCCAGACGGACCTCCTTTTAGTCGCACTATCAGTATCCATCCAGCTGCTGCTTCTAGTTTAGGGTAGATCTGCCGTTGGAAATCGTTATCAGTTCCGCTAACTTTTGTGAGTTTTGGCGCGTTTGGGATCTCCTTTAATCCTTACCCTATTATTGTTTTTTAATTACAACCGTATCTCGTTAATTCTAAAAAATGTCAGGACGCGGAGCCAAAACTGTCCAGAAAAAACGGGTGAGACTTGTAACTTTCTTGTTTACGGATTGTATGCAATGCAGTCCGTTGGAGTGCATCTGATTTGCGATCCTTACACTGATTCGTTGAATTCTTGCTGGTTCTAAGGTTCTTCCAGTGTTCCACTATTGCAGATATTTTTTATTGTATAAGTACTCGAGCATCCTGGTCTTATAGGTTTTGCAGTTATTGAAAAGCAGGTGATACGTGATTATATGGTGTCGTCTGTTGTTGCAGCAAACCAAGTCAGGGCGTTCGGGACTGGTCATGCCAGTATCGCGTTTTATTCGGGCCCTGCGGAAAGGCAACTACGCCAAACGGTTGAGCGTGGCTTCCGGCGTGTATACCGTAAGTAGTCGTTGGTCATGTGCATCATTTATGCGATTTTGCAGTGTTTCGCGCCATTGCAGGCGGCCGTTGTTGAGTATCTGGTCGCGGAAGTTTTGGAGTTAGCTGGCAAGGCCTCTACCGACAACAAGAAGAAGCGGATCAGTCCTCGCCATATCCAGCTGGCCATCCGGAACGACGAAGGTGAGAATATCTGATTAACCCGCTCTCTCTTTTCTGAAGAGTTTACCTCGTCAGTTCCGTAAAGAAATGAGTATTCGTGTTGTATTGACTCTTGAAAAGCTTGAGTTTCTGAGTTTCTTGGTTATTTCTCCGAGAGCGTAAATGTATCTGGTAACCATCACTTGCCTTGTAAAATCTCTTGCATGGTATTTCGGAGCGATTTCAGTTATTGATATTCCCGTTAATTCTAATGTACTGTACTTCGAAGTTGAATTGTAACTTGCAGTTTGCTGGTCGATGTTGTTTGCAAACTGCCTGACATGTGTTACGTAACGTATGTGCTATATCGATTGGTTTTGTAGAACTGAATCGCTTTTGCGAGGGCGTCGTCATCGCCCAAGGTGGGGTGATCCCGCACCTTCACCCGGCTCTGCTGAAGCCACATAGCCAGTGGAAGGTGGCGGACACCAATATTAATCTGACGACCGAAGGTGAGAGAAATTTTCAGTATGTTAACAATCCAGTATGTTTAATTTCTCATTACAGCTGATTGCGTTTCGGACGCTTAGTTTAAGATTACAGCATTAATTAATTTTAATTTAAGGTGGCAATAAATGTATAGGTACTGAGAATTCATTTAGAGATCGATTTAGCAAGAAGACTCGCGAGCGATCCAGTTGCTGTGTCAAAGTTGTTTTTATTGTCCCTGTTAAAAACGTGTTCTGTATCGATGTCTCATTCGTAGCCAAACCGGAAAAGGAGAAATCCGAGAAGTCCAAGTCAAAGTCGCCTAAGAAGAAATCGAAGAAAGCCGTGGCGCAGGAAGATGAGGAGTAGCTGACCCAGAACTGGCATCTCGAAGCATTCTTACACACTGCGTACAGGCCGAGCAGTGTTGTAACATGTTCCATGGGTATTAGTTTGTTGCGTGCTTAGTGGACAGATTTCATATTTTGTTTTCGTGGACTTCGTGGAAGAATTGTATCATATTACATTGTCAAAGTTATTTTTTCAACTACATAGATTTTCTCAACTCGGAAGCGCTGTTATTCTATGTAGCTTGTAATACCAGTTAGGCCGTTTTAGTATTTCTCAGCTCTTTGGAGTTTTTTTAATTGCATTTACTGTGGTTGATCGGTTTGTTTTTGTCAACAGTTACTGTACAGTTTTCGCTGATCGCACAGACAAGAATATTAAAGAATTTGTGGTCTTTTAGCTAATTACGTTGGTTTCATCAGTTAGTCGCTGGCTAGTGGCTGTTCATACATAGTACTGTATTCAGTGTATTGTGCTGGAAGCCCCTTAAAAGAACCCAGATTTCAGCTTTACCAAGCGGTTATGAAACTGACTGTAAGTACGAATACTACTTTAACCATTAGTAGTTAGTAGTAGTACAATTAACACATACTCGTGTCTGCATTATTAATCTTTATGACTTAAAAGTACATATCGCATTTCGCTGTTGATACATTTGCACTTCTGCATGGTGTAAAAATGTACGACACAAAATAGTTATCAATTATTCATCATATCTTGTGCTTTGGCCATCAGAATGTTGGACGTCCTGCAATAACTTGATTGCAAAAAATCACTTGCATGGTAGAATGCCTGGAATCTGGGTAAAGCGAGAACATTAACACCGTAACTGCTGCCTGCTCCCGTAAAACATGGAGAAGTACTGTACTTAAAGTGATGAAACTAGTGATTATTTGTTCTTCCATGGACCATTTGCGCTCCTCTACTTATCTGTCGAAATTCTTTTTGAGATTAACGTTTTGTCCTTGTGTTCCGTCTTTTCTGGTAAACTCTTGCCCTTTCTATAAGCACCACCGACTAAAGATGCCGGTCGCACCGGAAGTGTGTTTCTCAAGGCGAAAATCTTTTTAGGAATTCTGCACACTTTTTCTTTCTCAGCACCAGGCAACGCTTTGTCTGTCTTGACGATTTTCTTCGGTTTTACTGGTTTGAACGGGGTTTTTCTAGTCCTCATCCCGACATTAGGCGCTGTGACCTGTTCTCCACCCACACCAGTGTGCTCCAGTTGCGGCACCTTCCCTTGCAGTAAATAATGGATATAATGTTGGGCGTTCTTCACGCGTGCCACTTCCACAATCTGCTGGTTGATGTGGATGGGACGCTGTTGGATGTTGATCTTATTGACCACGCCCATCTTGATGCCGCGTGCTTTGGCTTCGTCCATGGTAAACCGACGGAAATCCCGCGGATCGGCCATTTTTCTGCCCTTCTCGAAATCGTCTCCCTTTTGTTCGTCAACGTGCTTTGATCGGTGAGGTTTCCTGGATTGCGAACATGACATTTTCGCTTTATCGTTCGCTTTTATGGCGAGTTTCCTAGCGAGACAACTGGGTTTCGGTGAGAAAGGTCGTGAGTGCAGATTCAGTAGTGCTGCTTTGTTTTTCATTTTCTGTATGCTGGACTTGATCGAGTGGACTTACTTGTTACATCTGACACTGCGGAAATTCACAACACGCCATTAAATAAACAAATTATGGAAATGTGGATCGCTGCAGTTGATGTACAGCGCTAATTGTAACTTATGCATACATAAACAAGTTTTTTTGTAACATCAACAAAATGGAATTAAGTGCAGTATTGTACTTGATTAAATCATATAAAGCATACGTAATATGACATAGTGTTCGTACTTTTAGTTAATTGCAAGAGACTGCGCATATTACTTCTTTATATAATTGCAAGATAGATTTAAAAATCCATCCGAATAGCCATCTAGCATATTCGCTGCCTCCTAATTAAGGGCATGTTATCAAATAATGTGTTCGCAAAGCTGTTCAAGTTGTTGTTAACATCAAGGAAGCGATAATCGTTTGTGCATAATTCGAAAATCGGCAGATCTGTATGCCATGGTCACTCAGCTATCGTTAGTTTCACTCCTTCAAAGCGAAATGTAGATCTCATAGTGTATAAAAATCAAGGAAATTATACGACAATAATTCCAATACGTAATGCCAGTTGCCAAACTGGTAAATGTTCCTTCCGATAGTTGTGCTTTCCGATAGCTATAGATTACCAACGTGGCACTTTCTTCGGTTCCAAATAATAAAATTTAATTACTTATATCAACGTACACATTTGATTGAATGGTGAGATTTCATTCATTCCCAGTTTGTTCAACACAGGTACAATGCAGCCGTCAATTAATTATTCAGCACCGAATTCAAACTAAAAACAACTAAAAAGCGCAAATGTAAAAATTAATTGAAAACCAAAGAAAAATTAGCGTTATCCACTAGAAGCGCGCTTAATACACCGTATCCAATCAGCTGAGAAAAAAACCATCTACAAAAAATGCACAAACACCGTCTACATGTGTGGGGCCGGTCAGACCATACTAATAAACTAGAAGAAATTGTCATGAATTCATCGGTTAATCTTCAGCATCATCTTGGGATGCAGCGCCGTGCCGTTGACCTTTACCGGCGTCACCGGCACCGCCTCCTCCTCGGCGGCCTTCCGCTGGCCGGAGCTCTCACTGACACACTCCTCTTCGTCTTCCTCCTCCTCCATCTCCTCCTCCTCCGAGGAATACGGCGTTCCCGACCGCACCGGCGCCATACTGACCCCCATATCCCCGTTGCGCGCCGGCTTACTGGTCAACAATCCCTCCTCGGCTTCGTGCTTCTTCAGATGCCGGTCGAGATTGGTCTGCTGACCGAAACACCTCTCGCACAGCGGACACTTGAAGGGCTTTTCCTTGTGGTGGATATTGCGGACATGCCGCTGCAGATTGGAGGAGATACTGAATGACCGCCCGCAGACGTTGCACTTGTATGGCTGCTCGCCGGTATGGGTGCGCAGATGCCGGGTCAGATTAGCGGAGCGTGGGAAGATCTTGAAGCAGAATTTACACGTGTAGCGCTCTTTGGATTTCGTCGGACTGGCTCCGACGCTGTACACCGACGAGGACACCGGTGTCGGCACCTGGACGGCCGGTGGGGCCGGCGGTGGGGCAGCCGGTGCGGCGGGCGGGGCGTGGGTGCGTGGCGTGAAGAGATCAAAGGGCGGGTGCTGGGTGTTGGCCAGAAAAGGGTTGAAGAAGGGATAGCGCGGCGTCATGGCAAGATACTTTTGCATCTCTTCGTGCACGTTGGCCGGGATACCCCCGAGGAAGCTCCGCCCACCCGGCCCAAAGGGATACGGGAAGATGCCCATCTCCTCCTGGTTCGGCTCACCGAAGATGTGCGTCTTGCGGGCCGAACTCGGGCTGGTGACACGGGTGAAGATGGTGGCCGGTGGGGGGCGGGTCGGCACGGATAAATCCAGCGGTTTCTCGTTCTCCTCCTTGCGAGAATGCTCATCCGACAGGGAAGAGCTGGCGCGCCGCGGCGACAGATCGTAGGCCATGCTGTCGTCGTGGTGGTGACTGCCCGGGGTCAGATTGTACGGGTGCTCGGTCTCGTCGTCCGAGTGGTCAAACTCATCGCCTTCGGATTCGCTGTGCACGGCATGGTGGTGCGGATGACGGGCACCCGGGTCAGGGGAGGTGTTTTGATTCTTGTCGGTGTGGCTGTGCGGGAGCATGCCGGGTGGGAATGGGAGGCTGGGGAAGGGCTGCAGGAAACCGGGGAAATTGGGGAGAAAGGAGTTGGGGAAGGGAGGAAAGGGGCGGGCCGTGCCGGTCGGCGACAGTAAATAGGGGTGGGGTCCTTTGCCCGGAAACGCACCGGTGAAGTGTTTCTTTAGTGTTCCTGCAAAAAAATGCACCGGTCAGCTGATTCGCTGACGGGGTTCTCGAAGCGGTGTTGATCTTTATTGCTCATAATTGTAAACAAAAAAGTTGAACATCGACGTGTATCTCGACTGATGACCTTTACTATCAGAGTTCGCGCGTAAAAGCTGAAGACACCGGTCCGTGGTTCAACATGGCGTTGACCTTTATTGCGTATGATTTTCGTGATAAAAAAATTGCAGAGAGACGTACGTTGTGTGCGGCAGTTGGCATGCATTCGCTTGTGCCGGCAGAGATTGGAGAACTGTGTATAGGCTTTATGGCAGACTTCGCAGCGGAAGGGCTTGATACTGGAGTGGATGTGCGTGTGTTGTTTGAGGCCGCTGGACGTGGCGAATGTCTTGCCGCACTCGGCACACGCGTGGGTGCGGGCGCCTTCGTGGTGGGTGCGGATGTGGCGCTGAAGATTGCTGGGATCGGTGAAGTAGCGCTCGCACTGCTCACACTGGTGGCGCCGCTCCGCACAAGGATCACCACCGCCCCCGCTGCTGACCACACCGGATTCCGATGTGCTGTGATGTGAATGAGGATCCTCGGAAAATCCCCTGCACAATAAAATTGTTAATTCATGTGTCAGTTTGTGCAGATTGTACGAGTATAATGGGAAGTGACTAAATAAAAACTGCACAATCCGTCAAAAGCGCCGGTATTAATACTACCGAGTAGGTGGGGTTCAGTGCTACGTACAATTATCCAATTCACATCAGCTCTGGGTGTTTAATATTATGTAATTTTTCAAAACCGGCAGATATAAAGTTTAATTTAGGAGCGATCGACGTCAAATTGCACTTCTTCATTTGGTGCATCACCAATTTTCGAAAACGTTTTAGGCTTTCGCGTAAATTAAAAGTACAAACCATATGCTAACATATAAATTAACGATAAATTAGAATTAATTATAAGTATACATACCTTTTTGATTCAGCAGGTGAACTGACCGGTTCCTGGTCAGTTCCAGCAACGGATGAACACTCAGATGTGATGTGCCGATACCATGATCCTTTATTCTGGAACCTGGCTAAGCACTTCTGGCATCTCAGTAGATTACGCTCTTCGTCACCTTTCCGTTCGTTTCCTACAACCAGGCCTAACCATGAAGTTCAGCAACAGCAATAAAACTCCAAAAATATGCTACAATACACAGCAACGCATACCTATATTATTATTACACAACAATAATCATGCTACATCTGCTTGCATGTGACCGCTACCGTGTTAAAGCAAGACGACACCATTATCGTCTAATACATATGCCGAATGATATAAGACTACCACTTTGGATCGGAATTCTACTTCCCGTTTGACACTCCTCGATAGATACTTGGTACTGTTTATTAGTATAATTTTCCGATCGCTATGAGCGACATTTTCCCCAATTTGCATGCTGCCAATGCTGTTTCATAATGCACCAGCGGCATAAGAAAGCTGTGGATACGTTGAGATGTGCGAACACGTGCCAGCAAAAATCACAGCATTTTAAACAATTCGCATCACAACAATTTCAACAATGCACCGGTATCACAGCGATTTAAAAGGTCACGGTTAGAAGTTTTTAAAATAAATTTATCGTAATAAAACACCTTTGTCAACTACACTCCTGTCGCAGCTTTAGACAGCTTTAAATTGCTTTTAAATGCAACCCAGTTTTGGGCTTTGCATTTTTTTATCAGACAATGAAAGTCACCAACGTCAACTTTAAATTAGTTTAAATAAGTAAGTGATTTTGTTGCTCGCACTACCTCAACTTATTTAACGCTTCCGGCAAAAATATATTCAATTAGTCTTTAGACATGCAGCACATTTTAATATTAAATAAAGAATGTATCGTTCGATCGCGCCGGCATTCGCTTGGTCACATCGCACCCGCGGCTATACCGACCGTTTGATGAGCCCAAACGAAAGTGAAAGTGCTCAGCATAATCGAGATCTGATGGTGCTGTAATTTTAATCAACGATGCAGACACTACGGTGTTTTTTCTGCATCAAGACTTCTGTGGGCAGACGATGCGGAACCTGGCACGAGTAAAGAAGCGAAGAAGGTGTCGTTCAAAATGCCATCATAATCGGATGATTATGAAATATGTCCAAATGATGAGATTGAGCTGACGTAATGTCATGGCCACTCATCCAGTTATTCGTATAATTACATGCGAATATGTTGGTTGTCCAGTGTACACACGTATGTGTGCGAATTAATTTTTAGTTCTTTTGAAAACGGATTTATACATACTTATACAAAACTTTATTTATGTCTCAGTCGAACAAATGTGCATACGATACAGAAAACACCATAAAACTATAACAAAAAAATCTAGTACTTATCATCACTGAATTAAAACATTTTAAAAAGCTTAAAAAAACGTTTTCTTTGCAACCCACACTAGCTGCAATAGGAACAAATTTAATTTGTCTTTTTATTTTTCGAAATAATTAGTAGTTTAGTATAGTAGAAGTACCATTCTAAGTTCTAGCACAAGATAAAGTATCTTTAACCGTGCTTATTCGTGATACAAAGATATAATTATAGGTATATGTCCCTATATACATGATAACTTAACACAAAACAAGTTTGCAAACGTGGCGAACACATTGTTTCAGTTAAAATAATCCCGAAAGAAGTATAATTACCCTGTTTTGCATTTTAGGAATCGTACCATATTCAGCTACGCGAAGTAAAGGAGCTCCTATGCTGCTTTCGAATTTTTTAATGGCGCTTGTTCGAAAATTTTACTGTGTATACTGAAGTTTGCGCAAACAACAAATAAGTACACGATCAGCACCTTCAGTAGACTGTACAGTACGAATTCATAACTACTATTTTGTTAGCAACTACTACCAAGAGAACCGCTGACATCCTAACACGGTTTTTAATGCCGTTTCACTTTTACTTCTGGTTCGTTTACTGGTTTTTCTGCCGTTACCCGATGGTTAATTTAAATTACATATTGCTGCTTTATAATTTAATTACGCATCGCCATCTATCTGGGATGTTCGAAGCGCAACAGGTGGTGCAAGTGTGACTAATACGTTTGTTCGTAGCCCACTACGCATCATTTGCTCATAGATGAACAGACGAGAATCTCACAAATAAAGATTAATCTCACAAGTAATTATATTTAATACATTTTTATTTTATTCACTGTCGTAAAACTTAAAACCTGCCATTTAGACCTGTTGGCTGTTATGACGCTTCAATACAGCGCACCGTTATACAGCTCGTACAAAAAAATCCTGTTACTGACTGTTTAAAATTATTATGAATATATGGTCAGAATCAGAAAGACCAATGCAACTGCAGAAAGCGCATGATAATAATACAGTATTATGACGGTGCAATGATAGATTAAATTATGTATGAAACGCAGAATAGAATTGTATTAAGAATCACACTAAAAATAATGAACAAATTCACAACAGAAACCCGAAAAATACCTTTAGCAAAACGCTGAAGTATATATTAACCAATCATACAGAGCTCTTGATGTATTCACATCTTCTTTTACAAAACCATTATCAGAATGGTAAAGTTTGTTTAAAACTGCGAATGTGAAATTATTTAATTTAAGCTAAAAACATCAGTCAAATTTGGGAACACTTACAATAGCACTGGCGATGACAAAACGCAGAAGAAACAGAAACCAACAAGCTCACAATTGTCAGATATCCGGTGACCTTTGCTCGCGATCGTACAGCAGATCAGTCATACGAAGAGTGAACAACAAAATGTGTCTAACACTTGTAAACTTTTCTAGATTAACTGCACATACTGCAAGCAGAAGAGAGAAGTAGAATTCTGGCAGGAAGAGGTAAAGAATACCTGCAAGTGATATATAAAAAGCATCACTCGTGCTTTAACGACATGTGCTCTGCGGATTACGCAATCTTTGTTGTTGTTCAGAAGCGATATAAAATACGGAGTAATTACTAACCAACCACCAGCCAACCAATATCAAGCGGGGAAACTAGCTTTTGGCTTGCTTGAAGTCCTTCTGCTTTCGTTTTCGCGTATTAGTTACTGTCTGCAGTGTACACATCTTACATGTCGAAAAAGCTTTTCAAAAATTTACCCCCCCCCCCATTTTGCGGTTCTTCATAAATACGGCCATCAACTGCCTATTAAAAAAAATTTAAAGTGGTAATAGCTTCCTTCTTTCACAAAATGTGCACATCATTCGCATAAGCTTAAAGAAGGAATTTAGACAGGCGAATGTACGTTAAGGTCACTGCGACCATACGGATGCAAACTCTGTTAAGACGAAGCAAACCAAAACCAAACGCGAAATCAGTTTGCAACAAAAACCTATTCGTCATCTACTTACCAAATGAATTGCCGTTAAAGGCTACATTCTGATCCCAAAGAAACCCCGAGACGGGCTTGGATGCCGAGATCTGCACGCTGTTCTTCCGCGCCGCATCAAGCGTCAGCTCATCGTGTCCGGTAATGTCACGGAGTGTCTTTACATAGATCTGCCGAAAAACATTCAAAATATTATCGTTAATTACGCGCTTTCATCAGTCCTGCATAATTAATGTCACATCGCGAATAAAGCTACCGCCAGTACACGATGCGGTGATGTGAGCGTTACATAACACGTCAGGTCACGGATGCACTGCACATCGTGTAACCTGATATATGCCTGTCGTATAATTACGGTCTACCGGTCTAATGCAAACTAATTGATATTCTTTGACTAAATTTTAAACAAGAACAAAGCCGTTAATTAAGTAGCCGTCTTGCTACTACATGTTAACAAGAAACAAGAGATACCTTTGAGAAAAAGTACTACTGTAGTAAATCAACGGCACGTCGCGTTATAGGCAGGGTATACGCACAACATACGAACACCAGCCGAGCAGTGGCTTCTCTATCGACACACTAAACCTGACCCGCCGAAATCGCACTACTTTTTAAAGAAAATCACAAATTTTAAACAGCGCCCTGAGTACAATAGTCTCATGATCATTAGAGGCCCAATCGGATTCGAATCAAAAATTTTTCTTAATGCCGATCAAAAATTATTAAGTCTATCAAGGTTGTTTTTGGTTAGTACATACAATTGTTGCATAACAATCATACAGACATCCATGCACTCTTGATTGTACGAGAGAGAGACACTGCCCATAACAATGAACGTGACCGTCAGCCGAAACGGACGAGCATCATTAAGAAGCTGCTTTACAAGCGAAGAACGCTCGGACGAGCGCTTGCTGACAAAAAAACACTGGGCTCTTCGGCGATCTTGCTGCGAACGGCCTAAATACCTGATGGCCTAATTTAAGGTTCTTCGCCTTTCTACACACACATACACAGGACATAAGTGTATGTATGTATATTCCGCTATACGCGGTGGCTTCAACAGACGAGCCTATCGACTTTCCATACACCGGCGCAAACGAACTTGTTCATGAATATTCTTGAGAAGCCCTCCGAGAGAATTTTACATTCTAAACAAAAGTGTTCTTCGCCGGACATACTCGGATGCACAAATGTTGCCGCGCGATCGCCGACTCGGCAGCAGTGTACTCGACGCCGAGGTTAATTGCACACCCTTCTCGTGCGTTATCATCCGCCGTGAATCAGATCGTCAATCATACCGCTAATCATGCGACAATTATATTATACAACACAATCAACGTCATATTGTCAGAAACCGACTACATTACTTAATTAAAAATAATATCAGCGACCGAATACGCTAAATACTCGATAAAAGCTATAATTATCGTTCAACTGTAACTATCGTCAGCTTCAGTTGAATACGAATCCATGTTGGAAAAAGTTTTAGGGTATTGTAATTTACTCATTTACATTTCCACTGCAATTTGCTTATACATTCAATGTACATATTATTAAGATATACGCACAGTTTTCGCATTCATGATTCTATCAAGCATGGAGCTAGTAAAGTCGAAAATACTGTGACCTTGTGATTTTGTTACAAAATAAAAAAGCATACAAGATCTACTACAATGCATAATTAAACATCAACAAAAATGCAACAAAAGTTACAGCGCGCAGAAATACCGGTACTACACCACCTTCAAGCGCAAAGATCTTACCGGAAGTTGCGGAACATCTCGCTGCAGTTTGAGCTGGCTGCCACCAAAGCCGCTGTACCGGTATGGTACATTCTCATCGCACTCAATCACCATTTTGCAATTTTCTCTACTGAATGTCTTCAACAAAAACCTTTCTCAACTGAAACTGCTCTGAATAAATCCCGGCATCAATTCACCGCTCCACGTCCGCACATGCACTGGTCATCTGTGCAAACTGACCCGCCGATGGAGGCCGGATCGGGCGTTGATCCACATCGCTAATTGGAGCGGACAATAGCGCGCTCCCAAACCCGATGTGAACCTTCCTGCCTTCTATGGCCCTGTACGCCATCCTCACCTCAAGTGTACGTATTTAATCAGAAGCGCAAGGCAAATTCAAAACCAACCATTCTCATCCCATCATCTTAGGAATGTTACATATTTTCTCTCGTTTCCCTCCACTCACGGCATTCATGTTCCCGAAACTCCATTAAGCGCAAGTACGCAGCACTGTATGTATACATTAGGCATTACCGAGGGAAACGCTTTTGATGCTCTGTTGACCATTTGGTGTGGATAATTTCATGTTTCCTATTCAACCTTATTAACATCTGATCCCCTCTTTACACTTAGCCATGAACAATACCGCCTATTATCTGTGGAGAAAATGCTCCGTTTAACAGATTAAGACGCACATCGCGCATATATGGGCACATCGGTGCAGCGTCCATTTGGGCCAAGGACTACACGGAGGGCGGAGGGAGATCATCTATTTAAGTGTCGTGTAACACCTGACTTCAAGGAGGCTCCCAGAGGACCGCCCTCACCGGCCAGGATAATTCGCTTAATACACACGGCTTCCCTCGTCGCTGCACGTGGATTTCCACGGTGCAGATATGTTTTGTCTTGCCACTTCGCTATTCGGGACATTGTACAGCGTCTACAGGGTGGCTATTCATTACCCGTAATTAGATTACACTCTGCTTACTATACCATCAAAACAAATCCCAGAAATTGCAAGTTACACGGTATCTTTACACAAAATTCTTCAAGTATCCTTCTATCTGTACATCTGTAGTAACGGTAATACCGAATCTGGATGACCTCCTCAACAATAAATGTGTTCACAGGCAAGCTAAATTTCCTTATTAATTAGCATTAATAGTATTAATTATATAATGCAGCAGGCCAGGAAAACGATTGTAAATAACACTCATAAAACTCTAAAACTGCCCTGCAAATCTTAATCTGTACTTTCGTTAATTTATTAATCGCAGTGTTGTAGAAGTAAAGATACTCGACGTAATGCGGATATTATAATGAAAACTAAAACTATTTTAAAGTTTTTTTTTTCTCTCGACCAGACGGCAGTGTTACAATACACAACGCTCCATAAGTCCCATTCGAATGGGGTGTCTGCTCTGGTGCAATAATAATAGCATTAAATGCTAAATAAACCGTACGAATAATCGTTTCAGAATCTTATAAAATTGCAGTTCCACCATTTTTATCCAACATATAAGAAGTTCACGACCATATGATTTAGAAGTATGATTATAATAAAGCAGCAAGATCTGGAAATCTGGATATATTTACATCTGGAAACTGCATTAATCTGCCTGAGCAGGATAATAACTGCGTCCTCGTAATGCAATCGCACCGTAGTGTTACCCTTATGGACTGCGTTTGGTCTGCGTTACACAGATAATATAACAAAATTAGGTCTAACAAAGAATTCTTCGTGTTTCAAGGTAATCTTGCCTTTATATGTATAACTGTATTATTTTAGCTTAAATGTGCTGATCTAGCACTACAAGCGTTGTACTACGATGGGCAGTGCTCCCTTTTACACTGATTTAGCCTGATTACTACAGAGTACAGATGTAAAATTCGAGCGTGATGGAAGGACATGACACTGTTTCTAACAAATAGCAAAATGTCTTCGAAGAGTGTGTTAATTTCGGAAACGAAAATTATCCACATAGAGATCTTTCACGGAAGTTCATAACTACAGCATGTTTCATTTGTTAGACAATAATCCCAAGCAAACAGTAGTTTTCAATTGCGCATTCTTCGTAGGCCTTAAGAAGAATACAGGGCTGCTGCAGCTATTGTTATCTTGAAAGACCACCTTGAGAAATAATGAACTTCACGGCCCATCCATATGCAAAACACGGTGGGACATTGTTTAGGCTCTGATGCTTATTAAGGATGTAATGCCAGGATGAATACGAGTCGTGTAGCGCTTGTTGATTTTACCATTGATGGATTAATTGGTTGGCATTGTTGTGATTCTGTCAGTGCATAATTAAGTAACCTCCTAAGTTCACTTGAGCGTGATAACGGGATGCATGGCCTCATGCCTGCATATGTGCATCAGATGCGCCAAACGCACCAAACAACGGTAATGGATAATATTAATATAATATAATTATATGACATTGAATAATTTATCATCTACCATATTCAGCACAAAATTTCAATAAAATTAATGTTATGCCACTCCATGCAATTTTTCTTAAAAGCTAAAAAAACAGCAGTTACACCAATAACTTACAAATACAGACGAATAAATTCCTCTTATGGATACCTGAGTTGTCCCTGGTTGATCTATCCCGATTGGCAATAGTATACACTCAATACAGTATAACCATTCTCAGATTCTCTCATGCACAGACAATGTGACCTTTACGGAATTGTGGACTGTAAAACTTGTACAGTATCATGCTCGACTGTTTCTCACTTCTAAATTCTTCCTCTACTTTTAAAAGAAATAGTCGTAGCTGTTTATAACTGCACTTAAGCATACCTGTTATTTAGATTGGGCAGTTTTCATAAGTCCAAAGCAGTTACTGTACATCATTTATTTTCACCTTAATTTAATTTTTTTAGATTTACTTCGTTGCATTAAAAAAAAAATGCTTCACTAAACTATTTTTTATAGAATATGACTGTAAAATATTACCTGTTGAAATCCTTGGAGAGTGGCCATAGCGTTCGGTGCAGAGCAGGCTTGAATATCGTTCATCCAGTGCGGATGTTGTGTGAGAAATCGTCCAACCGAACTTCCAGCTGAATCCACCACCTACAGCGCAACAATACAACTGTAAACTGACTTTCGAACGAAACGCTGCTGATCAGATACATGTATCTCGTTGACTCTAAACAGAAAAACTTAGCGCTCTACAATACATTAAGTTTTCATGATAGGCTTATGCATAAGCACAAATCAGATGGATTAGATCCCGCTATGTACAATTTATGAAAAACAGCCTGACATTATACACGAAGCGTAGCCAACACTTCTGACACGACTACAACCGTGAAAGCTAACCGACAACACACCATTGGAGTTCACTGAAGAAAAAATGAGGAGACGACTAAAATATCATCGTGAGAAATGTCACTGGATTTGAATTTTAAAATCCCGACACTTCTGTATATGGGCGCGCTGTTCAATGCAAAAACGTCCGGTATCGCTCCGATGCAATATGACTTTACAGATCGACGTGCGGAGAGATGGAAAAGGAAGGCGAAATAGTCGTTTAATAGTTATACGACCCCGGTTATGCTCTATTTGATACGATATGTTAGGAAGGGAATTTGCTCCATGTTCAAACAAAACGCTCGTATGATGGCGGATGGCTTTGTATCCTAACACTACTGATGGAAATCCACAAATATAATCATAAAATATGCGCCGATTATGACACGATGCACTGTACAAGTAATTTTTACGGCGTGTTATGGCTTTGAATTGTCGTTTGCCGGGCAGTCCAGTGCCTCTTCGCTGTAATGACCGCTAGACAAATCGGGACATACGAGTGAAGGGACCTGTCGAGCGAATCAGCAAACATTCTCGGCTACGATCGTGTATAATGCGTTTACAGGTAAAATTAAACTGCCGGTTCGGAGGTGTACGGAGATTTGCTGTTCCGGAGAGCAGTCATGAGGGGGCCCATAATGATTAACACCGGATGATGACTGTAACCGTTGTTTATATGTTTAAAGGGGAATAATTGCTTTGTGTATGTAGAAGCGGTAAATTTCGCTGTTCTCATAAGCGCCGTACAGAGTGCGTATCAGGTTTAAAGGTGCGGTTGTTAATGTTAAGTGCACACTTTAGCCGAACAAATTCACTGTCATAATCACAAACAGAACTGCCAAACTACACTATCAGATACTTGCTTTAAAAATGCCGCACATCTTTCCAACAGCATATTATGCCATGTACATTTATATGCGACTGATACGAGTGCTTTGCTTTGCGAAAAAAGCAAAGCGAAAAACGATAAATTCTTTTACTTCTCGGAAATGTTAATGGCTAAAAAATCTTTAACCCGTAATGTTCTTCAAATTATAGGGGAATGACGATATGTGTTGTTAAATCCTCGCGTAAAACCGAAAGTAACTCTGCTACAGGATGCCTGCAAAGTCTTCCTTCGAATTCATATTTCCGGTAACTTGGACGCCCGTTAAATTTTCTCTTACTTCAGATGCTTTACGCTTCATCCTATTCTGCGTAAAAAACTCGATGTGACAGCAAAGAGAAAGTTAACTACCTCCTACCGGTATCTGCTGAATATCGGCCGATGACAAAACTCTAATATAACGGTCATTATTTACTCGAGCAAAATGGACCACTCCTACCTCATTCACCGGTAATATTCACAGAATAAACCCGGCATTTTAAATTCACACGCCGTCACACAATATTAAAAATCAAAAGATATATCAGCGCAATTAAGCGTCGCACTTGAGCGGCACACTGACCGAACAATGGTTGTCCCCTCGAAAATCTCCCATACAATCAACAGCCGATCTAACCGTTGTTCACCGGGAGACGACAACGCCCAATGGCACCGTGGCAAAAGGGAACTACTTCATAGCGGCATATATCATAATATAATAAAATCCTTCACCTCATATGATTTCCTAATGAAATGGAGCAATTTCTCTTAACAAGCAGCGCTTTTCCTTTACATACACACGCTGGACTTTTCAACTAGTTCAATATATTGTGTTGGCGCTATGGCTGACAGTCAGGGAAAGATATATCGCGTCGATGGGACAATTGGATTTCTCCTTCCACATGCGACAGTGGACCAAGGGTTTCGTCTAAGGAGACGCAGAAGCGGGCGCGATGGAGTAGGAAGCCTAAGAGTGCATAAAAGGTTCCTTTGAAGACTATTTCCTGTATGGATGTGATGGGACTTGATTGAAGAGCTGGCCGACGTGCAAAGTGATCTGTGCAACGATGGCCGGATGCCTTGGCATTTCGACAGGAGAAATCAGAAAGTCGGATGAATCCATAAAGTTTTTTATACTAAATTATAGATTGTTCATATATGACTAAGCAGTAAAATGGCAAAGGTCAAACAGAAGTTTTGTATACTGTAGATAGTAAAATTATTTTAGAGTAATGAATTTTAATTTTATCTTCAGTGCGCTAGGTTATTGATAAAAAACAACTCGCAAAATCTGATTAGGCTGCGATGGTATGAAATTCTGGTCAATTAGCGCTCTATAACTGTTAATGAATTAAGTAATTAACAAATTTATAATACAGGCGAAATGTAAATTACCAACAGTTTTAATACTAAAACTCTGGTTTTATCGATTAGTTTCGATCGCCAGCCGTCCCTCTTGCAACGATGCACTTTGTTTCCCCGCTGAGATTTGCGCCGGTGAATGTCATCCATGTCAGTGCTCTCACCCGTCATCTGCTCTCGGCCTCTTCCCCATCATCTCTCGAGTTCTTTCCGGCGTTTAAGTTCCCTTTTTCACAGCTTCCCATTTTCTCATATCTACGTAAAGGATGTCAGCTGGCTCTAGCGCCGCTTCATAATAATCCCCGGCATCAGGATTGTCACGAAGAGCCGTTAAATGGAGGAGACATATCTCCCTGACACATGAGATTAGGCTACGCCCCGTCCTACGTGTGCATGTGTGTGTGCGTCGGTAATGATTGCATATATAGTGCGGCTGCCTGCCATAGTCACCGTTTCTCCTGAAGACAGTTTACGGGACAATTCGCTTCTCATAGCGTGTCTGGATGCTTTTATCAACAATTGTGACTAATTAAGCGTGAGAGAGATTTCCCTCCCTCATCACGAGACATCCATTACGCTCAAGTGTTTCGCCGTTTTTATACTTACTTTAAAAGTTGCAAGCAATTGCATATAAGCATGTAAGTTGATATAATTTCAGATATGTATAGGAAAAGTCCGAAGCAATCTGTAGCGTTGCGGGAAAGACAAACACTACAAGGCTTTCTTTGACTCATGATGAGCCGATGTGCGAATTCAATGAGGAGACGAGAACAAGAACGACACACGATACATGCGTTGCCGGCAAATTGAGGTGATGTGGACATTAGCGCAATTTAAAACCATTCCTCTCCAGCTTTACTAGACCGACACGTAAACTTTATATCGTTTCTCCCCGCGCGCTATAACAACACACTTGGCACACACAGTACATCCTTCTAAGGAAACATCTTCATACTTGCTGGACAATGCCGGTGACCTTTGTGAGGGTCTCGAATGTACACACTTCAAATTTCCCATGAAAGTATTAAGTCGACCGCACAATAAAATGCAGTATTTAGTTATCTGTAATTATCTCAAGTTTCTGAAAATCCGAAGCAGGTAAGCCTGTTCGGAGTTTTAGAATACCCTTTTTGAAATTAGGGAAACCTCGATCTTTTATCAAATGCAGTGTCGGTTAAATTGTTAGATCCAGCTTTTGGAATGTTCAAGCCAAATTAAACTGCGACATATATCTGGTGCGTTTAAACTATGTGCACTTGAAGCAAGCTAGCTATCAATGCTCGCCGTTAGATGCGAAAGAGCAGAGATTTTCACAAGATCACTTCCGGTCGAGCGCAATCGTTTGGATTAGAAGTTACAGATACACCATTATAAACGGATTGTTATATTGAATAAAATGTAGGTTACGCTTAATGCGGATCAGTGAATTGTGTAAGGATAGTTTCCTGGTGGGCTTCTCATGCACTGCGGTGCACTGCAAAATCCGCCGAAAGAACGGATTATGCGAGGATGAGTAGCAGACGGCGTACGCGCATCCATAGTATCATAAGTATCATTGATTACAACGCTGATTAACCACAAACTTTTCATTGGTGCTTCAATACAGGGCACGTCTGCTAGTATGCCGTTGTGCAAATGAATGAATAACGAATTATAAAAAATATTTACCCTAACACTATGAAAAATATTCCTCTTTAAATTCCTGGAGAAGCGAGCGTGCCATACAGCGGCAAGTTTAAAGTGCACAAAGCGGATCACCCAAAAGCTCCGTCAGTTGCGAGAAATGATGTGGCATTACAAAGCATCCTATCACTTTGTCAATGAGCCACAACGGAATGATGAAGAAATATGTGTCTGTGTATGTGCTGGTAAAATTGTCAAAGGCGGTAGATCTAACAAGTGATCCAGTTTCCATCCGCCGCGCACTCCTGCCACCCAATATTACGCCCCGTTCACACAGACAACGGTTATATTTAAATTATCAATTATTCATAACCAGTGCCTCCACTTACGGACACACACCGCATATCTGTACAGCTGCACAAATTTGTGACAAATAATTGCTCATAGCCCTATTGAACATCCATAAAATCACTTTCTCATCGCTACATCATCAGCAATAACTGTCAACCTTGATATTGTGCCGGCTGATCGCCAAAAGATGACCGCTATAGCTGCGCTGCGCGGCAGCAGCCGGCGCAACACGCCATGCATGTATCCAACGCGCAGATATCAATCAATAACTATTAACTAACCAGTGGTCATATCGAGTAATGTTCCATAAGTCGCTGTTCAGCTTCGACAGACAAACAGCAAAGCGTCAAATTTGTAAAATGGAAGTGCATGTAACAGCTATTAACGCGGTGCCGTTCTAAATTTTGCAAAACACGGTTCTTAAACGCAAACAGTAATAACTTGATAATAAAAGGTAAACTCTATAGAATGGGAAAAACTTCAAATAATTTACGTACTTAAAAATTAAAACATTGACAACCTACAATAACACTCAGCGGCACACCGATATTAGGCTGTTTGATTGGAGTTTAAAGTGATAAAAATAGAAACAAGCTTTTTACAATTGTCGCAAAAACTTTCATACCAAGGGCATCCGATATCACCATGTGATTTACAATAACGTTAGTTCACACATTAGACCTGTAATTGCCGCTATATACAGTACAGTCCACTCGTCAGAATGCACGAATCGAATTCGGCATAACTTTTAACTAATTCGGCATAACTATTACGTACGTACAGAAAATGTTTTGCAAATTCGTTGAGGAAATTTAGTACAATTATTTCGCACAGAAAGCAGATCGTGGACCTACCGTCCAGTTTTTCGTTCCACTGGCATCCGCTGCTCCGTCCAGTCCTGCGCCGGGCAGCAGACTGCCCATCAACGGTCCAAACATGCTTCCCGCTGGGACGTCACACCTGGTCCAGATGCCGGTTCGGCCGGGTGCCACACGGCTCTCCTTCACTTCCAGTTCATCCGGCACGCCAACGGAATTCTCATCGGCAACCTGGTGAACCCGCGACTGATGATGAGGCCGCATTGCCTCGCTACTGCTGCTGTTCGACAACGACGACGACGATGCCGGCGGCTGTACGATGGCGCTATAATTGGACATCAAGTGTCGTATGCGTATGAGGCTGTTGTCGTTGTTGTCATCTGTTAGATCAGCCGCATCGACGGCCTCGTCCTCAATCTGTTGATCAAGAGGAGGAAGAGGCGAACAAGCGGAATCTATAAAAAGCCCAACCGATCTGACAGTGCGTCTTACGTCGCGATTGTATATACCACCTCAATCAAGGAGACGGCTCAAATAACCACTTTACAGCCACCACCACTATGTACACGGTACACTCGGCTCTCTTAGCGGCATCCTCTGCGTTGAACCGCAATGAAAATAACCCTGCGCGCGCGAATTATACCCGAATATTGCGACAATCTGACCAGCGGCATTTGCCGGCAACATGTGGCTGCTGAAGAGCACGGCAATATTCGTATGGTGGGGGCAGTGATTTTAAAATGTATGTACCGGTATACAACAAAATGCTTTACTTTTGACATCGTCTAACCACTTGAGCCTGTTTTACAGCCATATACGATCTATTCATCATCAACAACGCCAGCACGAGAGTTTTTCTTCCCCAACAGATCACTTACTTTCAATAGCTGACTAGTTTTCAACCGCTTGTTTATTGCGTTTTCGCCAGATCAACACTTGCTGTGCAGCTTTTGATACAAAAGGGCGAATTAAAATAATAAAGATGTTTTATAGCCTGGTACGCAGTCTGACACGGCTTGTACACCGCACAGTCGCTCACCGGCAGTATTCGGTTATGCAACGAAGCAATGACACAGATTCGCTTGCAAATTACCTCTCAGATACTGTAGCAGTGAAGCTCGGGTGCTATTATTTAAATTTTTGTTGGTGATTAAGCACTGCAATAACCGCACTAATTGTAGATGGAAACAAGATATCAATACAAATATTTAGCACCTGTGGGTTGATTATCTGCAGGGACGTTACGAAGGCAGAATCCAAAACTATTTTTTCTGCAAAAATGACGACAACAGATAGAACTATGAAATTGATGCACTGCTAAAGCACGTGCAAATCTTACCACAATAATTTTGTTACAAACTGGAGTAGAAATATATCTATGTTTACTATGTCTATATAATCGTACTGCATATACAAATTACTTAATATATCTACTATTATCTAGCCTAAAATAATTAATACTGCAGGTGGTACATGGCAAGGTAGCGCAAGTATGGTTTGCTGGAAATGTCAGTATCATGCTTAATCATTTTTTAACAATGCGTAATCCTAAAGAAAGCTAGCCAGAATTTAAGTATTAAACCTTTTCGCGTTTATATTGTAGAGAAGATAATGATCATCCAGATGCATTACGCAAACAAGAAGCACCAAAGGTTTCTTTATAACACTCAAATAATGGCCACGTGTTGTACGACGGATGCCTGATTATACCTTCCGGTTGAATCAGCAGTTTGTATTAAGCAGTGTCCATTCAGAAGTACCGCGCGATGGCGAAAAAACGTTGTAACCCAAGACAGTATTTTCTCCATGTTAAGCATTAATCCCCCTATTGATGAAAAATACCGATGGACAATTGAACATTCAAGGAAGGACGCTAGTGTTATTATTTTGATTCCTGCTCTTGTACAGCTTAGAGTAGTTGGCATAAACACACTGAGTGTCTTTCAGGTTGCGCTGGTAAACACCGCAGACAGCGATCTTCACAGCGAAAAGATTAAAATTTTTAATCCACAAAGCCGGGCCCCCCTCGCTGGCTGCGTAATACACTGCCACTCTTTCCACTCGCATCTCTCTTTTATTCGCGATATTTTCCCAACCGGATTAACCATCCATTACGCACCGAGCAAACGTATCTACGCAAACGTTAGTGCAGCTTGTCTTGTTGTAATCCGTCTCTTCAATGCCGAATTAAATAACGCCACCATGACCTTTCAGATACTTGTTCAATAAGCTCATCTCGCACTGCTGCACGAAGGAGATAAATTTAACCGCATAACTTTTTATCTGCTGCAAAAGCATAAATTCCGCTGATAACCAAAAGGTGACACTACTTCATTGCGCTTCGTTCATAATTTTTTTGCGAATCCGGATATTATATTACATTTTTTAGTTTTCCCAACCACCATCCTTCCGGTGTTCTCCAAGTTTAGCCTTGGTCTTGTAACTGATTACCGGTAATGCATTTTCAGCAAACAAGCATACGCTAATTCCGTGTACAGCGCTTTTACACCCAATCCACGAAAATAAGAGATATTTCCTGTATCGTAAAATATCGTGATTCGGCGCTGATTCAAACATTTAACGGGGTCGCATGCACAGAAGGACGCACGAGTATGCGGTCAATAATGATTACTTATTGATAGACAAGAAAATAAATATCCTTGTCAAAAGCGAGCATATTACAGATGGTGAACAGCGCTGTGGACACGGCGTAATTCAACCTGCCGCAATAGCCTCGTCAATCGAGGCCTATCTTGTCACACATACTGGCAGGGTCCATATGCGAGCCGGCCTAACAGCAAATACCAGGCCGCTTATAAGGCACCAAAAATATGAGCATTACGCAAATATTATTCCATCGATAGTATCCTCTTAAACAGCCCTACACCGATGTCCTTTGTCAAGACATTCCGGTTGACGAGGACAGGAAATATGAGCAGAACTGTATTATGTGTGGTTTGGGGGCAGATAATAGCCCTGGAATTTCATATCAACGGATGGGATAATTCACGCCAGTCCATCATAAAATATTCTCTCCACCTGATACTTGCATCGTACTTTACGTTTGCCTAAACATACCGTAGACGGCATTTCATGCTTTTTCCTATCTGTTCAACATTCGATTACTTGATTCTGCTGAATCTTGAATTTCAGTAACTGATTCTGTGCTGCTGTCGTAGAAAAACTGCTTAAAATCTTTATTAAGTACTGTAATTGTTCATATTACACTACCAACCGGCAGCCGTATAAGCAATAGTAATTCAAAATAATTACTGAGTTTCCAACGTATTTTATACCCGGGAAACGTTTTTAGCGCAACTCATGCGGTCGCAAATTAAAGATGTCTTAGGGTCTTAGAGCAAAGCAAACCGAGTGCTGACAGATCTTCAAAGTTCATTGATGAATACGAACCTTGGATAAGTGGTTCACCTGAACGAAAGCGTAAATAAAGATAACATTTGAAGGCGCTATAATTAGAAATCGTGCCGAAGCTGATACGTGAAACTGGTGCAAGAAGATGTCCTAATAAGGATGCCAAAATTCAGTGATTCATTAGGATTTAAGCAGGTTTCCATTGCTAGCACGTAGTTATGTTTATAAACGAAGTTCGTTATCGATTTTGCAAAACTCCACGAAACAGATAGAAACTGAGAAAAGCACCTAGTTACAATTTTTGGTAGCGGTTACCCTGCCATTAGTCAGTTTCCGTTGATACTCGTGCCCTTTAATACTAGCTGTACACAAGAGTAATTATATATAGAATACAGCGCAAGTATCCATTTCCGAAAGACATTTAGTATCTATCTGTGTCTAGTTATTATTATTCTCATTGTTGAAGTGTGAAATTTTTTCGATGTTGTTTACTAAGCACTTATTGCAGATGTATAACGGTTTCGCATTTCTGGATACATATAAGTACTGTATTGTCTTGTCCTCGTGTGCACCTGTTCGCCCTTGCTGTCCGTTATTCAGACAGCTTTTTCCCACAGGTGGACAGTTGAGGACACAAAAATTCCTTACGCAAACACTGAGCTCATCTTAACAAGCTAAAGGGAACAATTAGGCTAGATCAGGGTAATTGCTCTACCACTTTATGACTACTGAACAATTAATGGCCACAATATAATTCGTACACATGCCTTCGGGCCGTGTGTGGTAAGTACTGTATCTGTACATTTAGATAGTCGCTACAATTCGCTGCATGTACAAACCGCAAAAACGAATTTAGAATAAAGAAAAAAATAAAAATCCTAATGTTATGATGTAATATTCCCCTTATTATGCTACGGTACTCGTAGAGTTTGCATCAGATATATAATATAAGACATTGCGACTATTAGTATTCCTACGTTGCGCATATGCTTCAGTTTTCCATTCCTAAATTATTACAAAGAAAGAACTATGTTACGTGATGTTGTTCGACCGGCAGCTATATATTGACATTTTGAAAATTTGACGACGCATCCAAGGAGACTGCCAGTGTCTTTTCATCGTTCCCCGGATCGTGCGATGAGAAAATCATCACTTCCCTAAACCACGATCAATCACCGCCTCGCGTCGCAATCACCACAACGATACGCGCAAAGTAGCACGATAATCCTCTATAAAAATCGAACACTTAACCCGATGTTACCCGGGGTCTCATCAATTAATCTCAGCCCTATTCTGGCGCAATACTCTTCGCATTCCTAGTTCACTGATCCCTGACGCCGAGAGCGGGATGAAGTCATATTGCTACTGCCAACAAAATCATTTAACTTTGCTGCACTTTAATAGCCTATTCAACTGATCAGCCCAGATACAGACATCCCCATTCCGCCCTTCTCTTCACCATCATTTTCAACAACATGGCCGACGCGCGGCTTTATACTCCAAAATGACACATTGTGAGCGGGCCGCGATTAATCTCCCCGCACACAAACACAACAACTGTCTAACCAATGTCCCATCATCAATTTCCGCTGACATCCTCCATGTCACTTGTATGTCTTCTCCGCCTGCTAACGAAGTGCTATCCAAACTTTCCCAAGTCAAAGGCTTGCACAGCTGCGGTCGCACAACATTACAATAATTATTATGTTACAGCGGTCGTATAATTTCTTGTGATATCTTATGGTTAGCACGGTGAGCTTATTTCCAAACAGAAATTCAGTATGCACATACGCAATACAGATCATGTTTGAGATATAATCAATCAGTAGAAAATTTCATAGTACGTATTGTAACTAGCACCCAGTAATAAGCAAGACAACGTACCATGACCATTATGATGCAATTAATTAAGAATTAATTTTTTACAGTTTCTACGTACGGTGCAATATTAAGATAAAGTAAAGTAGAGTGCAGCATGGAAACCTTACCGAATACTACGGTAGTATATGTGGGCTTTCCCCCGTCGCTATATGTACAGTGTACATCAAACAGCCAGAAAGCAATTTTCATACTGATTTCTGCT